ATAACATGAAATTCTTCCCTTGGCTCGTATTTGAATATTGATGTGTTTAACCACATTTGCCAATGTTGCTGCTTCTAGGGGCACCCACTGGCCCCTTGGCACAAGCACCACTGCAGCAGTTGGAAGCAGTGCTGCAGATCTCACCCGCTATCTAAACAAATCGCATTAGCAAGTCTCTTCATAGGTCACATTACTATAAGGTGTGCTTTTTGGGAAGTAATCGAATTGTGCATGAAATCTTGAAAGAACATACAAGCAGCACAGCGCTTCTCGAGCTCAACAGGGCCTGCGACGGCGACAGCCGCGAAGAGGGCAGCAAGAGCAACACTGAAAAACTTCATTGTAATAAAATTGATCATTTAAATGATGGACTCTTCGATTGATGGGAAATAATATTATGATGGGTAGAGGATCCCCTATTCATACCCTTGATCTACTACAGAATCCCCCTAGGGAAAATGGTTGGTGGTATGAGACTTCTCGGAGTTTCGGCTAAACGAAGTTATCTGATGGGGCCGGTAGATGATCTCGCATGCTTTTGTGGGGCATTAAATCCTGCTGCTACCTCCCATCGTATGGAGATTTGATAAAAAAGCGAAGGGGCGCCCCAAGACCGCTGTCGGGGGCCTCTCCACGGCCCCAGGAATGCATGCTCTCGGGGGGCCACGGACCCTTGAAGTTCCGAAAGCTAGATCGAAGCCCGCATATCCAGGTCCCTGATTCTCACGGAACAAATATTGGAAACTTTTGCCAAGGCTTCGACTATATTTTGATCACATACAATACCCTTTTAGGAGCTTGAAGATGCCTCTACATTCACTGGATTTTGTAGAATAGGATGCTGCGAAGGAAGAACAAAGTGGTAAAGTCCCACTAGAAAGTTCAAAATAGAGAAATAATATGCGAAATCAAGCAGCAGGGGCTCATCATTTTCTACTATCTGTTATACACCTGGGCATTATTACTACCGACTGTGGTGGGGAGTTGTCTAGTATACCGAAGGCCAAGTAGGCTCTGTCGGTCTCTGTGAATGTAATATAGTGCCTACCAACTTGAATCATTTTGTGTAGGAATGAACCCGGGAGATCGATCACCCAAAGTAATCTACCACGATTTGCGCAAACAACCATCAATAAAGATCTTCAATACTATCAGCTTAATGACTCAGATATTTCAGACATTTTTGAGTCTACGGTTAGAGCTCAGTATGATTGGGTTCTGTAGTAGGTTTACGGAGTAGGATTTATCCCCGAGGTGAGGAATGCTGGATTTCGTACGTTTTATCCAGGCTCGGATCTAATCTTTTGTCCAAATTTCAGGTCGGTTCCCTAGTTCTGATCCCTCTACAGTTATTTTCCTTGCTAATCAAACCATATTTACCTTGTAATCCAACGTTATTCAGGTCGCCTAGTCTGTTCTGATTTAAGAAAGCCCTGTGAAGACTTTGACTTGAATTTTCATCTTATATACTCGTAGATAGACTTGAATCTGCTTTGAGATTTCTTTTAAGGGCGGATAATTCCAGTTTTTCCGCCTTGACTTTAGGCTTTTCTTGTCTCCTTGTCCTCTTGTTTTTTTTCCAATAGTACATCACACTGTCGTAAAAGTCCGAAGACAATACAACCTTCTATCTCCCCACATTTTCTGTAATATTCCCAAGATTAAAGCCGAAAGGAACCTGTCGGAACGTAGTACATCGGCGTAAATTGGCTGGAATGGGAATCAAATCCGCCGTTTGTGGGAGTAAAGCCTACCCCGCAATTTACCACCTTTATTTTCCATGACTATGATAATTCTCTACATAATCAATCCTCGGAATGGAGTTTATTTCTGGCTGCCTATGAAGAAGATGTATAATTGGATGAATATTTGAGGGCATTCAACAATATACTGATATGCAAAGTATTCAATCTGTGCATCAGATCAATCCTGGTTTTCCTACTACTAGCTGATGTATCCCACCTGCTTACAGAGTACAAAAACTTCTGCCATAGTTTTGCATGTTCGCTGCTTACAATAGCATAGTACCTGGTGAAATTTTGACATTATAACTGCTTGCTCAAGGTAGGCCCATTTTATGGATCTAACGTGTTAATTCGATATCGCCCGTTTTGGAATCTCTTTTGAAAAACATCCGGACATATATACTTGAAAGAGGCATTGATCATCATTACGGGTGTGGCTCCATGAAATGGCATCACATGCCGGGGCCGTTTCACGTCTACTAGTATGAACTTGAATGTAGTACTACTATGAAGCGTTCAAGTTGAAGAGCAAACGTTCGGGGCTGCTTACTTGCCCCACGTCTTTACTTTTATCCATGTTTTGGCATTTGTTTCTACTGAAAAACCAGCCATGGGAAAGTCTGAGTTTGTTTTGAACGTGACGAGTGGCATTACTACTCAGAGGTATAAATATTGCCTCTCACCCACTGTCGTAAAGCCGTTACCATTATTTATGATTCCTCAACTCGTCCCGGGCCCCTGTGATCATCATGAAGCTCTCATTTCTTCAGGCTATTTTCCTTGGCTCAATTAGTACTCTATCGGTAGCCAAATCTATTGCATGCACCCGAAAGGCAGTTTCGGATATTCTTCCTCGAGGTGTCAGCCTTTCATTTGTTCAACATATTCCCAAAAATGGCACCTTCACAGTTCCCGAGGGCGACACGGGCTGGCCAATAGACCCCATCAACCTGCCGGAACTGTGTGCTATTGGAGCCATGGTTCCAGGAACGAACACTAATAAGACATTTGGCTTCGGACTTTTCTTACCACTGGAGTGGAATGGGCGTACCCTGTCAGTCATCCCGGCTTATTCAAGTTAATCTAAAAATTTCATTGTTTTGATGATATTACTTTTAGTACTGTTGGTAACGGAGGACTTGCAGGCGGTGTTAACTGGGTTGACATGGTATTTATTATAAGTATAGTCGCCACCATGCTGGGTAGCTAACAATTTCAAAGGGCACTGGGGTCAGATATGGCCATGCGGTCTTTTCTACGGACACTGGCCACAATAGCTCCTCCACTGATGCAACTTGGGCTTACCAAAATCCTCTGTCCCAAAGCAACTGGGGATGGAGGGCGCTGCATGAAACCGTTGTCCATGGAAAATTCATCACTGGGGCGTTTTATCAAACTAAACCATCTTACCATTACTACCAGGGATGTAGCACCGGTGAGCAATATTGTATTCCTTGAGGAAAGATATCACCATCTGATATGATGTCAACCAGGTGGCCGACAAGGATTCAAAGAAGCCGAAATGTTTCCAAACGACTTCGACGGAGTAATTTCTGGAGCTCCTGCATGGTGGACAGTTAGTTCTTAGCACCATGTCATTCAATTCCTACTCCCTTCTCAGGCTTACTGTTGAAATAGTCACACCAGCAAATTTGGCAATTTTGGACTGGCTATTTGAATTACATCTCCAACGCCTCTAGCATCCCCACGTCTATGTTTGATACAATTGGAAGAGAAGTATTAAGACAGTGCGATGGCCAAGATGGCTTAGTTGATGTAAGCTTCCTATTAACAGTTTTCGTGACATTGATTTTGACCCAAGCTTTTTAGACAATCATTTCGGATCCTTATGGCTGCAACTTTAATGCCGAGTCTCTCCTTTGTAAAAGTGGGACGGGCGGGTCTAACTTGACAGATTGTCTGAGCCCTGAGCAACTTAGTACTTTCGATACATTAACGCGTGATTACGTTGGCATGAACTCAACTCTGATATTCCCTGCTTGGCTTTTAGGATCTGAACACTTTTGGGATCTTAACATTGACGGCGGTGCCCCAAATATCATTGGGTTGGGATACATTCAATATATGATGGGGCTTGGGTCTGATTGGAAATGGAGAGATTTCGATGAGTCTATCGTTGATCTCTCAGAGCAGCTCAATCCCGGACAGGCCGATGCGTCAAACTATGACCTGGCACCCTTTTTCCGGAGCGGTAATAAGTTCATTCATTATCACGGGTTGAGTGATGGTGGAATCGCCACTGGAGCAAGTTTCTACCTCTATGATCAAATTGATCGAGCCATCTCGACGGAAAACTTTGATATCAGTGACTCATATCGGTTCTTCCCAATTCCGGGAATGGGGTACGCGAAAGCTGTGGACCCTTTCTCATCCGACGGACATAGTACTGACTATTGAATAGACACTGTACAGATACAGCCGATTATGTTAACGCGCCGTATTTCATTGCTGGAATAACTATGACCAATAATGGGCAAAATTCTGTTCCAGGATACGAGGATGCCAAACACGATGTTATGTACGCCCTCATGGACTGGGTTGAAAACGGAAACGCACCTGACTATATTATTGGTACCGCATGGGATAATTTCACTACTCAGCATCAAGTGACACGTCAACGCCCAATCTGTCCCCACCCCCAGCAAGCCAAATACCGGGGATCGGGGGATCCTAATGATGCTTCATCATGGGAATGCAAGCTTCTCTACTGATTCATGGCTACCCCTCGACTGAGCCCTGTGCATGTCTGAGATTGAATTTTCAGAACATAAATCAAACCCCTTTTCTTCAATCGGTAATATCTCAACTCTGTGAAATGAAATCCATTCTCCTGATTAACATCGCGGCGTTGAGAAAAGAAAAAAGGGGGCGGCGGCGGAGGAGGGAAAGTACCAACAAATGAACATAGTCTCAGCTTTAGTGCAAACAATTATGCTTTCATATTTTTACGCTCTCCACAATCATTCTAGTAGTAGAACCACTGGGATAAAATTTCTGCAATTTAAATAGTTTCGGCCACACGGCTCTCCGATTGGCTACCACATTGGGGCTTTATTATCTACGCCATCGGTAATTCCGGCATTAATAAGGCGTCAATTGGCCCAAATGTTTTTGCCTGTCTGCCCGGGATACCCGCGGCTAATAGAAGAGCGCGTCGCCAGTAAATATTTTTACTCCCTGTTTCACTTTTCGCCCCCATCCAAGAAGGATTTGAATCCTGCTGGTTTTCCAAAATGAACGGGATACGGCGCAGCTTTGGCTTCTTTTATCCCGTGAAAAGTATCTACTGATCAAATGACCTTTCGATATGTCGGAGTCTGATCATTTCTTGAGGTTTGCAAGTGTGTTAGCACTCCGTGATGGAACAAAACATTGATTGCTCATGATATGGATATTAGGCCCAAACGAACAACGAACGATTAACCGAGAAGCTCTGGGGTTTTATACTGCACTAGCCATAGCTTCCGTGTACGAGATTAATAATGAGAATACGGACCTAAAGTCACCACTCTCCTTTGCTTCGCCTTTGCAGAAATGCGTTCAGAAGTACCCATTCCTAAGGGTGATCGTCAAGGACAAGGAGACCGAAAAACCCAGTTATCATGGCCGTTTCAAAATCAATCTTCAAGACCATATCTCTATCATTCACAGCGATGACGTTGGTGGTGGTAAAGAGATGGCAGCCTTTGAAAGAATTCTGCCCCCAATCCTCGATCGGCCGTGGCCAGCGAATATACCAGCCTGGAGAATCCTTGTCCTACCTCTGGAACCCGCACGCAATTCCAAAGTGACACGTTGTCTAATAGTTTTCTCGTTTTCCCATACTCTTGGAGATGGGATAGTCGGAGTGACCTTTCATAAGACCTTTCTTCAAGCTTGGCGAGCAACTACAGCAGCGGATAATGAACAGGCTTTTATGATGAATTTTCCAATCGAAGATCTACCACTTCCCTTTGACACACCAGAAAGGCTCCCTATATCATGGAGTTTTCTCCTCGGACCCCTGGTGGCCGCGTGGTTGCCCAAATTTCTGGCCAATATGCTTGGCCTACGGGCAAGTGCTAGCACCATTGATGATGGCACTTGGACTGGCTCGCGCATTTTCTTTGACCAAGCATCCAAAACCGATACCCAACTGAAGCTCTTTGAAATTGAAGCTCCTCTGTTGCAGAAAGTTATCCAGTCATCACGGCAGCACGACGCCAAATTCACTGCGACTTTACATCAAATGATCCTTCGCGCTTTAAGCAAGGGAATTCAAGACTCTAAAGTTACCAATTTTGTGTCGGGCACAGCTGTGGATATGCGAGGCTCTATTGGCACGCCCGGCCATACCTGGGGCCTTTTTGTGTCTGGTCATTATGAATTTCATGTTCGTCCAACCAACGAAAAGCTACCTGCCTTACCAAGTGATATGTGGGCAGCTGCGAGTGTAATGACCAAAGCCCTCGCTGGCTGTGGCTCCAGGTTACAAGACCAAGCGGTCGGATTGCTACGGTATGCCCCCAGTATTATGAGCTGGACAAAAAGTAAGATCGGACAGATACGGGATTGTTCGTACGAACTCAGCAATTTGCTTAGTTTTCGTGACGTGGACGCAGGTACAAGCGAGAGCATCAATATCAGCAAGATGATATTTTCACAGCCTGGAAATAACACGAGTGGACCGCTTGTATTCAACATCATCAGTGTCCAGGGTGGTAACTTGGTCTGCGCAGTAAGCTGGCAGCATGGTGCTTTGGGTTTGCCTATAGAGGAAGAATTCCCTCTGGTCGATGCTATATGCGCTTCTATTCGATCGGACTTTGAGTCTCTGGGAGTGCAATGACCTTGGGGCCCTTTTTGACACATGGAAACACCTTACCCACTGGCACTTACTTGGTTTATTTTTTTGGTGACACATTCAACTACATAGAGACAGAGACACCACATGGGGTCTTAAAAGCATTATTCCGAAGCCCCTATAGCTTAATCAGTAATATTTAATCGTGATCATTGCTTTTCTTCTCTTGTCTCCTTTTCTCCTTTTCTCCTTTTTTTCCAAAAAGAATATTGCTGTGCCATAGACCAGGTCTTTGGTCGCCATTATAGACAATACTCGAGATACAAGACGAAAGGAGTGGCTACAGAGCGTGATTGAACTATTTTCCCGGGGCCGATCGGGTGCTATGTTAATAAAAGACCGGGTTTGTGTCAAGTCATCGGGACAAGTTTTAGTGAGTTCAAATTAATCAGTTTCATACTAGCACTCCGATTTACTGAGAAGGCTCGGCGCAACGGGTTGGAGTACTTTTGTTAGCCCCCAATCCTTGCTGACATTTCCACCGTGAGCATGGTGTTACATTGACTTTCTGCTTTCTGGGGAAGTGGAGGCTAAAAAGGGCAATTAGTCTGCTGATTAACCCCACATCACACCTGCAGGATGTTTTGGTGATTGGGCTCTTGCTATGCTCGATAACAACCGAAGTTCAGCTAGCGTCGAAGGATTGCCTCCAACTTGAATCTACTCCGGTTAGAGAGGTTTTGCGGGGGCACGGTTCAGAAAAATATGAGAAGCGGACTGGATGTGGGGAGGAATCTGACATCTACGTCCATTTTTCTCTTCAGACTCCAGGACCGAAATAAATTGCTACCTTTTTAACCAGTCAAAATGACATGCAACAGTATGTACTATGTCACAGGATAAACATAGTATATCAATCGAGTCAGGGAAAACCACTAGAAATACCTCATCGGAAGTTGAAGGACATGCGAATAGTACATGGATGGAAACAGGCTCACGTAAACTCGGGCACTAATGGAAGAAACCAGCCAATCCAACAGCAGAAGTGAACCTAGCGTGAGTTTAACTGTATGGTGGGGTACTCTGTTCCCTGCCCACTCTCTTTCCATAGGAGATGCCTTCTCAGCGCTTTGACCTTGGACACAGTCCATTTGGCCCCCTAAACATGGAGTACGCACGGGAATTCAAAGCTAGGGATCAATGTGGCTTCAAACTTAGCATCCTTAGAGTTTAGCGGTGGCTGTCTGACTATGATGCATCCAAGAAATCCCATGACTGATGTGATTGATGTGGAGAAATGGGCTGTTCACACAGCGTCAACGGCTTGAACGAAAGCTGCACGATTGTAGAAAAGATCAGATACCTCGCTCGTATTAAACCACGGCGTGTCCCACTTGTAGATCTCCACTTTCAAGAGGCGTTTACAAGTGTTCTTGGAAACTGTATACCTTATTCTGCCTTTTTTCTCGGCATAGCCTGCTAAGCTTTCTAAGTTGTGGGAAGAAGGTCTCTTTTTTCTTCCCTTTTCGATTTATTCCCCGCAACTCGCGTGGCCAAGAACTGCCTTGGACGGTTCGCAACATCTACCTAGTCAAAAATCGCATCTCAACACCCAGGCTGTTTGGCTTTGGCCGGTGGTAAATATGGATAAGACGACCATCTCCCAAGCGGATCGCAATCAGAGGCATGCATTATCTTGTCCTGTTTCTAACGCTCAATGAACTAATTGTCATTAGTCCCCTAGAAGATCACAGCGGTGCGGAGAAAGGCCATATTGAGACTGTCAATTTACAAAACAACGTGTCCGCGAGGTACGTTCTTCTTCTTAGGACGTTTACATCACCATCTTCTTCTTCTAACCCCAGATCGCAGAATCAAAAATCCATTGGCAGATTTAACGAAAGACCAAGTTCTCCGTGATGTGGAGGAATTCGCTCAGCAACATGAGTTAACAAATATTCTGCCTGAACTTCGAAAAGGAGCCTTGGTAGCTCGTGATCCAGCTGATTTTGAAACCGTACCCGATCTAACTGAAACAGAGCTTACAGCTCTTCGGGATGAGGTCCTTCACAAATGGCGACAGCCAAGGTCTCTATACTTCACTATCATTCTTTGTTCGGTCGGTGCAGCTGTTCAGTATGCTATCCACGTAACCATTTTTCTCATTTTCAAGATGGAAAAAGATTTACTAATTTTTTAATCGTAATTTACAGGGGTTGGGATCAAACTGGATCGAATGGTGCCAATTTATCATTCCCAGATGCGTTTGGAATACCTGAGTCGGGCGAGGACGCTGTTCGGAACCAATGGCTTGTCGGCGTCATCAATTCAGGTCCATATCTATCCAGTGCATTCTTCAGTTGCTGGTTATCGGATCCAATGAACCGTTATCTTGGTCGTCGGGGAACTATCTTCATTGCCGCTATTTTCTGTGTTTTGTCACCTATTGGCTCCGCGTTCACACAAAACTGGCCGCAGCTGTTTATCACACGTCTACTTCTCGGAATTGGCATGGGATTAAAAGCCTCTACCATCCCTATATTTTGCGCAGAGAATGTACCTGCCAATATTCGAGGCGGCTTGGTTATGTGTTGGCAACTCTGGACCGCGTTCGGAATTTTCTTGGGATACAGTGCCAACCTAGCGGTCATGAAAATTGGAAAGATTGCCTGGCGCCTCCAGTTTGGCTCAGCTTTTATCCCGGCTATTCCATTGCTCGTTGGAGTCTTTTTTTGTCCAGAGTCCCCACGTTGGTTTATTAAGAGAGGGCAGTTCACAAAAGCTTACGAATCTCTGACCCGACTACGGAATACGCCTCTCCAAGCAGCCCGTGATCTATATTACATTCATTCCCAGATTAAGATCGAGCAGGAAATCATTGGAGACAGTAATTATCTTACCCGCTTCTCTGAACTTTTCACGATACCTCGGGTTCGGCGAGCTACACTCGCTTCTTTCACTGTTATGATTGCTCAACAGATGTGTGGCATCAACATCGTCTCTTTTTACTCTTCAACTATCTTTGCAAATGCCGGCGCAAGCAACCAAGCTGCTCTTTTTGCCTCCTGGGGTACAGGGTTGGTAAATTTCCTTTTCGCTTTCCCTGCTGTATGGACTATTGATACATGGGGTCGCCGAACCTTGCTTCTCTTCACTTTTCCGCAAATGGCGTGGACGCTTCTCGCTGCTGGATTCTGCTTCTACATTCCAGAAGGCTCTCAGGCTCATCTAGGGCTCATCGCCTTTTTTGTCTTCTTATTTGAGGCATTCTATTCCCCGGGCGAAGGGCCTGTGCCCTTTACTTACTCTGCGGAGGTTTTTCCGCTATCGCATCGCGGTAAGATAACCAATGCTAAGTTTTTTCTTGATTAGATGCTAAAATTTTCACAGAGGTCGGCATGGCTTGGGCTGTTTCTATCTGTTTAGGATTTGCGGCTGTCTTGTCAATTACGTTCCCTCGGATGCTGTACGCTATGACTGCAACCGGCGCCTTTGGATTCTACGCGTGAGTGCCCATCTCCCAGTTCATTATTACTTCAACTCTAACGCATTGGCCAGAGGGCTAAACATCACTGCTCTGATCATGATCTTCCTTTGGGTTCCTGAGACAAAACAACGCACTCTGGAAGAATTGGATTATGTCTTTGCTGTTCCTACCAGGGTTCACATGCACTATCAGGTATTCAAAGTACTACCTTGGTGGATCCAGCGATATATCTTCCGCAGAAATGTGGAGTTAGAACCATTGTATCACTTCGACAAGGTTGCTACGGAGAAGACAGCTGAGGATGTACGGAAAAAGAGTGTGGTTTCCGCAAACTTGAAGTCTGAGGCTGGTTAAAGAACTTTCTCTTCATAGATTGCAGTGTTTCGGAATGAACAGAAAGAGATATTCTATATCCTACCTTTTTAGTATATGGCTGGGGCTTTTAATCCGAAGATATTGATCTAGGGGTTGCAAGAGAGGAGTACATACTACACATTACTAGTACATAGCCAGTTCTTTTTGAACTTTGGAAACTTTGAACGTTTTTGTGTATTTCAAGTTACCTTTAGACACTCCAGTCTATCTCTCTACATATCGTTCTCCTATTTGGTAAACAAAATTCCGTAATAAAGGCCGACTGCTGCAGACGTTTTATTCGGGGAGGATCGGGGGTTGGCCCAGACATGCCAGCTGAAAGTAACCCCATGTCGTAGTCTTTCCTTTCTGAACTCTAAGCGAAGAGGTCTAGCCCAGAACTCGGACAGATTGAAGGTCCGTGATCGCGTTAAAAGTGCGGGGCTTCAGGGGGCCATACTAGTATCATGATTGAGTTAGTATATAGTCGTCTATGTTGGTCACTGCCAGTGGCAGACACTGTTTCAAGTTGATGTCAAATCATGGACCCTTTTCACACATCACAGCAAAATGATACATTTCTATCCAATCTGTTGACAGGGTTGCCCTTTTTTCATTTTGGCTACTACTGCTTCAAAATGAATGAACTAACCAGATTCATCTTGCTTATATAGCCATCAGGTATGGCAGCATCTATCACAAAAGACTCAGGAGACGGTCATTATAATCAGACCAAGAAAATATCTCATTGCGCAGCGATCTAGGATCTATAGATTTCAACAATCTTTCGGATATCAAAAATAATGAAATAAAACAAAAATGAACGGAAGGGCGGAACATGAGTTGTAAGCGTCCAATATCTCTAATCGCATCTAAATGGCAGATGGAGCCACCTCACGCAAGCTCAAGCGGGTTTGTTTACTCGGAAGTCTTGAAGACAAAGCGATCCTCTGGTCTGCTCTTGAAAGGCACACCAAGCTCCAAGAGCTTAACATAGACATCAGAGAACTCCTTGAAGAAGGCATCATTGTCCTTGGCATATCGTTCAACATGCTTCTTGAAGCCCTTGTCGTTAATAAGGGCCATGTCAGTTGGCAACATCATCAAGGTAGAAGTGCCTTTGTCAGTAAACTGAGTGGGACCCTCCCACTTGCGCTTATTCCACTTCTCTTCGACGAGCAGGCGGAAGAACTCATTGGAGAACACAGTAGGGCTGAAGTCCCAAGGGCCATCGAAGCCAGATCGGTCCTTGTGAGCCCGACCGAGGGCATGGGCACCAATCAAAGCAACCATCTCTCGGTCATCAAAGCCCATACGAATGAAGACATCCCGAATGTGACGGTGGTCCTTGGCTGCATCAGGAAGGCGACCATCAGGAGTGCAAGCTGCGACATCCTTGTCCTCCCGACCGGGTCTCCAGGGGACTTGAGGGCCGCCAAGTTCTTGGATAGCGGCACTACCGGCCAATGTCCAGAGGTCGGAGTATGTGATCCACGGGAACTTGGCCTTTACGGGTTCCAAGAATTCGCGCGCAAGCCTGAGGCCGGCATTGGCGCCGTGGTCCGACTCGGGGGCGAATCGCATCGTGGAACCGTTACTTCCACCAGTGCCTGTCTCCTTATCGTAGGTTCCGCTAGCATGCCAGGCAAGACGAACGAGGACCTATTAATCCAGAACAAACGCAATCTGTCAGTGTCACTCTCTCTCTCTCTCTCTATCTGGCTTGATCGAATTGCATTTGGACAAGCAAGAAAACATCCAAAGCTTACCGGACCATAGCTACCATCATCATAATCGGTCTCATTTGCGAGGCGAGCAGCAATTTCATCATACACCTTCTGGTAGTCCTCTTGGGTAGCCTCAAAGGGCCCTTTGGGGGTCTTTTCACCATTCAGGTAGAAGTAAGCACCAGCACCCGCACCCACACCAAGCAGACCAGCCCAAAGACCAATGGATGGCGAGCCTCCTTTGCCGGCCTCTGAAGCATATCCACGACGAGTCGATGCGCGGACCTGGGTAGGAAGAAGGGCGCGAGTTGAGCGAGCGGCCGGGCGGAAGGAGGAGGTGACAGGAGTCGAGCGCAGAAAGACGCGGGAGGCGGTTTGAGTAGCTGCAGCCATTGTGAATATAAAGAGGGGGAGGGAAAGGAAAGACAAGATCAGAGAAGAGAGAAAGAGGGTATGAATAGGTGTGGAAGTTTAAGGGGAAGGTGTGCAAACACAACAACAGAAGCAACTGGAAACTCTACTCGACTCTCTCTGTCTCCGTCTCTACCTCGGTTCTGTTTCGCGCTGTCATATATTGGTTTGATCATTCTGTCTCTCTGTACCCCGATTCTTTCCTTATTCTTCCTATACATTGTTTGTTGCCCACCAGAATCTGTCCTTGTTGACTTGGACTTCATCCCGATATCTCCAAGACCGTCTTCCTACTTCAATTTCCCCCTTGAACCTTGAACTCGGTCCTATCTTACATTCCGCATGCCAAATTGGCCCCATTTTCCTATTCGGCTCCACATTCGCCGTGGGTCCCTCATTATTAACACGCTCGTTATGTTTGGCTGAACTTATCGTAGCCGGCTCCACTTCAACTCTCGCTGTGCGCAATCGGACACGCTTACCTGATCGACTCGGTCTGGCCATCATTGATATTGATTATCAAAGTGGCCCAGTCTGGACTACCTATACAATATGTATACAGCTAACACTTAGGTCGCGTGAGAATACATTACCTCCAGGGCTCTAGTGGGAGAGCTGTAGTGGACAGCCCTGGAGGCGGTACTAGGTAAGTCTTCAAGTTCCAACTTGAAGGTTTATATATATCCGTCACGGTACCTACTAGTAGTGTTATGTTTAACTTGCCATTACAAGTACATTCATAATAAAAATAAAATATAAAAGCATTCCAACTAGTGAAATTCATGGGTATCTTCAAACTTCTAAATCGGTGGCAAACTGCCAAAAAAGTCGTTATTCCACAAGTCACTGCTTCCGCCATCTAATCCCTCAAGCCAACCTCCTAGATCCATAGACTAATGATTGTCAGTATTATGCTTGCACTACTGCGTGAAACACAGAGACGATGGAGTACGAACCGCAAAGTCCCCAAAATCCTTGGAGAAGAGAGACGTGGGGTCAAAGTCGACAGAGAATCCCGATAATGGCGTAGGCTCTCCCATGGGAACCGGGGTATTGTCCGTCTATATCAATGTATAAGTAAGGAACACCTAAAAGCAAGCAAGGGCAAGACAAGACAAGGTTGTGGAGACTAACCGTGGTGGGTGGGTTTTCAGCACTCGCCAATGCATCCGGGTATGGCATCCCATTCAATATCCCACGACACACTCGAACAGATTTTCGGGACAGAGTTTCGATATTGTTCATGGGATCTTCACCCTTGATGCGCGATTTCACAGAGGCAAGAATCATGCTCAGGAAGAAATAGGGTTTGCATCCTTTCCCGCCGGGTCCAATCCGGCGCGCAAAATCTTCTAAAGTACGTTCAACTGCTTGAAGCATCACAGTTTGTTGAGATTTGATCATACTCATTAGAACACTGGAGTTTGCACCGTCCATCATCAGCCCTGAAGACTGTCCCACCTCTTGAGCTTGCAGAGAGAGCTCCACACAAACCGTGATTGCGGCATGAAAAGTTTCATCGCGAAACATCCCATTACCTAGCTGGGTGATGTGAGGATACAGAACAGAATCAGGGGCAGAGGGGAGTTGCATTTGGGACAGAATATCCAGAGAAGCTTCAAGGCAGATCTTGCGCGAGTAGGAGCATTTGGGCAACCGGACCACACTGAGCGAGAACGGCCGATGGAGTGCAAGCAAAAATTTGCGCATGGTAAAAAGATGCAAGGATTGTGCGAAGAAATGTTTCGGGAAATCGACCGGATTGACTGCAGACGCATTATCTTCAAACAGGGATTTCGAATACTGAACAGATCGAAGTAATTCTTCACCCATTCGCAAGGCCTCATCATACGATAAGGTAAATCGGAGAGTGTTAATCTTTTTCGCGATGAGATATCGTAATGGGAGGGTTTTCGTGAGAAGAGTTTGATAAAAGTTTGAGGTATATGTAGCAGTGCTGAGATAAGTAGGGTTACTGTCCAAGTCCTCGGACAAGGCATTGTCATCCCAGTTGGACGGTGCATCGCAATCACATTCGTCCAGGTCCACCGATGGCGGGACTCCACGGTCGAGAGAGATTTTGAGATCTAGTTCAACGATAGTCGTCCATATCCGACGGCGCAATTCACACCAAAATGGCCGAGACTTCTTTTTAAATCGCAAGGGGTCCCGATGTAAGCCCATGGTCATGGCAGATCGTATCAATGATCCACAAGAGGCCCAAGCCACGTCACCATCACTTGCGACCCCAAGGCGAGCGATCAGGAGAAGGGTTTGCGTCTGAATCATCCTCAAATCGATGTCTGGGCTGACAAATGTGCACGAAATATATGATTGAACCGCCATGATCCATTTCATCGCGGGCTTCTGGTAGGCATCGCGCTCTTCATCGTGTTCAAACGAAGGGATATAGAAGCAACTCCCAGCTGCTAGGACGGCCAATAGCTGTGCTATGAATGCCAAATCCGTTTGCTGAGGATTGTCCCAGTAGTCGACATACTGCTGTAGAAAGGTCGGGACGTGCAAAATTCGGTAGGTCGTTTCAAATGTGTCTAAATAATAGTGGATCAACCGGTCCGCTACTTTGCGTGACGGGATCATCTCGTCAAGTTTGAATGCCTGCTCTCGGAATGCACGTTGGTGATCTTGGCTATCGCGACTCCAGAGCTCACACTTAAATCGTTTCATGTCGGTGTATTCCTTATCTCGGACTGGTTTATGCCCTCGGCGAAAAAAAGTCCCAATATCTTGAAACTGCCTGTTATTAGAAAGTTTTGGGTAAATCAGATAGAAGAAAGAGTTCGACTCACAAATGACACAGTGGTACTATAATGACTCCGACCAAAGTACCTAGTCTTACCTTTCTTACCTCGAAAGCTGCAATCAGGGAGAAACCGAACACGATCTTCCACCCCCGCAGAATCCGTGATCGATGTATCCACCTCGGAGAAGACCTCGCCAGTAGAGGTTTCCGGGGTTGGGATGGTATGAGATTTGCTCAGGGCATTTTCCAGCATACGTAGCCGCTTTCTAAGATCATGCAGTTCTTCCGGGTGACTGCGCTTCGTAACATGGTGTTTTGTGTTTGGCTTTGGCCCCAATTTGGAGTCGAAAACAAACATACTGCCCGTAGTTTGGTCTTCCGCAGAGGTATCGAGCACTTGCCGATGTGGATTTGACGGGGACGTGCGTTGCGAAGCCCCTGGCTGGGGCCCCACGAAAGTACATGAATCGGCGGTTTTTGATCGAACGCATTGCCCGCAAGGCAGGGAACGATCGCACTTTAATTTTCGCCGGCGACATTCCGTACAAGAAAGGGGAGGTCGCCTCCGGCGCTGCACGGCTCTTGATGGGTCTCCTCCGTCCAACTGGGACGAAAGATCATCTTTGAAGTCTGACATTGCAGTGTTTCCTTTTTCTTCAGTGCTTAATATTGACTCAGTATTGACTTAGGCGATGCTGCTCAGGTGAAGGACTCTTCATCTATTTCACCTCTCCGCAGGTAACAAGGCTGGGGGGGGGGATTAGTTTTGAGCGCCCGAAGGATTTCGCACAGTTCTCTGCGGTCGCTGAACGAGGCATGAACTTGAAGTTGAAGGTACTTTCGATATTGTATGTGACGCGTGCAGGAGTTAAGAGAATCCCGAATCCCTCGGAGATTACCTGTTTCGGCAATAATGCCAAACCCCGAGAGCGGTAGCCTGTTCTTTCCCAAAGCGGTTTAGCGGAAATTACATAGTATATAGTAGGTACATCGACTCTAGTAACAAAGTAGATAGTATACCAATGTTAGAGACGATAATGAATCTATATTAGGGAGTAAATAGTCGCAGAGTGGTCCTATCCTCAACAGTATCACAGCTGCCTGTGTCGGTGGTGATCCTGGTTCAAATCTTCCGCGCTAAGGCGAAAGCATCATCATGCGCTAGTACCTCCTTCGTATAGCATCATCTCAATAATTGTAGCGACCGTTGAAACTCAGTACAGCTCTTTTCCTCTTTTGGGAAGATGATCATAATCTAGCATACTGTAGTGGTAAAACAAGCATGTTGAGTTGGGCATCTGTCTATGGTGGATCCCAGTGCTTGGACCTCTCTGTCCTAGATCGGCATGATGGAGGTGGCATGTGGCATGTGGCATGTGTACGATTAATGCCCGAGCCCTTGATGAAAACGTGCATTCTACCTTGGAGGGGAACACCAACATTTTGTCTGAACCCGAACATCCAAATTCATTCTCCTTGATTAGCTACAAGGGAAAAAGTCTATCATCATGGCACATACACTACTCCCAAATGCCTGGGACTCTTCCACACCGCCCCACGCCCCACTACAGGTCATTCACCACCACATGAGCAACAGGCTCCATCACCATCTCCAATACGCATCATGATTCGTTTTTTCTCCGCATTGAGTCCGCGATAATCGTTGAGCTCGACCATCTACATATCTATGTAATATTCCTTTCCTTTGTCGCGGCTCTTCTCTTTAACTCTTAGCATTCCTCGACGGTCATTCCCCCCAGCGGTAAGCTATGGTTTGGCGTATTGCTTCTACGACACCCCGACGTGGATCTCATCGACTCCGCTTATTCTCTTCTACCTCTTTCCACTCGATATCATAATTACTGGTGAAAGGTGAGAGTTCTCAAATCCCCCCTTCCCCAAAACTCCTCTGGTCAAAGAGCTAAACAAAGAAACCAACAACAGCACGGACTTTCAAAGCTTAATACTTCAATCTGAGATTCTACCATGGAGATCGACTCTGCGGAAGATTCTCCACCGGACAGATCACGCGAAAATGAGAAACCCCCACCAAAAACCGTACCACGATGGAAAAAGCTACTTGGAGGAGGATCTAGCAGTGGTCGCGAAGAGGCTCAAGAGTCAACCTATCGCCCAACCTCGACAATGGGAATCTTGAGTGACAGATTCACGGATGAAGTTCCTGGTATGTGAAAAATAATCTGTGACATTTTGTTTTTTAAGGGGCGATTTACAACGCTGGCCGCAATATTGAACTTGCTTGCTGACTCGAACTGGTGTTATCTCGCAGGAACGGTTCTTCTATTATCATCCGATCGAAACGAGCCCTTGGGAATGAGACACCAACCCCAGCGTATGTCAACTTCCTCATTGCCCATAAGTAATACGCCTTCGCGATCTTCATCCCGCAATCCGGCTCCCCAACGAAAGCGAACGGCAAATGGAGAGATCGTTCTGGACCCTCAACCAGATGACTCCGTGAATGATCCTTTGAATTGGCCGGTATGGCAAAGAGATACTGCCTTGGTCTCTCTAGGCTTTTACTGTCTAATAGGTGGAGGAATGACCACCGTCCTGGCAGCGGGGTTTAGTAATGTGGCTGCAACTTATCATGTTACCGAACAGCAGGTGGCGTTTACGACAGGTCTTTACATGATGGGACTAGGTCTTGGTTCGGTAGTCATGTCTCCAACCGCAATCTTATATGGGAAGCGACCAGTTTATCTATTGGGAGCAACCCTCTTCATCATTTCGGGAATCTGGTGCGCACTTTCACCGAACTATCCGAGTTTAGTGATTGCTCGCATATTTCAAGGATTTGCGGTCAGTCCCGTGGAATGCTTGCCATCGGCCACAATCGCGGAGATTTACTTTTTACACGAGCGGGCCTATCGAGTTGGTATCTATACCTTATTATTGCTTGGGGGAAAAATTTGGTCCCACTGGCCAGTGCTGCCGTGATTGGCAGTCTTGGATGGCGTTGGGTCTTTTGGATCGTATCCATTATTGTTGGCGCCTGTTGGATCCTACTATTCTTTTTTGTCCCAGAAACTTTTTGGGATCGAACCCCACGTCCTCGACGCTCTCATAGGCGTCCGCACGCGCATAGGACGGTTTCTGACTTGATGGCTAATCCATTCAGGGGGCGTCGACTTAATATTCAGCCTCAGGACACATCAACCGTGTCACAAGAAGCCCTTGACACGTTATCTCCAATCTCGAAGAAGCACAAAAGCGCTCATGTTGGGTTTGCCAATGACGTGGTGGAGAAAGAGGAGCCAAAACTTCAAGACAATCAGCGCACCCCTTCACAGGGCGAAGAATCTTCTATTCAGAACCCAGTACAACCTGAGCCGTCCAAGCTGGAAACTAGAGCATCTGGTGCTGAATCCTCTCATATTCAACCGCCCTCCCATAGCCCGAACGATTTGGAGGCCTCGCATCGTACTGCAGCTTCGCCTTCACGCAGTGTATCTCTCGAGCCTGGCGCCTCTCTTACGTCAACATTGCAATACACAAATCGTCTTCGTGATCGCCCCAAAGTCCCGTATCCGAATTTACTCAAAGTGTGGAACGGACGGATTGCCCGTGACAACTGGTTCAAGATTGCCCTCCGACCGTTTGTATTATACGCATATCCTTCTGTTCTCTGGTCGGCAGTCGTGTATGCTCTTTCGGTTGGTTGGCTCATTGTGATCTCAGAGTCCGTGTCGAAGATCTTTGAAAGCAAAGAAACTTATGGTTTCACCGCACTTCAGGCAGGCTTGGTATACATCTCCCCCTTCCTAGGCGGGTTACTTGGTACCGCAGTCGCAGGTAAAGTGTCGGATATTGTAGTGCGCTTTATGACTCGTCGCAACGGTGGCATCTACGAGCCAGAGTTCCGCTTGGTAATGGCGATTCCTATCGCACTTTCGACTACTATTGGCCTAATGGGATTTGGTTGGAGTGCCCAGCTCATGGATGCATGGATCGTGCCAACCATCTTCTTTGGATTAATATCCTTTGGCTGCTGTTTGGGAAGTACAACCGCCATTACATTTTGTGTGGACAGCTACCGTCAATATGCGGGAGAAGCATTGGTTACATTGAATTTTAGTAAAAGTAAGTATCTTGCTGGTATGCTGCTTTAAAAAAAACATATCCCCGCTAACATCATCTTTTCCTTAGACGTCCTCCATGGTCTTGTGTTCTCACTCTTCATTGTGGACTGGCTAGAGACCGATGGATCCCGGACTGTCTACCTTGTCATTGGTGGAATTCAGCTTCTCTGTTTGTTGATGACAATCCCGATGTACATGTATGGCAAACGGGCTCGGATGTGGACAGTGCGCAAACAGCTGATGGAGCGATTCTGATTCGAATTACATATCCACCGATCTTCTATTTGATACAATAGAGAGTTTTATGATTTTACAAACGAACCCGATCAGCGATTACCCTTTGAAGACTTTTTTCCCCCGTTGCTCAGTGAAGTGTACCCCCATGTATGCATAGTATTCTAAGGTACTTGGGAATATTTCTGAATAGCCTCATCTATGCCGACCGGTAATAACCTTTAAGTGAAGCTATGTTCACGGACATCGACTTCGGACTTGAAGGGCCGGGAAATAGATCAGTAAGAAACCTTCGAATGGTACTACCACTAGTATTTGGAGGGTGAAACGTTGGCGACTAGTAGTGTGTCCCAAAGTCTACACTAGTAGTATACATGCAACACGGACACATCCAATCTGGTAGTTCATCCGACGACGTCATTTGAGCCTTGGTAAGAGAGAATGTCAGAATAATGACAAAATTTCCCCCCTGTTATCCACTAACCACCCCTGTTTCTCCACTGCAATGTCGGATTGGCTCGCGAATGAAGCAAGGGCCAATTCTCAAACTTCCACCCGCCCGCCAAGCCCCTCCGTCGTCGATCGGCGCTAGTCATGGCGCCTATAGCCTGCTTCAAGTTCCAATTTACCACCATACGGTGTTTCACCCCAGCCAGTCATCCCCCGCCACTCTCTTGTGCCAAGTCGGAAAGCTGTCGCATGCCCGAGATGTCGAATGATCATTATTTACCCTGTGGCTCTTGGATTGGTGGCTTTTGACAGCCTGCAAAGTCTCGATTTGAATTTGGCTTACTCCGCTTTTGTCGCAGATTGAGATCCTTCGAAGATTCGAAGAAAGTTTAGCCCGGCGCTAAGAAGAAACTTGATCTGTGCGATAGAGATGGATAACATTGAGATCATGTCAGGTTAGTGCATACAGTGGCAGTACATTGATAAGGTAGACATCCTCCGCATGGGCCCTGAGATCTCGGCTGGCCTTACTTGATTTCTACTGGAGTATTTTAATTTGTTCGGTCATGGACTTGGCTCTGTCTCAGATATCTCCACTTCTACCCCTTCCAGCACACTTGGGTTGACAGGAGCGATTAGAGGTGGATCGCCCATATCTATGTCTCCCTTCCTTTATTTGCAACAATCGACTGGGATTCTCTTTGTCTTCTTTGTTTTCTGGCTTTTTGTTTCTCTTCTCCCCTTCTTTCTTTCTTTCTTTCTTTCTTTCTTGTTATTTTCTTTTGACAATTGTCATTGATACCTGGTGGGCTGGTTCCATCCGGACGTTGGTATATTCAATTCTATCCCGATTTAGACTGCGAGACCTAGCATTCCATTCGTTGCCCTCCAACAGAATATTGTGTACGAAAAATCTGACGTTGCCATCCCTGGTTCGACTGCAACGCCACTTATCAACGAAAAGCCCAAGTGCATTCACTCTCTGCTTCTATACTACAGCTGAGCTGTTCCCTATGGGCAGGTCCTGATTATCGACGCTACTCACTCGTTCTAACCCAACACCGTCGACATTGCCTTGCTATTTATCATCTGTGTCCAATTCGTTTGATCCAGCAACCAGGTGTTGTAGTTATCATTTAAACATCATTCTTTTCTTGATTTGCTTTCCAACAAGCTGGTCTTGGATGAGCTATTCTGCCTTATTTAACCCATTCACTGTTCTGCTATAAAACGCCCCTGAGAGTCTATACGCCACTTCTGCCTTGTCGTCCCCATCCCCGACCCTAAAACATGACGACCAAGCTAGAAAGACGCGGTGGATCGCAGGCCTTTTACGAATCATTCGACGATGACCTGGCACGATATAGCCTCCTCGCATTGGGCTGTGCAGCTGCCGCTTATTACGTTTGGCAGCTTTCCCTTCGATTCTCTAGTCACTTACGAAGACTATCAACCTTTGGCGACGATAGGCAGCGTTACTATGTCTCAGCTTCGGAGAAGTTGTCGTGGTTCAAGACCCATTTGATCTATGCTCCTCTGTTCCGAACTCGTCATAATCGCGAATTTCAACTCTCAGCCGCTGTCAATATGGGAAACCTGCCCAGTCGTTTCCATGGCCTCTTGGTTATAGGACTTGTCGCGATGAATGTTACTCTTTGTGTGGTCACCGTTCCATATCGATCTGAAGAAGACACTGTAGCAGGTATCATTCGCAACCGATCTGGTACCATCGCCACCGTCAACCTCATTCCGCTTGTCCTTACTGCCGGCCGGAACAATCCTTTGATTTCTCTATTACATGTTCCTTTTGATACGTGGAATCTTCTGCACCGATGGCTTGGACGCATTGTAGCCCTCCAGGCCTTGGTGCACACTTTTGCATGGATGGTTCCCAAAGTTCAGGAAGGTAAGATTAAGGAAACGAAATACCAGCCAGTTTAGGTGAGACTCAATGCTGATTGACAATTTAGGTAGCTGGAGTGTTGTTGCTATGTCCATCAAGGGAAGCAGCTTCATTATGTCAGGATTAGTGGTAGGTCTTCTAATCTCCCTGCAACCTCAAATCTTTCGACTCATTTCAATTTTTAGGCTACATGCTGCATCACTGCTCTTTTAATACACTCACCGTCTCCCATTCGACATGCATTCTACGAGACATTTGTTCATCTTCACTTCGCCTTGGTTGCCGTCTTCATGGCATTCCTTTGGGTGCATTTGAATGGATTTGTTGCGAAGAACTATTTGATTGTTGCCCTTGTATTCTGGGTACTGGAGGTAGGGCTCCCGTCAAACCTTTGGACACGCTATCGACTTTGATACTAACCTAGAAATAATAGCGTGCCACTCGTCTTTTCACCCTTCTATACCGCAATCTTGGTCGTCTTTCTACCTCGGCTACTGTGGAAGCGATGCCAGGAGATGCCATGCGCATTACCCTACGTATGGCGCGACCGTGGAAATTCAACCCGGGTCAGCACCTATACCTCTATATTCCAGCAGTTGGGTTGTGGACGTCGCATCCGTTTTCAGTCGCCTGGAGTGAAGCCGAAGAGATAAGCCCAGATGAAAAGGGGTTACCCACCGTCCAGCAAGATCTCCTTCGAACCACCGACAAGACAACTGTATCACTATTAGTTCGTCGGCGTACCGGGATGACCGACAAACTTTTCAAACGAGCCACAAACGCCATTGGAAACCGTGTTACTTTACGAGCATTCGCAGAGGGTCCCTATGGAAATATCCACTCTATGGACTCATACGGCACTGTTATGCTATTCGCAGGAGGTGTTGGAATCACACATCATGTTCCCTTCGTCCGACATCTCGTCGAAGGATTTGCAGAAGGCACGGTAGCCGCACGTCGCGTCACTCTTGTGTGGATCATTCAGTCCCCTGAACATTTAGAGTGGATCCGACCGTGGATGACCAAAATCCTGGCCATGGATCGCCGTCGTGAGGTACTTCGCATCATGCTCTTTGTCACTCGCCCTCGCAACACCAAAGAAATCCAAAGCCCATCAGCTACCGTCCAAATGTTCCCCGGCCGGCCTAACATTGATACCCTTGTTGGTATGGAGGTAGAAAATCAAATTGGAGCCATGGGAGTTTTGGTTTGTGGAAATGGCAGTCTGAGCGATGATGTGCGCCGCGTTTGCCGCAAACGCCAATCTGCCTCAAATGTCAATTATGTGGAGGAAAGCTTTTCGTGGTAGTATTCAATCAGCAGAGAATGCCATTTGATAAAGTGACAACTAGTTCCACTGTCTTCTGTTGATGGTCGTTGGGATTTGATGATGCCAAGCGAACACCTGGGCAGATTTGATCAAATAGAATACGTTTTTTGGTCTTTTCAAGGCATTGTATAATGGCGTATTTCTTGACTTTCATGAAAATATAAATGAACTTTCATTCCTGCCTTCTCCCAAACTTCCTCATACAGAGCTTGTCCTTCATGGCAGCCGTCGCGGTCGATTATCGGACTCCGACCCCGTATATCCGATGTCCGACGTAAGGTGGCGCTGCTTACACACTTTACATAAGACACAAACTATTTGAGGGGTCAGATGGTAGGTCAAATGCGATTTGCTGTCGTTTCAAACACAGTGGAGACTCTGCCTAACAGAATGAATAGCGGTCGGGAAACTGGGTCTCCGTGCCATCCCACATCTTATCTGATCAAACATGATACTCGGCTGATCTCTCCTTCTGCATTACACTTTTCTTAATAACCATAGTCATCTTCTTCGCTCACTCTTCTCTCAAATATTACTCAGAGCTACCGTACATATCTGATGGGAAATACCCAGCTGGTCAAATGGCGACCGTTGGAAAGAGTCCCTCAGCACCTGAAGATGAGGGTGATGGAGTCGTAAGCTATCGGAGTCTGCTTCACTCGGACCCCTCCCGCCACGTTGATCATGATGATTCTGTCGACGGCGAGCTAAGACCCCTTCTTGGCCCCTCGATTGCGACCGCAAAGTCCCCGGGAGTGGCTCGAATTGAGGCCATCAACGCATCGTTGACTCGAAATGATCGCATGCTGATGTTCATCGGTGTCTTTCTTGTTGGCTATGCCTATGGACTGGATAGCCAAGTACGCTCTACATACCAATCATATGCAACATCCAGCTTTGGACAGCATTCGCTCCTGGCGACTGTTAATGTGGCTCGCAGTGTGATCGCAGCAGCAGCTCAACCGGCAGCAGCTCGCGTCGCGGACGTTTTTGGCCGATTCGAGCTCGTTGCAGTGTCTATGGTATTTTATCTGATCGGAACCGCAATAGAAAGCTGTGCGACCTCCATTGAAATGTTCTCGATGGGGACAGTGTTGTACCAGCTTGGCTATACCGGAATCGTGCTGCTGGTAGAGATTATCATCGCTGACATTACTTCGATGCGCTCTCGTGTGTTCTTCAGCTACCTCCCCGCCACACCTTTCATCATCAACACGTGGATCAGTGGAAACATTACCGAGGCCGTTGTTAAAAAAACCGGCTGGCGATGGGGCATTGGCATGTGGTGTATAATATACACGGTTTGCTCATTTCCTCTTCTGTGGACTCTGTTCTATACCAGTCGCCGGGCGCACAAGACTGGCGCATTGAAACATCACCCTAGTCCCTTCCGCTCGTTTGGACCGCGTGATATGGCTTTATATGTGTTCCATCAACTCGATCTGGTTGGAATATTCCTCATGATTGGCATATTTGGCTTCATTCTTGCGCCCCTCACAGTTGCTGGCGGTACGCGATCTCAGTGGGCGTCACCTTTTATTATTGCACCTTTAAGCATAGGGTTCTTGTGTATACCCCTATTTATATTATGGGAGACGCGAGGCGCAAGATTCCCTTTGGCCCCGTTCCATCTTTTAAAGGATCGTGGTATCTGGAGTGCCCTTGCAATCAGATGCCTGCTCAATTTCTCTTGGTACCTCCAAGCCGACTATCTTTATACAGTTCTGATCGTTGCATTTGACTTCTCAGTGGCCGCAGCCACTCGGATCCAGTCCTTTTACTCATTCTTTGGAATGGTTAGTGGTCTGTTAACAGGGCTGGTCATTTTCAAGACACGCAGGTTGAAATACCTGATCGTTTCTGGGACGTGTCTTTTCATAGTTGCCTATGCCTTGGTCATCTACTTTAGAGGCGGTGCATCCGAGGGATCAAGGGCTGGCGTGATAGCGGCTCAGATCCTCTTGGGCCTCGCTGGTGGATTCTTCGCCTATCCAACCCAGGCATCCGTTCAGGCCGCTACAAGCCATGAGCATATGGCAGTCTTAACAGGAATTTACCTCGGCTCTTTCAATATTGGCAGTGCCCTTGGAACTTGCGCTTCCGGGGCTATATGGACACAAACACTATACAATTCTCTAGCTGCCAACCTGGATTTTCAGTCCAATACAACTCTTGCTCGGGCTGTATATGATTCCCCATTCGAAGTCATTCCATCGTATCCCATCGGGAGTCCTGAAAGATCTGCCATCATTGTCAGCTATAGAGAGATTCAGAAGCTTCTGTGCATTACTGGTATATTTATCGCCGCTCCAATGATCCCGCTTGCGTTCATTTTACGGAATCCCAAACTCTCCAAAGAACAGAGCCAACCTGAATCGGACAGAGAAGGTTGATCCACATCCATTATATAATATCGACACTAAACTATTAGTAAACCTTGAAGGAACCATATCTTTTTCTTTATATTTCATGATCATTGCGACATCTACATTGCCTCGAGCTCTCCACCTTTGGAGTGAGTTCTCTATGACCATTTTGCATAAGCGAAGATCCTATTTCAAATTCACGATCGGCAAATTCAATTAAGAAGGCGATTCATACATCATTCACTGATACCACTTTGTATATACCAATAGCTTGAAAGGGAATCCACAATGGAGAGTGAACTTGAAAATAGAAATTGGATTTCTGGGGCATATGAAACCTAACATCCCGCTTTATAAGAACTAGACTATGAAGGAGAAAGTAAAGTCAAGAATTCAGATACATGTTTGTAGAAGACTGCTCTCCTCAACTCAAATCCAACCAATGACTCTTTGCTACCAGAAGTATCAGATAGCTGGTTGAAACCATTCATCGACCATGGTGTTAAAACAAGGACTATAGAGCCACTCCAAGTCGAATGCCTTAGTATCCAGCTCCGAAGGCGCATGCTTGGCCTCCTTTGGCATCCGTCTAGCATCAATTTGTTTGTTTAGTTCTAGGACTCGATCAACGCGGCCTTGCCGACCTTGTTGCCAAACTTCCAAACCATGAGCCAAATTCTGCTGTTGGCATCTCGACAGGACCAAAGCATAGGTGTATACATCCTCAAATGCTTGATTGATACCCTGGCCTGCCGAAGGAGGAATAGCATGAGCCGCATCACCAAGAATCACCACACGAGAATTCTTTGAGGCCCAGGTATCAAGTTTGGGGACCACATAGAAAGGCCACAAGTTGATCTTGTTCAGTGGGATATCGCTGACAGCCGACTGTACAACTTGCGGGAAATCTTCTGCACCATCCCGTAAAAAGTCGACACACCACTCCTTGTTGCTCATCAAATCATTCCAGCCCTGGCGGTCAAGCTCCGGAACACGTTTCTGTTTTCCAATTAAAACCTCCGACCCATCAGGAAGCTGAGGTGCGATCACGAAAGCACCGCGTTGGGGATTCATGATGGTGAGAGGCATTTCATATGAGCCTTGGTCAATTTGAGATCTAGAAACCGCAGCGGTGACTCCAACTGCGTTGGTGAAGTGTGGCTCGAGCTCAGGGTAGAGATATTTCCGGACTCGAGAATGGATGCCATCTGCCCCGACTAGACAGGCAGCTTGGCCAGTTTCACCATCTTCAAAATCCCATGTCACCTCCGTTTCGGTCTCAGAATTGACTTTGATGAACTTTTTTCCGTAGTGGATAGGTATTTCTCTTTCCTGAACAGCCTTCAGAAGGGCATCAATCAATTCGTAACGATAGATACGTAGGGCGTCGTATCCATATTTCTCGTCATCTCCAAACTCGTATGAGTCAAGTGGCTTGTCGGTGTAGAAATGTAGCCTCTTAAATTCATAGCCGAGGGGCTTGATAGTCTTGTAAATTCCCAATGTGTCCAGTATACGGAGTGCATTTGGAGAAAGCATAATAGCACCACCGATATCAAGAGAAGCTGAGCGAGATTCATAGATTGTGCACGGAATATTCTGCTGGTTCAACGCGAGGGCGAGGGCGAGACCTGAGAGACCGGCACCAATTATTGCAACTTCCTTGGATGCCATTTGGTAAATTTTGAATACTGTCGAATGAAGATGAAGCTTGGGGATTCGAAGGTATGAATGTAGATGGATCAATGGATGTATGCTGATGATTGGTGAAGTGTTCTGTCTTGTACCATCAGAGGGAACTTCGAGTTTATATAAGGAAGTCCAGAATACTCAGATCTACTAAAAGCCCCCTTCTATATCATAGTCCGACATTTGTATGTGTCCTACTAGTAGTAGTATTGTGTTATCTCCGTGGCCTGGAGGATGTTCGGATCCGAATATCCCCGGGTCCGAAGATAACTATGCTCCGATGAATCAACATTGCGAAGAAAGATTCATTCTTCATTATTATATCTGCAAACATTCGAAAATCGAAAATCTTACGTCCGGATTATTCAGATGCGAAGCTTTTAATCATTTAAATACTCAGCCGTGGGTTGATTTGTTGATACTGACTCTCTCAGCCTATGTCCGACCGAACCCAGCCAGCCTAAGCTGCTTATTGTGGCCGTTGATCATTTCTACGTTAACCTTTACCACCACTACTAAATGTTTGAAATAGTAAAAAGTATAATTTATATCGTAAGGCATGTCATTCAAGAGAGATTGATTTATCTAATTATTGACATTCACGTCTGTGCTAGTTTTATACACGATATGCCAGGCTCAGTTTCCTGCCCGGGATTCAAGTACTTCACGTACACCAGGAAGAATGTATCGTCCGTAGTCAACAGCGTCGTTGAAATTGTCATAGCCACGAATAGAGATGAGCTCGGCACCAAGATCGACATAATCCAAAATTGAGTCAATAATAGTCTGGTGAGATCCAACCAAAGCTGTCGAAGCACCACGAGCATTCGTTGCAGTCACTGTAGGATACCAAAGAGCACGATCTTGGACCTCACCACGAGATGCAATGTCAAGCAAGCGCTGAGATCCTACGTTTTGAGGCGCCGGAGCATTAGCAGGGGCTTTTCCGAGGCCATTAGCACGATGCGTTGTAAGTGCATCTAGTGTTTTGTGCGCCTTGGCCCAGGCGAGCTCATCTGTTTCCGCGGTAATAGGACGGAACGTGACCCAGATCCGTGGTCGGTCCTTCTCAGAACGACCAGCTTTGTCTGATTCGGCATAAATACGATCGATTTGCTGCTTGGTCTCCTTGAGAGGCTCGCCCCACAAACCGAAAATATCTGCCAAAGAGCCACCAATGCGATACGCCTCGTCCGATGAACCGCCAACCGACACTGGGATCGTCCCATTAACTGGTCGCACATCATTGCTGAACTGTTTGAATTGATAATATCTTCCCTCCCAGTCGAATGGATCGGGAGACTCCCACGCACGACGGAGAATGCGAATGTATTCTTCCAGACGCGCGTATCGTTGGTCCTTGTCGAGAAAGTCACCCTCTTTAGCTTGCTCTGCATCGCTTCCACCAGCGATAAAATGAACAACAGCTCGTCCAGAGCTCAGTTGATCCAATGTTGCCAAGGCCTTGGCTGCAACTGTGGGATACAGAGTATTTGGGCGAAGAGCAATGATCACTTTCAAATTTTTGGTTACCGACGCAATAGTGGCACCAATTGTGAACGGGTCAAAAGATGAAGAGCCATATGGCACAAGTGTGTAATTAAATGCGTAATCATCTAAAGAGCGAGCATATCGCTTAAGGTAATCAGGATCGATTCCGGCACCGGGAATCGGCTTGAGCTCTGTGGAAGCATTGTTGAACGTCAGACTGATGAATTCGGTCGGCATTTTGTCCACGGAATTATGTTGTCCTTATGATATTGAAATTCAAGAGCAAATTGAGTGAACGATACTTGTATTGCCAAAATCAGTGTCTAAGCAGTGGTCGTTAAGAGATGGGACAAGCGGCTATTTTATATACTATTTGCTTCCGCGTACCACGAGATCACGCAACTCGGTGTCAGATAACGTCTTATGATTAGGGATGGATCTAGATGGCTCATTATTGACAGTACTATGACTAGCCAGGGATAAGTCGCATTGCTAACTATTAAAGGAGTGTTATGGTTGTAGAGATGAGGGGGTGTGTGCATGGCATCAAACTCGACGGAATCACGCCATGGTTTGCAAGGTTGTCATCTAAAAAGCGCCGAAGATAAACATGTCTAACATAAAGGAGAATAGCCATAACGGTTGCGGGAGTACAGTAATGGTGAATTAAATACTTCAGACAACAATGAAATGCTAATTAACAAGGACATCTGGGTTACTCTGCAGACTTAAACTCGACAAACGAAAGACAACATGAACTAACCGAAACTTCGGCTACTGATAAGATCGGATATTTTGCACAAATACTTATAAGAACCCCCCGATAAACCCCCGAGAATCGAACAGATCGGATTTGTAAGCTACTAAATGCAGATCGAGTTGACGTGTGTCAGTTATTACTATAGACGAAATCCGAGGGACGGATTTAAATAAATATTACCTTAGGATCTACATAGTACCCTGCTTCCTGTTTCAAGTCGTTTTTCACGCACTGATCGGTACTTAATTGTTGATACCATGAACGGGACACTAATCACGGATGGCAAATCGGTTAGCATTTCACTCCCGGAATAACCTCACCTCGGGGGTCTATCCCGCCCTGGTATTGGCTGGCTAAAACTTCTTGTGGCCATGATTGACTCCACTCGTCCACCGGAACCAACGAAAAAAAAAGCCATGGTGCTCGTTAGAGAAGCACAGAAAAAGAAGTCTCTTTTTTTTTTACCCTTTTTTTTTCCGCCCACGCTGCAATCGTAAAATTATCCGATTTACCAAAACCCACGCGCCTAAAGAAGAATTCCCGAAGTGCCAAACGCCAGGCATCATGTCCCAAGTCGTATTCCTTACTCTCGACTCACCAGAAACGCCAGTTCGTGTAGACAGAGTCCCCCAAACGCAACCCGCTTGGATTCATCCACATTTAATTGAAAGCACCGACCTAGTCAAAGGCCGGCAATTCCGCGTCTCATCTCTTGTTCCAAAAGGCACTTGTCTTCTTACAGACCGCCCATACGCAGTTATTCCGGTTGTTGATGACCCTACCACCAATGAAAATCTGATTTGCAGCAATCCCGCTTGTAATATTCGAGGCATTGGTCTCGCTGAACGATGCCGATGTCCTAATGACTGCATTCCCGATGTCTTTTGGTGCAGCCGTACCTGCAAAGATATCGACAGTATTCGTCATGAGTTTGAGTGCGGTTGGCTGAAACGATACTCAAAATCAATACGGACTAAGCGGGGTGAGTATGAGTTTGGAATGCTGTGGTTGATTGTTCGCCTGCTTGCTACCAGACAATGCGAACTGAACGATATGGCGTTCACTAAAGAGAGCCAATTGAGTTTGCAAAGGTGGAAGACGGGCTGGGAGGGCATAAGCTTGTTATGTGGATCTCCCGACACTTGGTCGCATGAGCGGGTCCGGGCATGGTCCAACTTGGTTAAGAAGTATGTCCAAAGCAGCCCCATCTTACCTCATGGATTAAGTACAGAAAGTGTACTTCATCTGATTTGTCAAGAAGAAGCGAACTCCTTTGGCCTTTATCCAAGAGAAACTGGTGTTTTCCCCGTCCCAAAATCCTGGCCAGACAGAGGGGAACAATTTGCTGCTGCCGTTTATCCAACGGCAGCAATGGCGAATCATTCATGTTCGCCGAATGTAAGTTGACTTGAGTCCGTCAATTTGGAATAACAGAAAAAAAGAAGTATGCTCATTTTTCCCCCACGCCAGATCATCCACAAACCTGACGATCGCGGGTGTATGGTCTTTACTGCCGCCCGAGACATTCAACCAGGCGAAGAATGCTGCATTTCGTACTTCGATCTCACACAACATAATAATATCACCTCGCGTCGTCAGCATCTTCAAAATTCCTTTAGGTTTATCTGTCGATGTGAACGATGTGTCTCTGAAGATGTTCCTGAACAAAATTCCCAATGGACATTTCTGCCGATGATGGATATAGAGTAAGTTTGATGTTGAAGCTCATGCCAGGAGCTTGGACTTGGCAGGGATATTTACACCATGAGATATACATAGCCAAATGGGTATGGAGAGAACCTTGGAATGTTTCGGTCTCCTAATACTATGAATATACTATATACCCACTATAAGTTGAACTTGAAGTTCCTGTTTGGCAGTCATACTAGTAATATCGTACATACTATTAGTAGTACCCGTGGACACCAATTATCCATGGATGACTTCTGATTTCTTTGAGCATCAAACTGCAGTATACATAATAAATAGTATCCAATGTTTGCCCAAAAGAATGATCCCCGAAGTCGGTCAAATTGTAACTTGCCGGTGAGTTCGGCAACTCGGTTATATGGGGGTCAGCCTTAGTAAGTCGGCTGCATGCTGGTGGCATGAACTGCAACCACAGCGCACGTTATATAAGAAAGATGTACTACGCAGAATCAACAAAGAAACAAGATAGTATTAACAACCATCATGTTTCGGGCATGCGGAAAACATTTACCACGGTCGCGACGTCACGTCCTCCCAATCCAGGCGACCAGTCCGTTGTCTGCACAGCGAGCTGCATTCTCAGTCTCAGCTCGCAATGGGTTAATGGAAATGACTGGTTTCACAGAGGAACAACTCACAGTTCGAGATGCGATCTCACACATATGTTCCAAATTTCCCAACACCTACTGGCAACAAAGAGACCAGGAAGAGAAAGATCCTAGCGAGTTTCACGCGGCGCTGGCAAAGGATGGCTGGCTTGGAATCGCGTTGCCGGAGTCACTTGGAGGAGCTGGCTTAGGTATGCATAGCATTTTTTTTTGCTGTTGAATTGGAATTCAATATGAATTAACACTCGAAACAGGTATCTCCGAGGCCACAATGATGATGCAAACCATTACTCAGTCAGGTGCAGGCATGGCGGGAGCGCAGGCAATCCACGCCAATGTCTATGCCACACAGCCATTGGCCAGATTTGGAACTCCAGAACAGCTAGAGACCACAATCCCTAACATCATCAATGGAACGTGGCGTACTTGCTTCGGGGTGACTGAGCCGAATACCGGTCTCGAAACCCTCAAGCTCAAGACCCTAGCAACAAAGACTGCAGATGGATATTCCGTCTCCGGCCAAAAGATCTGGATCACCTGTGCTCAGGTTGCTTCGAAGATGATCCTGCTGGCACGAACTACGCCGTTAGAAGAAGTCAAAAAATCAACCGAGGGTCTATCCATGTTTTGCATCGACCTGGACCGTAACCACCGTGGACTGGATCTTCGCAAGATCAAGAAGATGGGCGGTCGCGCAGTGGACGCAAATGAAGTCTTTTTCGACAATTACCCCATTTCAAAGGAAAGCTTGATCGGCCAAGAGAATGATGGATTCAAAATTATTTTACATGGCATGAACGCTGAACGTTGTCTACTGGCAGGCGAAGCTCTTGGGCTGGGATACGCAGCTCTCGAGAAGGCCGCACAATATGCGAAAGAGCGGGTGGTCTTTGGCCGTCCGATTGGACAAAACCAAGGCGTATCGCATCCATTAGCAGATGCATACATGAAACTGGAAGCGGCAAAGCTTGCGACCTATCACGCTGCTCGACTCTACGACACGAATGACGGCTCAATTCCTTTCCATGCTATCGGCGTCGCCTGTAATAGTGCTAAATATTTGGCAGCCGAGGCCGCTTTCACAGCCTGTGAGCGAGCTGTCCTTGCGCATGGTGGTATGGGATACGCGATGGAATATGATGTTGAGCGATACATGCGTGAATGTTTCGTCCCGAGGATTGCGCCCGTGAGCAGAGAAATGATCCTGAACTACGTCAGCGAAAAGGTATTAGAACTACCGCGAAGCTACTGATTAAAGCTGTATTTTGGAGGACATAGACCCCATAATCGTGCTTTGTACATAGAATTTTAACCAACCAACAGTCTCTAGCTTAAAAGGCGCATTGAATAAACGTGTTATGGTTACATGTCGGCGCACTCCACCCTGGGGAAGTTCGGTGATCGCCGAGAGTCGGCGTTATGGGCCAATCACTACAAGCGCATTTACCATCTCCTCTTGGGTCGTCGCTCGTAGGATCAAATCAACGCTAAATGGGTAATCGCTTGAGTGTCACCTGTATCTATTGATGGATGTCATCTATCGGCCGAACAGGAAATATTCACCCGAAGAGGATTTTGAAGTTTGGATGTTTGAGGATAATTCTTCTCAACAGGTGTAGAAATTCTATAAAGCCTGCGTATCATCTCGCAACCAGAGAATTAACAACACGAATAAAATCGTATCACGCATCAACAAAACATTCAAGGGCTTTTTATCTGCTCCAACAGTCGCCATGGGTCGAACGCTGTCTTATCCAAAGCGTTCTTCAAATACAGTCAATCGATACAAGCATCGTGGTAAGTGGAAGAAGCCGACAATTAAATTCAATGTCTAACCTTTACAGCTACCTATGATCTAGGTGCAATTCACTCAATCGTGAATTCATCCCAAGTCCTTCATGTTTCCTTTATTCCGGGGCCAGAAGATCCATTTCCTACTATACTCCCCATGATTGGTCAGATGGGGTCTTTCGAATACCCATCTGCAAGCATCGATGAGCCATTGGAATGTTATTTGCATGGCTACGTTAGTTCGCGGATCATGAACCTCGCCCGCAATTCCGAGGGTGGTGGTCTTCCTATCTGCATAGCAACCAGTAAAGTGGATGGAATAGTCTTATCCCTTACTCCAAACTCTCATAGCTATAATTATCGCTCGGTCGTCCTTCACGGATACGCGAATCTTGTTACCAATGAAGATGAGAAGCTATGGGCTATGAAACTCATCACAAACTCGGTCTTGACTGATCGATGGGATAATTCTCGTGTACCCCCTGACTCAGCCGAGATGTCTTCAACTGTGATTCTAAAGGTGACCATCGTGGACGGAAGCGGCAAGGTACGCGATGGTAGTCCTTCGGATGAGCGGAAAGACACAGAGAACGAGGATGTCACTGGAAAGGTTTGGACAGGTGTCGTTCCGATTTGGGAAGAATTCGGCACTCCGATCAGTAGTAGTACTAACCGGGTGACGGAGGTACCAAATCATATCACCTCATTTATTGCAAGTCAAAACAAAGCAAATCGTGCTTTCGCAGAGAATGCAGCAGGGCCAAAATTGGAGTAGCGAGACTCACATACACCTTTGAATGATGCGAATATACTTGTACATAGGCCTGCAGAAGACTTAGTATGACAGAACAGCCTATGCATGATATGAGATAATTTAAGTTAAGATCTAATCAGACAAGTTGCTTTATGGATCTTGGATTGAAACGTTATACTTGCTAAGCTCCCAAGCGTTTAGACAGTATTATGTGAGCTCCTGGATACGATCTTTGATTTAAACCCACCTTACCTTCTATAGTTCTAACTCAACGAACTATCCCCTACAGTGATTCCAAGGTTGGAGCGTCAGAGCATTAGAGATAGACCGAGGCGAGAACAATAGAAATATGCAATTGCGCACATTCCAAATGGAGCTAAATGATTGAATACTGACACCTAGTATGTAAGTAATTCTAGTTTCACGCACATGGGCACGGCAATCCTTTGTTTGTGAACAACTTGAAGTTCCTGCTTCACTATACTTGAAAGTATTGATAGCTGCTGATCCATGCCATTCCTAGTTATATTACTTTTATTCCAGGAAACGACCTTGACAACCAAGTATCAGTCAAATTTACCACAAATTCAAGTAGTATGCCCCTCTTTGACGAGATTCAAGCTCCATCGCATTGATAAAATCGGCCATTGCCGCCCAGTCGAAAGCGGAATCACTTATGTATTGCTGCTTTTAAAGCGAAAAGCTTTTAGGACGAAAAGAAATGGACCCCCCACCACAGGCCCCGGGATCGTTTCCATTTGATTTCACATTCTAGAGCCTCAAATCCTTCTGCATCAAGCTCTTTCAACTAGATTCCCGTATAACTGGTGCCCAGATGTGGGTCAGACATCCACACGCATGATGCCACAAAAACCGCGAGTTGTTGATTGGGCGACAATGTGGCCCGAGCATATGTACACATTGAGGCTCAGATGGCCGTTGCCCCGTCGGTGAGCCTGACTTGATCTGCTGATTAGATTTCGCAAGGCAGACCATGTTTCTGAACGATGATGGCATTTTTTCAGAAATTAAAAAAAGGCCCCCATTCGGCCCAATCGAACACCGGTTAAAAATTCCGTTCCAAGGAGCCGCGCATTTTACCCGGGTGTTGCAAATCATCAGATTGAGGCTGCTGCGGCTGAAATCCCCACATTTTTTTGGCGCAGGAACGAAAATGACTGCCTTTATCCAATAACCATGACTTTGCGAAATCTTTTTTTCGCTCAAGTTGGCCGCCGCAGGTAGCTGTGAGGGCCAAGTGATAACCTTGCAGTTACCCGGGTGTCTCTACATGGCCATGGTGGAGAAACATGGTAACCACAACTTCAAAGGTTATAAAGGTCGCCATAACTCTTGAGTAACTATTAGCCCAAGAACCCCAAAGATTTCAATTATATATATTACTTTATGAAGAACAATTACCGGTCCAGAGCTCTCGTTTCTTGCCGCTTCTCCAAAACATGCCTAGTACTTATGTGGCGGACGACAACCCCGAAAACATTTCTGCAGCCGAAAATACTACTTCGGAACTTCCCAACAAGGCCCGTCACACCCCACAAGATAGTTAGTGTGATACTCGCCGTATTTACATGAGTGATAATCGATTGACAATATGATAGGGTCCTCTGATGTCTCGGAAACACCCAGAGTGCGTTATGAAGGCTACAAATTCTTCAAGGCAGATCCCATTCCAGGGCAGAGGCCGACGTGGACAAAGGTTGAACGCATGGAGATGCATTTGAGTGAGGGTGAGCTATGTAAAAAGGTCCAGAAACGTGCGAACAAAGTATCGGCAGCGCAGCAATATCAGAATCTGTCAAAAGCCTGCCAAGCGCACATTAACCAACTTATTCACGAGAAGCGACAAACTAATATCAAGGGAGATTGGAGTTGTGTTTACGCAAAACAACGCGAAAGGCCATCAAAGCCTCGCAATGCTCGTCCAAGTGACTATGAGATTGTCTCTATGCAGGTTATCCTGATGCAAAGGCCTCTGCAGACAACCTCATACCCAAGGACACCAATGGGAGACCTCGTAGACTTGGAGCCACACTTCGGAAGCTCTTTTCAGCAAGATGAGTCTGATGGTGGAGAAGACAGTCTTGAAACGGCAAATTGGAAGTTGAAGTCCAAATCAAGTCAACCCAGACATCGGTCTCTACCTCCATATCGGCGGCCACGAAGTAATCAGATGTGGCGCTCGGGGACGACAGCTGAGGGAGATCAGACCATCCCAGAGCTACCAACTCGTCCATTCACATCAAATATAGCCCCTGAGCTCAATGAGAGCAATTGTAGCAAAGAAAGCTGGCCTTTAAACGCGAAGAAAGCTGCAATGAAAGAAAAGTAATTACCTCCTTCACCTACAAGTTGGATCATACAACGCGACGATGGAAATAATTCTAATGTTTTGAAAGCAGCAACAGAAATAGCCCTATAGAGGATACAAGTGCAGATTGCTTTGAGCTCCACCCCCAACAAAATGATGACGCCCAAGTTGCATTGCATCGCACCTCGTCCAACAGCAGTTCAACTATCGGGAGCCCATCCCAGACTGTTTGTCGATGCCAGGAGCCTCCACTCCTGCAACCAAACGCTACTCGTTCTGGAAATTTGAATATGAGCCACTGGGAGTGTGACTCGAATTACAATCACGAGAGAGGCGAAATTGATCGCAATAAAGTGGGAAGGGGTCAAAGCAATGGGTCATCATCGCCATATCATGATGACCGTATGAATGCCATACATGCTACAGACTTGAATATTTTACCAGCCAAACGAGCACATACATTCTTCCCGGAAGATCCTAATGCTTCCTTCTGGAGAAAAAAGATGCGTATTGACAGGATGGATGAAGAGGAGATGCGCAGCCGTCTCCTTGGTTGTGAAGCTCGGATTTTACAGTGGGAGAAAACTCTACACGACCAGACGCGAATACTGCAGATGAGCATCCAAAGTTCAGCGGGGATAAGGTGTTACCAAGAAAGCTCCGTGTGATTTGGAAGCTATTCATTTGGCGAACACGAGGGCTCGGTTTAATCTACTAAATTCTTCTTGCGTCTATAATCGCAAGATTAGTATTGGCATAAGTTGTACCAATCTTGTCTGACCTAAAGATGAGCCCAACGTTTCTGAGAAGTTCTTTCAATATAGGTTTTTGTTCATTTTCTGTTTTGCTGTTTTCTTTTGGGTGGTTCTCTGCATTGCTCACAAGTTGTATCATGATGTTATAGTTCCAAAGTTATTCAGTTGTGTTTTTGGGTTTGTTTCAGGTAAACCGCTAAAACCCGGTGGATCTTTACCGATGGCATGTAATCAGTGTTATAGAAACGATTGAAACTCAATTTTATCATATTTTCACCACGAATTTGGGTTATTACTGTTGGCCCGCCTATCGGGTTGCCGTCGTTGTGGTTGTGGTGTGCGTGGCGTTCCCGTCAATACCCGCAGTACGCGTTCGTGGCGATCCATCCCCTCCAAACAACTTGGAAGCTCCACCACTCCAGCTACCCGGAGCGAATAGCAACCAATAACATCCATTCACGCTGTACTGGAGAATTATCTTCTCAAAAACTCACACTTATTCCCTGAAAGTGGTCATCATGACCGAGACGCCTAACCGAGGGATTGTGGTGATCTCCGGGGGAAGCGCGGCAAACAATTTGGTCGATGTTTTCAATACAATTCGAGAAAGTAAAGACTGTCGTCTCAGTTATATCATCCCCATCAGCGATAATGGGGGATCTTCTTCCGAGTTGATTCGCATATTTGGAGGTCCTGGAATTGGCGACGTCCGCAGTGAGTACCTCACGTCTGGCATGAATTGACCTTGACCCTCCTTGCTGATGTTTATGATTAGGCAGACTAGTTCGCTTGATACCTGACTCACCAATGAACTCAGAAAGAACGGCAATCAAGTCACTGTTTAACCATCGTTTACCTTCTGAAGGGACCGCAGCATCTCAAGAATGGCTATCCATTGTTGACGGCACGTCTGGCCTGTGGCAGTCCATCGCTCCGGCGAAAAAGGAGTTGATCCGTTCGTTTTTTAACTCACTGAACCTGGAAATTTTGAAGAGAGCCCGACCACCATCGTCAACGTTTGATTTCACGTCCGCCAGTGTTGGTAATCTGTTTTTGACAGGCGCACGGTTGTTTAGTGGCAGTTTTGAAAGTGCCATATATCTCTTGGGGAGTATATGTGGTGTGCAATCAGATATTGTGCGGGTCATTCCGGCAATAAACTCGAACTTTTCTCATCATATCTCTGCGACTCTTGCCGACGGGACGGTGATTGTCGGGCAGAACAGCATCTCTCATCCTAGTGCTGCAACCGCACTTGGCCATGACCCTCGTGCCAGACGGCCTAGTCTACTCCTCGCCGATGGAGATGATTTCGATGATACTGATCTATCGGATCTTTCAGACACTGTTTATGAAGAAGATTATTTGCCCGGCTCCCTTGCCACTCTGCGGAATAAAAACATTGCATTCAGCAAAGCCGAAAACGAAGACTTACCATGCCGAATCGATCGCATTTGGTATATCAATCCATACGGCCAGGAAATTCGACCCCCTGCAAATCCACGTGTTTTAGAGGCGCTCGACGACGCCCAAGCTATTGTATATAGTATCGGCTCTCTCTATACGTCTATCATCCCCGCAATCATATTACGAGGCGTTGGAAAAAGCATTGTCACAAGCCCAGCTCGACACAAGATATTAATCCTTAACGGCTCAATGGATAGAGAAACTGGCCCACCCTGTCAAGGGTTGGTAGCATCTGAATTCGTCGAGGCCATTGTACGCGCTGGCGAGGAAAGCTGTGGAAGGCACCCTGCCAGTTTCCGACACCATCATGATTTTCGTGCATCTGCCTCATCGCGCGAAAAGAGGGGACCGCATACACGCATCCCTTACACTTCCTACGTGACCCATGTTCTCCATCTTGACGGACCGGGAACACCTCATGTGGATCGAGATAGGCTAGCAGAAATGGGAATCGAAACGTTACGCCTTTACGGACGCAAGATCCTACTAAAAACCGGGGATGGAGATCTTGTTGTGGGCGCCAAGTATGACTCTACTGCATTGACTCAAGCCCTGGAGGTTGTTCTCGGGAAGAAAGGAGATGCAATGGTGAGCGGGCTAGGAAGGCGGAATACGTTAGATCCTACTCGACGGGAGAAGAAATAAAACATTCTCAGAATCGCACAACCTGATTCTACTGTACTCTCCAACAAAACACCCACCCTCGAGCTCAGTTGCATTCAAATACAAGCAAAAATTGAAAGGTAGCAGTATGATCTACTTTTTCCCATTTCTTTCTTTCAGCAAAGGCCACTTATATGCCTACAAGAGAAGTTAGAATCGTATTAAAATTATCCATGGTGGACCTCATTTGGGCTCTGCAGTCTGAAAGTGCACGGCAGTTATTCGAAATAGATAAGGAGCGAGGAATTTGTTCGATAGAATTCAGACATGAACCCCAGGCACTTCTCGTTTCTCTTTTTTTTTGCTCGGTGATTTCTCTACCGAGCAACGGAGGAAATTTTGCGGGGATCAAACTGCGGGGAAATCTTACTATACGCTATATAGAGATCGAAGCGGGTTTAGATTAGAAGGGGTCGTAGGCGGGGGCGTCGAAGCCACCGGAGTGCTTGTTATGGCGATCATGGTGCCGAGTCTACAATTTTCCCACCAATGGCTTCAAACTGTGCATTTTGCTCGGTCTAGTTTGACCAAATTGGCATGCCTCACATTATTTCCTTTCGTGCTATTCGGTTCCGAAAATCCAAATGCTAGCAACTATTCCCATCATCTGTGATCCCCTCTCGCGATTCTTATATGAAGACAAGCCCAGGCGAGATCATCCGGCTTTGATCACAATTCCCTGCCTCATTGGAAAAGCTGAACAATCCATCCTCACTGACTGAGTTAGTACTGGATCAGCGGCACAATGGTTCACGTACATTGGCTTTCGCTACTCTTGGGTATTTGTTCCATTATCTCTTCTGGTCAAGCCTTGGGTTGCTGGCGGAATACGTCTTGTACGGGCCCTGAGAAGGCCGCATTCGATGGAATTTGGGAAAAGAATATCTACGCGCCTTCATCACGAACAGTCCAACCTGAATCGATTCTTTCGGATTTGAAAACCAAAGCCACCACAGACAACTCCCATCCTGATACGGCGACATTTCATGGCAATGGATCTCTTGTGGTATTTGACTTTGGAAAAGAGGTCGGTGGTATTGTCCATTTGAACTACACAGCAACAGGCAGCGGAGCATTGGGGATAGCTTTCACGGAAGCAAAGAATTGGATCGGCGAAAATTCAGACGACTCCAACGCCTTATGGCATGATGGTGCATTATATGCCAACTTCACATCCGCGGGCCACCACTCGTATTCCATGCCTGATGGAAAAATCCGTGGTGGCTTTCGATATTTGACGATTTTCCTGATAACAGAAGACTCGGCAAGTGTAACGATAAACAATTTACAGCTTGAATTGGGATTTCACCCAACTTGGTCGAATCTACGGGCATATCAAGGATATTTCCATTCCAGCGACGAGCTTTTGAATCGCATTTGGTATACCGGTGCCTACACCCTCCAAACCAATCAGGTCCCTGTTGATACTGGTCGAGTGACTTCCGGCGTCACCTCTGGGTGGCTTAACAATGGCACTTTAGGTCCTGGAGACACAATCATTGTTGATGGTGCCAAGCGTGATCGTGCTGTCTGGCCTGGAGATATGGGCATTGCTGTTCCATCAACGTTCGTCAGCCTTGGGGATTTAGATAGTGTGATGAACGCATTGCAGGTGATGTATAATACTCAGGTAAGTGACCCTTTAGTTATTCGGTAGACTTGTGCTTAAAATGTGTGAAACAGGACAAGTCGACGGGCGCTTTCGACGAGTCGGGGCCACCACTTAGCCAAACGGGATCAGACACCTACCACATGTGGACAATGATCGGAACCTACAATTACGTTCTATATACGAATGATACAGACTTCCTAGTCGAAAATTGGGACGGATATCTTCTTGCTATGCAATTCATTTATGACAAGGTGACTTATCCAAGTGGACTGTTGAATGTGACTGGTATTCGGGACTGGGCTCGTTGGCAACAGGGTTATAACAACTCCGAAGCACAGATGATGTTTGTTTCTCGTTCGGCTTTCCTGTGGTGAAATTTTGTTGCTGATTCCTTCTTAGCCTTTACCACACCTTGAACACTGGCGCGGACCTTGCTAAATGGGTCGGCGACTCAACTGGCCTCTCCAGCACCTGGATCTCAAGAGCTGAGAAACTGAAAGTAGCCATCAATGAATATTGCTGGGACAGTTCATATGGAGCATTTAAAGACAATGCTACCGATACTACATTGCACCCCCAAGACGCCAATAGCATGGCCATACTTTTCGGCGTTGTCGACGAGGAGAGGGCTCAGAGTATTTCCGACAAACTTACCCGAAACTGGACTCCAATTGGAGCCGAAACACCTGAGCTCCCCGAAAACATTTCACCTTTTATATCCTCCATGGAGATTCAGAGTCATTTTCTTGTCCAAAAGCCTGAACGGGCACTAGATCTCATTCGACGGAGCTGGGGATGGTATATCAACAATACAAACGGAACAGAGAGCACTGTCATTGAAGGATACCTCATCAATGGAACCTTCGGATATCGTGGTAGTCGAGGTTATTATTATGATACCTCCTACGTATCCCATTCACATGGATGGTCCTCGGGTCCAACATCCGCGTTGACGAACTATATCGTTGGCCTTTCAGTGACATCACCCGTTGGTCTCACTTGGGATCTTTCACCCCAATTCGCAGATCTTGAATACGCTGAAGCAGGGTTTGTAACATCCCTTGGGAAATATCAATCATCTTGGACGAAGAGCAAGAACGAATATGTTGTTAACTTGACAGTTCCAAAGGGAACATCTGGCACCGTTACCCTGCCGTATGCAACTGAAAATAAGAAGCCGACAATTACTATCAATGGCGTCTCCATAAGTCGGGGAGTGACATATGAGAATGAGGCAGCATCATTTGCTATTGCTAGTGGTGGCTCTCATAAAATCGTCGTCCGGTGAATGGATATTAAATTTGGAGAAAGGTATAATGAGTCCCGATTGTGAGAAGAAACCCATTTCAGTCACCAGTATCACTTATTATTCTATAATGAAACGAATTTTAAATCAAAACTTCAAAAGTCCACATTCTGTCAATACATAGTTGGGATGCAAATAGAAGCATCATGAATTCATGATACGTGCTCGCATTGTGATCGGTCACGTGCAGACCAACGCCGAGACTCGTCCGAATCTCCCGCGGTCGCATTTCATCCTCATCGTCATTCTCCGGGGTCTATTTATCAAGTCAACACCCACCATGCCACCTCCACTACGAGCTGTACCCTGGCGCACCTGCCAAAACGCCACCCGCCATTATCTTCGCAATGGTTCCAGTTCACGATATATCTCAACCACGAATTGCCTTCGGTCTACCAAACATGTCGGCAGTAACCCCCTCCGTTCGCGAGCTTCCGCCAATCCCGGGAAGGAAGAACTACATGTCTCGAAGTATCGAAGATCGGTGGCGCTGGCTGCGGCTGGTATTTTAACCTGCGCAGCTGGTATGTACGGTGTGATCAAACTGGATGTTTTTGGCCTAGAGGCACATGAATCTACCAAAAAGAACGCACGTGCGACAGACACCCCGAAGCCGAACGAGGTTAAACTTACACAAACGCAAAACGGCGCGATGAAGATGGATGGACCTGCTGGGTTCCCAAGTGACGGAGGGCCATCTGTCATTCCCCTCCAGGGTCAAGATCTTGTCGAACAAGTCGCGACTAACAACAGCTCTGTGCCGTATTTCCCCACCACAATTCGCCTGCCCTCGATCGCTGGAACGGACAATAAAACGGCCGGGGATGAAGTTTCAACTTCTGATGGAGATGAGTACCAATTGTTAGGTTTGGGAATCCGCTCGGTTTCCTTCCTTTCGATCCAAGTGTACGTTGTTGGGTTGTATGTCGCGAAGGGAGACATCACCGAGCTACAACAGCGTCTGATACGAACGGCAGTTCATCCACCCGTTGCATCCTCGGATGAAGCTGCTGCTATTTCTGGAGCTGGTGCGGATTCAGCGACATCTCTCGTCCCCCCAGAACGCCAGCAACTAAAGGAACTTCTCTTGGACGCGGAGCACGGAGATGCCGCTTGGACAGCTATCTTGAAGGACAGTGGCATCCGGACTGCGTTCCGCATTGTCCCGACACGCAACACTGACTTTATGCATCTACGCGACGGTTGGGTTCGCGGGATTACTGCCCGTGCGCAGCAGAAAAAGCCTGCGCCCGGGACGACGGAGCCTGGCGAATTCCAGGATGTGGAATTTGGAACTGCCATGAATGATTTCAAGGCCGTATTTGGTGGGGGTCAACGAAAGAGTGTCCCCAAGGGCCAAACATTGTTTTTACTTCGTAATGCTCATGGTGCCCTCGATGCGCTGTTCCAACCTGACCCTAAGAAACCAATGCACTGGATGGGTCGCGTCACTGATGAACGAGTGAGCCGACTGGTTTGGCTTAATTACTTGGCTGGAAAAACAGTGTCGAGCGAAGGTGCACGAAAGAGTATTGTCGATGGTCTCATGACTGTTGTTGAACGACCAGTTGGTACCGTTGTGCAACGCGTGGTATAATGGCACCAAAAGATAATTTTGTACTATTAGGATATTTTGCCTTGTCTCCATATTGTATTTCAATTGCATGGCCTCTTTCTCTTCTCTTCTCTTCTATTGCTTGCTTTTATTTTCACATTTCCCACGATTCAATTGCTTCTCCAAAACGAATCCTTTGTTCTCATTCAGTGTACGCACGATAAAAAGCAATTCCCCTCTCGGTCCCAAACTCGATTGCAACCCCTTGGCCGACAAAGAATACATATCCTTCTTTCAGGGAAACTGTCTGGTTCCCCGGAATTTTCATATCACCACATCCCTTTGTTACAATCATCAAACTAGGGCCGAGAATAGCTTTGTGAACTTCACTTTCCCCAGGACCAAGACATGTTGAGAGCACATTGAACTCGCTGGTTGGTGGTGCGTAAACGTCGGTTTTTCCATTCATGCCTTTGTCGCTCTTCTGACGAGGTAAAAGTGCGTCGTTCGAGTTATGTGGAACAAATGACATAGCTTGAGCAAAAAGGTCGATACTGTCACGGTCAGGCGCTGGACAAAAGCCCGTATTTATCACATTGTCGGATCGAGCCATGCATTCCACAATATCACCTTCCAGGTATGCATGAATGCTGTCCGCCGGGACCCATACCGAATCCCCAGGCCCCAGGATCATATAGTTCATTAACACCGCTGCAACCAGATTTCCATTGTCGCACTCGGTGTATTGCTTGTTCAATCGATCCAGTAATCCCGGGATATACTGGTCTGGTCCGAACTGTGACTCAGGGACTTTCTGTAGTTCTTTAATGGTAGAGGCTACAGTCGACGGGGAGGCTTTCAGCATTGATTTGCACATCTGTCGAAGGGTTTCATCAGTGAAGTTCGTGGATTGAGGCACAAAGCATTGAAGCGGTTTCAGTTTGCATAATGCCTCAATGTCCTTCAAGGGCTTCCAACCAGCAAAGAGCTCGAATTTAGAAAGTGCAATGGCAATCTCCGGTTTGTGCATGGTATCACCGAATTTAGCTGGGTCTTGCTGATGCAATTTCTTCGCTAGATCAAGATCCGGATGAATCTGGAGAGGTAGAGCCTTGGAGAATGACAATATCTATCTGTCTTATCAGATCAAGCGCTCGGTTTTGCGAACATATGTGCACTTACCTTTGGTAGGAATGGAATCTCCGCTCCCCAGCGATCCAAGACAGATTTACCGACCAGTTGAGGGTTTTTGACCAAATAGTCTGCCAGTGGTTGCCCTGTAGACAGGAGATAGGATGGGTTTGATGGATAAGTACCCATCCACATCTACATTTGAACGAGATATCAGAAAAGCCCACTTAACAAATCTAGATGTCAATCTTGGGAAATGGCATTGTACTTCAGAGTAGGACTTCTTCTCATCAATAGGTTGGCTGCCGGGTGTTTTAGACCATAACTGGCCCACCACCGAATCCTTGCCAGGCTTTCCCCATGAATCATTCTATGCATCGTTCGTTAGTTCGGCCCTCTAAACTTTACCAGAAATTGAGGGTATACATGCTTTGACACCGCATCGCAATTGGACAACCGCATCCGCCATTATGAAATAGTTCGAACAAGAAGGTTCCAATAGAGAGAACTATAAAATAGAGGCTTTTTAAGGCAAGGAATCTTCCAAGAATAGCCGGGATATCAACTAATTGTGAAGGCCATACCACGATGCTGTCATTATGATTGAATGGCTATTATGTCATGCAATCAAATAGCCTCAACCGAAGTTCAAAGGAAAGGCATCAATCCCGCAAGTTGTAGCCTAGCTAAGGTCATTTTTGCGTATGGAGTCAATTGTGAATCAGGCTGACGTCAAGGAGTGTCATCGTAAATTTTATTATTGAAAATCGTAATCATAATGCGCAGCCCATAGTGATTTATAGGTAGTATTCGTTGTAATACAGGCTGCATTCGTTTAAATTCGTAGTCAGATAGTTATCCATGTGGTTTATATGGTTATTATATCTGATGATCGGTCATATGCGGGGATGGCGTAATGGCAATCAATTGTGTAGATATCCGCATCAGGGAATATTCACTGAGCTCCCAGTGGGTTGTAAATGCAATTTCCGAAATGCAGACAACCAGTCTGAGTTATCCGCAATGGTCTGATCCCAAGCATCTTCGCTGCTGAAGAGCACTTTTCGGGCCTCTCTTTGAAACATCTCATCCGTTGGGACAACACCATGTTCCATTTGTCTTTGAGCATACTGACTCAAATGACGAGTAAATATATCGAGAAACTGAGGAAGTTGTGGGTCAGCCTTATCGTCTCCTGCAATTTCTGTATGCGTGGGCCCAGCTTGCTCGTGAACATCGGCAAAGTCGGTCGCTGACAGTAGATGCGCATATTGTTTTCCCACATCGCTATTTGTAGCAGAAAACGGGATCATGCACTCTGACTCCCAGCCAAGAAGGTAAGGTGGGTACGCGTTCCGAAGTTGCTCAACAATATGCGGAGGGAACCCATGATCTCCCTTCCAATCCTTCATCGTAAGCCCATTGCGAAAGTGCTGAGATAAGTGAGAAACACGTATATCCCAATTATCCAGAGTCTGGTCGCAGAAACCACATCGGGACACAAAATTCTTCATCTCTTTCTTCCAATCATCCAGGGGAGGTAAATCTTGTACTTGATGCACATGGCGAAGGTGTTGTACAAGATGATCTTTTCGGCGGAAGGAGCGATGCTCATTATCAATATTCTGACAGGCATCATAGTTATGCATAACCAAATGTTCCTTGGATGGCTCTGTCTCATTACAGTAAGCACAGAACTCTTTGCCAGTAATCAGAGATAGAACCGAAGGCCCAAGTGGGGCGCAATACCATGCTTCCAGATTTAAATGAAGCGATTTTTCATGTCGAACCCATTCGTATCTGGTCCCAAAGCGATCACAACAGAAGGTGCAGCAGAATAATCGAGGCTTGCCGTTATCTGACTGGGCCTTGTTCAAACGGGCATGTGGCCGACGGGCTCGAGTACGCGGTGAGTAACTGGTAGTCGACCATGCCGAATCTGTGGATGACGCACTCGACCCGCGACTTGTGGCCGAGGCCGACCGGCGAGATCGGCTTGAAACTGGCCCCCGACCACGGCCACGACTTGGTTGGCGAGTACGATGGACCCCCGGCGTCTCCTGCATAGCATTTATGATAGCCGTGACTGAGGCTGCCTCGTTCTCAGGGGAGTTCTCTTGCCACCGCTGCATTGGGTCTAGCCCGACTTCATTTGAATCGTACGAAAGGCCGTCTTTGTTCCTCGAATTTGGCACATTGTTGAAATAACGACTTCTTCGTCGAGGCAAACTAGGCTGGGGGTTCGACGCATAAGTAGCTGGTGACTGTTCCTGATAATCAAGCTGCTTCGGATATGATGCACCATGGTCCAGGTTCATTTCTTGATCACGGAGATTGGCTTGGAATGGGAAATTAAATGCCCTGCTGGGTGCTGTTGATGCATTGCTCGGTGAGGAGCCATTTAAAGATTCAACAAGTTCAGTTGGGAGTGGCGAGTTCCAAATGTCTGGGAAAAGCTGGTCGGTAACTAATGGCAATGGAGAGCCATCCATTGCGACTCCATCCTGAACAAACAATGGGCCGGGTTGAGGTGTATTACAAGTTTCGAGATGGGAATTATCTTTCAAATAGTCACTCCAGGCTTGATTGTAGAATATATCGGCGTCGTAAATCGAGTCAATGGTAACAGGGTCCGGAGATTGTGCCAGACCTTCTTGGCTCACACTGTACTTGTGGCTCCATACATGTGGCTCTTGCTTTTCTGGACTAGATAATCCTGAGTTTAAGTCCATGCTCGCGTAACTTTCGATCAGCCGAGGTCGTTACATCGCTCGGATCACATCAACATGAAGAATCCGGTGACAACGGGAAATGGTTAATCCGTGGATCCGCACCGAAGGTCACGGGATATCATACATAGTAGTACCAGTTGACGGATTCGGGCACTGTTAAATACCAATGTCCCAATTTAGTTTATTTTTCAATGAACCATTACTAACTTAAATTGTCCGACCTCGTCCTTCACTTCAAGGTTTTGCATTTATTTTAATGTGCGTATACATGGGTATACATGCGCATGCGCAGCATTAGAAAAGACTACGCCTTTACTTGCTTGAGATGACCTAGACAGTCCCGCTGAGTAAAACAAACATGGCTTAATCATGAAGAAAACCACGATCGCGGTGAGAAATAGGAAATATAGGATCGAATATGAAGAATTTTGGGTAAAATAATCAATCAAATTGGTCAAATTGGGCTTACTGCTTTTCTCCAAGGTCAATTCTAACCGGCGGAGTAGGCATCATGCAACAACCCGATAACTATCAATTGAGTATCCGCTCTAGGAAACGAAAGGAACCAACGAGCATAGACTGGGCCATATGCATTAAACATCCTCATCAATTCGAAAATCTAAACAGGAACAACTCTGGTAACAATAATCTGCTTAACAACCTGGGAACAGGCTCCGTTCTCCCACGAATCGTCTGGAATTGGAGCAGTCGTGGGAGCGACATAAGTTGAAGTTGAAGGAGTTAGAGTATAACTAGAGGGCGACGGCGAGCTGATAGGAGATGGAGACGGGCTCGGCGACATCGCGGGAACTGAGGTTGATGTTGCGACTGAGTAGACGGGGACTGTGCTGGTTGTTGCTGCGGGGGCAACTGACGGGGTTGCCGAAGTGGTAGGCTCAGGAACCGGCTCAGAGGTAGGCTCAATTGAAGAGACAGGCGTCGGTATTGGTGTAGGAACAACGGTTGATTCGGAGGTCGAGGTCGAGAAAGCGATTGTCGACTCCCAAGAAGTGGAAGAAGAGGAATAAGAGGTTGTTGTTGCTGCGATAGTGGTGGAAGAAGTAGTTGAAGTAGCTGAAGCACCGGAAGCAGCAACATAAGCGTCACCGACAGCGTTGACAACATTGTCGGTAAGCATAAAATCATTCGCACAATAGAAGTAGGCGTAACGAGTAACCTCGGACTGTGCTTCGAGCCATACACTGGCCTCCAGCACAAAAGCGGCCGCAGTCACAAGATCTAAGATGCCACTTTCGTCGGAGCTCAATCCGAACTCGGTGAGCCAGACCTCGGAGATTCCATAAGTACTCGCTGTGCTTATAGCTTCGGTAACAAAGGATTTGAGCTCGGAGAAGGAGCTGCCATACCAATGAACGGCAAGAGCAGAGACCTCACAGTCAGTGCAGTCCTCCAGGAAAGACTCCATCCAATCCAGGCCTTCTCCAGAGCTTTCCGAAGAAGTGACAGCGGGACTGATCAAGGTAGCCTCATCAGCATAAGGGGTGATGTACTCTTTGTAGTATGTTGCAGCATCGGACGGGCTCATATTAGCTTGAGAGGATGAGTCAGGTTCGTTGAAACCCATGATGTGCATGCTTCCGTCACTGAGGGCTGTTTTGACGGCCGAAGTCCATCCGTCAATCGAGTCAGTTCCCCAAAGCATAGGAATGTACTCGACCCCGGAGGGGATGGTTCCATCGCTCTCGGATCCCCAGTTGTATGCCCACGAGATAGTTTCGGAGCTCCCGGCCAAAATAGAAACAAGGGAAGCGTCATTGTATGCGGCACCGCGCTTCGAGCTGGAAGATCTTCGCTGCACTGTCGGTGGGCGAATCTGCGCTGGAGCAGCAGCAGCCGAAGCGACCAGAAGACCGACGAGGGCAGACTTGAAAAAGGAAGCCATTTTTAAGGGGGCAGCAATTTACTCTTCGCACAAAAAAAGGAAGTGAATGATACAGATGTCGGGTAGAAAAAAAAGATAAAAGAATGACCGACTACCAATAGGTTGCCGAATGACTGGTTCAGTGTAAAGAATGGACACTCAGTGCACAGCACTACAGTGGTAAAAAGAACGTAGGTATAGAAAGGAAGGTAACCAGATATCAAATCGGCGACAAAACGGGGAGAGAATTAAATAAAGGAAGAAACAGAAAGCATTTTCACTAGGGGGTTTGCTCGGTGGCAGTTAGCGCCTCCGAGTTCCGAACGAATCCTCAAATGAAAGCGACTGGAGACATGTTTGATTTCGACTCCTAGTCAGGGGGCGACAATTCATTCGTTCACAATTCTAAAAAGTGGGAACTGCAAGGGCATCAGAATAACGAATGACTAGCACCGGATAGAGACCGATCTATTCTTTTTCCACTATATGAGCAGACATGCGTATGTCTATTGGGGGTGAAATTTAGCCCGAGCTCGTTATTGGACAAAGTTTTGGGCTGTCACTAGCGGGGGATCTTGAATTAAATTAAAGGCCAACTTGCCAATTCGTGAGTTTTCGTACCTGAAATTAAAATTAAAACAACCGTGCTGGGCTTACACTAAACCATGGCTCCCATGTTGCTTGTGTCCGAGTCGATCATGTACATACATCAAAACAGACAATCAAAAACATGTTTCTATTTCCTTATCAATCTTGGTGACTTTGTTTACTATCCGAAGTAAACCAACGTGTCAGTCGAAAAGTGGGGGAGGAGAACCGAGTTAAACGAGTAGGCTTACGTAGATGTGGGAACGCCAGGCACAGAGTGACGGAGTACGGCGTACGTGAATACATAGCACTTAAGAATATGGGCTAGATTAGTCTCAGAGCGCCACCAATGAGTGGGACGCGCTGGAGAAATAAAAATTCGTGATAGGACATAGCATACGTATTGTCGTCGTGGATAGGGCTAAGTGGGTCAACCACTCAAACAATCTCAAACATTGGGGCCCGAGTGCCCTTGTTATTGAGCGGTATCGGTGTTTCATGTGCGCGCCATGGCTTATTTGTGCGACTGATGGTTAATAAACATCTACGAATGAACGTGAAATGTCTAATCCACAGAGTCTCTTTGACTTTGTTCCATGGTCTGCTGTTTTAATGCCACTTCTACCTCTGCGACAGCTCAGCTAACTTTCGGCAGCGGTATGCCAAGCGATCTCCACATATAAAGTGAATAGATCTGCACAGCTTAACTGGACCCTGTTTTTAAAAGCCATCCTTTCATCTAGACTGACTCGTAGAGACTGTCATGTCGGTTTAGTAGGTCGCGGGGTATAAATATCTACGGATCAGTGTCCGTGACATCCGGCCAGGCCGGTGGAGGGCAATAGGGGGTGCAATGGCCACCCAACGGCCTAGCGAGACAGCCTGGCTCCATAGAGAATGGCCTCAGGCCTCGAAAACTCAGGCCTCGAAGAGGGCGGAACTTGAGATCAATCGACTTGGTACTAAATCATCGATCTCTTCGGGGGTGTTCGCGCTTTTATTTTATTTTATATTTTTTTCCCATGAGAGTAAAAGCGAAAAGCTCTTCTAATTCGAAACTCAAGGCGCAGATGGCAAAATGAAGTGGGGCATATTGAATGATCCAGATCAATAGATCAACACATGGTGCCGAATGAAGAGTTTAGAAACAAAAGCTGAAACTCGGGAAATTTAGGGGGAAAAGACGGATAAGAAGAGATGGAGTAGGAGCAGCGGGAAGGGAGTAAGGCATTAAGGCAGAAAGGCAGAAAGAAAGCGGTAGGACTGGCACGTGGAGATAAGAACCCATTTTCGGCCTAGTGCGGGCAAGAATTAGATAGCGCGATAAATGTGCGATGGGGAGAAACAGTAACAGAGAAAACGCCAGACAAAGGCAGATTGCGAAAGGGTTTAAGGCCCACAATTCTCCCGGAGACATTGGAGAAACATGTCTTCCTCTGTGGAGGTCTGTACATCCCCCCAGTCAAACTGAATCCTATATGGGGTAGAATATATCCGCTGACTCAAAATTTACAGCACGTTGATGCTTGTGTGCCCACAACAGCACTGAAAGCACTTCAATTGGGAGACCAGCACCTCATTCTTCAAGGCCAAGGCCCATTCTTGCGTATCATCCATGAAAATTCCGGGGACGTTGTAGCAAGACTTCGAGTCTTCAAACGAAACAATGTTCACGGCTTTCTGGCCTTGCCATCGCAGAACGGAAGTGAACAAAGCCATGTTCAGCTTTTAGTCTGGGGAGGGCAGTCTTTAAGAGTGGTGAATTTGATACCTGGCGTGGACAATGCTATCGAATCAGCTCCTGGATCTGCAGAATTCCTTGCCCCGGACTGGATTATGAGCGGATGTGCCGCAGCGAAAGATCATGCATTAACAGCATATCTGGTGACGGCCAACAATGTCCTCCTTGCCCTGACTTTGAAGCAATCCACATCTTCCGATTACAAAAATGCAATCCATATATACCAGCTGGCAACAAATGTTAAATCCATTCTCTGCGCCGCTGACTTGGTTGCATTGTCTCCCACCCATATCCTGATCACCGCAGGTACCATTTTTGGAGAAATCATCGTGTGGTCATGCTTTACAGATGAAAAAAGCTCCGTGGCTAATTCGATCGGCTCTATCCACCACTTTTTTACCGGTCATGACGGAACTGTGTTCGGTGTGCAAATATCTCCTTATTTAAAGACATTGCATGGTAGCCGACCCGGTCGACTATTGGCCAGCTGCAGTGATGATAGAACGGTGCGAATCTGGGATATATCTGACTGTGAAGGGAAAACTGCCTCAGACCCTTCAGCCTACTCTACTGATGGGTTCGACCTTCGAAGTACAGGATTCGGGCCCACAGAAGGTGAAGATACTGGAGTTCGGTCTGAAATGTGCGTTGCGAAGGCCTTTGGGCATGGTGCACGTATATGGAGTGCCCTATTTCGACCTAGTGCAAACACTGGCATTTCGAACATTGGATTGGTTACCCGTGGCGAGGATGCTGTCTGCATTGCTTGGGATTTGAGCTGGGTGTCATCTGACACCAAACCAACAACGTACAAGTTAACTCAGCAGTTCTCGTCCCATGCACATCTTGGAAAGCATCTTTGGTCTATGGATATTCGCAGTTGCAGCGATAAGACTATAGTTTACACCGGGGGTGCTGATGGAGCATTGCGAAGCTTTCAAATCGATGAAACCAAAAGTTCGGTCTCAACTCCTGTCACCGATCACTGGCAAGCCCGCCCAGGTAAAAATACGATTATGCACCTCGCCTTCGTTGAGCCGAACACCGTTATCGCATGTGACATCAAAAGCTTAATTCAAATTGGCTACGTAAGGCAGGACCCTGCTGTCAATGTTACATGGGAAACTTTACATATCATGGGAGATTTTGGCGCAGTCAACCGACTAATTGGAATACCGGAAAAGGGACTGGCATTGATAAGCAACGCCAATGGCCATATCATTTTGTACAACCACCGTCTAAAATCGGTATCCGATTTAGTGGGATTGTCCGGGAGACCAATGAGCCTCTTCGTTTTACAGTCAACCCGGTCTGTTGGAGCCTCAAATCAAGAATTTTGCTTCCTTGCCTCTTACGCTCAGTTTGATATTGCAACCTTGGTGATGGTCACCGAATGTGATAATGACTGCCGAAAGGTCGAAGTGGTTTCAATAAATTTGCCGCAGTCGCCCTTCCAGATCTCGTCCGCCTCACTAATTCACAACGACGACTATCTGCTGCTAGGGTCCAGGCTAGGTGGTCTGTCAGTGCACCGGGTGTCAAGCAAGGATTCATCTACTGAACCCCTTATAGTAGACCGTCGTGTACATGGCCACGAGGGTACCAATCACATTCAACCGATTTCTTCTGTGAAAGGTGCAACCGGCTCAACACTGGAGTACGTTTTAACAGGTGGACGCGATGGAAGGATTTGTGTGCACGAGCTCAACTGTGGCAGTAATGCAAATGATCCAATTGGCTTTTTCACTGTCCATCGAATAGAGTCCGCCCTCGCAGGAGCCGTCGAAGGTGCTTATATCGATGAAGTTACTGGTGACCTACTGGTTTATGGCTATAGGTCCCAGAACTTCGTCCTTCATAATGAGACTAAACAGTCGGATATCATTTCAGTAACCACCGGAGGAGCTCGCAGGACCTGGACATTTCACCCGCACACCAAGGATGGCCAAGGAGGACTTCTGTGTTGGAAGGATCCAAATGGATTACAGGTACTGCATATTAAGCAAGATGACAACCGCCTCATTAGAGCTGGAATTCATGGAAGGGAGATTAAGGCATTGGATAGCTTGAAATCGATTCAAGGGTCGCCGCCTCTTTTTGTCACAGGAGCAGAAGACACAATGGTGCGGGTATTTTCCCTAACAGCCTCAGCAACTTCAAATCCATGGGGCTGTTTTGAGACTTGTCGAGTTTTGAAGACACATAGATCTGGAATACAACACGCCTCCTGGTCAAAGAATGGCAAATTTCTCTTTACAAGTGCCGCGGAAGAAGAATTCTTTGTTTGGAGTGTATGTTGGATTCCGTCATTTGGGCTTGCTACCAAATTAGTGGCAAAGGGCCCCAAGACAGATCGCAACTCTGAGCTTCGTATAACAAGCTTTGATGTGGTAGAGGTGGAAGAGACTGGTAATGAGTGTGCATTCCTCATCTGCCTAACATTATCTAACTCTATGGTCCGAGTGAGTTTTCCTTCCTGCGCTCGCATCGTTGAGAAAATGAGGAGCATGTAAAAGTTAATATTTTCCAGATCTTGCATTATTCGCCAAATAATGGCAACAGTTTCTCTCTTATAGCAAAAGGGAGATACATGACGAACTGTTTGACCGAAGGCCATCTTTTAGTGCATGCCTCCTGCGTCACACTCATGACCGCTGCAACAGACGGATACATGACTCTTTGGGATCTGACCACGACACTTCGCCCTTTCTATACCATCGATTCCAATTTGCTGAAGTCCAAGCCTTCACTTTCATCTTCACAGCCTCCTGTTGAGGATATTAGCTGTGAGGATCGCTACAGGATTCATTCCAACAGTGTCAAAGCTCTGGAGAAGGCGCCAATAACTCCTACTCTGACTATGATAGTTTCTGGCGGTGATGACAACTCATTGTCAATCTCACTCCTCAAACACTCCCTCGCATCCGCAACTGGAACCGATACAGCCGTGTCAACGACATCAATCCCAGATGCTCATGCAGCTTCGATCACCGCAGTTAAAATTTTAAAGGAACCCCGCCTCTTCCACGATGATAACGGCATGGAAACTGTGCAAATAATGATGGCTTCTTCAGGAAACGACCATCGGGTAAAGATTTGGATGATCAGCCTTGATCCCTCTACGCACGACGCGAAAAGTATTCAGATTCGGTTCATAAAAGACCAATACTCTGCCGTTGCTGATGTTTCATCACTTGGTCTTGTTTCCGAGACAGAAAACTTCACTGGAGAAACAAAAGCTCAGCTACTAGTGTGTGGTGTTGGTATGGAGATGTTCGAAACGAAAATCTGATAGATCCTACGCATGCGTTAGCAAGATGTCGTCCAAATATTTATATAAACAAAAGAAAAATGTGAAACATCCATCATATTCAAACATCGATACTATTCTCCAGTCTCCTCAGCGCAACCTTGAAGTCTAGTGTATTAGCAATCTGTATGTATACAGCTTCAGATATTTGTATACGTAATAATACCTATACTAGCCACAAAATTCGAAATAACATCTCATTTCATAGACAGCAATGTTAGAATCCCGTGCCATAAAGAGTTTAGGCTGCGATCTGCAACTAAGCTGCCTCAACTTGGGGTTGCATTGGCACCGGAACTCATTTGAGTGGAGTTCCAAGGTTGAGAGGCATAAAGTCAAGGCAGAAGACACACAGTCGACCCCGCATTGCACGGAGACTGCGCCGTCTTTATCAGCCTCATAAACAGAAAATATCCCAGAATTACGGAGCATCATCCGTGGCAAAAAGCAACCTTGAAATGATACTATACTGTTGAAGTGTGCTGTTCGTGTCACATGGAAGGAGGTCATCATTGAGTGAGTGGAGGAAACGCCTGACTGCGTGATGCTCACGCCATTCTTTATAAGTCAAATGTGCCACCTCTCAACCTTGCGAGAATCATATACCACACATCTACACCAAAAATGAAATTCCAATCAATTTGCATGGCTGCTAGCTTGGTTGCTGCAGGTGCTGTGGCATCCCCTGTCAAGGCTCATGACAGGCCTCCTACCTACCTCTTTACATTGTGGGTGAATATTACCCAACCCGTGAGCACGAGAGATGAGACTGACGCTATAGCTGCAGCGGGGATTCTTACAGCATGACCAGCTTTGACATATCCGGAGAACAACCAGCGCCCGGAGATGCAATGGGCAATCCGGCACTAGGTTAGTGTGGACTCATATCACAGGTCTGATTCTGTACAGGCCTGTACAGGCAGTATAGCGACTTACACATTCTAGGTACCGGTACCACAGGAGGAGGCATCAATTGGATAGGAGACCTCACTACTGCGGAAAATGAAACGCTCATCCTAACCTACAACCTCGCAGTAGGTGGGGCAACTATTGACAACCAGATACTCAATGCTGGAGTGGAGGACATGACAACACAAGTTGCGACTTTTCTCTCAACTTACGGCGACAAGCCTGGCATCGCACCCTGGGCTTCGGATAATACTGTTTTTGGGTTTTGGATTGGGATTAACGAGTAAGCATATCTTCTTGAATTTTCCTCTTCAATAAATGAATCATGTGCCCTAACACGCGAATATAGTGTCGGTTGGGCATACTCCAGTCAAAACGCCACGACACTTGTACCAGTGCTAATGGCGCAGTATAAATCTCTCGTTGAGCAGATATACGCCAAAGGTGGACGAAACTTTTTATTCTTGAACGTCCCACCCACGAGTCGCAGCCCATACATTCTAGAATCTGGGTTGGCAGCTTCGCGACAACACGCAGCATGGTTGACTGTTTTTAATGAATATCTGAAGTTGATGATACTCGGCTTTCAAGATGAGCACCCCGAGGTTCGTTTACAACCTGTCTATACCATTACAAATACTCACTTACTAACGAGATATAGGTAAAAACCGTGCTCTATAATTCTTGGAATTTCATGACACAAATTCTCGACAACCCAACCAAATATCATTATCCGAACTCCACCTGTATTGATACTGACGGGACAACCTGCATTTGGTGGAATAGCTACCATCCTGGCTTGCGATACCACGCCCTGCAGGCTGCTGATATGAAAGGTCACCTTGAGCCATTCGGTGCTTGGTGAATGATCCGTCCGGCTTATCATATACAAATGTGCCCGAAGGCTACAGTAAAATGCAGAAATGCTGCTTGCGTTTCTCGGGAGAACAGCAGCGAAGATCCGCCCGATAAGATATCATATGACTGCGCTGGGAAGGGGATACAGAATTTAGCTTTCTAATTTCCCAAAGGGGATTCCAGGGTTTTGCATGCGCTGCAAGCTACCTGGGCACTGAAGCTTTTCTATGGAGATTACGTGAGTTTGCAACGCGGCCATATTCCCCTTCGGTCGCCCTTAACATGTCTCGTGTGTTAGATCTTCAGGAAAGATAAAGCAGACGGAGAGAAGCCGATCCATCGCAATTCATTTATGACTTATTTCTCTCGATCAGTGACGAGCATATTGATGAAAATACATAGAATAAAACGCCCATATATGCCCAGTGTATACGAATGTTTAAATAGAGCGTAATTCACTCAGCGAATGCAGTTTCGAGTCGTCGGATGATTCTCGCTGGATTACCAGCAACAACATGGAATGCAGGAACATCCTATAAACAGTTCGTCAGCAACGATAAGAACAACAAATACCTATTGGCCACCGATTGTTCGACTGATAATCACAGGGCCATTCCATACCTTGGTAACAACACTGCCAGCTCCAACCGTCGAACCTTTCCCGATGGTGACTCCAGGTAGCACGATGACGTTTCCGCCAATCCAGCAATCTTCGCCAATGGTGATCGGCTTGCCCGACTCAGGACCTTCAGTCCCGTTTCTCAGCGCAGGGTCCAGGGGGTGGTTTCCTGCAAACAAATTGACATTAGGGCCTAACATGGTCCGGGCGCCAACTGTGATAGGACAACTATCGATGAAAACGCAATTGAAGTTCACAAAGACACCTTCGCCGAGTCGCACATTAAATCCATAGTCCACTTTGATAGGGGCTTCGACCCAGGGCTCGTTCTTAAAAAGCTCGTTATCTGCTGCAGGATCTGCAAGAGGCTCTGGGAGAGGTGTCTTGTCATCGACAATACTGAAAGAAGCATAAAAATGGATATTAATGATCAAGAACAAGAACAAGAACAAGAACAAATGAAGGATGAAAAGGATCCATCAGTGCTGCGTAAGAGGCAAGCGTTGGAAACAGGCGACTGCTAGGGCCGAAGCCGACGCGCTCACAACACCGAGCTCTGAGATCAATCAATGTCCAATAGGGTCTCTGCATATGAGGCTACTCACTCTCTCCACAGTTCAACAAGACGCCGACGCGATGCCTCATCTGTGTTATTGAATCGATTGCAGGCATACTTGCACCGTGCGCGAGCTGCCACAAGATCAGGCGTAAAGGCACGGAATAGCTCACCGCGGAGCATCTTTTCGCGTTCCGTAATTTCCGACATGTTTCCAATCAATCCTGGCGGTCGCGTACAATCCTAGACTCAGTGACAGGGATTTGTCGTGATGCTGGTTCTGTCTACCGTGGGGAATCAACAGCGGGGACAGTTCAGGCATTAAGGCACCAGCCACGTGGAAGTATAGTTAATGGGCTTCTAACGTTGAATATTCTCTTCACTCTGCTATCTGCGTGATATACAAGCAGTGAGCTCTATGAGTATGAAAACACTAACTTACCACTAGGTACAGACATTCATGGGACAAGTCACTCAGAATCTGAACTACTCTTTTCTCCAAACACATTTGATTCAAAATTATCACTGTCGAGGCAAAAGATGAAATATCAATTTATTCGACTTCAGACATTGGAACAAAAACAGAAACTCATTAGATGCTTTCTCTCTTCTCTCCGCATCTAATATCCTCCGGCCTTCTCCTGCATGGGCTTGAAGGTGATCGTCGTGGGCTTGTCACTGATACCGCGTTTCTTCGCTTCATCCAGGATGGCCACAGTGGCCGTGGCACCAATACGAGTCACGCCCAGACTCATGACATGCAGCAAATCATCCAGTGTGCGAACGCCGCCTGCCGCCTTAACCTGGACCTTGGACCCAGAATGCTGACGCATGAGCTTGAGATCCGACACGGTCGCACCGAGATAATTGTAAGATCCATCGGCCTGCTTAACAAAGCCATATCCAGTCGAAGTCTTAACAAAGGCAACTCCAAGATCTGTACAAATCTCACACAATCTGATGATGTGCTCGGGCTTGAGATAGTCGTTTTCAAAAATGACTTTGAGGATCGCGCCGTGGCGCATTACCACGCGATTGATCTCGTCAATTTCGCGAGTAACATATTCCCAATCTCCACCGAGGACCTTTCCAATGTTCACAACCATGTCTATTTCCTTGCCACCAGCCTCGGCGGCAGCTTTGGCTTCCAGCACTTTGATTTCAGTGGTGCTATTTCCGTGGGGAAACCCGATCACAGGGCACACGAGGACATCCGTGCCGGCCAGTTCGTTTTTGGCGAGTGGAATCAAATATGGTTTCACACAAGCCGTAGCTACCTTGTGTTCTTTGGCGATCTTGATTCCCGCAAGAAATTCAGCATCAGTCATAGTTGGGTGAAGCAGGGAGTGATCTATCATCTTCGCAATCTGCGACAGCGTCACGGTGAACGTGTTGGAAGACATTGTAGGTAAATGGACAGTATGAGATGGCCTTTTGGCTGATTAAATTGCAAATCCAATTCTTTGAAATGATTAATTAGAGATCTGAACCTTGTTGAGATCCATGCATTTATATAGGACCATGTTCTTCATTTATTTGCCGGCATTGGCTAGAACTACTCCGAATCGCCAGCTTGAGTGTCCTTCCACCGGAGTCATGGATAGGTTTCCGTTGTTACTATGAATGGCAAGCAGAAAGCGTATTATTATTATTATTCAAATTCTATTATGATTCGTCAAATTCCCGTTCAATTCCCGTTCAATTCCCAAAAAGCGTATCAAATCTGCCGCTGTGACGTATAAGACCCGCCTCCATGCTCCACCGGAAAGATTTCCCTTTTAGGCTGACATTCCGGTGTTCCGACCAACTACTCTCACCTCCTTTCCGATTCGACTCGAGAATTCGCCATGGCTCCCCAGGGTAAACGGGCAAAGATTGGAAGTGCTTGTCAAAGGTGTCGTCGACAAAAGCTTAAGGTAATCACCAGTTGTATTGTTCACGGATCGGGAACAGTGCTAACCCTGATAGTGCGACATTAAGCGCCCCTGCACCCTATGTGCTCGTGCTGGTGTGGAATGCCAAACAGCAGACCAGTGGCGAGCAGTTCAACCACCACAGAATAATGAGAGAGAAATATCAACGCCCAAACGCAAGCCTGTATTCGGCGTTGAGCTATCGGAAGATGTTAGCAGTTCCGAGCAGCCGTGGTCTAGTTCTACCATGTCGCTGGTACAAGGGGTAAGCTACTTAACCCCCCTCCACACTTGTGTCGCTATTACCATGCTGATATTATGCCAGGCATTCCATTTACACGATTCTACAACCCCAGATACATCATTGACAACTGCCTTACCGGGTGGTGGGATACTGAATGGGCCGACTAGCCCGACGCCTGGCTCCCCGCTCCCCGCTACTATAGCCTCCCGACCACGATGGTTACGGTCAACTATGGAAGATCTAGTTTCACTATTCCCATCACATCAAGTAGCGGCTTTGTTGGTCGATACATATTTTGACCGCGTGCACTGGTTCATGCTCATTTTTCATCAAGACGATTTCCGACAAACCTGGCAACGAATGTATGACTATCCAAGAGATCAAGTGGTTGACCACTTTCCAAATCCAGGGTTCATCAGTACATTTCTTGTCGTAATTGCAATTGCACTACAATACGCAGGTACACACAGAAAGAGGCTTTTGAAGGGTCATGGAATATCCCCAGTGAATCTCAAAGAGAAAATTCTGTCCACAACCCGCGCCAAGATACTTGATATTGTTTCGTTGAGGTCTCTGGAGTCAGTTCAAACCTGCATTCTTTTGGGAACTTACTATCTGTACCATGGAAGTCCGGAGCTAGCGTGGCCAGTTTGTGGCTGTGGGCTACGCGTTGCCCAAGCTATGAATCTGCATCGAAAAGTGTCATCCACAACACCTATGACACCTGAGATGCACAGACGGAACGAGGCTCGGAAACGTTGTTGGTGGGCCATTTACGAGATTGAAACCTTTTGCTCTATGTCGTATGGATATCCACATAACATCAACGACTCGGATTGCGATGTTGAGCTTCTAGACCCGCTGGCTAAGTCAGCTACCGGACAATCGTCTGCGTCTTTTGACGACACCCATCAATTTCCAGCAAGTCTTCTGTCTTATAAATATTTAATGTCTAAGCTATCAATCCTGGTCAAGGGTATTCTCACCGATCTATACAGACTCGGCCCTCTAAAAGGCAAGCGTCATTCAGGCAGGTCCGGGCCCCCGAGTCTCTGTCAAAAAGCTGCAACTTTTGATACTCAACTAAATAGTTGGAGAAGAGAAATACCCGGTCCTTTACAGCTCAAGGACCTGGATGTTAGTATGACATATTCCTCCGCAGATGAAATGGATCAGGACATTGGTGCTTCTGGTCCCAGATTCGAGGCCCACATTTACCAATTGCAGGCCCTTGCTCTAGAGCTTGCTTATGAAAATGCTAGAATTCTTGTTCATCGCCCATTGTTGGCGTACAAGTCAATTTCGTTCGGTATGCGTGAAGCTCAAGACAATCATAACCAAGCCCAAGGCCCGCTGAGTCTAGCTCTACAATCCTGCCGTGATGCCGCTTTGAAAACTTCCAAGGTCGAGAAGACCAAAATATTTTCGTTGGCGACTTATACTTATTCGGCAACGTTCATCGGGATTCACACTTTTACGGCCGGTGTCATGCTTTGCATTTTGATCAGCAATGAGCCCTTAGGCTTACATTCCCCTGAATCTAAGATAGGCTTACGCCGGTTATTGGGAATGCAATCAAAATTAAAATCACAATCAAATTCTACTCTGGCCACACAAGGCTTGGCAATCCTCGAGAGGCTGGCTAGGTTAGTCATGGAAAAAGAGCTAGAAGAGATTTTGCGTGGATCACAGATCGTGCCCACGCTCGCTGATCCCGGATGGGAGTCTCTTGCACAGAATTCTGATGACCGTGATCAGGTTCACACTTCAAAAGAGCCAACCGGGGAGCCCACGGTCATATACATAGATGACCCAGTCATGTCGCAGGCCCTCTATGAATTTGATCAAGGTGTGTTGCACAGTTTACCCTAAATCAGTAAGTACAGAGACTAAAATTCTTATAGAACTGTCGAGAAATTATCTCAATCCACCACCGGAACCCCAGTTTCCCGATATATCTGGCTCTGCGAGTGGATTTGCTCCTGAGCAGGGATGGATCTGGGGAATTGACAGTCTGGCACTTTTCCCGGAGTTATGATCTCAACCGCTGACAGCCAACTATACAAGAAGCGGTATAACTTGTTTTTATCTATCATGGTTGGGTTTTATTCTACCTAACTTGGAGATATTAGTATCAGGCATAGTACTACATAGTCGATAATAGAATGATATTGATGATGCTGCTGTGGATTCCTTTCTCTTCGACCAACTACGCCAAGACATGATCCCTAATCATATTTGCCATCATTCTTCAAAGTGACCACTTCCAGACACCATTTTTTAAAAAAATACCAGAGTTTTCCTCGTCCTAGAAGTTTTGCAATGACCCTGATCGCCACCGCGTGCTTAGATGTACATAGTGCTCCACCCGGCCCTTATCAGTGGAGATAAGCCTCGACACAATTCCGCTTTTCCGTTCACACTCTCACTCCTCTCTGCCACCACGAATCCCACTAAGCGACACCATGCCACCCAGCCCAATCAAGCGCGGGGGCCATTTTAGTTATGATAAACCAAGAAAACGATCAAATTATACCCAAGTTGCTTGGTGAGCGATACAGATCGGCTCGGCAGTATGGTTCCGAGCGGCCGAACGTGATATGCTAACAGGCACCAGCAATGAATGCAAAAGACGCAAATTGAAATGCAGTGGAGGAGAGACTTGCACTCGATGCGCCCGTGACGAAATACGATGTATATATGCCACATATAGATCGGCTGTACCGACGCACGAGGATGATTCTAAGGATGATCGGTGAGCAGCTTTCCGAACGTTGGGCGGATCCTACGTTTACTTCCATGGGTCAAAGCCCGCCCGCACAAGATATAACTGACTCATGCAACACAGTGTAACTTCGCGTTTTGAAGCAGTGGATGACCAACTTCAGAGTTTGCAACGGGAAATGCGCGCTATTGCGGACCGCCTGCGTGAACTCGAGTCCGAAAGTCCCGTTGCTTCGACTAAAGTCTCAGCCAGTGTGACTGCCGCCGCAGGCAGCTTAAGTCGAATCCTAAATGCCCCCAAATCACCTACATATGTCGGTCCAACGAGTGCAGAGTTTGGGCTTAGCCAACAACCGCGGCCCTGTTCCGAAGAGAACGATCCTAGCCAGAACGATGAGGAAGATGAGGAAGAGAATTTTGGCCTCTTAACGGGTAATCCGAGCCCCGCGCCGACTGGCGAACAAGACGATATGAGTGGTATGGATCCTCTCCAGTCATTGGGTTTGGAAGAGATCTTACGCTTGGTCAAGGTTTACGAAGATACAGTTGGAATCATGTACCCTTGTGTTGACCTGGCCAGTTTGCGCACGTACGTCGTGGAATTCCATCATACCTATAATCCAGATATTGATCATGTTTCCGGTCCGGTCCCCATAACTTCTGATCAAAATTGGTTCCACGCACGAGATATACAGGTTCTGAAGATTTTGTTAGCCACTGCTTTGCTCGTTGAGTCTCATGGTCGAAGCGAACGTGCTGCACAGTTGGCAAATAGCGTCGAAGACCGGTTTGCGAGTCGCCTAAAGATAGCAGAGGTCGATATGAAAGAGATTTTAATTTTGACTTTGTTGGTAAGTCGCTTAACCGCTGATTGCGCACATTTATTTTGATGCGCAATGATGATATTTCCTTCTGATACGAACAGTCTATTTTTCATTCATATCGCGACGATGAAGTGATTGCCTGGCGATTGACTGGAATGGCAGCCCGGGGGAGTATGGAGCTCGGTCTCCATTGCCAGGATACATGGCACAAGACAGGGGGCGTGTTTCCCGGGGCCTTGGAATGGATATGGGCTAGCCGCCTATTTTGGTGCATTTATGTACTGGATAGGAAATGGTCCTTCGGGACTGGTCTTCCATTTGCTATCCAGGACTCTGATATGGACACCAATTTGCCCGAGCCAGGCCATTCGACACCTTATTTAACTTGCATGATTTCATATGCGCGGCTCAGTACAAAGATATGGGGTCTGGTTGTTGGATGGCAAAGTAGGTCCAAGGAGGCGACTTCAGAAAGATGCGCCATTCTTGATGCCCAGGTACACCAATGGGTACATTCAATCCCTCAAGAACTAAGATATGACCCCTCTTGGCGACCGTCGGCAGGGTCAGAACATGCGGATCGACCGATAATGCTACAGGTGCTTCTCGCCCTGCAGGCAAATCAACTGCGGATCTTGGTCTATCGACAGAATCTTCTGAGCACTGAGCGAATTGCAGAGGACATTACCGGGGCTTCTACTGCAGTGGAAACAGCGAAGAGTACAGTGCATATGCTCGATTATTTCAGTCGGGTCTCGAATATGTACTTTCAACGCCCAGAACCTTTCAACTACTTCTTGATCTCAGCTCTTGCTGCCTTGTTTCTTGCTGTGTTACATGCGCCTGCCCACTTTAGCCAGGCCTGTCGTCCAGAGTTCTTTACGGCTGTTGACATGGTCCGACGTTCAGCGACCCGTGCTCGCACATCGCGACGTCTTCAAAAAATAATTCACAGTCTAAAGAGAATTCAGCTGAATGCACACTGGCAAATGAAGTCAGGTCGCCAATCCTTGGTTCCAGATAAAGAGACCTTGAGTAGAAACTCACGTCCGCATATACCCACTAATTCATATCCTGCTTTATCTAGTCGGGCAAGACATCTAAACTCGGGTACTCAATGGGATTCGAATTCAACTCCATCCTATACCGAGTCACCATCGGCTCATAATGCACCTAGCCTTGATCAAACTCCCAGTTTGTTGACTCCCCAGCAATCATCTGCAACATTTTGGCCTTTGTCACCTGGTACAGCACCTGATGCGGACTCAAATGAATGCCAAGATCTCAGTAGCTTTTTTGAGATAGCTGGTGGTTTTTACTTTGATCCACAGTTAGGCACTGATTTCTCAGCTGGGGTGGATGATGACGTTGCAAATTGTGAGAACGGCCGATTGCCCAATGCTCTGGGAGCCTTTCACGCAGAAGATGAAGCTTTAACACGCGTTATGGCTGGTCTTTTATGATCCGTGGGGGTTAGATTCCACGAGACTTCGAGATATACGCATCCAACCTATGAATTATCAGGAACACAGATTGGACCATTGATTGGAAAAGCCACAAAGCGCGGCATACATTGAGTGAAAACATATTTGAAGCCCGAAATTCTTGATGTATTCAAACATCATGTATATAACTTACCAATACCCTGACATAGAATTTTCAATGTCTTCCTTGTAACTCTCGCTCCAGAGCTCTCGTATATGATCCATCGTGATCTACCGAAGGCGAAGACGGCCCTCCGACCAGCGGGCTCGGGCTTTCTCCCACCATACCGGAAGCTCATACGCACAATGACAAAGTATACCGGCAATAAAGCCAATGGCATCATTCTTGAATCCTACCAGCAAGCCAACAGTAACCATCATGACCGTCCATCGTCTTTTGCGCTCTTCATCAGTGAGCACAGGGCCAAGGTGCTGCTCTGTATTTGCCAATAAACCACCTCCAGATTGACCCACGTCACGAGCTCCAGAGGTATTAAGGCTCTCGCCAACACTTAAAAGCTCAAGACCCGCTGCAATAACCATGATACCGAGGAACGCAGCAGGGAAACGTTGCAGCAGATCGACTAACGTCTCCCCAAAAAGGAACCCAATAATGAGCTTCAGCACGCCGAGAAAGATAACACTAGCTCCAGACCGTGCACCGAATCTATACTGAGCTGCTAGACCACCTGATCCATGACAAACCGGCATTGCACCAAACCAGCAGCCCAATAAGTTCATACCAGCAACACTGAGGCCGATATGTGTAATCGATGGGGTCTTCACATTTGGCAATAGATCGTGTGAGAGATGAACGACAGCAACAATAGAATTGAGGGTGGTGAGAGGGATTTGGCCAATACCAGCGTCGATGGCTCCGATCCGCCATTGATGAAGTGTCGGCAGTACGACGAAAGGGTGCCAAGTCTCGAATGCAGGCAAATGGCCAGCTAACGCGGTTCGAATAATGGCAAACAAGAGACCAACCACAAAAATCGCCAAGGCATACGGAACCCGACGATAAATATTGGTAATTGTGAGAGCGACGAAAGCCACAACTGCCCAGATCCTATTATCCGCCCATGATGGAGTAACCCAACCCAGACCAGCCAGCGTACCACTACAGGCCGTGATTACCAATGACAATCCCGCACCAACCTGAATACCTTTAATAACAGGAATGGGTATGACGTTCGCAAACCAGCGCAAAAGCCCCGTGACACTGAAAACAAGGATGCAGGCGCCAACAAAGATTCCCGCAGCAGCTATCGAGCCATTAGAAAAGTTCCGAGCAATGGCCACAGCAGCGATCGCCTTCATCGGTTGAACAGGAAGAGGTATGCCAAAGAATAGACCAGTGAGAATATTATAAGCACCGGAGAAGATGAGAGTGCTCGCTAGCGAGACAGTGCCATTTACAGCGAGGGCGATCGCGAGAGGCAAAAAGGTTCCCAGGTCGCCTAAAGAGCCGGAGATTTCGGATACATAATTCCGTTTGAAAGTCCGTACATTGTGCTCGGTGATTTCTCGTAGAGACTGAGCTGTCATTGTCGAAAGTTTGTTGGAAACTTGAACTGGATGTAAAACGAAGCTTGGGAAGGACAAGAACAAGATGGGAGGTCAAGCTTGGGTCATGCGGAGCTTATCAAGATCGGCGAGTTCCGCTCAGCCCCGCACTTTCCCGCACTTTCCCGCACTTATCGTCAGTTGGCGCGTGGACAAACCTGTTTTATCTAGTTCAAGGTCGATCAAGAGGAAATTATTATATGTTCCTCTTTGCTCGTAACGCTGGAGATTGAACGAAATCCGAAAGATGATTGTCTGACCACGAAGCTACAGCCAGTGTTAGTGTCGCCTAGAAAAATAACAAGACGAGTGATACGTACCAACACCGAAGTCAACTATTCTGATGTGCGGCTCACGCATTTTCGAGATGAGCGGCGTTCTGATGACCTCTCTGAGTGGCTCTGTAATACCAAATTCATTACTGACCCATTCAGGAACTTCAAATAGATACTTACCAATAGTTTCTTGCGGATCTTCCAGCTCGAGTAGTATATTCGTAGGTTTTAGACCTGTATATCGACCATAATTAGCACCATTATTGTGAGTAGAAAACAATTCGCAGTACCGATATGAATAATTCCACACTCCCTGTGGAGGGAATCCAACCCCAGTAGGAGCTCTCGCGCTACAGTTCTTACTGCCTTGAGGGGCAATCTCCCATCTACATAATTTGCGGTTTGAAAATCCAAATGGTGGCCCAACACGTCGAACACAAAGCATACGTGTTGTCAATTCGAACCAAAAGGGGTAACACGTAGTGTCGGCCTCCATGGTTGCTTTTCCCATAAATATCGGATAATCTCGAGAGAATTTCTAGCTCGGAGATGTCGTGTGAGCCACCGTATCAATCAGCTCTTAGTATTTTGAGGGCCACATATCCCTGAGCCCTTCAGTACTTGATAAGTTGCATGTTTGACAAATTTGGGAAATTAGTTACGCTCACTTCGAATCCCTAGCTAACCAAATGGTAGAATATTTCCCGTAGCCTAGTTTCCCCATCACTTTGTATGCGCCAGAGTTGAAACTGTCTCCAAGTGAATAGGGATGGAAGCCTCCAGTAGAATAAAAGTCTGGCTCTTCTGTTGGTTGGTGTGGGTTGGGAGATCTTGATGAAACAGGTTCGAAGAATTTGCCGAGCCAAGCTCGAGAATTTACCCGAGTCAACCCTTTTTTCAAAGTAGTCATCATTTTGAGATGTTAGTTACAAAACTTATGGCATGAACCTTTTGGACCGCTCGTCGGACAAATTATAAATGATCCCAGGGGTGTATCGGGGACGTTTATACAAGTTCCCAGACGCGACAGTCACGTGCTATATATACCGTCCGCAGTATGATACTAACGATCTTATATATAAACGGCTAGGTGGCTAGGCTCTTCAGCCGAGATATATGAACGGCCAGGATCTGCCTCCAATACCGTTGTATACTACTATTCCATACAGGTCGTTACTGTTACTAGTACTAGTATAGAAAGGATGTTGCGGGAGTGACACTGCCGGAAAGCCAATCAAGACTCAAGACCTTCAAAGTTTGGAATCTCGTCTCTATGATACATCTTTCAATGCTGAAAAATGCAACCAGTCAGAGTTTATTTGCTAAAGAGCATATTTACTTACTTTGTGAAGGTTTAGGGCGCGAATAATATATTCACTCATTTGACGGATGTATATATTGGTGCAAGTGTACAGATGCTTACTTGAACGTCCAGAGCCACATCATATCGTCCACTACTGGGAGTTATACCCCAGAACAGTGTACCCAGATCTGAATCTGAGTAAGTACTTGTTCTCCAAGCGACTTGAAACTTTGAATTAAGTAGATATCCTTATTTAATAGTTATTCAGTTTGATGAATGCATGTTCAGGTTTGTAACTAATTAGATTCAGGATTACATAAGCTACCTTATCGATAAGACAAGCCCTTATCTTAAGCGGTGAGAGCCCTATGACGTCGTGTCTCGCATTGAACAGAAACAGAACGATTTTCACTCCAGCAATTTATACCCCTCCACATCTAACTTCTTTCGAATATGACGGTCACCTCCGCAGAAGATCCACTAAGCATTCTACCACCCGAAATTGTCCTGCGAGTTTTGGACTTTGCCTCGATTTCCACTCTCGCGGCCCTGAGTTCGGCATCTAGAGCCTGGCACGAGTTTATCGATGTCACCCACCAAGACGCAATCTATAGTTCCGAAGCTAGAACCTCCCTTCCTCCCAATACGCCTCGAGATCTCTCATTCTTGTCAAAGGCTCACAACTTTTCGAAATCCTTCGAAGGCACTGCATCATGGAAGGAGTTTTGCAAGCGCCAAACGGCCCTCGCCCAAAATTGGGCCGATTCCACTCCGATCACCCGAGAATCAGTGCTTCAAGTCGGCAATGATCCGGTGTGGCGCTTCCGGCCCGACTTCAAACGTCGCTTCTTTGTCTCTACCTCCCATGTCGGAGGACTGAATGTGACGGACATGGATACCGGTCGGATCTTGTGGCGCATGCCTTCATCCGAGGACCGAGATGACTATGCCGTCCGACCATATGCCCACCTGGAGTATCAGGACGGAATGGCTGTGTTTGATCGGGAAGGGGACGCAGTAGAGGTTTGGCAGGCAGATGTGGATGATGCACCACGTGGAGAGTTTCGACGGATCGCTGTTTTGCATCATGATTGCCAAACGAGAGGATTTCAACTCTCTTATGACACACTATGTGTGGTCTCGAACCAAGGACAGGGCTTCGTATATGACATGACACAACGCCCCCCTCAATTGAAGACACACTTGAGTATTGAAAATGGTGCTATTGGTCATCTTGATCAGAGTCACGATGCAGTAATATATTCTGTCGGGGCAAAGGGCTATCATGTTTACAACAAAGCCACGGGTTCCTACTTGGGTGCGTTGCATCCATCTCGCTGCACAAATAGATATCATATTCGCCCGCCAGCTCCATCTTCTCGGTCAGCAAGCGCGGCCTTGGCTGGGGCGGCCAGACATGGCCCTACCCATCGCGTTTTTCCTCCTGGGCCACCTCGCAAAGACTTCTTGACACCCCTGGAGCTTCTCGACGGACCGCTCTCTCCAGCTCCATCGGATCCAGAACACGTCTGGCACGGGGAAGACGAATGGGGGGCAGGCATGTTAGATGGTGATCTTTTTGTCGGCTTCTCTCGGGCTGGACGAGTCTTCGTTTGCTCTAATTGGCGCAAAGCAATCCATGAAGAAACTGCCTTCACTGCTAACACTTCCATAATTGAGTGTGAAACGGATGGCTCTAGCTTTGACTTAGGCGGTTGGTTAGCAGTACGGAACCACCGTGTGATGTTTGAAATTCAAGACCGGATCTATATTGTGGCCTTGGATGATCGTAACAAAATTCAAACATCCAAACCGCCTTTCCGTGCTTCTTACGCGCTAGCCACAAGCTCTGCCCCCCAGCTTGCTGTGCCTGTCAGCTTCATGACATTGTGTGACGATGCCATCATGACCACATACACTGTACGTCTCAAAACATTCGATTGGGGGAAAATACACAGAAACCCTGGTCCACAATAGCTAATACTACTGATCATAGACTCTTGGCTGGCGTCAAACCCTCTCCAACATTCCTGGTGATGTTAGTCAACAACGACACGAAAACCATACTCGGATTTTCCCAACCAAGGCCATTCGAATTGTCAGCCTCAATCCCAACTCAGTCGCCATTTCAAACTCACACTCCAATAATACGACCCCCGACCATTCCGCAGCAACAAATGACGATGCTTCGGATCCCAACCGTGCCCTTGCCGAGGATGCCTGGCGTTCCCAGGCCAGCTTGCTAGAGGTGATTAGTATGCTCCAGGATGAGTTTGAAGAAGAGGAGGAGGAGGATGGAGGTGCTGAGCTGCTGATGGCAGAGTTGCAAAACGACGGTGTTATCGACGGCGACTGGGAGGATATCAGCGAAGGTGATGATGATGGCGAGGACGAACGTCCATTCGTATCCGGTACTTGATTTTGGGCGACGTTACAAGAGATTCAAGATGAAACGCTCCTGGCTAAGCAACTTGAATTCTCTTGAACCCTCTTGCCTTCCTGGCATTAGAATGGGCCTCGTTCACTAACCACAACACAGCACATAGTATGCACATGTACACACAGCAAATCACCTCATTCCCACTTTCAAGATAAAAAGGATACTGGGAATTGAGTCCATAACGACATAGACACACGTGAAGTTGAAAAACAGAAATCATCAATAGACAACAGTCCCAAGGCACTGGACATGGATACTTTTTCAAGCTTTGATTGTAGATGGCTCCCACAAGCCATACGGATTAACCAGACAGAAACAACGACTTTAGTTTTGAACTCGGACTTTTACATTTACCAAGTTGGTTTTATCTTCGCGAATTATTCTATGACTTGTCATCTGATGCAAGAGAAATACTTCCCCGAGCCCTCCCCATGTTTCGCTGGTCCAATTCCGGAGAGCCCCACTATATATGGGTCATGACATGAAAAGGGCGCGAAGAGAATTTTCATTCGATATCTAACTGCCATATACCTCCAATTCATACATTATTACGATCTAAGATTCGATTTCACAAATTCCGGATCAATTGTGCCAACTGATTCTTGAAATGGACAGTCTCGAAATATCTTCTCAAGAAGATATAGCTGACCACCATGAAATCAATTTGCCACCAGTGGATACAGGCAAACGAGCATGGTTGTTCTTAGCAGCATGCTTCATGATCGAAGGATTAATCTGGGGTTCGTGTTGAAATCTTGTTTAAACAGGTTGGGCGTTGATCTGACTGGTTTAGGTTTCACATTCTCTTATGGCGTCTTCCAGGATTACTATACCACCCACGAGCCATTCAAGAGCTCCGGTGATATCGCTGTGGTCGGAACCTGCGCAATGGTCAGTGATTTATTCAAGAATAAATTCTTCACTGACAAGAGCATAACTGACTCCCTACTAGGGTATCTCCTACATGCTACTACCGGTTGCATTCTTATTACTACAAGCAATTCCCCGCCTCAAGCTGTGGGCAGCACCTATTGGGTTTATCATTATGTGCCTGGCACTTTCATTGAGCTCATTTGCAACCAGCACAACTGGCCTGATACTGTCACAAGGTGTTGCATATGGCATTGGCGCAAGTCTAGCATATGCTCCGACGATTGTTTTCATGGAGGACTGGTTCGTACGCCGGAAGGGACTTGCATTCGGAATCATGTGGGTAAGTAGTTCCAAGGTCTCGAATAACGATATTCATTACGATGTGAATACTAAACATCAAACAGGCTGGGACTGGTCTATCAGGAGTGATTCTGCCAGTCGTGCTGCAGTGGATGCTAGACACATACGGTCACAAGACGGCTTTACGTGCCTGGTCCATTGTCCTCCTAGTAATGGGTGGTCCCCTTCTATTCTACCTTCGTCCACGTCTCCCTATCTCTCGTGCATCGCACACACGGCCATTTGACTTCCGATTCCTTTTAGATCCAACATTCATCATCTACGAATCAGGAAACATCCTAGAAGCGATGGGATACTTTCTTCCAACAATTTACCTCCCCACCTACGCTAAAAGCCTTGGAGCCAGTTCAATCGAGTCGACGTTGACCGTCATGGTATTCAATCTTGCTTCTGTCTTCGGTTGTGTGATTATGGGTTCAATGGTTGACCGCTACCATGCTACAACTTGTATCCTGGGCTCGACAATAGGCAGTACCATTGCCGTGTTTTTTATTTGGGGCTTCGCAGACAGCTTAGCTCCGCTGTACATCTTCTGTATCTTCTACGGTCTTTTTGCTGGGTCTTTTACTTCAACCTGGCCAGCTGTTGTTAACGAGATCAAGAAGAAAAGTGTGTACACAGATCCCAGCATTATCTTTGGGATGCTCTCAACTGGAAGAGGTATTGGGAATATTATCAGTGGCCCGCTTAGTGGGGCCCTTCTTGCCCATAAATCTTGGGAAGGCGTCGCTGCTAAGGCTTATGGATCAGGATATGGACCCTTGATTGTGTTTACGGGTGTTTCTGCATTCCTAGGTGGCTTAGGCGTGATTGCAAGGTCTACAGTGCGCTCTTAAAGCACACATAGATCCCCTGCATGAAAAAATGATTACGTATAGAATTTGATGTTTAGATTAGAACAATATAGATGGAGATTTTACTTTTCGTTACTCTCTTCTGTCTTCGGATTTACGGCTTATTAGGGATATTCACTGGTTATTGAGTTTGAAACTTGTTTGGTTGATTGAGTACATGACCTATTTATGGACCATGTGCCACTCAAATCTTTGGATGTTGTACAATATTCTAGGGATATAGGTATAATTCACGGCCTGCCCACTCGCACATCGACCGAAATCATCGAATCTCATCAGTTTCCATAGCTTCTTCGCGCTGCATAGCCACTCGAGTCATGACGTCCCGCGCCGCGACTTTAGCCTTGCGCTTTTCCTCCGCGCTCATCGTTGGATTTTCAGAAGCACTATCATCCGCATTGTTCCCCTTCGTGGTATCTTTCTTAGATGATCTCCGGTCTCCATTTGACTGGTTCTTGGTAGAGTCTTGAGTAGAAGAATCGGTCTTCGCTGTTTGGGATTTCTTGGCTTCTGTTGGCCCTGTTGAATGTGAACGAGTACTTCGTCGAGGGCGACCGCGGCGAGCTGGTTGAGAATTGGTAGTGTGGTTGGATAAGGGAACTTGAACGGGAGGGTTAGATTCTACACCTTCCCCCGAGCCCGCCGGAGGATTTTTTGGTGTCTGAGAAAGGTTGGGTTTTGCGGATTGGGTGTCGGACTGCCGTGATCGCGCCTGTCGCTTTTTCTCCCGAGGTAATTCTTGAGGCGTTTCTTCCGCTGCTGTCTCTGTGAGCCGCAAGCGCTTAGACGGACTTGTTTGTGAAAACCCATTTGCATGATTGGTATCATCTGGTTTTAGGCGCTGCTCATTATTGTCGGTAAGAAAGTTTGAAGAGTCGGGTGTGGTCTGTGGTTGATTTTGCCCGTTGGTGATCGCATGTGATTCACTGATTGGAAGGCTAACCAAGTAAGTTGGTGGGTTGTTGGTCAAGGTCAAATCTTCAATCGAGTCTTCTTCGCCAAACGAGTCAGCGACCGTGCGTGCTCCATCGTTGGAAAACGCGTCAGGCCATGCACGTTTTCTTCCAGCCTGGAGCAAACCAGGACTCTTCACCTCAGGGAGCGATCCGTTCATTGTGGACAGATAATCACTATTGCTTGGCTTGCGCTCCTCCATAAATCTATTTTTCAACTTCAAAGCCTCGATCTCTAGTTTCAATTTCTCGATTTCGTCCGATTTTGACTTGAGTTCCTTCAATACGGTCGCAATCATGTCGAATCCATGGCTGTTGAGGTTTCCATTTTCGCCTAGGTGATGGCTAGGTCCGTTGAGCTCGATACGCATGGCAGTAAAAGAGTGTTTGAGGTCGGTCATTGTGTCTTGTAAATGGTTCACCGAATTCGAGATCTGATCAATACTTCGACCCTGATGTTGCATGTGTTGTTGCATGGTCGAATCGAATGAGGCAGGATCGGACCCGCTCTTAGGTACCAACGCGCCATCATGAATGGAGGTGCGATCTCGACCAGGGATTTCTTTCGGAGCGGGGCAGAGGTATCGTTCAAGGGCGCCTTCTTTGAAAACAGGTTCCGCGGTTCGCATCGTCACGACTTCTCTAAATGCGACTCTGGACATCTTCCAAAAAATGTTCGGTCTGAAACACAGTCCAGTCAGCGCATCAGTTCGTGGTTCGTAGCTAAAGATCATACCACCTACCCGTTGTCCAGGGTGCAAAGTGCACCTAACTTCTGTTGACATAGTTTGCAAGTGACCTCCTGAGTCGTTCGTCCCCGTAAAAGATGCATATCTGGAGTCGGAGGGATCTGCTTGCTCTCCGAAGAGACGGAGATACGGTTGAAGTTGACACTCAACCATGCTGTCGCAAGAGAATAGGCATTTGATAATTTTGCCCATTCATTCTCCAGAACCGCTAACGAACTGGAGCACCTTGAACATTGACATAGAATCGCCGGTCGTGTTAGACTAGCGAACTCCATGACGGGTCCAACGAGCATTAGAGAGAACAAGCTCCGATGACAGTGAGAAGTCAAAGCCAAGCAACACGAGATGTAAGAAGCGCAAGTAAATGCGGGACACGGCTACAAAGCTTAGTCATCGCTCCAGAACCCAATATCCGGATTTACCTTGTTCCGCTCTTATCGATAACGCTCGTGTTTTATCGACGGCAAAAAAACACAACAGGAACAGGAAGAGACATCGAGCATCAAAGCTCGTCTCACACTAAAATGCACCGCTGGATTTCACGATCAGTGGCAGGTGCGCCTGTATTTTATACCCTAAAGCAGTCGCAATGCACAACAATACGACAAGCTTCGCTCAATTCTGCGATCGGTCGTGGCATTCGACGATCTCAACCTCGACCATCGGCCCAGAAAGACTTGGAGAATACTGACCGTCGCTCAAGGCCACGTCGCGAGGACGCGCAACCCCCTTTCTCGAAATCCAATTCAGATCGCGAACCCAGACAATACAGAAAACCTAGGGAAGATCGATACAAGTCCGACAGCCACTTTGATCAGAATGAGTTCATACGGAGCGGCAATTTCAGAGCTCTTCCCCGTGAACACCAATCTCGATGGGAATCTAGCCCCCGTGAAGACAAACCTCGATGGCAATCTAGTCCCCGTGAAGACAAGCCTCGATGGGAATCTAATCCCCGCGAGGATAAACCTCGATGGCAATCTAGTCCCCGTGAAGACAAGCCTCGATGGGAATCTAATCCCCGCGAGGACAAACCTCGATGGCAATCTAGTCCCCGTGAAGACAAGCCTCGATGGGAATCTAATCCCCGCGAGGACAACCCTCGATGGCAATCTAGTAGACCTAGAGACGAAAATTGGAGTAGCAAGCCGACCTACGATAAACCGAAATCGCCTAACTCAAGATCTCGAGCACATCGGATTACAGAAACTATGCCAGAGCGCGTGAAGGGCAATGTCAAGGTTCCAGACTCCATTCCCTATACAACCCCTGCCTCGGAGTTCATTTACGGCACAAGTGCAGTAGAAGCTGCACTTCGGTGTAGTCGGCGACAGATCTATAAGCTTTATGTCTACCAGGGGGCGGGAGAGGAGCTAAGTCCAGCCAAAATGGCTCTCCGTAAGCTGGCCCTGACCAAGAACATTGCGATCAAACTAGCTTTCGCTGGATGGGATAGACTCATGGACAAAATGAGTGCCGGCCGACCGCACAATGGATGCATCTTGGAGGCCTCGCCTTTGCCCAAGTTGCCTGTGCGCGCCTTGAACCCAGTCCAGGCGGCGACCGATGAGCATTTCAGCGTGGAATTGGCACCGCAAACGCGAGAAGAGGCGGCCGTCAACGGTACAAATAACCAGCTTGCAGTAATTCAGGCTCCTGTATCATCAGGGGGAGAAAAGGCTTCACGTTTCCCTGTGGCACTGCTTCTGGATGGAATTGTCGACACTGGTAACATGGGTGCCATAATAAGGTCCGCCTACTATCTTGGAATCGACGCGATTATTCTTGCCGGCCGCAACTCCGCGCCACTGTCACCCATTACAATCAAAGCATCTGCTGGTGCGGCTGAAAACATGACTCTTCTTCATGTCAGGAATGAAGTCGACTTTATTCAACGATCACAAGCCAACGGATGGAAATTTTACGCGGCCGATGCGCCGGGCCCGGGAGCTACATCCCTTAGCCGTGCAGAGCCTGGTGATGAATCCAATAGCGGCAGCCTTCTGGCTACGCAAGCTCCCAGCGTACTCATGATGGGCAGTGAAGGCTCTGGACTCAGTGCGCATATTAAGTCGCATGCTGATGCGATCGTCAGCATCGCCGGTGCCCGTCATGGCAATGAGCTTGGCGTCCAGTCTGATCCAGCCCGAATCGATAGCTTGAATGTCAGCGTGGCTTCTGCCTTGTTGATGGAGATGTTCTTGCGTACGCCTCTTTTAGTTTCAGAACCAACGAAAAGGGCCGCCAAGCAGAACTCGAAGATGTGGTGATCTCATTGTATTATATCCGTTTTGATGGACTTTCTCCAAGATGTCTCTGTGTAGTATGACATCTATTTGTATATTAACTGTTGTTCTTAATCTCTACAAACGAACAACCTCAATAATCTACCTATCACTTGCTTCGTCCTATAATGCCTCCTCTTCTGTCTTTGGCTACTAAAAAGGGATCGCTTAGATATCTCTGAAACCAATACCATATTTGTCTCGAGGCCTCACATCAGAGTTTCATTGATAGCTTCAAGCTATCTCCCCTTGGAGGGTTCAACATGCACTTTCATCCACTCCACTCGAAGTCCCTACTAGGTCATAGATTGTATACCTATACCGCAACCTCGGAGATCAGTCTCACCGCCAATGCTCGTCATCATGGTCATACATATCACGCCACCCTCTAGGCATGATCTGAAGCTAACATCACTGCCCCTGAAAAAGAAAGACAATTTTTGGATAATTTACTACTGGTCTGCGGCGGCACTTAATTTACGCTGTTTAGCTCCTCGTTTAGATATCATGTGACACCCACCGCTTCCCCGCGTTTCTTCCGCGATGCAACATTGCGGGAACTTTGTTGACAAGTGACATGAGTCGAATTCTCCGCACATTTAATCGCCCATGCGTGGCTTTGAGATCCCCCTCGCTACCCAAGTACCATTCGATCGTTCTCAAAGTTAGAATGGCTCATCTTTCAACCGAAGCAATGGCCAGTGCCTCGGCAGTCAATGGCCAGACTAGCTGGTATGGCGCAGGTGCCGCGGAATTCGACCTGAGAAGTACAGTTTGGTCTAAAAGTCATGCTGCGAAGGGAACAGTATAGCTGACCATGTGTACATAGGCGATACGATGACGAAACCCACCCCGTCCATGCTCAATGCGATCTGTCAAACGACATTACTTGATGATGTATTCAACGAGGACCCGACCACCAACGAGCTCCAGAGTTATGTTGCCCAAAGAACCCAGCACGAAGATGCGCTGTTGGTGCTATCAGGGACCATGGGCAATCAAGTGGCTATTCGCTCCCACCTGGCTCAGCCCCCACATGCTGTTCTGTGCGACCATCGGGCACACATAATTTGCTACGAGGCTGGTGGTGTCAGTGCTTGGACAGGGGCCACAGTTCAAACAGTGGTGCCGAAAAACGGAATTCATCTGACCTTGGAAGATGTCCAAAAGTACGCCGTGCTCGACGATAACATTCACCATTGCCCAACAAAGCTGATCAGTTTGGAAAACACCTTGGACGGCATGGTGATGCCTCTGGCAGAAGCTCGGAGAATTGTCGAATGGGCACACTCGCATGATATCAAGGTACACCTGGATGGTGCAAGACTCTGGGAGGCGGTTGTGTCGGGGGCTGGTAGTCTGTCCGACTATACTAGCCTCTTTGATAGTGTTAGCTTGTGCTTCTCGAAGGGGTTAGGCGCTCCAATCGGAAGCATCATTATTGGCTCCAAGGCATTTATTAAGAAAGCTCGGTGGTTCCGCAAATCTATTGGCGGTGGTGCGCGTCAGACTGGCGTTTTTTCCGCCGCGGCTAGGATAGCCTTAGATGAAACTTTCGGAACGGATCCTCACGGCAAAACCGGCCTTCTTCCTTCGACCCACACGAAAGCTAAGCGCATTGCAGAAATGTGGACCAGCCGCGGTGGTAAGTTGCAGTATCCAGTGCACACCAACATGGTGTGGTTGGACCTTGAAGCGTCTGGGGTAGGACCCAACGATCTTGCGGTCATTGGCCAGGAGGTAGGACTAAAGCTACTTGGAGGACGCATGGTAATTCACTACCGTAAGATATCATCAATGCTTTATTTGCCATTTTCGCCTGGAAAATTCTAACATACTACAGAGGTCTCGGAGGAAGCAATTGCGCGCGTCGAGGAAGTGTTTGATACTGCCATGAAAGGGACTTACCAGCGCAGTGAGGATCAGAGTAAACCCTATGGCAGCAGCAAAGCATGAAGACAGATGACCCCTGCGCCCTGATGAGTGGTGTCTATACATAGAAATGAAGTCTACGCATTTATAGAAATTGTTTCAACAGTGAAGATATGCATCCTCCCGATAAACAGATTGAACCAAGTCCACAATTCGGCACGAGCCATGCTATCCCCAATGTGGTAATGTCAGCGACTTGACGATACCATTGGCGCTCGGGGACCTTCATGCATCCACTCCGTGTGGAGTCAATGTCCCGTCTGGCCCGCGATTTATGAATAGAAATCTCCATTGGTCCTTCAGATCCACTAAATACCGAGGAAATGATACTAATGCTTCAGCCCAGAAAATAGCATGCGCGAGCCTTACAACTTTAAGTTTATCCCCCACTCCACTATCTCATGTGTTCGAGCTTCAGAGGCTGATTTCGACTATAATCCTGAAATAAACCAAGTCCACAATGAAGATCTTGACCAGGAAACGATTTTGCCGAACCTATAAGTATGAGCAAGATGTCCACAGTTGAAGCGAAGATCCAGTTTCTTCGTCTTCTCTTTCAGTGATCTCGTTACCTTCATCAAACTACGTTGAAAATGGGCCTCGTTACAGCCCATCTTATCAAAGGCGTTGCTGCAGGCATTGGGCTAGCATCGGAAGGCATTGCCGCCCGAAAGGCTAAAAAGGCACAGCAGGCTCGAGAGGATGCATGCGCATACAACTCGACGAATACATCCAGTGATACTGTTATATACCCCCAAACACAACCAACAGAAACACAATTCGAGTTAGACTCGCATGAGATATTGGAATTAGATGCGAATCAAACAGTTCCGATCGCCGAACTTGAAGCACCCGGACAGGTGGACACACATCGGCTCGCGGAGCTCCAAGCTAGTCGAGCGTTCCACCCGTCAGTACACAATCAGGGAAGCGAGACAACACTGGTACCGGAAAGCGAGAGGATAGATGAAACAGCATTGGCAACAAGTTTTGCAAGCCAATACCCTATACCCGCGGAATGCACTTTGCCAGAAGTCGTCTGTCGGTTACCCGCACCGGTGCTTCTCCCTCAGCGTAGACCTAAGAATCGCGACCGTGGGTTTGTTCGAGCATATGCCCCCGATCTTGATCCTTGTGGTGTCGATCAGAAGATGTTCATCGATTTCCTGAACACCGCCGAGAAAGGGTGCCGAGCCCACCGCTGGTTGCAAGCCATCAACTTGGCAGCTATCGCTGGACACGCTATCCCATCAGCTTTTTCTATTGTCGTGGGAATTGCCATTCATCAGATTGCAAACTTGTCAATTGCGGCGGATGGTCGTCGAAGGTAAACATCAACTGGCTACCACTGCATGAATAATGAGACTTACGCAAAATACACAGGACAAACAACTTCTTTGACCAGGCCAACGAAGAATTCTTCAAACCACGAGGATTATACTGTCTCGTCATGACTTGGTATCCGGAAAACCCAGATGTCCCCGCGATGACAATGGATCTCCAGTCCACTATCGCAAAAGCGACCCAGGGAAATGACTCTACTGTGCTTGGATCCAACGTTTTAGGCAATCTGCGACACAAGTTCAAAACATCTAATGGAAAGACATACGGAAATGTGTTCCCAGAAGTTGCACAACTAGTCTTCCCCAGTCCAGAAGAGATTGGCGACCAGCCAGATCTCGAAGCCAAGTTTGCTAAGGCGAAAAAGAAAAGAGATTTTATCCAAAACTATTTGGACAAGCGAGCCCAAGCTTCTTTTGTGAGTAGCCGTCCGTTTCATTGAGCCAAAGCCGAACTAACCCTCTCAAAGGAAGCGGAGAACCCGAATAGCTATTTGAATCAACGACCCAAGCCAACTTTTGCATCACGTTATGCCGATCCTAATCACCCAGCTTGCAGTGGTGACCTTTTTGCACTTCTTACCGGTGGAGTTATCTCCAGAGATGAAGGTGAAAATGACAGTATTGTTCATAAAGCGATCCAAGCGGGCTCCAAAATGCTAGAATCAGTAAGGCTATACCTTTTAGTGCTTCCTGAAAACAAGAATCTAACTTCAATCACAGAAGGCATTGTACCTTGCGATCGTCAATATGCCATCGGAATCTGAATTGCGAGAGGCACGAGCCACATTGAGCTTATAATGCAACAAAACAATTTGAAAATGCACAATGACATGCGGTGGAGAAGGGGTACACTTTGTACATATATGACTTTTTCATGTACCCAGAACACCCACAGATCGAATTCTGAACTACAGCAATAACTCATGGTCTCAGATCTTTCTATAACATATATTTAATCATTTTCACACGCCTGGAAGCTATTGCCCCCAAGCAAAATTGGCAGCAAACTTGGGCTGGTTTTTGCTTTCTGGAGTGGCTGCATCAAAGTCCCAACGATCAGGAACTTCCAAGCCAGCGTTCATATGATGCCTAACCAGTAACATCGAGACACCATCACGATAAAGCCAGGCATCTTCACTTCTCCCTTGCCATTTCTCCATGGTCGCCCTCATCTCCTCCAAGACCTGACTATACTCAGAATCCTTAGCAAGATTATGAATCTCATCCGGGTCTGCTTGGATATCGTATAACTCTTCAGCAGGTCGGAAGAAATAATCTTTCAATAGACGAGAGCCTATCATTTTAGGACTGCTCTCAGTGTTTCGGATCTCCTCCCACGTCAGCGAGCCATAGATGTCCGCGGCAAAAGGGAAGTCAAGCCTCCAGGCAATGTTGCGATGGTATTTGTACCGACGATTGCGCATGAAACGAGTCGGCCAATAATTGGTAACCTCATGGAATGTGTGTGAGCCAAACACCTGATCCCATGCATCGAGCTGGGTCTGTTCTGAAAGAATAGAAAGGAATGAACGACCAAGACGGGCTGGGTTCTCGGGACTGGGATACTGAGCCCAGTCAAGAAGTGTTGGTAGGATATCAACATAGGATATCATGTTTGGGTTCACGGCACCAGCAGCAGACCCAGGACACTTCATAATCATGGGCAGACAAACGCCAGCATCGTAAAGAGTTGTCTTGGAATTGATAAATGGGGGCCCATTATCACTGACGAACAGTATAAGTGTATCATCGCTCAGACCGGATTCTTCAAGTCCCTCCAAAACCATGCCAACACCCTGGTCAAGGCGAGAGATAGACTTGTAATATTCTGCAAACTCATAGCGGACCTTGGGTAGATCATTAACGAAAGGTGGAACCACAACGTCCTCCGGAGAATAATCGATAGTCTTCACACGGGAGTCATACTTCTCATCGTTCCCAAATCCAGATCGAGTTACATCGCGATGTGGGTCGATAAAGCCGATTGTTAAGAAAAACGGCTGCTCCTTCGACTTTGAGCTTTGGAAGAATGCCGCAGCCTGGTCAGCGACAGATGCTACGTCACGACTGTCACTTTCCGCACACGCGTCCCAGGGATAGACAGACGAAGGCCCAACATGGACCTTGCCAATTAAGCCGGTAGTATAACCATGCTTCGAGAACAGTGCAGGGGCAGTTTCAACGTGGTCATAGGTTGTGAAATGATGACGCCCGTTGTGGAGCCCATATTGCCCGTTCTGGTGAGTATGCAGTCCTGTATAGATCACCGATCGACTAGCACTGCAGGAGGCTGTACTCGTAAATGCCTGGTCGAATCGGGTACCCTCAGCAGCGAGTTTGTCGAGATGCGGTGTTTGGATACTCGTGTTGCCGTAACAGCCCAGTTGCTTGCCGAGGTCGTCGGCGACCATCAAAAGAATGTTACGCTTAACCATTCTGGTGGGTTGATGGTTTTCAGCTCGTGATGTCTTGATTGAGTCTCTGATTTCTTCAACTTTTACATGAAAAATAGAACATTGACCTCTACAGTGCCTTCTTATGCATATCGGATATCGGCTTGTTAACCGTATGTGGGGCACTTTGCGGCTATCGCTTCGGATCTCGCTCCATCGGATTGAACAAGAATGTGTAGCAGATATAGATAGTTGATGAATATCTGTGCTTCCATGATCAACTATCGACACAGCTTAATGTCTTGCTATTAAGGCATTGAAGGACGGGCTTAATTGATACAATGACTGTTCCAAGCAAAGGAACAGCCAAAATTAGCGGGGAGTTTATGTAAATACGCTGCTTGAAGTTTGAGACAAATAGGACTGTGATACAGCGAGGCTAAGCGACATCTATTTATCATGCACTATTACATTTTGTTAAGACCTGAATATGCCTGTAAAGGTTTTTAATTTGATAGTAGCTAGTGAGTTGCGCTCAAAAACTACTCGTCTTTCCCAAATTAGACCCAAAAGCTCAGTGGACGACGGAAAAGCTATACATTCACGAAATACTTCTCATCGTAAAACATTGAAGGTTGCTGTTCTTCAATTGTCCTAGTCCATCTCCTTTTTAAAACTCCATAATCTTGTAGTCACCGGAATATTGTCCATTAAAGGTAACTTTGGTATCCAGATAAGTCCAAACCTGATTGCCATTCTTGAGATAAAATCGGATCTCACCGTTGGCAACCCCCAAGTTAAACCTAACGGCAGTCCCATCTTTGAGATTACCGTAAATAGTTCCAATATCGATACCAACAACAGATACCGAGGGACCAATTTCAAAGGTGTTTGTATCAAAGTATCCATCGACCTATTCCATGACATTAGCAAGATAATTGTATTGACGGCATTTGACTTACTCTGATAGGACCAAGACCCCATTGAATACCCCGGCGACCCTCAATGTCACTTGGTGGAAGGTTATGAGAAATTTCCTGTCGAGTTGCTTCCCAAAAACCGTGTACCATTCTTCTCGTTGCAAGGCAAGGCCTGCATCACAAGACTTGGTATTCTCCGGATACCCAGGCATGCCCTTGACCCTTTCAATGCTTTATATGCCGTAGCTAGGCGAGATCTATAGCCGCTATTCGGCTAAATTCGTTGGCAACATCGAGCAACAGATTCTGATGGAATTGAATGTCTTTGAAATTATATCGTTTACAGTGACTTCTATATAGTGGCCACTGGCATATCTCAGTAAATCCTACACCTCTCAGTGGGCATACCTATACTATATTTACTACATATAGATATGGTCCTTCCCAGATGATGTCCCAAGGCTGGGAAGGACACAGCTCATACTAAGTTAGTCTTCCAAATTCGAGTTCAAGTTCGATGCAATCATGCTCCTCCGAGTCACAGATGTTCAGATGCATCATTATCTTTGCTATACAAGTTTGAGCTCACAACATTTGTATCAATCAGTGTGAACACTTCCCACCACCTTCTGAGACTTTGATCCACCAAACTGATATCTCTTTCTAAACTTCTAGCTGCAATCCTCTGTCACAAAACCACAAACTATCGACTCAATTGTAGTTTTTACTATGAATTAAAACACTTCCCACCACCTTCTGAGACTCTGATCCACCAAACTAATATATCTTTCCAAGCTTCCAGCTACCATCCATCAAACTGACATCTCTTTCCAACCTTCCTGCTACTATCCTCCGTCACAAAACCACGGATTCAAGTTATCGACTCGATTATCTTAACTACAAATCAAGTTTATCAAAAACACTGTTCGTGCATCACGAAGCCCAGCACTCACGCCATTAATCACTTTTCTTGAAATTTCGACTGTCCCACAGTTTCCATCCAGTCATGGTAAGTGAACATCGGATCTCCACACTGATTTCCCTAATCACCTTGATAACCATGAAAACAGATGGCATCTACCCGAAACCATCGATCTGGCAATACCTTTCGCCAAAGAGGTGACCACCTCGCAAACATACACCTTCCATAACATTCCAGAACTACCTTTGGAGATGAAAATCTCCAAACGTATTTTAGAATTTCTAAATATGGGCGAAACGACATGGTCCGATGACTATGATAAAGTCAAGAACCACATCATCATGCGCTTATCTCTACAGAGAAGGCTTATTCGGGGTACGCCCTTTGCCCCCGTTGGAACACGGACTCTGGAGGTCAGCATGCAGCCTCGTGAGTCATTGCCCCATTCTTCTAACGCAAGAGGCCAGTTTGTCGTCAAGACATTCCGATTGGAAGAGCATAGGAACAACCTGAAATCTCTTAACGTCCCTATTGCAGAAGGGAAGACCCTTCGCGATTTCGTTAGACCCATCCAAACAAAAGAGATGAAGCCTTTTGCCTTCAGAAACAAACGACATGGCCTAGTCGGTTGCCGCGATTTTATGTAAGTTTGGGTTATTCTGATTTATCACTTCGACTTTCAACTTCATTATTAACCTGTTCTGCTTAGGTCACAGTTGATACAGCACCTCAGCCAAGAGGAAGTTGTCATTTTCAATGGGAGCAATCAGCGAAGATCTTTCATGCAAAATTTCCTTACAAGATATGGAACCGATGATATGACATGGCCTATTAACATGGAGCATGGGATTTTCTCAGACAGGTATGTCCGGATCTAGTAAGCTCCAGTAGTCAGTCAAAGGTAGGTGATTTTGTCCTTTTAGGAGGGAAAAGATGTAATGAAGTCCCGCGGCACCTTCTATTGCTTTGCGGTATTCTATTCTTATCTCACCATCGCTGTTAGCACTTGAAGATTGATAATTCCCCCAATGTTTGGCTAGTATGAGTTCATCATTATGCGAGGCATAGGTATATTCAAGTTGTTAGCGTTTGTATTGGGAAAGTGTTCGAGATTCCTTAGTATATTCTTAGTCTGCTTCAAGTTAGCTGGGCTTGTGAAATATTTCTAGGTCTAGTTACATTTTCAAAAAATTTGTTCGTGAGCCAGAGGTGTGCTCTGGCCTTATCATATCCATAATGTCCAAATTCCTTCAAGTTGGAGTCATCCAAACAGGTAGCAACGATCAAAATGACAAATTGAAGTTGAAACGCGCAATTCGGAATAAATAGTATCTTTTGTGAGTCATGAAGATCTGGAATCACTATTTAGATTTGCTTCGGCAACGCAGCCTGAAGCTCGAGACACTCGTTATACTTGGCTATTTCTGGGGTTTTGTCACTGTAAACCTGGAATGAACGTGATGGATACAAGGCTTAAGTGGCTAATTGATCTAAAGGATATACTATTACATGCTGAATGAAGAGCACCGCTGCTGGTTACAACTTGAACTTGAATGGCCCATGGAGCAATCGAGCTGGACGTTATCGAACTAATACCCTTGACTTGAGGCCAATGTACTTTAACTTTTAAGATCTGTATCAATTATTGGTGGGGCCACTTCTAACGTACAAAAATTGCCGACCATGCAACAACATTCGCTATCAATTCCATGGGAGGGATATTCACAAGGTGTGCAATATGTAAAACATAATATAAACACCAATAAAAGTGGAGTCATCTCGGATGTCGGATTCGTATTCGGAGCCCCACTCCTTAAGAATTTCCAACATTTTTACTAGAAGTCCTTTGTAACCGTAATCTATAATAGTGTATGTTGAGTTTTTGTGAAGATTTAAACTGTAGCCTAATTCATGGTCTTTTGAGCATGGCCCGGATATCAACTACGAGACCCCATTACCGGCACTTCAGGTGTGCGCCATCATCACCTGGGCGATGATATCAACCCACAACGCGATTGAAAAGAGAACAACTCCAGATAAAATTTAATGCTGACGTACTATTCCCAGCTATATTCATATAATTGAGCCTCGCACTATACATAAGAATTCTGTATAGGTATATTGCAAATGTTTTGGATTTCCAGAATATTTTAAATAAAGCGCTCCGAACCTCGTAAATCCTCCAATATAAAGGCTTTTCACGTCTCTCTAAATCAAATTGACCGAAAATAATAGTCAATGTATGGACTTGAAGTATCACACCATATCAGCCGTGCCTTCATGGGCTGAACTGGCTATAGAATGCACTGGCTTGCCTCTTCTGCGCGTCAGCATTATTTTCACAGCATGATTATCGATACCAACAATTTTAAAGACGTACCTAGGTTTTTGCCTCCAAGCATCATGTTTGTCCGCATATGATTGAAGTAGCTCAAAATATCTATGTCGAACCGTTCGCATATATTGATGCTGCTCTATTGAGGGAGATTTGAATGAGTCCCTTTCAGGATCGATAACGCTAAATATGCCGGCGGCAGTAGTAACAGCTGCAAGAGCTGCAACCAATACAATCACAATAATAGCGCTGTTGCTGAGGCCCATAGCGACGAGATAATTGTAGTGAATGCGGGAAAATGTATTGAGAAATAGAGAACTGACTGCCGACAGATTAAAACACAAAATCCTAACCAATTACTCTTATAGACATCATGAAACTTGAAGTACTAAATCCTTGCTCTGCTTAGCGACAAGTTTTCGGATTGAAGTGGGGCAATCTCGCATTTCTCGCATCGCGAGCGAGCGGTTGGGGGGAAACATACCCTAAAAATAACTATTGCTACTCTTATTTCAGGACATTAAATTACTTCTTCCTTTTTGAAACTAAATTTCACATCGATCTTCGAGAGGTACTTAAGCTAAGACGTTCCCTTTTAAACGATAAACGTACATCACTCGTTTTTTCCTTGCCTTGCCTTTCTACTTTCAAGATCTAATCACTGATCCTCCTACTGTCATTATTGGTTTACACTTTTCAACTAGAGACTCTTCTTCAACATGAGTGCTTCAAGTTACACTCTATATAACTACACGCCTTCGTTGGCGGCAGCTATTATTGCCCTTCTGCTATTCCTCGCTGCCACCGGAATCCATATATTTCTTGCAGCGAAGCGCCGCACAAAATTCCTCATTGCTTTCATCATTGGCGGCTTCCTCGAAACCATTGGATACGCAGCACGAGCAGTCAGCGCCCACCAACATCCCATTTACTCCACGATGCCATACGCCCTACAAAGTCTCTTCATCCTTATCGCACCGTCCCTCTTCGCCGCATCAATCTACATGATTCTCGGTCGGATAATTGTCTTGACAGATGGAGACTCGAGAAGTATCATTCCAGCACGAAGAATGACCAAGATATTTGTCCTGGGAGACGTGTTAGCCTTTTTCGTTCAGGCTGGTGGTATGTTTCTTCATATTTTGATTTAATTTGTTATCCAGCCGATTCAGATGCTAAGTTCTTTTAGGTGGCGGAATTATGTCTAGCGCCAAATCCAATAGCACACTCAAACTGGGAGAAAAGGTCATTATTGTCGGTCTCATTGTCCAAATCCTTTCATTTGGCTTTTTCGTTTTTGTTTCCCTTATATTCCATCGGAGGATCGTTTCCAACCCTACTCCCGCATCTATGACTGTACGGGTCAACTGGCACCGATACTTGATCGTGCTCTATATTGCTAGTGCTATGGTCATGATTCGCTGTGTATACCGTGTTGTTGAATACATCCAAGGTCAAACTGGTGAGCTGCAAAGTCACGAGTACTTTGCTTATATCTTCGATGCGGCGTTGATTTTCTTGGTCATGGTTATTTTCATGATATTTCATCCCAGTCAAGTGGTGTCGAAACCTGAAATCGAGGGTTACGAGACTGAAATTATGTACAAACAGTCCGATCATCATGGGTCTAGCCTTAGAATGGATGTATAATCCAACTTGGAATTCAAAGATGTCATTTCATGGGTTTTATTATGTCATATACTGCAGCTCAGATTTCGAATATACAATGCGCGTACCGGAGTTGAAATTACACATGAGCTTCAATTGTTATTGTGTAGTTGTATGAGATTACAGTTGGGACTGTTCATCTGTAGAGTATCTCTTGTTCAAGGCCTTGTTTGTCCTTTTCCTTTTTGGGATTTTTAGACCTACGAACCACAAGAGACTAGCCTCAACATGCAAAATTTAGATGATAAGCCCCGCTAAAAATTACCACATCCGCTCCCAAACTCTCCGGAACCAGTTCATTTGAGCCAGTTCAACTTTACGTCGCTCCTCATACCCGCCATCCTCCCATATCTTGCACTCCTCGTCAATCTCCGCCTTACCAGCGTAAAGATCTGCCGAAACCGGATCGACAAACTTTGTTCGGTGGTAAATCTTCCAGAACGAAAACATTACGACCCAAAACGCAAGTCCAAAGTAGGAAGTAACAAAGCCTTGGACGCTGAATGGCTTAAAAACGGAAAATCCGTTGAAGATAGCAACCAAAGAACCTATCACGACAGCAAGACAAGCAGCATAAGGCTGTCCAGGAGATGCCCACGGAACAAACTGTTTCCGATCGATTCCTTGTGCTTTCAATGCACGATACCAAGCAAGGAAGACGCAAACCATACCCGTATAGGTTAGGACAAAAGCAATGGTGGTCAAATCGACGAACCAATAGAACACCGTTACAGATGAGGAGCCTGCAACCAAGAAAGTGATGCAAGAAAGTAAGGAGACTGTCAGAACACAGTAGATTGGAATTCCAGATTTCGTGCATTTCAGGAGAAATTTGGGTGCTTGCCCATCGCGGGCTAGGGAATAGAGTGTTCGACTAGAGCTGTAGAGGTAGGCATTACCGCAAGACCACCCAGAGAGAAGAATGAGAAGATTAATCAAATCTGGTAGACCGTGAATCCCCAGATTCTCAATTCCAATGACCCATGGCGAGGCGGCAGATCCTGCCCCGGCCGAGGCAATTGCCGACATGAGGCGGGGATCATTCGGATTGCAAATAATGCCCACCGCGAGAACCCCGACTACGTAAAAGCCGACGATTCGCCAAAATGTTGCTTTCACAACACGGGGTATAGTGTGTCGTGGGTTTTGAATCTCTCCGGCGGCTAGAGCAGGGAGGTCGGGCCCGGCGACGGAGAATGCAGCATAAACCATGACAGAGAAAAAGCCTAGAAATCTCCCTGTGACTCCATCGGTGTAGTATTCAAACATGACGCCCGAGGTCCAATTGCGAAATCCATAGGCATCATGCTTTGGATTGCCACCGACCATGGTGATAAGAGTCAACATGACCAGTCCAATGAGAAGCAATATCTTGGTGGAGGCCATGATGAATTCACTTTCTCCATAGTATTTGACAGCAACAAAGTTGAGGAGGGAGCAGACGACCATGGCCATAGCAACCCAAACAGCCGGATTGATGCTTGTATTCCAGTACTGCATGACTGTAGCCACAGCTGCGTATTCCGTACAGACTAACATGACACCTCCATAGAAGTAGACCCACCCCCTAGATTATGCTTGTTAGTGTCGATTCTTGAGTGGAAAGAAAGCAGAAATTTTGGAGATGACATACATAGCAAAGCCGAAGGCCGGATCAATGAATCGTGCTGCCAATTCGAAGATTGAACCTCTGATTGGGAGGTATGCACACATTTCTCCGACGCTTAGATTGACAGGAAGAATAAACAAAACACCCCAAATCAAATAACCTAGGAAGAGAGAAAGAGGTCCCGCATCATGAAGGTACGACCCAATACCAACGAATAGTCCAGTTCCAATAGAACCGCCAATCGCCATCAATTGGACATGTCGCGACGCCAGACCGCGCTGGGTCTGACGGTAAGGAAGAACAATTCCAGTACTAGCATCCTCCTTGGGAATGGAATGATCTTCCAGAGAGGCCTTCTTCTCCATCTTGATCATGAATCATAAATGTTGAGGACGTGAGGGGTGTTCCATTGATGGAGCGGGGAACATGCCTCCTTATATGCGCACTGACTTTGGGGTAAGGGGGTTAGACTCTGAATACGATGCGGAGTCGCCAAGGAGAATATTGAATATTGCTGATAGTGGTGATAGCGATAGCTCCATGCGATGTCAACCTAAAGTAATTGCAGTATATGGTTGCCAAGTCTCTGATAATGCGGTCCAAGGCCCAGCCTGCAGAACCGGCAATAGACTTTTGTTGGGTAGTGATAACAGCGCCGCGACATCACCACCCGTAAAGAAGGCCTCGAAGGGGGAAGAGGTAGCGACGCTAATAGAAGAGGGGGTCGGGAACATCTCGGCTAGTTTCCAGGTTGGAGATGTCAATCGTGCAGCAGCTCAGGCACTTAGTCTTCTCATGAACTTAGCCGCGACTGGCTGCTGATTACCCGCACGGTCGAGCTAAAGAGTAGCATGATATTGACCTCAAAACTACCGATTGGCTGGTATGTTGCTCTACTTCTGCGTGCCACTGTCATAGCACAGTAGCCGGTGTCACCGGCCCGGTGAATGTCAATCTGTTCCCAGAGGTGGGCTCGATCGCCATGTCCATGTTGAAGGACGAAGCTCTCTATCGCGGGCGAAAAGCGGGGGCTGCACAACGCCAAGTGATAGCCAAGTGATAAGCTTATCAGAGATTGGTTAGCAGAGAGGGTTCAAGTAGAGAGGTGAGGTTAGAGTCGGTGGTGTATGCGGTTTAATCAAGCTCAAGCCTTTCATGATGAATGTCCAACTGTGCATTATGAAAGAAAATTTAAGTTGGTTTGGCGTGGATGGCGTGCAGTAGGTATCAGGTACCTAGATCAATGCTCCTCTTTGGCAAAATTTAGCAACTTAAAAAGAATAGATTATAGCCAAATGATTAATCCATCACGCAAGAAGACAAAGAGATCATTCGTAAATGGTGAGTATAACTGGTAACTATAATGATGAAGTATACTGTAGAACTGCAGAGGCACTGAGTACTTGAAAGGTACATTCAGTAGATAGCAAGTCTCCACCTAACTACAAGTACCCCACAAGTATCTCCACTTTTCCTTGGAGCTTACCCCAGGCACGTGCCGCTTCTCCCGAGGTTCACATGCAAATGACGCCAACTTGACCTTGACCTTCAATCAATCATCACTTCCATTTCTCCCTCCTTTACTATCCTCATACCGACTCTCCTCCGCTCAATACTCGCATGCACAGCATCCGATTTCCTTCAACCCATGGCCTCCACCAACTGAATCCTATAAGCCGTGTGGCCATCGTCCGATCGAGGCCAAATCGGGTCTGAAAATGGCCGCCCAGTCAACCCTACGCCGCCCAGAGGACCCCATCCTCGCACTCTACCTACACTACTCTGAACGAATAAGATCTCGAATACGTCGAACCACACCCATAACTCGGCTGATCGCAACCGTCGCTCTACTACTATCCATAATCGGTTCAGGCTATGGAGGGTATAACTGGCTTCGGCAACGCGGAAGGGAACGCGCCCAAGGCCGACGACTGTTACGTCGAAACTCAGGGATCCGAGGCAAAGATGGCTCACGTACCATCTATGTCCCTTACAAGGATTCGCGAACTTCCAAAGTCATAATTCATCCCACGAAGCCGACCACATTCGATGCTCATCGGCGACTCTTTTTGAACCCTCCGGCATCCGCGAGAAGTATCGAGGAAGGCTCCGCAAGCCAGATACCACCACCTACAACGAAACCGGGCCTGAATCTGGCATTCCTGCATCAGTTCCTTAGCCTAGGCAGTATTATGGTCCCTAGGTGGGGAAGCAAAGAGACAGGCTTGCTCATGGGCCACGGCATGTTTCTGTTGCTGAGAACATACCTGTCACTGTTGATCGCGCGATTGGACGGTGAAATTGTCAGGGATTTGGTTGCAGGCAAGGGTCGAGCATTCATGTGGGGAATCCTAAAGTGGTGTGGTATCGGAACCCTCGCGTCCTACACAAATGCCATGATCAAATTCCTCCAGTCCAAGGTGTCAATCGCGTTTCGAACCCGCCTCACGAGGTACATTCATGACCTTTACTTGACCGATAACGACAATTACTACAAGTTGATGAATTTGGACGGAGGAATTGGCCAGGGTCCGGATCAATTTATCACCCAAGATCTTACCCTTTTCTGCTCTGCCGCTGCAGCATTATACTCCTCGATGGGCAAGCCTATGGTCGACCTCTTTGTATTCAACTACCAGCTATACCGCTCTCTTGGTCCACTGGCTTTGAGTGGAATTCTTGCCGGGTATTTCAGTACAGCTGTAGTCCTTCGCAAACTGTCTCCACCATTTGGAAAACTAAAAGCCGTCGAGGGCAAAAAGGAAGGTGACTTCCGGGGCCTCCACTCTCGACTACTCGCCAATGCGGAAGAAATCTCGTTCTATGGCGGTGCCGATGTCGAACGAGTCTTCTTGGTCAGAAGCTTCAAGGACCTACAACGTTGGATGGAAGGCATTTACAGTCTGAAGATTCGCTATAACATGCTGGAAGATATCATCCTAAAGTACTCTTGGTCTGCATTTGGCTACTTGGTTACCTCGTTGCCTATTTTCCTTCCGGCCTGGGGTGGCAGTGGTGGTGTAATGGAAATGGCCGATGTACCAGAGGGCATGGGCCGCGAAAGAAGTCGAATGCAAGAGTTTATCACAAACAAGCGACTGATGCTTTCCCTGGCTGATGCGGGTGGTCGCATGATGTACAGTATCAAAGATATCTCTGAGCTTGCTGGTTATACGTCGCGCGTTTACACTCTCATTTCCACTCTGCATCGCGTCCACGCCAGCGCTTATTACCCGTCTCGAGGATCCTACCCAGAACTGTATTCTCTTGCAGATGCGCAGGGTACTACGCACAATGGATTTGATGGTGTTCGACTAGAACAAGTACCTATTGTTGCGCCTTCGCTCTATCCCATGGGCGGCGATGAGCTGGTTGACTCATTATCCTTCATCGTTCATTCCGGTGATCATCTTCTCATCTCAGGTCCTAATGGCGTTGGTAAATCGGCCATTCCGCGCATTGTAGCGGGTCTGTGGCCTGTTTACAGAGGCTTGGTCAGCCGCCCACGAGCATTTGGCCTGGATGGAATCATGTTCCTCCCCCAGCGACCGTATCTCAGCGTTGGTACTTTACGGGACCAAGTCATCTACCCTCACACTGAGATCGACATGCGAGAAGCCGGCGAGTCCGATGCCAACTTACAGAAAATTCTGGATGATGCCCATCTTGGATACCTCCCACAGCGCGAAGGCGGCTGGGATGCTCGCAAGGAGTGGAAGGATGTTTTGAGCGGTGGCGAAAAGCAGCGCATGGGTATGGCCCGACTTTTCTACCACGAGCCAAGGTACGCCTTCCTCGACGAGGGAACATCTGCAGTTTCTTCCGATGTTGAGGGTCTACTCTACGAGTGTGCCAAAGATCGTGGTATCACTATTATCACTATTTCTACCCGTGCATCACTGAAGAAATATCACACCTTCAACCTTAGTCTTGGGTTAGGTGATGAGGGTGAACGCTGGGAACTGGAAAGAATTGGCACCGAGAAGGAGAAGCTTGGTGTAGAGAAAGAGTTGCAAGAGCTACGCAAGCGTCTCGACAACGTTGACGAATGGAAGCAGCGTCGCGAGGAGATTGAAAAGGAACTTTGCAAAGTGTGGACGAATGATGGCGAGATCGCTCCTCCGCCGTATGAGGAAAAAGCACCCCTTTTGAATACCCAGGAGGCTGAAGGTGCACACTAACCCTTCTCATCGCCCGCACAATTCTCTCTCCGAATGTATTATGCTTCTCTTGTCGTTCTTGGCTTCTCTTTCCAGTTATGAAGTACATATACCACCAATTGGTCGTCGCATTTTTCCTTTTTTATGCTTCATGTTTATATCCCTCCTGTTTTTACATACATTTGTCGAAAGCAATCAGTAGTACATTAGCGAAATTCACTTCCATTGTTCTTTATGAGGTTCTATTTAGATAACACCGAAAATAAATGCAGTAGCTAAGGAACGGATCATCCAGAGAATGCGCACGATAGGCTCAACTGGAGCCTTCATCAGAGCGAAATTTTATCGTCGCTCACCACTGGCAGCCTAGCATCTGGAATGCAGTCGCAAGATGGCGAAGGATGATTGGTGGCATATACCTGGGCCATCCCAACCGTACAAGGAAAAGCCACTTCACAACATCAAACTCCCATCGTTGTACATGAGAGATATTTTAATCGTTCTTTTTAGAAGCCGAGCGCGAAAAGCGGCGCGTCCGAGTTCGTAACATATCTGCCCTTTCTTCGAGAGTCATATTGACCTGATCTCCAATGGGGAGAAGGCACTTAGCCAAGTGCAGATAATTCTTGCGAAGCAAATTAACAGTAATGAAGATATAATCAACATTGCGGAACACAAGAGCCCTTTCCTCCGCATAGCGGCTCCGCTGCTTGATAAACGCGGCAGGATGATCTCTCCAATGACGACGGGGGTTAAGGTGATGCGAGGTATGATATCCATCATTGAAAGAGAAACGGTTGCTCTAGGGATTGTCAGTGCTGTCCTAATCAGGAAAATAGTTACAAAAAACTTTGAGAATGAAAAACTCACCGGAACATCGATCAAGGTAATACTTGAAAGATAGTCAGACTCTGGGTCACTTGGATCGACAAAAGCATGTTGACCCCAATTTCCAACCATCAAACCACATCGCATGACAGTAAGAGGGAGAACAAACACAAAAAGCGTCGCGCGAGCATTCACGTAGTTATAAAGCAAATAGATGGCGAGATAGTCACTAAGTTCCCAAAACGCAGCTCTGCAAGCATATTTGGTTTGTCCCTTTTTCCAAAAGTACATCGGAAGTTCCAACCAAATGAAAAAGATGAATCGGCCAACATAGCAAGCAAAGTCGAAGACGCTATCCCGATCGTAGAACATGGTTGTACTTAGATCCTCGGCCCCATTCCCTTCAACATGATGATGTTTAATGTGGTGATAAAAGTAGGAATTCCACGTATGTCCCAGCATGGGATCAAGGAGGTATGGGAATAGGTTATCAAAGACCCAGTAATGAGGGGCTAGCACTCCGTTCATATGAATATGTTGATGTTTCATGAGGGTGAAAGCACCGCAATAGAATAACTGCATGGCCCAATGGAGAACACCGCGCCACCAGGAGAAGTCGTAATAGAGGTAGATAGCACTGGGCACAATAGTTGTAAAGTAAAGAATTAGATGTGTTAACATCACAACATCAGTCGGGAAACGGACGATTCCTTGAGCCCATTTCATATAAGGCTGGAGGACATAGCGGATCACTGGCGCCGGTAGTTTCTCCTTTAATTCTGCGACGTCCCATAATTGAAAGACCGTGGGATCGAAAGTAGAATGAGAGGCATCATTCATATCATACAGCTTTTGAGAAAGGTCCTCATCGCTTATTTTCTGCGATGGCAAATCCGTTTTTGTTTTCTCTAGGTACAGTAAGTTCAACGGTTCACCTTCTTGCAAACGACGCATCTAATAACGCGACTTACCATGCACAGGTGTACTATCGACCAAATTGCCAATGACCAGTCGATCCTGTAGCGTCAACTGGGGATCCGTATAAGTTGTAGGATCCATGCCAGGCGACTGAGCTAAAATGAGTTTAGCACGCGATTCATTATACGGAACAAAGCGGGTTGACCCAACTTACGATTGAGCCTCTGTTCACGGTTTTGTTGGCAATAACTACGGAGTATTGAGAGAAACGTAGGATATATGAGGGGGGAGGTTTTAAATGTAGATGAAAATAGAACACGATGTCTAGATCAAGCTTCCCCCTAGCAGTATACTTGATTGGGAAACGCGTGGTCAGGGGTGGAAAGAGTTTTCCTTTACTTAATATGTGGGTCCTGAATGAGCTGCTTACTGGAATGAGCCACATCGCGACCGTTCTATTATGAACTGACATCTGCGGATCATAACAGTAGTTCTCATGCGTGTGTAATTTGCCGCAGCTTATTTGATCCTGGGATATATGCGCCAATATTATGCATATACTCATGCTGGATTTTTTTGTTTTTGTTTTTCTTCTTTGGTCATTTAGTGGTCGTACACATCCGGTGGCCTCAACTCATGGAGAAATGCCTTCAACACTCGATTACTCATAATTTGACTGCTTCGATTATGTCTCGAAATTTGATTTAATAGGAAAAGATATCTACATTAATTCTGCTAAATGCTCAAGCCCGTCAAGGGCAATCATGGACGCAATGGCCAGGGGTCATTTTGGTGCCTGGTTGGTGCCTGGTTGGTGCGCTTACTAATATTACTGCCTGGGGCATCTAAGCTATCAATTGATGCAGACTACAAGTTGCTGTCATATTAGGCATGATATTGGTAATTTCGGCTGCCTAAAGGTTCGTATAATAGTAAAGATCGATCGTTTTCTTTATTACCAGTACGTGAACATTGACGTCCACATTTACTACTTGAAATTTCCAACTGTTGATCTGAGGATGACTCGATTTTGAATATACATTTCCGTAAGAACGATGCATAGAGTTTTGATGAAGTAGCGCAAGAGCAGCTGGAGCTTAATTCTTTTTTCAATCAATCATCCAGGAATTGAACAATATCATCATTCCCAGGCTCTGGGTGCACTCCATAATTTCAAGTTCTTGATGTTGGCAATTGGGAGCAAGACCCAACATCGATCGTCCCTGGACCAAGAAACGATGTCTCCGAGCTGAACAAGCCCGGACTGATAAGTTGCCACGCCAGCGCGCTGCATGGGGATAGCGCAAGTAATTTCCACTCTTGGAAAACTCCAGATGTCAACAAATAGGATGCTCAGAAAAGCCCTAGTCTTCTTCCCGTAGGGGTATACAACGGGAGGGAACACTTGAAGGTGTACTGCATTAGCCGTGTGCTCGAAGAAGAAAACATTTTCCGTAACCCTAGTCGTGGCACACTAGGAGGTACTCAAGGCCAGAGATCTTATAGCGATCCATTTTCAAGCGAAGGAATCCATGCACCAAGCGGTGCTGTTCGACCCATTACCGTTGAAGAAGCCCAAACGTCGTAAAACTGGCAAATAAGTACAAGGTGCATCTATGTACCTGGGGTATGTTGTCAATAATCGCTCCCATTGCTATGCAATTTTCCTACCACCAACAGTCAAAGATATGGTGGATCGAGCTGTGTCATGAAAGGATGCGTTATCCTAGATTTACATCGAATGAATAAGATCTTGTCCCTCTCGTAGGAATATTGTCAGACATGATGCGTCGCTCCATCATCCTCAGCTCACTATCAATTGCCAACATTTTTCGCATCGCGCTTACATCCAAAATACCCAATATCCACGCAATATTAGCTCAGTACATGAAGCCCAACTCATACGTACCTTACGAAGTACTCAAAGAAATCCGCGCGGAACATAATTGGGGTTTCTGATAAGCCTATTTCTCGCTGCACGGCTCAGTAGAGATGCTACCAGCTTTAATGCAAACCGTACAACGTGCGTTCTCCACAAGACCAGGCGTGAAGATCGAATCACGCGAGTTCTCCGGATTCCCAGATGAAGCCATAATCACAGCAGATATCAAAGAAGAAATAATTCCACACAGCGGCATCCCAACGCTTGCTCTTATGAGTATCTTGAACAGTCGCTCCGAGAAAGGCGTGCAAACGTGGATTTCTCACCTATAATCTCTCCATCCGGGCGTGAGTTATACGAATGGTACCTGGCAGCGAAGCAACGCACTATTGATGCCAAGTTCGACTTCTTCGTCGACTTCCATATCTACAGGCGCTACGCGATCAGCATGGAGCTAATCATCTACACCATCAGAGAGCAGGCACGCGTCCTCGAGTTGTGCAAGAACTTGCTTCACGATGGCAGGGAGCAGGGACATATGGAATACCGCACAAATGTGCGCTTCATGGATCAAATTGCAGGAAAACTAGACTGCAATGGCTTTACGTTCAAAAAGTTCACGGAACGCCTGAAGGATATGCTGGAACCTAATGGAGTGCTTTCTCCTGGGAAGTCGGGCATTTGGAATGCAGGGGTTTCACTACAGCAGAGTGCAAAGATTTGAATCTCATCTTAGGCTGGATCAAAGTTTGTCAACTTGAGATTCCCAGCGTGAACTTCAGTATGAATTGGTCTCAACGTTGGAAGCCTGAGGTTGAAATTCGAACTTCAGTTCATGGCCAGGGGTATGAGATGAGGTTGTTAGATGCCGATATGCTACTATAACTTAAATTGAAAGACTTAGATATAGTATCTCGAATCCTCATAAGTCAGTAGCTTGACATTCATTGTTCTCTTCTTTCTTTCCATTTTTCTTTCCATTTTTGTTTTGTTTTCTCTCGCTTGTTCCTCACGTGGATATCGCGTGGATAAGGTTTTTATCCAGGCGACCCGCACTGGCGCCACAGGGGCTTAAGACGATTTTGGCGGCGTCGATAAATCATGATATGAGATAAGGAAGCCAAGGGTCTACAATTATTGCCGAATGCAGGAATACGTCACAAATGAGCGACCGTCCTTTGCCCCTTTCTTCATGGTCAGCAAGAGGACTAAGCTCTTCTACGGTAGATCATAATAAATGGTGGTCAGGAGAGTTGGATGAAGGGGGAAAGGATCGTCTATAATCTCCACGGTACGAGTACGGAGTGCAGATGACAGGGCAGATTTAAGGCCAGGATCATCATCAATCCTACACAGGATGATTGATGTTTCAGGTGAACAATACACTTCGTACTGCGTAGTTTCACGGGATCTCTTTCAACAGGATATCTTCTCCATATTGTTCAACCTTTTAGCCCTTATACAAGCCTTCAATCCTCTTATCGGCGTTCGGAGGGATGATCTATTGAGAGCGTGGGCCCAATGGTTCCGCCCTGTGATGCTGTATCGGCCAATTATAGATCCAGCCTGTTCCTGCGGATCCCCACTGAACCATTCATTATTGCAGCGGGCAGCAAACCCGAGGTTACCTGTAAAGTCAATTGAGCGACGGGCGGAGAACAGATGGTAGTTACATGAACCGTGCCGTCAGATGCAATTGATCTGTTCTTCCAATTTGCAAGTCTGTATCCTCATTATCTTAGGATCAGGGCAAATCCAGTCCCCCAAAACATCACCAATCCCTGGGTTCCAATTCATAGTGGGCCTAGCCACTGTGCCCGCTGACGTACAACCGTTGCGCAGCTTTACTGGCGAGGCCATCGTTCTGTTCGTCTTCCATGGGCCGCTCCCTCCATGGTCCCAATCATATCCTGCGCTTTCGAAAGAGAAAATCTCGACTCTTGCTCACCAAGACCCTTTTGGAGATCGAGATCTTTTTTTATCTTGCCATGGATATTTTTGCGCTCGGCCATTGCCTTCTTCTGTCTTTATCATGGTGCTAACAGACCCCTCTAGCGCATCATAGCCGTAAGCCGATCGTCGTCGCAATTCACACTGGTCAACGCTGGCACAGAACACGCGGCATTTTCCCCCGTCTGTGTTAGCGCATGCCTTGTGCTTCCCACGGAATAAGTCGCTAAATTCAATCTTCTGCGATAGCAATTTAGAAAAATTTTCTTCTTCTTCTTCTTCTTCTTCTTTAGACACTTCGAGCGAATTTCAAAGAAGAACACCAACCACGCGCAATGGGTGCCCCCGGGTCGGCGTCCCCCGCCCCATCCCACTTAACCGGATCGCAACATACGAGGGGAAATAGTGCTAGTACAGACACGGCGTCGTTCGATGTAGGTGAAAAATTACTAGTGAGAAGTGAATATGAACTAACGCGCCGTATAGCACAAGTTCGGCTCTGACGGTAAAGACGACCATGCCGAGGTCCGACGCTCTATGTACGGTCACAATAATGGAAGCGCATTACAACGTCGGTCATTTGCGCAATCGTTTCAACAAGGTATACGTCGTTATCCGACAAGGAAAATTAAGCTTGTACAGGGTTTCGTCTTGAGTGCCGATTATCCAGTCCCAAGCGCAATCCAAAATGCGATGCAGAAAGAATATCGCGAGTCAGAGGAATTTGTTGAAGAAGTTTCTCATCTACGATGTGAGTAACCTTCTCCTGCGTTTCTGAATTCACCACTTTGGGTCTAGGAATATAACAACTAATTGAACAGACACGGCGGCGACATGCGATCCGGATGAATTTGTTATGCGAAACGGCTACAATCTTCGCCCTGCTATGTACAGTCGACACACAGAACTGTTGATCGCAATCACCTGTAAAAGCGAAAACAAAGTTCTCACAGCCGGGACACTTCATGGAGTCATGCAAAATATCCGCGATATCACGAATCTAAGGAAGTCTGAGTTCTGGAATAAAGGTGGACCAGCCTGGCAGAAGATCGTCTGCACTGTGATTTTCGACGGCATCGATGCTTGCGACAAGAACACTCTCGACGTATTAGCGACAATTGGTGTGTTCCAAGAGGGTATTATGAAGAAGTCTGTGGATGGCAGAGAGACCGTGGCGCATATTGTGAGTAGACTTCTTTCTAATCCCAGACACTTTGGCTCATAACAACAGTTCGAATACACGACACAACTTTCTGTTACCGCCGACCAACAATTAGTTCGACCACAAGGAGACGAGTCGACTAATTTGCCACCTGTGCAGATGATACTGTGTATGAAACAAAACACAAGCAACAAAATCAACTCACATCGCTGGATCTTCAACGGTTTCTGTCGCATGTTGAACCCCGAAGTCGTGGTTCTTCTAGATGCGGGGACAAAGCCCTCGAAAAGGGCTCTGCTTGGTCTATGGGAGGCGTTCTATAACAATGAAAACCTCGGTGGTTCTTGTGGAGAGACGCATGCCATGCGCGATACAAGATCATTGATCAATCCTTTTATCGCGGTTCAGAACTTCGAATACATGAAATCGAATATTCTCGACAAGCCCTTGGAAAGTGTATTCGGACACGTTTATCTCGGTGCATTCTCAGCTTACCGATATCGAGCTATTATGGGTCGTCCATTGGAACAATATTTCCATGGTGATATGACTCTATCCAAGAAGCTGGGCAAAAAGGGTATCCAAGGAATGAGCATTTTTAAGAAAAACATGTTCTTAGCCGGTGATCGGATCTTATCATTTGAATTGGTTGCAAAAGCCGGTTCGAAATGGCATCTTTCATTTGTCAAGGCTGCGAAGAGCGAAGCCCAGGTTCCTAAGGATTTCACAGAATTCATCAATCAACGAAGACAATGGCTGAATGGCTCATTCGCAGCAAACCTTTATGCCTTGATTCACTTTGACCGTATTTTCCGAAGCGGGCACAACGTTTTCCGCTTGATGCTTTTCTATTTTCAGCTGTTGTATAACTTCTCTGGTCTGATCTTGACCTGGTTTTCCCTCGGTATGTTTTATATCTCAATGGCCTAACATAGTATATGGCAGAGCTAACCGCAATCAGCATCATTTTGGTTGATTACCGCTGGAATAATGGATCTTGTGGGTACACCAGGCTCGCATAATAACTATTTGGCCTGGCCATTTGGTAATGAAGCTTCGCCGATCGTGCACACTTTCCTCAAATATGGCTATGTGGTGTTTCTGGGTCTTCAATTCATTCTATCTCTTGGAAATCGACCTAAAGGGTAAGTTATAGTATACCTCGTAGATTCCCTGCCAGTGGACACTCAATACTATCTCCCATACTAACATTTCCATCTAGCTCACGACTTCTCTATCTCCTCACATTCCTATACTTCTCTATGGTCCAGCTCTATGTCACGGTTTTGGCTTTCTACCTGGTAGGAAACAATACGAGCAGCAACAGCTTCACCGTGGACCTAGATGAAGATGCCATACAATCCGAGACCTGGAACGCGTCGGCATCAAACATGGTGCTGATCTCCGTGGTCTGTACATATGGTGTTCACCTTGCGGCCAGTATCCTCTACATGGATCCATGGCACACAATTACATCTTCTTGGGCCTACTATGCGACTACAACATGCTCTTCGAACATCATGATGGTATACGGCTTCTGCAACTGGCACGATGTCTCACTTGGAACACCAGTGGCGGATAAAGCCGAATCTTTGCCCGAAGCCCAGACCAAAAAGGATGGCAAGTCCAAAGTCATCGAGGAATTGGACAGGCCGCAAGTTGACATTGATACTCTCTTTGAGACTACGGTCAAGCGAGCTCTTGCACCATTTGAGCCCCCGCCCGAGGAGAACGAGAAGAGTATGGATGATTCATATAAGGCATTCCGTACTACTCTGGTAGTGTTATGGGTATTTAGCAATCTCATCTTGGTCCTCCTCATGAACAGCGTCGGTATAGAGCGATTCTGTCTCACAGTACGTTTTTGAACACCCCAATGGATGTCTATCGCGATACTAACTTTGATGAACACTAGAATGGACCCAGCACGCGTGTTTGGAGCTATGTTATGGCCGTGATGTGGGGAACTGTTGGGATCTCACTCTTTCGTTTCGCAGGCTCTATCTGGTTTCTCGTCACATCGGGGGTGTTTAAATGCTTTTCTCGTCGTTAAATATGCGCTTGTAACATGTATTATGGTAGATACCCTTTCGCAGCCAATGATAATGACTTCAAATGCTCGACTTACACACATGCCTTCTATGTTTTCCTCGCGACAGGGTTTTTCCCAGAGCTATACAGTATGATCGGATCAATAACAGCAAGCGATCAAAGAATTGTACTGCAAAAGGGTGTTCAAATGTTCGGAATTTGAAGTTGCCAGCATTTTGTCGCGGTTACGTTACCCGGATCGACAACAGGGGCGCGATCCGCAACAACACAGCAACAACAGTGCAAGAATGTGAGATGACATACACACGTCGCGCTTTCACTCAAGGCGTGCTATTCAAATTGAACAAGTGAATGAAATGAACATTGCTGAACGCCACCGACGACCTACTTCGGGGTTCGTTGATTTTCAATGTGTGTCGGCCTAATTTTCAATAGACGTGAAGGTGTGCGGTTGACCACAGGCGGCACTGTACGTGCTTAGCGATAACAGTGCGATCCCACATGGAGCCTGGATATTCCGACAATTGAGATAAAGAATGGGTGATCGCTGCCTTGAAGGTAACTTCATGGCCTTGGGCCCAGACCTTCCTGTCCGTGCCACTAGGCATCGCTCAGCATTCAATCTGGAGAACCGCAAGGCACATACAGATGGTGAATTTCTTACATGTCGTCTTTCTAGGGGTGTCTGGAATTCCTGATTGGTAGATCATGAAAAGAGAAGAGATGCAGAGATCCACATAGGTCGTGGAGTATGTATCGCCTTCCATTCACTATTGCGACTTCCCAGTATCTGCACATTCCTCTCTCCCTTTTGTTGACAACACGCGATTACCCGGTCACTCTTTCGTTAATTGCTGGAATTTCCTCTGATTTGGTTTGCATGGGTTGACTCCTTTCATGCTTGCATCCTTTCTTGTTATACAATAGTTTCTGCGAGGTTGATCCCATTTATCTTCTATATTGTTATTCAAGAAGGATGCTATCCTCATCGCTATCGCTCGGCGCAGGGTCGCTGTTTCTTCTATGGCTTTCGTCGCCTGCAAAGGCCGGGGAGTATGAATTGTTCGAGACCTGGCAAGGAAAGGACTTTTTCGAGTACTTCAATTTCTACACCGGCGCAGATCCGACAAATGGATGGGTCAATTATCTAGATCAATCTAGCGCAGAGAGCGCAGGGTTGGTGAAAGTCACCGAGAAAGGCACCGTCTACATTGGAGTCGACCATGAAACAACCCTCAGCCCCAGCGGTAAAGGTCGTGATTCAGTTCGCGTCGGCACCCACAAATATTATGGCCAGTCGCTCGTGATTGCAGATATTGCTCATATGCCCGGAAATGCCTGCGGTAGCTGGCCTGCCTTCTGGACGGTCGGCAGAGAATGGCCTCAGGATGGCGAGATTGATATCATCGAGGGCGTTAATATGCAGGATCACAACGAAATTGTCATGCACACGGCCGGAACCTGCGCATTGACGGATGAGGGGATGTCTGGATACGTCAACGCGACCACTTGTGGAGAGGCACTGGGTCCAGTGGGATGTGTTATCGAAGGTCAAAAAGGCAGCTATGGTGATTCATTCAACGCACAAGGAGGAGGTGTATATGCTATGGAATGGACCGAGCAGTTCTTGAAGATCTGGTTCTTCCCACGTCATGCAATTCCGGCCTCGATTACAAGTGGCGATCCAAATACCCAGGAATTCGGAATGCCCATGGCTCTCGTGCAGGAAGGTTGTGATGTCGCGAACAGTTTCAAGGCGCAGTCATTTGTTTTCGATGTAACTTTCTGTGGTGACTGGGCTGGTGGTGTCTTCGGAGAGTCTGGCTGTCCTATGACTAGCTCTGATTCTTTCGCCAGCTGCACCAATTTTGTCGCCCAGAATCCCCAGAAGTTCAAGGATACCTACTGGGAGATCAACTCTGTCAAGGTTTACCAAACTGGGGTGAAAGGTCCATCCGTACCATCTTCTCCGCATACCTCTGCGCCTCACGAAACCTCTGAACTGCCATTTACTGAAAGTCACACTTCGAAAACCCACACAAAGCCAGCGCATACTTCGTCAGAGACACATGCTGTTGAGATCGAGACTCATGCTACCAAGGCTGTCCAAACTTCCCCATCGATTCCTACTAAGCCTGTCGAGAAGCCTACCCAGGCGTCTGAGCAGATCTTCAGTGTCGAAAACGTTGCCACATGGCCCGCCGCTGCTCATATCTCCCAGGTCGCATCTGAGCCCGTACCTGAAGCACCAATCGAACAGCCTTCTGTCACTGAGCACCATAAACCCGCCGCCACTAGATACGTCACCGAGTTTGTCACCGGTACTATCTCACTCTGCTCTTCTGGAGAAAACTCATCACCGGCTCCGCCTGCCACCTCTGCCGCGAAGCCTTCAATTGACATTTCGCAAGCTCACCACTCCATCCACGCCAATCACAATTCAGCTTCACCTAAAATTGAGCCTCCGACTGTGTGGCAGAACGTGAACCAGGGCGCGGAAGAGGCCAAGAAGCAACCTCATTCTGAAATCACCACTCCTTCTGCCCCATCAACTCCAACCGGCATTCCCCAAGGCTTTTCAGCACCAAGCTCGGTCCCAAGTGGCGCAGATGCTCTTCACGGTCGTCCCTCAAGCTCAGAAATTCAAATGACGAGATTGAATGTCCCTACCACGTCTGCTCAATCCTCCGCGGCTGGCCCTGGAAAGAATTCAGATCCTGTGAAGCCCCAGCCAACCGGCGCATCGCCGCAGACTTCCAAGCCTATTATCCCACGTCCATCTGGAAGCTCCGCTGCCTCTGGTAGTGCTTTCCACTCCTCTTCAGGAGCTCCGGGCGCATCGGGCTCTGCCATGGGCCAGGTATTCACTGGCGCAGCGGACCGGTTGTCTCTCAAGGTTCCCATGCTTTTCGTTGCCTTTTTCCTTACCCTGGCTGTATAGATCACGTTTGATCAATTCAGTTCATAATACTATTGTTTTGTTTTCGAAGTTTCATTTCGCGCTTCTCATGTTAGCTTCTTTGTGTGTATATTAGAATTGGTTTGGGCTCTAGAAAATTGTTGAGCCTCAAGGTGTTTTTTTAAGATATTGAATGGCATTAAGGATGTATCCTGGATTATTAGTGTTTCTTTTTCCTCCCACAAATTCACCCTGTAGACGTAGTCCAAAATGTACTCGAAAATATAGATCCTGCATTGATTGATAACCTGACGGTTCCTGCAGGCGCCTCTTCGGCATTTGTGAAGCTAAGATAAGATTCCCCCGCTGCGGGGTGACAGTGCACTGCAGGATGAACGTGCAGTAACATTGAAGGCTCAATTACTGCTGTTTCAGTATGTTCAAGTTAGAGGAGAAACTTGAGATCTCGTTCAAGAACATCTATGAACATCACCCTCTGTATACTATAGTCGTATAGTATAAATAGTCAACATCGACATTTGTTATCGGGATGATGTCAGCCATCGCCGATTGCGCAATCGGCAATTTTAACTTGAACTTTTTCTTCTTTCGCGACTTCAACTACAGAACGTCAATCGAGCAATTGCTCTGGAGGATTTCATTTTTCTGTGAATTACCATAGTCTACCGGAATTTCCATATCTATTTTCATCATATAAATCTCGCAATGGCACCAGCTACGTCCTCTCGCGCCGATGAGGTGCAGAATGTGAGTTTCTATACAAACAACGCTGTTTTCCTCATCATATCTTCCAATTGACCTAAAAGATTGCGTTTGGATTCAAGATAACTAACAGACTGCCGTTCATAGCTCCTGAAAGCCGTCGAAGACCTTCTCATTCCCTTCATTCGATCTGCCGACAGTCCCGAAACACACACGCATCAGAACGGAACAAACGGAACAACATCTGTTAATGGCAATAGCACGCCCGCTAAAACTTCACTCGTGGAATACAAGAAACCCAAAGAACTACGAGAAATCCTGCAACTAGAAATCCCCAAGGAAGGACGGCAGCAGGACGGCCTAATTGAAGTTCTCCAGAAGGTTCTGCAATACTCAGTCAACACCTGGCACCAGGGTTTCCTAGATAAACTCTATGCCTCAACCAACGCACCAGGTGTTGCTGCAGAGCTGATTCTCGCTACACTTAATACCAATGTGCATGTGTACCAAGTTTCGCCTGCACTGTCCGTGATCGAAAAATACACAGGCCAACAGCTAGCAAATCTCTTCGGCTTGAACGGACCTCGAGCAGGAGGCATCTCAGTCCAAGGCGGCTCAGCCTCAAACACGACCTCTATCGTTATCGCGCGCAACAACCTCTTCCCCGAGACAAAGAAAGAGGGCAACGGAAATCATCGATTTGTGCTGTTTACCAGTGCACACGGTCATTATAGTATAGAGAAGGCAGCCCAGATGCTCGGACTGGGTAGCAGTGCTGTATGGCAAGTTCCCATTGACAAGAAAGGGCGTATGATTGCATCTGAACTGGAGAAATTAGTACAGAAAGCTCTCGATGAAGGCAGAACACCATTCTATGTGAATGCCACAGCCGGAACAACCGTCATGGGATCCTTCGACCCATTCAACGAGATTGCGACCATCTGCCAGAGATATAACCTTTGGTTCCACATTGATGGGTCATGGGGTGGATCATTCGTCTTTTCCCCGCGGCAGAAACACAAGCTTGCAGGGTCAGAAAAAGCGAACAGCATTGCAATTAATCCTCACAAAATGCTCGGAGTTCCAGTCACCTGTTCATTCCTGTTAGCCTCTGATATGCGCCAATTTCACCTGGCCAATACGCTCCCTGCAGGCTACCTCTTCCACAACGATGACACAGCTGCGGTATCAAATGGCAATGGCAGCGATTCAGAGATCGAAACAGAGTCGCCAGAAATCTGGGACTTGGCGGACCTTACACTCCAGTGTGGCCGACGTGCTGATTCCCTGAAACTATTCCTGGGCTGGACATACTATGGTAGCGAGGGATATGCACAGCAAATCGACTCAGCCTGTGAAGTTGCAGCCCACCTCGCCTCCCTCGTCGAGAAACACCCCGACTTCATTCTTGTTAGCGAAAACGCGCCTCCATGCTTGCAAGTTTGCTTCTATTATGCCCCTGGCAAACAGTTTGTTTACCCGCAAAGTGCTGCATCAAATGAAGACCAACGTGGCAAGAATAACAGCAAGGTCACAGAGCTGATTACACATGCTATTGTGCCGAAGGGCTTCATGGTGGACTTTGCACCCCCTAGTGGAGACGAGGATGCTGTTGGAAGTGGCAAGTTCTTTCGCTGCGTTGTGAATGTTTTAACCTCCAAGGAGACAGTTGAATCTCTTGTGTCGACGATCGAAAACACTGGACCTGGCATCATCAAGTCGTTGAAGACACAGGGGAGTGTTTGAAAATGCGTTGACACGATTTAGCTGCGCGGAAGTCTCCAACAAACTTATTTATGATGCTCACGTTGAATGATATTGAAGGGATATAGCATGGGACTGTCATCATTGGATATTTAGAGCCGATCTTCTGTCCTTGTCCTGTTGTATGTCGCATGAAGATTCCGATAGATATTTAGACCATAGAGAAACAATAAATGACAATCTTAATATTAGCGCCATGACGAGGAAATCCCAGACGAAGCCCTATGGCATCTGGCATGACATATAAATTCATAAATTGCAGCATCAACTAAACATAAACCCATTATTGCCCTTTCAACAGGCATGGTATCATAGAACAAATCACATAGACGCTGAGAAAGTGCCCTCAATCTCCTCAATCTTCTTCACAGCCTTTTGATAACCATCCTCCTTCTCCAAACGCTTCGCATAAGCGAACAGAAGAGGATATTTCTCCTGTTGCTTCTTATCCTGCAAAACGCGACCGCTCGCCGCGATAACAGGGAAACTCAACAGAATATCCGCCGCAGTCAACACCTTACCGCAAATGAAGGGCCCACCCTCAGGGGCAGTTTTCAACTGATCCTCCAAGAAAGCGAGATTCCCCTCCACATTGCGAGTCAAGAATTGCGCTTCAATCTGCGAAGCAACGATACCGGTGATGGGACGAACGAAGAAGGGCGGGGACTTGCGGAGGGCTAGGAAAACGAACGCGTTAGTCGCAGTCGCAATGTGTCAGGAGAAAGGAAAAAGGAAAAAGGGGGAGAATCGCCCGGTCGCATGTTATCACTTACTGTCATTCACCAGAGTCATGACAAGGAAAGGCATCAGACTACCTTCCACATAGTGCATGAAATAACGGTAGCGTATGAATTCTTCACGCTCGCCACCAACTTGACCTTCACGACCTGCGACATAGCGCTCCGGCACAAGCGAAGGCTTCACCTTTCCGAAGTGGTCGCAGAGATACTCGACGATCGCGCCGGACTCAGCAAGAACCATAGGCTTTGAGGAGCCCGGAGCCTCAATGGTGATGATAGGAGACTTGCCGAGTTGGTGGACCTCCTTCAGCTCCGCGGGCGCAAGCTTATCAGCTCGTCGCTTGAAAGTCTTCAGCTCATATTTCAACTGCAGCTCCTCGAGCAACCAGAGGATACGATGGCTTCGAGATTGCTCGAGCCTAGGCGTTGTTAGTCACGGTCGCAAAGCGTATGTAGGAAGCACCAATGAAATCATGCAGCTCGGCGATTTCAGTTTCTTCACATACCAGTACAGAGTGATCTTGCAGCCTTGGTTGTTATCGGTCATGATGTTATGTATGAGAATGTTGGATTTAATTAAAACACGGGAATATCCAGGGATTAACAAGGAAACAATAGGAAATATATGGTGAAATGGTTTAAATCCATTTTTCGAACACTTTCAAGTTCCCAGCTTGAGTGGATCAAGTGGGATGATGTCAACCCGAGGCCCGTTGCAAACTTTGAACTCGATTAAGGTGAAAACGCCGAGATCGACGGGATCCGGTGTTCATGTGAAGTGGATACGGATTTGTTGGGGGAAATTCACAACTTCACCCAATTCGGTGGGTTTCTATGCCGATCTATCTATGATGAGTTCTAGTGCTTATTTTATTATCTTTTATCAGTGAAATTGAGTGGAATCTAGTGGATTCATTGGGATTGCTAACATCTCCTCGGTAGTTACGTGTATACCCAAGTGCCTCTATACTTCCACAACATATTGTATAATCCTGGATCATAATGTCAGTCTGAGCTGCCAGTGGCACTCTCACTCCTCGTCCTTGTTCTCAGTCCAATAATCATCATTTCGTCCATACAAATCTCTTGCCCGCGAACTCGATGTATCGTGCTTGATACTGTTATAATACTGGCGGAACTGCTGGCTCACTTCCAAAACTCGTCGGAAATGTTCGCTTTCCACTAGGATCTCCTCTTCATCCTCGTCATTTCGGGCTTCGTACTGAGCCAGTGAAATAGCCGTGTACAAAGCATTGCGGATCTCACGTCCATTCCACTCCGCTTTCAGGACTTCCTTGTCCTCGAGCACCCATCGTTTAGCTTCCCTCCCCACGCGAATCTTACCCTTACGCTCACTGGCCAGTTTCTCAAAGAACCCTTCCCAGATCTTCTTCCTTTTATCTTCGTCAAGCGGTTTGTAGCCGATGATCAGTTGTGCCCGGGAGAGGAAAGCTTCATCAATGTGGCCCACTCGGTTGGTAGTCAGGAAGAGCACCCCGCGGAAATATTCCATTTTACGAAGGAAAGCTGTTTCAAGTTGAATCATCAGTACCATCAAGACTGGTTTGAATGGAAAGTGTAACAAGAGGAAATACATACCAGACACAATGCCATTACGGGCAAGATCTGTGTGCTTTCGTCGCTCGAGGAAGATATCCGCTTCGTCAATGAGGAGAACAGCTCTCCAGCGCTCTGCTAGTGAAAGCCATTGCGAAAGCTTCTCTTCGATCGTCTCCTCTTTTGTTCCGAGATCTGCGATTGTCAAGCTAAGCAATGGCCTGCCACTCGTAAGAGCCGTCACTTCTATAGAACTTGTTAGCGAACGATGCCCAGGTGAACCTAGTACATTGTCTTTATAGCTTGAATTGTCAACTTACCAACTGTATACGTCTTTCCCACTCCGGGAGGACCTATGTCTGTCAGCAACCACATAATTTTGTGAATGTCGCAGAACTTGGAAACCATACCATGCAAGAGGATCACAACACCTTCACCTTTGCTGCGAATGAAATCCGGCGACCAGGATTGTTTCCCACTCAGAATGGGAGAGCACAGCGCCCGGATGATATCAATATTAGAGTCCTCAATGACCAATTTAGCACGAGAAGAGTCCCCATCCATGAACTCGACGTTATCCACGTGGACAATATCTGAGGTAATCCCGTTAGCTGAGCCCAGGTGAACAATACCCGTTAAAGACAATACCTACGCCATGACTTGGTATCCGGTGCAAATGCTGCAATTTTAGGAAGCAACAGAAAGAGATGTTTCTTAGTGACTTTCTCAGGGTTATAAATATCCACTTTATGATACTCTGATACGCGAATTCCGCGAAGCTCCGTGTTTTCGCGTTGAGCATCTATGGTAGCCTTATCCCGAGGAATGAAAGGCACAGTGAAAACCCAATTCGACGAAGGCAAAACATTCGAGCTCTGACCGATCATATCATCCGCAATAACGGGAGCAGTCAGCTATTGACGCGTTAGCATATATCCAATTCTCAAATGAAGATAAAATTCCATCGTCAAGTCCGACATCTTACATTTCGCTCTCCTTTGTCATCATCATCCGTATCCAGAGTTCTTCCACTGTGCATTACCTGCATGTTGCGCTTTTTCAAGATTAAGAGACGTTTCTCACTTCGAGCTTCGATCGCGGCCAATCTCTCCCCTTTATCTGTTTTGTCATGGAAGGACTGGGGAATAATAGGGAGGTCGTTAATCGCACGTTCCCCCTCAAACGTAGGGATGTACAATTTCTTGAAAGTTCGCTCAAGCATGCAAGGACCACTGTCCTGCCAGTATTCATCAAGAAACCATACCCAAATATTCCACTTGCTGATGTTGCTCTTGACTTTCCATTTGACGGACATGATGACACAACCGATCCACTTGTCTTCATGGAGGAAATATGCAAATGATCCAGGGCGAAGAATCCACCACACGTCTTCGAATCGGATTGTTGGCGCCTTCTTTTCAAGTCGAGTACGGACCGGCTTTAACTTTTTCTCAAATGGACGAATAAATTCGAGGAGAACCTCGATATGTTTCTTGACCTGCTTTGATAATTCATTGGAGTTGTTTTTTTCCTCGGCAACGGCCTTCTGATATTGATCTTCAAAGTCCTGGAAATGATGAACAAGGCATCGGTACGGTTCGTCAAATATTATGGTATCCCCAGTCAGGTTTTGGCTAAATGCGCATCAGCATAACATGTCCTAATTGAAAAGGTTATCAACGGCTTCATACGAAGGATAATATTCAACAGTCTGACGAATGACTTCCAGTAGCAAAGGCGAATGAACGATCATATTAGTATCGGTAACCTCCCGAAGATAAATCTCATCCAGAGTAGTCGGTTTCTGAATTTTGTCGTCAATATCTTCCAACGCTTTCTCCCACTCATCCGAGCTTAGCCATTTTCCTTTCAATTGGCCTCTAGCCCACGAAGTCACCTCAATAATAGGAGGGGGTCCATCATCTGCATCGGACCTGGGAATCGTATCGATATCGAGTCCTGCCGCTCGCAAATCGAATGGATCATCTGTTTGTCGAAGTGTAGTCTCACCCCAGGGACCATCAACGACCAATTTATATCGAATATTATTCTTTGGCGCAGTAATCTCATCTTTTGGTTCAAGTCCAGTGGCCTCCGAGATAGACTCCCCAAAATCCACTTGCACGACATTTTGAGCCTCTGGTTCCATCGTCGATAAATTCTCCTGCTCACCATCCCATGGCTTCTTAACAGTCTCAGGAGCTGGAGGCTTGAACGTATTCAAATCCGCCTCGGAGAGAATAGGCTTTGTTTCTGCACGCATATTGTCGAGTCTACCGATTCCAACATTAACCGACAGAATGCCTGTGTCCGATACCAGGTAGAGCGGGGAGGGTATGGACCTACACGGCGGGTGATAAAATGGGCAGCTAGTGCTTATCTTAAATTCTTTGTGCGTCTAGCGTGATTCGAGCTACTCCAATGAGCCCCGCCAGTTCTATCGATGCTAAGTGCGTACAGGTAAGATGATATTCATGTCCCAAAATCTCTCCAAATTAGGGGTTGCCACGTCGCTTGACACGCATGATCCATCAGCTGGATCATGCATGACCCATTTTTTCGTGAAGATCTTGACCATTATTGGGGGGGGGGAAATGACTCTCCATAGCTGTATAATAGGTATCGCATTCTTTGATACATCATTATATTTTTCGAGGGCCGAAAGAACACAATACCCTTGTTTGGTTGAGCCGGAACGGGCCGCTACTACCAGGGACGAGAGGCGGAAGCAAACCTTTGGCTTCAGCCGCATTGCCTCGCCCGGGCGTTGACAGATGATTAAGTGGGTCAGCATTGAGGGGTAGCTATAGCCCTGGAAATTTTGGATGGATGGCAGCGACATGGACCCCACTTCTGCATTATTACCTTGTGGTGTCATCACATAGGGATTCTTTCTAATTCTATCCCTACATAAATTGTCACCGACTTGAGGCTCTTGCCAAACACACGAAAAGGCTACGTGCTAATACAGACAACGGATATATACCGATCATGGACCCTGAAGACGAAGAAGTAGAGCGCCGCCGCATAATTCGGCGCTTCAGCTGGAAAACTCGATCGGAAATGCCTGGCGAGCCATTAATACAAGGGCTAGCGACGAAGGTCGATTACGATGCCTCTCTAGAATCAAAACATGGCGAACGTAAAGCACAGCTCATCAAAGATGCCATGGGAGTATTTCCCGAGTCAGAAGTTAGTGAAATGTAAGAACTTATCCTTGCAATGAACTAAACTCAATGTGGAGAGGCTATGCTGATCATGACAATGAGCTGTACAGAATGCAATGGAAAGACTGCTTCGATTCACTGGAAGAATCACACAAAACCCTGCAAGAACGACTGCTCAAATTTCAGCAAAAGACAAAGCTGCCAACAGGTGATAAAACAACCCAGCATGGCTTCCGTTCGGTCTCTATCGCCGTACGAGAAGCTCAATCCAATTGGCAAAAGCGCCATGACTCTGGCGTATCTGGAAAAGCAAAGAAGATCTTCTTCACTGTCTCCCAGGCAGTAAGCAGTCATAGCTATCTATTGGATCTTTTGCCCGGTGGCGATAATTATGCCTCCGTCATAGTAGGCGCCCTGTCTACACTTGCCCGGGTAAGTAGACACCCTTCTCATTCAAGTGAACAGAGTGCTCTACTATAAAAAATGTGAATAATCATATAAAATACGAAGAGTCTAACAATTGGTGTAACACAGGCAACTACAACATACCAAAGTATCGCATCGGAAATATCAGACTACTTGGATGAAGTCTCAGACCAAGTGCGATCATTCCACCACGCCATAAAACGCCACCCAGAATCAGAGTATATAAAATGCCATATCGCAATATTCTACAACACATTTTTCCAATTCTTGATTGACCTTCTGACAAAATGGTACGACTCCAGCTGGAAGCGTCTCTCACATGTCTTTGGGTCATCATTTCTCGACGGAACCTTGCGCCCTACTGTGAAGAAGTTGGAAAAGTGCCAGGCAAAGGTATACAAGGAGAGTGACGATTTATGGAAGGATAAAGTTGCCCGATATCTCTATTTGCTTGGTGCGAGAATGGAAGATTGCTTCGAGGGTATGGAGCTTGAACGACCAGCCCATGGTCGCAGAACACATGGAAAATCCAAATCTTACCTAAACGCATCACAAGGCCATGAGCCTCAGCATAAGATCTCAGCAATTGAAGATGAAGATGATATGAATGGTGAACTGAGCGAGTTGGACGATGAAAGTGAACTACAGGGTAACACCTGTGATTGGGATGCTATTCTCGAGACCATTTTGCACTTTGACCAATACGTTCGATCTGCATCTTTGGTACTTCTTGTTCAACGCGCCAAAAGCCTATCGATCGGAGCCGCCGTTTACACACGAGTACATCAATGGGCCTCCGAACCCAGATCAGAGGCATTATGGATTAACGGACCAGTACAAGCTGAACACCCGTCTTCGAATACTCTCGCATCTGCGTTCATGATCCAAGCCATCAAGTCTCAAGGGCTATGGGGTATTTCATTTATCGTCGGCACTGAGATCAGACGAGGTGTCCCATTTTCGTCTAGCAAGGAACTTGTGGCTCTTGTCTATAGCTTGATCTACCAAGCTGTTCAAAACATCCAAGAAAACGAAGACCATGCCGATATTGATGATATAGATTTTTCTATATCACGATTCGAAGCGCTTACGGGTCAGGCGGATACGTTGGCTGATGCTATAAGTGTATTAGGCGATCTTCTTCAAGTCACGATGTCACTTCAATATTACATCATTGATGGCTTGGAGCTTTTGGAACGAAACATTAGAGACCCTGCCTTGAAAAAGAGATTATCTGAGCTGGTTAATGTCCTCTGCAATGCTTGTAGACGAGCATCTGATCGCCCTCGAGTGACCAAGGTGTTGTTCACGACCAACGGATTTAGCAAATTGTTGAAGCAATTAGCGAATAAACGATGGATAAGTGATCTCAGCTATGAGGACGATGAGGAAGATCAACATCTGAGATTGAAATTTCCAGAATCGCTTCCTAAAGCTAAACAGCTGATTTGATCTTGGGTTGGTATTATTCTTCGATCTATAATTCACATCCTCAATGAAGGTTTAGTACTGTACAATAGTAGACGCACAAATGTGGCAAGTGAATTTGAAACATTTTAATTCAGTAGAATAGCTCTGTAATTGGCAATAATAAACACGCCCTCCGCGATTAAATTATTTACGGTTGCGATCATAACTCCAATATTAACCCTTGAGAACCGGAATGAACTCCATTTTATCAATCTTCATGCCAGGCTATGAGCAAAAACCGTCCAGTCGAGCCTGTATTGTCTTCTCATCAAATCGTCCATTGTCACCCTCGTAGTTGCGTAGAACCTCTAATGTCATCAACCGCCTAGGCGCTTTGCGACCCGTCATCAACTCCCACTGTGCAATACCCTGCTCAATAACATTCTCCAATCCATCAGAGAGTACCCAAGAACGGCCAGTGTCGTTTCTGATCCGACGCATCTGTTTTAACAGAGGGGTATCAAGGGGTTTATAAGCAAGCTACATGGGAGGTTAGTAAACACAAGTAGACATTGGGAAGAACGAGAAACTCACCTCAAGCACAACACCTCCTGTAGTACTCCCAAGCCACTGAAGAGGCATTTCAAAGTTTGCAGGCGGCTCAGCTTGGTCTGGATCAGCCGGCACACATGATGCAATCAGACTTGGCGGGTTGGCATCATCAGGCCAGTCATCCTGTGTTGACTTCAAGACTCGAACAACATCGACAGAGTCCACCTGAGACGACGCCCACGAATTAAAGTGGCGTGCAACCTCTTCAGCTCGGGATTGAGTGCGATTGTAAATGAAGATCTTGCGACATCCCAAGCGAAGCATAGCATAAATAGCAGATCGAGCCATACCTCCCGCTCCGACCACCAAGGCTGTCGTTTTTGCGCTGATCGCATTTCGAGGAGATAGATGACGATTGATGCAAGTCACGATACCAGCCCAATCTGTATTCTCTCCATACCATCCGAGCACCGGACCTGCCTGGTTGCGTCGACTAGCTTGTTCCTGGAGCGAGTACATCCCTCCTTCAGAAGGGCCTCGAAGCGGCATAATAGTATTGATGGCCCCGATAGCCTCAGCATGTCGGCTTTTAGCCGCCAATTTATGGTAAAGTTCCACTCGCCAGGGTTGTACGACACTCGAACCACCGAAATTAGGATCAAGTCGTAATTCATCCAATATGGCTAGGGAAGGCGATTCAGGGATTTTATAAGTATGGCTCATACCCGAATGCTGGTGGGCGCCATTGTGCATAGGCGGAGAAAGACTGTAAGCTACACTTGAGCCAAGAATGCAGAACTTCAAGGGATCAAGCACATAGCTCTGGAAAAGAGCTTTCATAGCATCACGGGACGTGATCTGGGCATCGCGCTCATTTTCTGTCGGTCGCGTAATGGCTGGATGTGTGACACTGGTCAAAATCGAATTGAAGACTTGAGATGTTCGTCCAAGGCGTCCAACATTATAAGCAATCAAAGGGGCCCGGTCGCCTGGTAAGGCGCGAATCTTATTTGTAAACTCAAGGACGGTCGCATTGTCGTCGCGGCTAGTTGCAACGCGCAGAAGTCGTACAATCTGACACCCTACCTTCTCAGCTTCATTATACAGAGTAACGCAGCCTTCATCCGTCCATTTCACCCGTGATGATGCCTCAAATATATGCTGACCAATTATCTTTGTATTACCGCGTGCGCGAATGATTTGCGAAAGTTGAGTTCGGTTTTGTCCAAGATCCACGACCAAGTATTCAACTGCCATCCGCAGACCATGCTCCAGGATATCGAAATAGGATGATGACGATTGATCTGCTCGACCTAAACCGGAGGTTGTTATGTCTATGGAGAGCATAATAGGCGTACGCGCGTTGCGACGCAAAACCGCGACCTGTTGACTGATAACCTGGGCCATATCAGGACCCCAACGGTCAATACAGAGTTCGATTGCATCTCCTCCAGACTCCAACTCGGCCAGAGTCACATTGTCATCGATGAGGTCTGAGGATCGAACATGAATAGCATGAGTATAGGAACGGAGCTCCGGAGGGGTTTCTAGTAACGCAAATGGCGAGTCATAGCTGGATTGGTGTGCGTCGGCGCCAGTGACAAAATGGACAAAGCGAGTCAAGTCCTCCTTCACGTCTTGTAGTTTGAAAGAATAAGCTGCCGATCTCGGGTCGGGGCTTCCGTCATCTGCGATAACGCGCGTGCGATCCTCCAGGTTATAGAACTCAAAGTTAGAGCATGTTCGGTGCAGCGGATCTCCTTCCCGTAGTAGTCGTATGGACTGATCTTCCAACCCTAGCAGCTGCTGAATATGATCGATGTCACGGAGAATGTGGACCACGGGATTGGTCTTGGATATATGGCGTAAATGATCCTGAACAGGCCGAGTCAAGCTTCCCAATCCACACTCGATCACGCAACCTGACTTATGATTATCCAACATCTGTTTCAAGACTTCAATGTCTCTGCGCTGGAATTCTTGACTTCCACGGGTCTTCAAGTATTCATGGCGCGTGATTCCAGTAACCTCTTTGAAATAGTGATCTTCTGTTATAAAGCGTCGCTTAAGGGCCGTGGCTGCGACGAAACCAAGGGAGCGTTTGCCGCAGCCCCGGATCCCCACTAGCACTATGGAAGCATCTGTGTCGAATTTGCGGGCGGGAGTGGGTTCGGGTGGCTGTGTGGGTTGCGCGGAGGAGGCTCGGTTTGATAGTGAGCGCGAGCGAGTTGAAGGAGAACTGGGAGCCGTAGGCTCATGGGCGCGAGATTGCCAGTCGAGCATGGCGGGCTGACAGATGTTGCGGGGAGGTGACGAATGCGAATGCCTCTATGATCGATGAGAGAAGGCGGATAGTATACGGATAGCTAGGTCAAGGATGCGCGGGCCATGGTCGGATATGAACCATATAATGTGTTCGCAGTCGCATTGAGAAGCCACACTTGGATGGAATGAGCGCAAAGGAAAAGGCGAGAGGAATTGTCTGGAGGAATGCCCGCGGTCTCTTTTCCCCGGATGCCGGATGAAGCACAACCGCGAGCGACGGTTGTGGGGCGGTGGATTATCTTATCGTCCAGTCTGATTTGTCGCACGGCAAAAGCCTTAGCCCTGAACTTCACCGGGGAAGTGGCCTTTTAATAGACGAGATGTTGATTGGGTTTCGGTTAAATATAATCAAAGAGTTGGAATAGATCACAGTATGGGGAACAGGTTGCTCAGTTGCGGGGAAGAAGTTTCGGTGGGTGCTTATAACGTGTATGTTGTACATAATGCTGCCGGAGCTACTTTCTCCGTGCATGATGAAGATATACACAGCAAAGAGACTTCAAAGTCACCAGATCTGAGTTGATTCTGGTATTGGAATGTTGAAAAACCGTCGAATGACTCCAACCTCTACAAAATAGAAACATCACTACTTGCAAAATAACGAAGGCCATATACTTAGTCAGATAACTATCGTGCTTTGTTCCTGCCTTAAAATTCGGGCATCAAGTAATGATGACATAACAAACAAGCACGTGACCCGATCACCTGATTCTAATGACGTGCTGCTCTGTTTGCCTTGTTTGCCATGTTTGCTCTATTTCTGTGTTCCTGGTTGGTAGTACTTGCCAAACAAAATAAAAGAATAGAAAAAAATAAAAAATAAAAAATAAAAAACTGGTCTTTACTTTCGTCACTAAAACACATCCGTAGACAGGGTTATTCAAAGAGAAATTCGGTGATTCTTTGCAGGCCTTGGAGATCTCCTTCAGCGGTATTTGCTAATTCCTTATCCACCCAGCCCCTGGTGTAGCCTCCACCAAAATCAATAAGATACGCATCAAAGTGCGTATCTATTAGAACATTATCAGGTTTGGCATCTCCCCAGACAGCACCACACACATGGAGCCCCTCTATAGACTGCGTGATCTGGCTTAGCCATTTCTGCCCCATCGAGACATATTGGGGGTCTTGTCCCATACAAAGCAAGGTTTTATTATCCTTAGACTCAATATATGAGAGAAGTAGACCAACAATTCGGCCTGAAGAAGGAATGCGAACAATTCCAAGTAGCCGACTTGTGTTGATAGGCTTGGAAAATAAGGCCGACTGTATTTTTGTGTATGCGTTAAGTTCTCTGCATATGCTGTTCACATCCCCGGCGCCCACTGATTTCAAGAAAGCGACTTGAATATGTTGCCCCTGGATGTATACTTTTCGGGGAACAGCTGGTAAGGTATTGCTATCATCTAATATTGAGATTTCAATTTGATCAGGGCGATAAATTGGGAATGTAGAATAATCTACTTGCTCTGGGATAAGAGCGCCAAGAAACCGCTTTTCTCCAGCCTTGTCTAGGAAGATAGGTGACAACTTGTCTTGATGGACATCGAGTGAATAATGGAAAACTTCTGGAAATAGACAATCATGGAGAGTGTATTTCTGATGTATATCCGAAGGTGGAATCTCTCGAAAAATTGGGAGGAAACATTCCAATACCCATTCAGCCAACTCTTCAAGAGGATCCTCTGAGTCAAATTCTTCGTCTGATTCAGGCAGATAATCAGGTTCTAGATGTTCAAGATATCGGAGGTAATCTGCTAGAAGTGTCGGTGACTTCTCAAAGTTGGCGGCTTTTAATTCGATTTGGAAATGTTTGTTGGAGGCAAAAACATTCAGTTGGGAGTCCTTGTCATGTACACTGGACCGAAATGGCCCCAATGTGTAGCAAAGTTTATCTATGGTTGGAAAACAATTGAGAGTGTGTGTAGTATAACTACATGGAGGAGGTGGGACGGGCATGTTTGCATGTACTGAAGAGGGGAAATAGGCCTGTATTGGAATACTAGTCAGAAAAACCCACAGCAAAACATCAATCTCTTTCCCTGGTCAATGCGGGAAATCAGAATCGCAGAACCTGATCAAAAGAGTGTAAGAAGTGCGTTTTTTTTAGAACTAATCGCAACGCGATGCTATATAACAGGACGAAACAAAAGGGGGATAATAACTCCGCGACCGTAAGGGTCATTCCTAATAGGGCGGAGGCTTTCCCCACTACAGTACGCTTCCTGCGACAGCCAATTTTGCGAGCTAACCAATGATACCTATCCACCCATCAACCACTAACTCCTCAAAGTACTCCCCGCTATCTCCGGGACTCAACGTCGAGGGACTAGTACTGGGTACATAAAGAGTTTAAAAAAGGCCATATCTCTCCTACTCTTGCTAACAAACTAATTAGCATTTACAAGGAACAGTACAATTGCCAATAATGACAACCAACAACCCCCTCAAGCTAGAGACATTGACTCTTGAAGATAATGTCGCCCTCACCAACCTATGGTTCGCCGCCTTCACAGATCCAGCTTTAGCCAAAGTATTCCCAAACACCCCCGGTGTTCGGCAATGGCTAGAAAATGCCAACCGACATGACCTGATCAATAAGCCCTTTCAAAAGTACATCAAAATAGTGGACACGGAGACATTGGACAATCAAGGTCAACCCCGCATTGCTGCTTATGCCAAATGGGACTTATCGACGCCTGAAGAGCGAGGACGACGTTATCCACCCTGGCACGAAGAAATGCCCGGCGAGATGTGTGAGGAGTTTTTCCAGCAAGAAGAAGGGAATCGAAGACGTGTAATGGGTGATCGGAAGCACTTTTGTACGATTTACCCAACATCATCAATATTTTTTACCCAGAAGCTGTACTTACTGAATTCAAATAGATCTTGATACTGTTGCCACACACCCTGATTATCAACGACGAGGATGTGGCGCGATGCTTGTGAAGTGGGGCTGTGATCTAGCGGATTCGGAGGGTGTGAGTGCCTATGTCGACGCTAGCAAGGATGGGGCACCTCTATATGCGAAACATGGCTTCGTGGATTATAGCAAACCCGGAGAAGATATTGCCTCCATGGCTCGATTTTCCAAGAACACTTGATGGGAGATACAGAGAGCTACTACGAATTGGGAACTATCATCTTGGATTTCTTCCCACATTTGTAGCTACACCTGGAGTATATCAATCGATTCTTATTGGTATAATATACCTTGAATATTTGCTTACAATCTGACCCTACGATAATCATCAAAACTGAGATAGTATGTAGACAATTAATTCACATATTATGAATCTATGGATAGGTTAGTAGTAGTAGTTGTTGTAGTACCAGCCCTATGGATATCAAAACAGGCAAGGAAATTTATGAAATGAGAGTGAGTGAGAAACACAACGAACACTACTTCACGTTCGTCCGAGTTAGCGAGTTTGTTGTGTGATACGAATATGTCTGAATATGAATTCCCGGATTTTCCTAAATCTTCTCTTCATCTTCGATTCGCCCCAAATAGATGATGGGAATGTATAGTAAACATTCGGATCTCTACTAGGATCCATCTCATTGACCCGGTTGCTAGTCTGTGTCGTAGCGTGGGTATTCCGACACCTGCTTCCATGTGGCTCGGGCTCAGGATAACATACCTCCGGAGAAGAATGGACTGATGCAGACTCGTGGATTGGTTCTATCTCAGGTGTGATGTCGAATTTGGGGGCGATATTAGCGATATTAGTCTCAGGTATAGAATCATCTTCAGGTTTTGGATTAGCTTCATGTTTTGAATCGGCTTCTGCTATGAAACTATTATCCGGGGTGATATCAAGCTCAGAGTTTGAATCGACCTCCACTGTAGCCTCTGGCACCACTACATGACTTTGCCATAGCGGAGATGATGTACACTGGAGCCGACTTTTTCGAGTTAGGGATACCGAGGCAATCGTGTCCTCGTGTATTGAGTGGAAATCAGCCCGCGAGCGAAGATGACTACTCTTGATAAATCCATTTCCAATGACTAAATTTGGGTTAAGATATGTGTCTATATCGCCAATATCTAGTGTATTTTGATAGCCTGGTTCTTCAGTGTCAAAGATCCATTGGCCATGAGAAGTGTAGTGCTTGAAGCAGTGGTTCTTTGCAGCATGTTGGAGCGCAGACCCACGCAGATTTAGAATAGAGCCATCGACTTCATCATCTAGAACGACAATAAACGGATCCACATATCTGTAGGCTCGACTGAGAATGGCCTGGACTCGATAGTTGCCGACTGCGCGGGGAATCTTGATATCTCCGAGAATAACTGCTAAGGATTCTTCAGGCAATGTCGAGCTGCGTTGGAATATTCCTGCTCCTAGCCAGTTGAAATGATGTATAGTCGGGCAATCACGCATAGAGTTGTCACGCCAGGCAAATTCATTGGTTGAATCGCTCAAGTAGGACTGTCGCCGAGCAAACTGAGAGGATAAGGTGTTGGCATGAGCCTTGATATCTGTGTATTTAGTGGTGTTATCCGGCATTGTATCTGGAAGAGTGAGGGAGAGTGAGACATCGGGTGTCAGTGTATACTGCAAGTTATCATCTAATTTGTAATCCAGCTGGTAATCCAAAGCCTCTTCCTCCAAAATGGTGGTCAAGTTATCGTTCAAGCTTTCAATTAATTTGCCATCCAATATACTCTCGTCGGAGCTGCTTGAATTAGAAATAAAGTCATCAAACCAGCTTGTAGCGTCCTTCTCTTCACATTCAAGTTCATCTGGGGTTGTGAGCCGCTCACTTTGTGAACTGTCATTGATTAGAGTAAAGAAGTCCTGATTCTTTCTATATATAGTAAATGGTGTAGTAGATTCCATGCTGCAAGATGAGGGATTTCTAAGTGAAGTTTGGCTGTTTTCAATTTCGTTTTCTACCTCCTCAGCCCAGTCAAATTGTTCGCGTTGCCAAAATCAATCATCCATGGCCTCGTACACAGTGCAAATATTGCTGAAGCTATAGTTCAAGTTGAATCTGCATATAGTATATAGTAAGCGTTAGCGTTTCAGTTTAGGAAGGATAAGCCTTGGTTGTTTGAGAAAGGCTAGTATGTTCAAGTTCTGAGGACCTCGGAATATAGTATAGAGGCGCTGGTCTTCCTGTGTACTAAATTCGTGGTCATTTGAATAGTATCAAATAGATGTGAGGCTGGGAAAATATCCAGATTGTCCCAAAGTTATTGTCACCTGTAGATTATAATGAGAAATATGGAATTAGTTCGAGGAAACTGTGCAGGAGTAGCCTCTTTATAAGGATGCGGGGATATTGATAACTCAACATTAGCATAATTAGCCATTCTTTGTTGCCCGAATGTATACAAAGAAGTGGAGGGCAACAGTCAAGGTGTTCAATGAGTTTGAATTCAGTTCTTTGTTCACCAAATAAGAGACATCAAAGTCAATTGTTTCAGACAAAGAACGAACCAGGATTGTCGCTACTATTACAGCTCTTTGTCATTCAGTAAATTTGATTCAAGAAACCTGAGTGAGGATCAGAATAATCGCTATTAATAGATACGTCTATATTTCTGGACAATCCCATTGATCTCAGTCATGGGAAGTGGGTAACATTGGAGTTGATCAAAGAACGAGCCCTGTTTCATACTCATGCCACGCTCGTACATCTAGAGACTATGGAGATGTGGCTCTGCACACGGCAGCTTGGCTACCATAATGCATGTCGTCAGTGGTGTGTGTCAAGTTTGTAACTTTTTCGAAGGCAGACCTGCTATCAACTACGGCATTCAATTCCCACCAGACACGAACTGGCGTCCTCTCAAGTGTTTTCAATTCAACAAAATAGAAATTTCAGACATACAAGCCGAACTTTGCTTCGATCCCCGCGCTGCCATCCTGAACCCCCTTCGGGAAAATGTGTGACCAACTCCATATCGTCAGTCTCGAGAGCGCATCCCTTGAGTGAGAATGAACAAGCACATAAATTCAATGGTTAGGATCAAATCAGAATCAATACTGAAAAACTTACCAGACCGCATACCCCACATGACGGAAGTAGGCTGCACATGTGAACATGTCAAGGAGCGGCGGGGCCCCGGAATATCAGTTAGACTAGCGTCTACTATTACTATCTTACATTCAAGTTAATAACTACTAGTGCCGTTCAGTTTGCATTATTTTCATCAAGTATCTATTGTAGATTATCTTGATTCAGCTTACTGATTATTTCTGAAATTGCAAATTATGAAATTGCAAATTATGAATTGAGGCCAACTACACAGCGAATGATTAGGCCCCCGGGCACCTGCAGAGCCTCATAATTTGCTATATGTGGCAGAGATTCATATCTGGTCAAGTCTTCATTATCTTATTCCTGAAATGCATGATACACCTCCAGATACGTTTGACTCTGGTGCCGAGTACTATATCGGGAGTGCAACACCCTATGATTGTACGTTAGACATCACCCGCGGAATGAAGCACGATTTGTTCAAATTGTGAAAGCTCTTTGAGGAGGAGCATTTAAACAAAGAGACGAAATCATTCACGGACTGGATGGAAAATAAGAAGTCGAATGTCATGTCTTCTTGTGATGGAGGGCAACTCTTGTTTAATGTGTTACTTGGGGGCCAAGAGGGAAGACAGTCTAAAAAAGTTCTCTTCAATGGGCATCTAGATGCGTGTGAGGGAATAGTGAACGAAATTCAACCCAAACCTGATATCGCAGTGCTTGGCATTGCTGAAAGGGCAAATTTAAACGGAAGGCCATTTGATGGGTCCGCAGCCACGTTTGCGACCAAATTGGTCAAATGGATTAGAGAGCCGCAGAAAGTCATCTGGTGTTTACGTGATGAGTGGGAAGTCTGCTTCAAGTCAACTAGTATGTTATTTCCTAGCTAATCATAAATAGTGTCATCAAACCGTACCGGGTTGATACAAGAGCCGCGACAGAAGCTGTGGAGGCAAAGACGAGCTCACGAATTGTGGATCTGCCTCATGGTAAGTTGTATACTCTGTTTTCTGAGTAAGTGAAAGTAAGGTCTGCAATTGTCAGATTCAAAATCACATGGGACCTTCATCAACCCGTAGAATACGGGGAAACCAAATAGGTAGCCAAGTGGTTATAAAATGGCCACAACCAAGTGCCCAGGCCCAAGATTCCCAAAATCCTCATGATTCCCGAGGTTCATTCAAATGTTCCAAATCCAGTGACATTTCCGACCGAACCAGACGGCACGAACGCCACCATCCCATGGGGATTAATATATTTTGTAGAATCTATTGTGTCGTTTAGCGTCTTCCCCATCCTTGGCAAGCGCCCCCGCAGCAGCTAGTTTCACCCGCGTCCAATCAACACCTCGTATCTGCCTCTAGTCAGTGCAACGGTACACAACATTTGAAGGAATTTGAGTGCATCAAATTTCCAATTGTTGCACGCCCAGGGTATGGCAACCGATAGAATGCATCCCGGGGCGCACAACATCGCATTTATTGACTTTACACCTGCATATGACCGATATTCCAACCCCTAGCTGCCTTGGAGACCTGGATGGTCCTCCTCTAATTATTCTCGAAAAATGAAACCTCGGTCTCCCCTTTTTAACCTTTCCAACTTTCTTCGTTGGATGAGATTCAATCTGAAACATTTACTCCGTACTGGTATCAGTGCTGGTCGAAGACCCGTCGATCCACATCAGCGAGTCAATTCAGGAACATCCCCGCAAATTTGAAATCCGGAGTCAGCAAAGTTGGAAATACACGAAAAAGGAAACCCCTTCACAAGACTATCAGCCAGATAGAACCTCTAGAGCTAATTTCCACAAGCCGCTAACGCAACCGCTACTTATACCGCTAGGGCCCATCCGTCGTCTTGGATTGCTCTCGGGGTCATTTGACTACGCCGTGTAGAGCCGTTTTTAGATGGAATAGCATGTGAAGTCCTATCTTGCTTTGGTTCCGGTCATGGTTTGCATTAGCCACCAGAAAAAGTACTTGGAATAAGCCGGACCTTACCAGATTCATATAAAGTATAATTACTACCCCCCGGAAGTTCAGTGGCGTCCGCTAAAGTGAGCCTGCGGATTTTTCTTAGTCACTCGTTTCTTTTTTTTTTTTTTCGCATTGCTACCTTTGACCAGTACGTTCTTTTTTGATTTTGCTTATTTATTTATTTTCTATCCAACGATTCAGTGATAAAAATTCGAGAGTGGTATGTCCTGTTTATGAGACCTGCACGGTTTAGAAGTTTCGGAAGACCCATACAGCTAACGTCCAAGAGTCAGGATCTATATAGCAGGCTGGAAGTCTAATAACAATGTCTGTCAGCAAGACCGGCGTGATGGAAACCACCACGGCCGATGTGCCTGTCAAGCAGTCTTTCGGTGCGCGGGTAGGTAGACACTACAAGAAGTGGTGGTGGGCACACTTGATCATATTCGTTATTGTGTTCCTCGTTGTTGCGTTGCCAGTGTAAGTATTGAATATGCAATAAATTTACATATAACATACTACACGAGTCTGATTCAATTTCATGGGCTAACACTCGATCAATGAAACACAGAATCTATGTCGCGTATCCCAACATCGCACAGCACGATGTCAGCGCCTCCACTCTTACTGTCGACAGCATGATCCTCAGTGATCCCACCCCCGATGGATTCCACCTGAGTCAGGTCCAAACAATTGGCTCACACAGCACATATCACCCCAAGATCTATGCTTTCGATGCGGCTGTATCTTTAGCTGGAGCTGCTTCCGCTTTCGCCACCGTCCGCGTCCCTACCGTCAAGTCTAAGGATGGAGTGAAGGTTGATGTTTCACAAGATGTTGATTTGAGTAACACGGCCGCCTTTGGAGGGTTCTCGACTGCAATCATGCTGAATGAGGAAATCGAAATGAATATCTATGGAAAGCCGAAGCTTCAGCAGGGTTCACTGCCCAAGGTGACCGTTACATACAACAAAACAGTCACCATGAAAGGTAAAAGAACATCAGTGTCCCTCATCAAAGCTTGGATGTAATGCTTACTTTTTACTTCTTTATTTGTGCAGGTCTGAACAAGCTCAAAGGCTTCGATGTGGTGGAGTTCCAGATTCTAACAAACGCTACTACTTCACGAAACATGAATGGCACAGTCTATATTCCTAACCCTTCCGTGTTGACACTCTACATGGTATGTCATTCGATATAAATCCAGACGACTCCTCATTGATATGCATACTTATCTATTTTTCTTACGTTTAGGGAAATGTCACCCTGAATCTTGCGGTTAATGGTACCACCATGGGTCAGACATATCTCGAGAACCTCGTCCTCAAGCCTGGAAATAATACCGTCCCAATGAGCGCTACTGTACAGGAGCTCCAGATCGCCAATGCACTGATCCTCGGTGGCGATACGTACAAGGACGGTGTCATGCCTTTCCAGATTACAGGAAACTCCAGTGTATACAATGGCAAAGAGCTGCCATATTTCACCGAGGCACTGAAGTCCAATAACCTCACTGTGAATTTGAATGTGACAGAGGCGCTTTCCAATGCTGGTATTAAACTTTGAATCTCGGATGGTCTGTATGTGTTAATATCTATTGTTGAATTAATGAATCAATCTATACCTTCATGCATGAACTTCGGCTACTAGTAGGAAACTCAACGACGTAAATTCTATATCTAGAGTCAACTATATATAGACGTGAGCGTCAGAATGTAAAATAATAACATTAAAATTATGTATACATACCGTATAGGCAATCTAGTTCTTTCTTCCATAGCTCCATAGATCTACAAGAATACAACTCCGTCCATTCCATGCCCTGGCGGCTATCTCCCGCTCTTAACGCTGGTCCGTGTGGCGTGAGCGCCGATCGTGGAGACACAAACTTAACCCGGCGAACTTGAGCTACAATTTCTCTACCTCACCACCACCATACCCCAGGGGTCCTGTCAATTCCACCACCCTCCCCGGTGCAGCATGGTCTGTCTACTCTCCTATCTTCCACCCCCTCTCCAGGAGGTGGTGGAACCCTACGTCCCCCTCTATGAACAACACGCGCCATTGATCGGAGTTGCGCTGGCCTCCCTAATCGCCATCTACGTCGGATATCTTTACGTCCAATGCCAGAAAGAAGCTGCCGTTGCATTCAATGTCCCGATCCCACCAGAAGTGCGCAAAAGCAATACGGGCAAAAAATGGGAGGAGGTCAAAGGCATTCAGAAGCAGGTGTTGGAAGACCAAGTTAGAGGGGTGAGTACTGAGCTCCGCGAAGACATTCTTCGGTCGGCATCGGCATGAGAAGCTAACGAAGTCTTTTTCTCGTATAGAAATGGAGCAACGATTTGATCATGAGCTACTGTCCCGCCGATGGCCGAGTGCTAGGAGACGGAATTCGCCCCGCGACCGTCGACGATGTGAATGTAGCCGTGGGAGCCGCCAAAGCCGCACAACGCGAATGGGCCAAGACGACATTCGCAGAGCGCAGAAAGGTGCTCCGGACCTTACTGAAATACGTTCTCGAGCACCAAGATGATCTTGTAACCGCATGCTGTCTTGATTCGGGGAAAACAAAGGTGGATGCTTGCTTCGGTGAGATCCTAGTGACAGCCGAGAAGCTCAAGTGGACAATTGACCATGGCGAGAAGGCACTCTTGCCCTCGCGCCGCCCGACAAACTTCCTAATGATGTACAAGAAGAATGTGGTCACCTATGAGCCTTTGGGCGTGGTATCAGCATGTGTATCCTGGAACTATCCTTTCCACAACTTCATCGGGCCGGTCATCAGCGCGCTCTTTACTGGTAACGCCATTGTTGTCAAACCCTCTGAACAAACTGCCTGGTCTTCCGCTTTCTTCTTGGAAGTTGCACGCGGCGCTCTCTCAAGCTGTGGATACTCTCGCGACTTAGTTCACACTGTTGTCTGCCTGCCCGCCGTTGCAGACACACTCACCTCCCACCCGGACATCGCCCACTTGACTTTCATCGGTTCCCGACCCGTCGCATTCAAGGTCTGCGAGTCAGCAGCCAAGGCCCTGATCCCCGTCTGTGTAGAACTGGGTGGTAAGGATCCAGCTGTGGTTCTCGATGACTCCCGGAACATTCGTAACCTCCCCAGCGTGGCCTCTATTCTCATGCGCGGTGTCTTCCAGTCCGCAGGCCAGAACTGCGTTGGTGCCGAACGTATTATCGCCCTTCCAGGCTCATACAACAAGTTGATTGACCTTGTCACACCCCGCATTCAAGGAATGCGCGTGGGCTCCGTCCTCCTCGATAACCCATCCACAGATTCCTCCGCCACAACACCCGATATGGGCGCCATGATTTCCCCCGCCTGTTTCAACAAGGTTGAATCTCTGATCAATGATGCAGTGAAGCAAGGCGCCCGCCTCTTGGCTGGTGGTACCCGATACGAGCACCCAGATCACCCAGAAGGCCACTACTTCACACCTACCCTACTAGTCGACGTAACCCGAGACATGGCCATTGCGCAAGAAGAGCTATTCGCGCCTATCTTCCTCGTCATGCGCGCCGAAAATGTCGCCGATGCTGTTTCCATTGCCAACTCCACCCCCTACGCTCTCGGTGCCAGTGTCTTCGGCTTCGACTCTACTGATGTCCAAACTTGTGTTTCCAGCATTGACGCCGGTATGGTCTCTGTGAATGACTTTGGCGCATACTATGCTGTCCAACTACCCTTCGGTGGTGTTAAGGGATCAGGCTATGGTCGATTCGCCGGCGAGGAAGGTCTCCGTGGCCTTTGCAATTTGAAGGCTGTTTGTGTGGATAGATTTCCCACTCTGGTGGGAACTGCTATTCCACCGAGAGTGGATTATCCCATCCAGAAACGCAAGGGTAGTGCAGGTGCTAAGGATGGCCCTGCCGCTTGGGAGATGTGCAAAGGTGTCGTTGAGACAGGATACCAGCTAACGATTGGTGGCCGAGTCGCTGGCATTGTGAGGCTACTGAGTAACATGTGAGGCGGTTCTTATCTGATATATTCTTGAAAATGATAATATTGTACAATAGTAATTTTATTTCTCATATGGACAACCAGGCGTCCATAAGAGTAGAAAATGTCATGCATAGCGACATCTTGTCTATTCTATCTTGTGTACATGTATCATAATGAACTCCCCAAGTAATCCGACACAGCTAATACAAGAAGAAACAACTATTTACAACCCATAACCCACAAAGTAGCAGCCTTCCCCAAGCTACTAGTCAGACAAAGAAGCAGGACCAGTCCGCTCAACCCAAACATTCTTCCTAAAGAAAACCGACTCAGCCATCCAATTCCCAAAAGGCTCTCTCTTCTCAGGCGCAAGAACTTCATCATAGACACGACACCCCTCAACATCATTAAGATTCAAACTTCCACAAGTAAAAAGCTGCAGCTTTGGATCATGTTTAGTAAAATCCACCTGATCCGGAAGCCTCACCATAAAATCCGACAACCACCTCGCAAAACGCCCATTAATCTGGGCATAGGGATTCTTATCCCGTTGTGCAAGGTTAACATTATCAACAGCCCACTGTATAATCTCCGACGAACTAGCCGGCAGCGACTCAGCGCTCGTCCGAAGCAAAGCCTCAAAGAACGCATGATTGAGAGAAGGATTTTGCCGGCCGACACGAGTAACCAGAAGAAAATGTTCAGAGGGTATGGTATAAAAGACAGGAAGGCCTTGATTAGCTTCACGGAAGCGAAAGACGAACTCATCAAACTTGAGAAGCGAAATGAGGGCATTGAAGTTCTGAGTATTGATCGCGTTCTTGACGCCTTCATGTAAAATAACACGGTTGATGACAGTGTCAGAGCAAGGAGGCATCCTAGCATCAAGATGCATGTAGTTACTCGAAGTGATCCTTAGCATTTCAAGGAACTCAACATCCTCAGCTGTAAAGCCTGTTCTCCGTCCGCGAAGTAATTTATCTGGGACGGCGCACAAGCTAAGAACAGGGAACGTATTCATTATCCTAGTCGTTTCGGACGCGATCTCCACCATAGCCATAGGAGTCAAACGCATCTCATACGTATGAAAAGGCCGTGGATCAAGCCTCTTAATCTCCGATCGCGGAAGACCCGTCAACTTAGCGAAATGAAAGAGGATAGGGCCCGTCCCATGAAAAGAGAGCGTCGAATCATCCTCACGCCTCATGAAGCGTTCCAAAGCCACCCGGTCATCAGGCTCCATTTTGATTCCCGCATCGAGCCAATTGCGGTGAATGTTAAGAACCATCATTGTAGGCACTTGCTTGAGTATTCGATCCATCGTACACCATTTGCAAGCGAAGATCTGCGCTTGGAGCTTCGAGCGCATCTCCCACGACAACCTTCCAACATGATCATAGTCCACGGGCGTGAGAATCCTTTTGATACCGGCTCCAACTGGATCCTGCCGATGGTCGGCGTTGTCTTCCCAGAAAGCAAGCAGAATGAAGATGCGATAGATTCGCTCACTTGACACGGCTGCAGCTATAGGTAGCGACGCGCGAGGGAGATCCGGATTCAATGCGTAAAGGAATATCTTCTCAATCACTTCAACGGGTAATGTTTCGAGCATACACAAGCGACGTGGCGGAGGGGTCGAAGCGGGGGTCGAGGAGAAGGAGGAAGGTTGCGCTGATTGCGATTGGGAGGAGCTGGGTTGGCCTGGCATCTTGAAGGGGCGATGAGGGCGACGTTTAGATTTGGTTTTGGCGTCATTCTTCAGAGAGCGAGTATTTAATCTGTGTCTGGACGTCGGGGTTGACTTGGTAATCTTTGTCGCGGAGATCGGTGGGCGAACATTGTCTGGCCGCGTTGTGGTGTGCTTGGGTTGACTGCGCTGAGCTGGTGCCATTCGTAGGACCAAGAACTGATATATGAACCCATCGACCAGGGCCGTTTGCTCTATGACGGTTAAATGACGGGTCTATCTGTACAAACACCGTGCAAGAGAATGTAGAAAAGAGTGTAAAGAAAGTATAGAGAAGTGCCTGGATCCTTTATCGCACTTTTTCTTTTCTTTATCGCGAAGTGGCAACATTGACGCTTATTGGGTGGGAGAGACCCACTATAGTAGTATTCATGGATGCATCGAACGAGCACAACAGTAAATAAGGTCCTACGTAAAAGTTCAAGAAAGATCATTTTTATGAGACGTAAATTGAGTATTACGATCTGTTTGAAATAATTCCATCAAGTTTTCATAATGGGGGGACTGTGAGACTAAGAGGGAGGGGGCAGGCGAACTTCTACGAAAATACTACAATTAAACTAGGCACTGAGCCTTACAAGATATTGAAGATAAAGTTGAACGTCAATTACAATAGTCACAGGAAACAAGGGGTCTTTCCAGCGATAAGCAAAAATCTACACGAATCGGTCGAAACATGCCAAACAGCGATGACCAAGGTCATGGAAACAAAAGAAATCATAGCCAGGAAGGTGAAGGTGAACCCCAGGAACGCCAAAAACATCATATAACTAAGAATTGATCTATGGTTTGGCGCCGAGTCCTGGTAGCTGTTAGCTTTTTAGATCTTTCTCAATGCATTGGGGCAGACAAACCTGCGGCATAAGCCAAGTACCAAGTCCGTGATGCACCGCCGTCAATCCAGCTGTAGTCAAAATCACCTTGCGAGAAGAAGTCCCAAGCAGCTTGAGGATCAATCAAGGCGAGATTAGCATATAAGACGCCTTTCCACCCTCCTTCAACTTTCTCGGCTGGGGTGGAAGCAGCGGATGCGAACATGGACTTCCACTCTTGCTTCACAAAGCTGCGTTGACGAGTGTACGCAGAATGGGGGAGGAGAGGCAACATGTGAATTCTAATAAGCTGTTAGTGTTGTTTTAGTATTAGGAATTAAGATGAGCACATACCCTTGAACAAACTCCAAGCTGTTGCCAAAGTATGTGGTGTGATCAACCTTGTTCTCGAAAAGCTGGCAGTGCGTTAGTTTTAATCATCCGCAATGAAGATATCTTAATTAGTGGCAACTTACAATACCAGTCACCCTGTTTGCAATGAAGTTTGCTGGTTGGTTCTTATTGTTGTCCTGCATCAGGAAATAGTTATCCAGAGAGCGGCGCATAATGCCCAGCATCATATTTCCACGAGCTTCCATGCTGGCGTCGCCAGTTGTTTGACCCCACATCTTGATAGCATAGGCAAACATGGTGTCTTCCGAGGTAGACTCCTCATCTTTGCCGTCGTAGGACTCAAACAATCCCTTAGCCCATGAGTGGCCATTGAACCAGTCAAAGCCACGAGAGAAGGGGAAGTAGCTGTCATCCTCAACAGAGTTACCAGCGTCACGAACCAGCATGTTGACCCAGTCCTTATTCTTGGCCAGCCAACTTGGGTCAAGGGCTCCCATGATAGCCGCAGCCTGAATGAAATATCCATAATGGAAATGGTGGTCATTGTAGGCAGTGTTTCCAAAATCAGCATTCAGATCCCCGGCATAGCCAGCAGTCGAGACAGCACCCTTCCAGACAGTATCATATGCCAGTGGGAACTGCTGGTTGTTTTGCACAAAAAGATCAAAGCTCTCCGTCAGGTTCTGGAAGGCAGCGCTTGCAATCTCGGCATCGTTACCCAGTTGGTTCACGGTGTAGATCAAAGTGGCGAACTTGCTGAGAGCTTTACCGCTGTAGTACATGCTGTTCAAATCGGTCTGGGCCGACATATTTTGGCTCAACTCTTTGGGAGCAATCTTGAGAATGGCTTGCTGGGCGCTCTCGGAAAGGCTGTGAGCGCTCCCGTGGTGTGGAGACCAAGGAGCGAATCCCATATCAATGGGAAGGTTTTGCTCAGTCATTGTCCAATTCTCGCCAATTACAGCGGTAGCGTTGCCCTTAGTTGTAGTGCGCAGGTGGATATCGGTGATCCGACCTCGAGTGTTGCGATTGAAGGACTCAACGTGATGCGGCAGAGCAAACATAATTAGCGGGCTGCCATTGGCGTGCTTTCCGGCTTTCGCCCAAGACAGACTGTAGCTACCCACGTCGCCAGTAACGGAACCAGTAACCTTACCACCGACAGCATAAACACCAGCAGAGTTGTCATAAAACTTCTCACCAGATTTTCCAGCTGGGTTCTTTGCGATCTGAATGGTACCCGAGAAACCATGCTGACCACGAATACTAGACTTCGAAACCAACTTGAGCTTTGGGTCCTTGCCATCTTCCGGAGTAGCATAGAGCACCCAGTGGGTCTCGTCTTCCAATAGCACCTGATACTTGAAGACACCTGGCTTGGGAGACCCAGCACTGACCACTTTGTTGAAAAACACGCCACTCTCAATAAGTGGCTGCAAGTCATTGTAGATACCTGTCACGTAACCCATACCCTGAACGACTGGGAACGTGATCGATTGCGCTGATCCTGCGGAGCGCTTCAGCACGGCATGGGCGGAGAATGCTTTCGGCTCCTCAACACTGAGCACACTCGATTCGTCAAGTTCTGAAGCCGAGAGGATAACATGCTGAAGTCCGACCGGGTTGATATAGTATTCAACTGGCTCACCAGGGATCTTGTGGTTTTTGGGGCCAAAGGCTAGAACGTTTGGTTCAACGTGAGACGCAGAAACTCCCCAGCTCTTCAGAGTACCCTGTCCCCTGGACCATGCCACTGAGTATGGTTGAGTGAAGCTAGCATTGGATTGAGATCCTAGGAACAAGCCCGCATAGAACTTATTCGTCTCGATGGGAGCAGTCGAGTTGGCCTTATCGCAATCATTAGCATAGCTGCGATCGTCTTTGAGAGAAAAGTCCTTACATGTTTGTTGACGACGGGGTGGTCGTGGCGACTCTTGATATTGGCCGGCGGCGCTCCAGTCGCAACTGGTTGGAAGATATCCTGGTTATTCATGCCGGTAGTTTTGCCAGCTGGACCGGGAGAACCAGGTGGGCCAGTTGGTGCTTGATCTAATAACACGTTAGTCTCAGCAGTTCATAACCCCACTGAATATTGATCTCCAGATACGAACCGGCTGAAAGTGTGGAAGGTTGTGGAAGTTGTGCTTTCTCAGTCGCAGCAGGCTTTCCAGTCGGGTCTGCTCTCTGTGGGGGCTTTTGAGATTGTTGAGGTTGCTGAGCCTGTTGAGCTTGCTGAGATGGTTCGGCCTCGGAGAAAAAGTCGTCAAAGTCGTCAAGGAAATGATCGATATCAACACCCGGCCAGGGAAGCTGCGAAGGGTGACCGTCGTCCTCCAACGCAACACGATATACCTACCATGCCATGTTAACACTGGGACTGTGACTGAATATACTTTTCCTGGGGCTTGGTAGTTGAAGCTTAATTCTTACAGGTTTTGTCTCTGGAATCAGCAGTCTCTCTTCTGCGTTATTGGGAGGATACTGCGTTTCAAATGTTGCAGGTGACTCTGTAGCTGTTTCCTGTAGAATCCGCTCTGCAGCGGTACCAACAAACTGACTTGGTAAACAATTTACAATATCTGCAGCCAGAACCCAAGTTAGCAAGGCTGCTGCCTTCCATCTCGGGATCAATGCCATCCTGAATAGCCAACACGCGACAAGACGATCTACAACAGTAAAAAGAGTATTTAAACTGTGCTATAGTGCCAATTGTCTTCTGGAAACCCAATTCCAGCGAGTAGTCGGCGTCGTCTGCTCGGAGGTCGAAAGGCAAGTCGTGTACATGCACCGGGGGTAAAGAATTCAGAAAAATGGGGATTCGCTACTTACATGGTTATAAACTCCCCCAAGACGCCTCGCTCTCGGCTTTGGGATTGTTGTGAGTGGTCTGCTAGAGGAATTCCGGAACTGCAGATCCTCAAGGAATCAATCGCGCGAACGGGTGCTGCAAGGGCGAATAGACAACTGTACCGCGGGGATTAATGAGTGTAGCATGTGGGCCAGCAATGTAGGGCGTGTTTAACAATAGTCACTCGGTTGTTGCGAGGCCAGCAGTCTCCACCACTAGGAATGTGTCGTTGGGGCGTAAACAACGTCACGCTCAATGTGCTGGCAAGCCTGACCGGGGCTGGATTCACCCGGGGAAAGCTAGTGACGGGATGGCTGTTGAAAATAGAGCTCGATTGGTTTAACGATATGTCTATTGAAGTTGTGCATCAATATGGTGACAGGTTTGACATGGTGAGGTCGGTCATAGCTCCAGGCACCGACGTAGGTGCCAAGGGATGTGGAGCTTGCTCCAATCACCGCCAATGGAGATCAACAACCCCACAATTTAGGCCAATCATCTAACTAACTTCCAGTTGATGGACTCGAATTATTCAAGAACTACCTACTACCACTACTAGTGATATATTGTAGTATACTAATGTCCTTCCAGTTAACTTATTAAAAGCTAGTAGTACGGTCCACCTGGGCACCTAGTAGTACTAGTAGCATTACTACCTAGGTAGTAGTCGTAGTACAAATAGTAGTACTATGTGTTTTATGCCAGACTGATACTATATATTTTGCCAATTCTCAAATTCAAGTTCCGGGCTCAACTCAAACAATGAAAATTAAATATATGTATAACCCTAGAGACACTGTGGTTGAAGAACGCAGAGGTAAGCTCGTACTTCAATCTAATTGAATAAAAAAAATATTCCGTCCTGATTCAAGTTTAAGCTAGCTCAAATTTCAAGTTGAACGCGTCGATTTCAGCAGGTAGCGCAAATTGCATCAGGTGTATAGTTTGCTATGTATGGACAAATTTTGTTGCACTTGGGTTTTCGCATACGTGAAATATTAAATAGAGTTCTTCCTCTCATGCATCGATCAAACAAGGTAGAAAAATTATCCCTTGCTAAGGCGACTAGTTCCAATGTTGTAGTTAGTATATCGGCGATGCCATCTCAAGTTACATGCATTAGAGCATCCAAATGAAAGCGGATATGTATAGACAGCTCTTATATGGTATTTATCGATGTCATACTTTTTATTCAAGCGGTAAATACTAATAGCCCTAGTGAGAGGCCGGGAGGAGAACATCTACGCAGATTCGCAGTAGTGATTATTCGCTAACGAGTTAATCTACCGTGGTATATGTCTATGGGTATGAAAATCTTGATACCGGAAGTCCTGCCAATTTCTTTACCAGGTGTATGGATCTCAACTGGGTCTACTGTAACAGGGTGTGATCGTGCATGCTTGGTCGTCAAGCCACCGGACTTTACACCTGCGCCGGCGAAGGCGCAATGCATAGAACCAAAGATTAAATCTAATGCAGGATAAGTACAGACGCTCCTCGGAGTTCATCGAACTCTACAAGCATGATGGTAACAATGCCAATTATTCCCCACACGTTGGACAGGCCAACTTTGGAGTAAACTGAGTTTTCCCTTGGACAAGCCGACTTGAATCCAACTTATGCGAAGTTTCATATCCTTTGCAGCTTTAACTCCTTTTGGTATAATACTGTATGTAATAGCACATATAATGATCTGCTTGCCTCGTCCACTCCAGTCTTACAAACATCTCATTCTTTACTCCTATTGTCTCTGAGGGAACTTGTCCATTCATTTTAAGTTCCTCGACGGGCCATTGGAAGCTTTCACACTCATTGGGTCTTGCAAGATCTTGATATTTTCCTTTTCTGATTATTCTTTTATCTTGTATTTCCCACGTCGAGATGTATATATCCACTCTTTTTACACTTTCCCTCCTTACTACTCTTTTCCATTCAGTCGCTTCGCAACAAGACGCAACATGTGATAGTGAGACCCCATGTAAGCTTGGCTGCTGCTCAAACAATGGTAGCTGTGGCTTCGGACCAAACTGGTGCAGTGATGAAAATTGCCAGAGCAATTGCGATGCTGTGGCAGAATGCGGAACATATGGCAATAACACAGACTGTCCCTTGAATGTGTGCTGCAGCCAATGGGGATTCTGTGGCACAACCGAAGAGTTTTGCCTCAAGACGGACGATAAGCATAGCTGCCAGAGTAATTGTGGATCGCCCAAGCGTGCGGCCTGCGCTTCGAGTTGGAGAAGCGTCGTATTGCGTACTACGAGACATGGGCAGATACCAAGGACTGTGACTCTTTCCGTCCCGAGGATATCCCTGTGAAGGCTTTGACACATCTGAACATTGCTTTTGGTGGTATTAAAAATTCCAAGGTCACCATTGATAGCTCTGAAATAATCCAGCGAATGGTTAAACTAAAAAGAAAAAATCGCTCACTTAAGCTTATCATCGCTATTGGTGGATGGGCTTTCAGCGATCCTGGTATGGCTGGTTATACTATCACTTCAAGTTCCTCCCAATACTAGTATATGTGCTGACTCTTTATCCTGTGTAGGGCCAACGAGGACTGCCTGGTCTGATATGGCTTCTAGCGAAGATAATCGGTCAACTTTTATAAAGAGCGTGATGAGTCTCCTCGACACATACGATCTCGATGGTATTGATCTCGATTGGGAGTATCCCGTTGCCGGTAAATCTATGCACCCCTGCCCACTCATAGTGTATTGATGAATACTCATGTTCTCCAGATGATCGTGGTGGAAAGGATTCAGATTACAAAAACTACGTGTCTCTGCCAAAGGAAATGCGTAGCTCGTTTGATGACGAGAATCCTGCATGGACTATCTCTATGGCTATTCTAGCTAGCTATTGGTACCAGAGCATTTTGATGTTGCAGGTCTTGAGCCCAATGTGGATTGGTTCAACCTCATGAGGTAGGAGGATTACGATCCCATCATAAAAATCTGATACTAATGGTTTTAGTCACGACATGCGCGGAAAATGGGACCAAGAGAATGAGTGGACTGGTCCATACGTGTTTGGCCACACAAAAGTCACCGAGATTGAGAATGGCGTAGATCTCTTGCGAAGAAACGACATCGATTTATCAAAAGTCAATCTCGGAAAGGGCTTTACGGGAGAACTTTCACTCTTGACGACGACACGTGTAACGAGCCAGGTTGTGTCTTTAGCGATGCTGGCGTGCGTGGAGAGTGCTCTGGTGAAGATGGAATCCTCACTTTCAAGGGCAATCTTCCTTGTCCAAAAACCCGTTACAAAAATACAACGTGATCACTAAAATTGAACACAGAGATTATGGCTCGCCAGCATCGATTGAATGAGAAAACAATTCGATACGATGAGGAGAGCGGTGTCCGATATATGATCTATGACGGCAATCAGTGGATCACTTATGATGATGAGACCAGCTTTAAGAAGAAGCGAGAAATGCTAGATAAAGAGTGTTTTGGAGGTGTTATGATTTGGGCCATTGACCAAGACACCAACGACTTCCAGGCATTAACCGCTCTACTTGGTGACAAATACGTCGCAGGCAGTCTTCCCGAAGGTGGTGATCTCAGTGACGAAGAAAAAGAGGCTCTCGTCGACGAAATGAGTGGACTCACTGGAGATAAATGCTATGTCACTACGGGCTGTGTCGGGGCAAAAGCAACGATCGAAGGGAACTCGAAGTGTAATACAGGCGACGTGACTGTGGCGTACGTACATTCGCCAGGTGAAGCTCCGTTTGATCTGTACGGGCCTCTATCCCATAACTCCCAAGCTTGTGCTAAGGGGACATACAAGCGAGTATGTTGTCCTGCCAAGACGCCCGCCGTCAACTGCAAATGGGAGGGTGCCCCAGGGGGAGACTCGACAAAGTGCACAGGCGGGGAAGCTGAAAACACTTGTGGCAATGGAAGGTTTGAACTCTTCACAGACCGATATACGGATGCCGATGGTGGCAGCAAGTGCTCCGGGGACTCAAAAAGATCCCTCTGCTGTGACGGGCCGCCTGAGATGCAGAAATGTCACTGGTCTCCATGCACCGTATTCGGTACTTGCTCGAGTGGTTACGCTCAACGAATCGCCACCAGGGGCGATTTTTGTGAAGATGGATCGTTTCAAAATTTATGTTGTGAGCTTGATGGTTAGTGTCTGATCCCCATGGTTGCTAAAACGAAGCTAACCCAGACTAGCTGCGCTTGACAATTGTGGCTGGGTACCGGAACTCGAAAAGGTGAAAGACAATTTAGTGAAATTCCCAGATGCAGCGGAATGCTCCAGAAGATCCTGTCCATCAACCCAGCTTACCGCGGCTAAAGCCATATTACCCGATAAAGCGGGTGGACGTATCGCACCCTGTGGTATGTCCGGTGGAACTATTCAACATCGACTACGTTGCGATCCAAAGCCGAACTTGGATCTTCCATTCGATCTGAAGAAAATCTTCCCAAACCCAATCGGTGAAGATGTGGCTTATCAGTACAGCGACAAACAACGATGATGACCCACATGGGCCAGATGAAACTGACTTTGGTGATGATCCTTACGGATTAATCGTGTTGGATGGAGATGAAGATGCCCTTCAAGGAGAGTTTCCCAGTGACTTTGCTTTCACCCATGCCGAAGATGGATCAGGAAATCCCATCCAGAAGCGAGAGTTTCTCACCCGTGATGAACCTAATGTGGTGGACTGGGCCTTTGAGCACGAGGAGTCATCCCACCTTGTGTACTGCCGGAAGGATCGAGAAGCCGCTTGTGATAAGGTATTCAAAGGAGGTGCTCCAGATACCATCATATCCCTCCCTAGACATATCGGGTCTGGCCCTTATGCGCGTATCATCTCGATGGAGCCAGTTGGAGAGACTGATCTCTCGGATTTCCACATCAAAAAACGTGCTGTTGAGCAACACGATTTCGTGGTGTACAACTTGACAATCGACTAGCGCTTTGAATTGATTCGCCGAGAAGATGCAACCGTCAACGTTCGCATTGATTACACAAACCCGGTGCCATACTGGGACTGGATGACTGGCCCTGAATCTGTCGGTGGAAAGAGCAAACGAGAGTTGCGTCACGAGAAGCGCTGGTGGGGCGAGTATCCCGACTGGATTAAGAGGTTTACAACCCTTCGCAACTATGACAAAGGAAAACTGCCTATGTCCATCCACAAGACAATACTACTATATAGTAGACGGGCTCAGTATAGGCATGGCAACGTCGATCTGAAGGCTGGGTTAGACGTCACATTAGACGCTAAATTTGACATGAATGCGCGTTACTGGACGAAAACCGCTTGACAAGAACAAGGCATGGAATCATGCTGGCAACAACAAGAAGTCCTTTACTTTCCACCTCTTCAATTCAGATTCCGCCACCGGACCAACTGGATCAGCCTATGAAATTTTCAATCACAACATCGCAAACGGTGAAACTGGTCGGGAGAGTAGGATTGAAAACGTTGTGGCGGCTTTCAATCTCATGGGCAGCTTGAAGTACGATGTTCTCAGTTTTAACGCGTATTGTGTGGTTGAAAACAGCTTTCGCGACCATACGTTGTGGGGTAATTTTGTGAGATTGTCAAAGTAAGTTCAATAATTTCCATCAATTATTGCATGAATGGCCGGCTGCTAATCGATCTGCCAGATGCAATGTGAAATTTGACAATGGAGCTGCTCAAGCCAAAATCAAAAGAGGCGAGGAGCAACGCAGAGCGAACTCTTCAACATCACCAGTAGGTTGCTCCATTGATTATCTACAGTTTACGGTTCGAAGTATCAGGCTAAGATTGTTCTTCTAAAGGCGTTGAAATTCCAGAGGATGCTGAAGTTTTCGATATCCAAGTATCGATATGATAGATAGCCTCATTAAATCATGTCTAAAGGCATTAAAGAGTTTGACCTGGAGCATAGATCTAGACCTCAGTCCATTTTCAACTCAATGGAGTAATTTCCTTCTAAAACTTGAAGTAATGGCCACACAGAACAGACAAGGCCTCCTGAGAGTGTCCGGGTTTCTGTCCGACTAAATTTCCATGGCTTTCTGTTAAGCAGAATATAGTACTCAACATTATTTAACATTTTTACTTTGAAAAATCTTTCATATGATAAGTTGAATTACACATCAATACCTTGGCTACTTTGAACCCTCGGGGTATTTAGTCCAAACTACTCCCCGCGGTCTTTGCGAGACTTCCGTCTTCTGTTTGCTTCCCGCATCCTCAACTTCTTCTTCCCTTCAACCCGCCCCTGCCAACCGAAAAAAAAAGCTTCCCGCGCGTCGCATAATATATTTCAAAAGTCTTTCCGAATGTAGGAGACATTGGAAGGAAAGCCTCTTCAAACGAGTCACCACGTTATAAAATGCTCGATGAACTCGACATGAAGCCATTTGGGCTACTGCCTTTCGATCACTATGTGATGGTATGGATGTTTACATCAGTTGAAAAGAGTCAAGTCCAATGCGAAATCAGTACTAATACTTTGAATATCAGGATAAATGGGACTCCGAATCCCCGCTTGCGAAAACCCAACAATTCCGCGCCCTTGTCAATTCTTGGGTTCGTCTTGGTAAAGAGGGCCGCAATGTAACGTTGGCACTTTAGCCCACCTGTCTTTCTTGGCTTCAACACTGACGGATAGCAGATAGAAATACCCAAATGGTCACGAGTTACTACCTGATGAGATTCCCTCTCATGTACCTCAAGATTTGATGTCAGATGAAGAGCGCGCAACAGATGGTCAAACATCACGAATACTTTGGATTCGGACGTGGTTCGGGCGAAAGGACGACCCGGCCAGCCAGAGCGCTGCCGACGCAGGATATAGGCGTATCCGCTCAATAACGGCCGAAGATGATCTAGATGATACTTTGGACAAAGAGTGCTTTTTCGACAGCGAAGAATTCCGTTCTGATAGCTCTTCGCCTGACGGGGGCGAAATCCCCGTTTTAATCGATGGAATTGCCTGCGGCACGCCAGGCTCTATGCCATCATATATAATCACAGCGTTAATGAAGAAGCCAGATATGTTGGACGGCCTCTCAGATCGGAATTGGCCAACAGAACCCTTTCTAAAGTTACCTGAGCCAGATATTTTCCAATATCTCATGATCGTTGTCGCCGATCGTAAGGCATGCGAGGAAGAATGGATGTTGTTTTTGGCTGTGAATCATAAAGGAAGGGTTCTTCCATTTCGAGTTCGGGAGAGGGCTTCATGGACAACTCAACTTTTATCCAATTTTATGAATGGTCAGAATTTGGATGAGAATACTGATAATCCTGAAGAGGATATTGAATATTACATGCATGAAGGAGATGGTTGGGCCCCTTCTTCTGCGCCATGAGGGCAGTGTGTGAACCTGGGCGAGAGCGACTGAAACGCGAGGATAGAGGTTCTCGAAATACAAGTTAATCGTGTGGTCAGTCTACATAAAGTGGCTCAGCTATTAAGGGCTTAGTACCTAGTAGCTCCTACTAGCAACTCAGGAAGAACGCTTGGGGAGGCTAGTCTCTTAGGCTCCGCATGGGATTTCCTGAACTCTGCAGATCACACGTAGCATTGACAGGATCTGAGCAGAGATCGCTACAGCCGTTACTTAACATTCCCTCTACTAGTAGTACTAGTATTGCTACAGCAAGATCATATGATACTAGACAACATATAATGGAACTCTAGGCTCGGAATTGAAGTAATTACTGGCACCAAACATTTTATGAAACGATCTCTAATACTATAGGATCTACGCTACACTGATCTTTAATACTGAGTAAGAGTATGACTACGGTGGCCCCAATATTGCACCCGTGGAACATGTTCGTATGTAGGTGGCCCCCGGGGCCGTGAATGGGCCCCCCGCTACACCTTCCTCTCCCTTCCAATTCCGCCCCCACGTCCCCCTTAGCTCTGGGGTTTACTCCATGCGCTTAAAGATATGGTCATGGCAATCCTCAATCACAGGAAAGACATCAAAATGACATCCATTTCACCATACAGAAGACCTATTAACATATGCCGATGTTTTTGAATGACTTGGTGGACAGCAGATACTTCCTACTGTAGCCGGAGAAAATGTAAAACTGGTCAATAAGCCTTTGTTATCAGGGCTAACAGTCTCGAAGTAACCAAAGAACAAAATAAAAATAAAACCAAAGCGCAACAAGATGAAAACAAACCAACCAAACCAAACAAACTGAAATTCCAATGTGAATAGAATCAAACAAACTCCAATGCATTCTCACAGACTGGGAGATCTTCTTTTCCCTCACTACTATCATCCCAATTGCTGCTTTCATCACTGAAATCATCTTCGTCATCTTCAGGCTGTTTCTTCGCAACATGGTTTATATGACACAAAAGCTCGCTAGCGATCAAAGCGCCAGCTTGCGAGGCTTGGACTTGGGAGGGATATGATCTGTCAAGAATGGATTTCTACGTATTGTTTACGACCATGTAGGGTAGGTACAATGCCTATTATGGCATGTACTATGCCTATTATGCAAAACTTTAGGTATGAGACCTATTCCAAAGTCGGCTGCGGAATAGTATGAGTGTTCCACAGTTCCTGCCGGATCTAGGGAGCCAGGATTCTAACGAGTGTAATTGAAATTTGTATAAACTGCGTCAAACCCAACAGGATTTGCAGTCGAGCCTCGAATGGACGATCATGTCATTTTAAAAACCGGCAAACACCTAGAGGTATTATTATTCACGCACAGTGCTATGTCGAAGGATTTAAAGTGTACTAGTATCTAGTAGGACAACTTTATGCATAAGGCGAAGCGGATCTTGAAGAATCACCCGACGTAGTAAGATTTACATAGTGCATCTGCAATATGCACTGCATCTGGAATCAGGATGTACCTGACATGGGTTGCAGCGGAACTTCTCCCGATCGGCATCTGCTAGGACTAAGTGGGGATCATAAATTTCATGATGTGCCAGGGTAGCGGAACCTGACAGTATCCCGACAGAAATTTAATTTCCCAGATCAAGCAAACTGAAAGTTGAAACAGCCAAGCAACTAAGAAAACTAAGAAAACACGAAGCGGAACTGGTGGAGCACGAGGCCGATACCGGCTGATTGATTAGATCGTAAAGATACGCAAGACGGATGGATATACGCAACCTTGGGATTCATCTTAGAACTTCAAGTTCACGGGTATTAAAGAGGTGGCCATGATTTACCACCATGCTACCTAATCCCCGAGCTATTAGTCCATACCTGACAGAGACGATCATTTACGGACGATCCGGGATGACCGTCCGTGGCCCACGGTGGACTTGAAGGTCTCCTTGAATGAGTAACAAGTGGCAAGGAATCTTCCCGGACTTGCAGAGCTCCACACCCGAAAAATTCCACAATAAAGATGAAAGCCGCTCCACTAGCTCCGTGAAGAATTTCTTTCCGGTTAGACCTCCGGGGTTGTTCAAGTGAAATGGAAGTTTTATCAGATGAATTCTGCTCAGTGGGGTCCCACGAGAACTACTGTAGCTCGGTTCTCTCCAATGTGGATCAGTCATCACAAGCGAAGGATTGTACATCATTGAACACCTTGACGACATTGTAAAGCCTACTCCCTGGCTAGGAAGGTTAAGCATCAATTGCAACTGAAGGATTATATAAAATAACAGGCTGTGACGAAATAACAATATAATCCCCGTCTAGGAAGGTTAAGCATCTCGAAGGATTATAGATGATATAATGTTGTGACGGAATGGCCTTGTCTCCTTAGTCCAGGAAGGTTAAGCGATCCGCACCAGAAAGAGCGAAAGACCCATCAAAGTCCAAGACACGGAACGAATTAAAATGAAATGGCTTGGCAGAGGGCTGTTACTAACTTTTATTTCAATTTGAATTTCGTTTTTTTTTTCTTCGGTGCGCAAACGGCGCCAGGTCCGAGAAAGAATGTAATCTCTAAAAAAAAAAGCAAAGAAAACATCACCATGAAGAAAATCCTTTCGGCAGTTTTTTTTAGCACAATCCCTCCCTTAGTGTTGAAGAAATCCAAGACAAGACTACCGCTAGCTCGCACGGCCATTAAGCATGTTTAGCGAGCGTAACGAAAAGTGGATCCAGGCGTTCTAGAATTACCAACTCCGTACCATGATGATGACCCCACCCCGGAAAGCCACTGGCATATCTGATTGAGCGACACTACGTAAGATCGGAGTGGGATCTGATGCGCAAGAAAAAAAAATCATTGCCGCGGTATTCGCCGGCTGTCAGCTACCTATAAGCCCAACCGTGCGCGCAATCCAACCTGTTTCCCTCTTCTCCTAATTTACATTCTCTCCCACCATAATGACTACCACTAGGAGTGTTCAACGTCTTCAGCAGACGCTATCGCATGTGCAGCCGGCGTCAGCGCCGGTCCAATGGTCTATCGTCGCCGGACCGACTGAGCCTGAACTATTGGATATTACGCTTGGTGAGCTGTTGACAATTCAGGCACTACAGTACGGCAATTATGAATGCCTTGTGTTTCCCTGGACTGGCGCGCGCTGGACATACGCCAACTTGAAGGAGGAATCTGAGCGTCTTGCGCTGGGAATGTTGGCAATGGGAATTCAGAAAGGTGATCGCGTTGGAATTATGGCAGGCAATTGCGAACAGTACATCTCCGTATTTTTCGCTGCTGCGCGAGTCGGAGCTATCTTGGTTGTGCTAAATAACACATATACACCATCGGAGCTTCATTATGCGCTCGATCACTCAGGTAATTCCCAGCGATTTATTTCCCCCCCCCCAAAGTATAAACTTGAAGGTACTAACTCGATCAACCCATCTTATTTAGGCTGTAAGGTTATGTTTATCACACCCCGCATTGGTCGTCATAATCTTGAAGAAGTCCTGCAACGGCTGGGTCCACAGCCCAAGGACATCGGGACCTCCAAGGCCCTGGAGGAAATTGTTATTCTTCGCGGAACATACGAGAATTTCCCAACTTACAACGATATCATCGCTCGCGGAGCCTCGCAATCTACATATAATTACATGCTCCAGGAGCGCGAATCCTCATTACGACCCGACGATGTGTGCAATCTTCAATTCACCAGCGGATCAACCGGTAACCCCAAGGCTGCCATGTTGACCCACCAGTAAGTCCCTCCATCATGATACATGCGCACTGAAATGCAGATAAAGCTCAGTATCTAACTACATCAACCTTGCAAACAGCAACCTCGTCAACAACTCCCGGTTCATCGGTGACCGAATGAAGCTCACATCATTCGACGTCCTCTGCTGCCCTCCACCACTATTCCACTGCTTCGGCCTAGTCCTCGGCATGCTAGCCGTCGTAACGCACGGATCAAAGATTGTTTTCCCCAGCGAGACATTTGACCCTAAGGCCGTTATCCACGCGGTCTCCGACGAGAAATGCACCGCTCTCCACGGCGTCCCCACAATGTTCGAAGCTATTCTCAGTGTTCCCGGCCCCAAGCCCGCCAACTTCGATACCTCCAATCTCCGCACCGGTATTATCGCCGGTGCCCCAGTTCCCCGTCCCCTGATGAAGCGCCTTTTCGAAGAATTAAACATGACCGAATATACCAGCAGCTACGGCCTTACCGAGGCATCACCAACCTGCTTCAACGCTTTCACCACAGATAGTATCCACACCCGGTTAACTACAGTCGGAAAGGTTCTCCCACATGCTCGTGCTAAGATCGTCGACGCCAAGGGTAACATTGTTCCCGTTGGACAACGAGGGGAGCTCCTCATGGCCGGGTACCAGCTTACCAAGGGATACTGGAATAACCCCGAAAAGACGGCTGAGACCTTCGTGACCGATTCCGACGGAACACTCTGGTTGAAGACAGGCGATGAAGCCTCATTCAATGAGCAGGGCTACTGCACAATCACCGGACGATTCAAGGACATTATTATCCGCGGTAAGATCCAGATCTGACCCATACCAACTTCCCAGTGACCACATCCCAAACAATTCCAACTAATCTAATCACATCTCCAGGCGGCGAAAACATCTACCCCCTCGAAATCGAAGAACGACTAACCGCCCACTCCGACATCGAACTCGCCTCCGTCATCGCAATCCCCGACCAAAAGTACGGCGAAGTAGTCGGCGCATTCATCCAATTATCCACCGGAAAGACACGACCCTCCGACGAAGATCTCCGTCGCTGGACACGAGAAACTCTCGGACGTCACAAGGCACCACAGTACATCTTTGTATTTGGAGAAGAGGGGGTATCCAGCACAGTACCGATAACGGGGAGCGGAAAAGTCCGGAAAGTGGAATTGCGAGCGATGGCGACCGAGGCGTTAGCGAAACGGGCACAATAGATGGAACTCAGTTCAAAGCGGGTTAGAAAATTTGGCAACGGGCGTAATTAAGTGTATATTTCTGGATAATATGGTTTTTGTTTGAGACGATGCGAATATTATTATTTTCTTCAAATCCTTCCTCTGAATTTCCGAGAAAAAAAAAAAAACTCCACACTGTATGCGGGGCAAGGTCTCGTACACACTGTACAAGGCTGGTAAGAAAGGAGCTCAATTGCGTGAACGTGGCGGGTCTGACCGCAATCGACTCCTCAATCAGATTAGATACTGCGGACCCGGGACCATCTTGTCTGATCGAGCTCTGGGCTTCCATTGGCTGGTGCCTTGTATTGGACGGTTACGGTATTAACGCTAGTAATCTACATACAACCCACTCAAACTCTGACTGAAACACGCAATAAGGAAATAAAATCCCGTGAACAGTTCACGGACGCGAATTGCATGTGCTGTGGGATTTTGGGCCTTGGTCAATATCCAGAAGGGTGTGGATGTTGGGATCATGATTATGGGGGATCCCTTGCATACAGTCTATGTAGCTTTAAGGCTCTACTATTCAGGCCCAAGTGGTGTCGAGTATTTAACCGAAAATACCTGCAGTATTCTCCCCGCTTGCGCAATCGGAGACTCATCCACTGGCCTGGTGTATACATACTATCCAACGCAAGGAAGTTTTCGCACCAACTCCTGCAGGGTCTCCTCATCGCAAGTTAAACCCCAAGCTTAAAACCACCAAGACACCACACAGGTTGTCCCATCCGGGTCAATCGGTACAGTGGGGCAGCGCTGCCACCCTTGGCCTTTTTGGCCAAGACAAATGAACACAGGTCCTGACCGCAAGATTCCGACGCAGTCGGGAATACCAGAACAAAGCAAAGAATGGATGAAAGGTCTGTGCCGAGTTGAGGGCTGAGATGCTACTCGCTGGTTGGCTCGGTTGATACTTGCGTCACCCCAATAACCGGATCAGCATCGGATCTGATAAACTTGCGCGTCTGGAACCCTCGTTGACACACCGATGTCGCATCTGATAAGATCGTAATCTGCACGAGTCAGGATCACTACTAGGATTTCTCCATTAGGCTTACGGATTCCGGAATTATGGTAGGGTACATTATTAGCAAGGATCTTCCGGGGTCATTTTGTTATTTCTTTTTCTATTTCTTTTCTTCCACTTTCCCTCCGGTCTTTACTTGTTCTTCCCATCCTATACTACGGCTGCCACTGTTACATCTTCCGCATTCCACGCTATACGTCATAATAAAATGCCTTCTAACGACGGTGTCCTTGCTGTTGCTCGATCATTCCGCGTACTTGTCATCGGCGGTTCTTATGGAGGTCTAGCAGCTGCATTGAACTTAAGTGACCTGGCGCGGGGTCGAGTATGCCGCTTCGAATCCAACCCTGATGCAAAACCCCCTAAATACCGTATACCACTCCAGATCACTGTTGTCGATGAGCGCGATGGATATTGTACAGACTCCTCCAACCAAATCTTGCTTATAGAGCCAGGAACCGACCAGACACCGCTAACTAATCTATAGTCCATCTGATCGGAGCACCGAAATCCCTTGCATGCGAGAAATATGCTTCAGATACATGGAGGCAATTCAAAGATATCCCGGCACTCAAGTCTCCAGATTTCAACTTTATTCAAGGCAGCGTGAACAAAGTTGACTGCGCCTCAAAGATTGCGCATATACTCGATACGGAAACACAGGAAAATCGCACAGAGAAATATGATTATTTGATCGCTGGATCTGGTCTTCGACGTGTCTTCCCTGTTGTGCCACAATCTCTCCGACGAGCGGAATTTCTGGAAGAAGCCAAGAAACATGTCGAGAATTTGCGCAATGCTAGCGAAGGAATAGTGGTTGTTGGCGGAGGTACGCATTCACAATTGCACATATAGTGATTACCCGCTAACTCGATATGATTCATACTAGGTGCGGTTGGAATTGAGATGGCAGCTGAGCTGAAGATTCTCTACCCGCAACAAAGGATCACACTCATTCATTCTCGAGCCCGACTGCTCTCATCTGAGGACCTGCCAGACGACTTTGCCGAACGTGCTCTCGAGATTCTCCGAGAGGAGAATGTGGAGGTGATTCTTGGACAGCGTGTTGTAGACACAACAGCCGTGGACTCGGGCAATGAGAGGGTGTGGCGATTGACTCTAGCCAATGGGGAGAAACTCACTACTGGACTTGTTTTGAGTGCTATTTCTAGATCAGTCCCTACATCAACGTATCTCTCACCAGAAGCCTTGAACGAGGAAGGTTTAATCAAAATTCGGCCATCGTAAGTTTCATTATTCGTTATGTACATGTGGTTCTTGTGACCTAACTAACACGACACGAAGGCTTCAATTCTCCGGCGATGTCCCTAATGCAGAGCACCATTTCGCAATCGGCGACCTTGCAGATTGGTCGGGTATTAAGCGTTGCGGCGGAGCGATGCATATGGGCCAGTATGCAGCTCAGAACATTCACCAGCACATGCTGGCTGAATGCACAGGGGAGAAACCGGAATTCAAGACTCTGAACGCGTTCCCGGCAATGATTGGACTAGCGCTCGGTAAGAAGTGTGCTGTTTATACTCCCGATGAAGGTACCAGGGCCTCTGAGGATCTCATGGATGTCATGTTTGGGAAGGACATGGGAAGCAGCAGTCAGTATATCTCATGGACCGAAAGTAATCTTTCAGATTGGCTAATAGAATGCAGTATGCTGGAACTACATGCGTCTCGGCCACCCTCCCCCGGCTTGAGAGTCCTATGGGCTTCAATAACGCCTTCGTCATGGTTGCGCGATGATGTCTGTTGTTGAGTTGTTGTAGTGATTTCTTGTGATTGGAGGAATGGAATTTGCAGATCTCAAGGGTTTATCGGTATCGATGGGCTAGTTTTAAAGCCTCGGCGTTGTTTTTAGCACAATGTTGGAATTCTCAATCAATTCAATCAACTTCTTCGACTCGGCAGTCATTGGCCTGTAAACAGGTATCAATTTGTAGACGGAGCCATACTGGGCCTCATAATAAGACTGCCATTTCGATGGCCATTCGTATATTTGAGCTGGTGGTCGCAAAAGATGACAAGTGACACATACCACGAACACATGTCCCTGAATGATTATATGAACACCTGGGCCATACCGAGCTGCACCACCATCCCGTGGTTGGAGCCCGCAATTGACACAGAACCGTTTGGCGCGGTCTTTCCTTGATAGTCTGTGTTTAAGTTGCCACATTGGCTCGGCAAACAGATTTTGTGAGCGTAAGCGCAGGCAATATCGACAGGAGTAGAGATCGCGGTGGCGGGCCCATCTTGTGGTTTCGGCTATAAGCAGTTGCTCATGGGAAAGTGGTGGGATAAGGTTGAAGAGATGGACGCATGTCAGTCTGAGCTGCAGAACGCTGTTCAGGGGCAATTCTTCGATGATTTGAACCTGTAACTCAAGTGGGAGGTTCAAGAAGAACTTGAAGTGCTCCATGGGTGATGAGAGGAAGGTTTGGATACTGCTGAAGCAGTGGGTAATTTCCAGAGAGTGTGTAAATAGACTCGATATGAGAGCCGATGAGGCAGTATGATTGGAACTTAGCCAAGCGAAGTTGCGACTCGGAGATGAGAGTGGTGGAAGTGAGAGGTGAATCATGAGATCCCTCAGGCTGCCATCATATCTCACTCTGAACTTCTGACATATATATAGTAGCCCCCTGTGAATAAGCGACTCTATCTGACTCAATTCATGCTTTCACGTTTATTTTGCTCATTTCACCCAGGACCATTCCAGTCCAGTCCATCGGTCTTAACACCGATCAGCACCATTCCTAATCGGGCAATTGACGCGCTCTAAACAAAAATGCCAACTATAAAGAACCCAACATTTCCCAGTCAAATGAAATAGGAAAACCAATCTCAAGATCACAATGTCTCTATCTCTACTACGCTATTTATTTCAGCGAGTAGTCATCTTCTTTTTCCGCAGACTCGTCAAGCTGCAATACAACACCACCGCATCGCCAGATGACATCACATACATCCCCTCCCGAGACCCACACCGAAGTATAAAGACTCATGTGTATCGACCAAGCAAGCAAGACACTACTCGCACTCCCAGTCCCATTCCTAGTCCTACTCCAGTCTTGATCAACTTCGTAGGCTGCGGTTATGTCCTCCCCCTTCACGGGATGAGCGATAGCTTCTGTCGCGAGATCAGCCATCGAACAAACCACATCGTACTAGATGTCGAGTACAGACTTGCGCCCGAGAACCCATTCCCAGCGCAACTTCACGATGCAGAGGACGTGATAAGATGGGTTAAGACCCAACCGTCCATCTACGATGTCTCGCATATCTCCCTTTCGGGCTTTAGCTCAGGTGGTAATCTAGCTCTTGCGACTGCCTCGAGCTTTCCCAATGATGCACTGCAACTTCATTCTGTTATCGCATTTTATCCACCGACCGAGCTATATCTTGATCCAAAGACATTAGTTCCTCCAGAGATTGGTGGAAGTCCCGCGTCCCCGTTTGTTTATGACTTGTTCTTTGGCTGTTGGCTTCCAGATCGTCTTGATAGGAGAGACCCGAGGATTTCGCCTGGTCTTGCTAATGCTGAGAGCTTCCCTGAGAAAGTGATGATAATCACTACGGGATATGACCCGCTAGCTGCAGAAGGTGAAAGGTTAGCTGGGAAACTACGGGCGGATCCTAAGCGACAGATGGCGTGGGAACGGATTGGGGGATGTGATCATGGATGGGATGTTATTGCGAAGCCAGGGTATCCGGGATGGGAGATGAGGTGCAAAGTCTATGACATGGTTGTGGACATGCTTCAATCGTGATGCGGGACCCAAGTGCTGTATGTCAAATGTAGAGATGCGTCAAATATCATGGGATGGACTATAATCTCTTACTTGAATCTAAACACGGCTTTCATATCGACCAAAACAACCCGGCGTGGAACAATATTGAAATGCTCCTTGATTAGAAATCAATCATTGATCATATTCATAAGTAACATGGCATCCTCAGATTACCAGCCTAGCGTCTTATGTACAAAAGTAAAAGGGCCGATACAAGCCCAAGCACAAGTCAAAGAAACCGAAAAGCACATACTCAACCATCTATACAACCACAAAAGCCAACGCTTATTGCAGCTGCTCCGCCAACCACGACTTGATTTTCTTCCCCTGCTCCGTTTCCGAATTATCATTCAACATAATATGATAAATCGGCGCAACATGACACTCCCGATGCCCAACAAACAACTCCGCATTCCCAAAGCTATCCTTGAGTTTCTTTGCGAAATCCTGAATAACCGGTAACAGAATCTCATTACCACCACCCGTAACTAGAATCTCCTTCGCCGGCAGCGCAGCAAGCCACTCGGGCGACGCATTGAAAGGATCCGTATAATTATCGCGTGGTGCGTTACCCAGATACGCACTTGCCCAGGGCTTCGCAACAGCCTCGCTAATGATATCACCTCCATCATAGATTACCTGATCCGGATGCTCGGCATCTAGCAATGCCCACGGGGCAATAAGGACTGCACCTCCAATTTTTCCCTTGGGAGTCAGTGGCTCAATCTGTGGGTGTGGGTGAGCCATATGGGAAAGCACGCCGCAAGCCAGATTTCCACCGGCCGAGTCTCCGCCAAAGAAGACGGTTTCGGGGTTACGGTTTGGCTGATCGAGAATATATCTGGCGGCAGAGACAGCTTGTCTGAGTTGGTATGGATAGGTAGCTTCAGGGGCGAGGGTGTAGGTGAGTGCGAAGACGGCGACACTTTTGCCTGATTTCTCGAGATCGCGGACAAGTTTTGCGTAGAATTTGATGTAACCGCGGTTGGAGGCTAAGGCCCATCCACCACCTAAACGAAGGAAGTCGCGTTAGTATCAATCTCATTTCAATTCAATTCAAGATCATGATGGAATTGATCAGCTTCACACACCATGATACCAAATCAGCACATTAGTCGCATTAGGATCCCCAATCCAATGCCCACTAGCGCCATGACTCAATTGCACCGAACTGGCCTCATACCCCGTACCCTTCACAAGGCGATTATAAACAGTAACCGAGCCCGGGAGTATATACTGCAATTGCAACGGCGACATGCGCGCAGTCGCTTTGCGCAAGATGGCATAACCAAAATGCAGTAGCAGGGATTTAGCCTGGCGCTCCGTACGCCAGAGACCCGTTAATAAGGCATAAATAGCAGCAACGGCGACACTAGCTGCTGCTGGGAGGATATCTAGCTTCTCACAAAAAGACAATTTCACTTTATTCAGCGACATCGTGAAATTCTGGCATGATTTGCTTCAGGTTGCTGAATAGCGGGACCCTGACTGATAAGGCAAAAATGGGTTATCGCCCCTTAACCTCGGGATAAGTGTGAGGATGATCATCGTCGCAAAGCTATCCTGATGTGGTAGGGATCGGAGGTGATCCACTCTGACAATGGAACAATTTCTTTTTCTTCTCTTTTTGGTCTTTTGTTGGGGCCGAGGTGGTTGAGGGGTTCAAAGTGGGGAAAACTCGGCAACTGCCAGTGGCTGCATATGTGAACACCGTGACTGTGACCATGACTATGGCCATGACCCTGGCAGCATGTAATCTATAGATTAATACTGTATACTGTCAAGACTATTGTTATAGATCAATATATCGAACTCTAACAATCCTGGCCAGATCATAGTGTAACGCGATCGGGAATCTTGACTAACACTGTGTACATAGAGATAGTTGACATGTCGATATGAATACAATAACACCTCGGTTGCCCAGGGAATAGAACATTCAATTTCACACTTTGACAACTCACTGCTGCCTATAACCGTCTGATCGCGACCATATGAACATGATGCCGAGTATCTCTCCTCTCTTAACTCAACCGGGGAATATATGCAGAATAGGCTACAAGTGTTGGATCTCAATCCCAAAAAAGGGCAAAAGTCGCCGCACAGACCCATAACGACGCCATAAGAGGGATCCACTTGACCGATCTGCGCAGGGGGGGAGAAAGAAAAAAACCGAGGCATGTGAGCTGCATCATTTTCTTCAAAGTAAAGACAATCTCTCTGTTTTTCTGTACTTTCCATTTCACAATTCTATCATCATGAACGGTCATGCGAACGGCAATACAGAGTCGCGCATCGACGTCGCGATCATCGGAGCGGGACTCTCTGGTGTAAATGCCGCTTACCGCCTACAAGACACTTGCCCTGAATACAGCTACACTCTTTTTGAAGCTCGCAACGATGTCGGCGGGACTTGGGATTTCTTCAAATATCCCGGTCTTCGTTCCGACTCGGATCTCTACACTTTCGGTTTCCAATTCAATCCCTGGCCACACAACAACCCGATTGCGGAGGGCCACCTGATTAAGTCCTACATTCGCGACACCGCAGAGAAGTTCGGGATCGACAAGAACATTCGATTCGGTCACCGTTTGACCTCAGCGGACTGGTCTAGCGCAGAAAACACCTGGAAACTGAATATTGAACACAATGGCCACTCCAAGACCGTCACAGCACGGTTTATCCTCTTTGGATCAGGCTACTACAACTACAACGAACCCATGGAAACCAAAATCCCCGGTCTAGAGAACTTCCAAGGCAAAGTCGTGCACCCACAATTCTGGCCCGAAGACCTCGACTACGCGAACAAAAAGGTAGTCATCATCGGCTCCGGCGCAACAGCAATAACCTTGCTCCCCAATCTCGCCAAAACAGCAGAGCGAGTAACCATGCTTCAACGGAGTCCATCCTATATCCTCCCCCTCCCAAACAACAGCAACAGCCTACTCCTCTGGTGGCTCGTTCCACTCTCTTGGATCCTCTCAAAGAAGACAATTGCCAGAATCCAACGTATGGCCTGGATTCTAATAGCCCGCACCTTTTTCCTTCTCTGTAACAAGTTCCCCAAAATCTCCGCGTGGATCCTACGGTTGCGCTCAAGCTTCTACCTACCGAAACACATCCCCATCGACCCTCATTTCAAACCCCGCTACAATCCCTGGGAACAGCGAATCTGCGTCTCACCTGATGGCGACTTCTACCGCTGCCTACGTCAGGGTAAAGCCGATATCCGCACCGACACAATCAAAACAGTGACGAAGAAAGGAATCAACATCAATTCGGGCGAGACTCTCGAAGCAGACATCATCATCACCGCCACGGGTCTGAAACTTCTCATTGCGGGCGGGGCTGTGCTCCGCGTAGATGGAAAACAAATCGAGATCGGCAAGAAGTACCTCTGGAACGGAGTTATGCTTGAGGATCTCCCCAACGCCTCCTTCATCATCGGATACACCAATGCTTCATGGACATTGGGCTCCGACGCGACCGCGCAATTCGTCTGCCGCTTACTCAAATCTCTCGAGAAGCGGAAGCTCGTTGCCGCCACTCCTCGCATGAAGCCTGAGCTGGCAAAACAAATCAAGAACCTACCCTTACTGAACCTCAACTCTACCTACGTCACTACGGCTGAGTCTGCGATTCCCTTAGCTGCGGATCGGGGCCCTTGGCAACCACGCGATCACTATCTGAAGGATATCAAGTTCGCCACCAAGGGTAATCTGGATGATGGGATGGAATATGTTCAGGGGCCGAATTTGCATCTTCGCCCGAAGATTGCCTGATCGGATCCTTTGTTTCACGACAATTTGTGACGACTTTTATTCCCTTTTCTCTACTTTTCGTTTCTATTTGTCTTATATTGTCATCTTTTGGTGACTAGTTAGTTAGACTTGGCGCACTTCGGATTTGGTAATAGCGATTTACTTTTTATTCTTGTCTTTTGGAAATAGTCATGGACATATGAATGCCAATACATACCTTGAAAAAAAATGACATCAAATCAAATCAGCCCGCATGAAGCTACTTCGGCCCCGGCCCTTGCATAGAAATAAGCGGCGCCCCATGCCCCGGGCTTCTATGTCCCCGGGTCCGAGTGGGGGCGCCTTTCATCTACTGAGTAAATCCTCGGTATCCATTGGTGAATCGAAGTTCCAGTGATCTGTGCGATTCATTGAAAGGGGGGATGGCAAACATACCCCCGGGCCATGATCTCACCATATTAGCCATTCAAAAGTTGTACTATGCTTGAATCATGCCTACCAATTCAAGTTAGGAACCTTGGTTGATGCTATCATAAGCACAGTCATACTGTACGCACTGGATTCCTACTGACAAGTTGGTCTTTCCTATTTCGGTGACCGCAGGCGCTAATGTGATTTTGATTTGATTTTACAAGTTGATGATGAGCTAGCTAAAGCCTAAAGATACTTGTTAATCAATAATGTTGCTCTTGTCGTAACAGCCAGCATACCCAGCTCTTAGATCACAGCCTGAAGCCCCAAGCAGCGGAGCATTGGAAAGGATTCTCAATCCGTACATAGATAAGACACATCAATACTCATCATGCCCAGGTGCTTGTCAAAAAGCGTGATTTCTTCGTTTTATCTTGAACTTGAATATTTATGAAATCGACACCAAAAATATAAGACCGATGAATAGCTTGAAATGAAATACAAAAACGCCATAATGTCTAACCAGTTCTAAACTTGAACATATCAAATCTTCTGACCCTCCAAGTCCGTCTCGACCATCTCCAAAAACCGCTGCCACGACCGACTAGCCCTCGCAGCATGCTCACTCGGCACCAACGGATCATCCGACTGCAATGTTCTAGAAAAAACCTCCATACTAACCCAACCCTCATAACCCAATCGATTAAGACAAGCATCCGCAACCTCGCGAATAGGAAGATACCCGCCCCGCTCCTCTTCACACGGAAACAGACGAGCATTCCGGGACCAGCTCAACAGCGTCGGTAATCCGGGTACAGTCAAGAATGCCTCTTGTGGATCGACCCGCTCCCCATCCGCCAACTGAACCATCATGACACGATGGGGATCAACCTCTCTAACAAGTCTTTCCATCGACTTATGCAAATCCGCATCCGCATTCCCAGATACCCTCCCAGACGAATTCGTAGGATCAGCCCAAACCCTCGCGGCAATATTAAACGTATCCAAACAAATGCCCAGATTAGGCCTATCAGCCCTTCGAACAATATCCCAACAAGCTTCCCACGTATTCACATATGTACCCCAAGCAAGCGCCTCATAAGCAATTCTCACCGGAAAAGCGATATCAGCCGCTTCGCCCAAGTCATCAACAAGTTGATCCCGATCACCCGTAATCTCAGCCTTATCTAAAAATGAAGATGGGATCAGAATGAACAGCGAGTCGCCTAGAACCTTACAAAGCTCCACCCAGTGGCGAAGCTCATCAAGTCGCTGTGCATGTTGTGCACGGTCTATGAGGCCCTCGTAATGTCGGAAGGGTTGTAGCGCAAGAATGCGGAGCCCCCGCTCTGCGCAAAGATCGCGGATGGCGTGCGCAGCGTCGATCTCATATTCGCGATCGGATCGGGCCGATAGTGCATCTGTTGCTTGGCCACGGAGTGTCTGCGCAAATTGAGCGATATCGTCGTGAAATAGCTCTAGACCTTCCTGGCCGTTTTGTGCTGCAGCTGCAAGTTTGGCTGTAATCGAGTGGAGATGTGCGACGCCTAGACTGACCGTTGCGATGGCTGGTTTCCATCGCAATTCGGCTTCTGTGGGTGGAGTGGGAAGGGAGTGCATTGCCGACGCTAGGGATGTTTTGACGTGAAAATTGAAAATTGAAAGTCTTCCAAGGTCAAGTTGATTTAGTCTTTCGCTTCTATCGTATTCAAGTTTCCGAGGTCAACTTGAAGGTTCTCAGGCACTTGGGTAAATTGTGAGTCTAGATTGAATCTGTACTCTGTTCCATTCACCCCTGAATTCTGTCCCCTCTTCGTGACACTCCGTCATATAAATATCCCTTGACAAACAACGAGGATTCCGCATGATTTCCTCGGTATCGTTTCCGTGTCGATCGCAAGGCTCAGGGGTGACCCAATGCGTCAAAAGTGGACACCGGACGTCCGTCGCAGGCCAGAATCCAATTGTGGATCGCTGTATCACCCGTCTTTCAAGGTTGTGAAGACCCCACTTTCCCGATGATAAGCAAGGAGGATGCAATGAATCGAGGTTGCAATCGAAGGAAGAGTCTCAGAGACACGGCAAAGCGACGTGCGGGCGGCTGGACAGGAGAAGGAATATTGCGCGGGGTGCTAAAGAGACAAGAAGGTGAAGGTTTAAGATGAAGATGGATTGATCCTTCCGAGCGGACCGCCATACTCGCCAAAGGAAACAGTCTGTCACCATTTATTATGGTCTGCTCATGTACCTCCAAAGTATGGAGTACATTGTTGTCTTCAACCAGACATTGTCGTTCCATTGACCTTGTCAGTACTACATGTCATCTACGGGGTGTCACTGTCTTGTTCCACCATTGTACAAACACCCTAGTAAGAACTTCAATCTACCAACTTTTAACCAACGATGAATAAACTCTGCACAGATACGATTCATTCTACCATTTGGACCCATAATGATGCACATCCTACTCATGACGCCGCTACTACCGCCACCGCCGCTTAAGTACCGACACCGACGATCGTTTCCGGCTTGTTTCCCGTCAATTGACAGCGACAGGCGGATAGAAGCAAAAGTAAATCAGACCACTGAGATTATCAGATTATCATCTTGAGACGGGAATCACGCACTGGTACGGTGTACCAAGTAAGTAGTACATGCATGCCTCTTCGGCGAATTATTTTGTAGAGCCAGCGGCACCACAATTTAACTTCAAGTTCTGAAACCATTGATCACCCTGCAAACAGCAATACATTATATATAGAAATGCTACTCCAAAAGAATAATAGAGATCTACTCTCATTGTTCAAACTCGATTCGTTAACCATGTGCCAATGTCTGAGCCCCCTGGATTCCAGATCGACATTCCATTATCAACACGGCCTGGCCGTTGTAGCATTGCGGGTGGCGATTGGCTCTTCTGTCTCCGCCGATGCTGATCGCCGATCGATCAACGCCCATTTTCCACGTAGAGATTAGTGTTCAACTCGTATCCCAAAGCGGGTGGGCAAACGAGGCTGTTCAGTGTTCATGTATTGTTGTCCTGATTTAACTGGTGTGTAGACCATTAGCAGTAAGGTTTCACACTAAAACATAGACCGGGATCATGTCAACGTGGCCTCCGAGGCTAATTTGAGTTGTTATCTGTAAGGTGAATTTTCTCTACTCACAATCCCTTTCGTGCAATTGACAATTTGCGCAAAATACCGCCTGGCAAGGAATTGTTGGTCCCGCTATCATGTCTTGGCCTTTACCATAGTCGCGTTCTGCCTACCGGCCTGGGTTTGGAGTAAAAAAAAAATCGCATTTGAATAAAAAATAGGCGGGAAACTTTGCATTTACACGTGTTTTCTTGTATCTAGATTGAATGGATAATGGTGAACTGCCATCAGGTACAAACACCATGTCACCAACAAAGGATAGATAATGAGTTTTAAAAAACAACTCGTTTCAATCTAATTAGGTAGTATATAGCAGTCATGCATCCCATCCCATCTACTCAAGCGCCAGGACGACTAAGAATACACAGGCTTCAGATTGAATTCAGTATCTCGAGTCGTCTTTTCGAACGCATCTTCATCATAGAACACAGCCCGAGCTTCGACATTTGAAGGAGTGCTCTCAAAGAAGCTCTTCTGAGAAGCTGGGAGGTGGCACGTCATGCTCTTATTTGGAAAATGAGGGCTCTATAATTTTTAATATTATTAATATCATTATTTAAACAGTATTCGCCGACATTTCAATATGAACTTACCTGATATCCAAGTCCAAGCATAATACGATGAGTGTCAGTCTCATTAGGCATCCCAGCATGCCAAAGCCTAATATCACGAACCATGATATCACCCGCAGCACAAGTCTGCTGGATAGGAGGACGAATCATTCGACGCGCATCCTGCGCCTCTTGGGTAATAGCAGGAAGAGGCTCACCCATAAGATAATGCCCTGTTACCTGCTCCGGCTTTGTGGCAACGATTTGATCGTGATTGGATGTGTGTGCATGAGATCCAAGCCAGAACTCAGTCGCTCCATTCTCAATACTAGTTGAGCATAGGGGGATGTTTGCGATGAAAAAGTATGGATATTGAGGATGTATGAACGCGTTATCTTTGTGGACTCCTTGGCGCATTCCTCCCGTGTTGGAAAGGGCGGTATTGGCAGTTAGCCAGTTCCAAATAGGTTTATGGCCGAGATATCTAAGGAGATGTCAGGATCGAAACTTGATTTTTTGATTTTCTGCCGATTTCTTTCTTTTTTCTTTCTCTTTGCCATTGATGGGAGCACGGGGATCTTACGCGTTGGCTAGTTGTAGAACGAATGGATTGTAGTAGATATCGTCATACAAAAGGTCGGGTTTAGTGACAGGCGGTCTCTGGAGGAAGTTCGCTAACATATGTTAGATCAGTGCATATGCAGAATACCTTTGAGACTCACATTTCACTGAATGATTATAATTCTGAGTAGGGTCGTCTCTTTTCTTCTCAGCAGCCGCACTCATCTGCCGATTAAGTGCTGCGATGTGATCCAACTTGACAACGCCCTTGAGTACAACCAATCCGTCTTGGTGCATTCCTTCAAGAGCCTTCTGAAGAGAGAGATCAGAATATTTTCCATTTTGACGCTCCTCCTCGGATATCTCCACTGCTTGAGCTTGGGACTGGGACTGGTTATTCACTGTCATAGTGGCGCAGATAAAGAAATAAAATGATTTGATTGGATGCAATTTTGGATGTGATTTTGTCCTGTCTTGAAATAATTTTGGAATTCACCTATAACCAGGGGTAGTCGGGTAAGAAGAGGGGAGAGAGGGGGTATGAAGCTTCGCGTAACTCCACAGCCTATCTAACTCCGCAGCGGGGAAATGGGACGTTCAGATAACTGACACAAACCTTATTCTATTTTGGGAAAGAAGTCTCAAGGACAGAACAAGAGGACTAATATTTTAGAGGCTCAATTATCATTGAGTCTGCTGCGCAAATGTACTATTTGCACGTATCCAAGCACCATATTTAATAAAAACAAATGGTACAACAGCAATCGCGATCGAAAAGAACCCAAGCAGCGAATTAGCCCAACCAATACCTAGCTTTGAATACATCGGGTTAGCAGCCATCGGAAGGAATATTGCGCAGAATGAGCGCAAGGTGCTCGCCGCGGCAGCCGCAGAAGCCGAATATTGTTTATAAGCATCGGTCAAATAGTTCAAAAGAGCGATGAAAATCAGAAGATATCCGAATCCGAAGAAGATCCCAGACATCATCGGCATGACAGGGTGGATGGAGAGCTTCGATGACCATCCGAGCCAGAACAACGCTATAGGGATCCCGGGAGCGCCTACACAAGCCAGTGGGAGGCGTCGATACTCTTCTCTTGTTGCCCAGTTTTGCCCAGCTGCCAATGCTTTGCTGTGGTATCTACTGTATAAAAAGAAGGCGATAAAGGCGAGGATGGACCCGGGTAAGACTAGAAGCTGGTTAGATATGACCAAAAAAAATGGAGAGATTTGTATTCTTACTTGGAAGAAAAGCCAATCCACTGATTCCAGCAGATAGTCCGTACAGATCTGAGTCAATTAGTAACAATTCGATGAACCACTGACAAAAATATGATTTCGCTTACCTTGAAAGATGATAGGGTATGCCTGGAAGTAGAGGTAGAGAATGGAATAGATAAGAGCAAGATAGCATGAACAGCAAAATACGATGGACTCTTTGGTGAATAGTAAGACTGGACGACTCAAAATTGTAAGAACTTCAGTCCAAAGAGATGGTTTACCATCTGTTCCAGAATGAGTGGTCTGAGCCATCTCCTTCTCGCCACTGGCACCCTCACTCCTCTTACGCAAAACTGGAACATATGTTTCTTGCATTGTGAGAAGCATTGGAAATCCAGGAGACGCAATGATAAGCCCTGCCCAGAAAGACCATCGCCAGGTAATAGTCGAAATAAAGCCAGAGATAATAGGTCCCAAAAGTGGAGGAAAGGTGGTAGCAAACATGAACCACGACATTGCCAATCCGCGGTGATGAGGATCCGCGTAAATATCCGAAAATAGGCCTCCCAATACAGCATTAGGTGCAGAGCCCCCGAAACCACAGAGGAAGCGAAAAACGAGCAGTGCGGGGAAATTCGGGGCTAATGCGCACGCCATCGTGAAGATGAGATAAATGGAATATGTTGCGATTAGTACGGATTTCCGACCGAAGTGCTCGCTCAAGGGACCAAAAGTGATAGGGCCTGTTTGTCGTGAGTATATGAGTGTACGCTACTATAGGGATCATTTGAAACTGTAGATACCTATTGTGAAACCTGCCATGTAAAGAGAAGTTGGCAGCACCATTTTGATGCTATCGCCAGGGATATCAAAATCGGCAGCGAGTTCATCATGAGCACCAGATGCAATGGAAGAACCCAGTGAGCTATTGAAGACAAACCATATCCCAGCAACTACAATATGAAGCTTTTGAGACTATTTGAATAGAGTTAGTTTATGTCAAGTTCAGACTGTAGGTTACCCTGAAGCAACATACCAAGCTGAAATCAAAAGGGTGCTGGAACTCATTATGAATTCTGGTTTCTCGAGCTTGACAATGAGATTTCGACTTCGAGATTGTCGCCATTTCTTAAGATGGCTAAGTCTGCCCGATTGTAGTTTGGTGGTTAACCAAAGGTGACTAGGGCCGAGAGAATGGCATTTTCAAACGAAGGGCCATGGTGCATCGGCATTCATTCCGAGGTTATTGTGGAGCCCCATTGTAATTTTTTCATGCGGGTGGGCTCCGTCAGTTGTTGTCTTTTCCAGGATTTCAATCGTATGCCGACAATTATGGGTCTCTGTACGTAAAAGCCACCGTGTCAGAGCTACTCGGCAACCCGACCATTGGTTTAATGTACCGAGTTTTTCTCGTCAAAATCTATCTTATTCGCGCGTAATGAAGTCCGACCCCACACATCCCGACGTCCCGGCGGCCCGCCACATGGTAGTACTCTGGATCATGATGCATTTTTATATTCGTTTCCTTCTTTATACTATATATGATGAGGACTGAGCCCTGAGCCCTGAGCCCTGTATAGCACCCTGTTCAACATATGATGCATCTGCTAGAGCAAGAGAAAGGAAAGACCGTGAATAGTGACTTGGAAGAATTAGCTGACTTTGTCCACGGGTACAAAGGGCGTATTTATATATGCCAGACTGATGTTTGTGCAACATCCGAGTCGGCCTGAGGCCTGCCAGTGCCAGTGTATAGTAACCCAGAACCCGGGTCAAAAGACCTCCACTGAGCTGTCAGTGGGGGTCATATGACTGTAAATATAGGGGTAAATGGCTTGGCTGTATGTAAAGTATCTGCTTATTACATGAATACTATATGCTAGATGTAGTATCTAGGGGGGCTCTAAAAAATGCTAGGTGAGAGTATATAAGTGTAGCTAAAACCTACTAGTAGTTTAAGGGAATGAACTAGTTAAAAAATTTAATCGAGCTTGCCCATTCATTAAGCCAGGAATATCCATCTAGTCAAGACAATGGCGAGAATCTCAAAACAATCAAAGACGCCAGCGTGGAGAAGAAATTATTGCAACAGAAGAGAGGCCGGCGCAAGTTATGCCTATAGAAAAAGGCGTGGGAGTACAGCAAAATGTGCGGGGCGGATTTCTGCTTGTACATACGCATTCGACAGTCAGGGAAAGTTTTCATATATTCCGCAGGCGCCTCCGGGTTCTGGTCGTTCCTAAACTCTCAATTAGTAAGTTCAGGTGAGAGGGAGATCACAAGTTTTCTAACTCTTCAGGGCTCTTACTATCCAACGCCAGTTGAGAGGCATGAAAAGTGCCTCTAGACGCAACTCTTTGATGGACCATTTTGAGCGGTTTTGGTGGTCGGGCTAGCAGCGCATGTGGAGATCAGATCCCGAAGATCTAGCGAGGTCAGATCCCACGCCCTCGAGTATAAACAAGGGCATCAATCATAAGAAAATGATCAACTTTTCTTCTTCAAAAGAGCATAAGGCAGAGAAACTCAAATCGACCTAGAGACATTTATTTGTTTTAAATTCACTTTTTGCGTTTCTACTTTTGTCGCTGGATCTTTTGTCGCTGGATCACATTCGCTCCCATAGATAGGGCTTCTCCCACCCAGGGATCTAAGCTTCTTGAAAGGCGCTCGTCCTCTACTAGTACTATACGGATAAAGACAACTGTGACAAGCAAGGTATTGTTGACATTTTCCTTAAGGTATTTTCAGACTTCTAAATCTTCCGTTGCACCCCTTCTAATCCTCACTCATCACATACCCTATTACAGATCTCCTCTCCCTCTCGTCGCCAATCCTCCTCCCGAAATCCCTCCGTACCCCAATCATAGTCCTCGATCAGAATTCGCTTTATTTCAATTTGCTCCAGTGACCCCGGAAACTCAAGATAACCCATATCAGATCCACTGGGACGATAGATGGATTCTAAATTACGAATGCCATCGATAATGCCCTGGAGATAGGTAGGGGCATGGTAAGCTGTACTTTCTTCCCGGAAATTCTCCACAGATTCATCAATAATTTGAATAATATCTAATTAAAGTGGTCAGTTTAGTCCTGAAAACTTATATAGTAGGGGGTATCTATACTTGACTTAGTATTCAGAATAACCGAAATCCCATCATCCATATGCATCCAGCAAGTTAGTGCAACCTCCCACGGTTTTAAAAAGTCTATTCTTAACGCGTCGTCATCGCCCGTATCAGCATTTTCAGGATCACGGCCATCCTTAATCTCTTGGTCATAAAGGTATTCAAACGCGCGGGATTGCCACAGGAGCGGCTTATGATAGCCGTCAACAGGATAGGGAATCTTCTTCATAAGAGATACCACCTCCGGGGCGATGTGGAGCTCAGAGCATAACTCCTCATTAATAACATGGCCACCTGCAGGAGGGAATGCAATTTCGTTAAAAGGAAATATCTCGTCCCTAGGTCGGTTGAAGTAGCTTAGCTTGTGAAGTAGGCTATAAATTGTGGTGATTTCGGCGACTATTATTCCCTCATCGTAAGATGAAGACATAGTTTCGGTATTTTGATACCAAAGGTAGGCCAAACTGAGTAGCAGAGGAAAGATGATCAGATGTATCGTGGCATTGAAAACGCCCGGATAGAGATTCCAGGGTTCTTCTCCCTTGTTCTGAGGTGCCCGAGCGAAGGAGAAGCGGAAATGGATTTTGGCGACGCGAACGGGCCATCCATGGTCGGAAATTCTTTGTACCCCGAAATTTCCTGAATCGCCCCACCCAAACGTGGACCTAGCTACGAGACCTAGCAATGCCGCAGGGAGGGTGTACCGTACAAAACCAGGGGCCTCCAGGCGGTCCCAACTAGTAAAATACGGCCTCTCAGTTTTCTATGGGTAGGTAATGTTTAGAAACCGTTAGCTATTATTTTGTTATTTAGGGTCTAGGGCCGGTAGTTAACTAGAAATAGAAGACATCGACCTTTATTTAGCTGATAGATGTATGGAAATCTACATCCCCACACAATAATAATAATCTGGCCACAATCCACTACAGCTATCACCGACCGCCGCATTCCATTCATAGAGCTCATCCAGCGTGATGTCGAATAATTCGGCGATATCGTAACATCCATCACCACTAACTGCCTCATAGAACTTCGTACATCCGCTCACCATGCCTGTCTGGGTCGGAGTCGGCGTTGTGACAGACGTCGCAGATGTGGAGGTGGAAGTCGTACTTGCGATAGTCGTCGAGATTGCAGCCCTGGTGGATTGTGATGTGGATGAAATCGTTGCTGTGCTTTTCCCGGTGCTAGAAGGTTCCGAGATTCCAGAGACACAGTAAGTAAGTGTAGTTAACCCAAAGATTGTCACAGTTGCTATCAATATACGTATTCAATGCCCTAAAGACATCAAGAGTGATTCCGTACTCCGCTTCAATTATTTGGCAGGTATCGCCGGAGACAATGGTGTGCCATTTATAATACTTAGATGTTGTCCCTGTAACGGTGGTAGTGGGTGCACTGACAAAAGATATCGTAGTGTTGGAGTTGCTGGAGGTTACAGGGGCTGTGCCATTAACAGTAGCAATGCTGTTTTATTTTTGTCTTTTGTTAGCATATTATCAAGTTTTAGAATTCGTAAACAAAGATATACCAGTAATCCATACCGACGACTAGATTTCCGCAGGTTGTATTGACAGACGGGTTCATGGTAAGGAAACTAGCCAGTGTTAGACTATTACCTTCACAAATGATGCCGTATTGATCATTATCCTTGACAAGATAGTATACACTACAGTTGGTTGCGGTGCCTGATGGGGTTGGGGATACCGGGATACTAGAAATACCGGGTCAGCTAGGGTTGTATCAAAAAAAAAGATGCAGAAAGACTGTATGCTGTGGTCGTGTAGGTAGAGTTTGCCGAGGCCGTGGCGGAGGGCAGGCTATAGAGACCTCCTGGAGGGCCCACATATATAGCATCGCCGTCCGCGATTTGTCTTGAGCCAATATATATATTCTAGGTCATAAATTAGGTCAAAGTGAAATTGGCTTGATTATAGATATAATCACTAACGTTGATAAATGCCCCGTTAGTAGAGACGACAGTAATTGGGTAGGAAAGTGGTGTGTAGACATCTTGGTCATTCACCCAGTCGCAATACATATTATTATTTAGATTCCGGATTCCGGCAGTTGGAATGTTGTAAGCGATCGCAAGTTGCTAACAAGTTATTGTCGTGTTTTGCGATACTGTGATAGTCTAAGGACATATCGTAGTAATAGCATCAGGTGTGGAAATGGTGATGTTGATATTTTCATATACAGTATAGTTGTTCGCGGGAATAATTTCAATATCTATGTCGTAGTTCTTTTGTATATTTGTCCATATTTACTCGGAAATTCCACTGAATCATTATCGTTAGGCCTTATAGGCTTTGGACATAGGTCATTGTACATACTCCCAAATTTCACCCCATAGGCTCTCAAATCCCTATTTGAATTTTTGCAAAAAGCATGACGAACATTGAATTTCCAATGGATATTCATCCCACTCTAACGGCTCAGCCCATCCATAGTTGTTGTTGTTGATGGCTGCGGGTCGATCTAAGTAGTAATCCTACGCGGCCAGCTGGTTTAGACTATTTGAAACGGTTGTATCTTGGAAGTAATCGTCGAAGGGCTCTACACAGGTACCATTCTCAAATTGATACCAGCTCCAGTCATAATACTGAGAGACATCATAGTAAAATTTGTTGGTAAATGTTGGCCAAGTGGCTTCATCCAGAAGAATCATGTTCGTGATATTCCACGAGTCTTCAACATCCAGACAAAAATCATCTGTATCTTCATCAGCCAGGCAGATAAGCTCATACTTGTCCTGGAAAGAGTCCATATATTCAGTAAAAGTCATTGTGCGATTATCCACGTAGAATGGAGTATTGCCATATAGTCAGCCGTAAAGATTCTTCAAGTACATACAACCAAAGAGTGTGGAGAACAGGGCTCCCCGTCCGCTCAGCCGTACTTAAGCCACACACTGAGGCTGAAAGTTTCCCCTCAGGATGCCTTCGTGCAATGATGTAGAGGGGGCTTAGTATGTATTGAAACAAACTTTTTTCATTAGACAAAATCATGATCATGATCAATTGATGGTCACATGCCAGTGCATGCCTTCAAGCTCTTCGAATGTTTCAAATTTAGCCTTGAGTAGAATTTGAGATTCATTGTATCGCAGTCACGTCGTCCGCTGGGTTATTCAACGGCACGACAGTGGTATCCGAATGCTTGAATGTCCTTATTCCGGTACGTATAATCTTCAACTTTGAAGGGCAATGTGGATCAGGGCACGCGATCAGAGAATCAGTTGTCATCCCATGCGTTGTTTTGCCGCGAGCAGTGGTAGAACAGAAGCTAAAGATCAACGATTAACCCATCAGATTATTCTGGCAAAAACAAGCCTTTCAAGTTTTACACAACTTACAGAGACTGTAGATACTGATGCCTTGCCCAGCAGGCAGATACAGCATTTCGCCTTCCAGGGTAAACGAGTCACCTTGTTTGGCTCCACACATAATTTTCTGATCTGGTGGACAAACCACCTCGACTCGCAAGTTATATAGTCAGAACTCTTCCCCCATTTCAACAGGTCAGTGATAAAAGTTTGTTCTTTTGGTGCGAATTATGAGCTTAACCGGTATCTTTATGCCTCTGGGTAAAGGTCCAGAGCCAGCGGTTCAGTATCTCCGACCCCTATTTGACAACAGTCTCAGTTCGAAGATAAGCTATCTCGTGATTATGGGTATATGACTAGTTGGGGGTTTACTATTATGTCAAATACCAGAGAGACTCTACTGGGCGTTACCACGCCTTGAAATCCTGACACAATGCTTCCATCTCAGGAACCCGAGAAGGAAGCAGGTTCCAAGATGAATGATGTGGAGCTGGGTAGTGATACTCAACATGGCTCTCTGTTTTAATACTATGTGCTCACTTCACGCCGCTTTCCGTGAAGGCTTTACTCATTGATAATATCAACAAGGCCCCAAGTCTACTACATAGTAGTAGTATATTCAACTTGAAGTTATAGAGGTACTATATCGCGAATAAGTTCAACTTCAAAATCATACCATTTCAAGCACTGCAGATATGATATCTTCGAGACATAAAGACTAGTATTCTTTCTTTTAGAATGTACTTACTGGCATAGTCCAAAGTGTTGGTCAAAAATATTCCTTCCTTTGTCTTTTCAAGTTCATTTGTCTCCGGCGATCATCAATAATCTTGGGTGTAAAGTGATTCAACTAAAAATAATCAAGTTGATTCATTGAGTGTCGGTTAAGGGTTCAAAAGTATGCCTGATCTAGATTTCGACGTCATAAGCTAAGGAATCAAACGCTAATAATCACTAACAAAATACAAAATTCGTCATAATTACAAGATAAGAAATCGTTACAGACGAGCCATGCGATTGTGTTCACTGGTTGATGACTTTGTCATGACCTGAGCAAGGTTTCGACTCGCCCAGTCTGCAATAGCCATATTGGTAACCATTGGATTTACACCGCTAGCACTGGGGAATACAGAAGCATCGACAACATACAGACCCTCAGTGCCCCAAACCTGGCAGTCAGGATCAACAACACTGGACTTGGGTGACTTGCCCATTCTGCATGTACCCATTTGATGGGCACTAGCGAAAAGCGTACGTTCAGGATTCAACGGTGACTTGCGACGAAGCTCTGTAATCCAATTCTGCAGCGCAGCATCATTCGTCCCCTCCGGGGCATCTGGGTCAGATGAATCAGGTCGAATAAATGGATCGATTTCGCGAGAAGTTGTGATGACCTCTTTAGCGCCGGAGATGTATGCGATTTTGGCCGCAGCGACTACGCCCTCCACAATGTGACGTCTGTCAAAAGGGGAGACTGTGTAGTCAACACGTACACGTCCATCAGTAGGGTCAGGGAAGACCCGACCACCATCTCGGTCTTTGACCAAAGTGATGAAACTTGTGCTCCGGCGCATCTTTGCTGCGGCGATCTTGTACTCTAATCCGTTTTTCCAAGGGAAGATAGGGATAAAGATCGAAGGGATCATGGCTGCGGATTCAATCTTGACTCCGTGACCATGGCCGTCAAGGTCTTCAAATTCATTAACTACTGTAGTCAATGCTGAGCCCTCCCATGGGCGAGTGTCCTCGTCGAAGAGAGCCGCTACACCCATCACTGGATGCAAATGGAGATTGCGACCGATTTGCGAGTTTTTAAGACCACTTCGAAGGAGCAGGAGAGGACTTTGTAGTGTACCAGATGAGACAACTACCTTCTTCGCCTTGATGATCACCTTTCGTGTAGTAGCTCCACTGCCACTAAACCCAAGATATTGATCTCGTGAAGTCCACGTTCCTTTCACGCCAGTCGCTGCCTTCTTACCACTTCTATTGGTTTCAAATAGCACCTTATCGGCTTTGAATCCTTCAATGAAAGTGGCGCCAGCTCTCGCGGCATCCGCGAGGAAACTCTCGGTCGGACCCTTTTTACCAGTAGACGCACAGCCCATTGTACAGTGTCCACAATAATGCTCTTCATTGCCTGTATTTTGCGGGACTGTCTTGGCTGAATAGCCCAGCTTCCGCGCGCCCTCCAAAATCACGTTATTCTGACGATTATGCTTCACATGCTCGGTATTGACACCCATTCGGTCGCAAACACGATCAAGACTTCTCTGGTAATCCCAAGATGTGAAGAGAGGAAGACCTTCATCGGACCATTCCTGGCGCACGTATGCCTGGGTTTGCAAAGCTGCGGACCAATTGATAGTACCACCACCACCCCATGTTGAACCGGCGAGGATAGCCATCGAGCCATCATCACTCATAACAGCACCCGAGCCTTCGAACATACTATTATAAGCCTCATTCCCCGACATGGGGAACGACTTAGGTGAGTATGAATAAGACTTCTCAACAACGAGGACTCGGAGGCCCGCTTCCGCGAGGTTCTTCGCAGTGACGGCTCCACCGCAACCGCTGCCTACAATCACGACATCGGCCTCAATAGTCTCGGGCCCATCACCTGGAGGAATTTGGACAAATTCATATGGGAAACCATCGGCGGGCTTCCCATATGCTGGAACACGAGGAAAGCCTAAAATTTGGTTCACATTAGGACTAGCCAGGACCCAAGACTTCTTGACAATAGCAGTCAAGGCACGGTGAATAGCACGTAAAGGCGGAAGTCTGGAAGTATCCCATCCTACAATCACTTTCTCACGGAAAGAAACGGGTTGCTGATCAATTGGAGTGGTCGACCCTGTCAGGATCAATGAACCAGCTCGGGTACTAGTAATTGTGAGTGATCTGAGTTATTATTGTAATATGGCAACCACTCAACATACCTCAGAGCGTTTAAAATCATGCCCAACCCATTTCTACCGTCTTCGGGCACGGCACTTCCAAGGGTACGTTCCACAATAGCGCGGAACACGGGGTTGGTCGATACACTCTCTTCCAAGAGCTTTACAGCGAGCGTTTTAGAATCCGGGCCAGGGATAATTGACGAGATCTTGTTGAGAACTGCATCGTATTCCGCAGCCGAGATAACTTTGTCTGTCGTCGACTGAGGGGCAGTCCGAATAGATGGCACAACCGCATCTGCAATGGCAAACAGTATGCTCCATTGGGACTCGGTATAAAACGACGCGTCAGGAGCAGGCGGAAGAGGTACTTCCTCTGGAATGTAAGTTGAGAATGTTTGGTCGGCCATGATTAAAACAAGATGCGAGAGACGAAAAGCGCTAGACACCACAGGTCACCAGGACAGATATATCAAGTCAAAAGCCCGACGTGGGACATTGAACGGGGCGAAAAGGTGACTTGGAATTAAATGATGGCCGGATTCATAAATTGCCAGAGAAGCGGGGATATACACTCCAGCTCTGGCTGGGCAAGGAGTAGCTTAGGCAACTTTCCCCACCAGGCTATCGATGTAGTGTCACCGTAGATAGTAGCGATCAGAGCAAACCAGTGTTAGTTCAGTTATATCGAAGGTGCATGGTGGAAAGTAGCCTCGGTTGCGGAGCATGGTTTGATCCATATTTCGTCCGCCCAGTGGGGTCTTGGAGACCTGAGCCACTCATGGTCGGATCTTGGGGGGGGGAGATCGTTCGGTGATGTGGATGGTGTGGAGAGGAGAAAGCGTAATAGCCGAGATTCGACCCCATGTGACCGCCATTCAGGGTTCCTGCAGTTCTAAAAGGGGTAAGAAGTGTCCGGATACATAAAAAATATCAAAAAATATTATTAAAGTGTTCGATCGAAGATTGTTGGGGAGGAGAATTGTGGAGATGGTGGAACAACATATGATGAACGTGAAAGAGTCTTGGTGGTGTCAGATTGATGTCAGGTTGGTGCCAGGCCATAGGGACAACTTCCGAGGTGATTACATATGGAGAATGAAGTATGTATAGAGTAAATGCACACAAATTGCTGTAATGTTTAATGCTAGAACGAAGTCTAGGTGTGAAATGAGATTAACCTAGGCATTCGAACATTGTTACTGTCAATATCCTAATTAATGTAGTCAATGTACCCAATTGACATGCAGGCTTATACTAGTATCATAGAGTATCCCGTATAGCATCTTCCACATTGCAGTCTTAGGTTACAGTGTGGCTTTATAAATCAATTTATATACTTCTTTACAGCAGTGGAATTTCAAGCCGATGCCATATGCACTAGTCTCCAAGCTTAGGACATGCTAGGCCAAGTCGAAGTATACAGCACAGTAGCAATAGAGCTACTATGTATACAGATAACCTTGGAAGTACTATTTTTGATCAATACACTTAAGTATAGTGATAGAGACGGACCAGTTGAGTATAAACATTCACTACTAGTAATTCTGAATGTTCTTGTCTACCAAGGTTTGTAAGCTGTTCAAGTTGAGAACATCACAGGATAGGCATTGGACACATATAATAATATGGACACGACTATTCAGAGTCAAGTGCTTTCTCAACAGTAATTGTGATTATCACATCCTCAAAATGCTGTCAACCCCAGATCATGTCATACATCACATTTCAAAATAAATTAAACTAAGATCTACGCAGCTCATCCCTGACGTGACGTGGGTAAAGCCAGCCATTTAGCCGTATCACGTATCAGATTTGCTGATTTTCCCCGATCGGCAGAGCTTCCCAAGCTTGCACCTCTCAACCATGGCGGACGCGTCCGACTCCACGCGCCAACAGGCCTGCACCTTGCCGCGAGAGAAGGTCTTCTCAATCCAGATTGGTTCAGAGCTATTTCGTCTCTCCGGCGCATCAATTGCCTCGGATGGTGAGTGCCGCCTGCCCCAGAACAGACGATAAGACGTGGTCGCAAAGCTGATCTGATTCAATTCAATTCAACAGCACCATCATACTTCTCTCGATTCTTCGAGGAGCAAATGCGGACCTCCGATTCCTCAAACATTCGAACTCTCTATATCGATCGTGATCCCGAGACATTCAAGGAGATCGCGAGACATCTACAAGGTGACACCGAGACCTAATGCCCATCCCGCTGATTGAGAATCAAGACTAATGCGAACTTCGCAGGCTATCATGTCCGACCACGAGATGGCACACAGTTCGTTAAGCTATTTGCCGATTCACAATTCTACACTTGTAGGATTCCATTTCTCTCCTCTACACCCAGAATAAAGAAACCATCACTGACGAAGCCAGTACCCCGATTAATGTCCCAACTATTCGAATCCGAGATCTTCATTCAAATCGGCGACCGACATTTTCAAATCCCCCGCGATATATTCTCAGGTCCCGGTGACTCTCCGAACTTCTTCACCCTCGGATTCGGAGCCTTCTTCGCTTCCCCAGCAGAAGTATTCCCCGGCCTTGAACGCGTAGGACTCCTCCGACCCCCCGCAATCGTACCCCCAAGCGTCCCCAATCGATCCGCCGAAGTCTTCGCCGAACTCCTACATCTCCTTCGCGGCTACCCATTAAAGATTCGAAATGAAGATCACCGCGCCGAGCTCCTACGAGACTGTCGCTATTTCCACCTCCGAGGCCTAGAGCAACGACTGATACCACATAATATAAGCGTCAACCCATTCAACCAGCGATCGGAAATCACCCTACAATTGGAAGACGTTCGCCCGTCAGGCGTGCAGGTAGCCCAAAACTCCGTACACCCAATGATGACGAGTGGCCTGGTGATGTATACACGCCCCTTTGCGGACGATACCGCCTGCGACTTGATCCTGGAAATCGTTGGCGAATCTACGATAATCAGTCGCGCAGGACAGCGGGCCGACTTTCTGGGAAAAACAAAGTCTCGCATGGCAAGTTTGGTACAGGTCATTGGAAAGAAGCTCAATCTACCCGAGGGCCAGCTTTCTGGTCTTCCGCTCAAAGTACGTTGGGGTCGCGAGACAGACATCGTCATTGACGGTGAGCGGGACTCTCAGCGTATCGCAAGTCTGTTCGTTGCCGGTGAATCAGAGAGCGATGGACCTCCTGCCAAACGACAACGTCCAGATGGAACAGAAGAGGGGCCTTGGATTGTCCGTTCAGGGCAATGGCGACTATTGGTGCAGCAAGTAGATCCCAATGGTCCGTGTGAAGTTATAATGGGTGCTGTGAAATTGGATATGTGCAGTCATCCACGTGCACGAAACCAATCCAGGGACTTCCTCTGAATTATCAATGCAGTTTTACGAAGGCGGAGTTATGATACCACATGAATCTAGTGCAATTATTGGAGTTCTGGAGCTCTGAAGCTCTCCTATGATACATGTGATTAGTATTCTATTTAATCGGAAAAGCCACCCCATTCATCATCATCGCTGTCATCATCATCATCATCTTCTTCTTCTTCTTCTTCTTCTTCTTCTTCTTTGTTGTTTTTGACACCTTCCGCATCATCAACATGAGGAGGACTCTGAGCTAGAGCCTCACTAGATGCAAGTTGGGGATCACGAATAAATCCAGCGACGAAGAATCCGCCAAGTCCCTCTGCGTCTCCAGACCAACAACGCAAGCAAGCATCCAGGTCCTCGTCTGAAAGGTCCACTGAAAGGGAGTCAGACCCGACCTCCTCTTTTGTCTCAGGATCTCTATCACGCCGGACTCCACGATGTTGCCACTTGCGCAGTCCATCCGGTTGCTCATTGCGTCGCAGTAAGCGCCATCCGCCCTCTTTGGCGACCTTAGATGCCAATATACGTTCCACAACAGACTCATTCTCTATCAGATGGATAGAACAAGTACTATAAGTGACGTGTGTTGCATTGGGAAAAGTCAAAGCATGTTCCACGATTCGCGCTTGGAGATTCGAGAGCTTCACTAGTCGCTCCTGATCAACAGTACCACTGGGAATATCATTTTCGTCCTCCGGGTCCGGTGCGACATTTGAAGCAATTGGTGCAGCCTTCTTTTGCTGATCTTTCGACTGATCATCATCTGCGGGGCGTTTTCGTTTCTTCCCCTGTGTATTGGGAGCTTGGGAAGGCGCAGCCTGGGGCAGTGTGAATTCAGGAACATCGTCGCGGCCGATAATTCCACTTCCAGAACAACTTGGGTCCAATAAAAGACCCGTGACCTCCTCAAAGCGAGAATCCATCGGATCAAGAGCTAGGAAATCCTGACCTTGAAGCACTGTGACCATGTTGTCCGCCCCGGCTTGGGCCACCATTTTCTTCAACGTTTTGGATCGCATTCTCGATGCGTCCATGGATATAATTTGCTTCGATTGTGTCTTTTGCTTTTCTTGCTTTGCAAGAAGGGATGCCATATGCGTTGTTTTATTTCCAGGCGCAGCACAGCCATCAACCAAGTGACCCTGCCACGCATCCTTCATTCCACGATCACCCAACAGAAGATAAGCAGGGAAACAAGATGCCTTATCTTGCAGAATGATCTCTCCATTCTTATAAGCCGCGGAGGAAGTGAAATCAGCCCCATAAGGTACAGCCACGAGCTCAGGAATATGAGGATCCATGTAAATCAACTGTCGCGCACTCCGATCGTCCTCCACCTGCGCCAATTCCGCCAAACTATCAACACGACGATAAGCCGAGAATGTCGTACTCAATTGTACTTCCAGCGAAGACCGAATATTGTTCACGCGCACCCAGCGCGGATAGACAAAATCATCCGTCCCATTTAATTCCCTCTTCTCCCTTAGAACCGCAGCCTTCAGCTGTTCAACAGTCGCACAGCCCCTGCGCACGCGCGCTTTCGTAAACTCTGCCTTTAATCGGACCTTGTGCCTCTCAACATTTTGCCGGATAGTATGGGCAGTGGGGGCAGAGATACCCTTTTTCGCGATCAAGAGATCATGGACGAGGAGGAGTGCAAGCAGGGGTGTTAACTAGATAAAACAATATTAATCACGGCTGTTCAATCTTCAACCATCAGGCATCATGTAATGACATGCCCACGGTTTGGTTTCCTTACCTTTCGTTCTACCTTTAGTAGCTCAGAACGATCAATCACCTCAGCTAACAGCCGGTCCCATTTTGATGCTTCAATGATCAAAGCATAGATCTGCGCGGGTTGAGCACGTAGGTCTCGAGCACTGTATATACGGGACTTGAAGGAGCCACCGGATGCTGGCTCGGTCAGAATGTTGACCGCATCAAAGTAGAGGGACATTGGAGATGTGCAACTGTTGTTAATCTTTAATTTCTTGAAGCGACAAATTTCGCCGATAAGATGGTGTTTGCTCTGTTTGCATTGGCCACCGATCGGTTTACATAGTGGAAATCTGTTGTGGTGACTAAAAGTCATAAAAGTGTGATTTTTGAGAGAAAAATGTGATATATAAATACAATTAGACTGGAATATAACACGATATGTCTTTGAATCAAATGCAAGGTACTATTCACTGCTGATGAAGAACTGTGATCTCCTTCTACAAGTCAGGTCGGATCCCGCCGCTGTCATAGCATCTACCAACACTCGATCCACCTTCTTCCCCAATCCAAACCCTCACCGTCTTCCTAAAGGAACCCCAATCCCCTTCTTCTCCCCCTACTCCATTCGTTAACCAATACCTTCAAATCATAATTGGGACTGCAATTCAGTCATAGTCCTATTTACACAATGGCAGACAACACACCATGGACAACGGAGATACAACCACCACCAGGCAGGAAAACAAAACTATCTCTCCCAAACCAAACAACAGCCAACCCACCAGTATTCAACGATGCCATGATCGTACGCACTCGCGTATTCATCGACGAACAAAACTGCTCTCCAGAAGGAGAAATCGATTCCGACGACGCAAGAAGCTGGCAATGGGTCCTATATGCCTCCGAGTCTGAGTCCGAGTCCGAGACAACAAACCCAATTGCAGTGATTCGACTCGTGCCTCCTCCACACCCACCTCATGATTTACTCACATGCCCTGATACCGCATCTGCATCTACGGGAAATTTACCGAAGTATGACTGGGTCCATGAGCCATGCATCAAATTAACGCGCGTGGCGGTCATGCCTGGGTATCGTGGGAAGGGCCTTGGACGACGTCTAGTTGAGATAGCACTAGCTTGGGCGAGCAGCCATGCGAGGGAGATTGACGACGCCGCTGCTAAGCTCGCAGCTGAATCTAATGAAAGTGCATCTTTGAAGAAGTGGCAAGGGTTAGTCCTTGTTCATGCCCAGGTGGACGTGGAGAAGATGTACGGCGGGTTAGGATTTCAGACAGATAAGGAACTTGGAAAATGGGATGAAGAGGGGATTGATCATGTAGGGATGTTTAAACGGATAGATATATCCCATTAAATTCAATAGTACAGTATACTTTTCTCAATTCCAGTTCCCAGGAAGTTGGAGCCTTTACGCATAGACCATGTTTAAGTCTGGGTTGGGAAATTATTGACGCATGCAATCTGGAACCACCAATCACTTTATTCTGCTCCTTTCTCCCAGAAACTTAAATGAATTACTGGATAGACTTGACATATCCCACGCGACAAGACAAAAGCTGGATCTTCTGGTGATTGGACCTAAAAGAAAACTGTGTGGGGTAAACTCGCTCTCTCCCCGCGTCAGTGGCGGTCGAGGATATCGCCTCCCCACATCTCTTCACTTCGCTTGAACTCTCCTCTGTATACGAGCCTCCCCAATCCCATGGAACTGAAAGCTCAAGTTTATTTGAGGCTTGGATTCTCCCTAGAACTCCCGTTACCCCACATTATTTATTCACTACCGAAATATAAATGGAGCTATCCAGCCAAGAACAAAAAGCTAATGCGCCTCAAGAACGAAGATCTCTTACAAACACCATTTACCTAATTCCTAACGCGTCTCCCGCGCAGCATCATGATACCGGTCACTGAACAGGGCCCCGACTCGTCATTTATGAATGGCGTGGGTAACAATTCAGAGGCTCTAGGGATCAGCGCAGTTATTTTCATGTCCATCGCACTATACAATGCTCTCGAATTAATGATCCTCATCCCACTGAACTTCAAACGATACCGCAGTCTATACTTCTGGGCACTCATCACCTCTACCGTTCTCGGAGTAATCCCCGACTGCCTCGGTTCAGCCTTTCAATTCTTCAACCTAACACCACTATGGCTCAGTATCCTTTTATCCAATATCGGATTCGTCTTCATGGTCCCAAACCAATCAGTCGTGCTATACTCGCGGCTCCACCTAGTCTCCCAGAATACATCGCGGCTAGTCATAGTACGCTGGCTAATCATAATCAGCACACCACTGATCGTCAGTCCAACCATCATCACGAACTGCGGTGCAAGCTTACTACCACAAAATAAATCGTGGTCCCATGGATTCGATGTCATCGAGAAACTACAGATAACTTGGTTCACGTTTCAAGAAATGTTTATATCCTCGGTTTATATCTGGGATACCGTTCGGATTATTCGTCTAGGTTTTGATGGTGATAATAGTAAGCGACGGCATAAGATTCTATACGAATTACTTGCTGTGAATGTTGTGGCAATTATTATGGATATCGCATTGCTGGTACTAGAATATTTGGGATACTATTTTGCTCAAGTCTTATTCAAGGCTTCAGTCTATAGTATCAAGTTGAAGCTGGAGTTTGCGGTATTGGGAATGTTGGTTTCCCTCGTTCATACACGAGCTGGCTCGACAGCGACGTGGCAAGCGGATTTGACTTCATCGACTGGATTTTCCTAGGTAGAAGAATATGAAATGTGTAAATAAGTACTGGGCTGCTACCAATAGACCTTCAAAAGACAATTTTGATGCATAATAATCTAATGAATCTTCCCATGTAGACGGTTTAGTAGAACGCAGAGAGATAGGAACAGCGCCGTCCTCAACAGTCGCATTCCATAACAAGGAATAGTAAACGTCATCGCCTTGAGAGACCTCGCGAACATAAAAGTTAGAAGAAATGTCCCCATTATCCGACTTCATCATAAGCCACTGTCCATAGAGAAAGAAATGCATCGGTCTTCTCGTCATACATTTCCTCAGAGCTAAAGTCCATTTGATGATCGGAAACTGTTAGGATTTTCTCTCTGCCATACTACAACTCAAGCGAGCCAGTTACATTAGGAGAGAATTCTCGGAGCCTGTTCCGGTGGAAGATGAATGGCACTTCGATGCAGGCTTACTGGAACAATTCAACTCTACTTCAAATTTGGAATAATGATACGTCTTTTACCAAAGAGAGCGGAGTAATTGAATTACCCCCGAGCAAATGAATGGTCCTATGTCGTTACTGAAACATTTCATTCTGTCCCGCACTCAATTCATCTGCACGAACATGACTTCTTAATTTTGGCTCAAGGTACTAGGACTTATAGTTCCTCAGATATAAAGACATTGACTAATATTCCTCGTCGCGATATGGCTATGCTTCCTGGATCGGGGTGTTGGGTTGTTGGGTTCAAAACTGATAACCCGGGTGCATGGCTTATGCATTGTCATATTGGTTGGCATACTGATGAAGTTTTTGCGATTCACTTTCTGGAGCCCTATGGGGAGGCTCGAGGGCTGGTTGACTATAACTCCTTACATTCTACTTGTAAAGCATGGATTGAGTATGTAAATAAGAGTGGCGTCGAGGAATAGGATGATGGCATTTGATTTTCAAGTTTTTATGTACTCATCTAGACATAGATCAAACCTACAGATACCAAAATACCTAAGAAGGGGGAAAGAGTGTGCTCGCAGCCGAGCAAAGTTGAAACAGGATATATGATAATATACGACATGGGGAGCCCTGGAGTTCGAAATGAATAAAAAGGGAACACATCAAATATCTACCAATTGTCATTCATGCAGTGTGTATCTCATGCTAATTCAAGGGTATAAACAGAAAAAGAAAAATCATAGGCTTTCCAATAGAAAGGCCGCAAATGCCATAAGCAAAACACAGTCGTAATTCATCATCAACTGATCGATCGCTCTTCAACCCAAACCTGCGATATAATTAGTATCTTTGGCTCGTTGGTGGATAAGGAAAGGTAAAATAAACCAAATAAAGTAACTTACCTCCATCTTGCCCATTTCACTTCCTTCTCGTCGAGCAACTTCTTTGGCGGTACTGAGTAGCAGATCCAGGTCTTCCTGGTCCACCATAGTAATCATGTCGCCATCATCTTGCACCTTGATCTTCAGTGGGTTTTGAAACCCAAATTTCTCTCGAATTCGAGTTTCAAATTCAGTAAATTCGATAGTTGGTCCAATAATAATATACCGGATATCATCTGGGGCGTGGACCTTTGTTCGGAATTTTCGCACTTCTGGTCGTCTCGAGTTTGCACGTCGCGAGAAGCGCGCTGGGGAGCGAGTTCGGCGTTGTCGACTGGGAGAGTCACCGCCATTCGGATCATTGTCTATGATGTCAAATCCACCTTCTCCAGCGTTCTCTGCATCACAGGTGTCACTGCCATATTCTTCTTCTTCGTTGATGAGCTGCGGGGGTTGGTATCGACTTGAGCGACCATAGCCTGAGTTGTGAAGGGGTCGGGAGTTTGAGTATGCTTCGCGGGGATCGGGGTGACCATAATCGTTATTAGGCGAAAAGTCGGATTCACTTTGATTCCGGCGGTGCGCCTCTGATTGTTGGGACCAAGCACGGCTTGGCTCCGGTGCAACTCCACGCATGTTCTGTTGCCGCGATGGCGGGCCACGAGGCTCTGATGCTGTCCGTATGGTCCCAAGCCGAGGCTTTTCGGTAGCCCCTGGTATCAGTGGGGCTGGTACAAGTGGCTGTGATGAGGCAATATCTGGAGCACTAGGTCGACGATCTAAACTAGCACCCGTTCGCTCCAAGTCCAATCGTGGAGGTCGAGCACTGCGAAGCGAAGCAGTTCGTTGGTGTCCCTGGTTACCTGATGTGGATCCATTGGCGTTGGACCAGTCATCGGCAGGAGGCGTTGGGGGAAATACGTCGCGATTCAATGGTGGTTCTGATTGCTGACGAGTGCGACTGCTCAGATTCTTGTGGACCAAGTTCGTGGCAGCGTAGGACATTCCTTCTCGGTCTTCAAATACAGTCTTATCAATGACGACTGGCCTCCACTGATGCTCTGACCCTTGGTTTCGGTCTGATTGAGCCACAAGACGGGATTTGCCCAGATAATCCTTCGCTTTGAGGTTCTTTACTTTGGCTGCATTGGGGCGATATAGTGTCCCCACGGGAATCGAGAATACTGTATACCCCTGTTCAACAATTAGCAAAATGTTAAGAAATATTCGAACTGGCAATACATACATCTGCGTTCTCCCGTATAGCATCATCGATAACCTCATGATCTTCGGTAACCTTCTCTTTGGCTGCGAAATGCAAGTCTTTCATGCCCGGTTCGAATTGTTGCAGATAGACATAGCATAAACCTCTGTTGAACAGCACCTCGCATGAGAATAATCGGAACTTAAGGCCGAGTTGTTCGTAATCAATAGAAGTATTACCCCGAAGGTACAACAATGTGTCGTTAAAATTTGCCAGTGCCTCCTCGAAGTCGCCTAATAAAAAGTTGGAAACTCCTTGTTGAAAGTAAGCGATGGCGAGATACCGATCCAGACCAACTGCCCGTTGATAAGAATCAACCTATGGAGTAGAAGGTTAACAACTGGTGCAAATTCGGATCGAATATTGCTTCAATCAACATACTGCCTTATCGTGCTCGCCTAGAGTCGCATATATCACTCCACAGTTAAATAGAATCTTAGAAGTGTCGGGAATTTCTTCAAAGAGCCGTAATGCTTCTTCAAACTCATGGTTATCATAGGCATCGAGGGCAGCAACCCAACTTTCGATTTCCTGCATATTATTAGCGCCAGCCGCAATAAGAAGTTATATTCCTGCAGTCCCTTACTTGTTTCATTGACATTTTGCCAAAATAGTCCAGGTAATCTGCTGGAAAATGGCAACTCCCTGTTTGGGTGAATCGTGGGGTTAGGCGTAACTAAATGTCGTTTCCCACCCAACCTGTTCAGATGGCACACAAAAGGTTATATTCTAGTGTGTACACCGCTGATCGGCTGCGGGGCGGGAAAAATCACACTTTGGCGGGGTCTTCAGCAAAGTCCACCGTTGACATCTGAGGTGAGCTCTGAACTACTATTATAATCCGTCAAGCCAATTGGCACAAAATCCCGATATGACAGTATTAAGCGTCCAAGCTTTCAGAAATGATGCCAAGACTAGTCACACAGGATTCTTCGAAGGGACAAGCTGCAGGACGGCTTGATAGCGGGTCAGGGGTCTAATTGTGAACCCTCGATGGGATGCGATAGGATACGATAGGTCGCGGTAATTTGCGATAGGTCTCGTATACGGATAATCAATGAGGTTGGAATCCAAATCATACGCTATTGTAAGCCCGTGTGGCCTGGCCCACGAGGGGGAACCAAGGAAATGGATAGTCGAAAATGTATTTATAGAATCACGCGATCCAACGATACTTTCTCAGAAGGTCCGGTGGCTTACCAAAGTAAGTACCAAGATCGCCGACGTGTGGTTGAGGATGGATGGAGGTGGTGTGGTCTTTCACCTCCGATCGCGGTGGATGGAGCACCCAGGTTGCGAACGCCGCGAAGTGGGTATCCCAACAACCTGGAAGCGCCCCATGAGGCGTATGGGGCAGAACGTGGGACAGGGGCAAGTGAGAACCGGCGAAAAGGGGGGGGAAGAGCAAAAGGGAGGAAGAGTTTCCAGACACCGAGACAAAGAAGCGAGCGAAAAAGAAAAAATAGAAAAATAGAAAACTCAGAATCCCACGATAATGCCGGAAGCTGCAGAGGGGCTGCACCGAGGGGCAGGGATACCTAACGCAAAGCTACTAGAACGGCTAACTAGCCCGAGGGGGGAAGCGCCGAAGAGTGATGGACCAAAAATAACTTGCGTTGCACCTGCAGGAAATTTATGCACGTTCGGATCAATCAGATTTGAGAGTCGCCAATTTCCTGGTCGATGTCTGTGAGTGGGTAATTATATGATCTTTTTCATCGGCTGCCGTGCATTGATTGTCGAAGAGAGAGAGTTGTCTCCACAAGGCATATCTGTGTATGACACTATACAAGACTGAGGTATTAAAGTTGAAGCAGGATAAATAAACATCCCTGTCTAGTCCCCTGAACGATCTCCACTCAACAGTTTTCCAGTACCACGGGTGAGAAATCAGGGTCCCTGTTACACAATTGAGCTTCCATGTTGATGGAGTTGGTAGAGTTGGCAGAGAAGGAGAATGGCACTTTGCCCTTTTTCTTCCTATGATTGGTGCTGCGTCTCAAATCTTCATTTCCACCATGAAGAGGGGGTCGGGGATAAACTGTGGGACCGGGACCCATCACAAGGGAACGACGTTTAGGACGACAGGGTTGGTGGTTGGATCGAGCGAACGGGCCGCGAGGATCCATGCCCTCCCCGAATTTCCGTGCGGGGACCGGAAGAATGTGCGTCCAGATCGACCATTTGTGCTTCTGCAGCGTCAAGCCTTCTCATTGGTTTAAGGCCCACTTGGTGCAGTCGCCACGGCGCTTCGAGTGCTTTATTTAGTGACCAGCATTCATGATCTTGTGGGGAATTTGATTCCCTCTCGCTCCTGAGATACTCTTTCGGGGAAAGGCAAAAGCCACTAATGGAGCGATAACGACTTTGGAAGAACGGTACCGGTCGGTGAGACTCCGTGAATGGAGAAATTTGAATGTGGCGGAAGTTAATCTCGAATTTGGGCGTGATTCTCATGTAGGAGAGGTAAGGTTGAAGCTGTCGAGAAGCTCCCTCTCGGATCACCTGATCCCACCCACAGCGCCGGGTCAAACTACAACAACGCGATTTGGGACTTTTCAATCCCTGTCAGTTTACAAGGTTGAAGCTAATGTTGGGAAATCACTCGCTTGGGCGGATACCGGGTATAAATATAGATGTGTGCTATTTTTATTTAAACGAAACTACTATGTCACTGTTAGAATATCTAGAAGAATGTTTCCATTGGGACCCACCAAGAGGTGCATATATACTCCGCTCGAACCTTGGAAGAGAGTAGTAGTGTGCATACTAGTAGATCATCCATCTCAGGCCACTGCAGGTCTTTATCATAAGGCAGAGACGGCATATCAATGGGCGCTAGTAGTAGTTTTTGCATGTACAAGTGCGCCGGCAGGTGGAGTTATCAGAACACATGAACATAAGTATATGCGGGTGGCTGGCTTCTATTTCAGGCCCTGTAAGTTTCCTATATTCACTGATTGTTCAAACTCCAGGGCTCCACACTTGCATACTTCTTTCGAGGCCCTGAAAGTGAACTAATATGACTTTAGTTTGAAAGAATGACGACGATGACAGGATTCCATGTAATCTAACCTCTTTACCTTGGCAGTGGTGGGTCACTCATTTTAACAAATGCATATAATTCGAGGCTATATATAAACATAGAAATGAGCGACATATCATCCCACATGACAACCTGGAAAGATTAGTGCGTTTAGTACCGACGATTTGCTCCAAGGTTGGGCTACCTGATGCTCAAATGGAGCATAGACCTCCCGGAGCCCGGCGACTCCGAGTCGCGGCATTCAACTCTTGAACTTATTATCCCACATGCATATTTACCTGAATGTGTTACTGCTTCGCTCAATACGATAGCGGCGATCCAGTCCGATGTGGTGGAGTCTTCAAGAGTCGACGCCGCGTTTCAACATTACCATATATGCTCCAGCATGAGGGCTGCTTGCACCTATTATTCCTCCACTGTCCTGTTCAAGTTTCTGTTTCTTTAACACACTGTTGTCGCGTATGCTTACATGATTGACCTCTTTTCTCGGGGGACTTTCCTTATTGTGTTCATCCTAACTGGCAGGTTAGGATAGTAAGTGTAAGGAACATCGGGTAGGAAGAAGCCGGATGCTACTACTAGTAGGCCCACAATAAGTCAATCACATTTCGGAATAAAGCCTTGGAATGCTTCTGCGGTATTTTTAGTGCAACATCATAGGCCACGGGATATTTCAGGTACAGATTACACCCCGCAGTGTTTTGACATTGTTTAAAAGGTTGATGGTCTTGTAGATCCCATGGAAGAATATGTTGTATGCTCGATTGAGCAAATGGGTCACAAACTTGGAAGCAGACGTGACTAGTTCCGGAAGAGTATGAGCCCCGAGATTATTCAAAAGCGAATTTGGAAGCTATGCAGGAAAAGCCATTGGCTTGGAAATATGCAGTTGCAATTCCTGGAGGTGCGCAAGAGCCAATGGATGACACGCACAAATGCAGATATTCCGTTTCCAATTCCTGCCAGTGGAGGTCATCCCATTGAGCACAGGAGACTATATATAGCGTTCGGCGGGAAAAGCTCACATGGTGCCAGTGCGTATATTAATATTGATTTGTACTGACTAGTAGTAGTACTCCCTTATCTTTACAGCAAAATTTGAATACATAGTATACTACTACTACTACTACTACTCCTACTCCTACTACACTTTAGGTAGCATGTAGATACTAGCACTGGGTTGAACAAAACTTTGGAAGTAGAAAAAACAATTATAAGTTTGTGCTTCATAAATATTGAAAATATATGCTAAAGTAGTAGAATGAAAAGTCAATTTAGCCATGATATGGAATCGGAATCATAATCCGAGTAAACTTTGAAGTTGTGTATACTAGTATGTAGGCACACTAGTACTTGCCCTACATGGTCATGAACAATGCGTAGCAATCTCGGGTCGTAGTTTCCTACATTCGCATACTTTGTGAGCTCCATCATGAAACTTGAAGTTATCCCTCACAGATTCTCTACACACAGATGCAACCTACACGATATTCGACCCGCCTGAAATGCCTGCTAAAGTCTCTTCCCACCTTAGCGAAGATAGGAAAACGAAAATCGAGACCCTCCGCAAACGATCGATCAACCTCTCCCGACAATTCGTTAACTCACCATCCTCCCGCTCTGTATCAGACTTCCTTGATGAGAAGAGTATGATTTTTAACTGCGATATCGAATACATTCAAAATGGAACAACAGAGTTGCAAGTAGTTCGGAAACATGGATTGTATGAATTGGAATTCGGCAATGCCATGCAGTCTTTTCCGGATGGTTGGGCGACTATCCAGCGAGAGCTAAACTTACCAAAAGAAAGACCGCACAAGTCCACATTGACCACCCTTGCTCGGAATGTTTCCGGATTCAAACTTCCTCCTTCGGCTACGGAAGAATCGAAGTTTATGGATGAAGCCTATTTATGTGTCACTTCTGTCGCCGGTCTCATTGTGGGTTATAAAAAATGATGTAAAGGGAACGGTGTCGGGCCTCTGAAGATGATACCAGTGAGGAGGATAGTGCCTGCTGAGGTAGGAGAGGATTTCCCAGACTTTGAAGATGTATTGGAGTTTATGCAATACCTATTTATGCTAAGATTCATATTTTATTCTTTTTTATCTCATTTGTTTTCGCTAGTGCCAATAAAAGTTCTTTTCATGAGAAAGTAATATTCTCTAGCAGTGCGGGCCTTTTCACTTGACCAAATCAACATCTGTATAGTATCCATCTGCCGCCTGCCAGTGTGTATTGAAACAAATAGGAGTCTGAGTTTGATATATTCCCATTTTGGTCAGGGCCCATCATCTTACATGTAGAGTCGTAGCTTGAAAAGACGTAGAAGTAGACATCTCCAGGGCTGAGGTTGACACATATGAAGATACAGGTTGAAGACTAAATAGTTAATTAGTTGATCACAGTTTATTGGCCTCAGGCATCAAGTGGAGCCATGACGCTTTATAATCGGCGGCTCAAGAGGGCGGTGAAGAATTCTGCAGCAATGACCCGATTCCCGATAAGGCGGATTAAGGCAAAAGTGAAGGAGTCAGAATCCATATTTCACATTCATTTGTTGCCTATGTCTACGGTAAAGGGAGAAAAGTGAGCGGTCGAGTCACTATGCTTGGATCCGCTCAATATCTTTGAGTGAAATATAACTTCTTGCCCTGGCCAGAAGTATCCCTTCCTTTCTTTCACTTTCAAGCATTTGATCGCAATGCCTTCCCCAAGCGCTTCTCCCTCGCCTGCCCCACGGGTCGCCACGGAAGCAGCGCACCTACAGGGGCTCAATGTTGATGTCCAGAACCAGCAGGACTTAGAGAGAGACTTGGCTCAAAAGGTGAGTTTGCCCTTACCTTCACCCCAGGTCAATACTGAATGTTTCTAGGCGGACAAGCTATTGGCCGAGAAGGCGGAGGAAAATGAGACTAAACGCCTCGAGAAAGCGCTTGGTGAAAAAGAGTAAGTTTCCATCCTGCATCTCCACTCCAGTCGAAACATCCTAACATCCATGTAGTAAGGTTGACTCGCAGATTCGTCAAACCGAACGGCGGTTGGCCCAACCCGTTGGCGCCGCCACCCAGCACCGTCTTGAGATCGAGCTTAAACGACTCAAGTCTCGACGGACAGAGTTGACCCGAGATGTAGTTGAAATTCAAGAACGAATTGATAATCAACGAGAAGCCCAGGAAACGGCATCCTCCAGTCATGGCCCCGGCAAGCTCCCGAACGAGTCTCGACGCGAATACCTCCTGCGAACCGGAAAGATCACACCTTTTGACCCCATGAATAGCGCTACATCGGAAGGACCAGCTGCCGCTTTACATGACGCATTCCTCGGCGCAGAAGATGAGCAGCGAGAGGAGGAAGAGCGGGAGCGAGTCCGTCATGATGCATCCCACCGCAACCTTGCTCGTCCTGGCCTTGGCTTTGAACATAGGATTCTACATTATGGCAGTGCAAAGCGTCGCAAGCGTGATGCTCGGCCCTTATCTTCCGAATCGACCCCTGAAACAACTCCAGAGCGCCCGAAGAATCGCAAGACCCGAGTCCGAGCCCCAACCTCCCCCGCATCTTCTGCAAGTTACGTTGCATCCGATGATGCTAGCTCAGTGTCTGATTACATGCCCGATATACTTCCGGAGGAAAAGCCGACCGGAAAGCGCAAGAGGGTTGGAGATACAAGTTTGACGGACGAAACCGAAGCTGAAGATCTCAGTGGCGTTGACGATGGCAACGAGTCTATCTACCGGGAGCGGTTGAACACGTGGACTCAAAATCGTAGCGCTGCTCGTAGACACGAAGGGACCGGCGAAGAAGAGAATGGAGAGGAACCGGAATGGCGCAAACCGCACCCATCATTTCCAGATCTGGACCTTCCTAATGGCCTGAGTGTTCCCGGAGATATTGCACAGTACCTTTTCTCATACCAGAAAACGGGCGTGCAGTGGCTTTGGGAACTTCACCAGCAGTCTGTCGGAGGTATTGTTGGCGATGAGATGGGATTGGGAAAGACGATCCAGGCAATTACCTATCTTGCCTCCCTTCATCATAGCGGAATGTACGCGAAACCTACAATTGTTGTCTGCCCAGCCACGCTCATGAAGCAATGGGTCACTGAGTTCCATAATTGGTGGCCCCCACTACGTGTATCGATTTTACATTCGTCTGGAAGTGGCATGTTGAATATTAAGAAAGAAAACAACCGCGAAGATATGCTAGCATCAGAGATGATGGGAGCTTCCAGCCGATGGCTCTCATCTGGCCAGAAGGCAGCTAAGAAGGTCTTGAAGCGCGTTGTTGAGGAGGGTCATGTTTTAGTGACAACCTACTCGGGGTTACAGTCATACGCGGATGCGCTTGTTGATGTTGAGTGGGGATGTGCAATCCTTGATGAAGGTCACAAAATTCGCAATCCTGATGCTGGCATCACTTTTAGTTGCAAGGAGCTACGTACGCCACATCGTATCATTCTGTCTGGAACCCCCATTCAAAACAGTCTGATTGACCTTTGGTCGCTCTTCGACTTTGTCTTTCCTATGCGCCTCGGAACCCTTGTCACTTTTAAAAGTCAATTCGAGATCCCTATCAGGCAAGGTGGATATGCATCCGCATCCAATTTGCAGGTTCAAACCGCCGCGAAATGTGCCGAGACGTTGAAGAATGCCATCAGTCCTTACCTTCTTCAACGGTTCAAGACAGATGTTGCCTCCGATTTACCAAAGAAGACAGAGCAGGTTATATTTTGCAAACTCACGCAATACCAGCGTAGACTTTACAAGGACTACCTTGGATCAGAAGACGTTAAATCAATTTACAAAGGGAAAAAGAAATCATTCTCAGGCATTGATATCCTTCGAAAGATTTGCAATCATCCAGACCTTGCGGACCGGCACCTTGGCGTCCACGAAGCAGATTATGGCAATTTGGACCGGTCGGGTAAAATGCAAGTTTTGAAGAGCTTGTTAGAGCTTTGGAAGGATACGGGACACAAGACTTTGCTTTTTGCCCAAACAGTCCAGATGCTGGACATCCTAGAAAAGTTCGTTCGCTCCCTTGGTGGGTTCGCTATTCGCCGTATGGATGGAGGAACGCCAATTCCCAAGCGCCACGGCATGGTAACTGAATTCAACGTCGACCCTGACCTCCATGTTTTCCTTCTGACCACGAAAGTGGGAGGCATTGGTATTAATCTTACTGGTGCTGACCGAGTCATTATATTCGACCCCGACTGGAATCCATCAACTGATATTCAGGCCTGCGAGCGCGCATGGCGCCTTGGACAGAAGCGTGATGTGACTATCTTTCGGCTCATGATGAAAGGTACCATTGAAGAGAAGATCTATCATCGCCAGATTTTCAAACAGTTTATGACCAATAAAATCACCAAGGATCCGCAGCAACGGGAAAACTTCCAACTCCAAGCTCTATATGATCTTTTCACGCTCACAGAAGAAGAAGACGGCGAGCTAGAAACAACCAAACTTTTCAAAAATGCAGAAGTCACATATCAAGAACCGGAGAAGGAGACTTCTTCTTCTAAATTTGCGATTAGGAAGAGTCGCCGGAATAGCCATTCTGGATCTAAACCACCGGGCCTCATTACTCCCAATATCAAGACTGAAGATCAATCCGATGACCTTGGCACAGTTTCTGGCATTGCTAATGTCGAACAATTCAGAGGTGGCGCGCGTAATGAAACAGAGATAGATGGCGAGGACGCCACAAGGGACGCGGACACCAACCAGAATGGAACTGGTGAAGATCGACTTATGCACAGCATCTTTTCTCGCTCAGGTGTTCACGCTGCCCTGGAACATGACCAAATCATAAATGGAAAGCGTGTCATCAAAGCCGACCCCAAGATGGTTGAAGCCGAAGCTCGCCGTTTTGCAGACGCGGCTGCTGCCAACCTCGTTAAAGCTGAGGAAACCGCCCGTTCTGTCCCCATCGGGCTTCCCACCTGGACTGGTCAATTTGGTATGGCTGGTCGAGATACTGGTGGAAGCTCAGCACGGCGTGGTCGAGGTGGGCCATCCTCTGCGGATCTCCTTACAAGGCTTAACCCTGGTGCCGCAAGTGCCACCCAACGAAATAGCCCTGCTCCTAGTACAGGTCGTATGCCCCGAGGCGAGGAATTTATTCCATTGATCAAAGAATTCTTCCGGTCGCGCCGTGGACCCGTATTGTCACAAGTGATCATTGACCACTTTAATCACTATTGTCCAACTGAACAACGCCAGAAAGAATTCTACGACATCGTGAAAGACGTGGCTAAGCTTGATAAGGATTCTCGAGGTCGTGGCGTATGGAGTCTGAAACCTGAAGCTGCGGCAAGAAGAAGGGCAATTTGAATCTCTGAAACTCCAAATGTTCATTCTTGTTGAGCGTTCGCTATTTGGATTTCCATTCAAATTTGCCCCAGCCACTGGATTGCACCATAGACACCGTTTGTATGATACTGAAAAGAGATGTATGAAGTTACGACTGAGAAGACTTATGACAAACAACCAAGACAATCAAATACAAAGAAACACGTCCAGCACAGGCGTACTTGGAGTACATAATTGCGATATCTCCTTATGCTCAAATCAAACCCCCGATCGTAAATGCCGACCCCGAGATCTACATCTCGTCACCCCCACGGTCTAGTGCCACATCCGATGTGGTCGAAAGTGGTCCCGAGTGAGGGGAAATTAAATCAAATGAATAAAACCAATGTTATATACAGATCAAATCTGCACGAATTCTCGAAATTACAACATATTCCACATCTACCATTGAATCCATACAATACGCAAAGTCTATCACAATGGCAGACCCAACCCAAACACCCAAAAACCTTCGCCCCCTAAACCGCTTCATAACAACCCACGATTCGTCTGGAAAAGCAATCTTCTCCTCCCACCTCTCCGAAGAAATGCCAGTCCAATCCATGCCAGACAGCGCAGACTTCAGTCTAGCATATACATCCTCCCACTTCCCGGCCCAACTAAATAACTCCACCGATCTAGCCGAATACGCCTCCTACCTCTCAACTCCACCCGGAATCACCATTTCTACCGGAAACGTCTGCCGAATCGTCGACATTCGACCTGGTGCCGAGAGTCCGATGCACCGCACCGTGTCTTTGGATTATGGCGTCGTGCTAGAGGGCGAGATTGAGCTTGTCTTAGACTCGGGCGAGACGAGATTGTTGAAGCGTGGTGATGTTGCTGTGCAAAGGGGAACGAATCATGCTTGGAAGAATGTTACGCCTGACGTTGTTGATGATGTGTCTGGTGTTAAGACGCCGCAGTGGGCGAGGATGTTGTATGTGCTTTCTCCGGCTGAGGAGATTTTGATTGATGGGGGGAAGAGGCTTGGGGAGGTTGTTGATGGGATTGGTGTTCGTGCTAGTACTTAAATTGATGTGGTTCCTAGATTGTAAATAAAGGAAATATGAGTCTTTGAACGTGGAAATCATACATCTAAGATGTCCAAGTTGTATAAATGTGAAAATTCTCTCGAGATTGATGCCATTTCTTGTATAGATATACTACCACTCTCCTCCGACCTCATAATGAAAGACCTTATCGTTGATTCGCCCTCCAGTAAATCTCCATAGTCGTGAAACAGCCTATTTAACACATTAGTTCTTCTTCCTCCTTACTTATCGACAACCCATTAATCATACGTACCGCGTTGAGCCACACCCCATGCAACATGACTTGAATAAACGCATACTCAGCACCATCAGTCCCGGCCGGTCGCTCCAGATAACTCAGATTGGGATTGATAGGTCGATACGCAGGCATACGACGATGATCCGTCGGCCAGTTTGCAGGTTGATCCGAGACACCACTTGTCACAGGTTCAGGTGCTACAGACGTAGGTTGTTCCTCGCTATGATGCACTTCATAGTCAGCCAGGACCGAAACCGTGGCAGTAGTAGTGGTAGTAGTGATTGACATGATAGATTTGAGGATTGAAACAATTTCCTTTAACATTGGAGAAAGAAATGGAGATCAGATTATTAATTATCAATTATTCCTAAGCCGGAGAGTCTGGGGGAATCCGAGATAAGATTCTCTTTCTTTTCTTGTTGACGTTGTCCACGTCCGCTTTCTCCCCCACATCCCGACAGAGCAACCATCAGCCTCGGATTTAAGCTACAGCTCCATCTCCGAGGGAAATGCGGAGGATGATGAAAGAAAAAGTGGGCGCATTGCTATATTATATAATATAAGCATGACCTTGTCTGTTCTACCTTTACCATTTGATCGCGCTCGTTACCTATCTCTTCCTTAACTTTTCGCAAGTTGCACAATCATGGATCTCACACGTATCCTATCAGCTAACATTGACGGGCGCACCCAAAATACTCGATACCGCCAGTCACAGTTTCAGCGCCTACAAGGTGCGCTCGTGAAGCATATTGCCGAGATACAAGATGCCATCCGTTCAGATTCGGGACATACTCAGCAAGAGATCCGAGCCGAGGTAGTGCTGGCATTGCAGGAACTCAGGACGCACTATACATCATTGAATCTTGCGAAGGATTTAGAAGTTGAATACCGAGTTGCTGAGGGTAAGGATAGCCCAGATGCTACGCGCGGTACAGGGATCGTGTATATCGTACCATGTGTGCATACGCTGTTCTTCTCAGTCATCTCGGCATTGACTGCTGCTCTCGCCGCTGGAAATTGCATTGTGCTCGAGGTAAGAAGATTCCCATTTACGAAAGTGACATGGGATGACATGAAAGCTAAATGTATAACATCAACACAGCTTCCACAAACAACAATGGCATTACCTGTTCTTCTGCGCAAGATACTAACCGACGCACTGGACCATGACACCTTCGCAATTACAACCGAGCGACCAGACAGCTCATTCCTGAACAAAGCGCTGATCGTTACACAAACCTCTACCGAAATACCAAATGCGCAAGCATCACCATCAACATCCAGAACCGTCGCTGTAGTCGATCGCACCGCAAAAGTGACAGATGCCGCGCAGGCACTCGTCGCCGCACGTTTCGCGCTAGGTGGACGATCGCCCTACTCACCAGACGTGGTACTCGTGAATGAATTTGTGATGAAACCATTCGTCGAAGCAGTTATTCAACATGCCTCCAGGTATCTCGGTGGCGAGAATGGCGAGGCGCGACAATCTCCTAACCCATCTCGACGATCACCGTTACTAGAGTCTATTCAGAAGACAAGGAGCGACCGAGTCCTTGTTTCGGGAAGTAATTGGGGTGTTGTAGAGGTCCAAGATAGGAACTCCCCTCTGCTTCAGAAGAAGATTGATGAGAAGGTCTTGCTTGTACACCCTATTACTAGCTTGGATGATGCTATTGATATGAATTTGTAAGTTTCTTACCCTGATCCTCCAATTACGACAAAGACAAAGACAATTGCTAATGAAAAACAGCAACAAGAAACTGGCAGCAGCGTATGCATTCGCAGCGCCGGCATCAGCGAAGTACTTGACACAATTCATAGATGCCGACATCTCATGGGTGAATCATGTCCCAACCCATATGCTAAGTATGATTAGAACACCATTTATACATTGATATCGATCATCAACTAATAAAAAATAGTCGGTCCCGCCCTTGTCCGAAACGCACCATATAGTGCGAAAACGCGCTACGCAAAATCACAATTCCAACTATCACGCCCGCAACTGATTACAGCGCCAACTCAATCGCATTCTACCCAGACTATTCTTGAGAATATCAATACCGTCAAGTCAGATTCGCTGTGGCGTGAAGCGATTGCTCCACTTCCGTCGACTAATCAAAGACCAGGACATAAGATCGGATTCTTTGAACAGGGTATTATTACTGGTGGATTGATCACGCTGGCATCTTTGATAGCAACAGCGTCTACCCTGGGCTACTATACTTGGGTTTTCGTGCGGAACAGATAGTTCGAGAGCCGCTTGTACATGTAGCCTAGTTTCATTCGAATCTTAATCAGTTCAGAATACCAATTCAATTTCATCAAAAGTCACCATAGGGATGAAGGATCGATCGATTGTATGGATGATCATGGGTAAAGCCGACGTCCCTGCTATACCCATGAACTGAGCTATTGGAATACCAAATTTCATATTCAGGCCCAAAAGATTAAATGCTTTCAAACTTTCAACGCTGAAGCATAACAACTAGCAAAGAAAACAATTATCGTGGCTATGTACTATAGATCCATAAAATAAACAATTACAAACGCGCTCCCCCATTCGTCAATACCTCCCACTCCTTCTCACCAAAAGGCTGATAAGCGTTCTCACCAGGAGGAAGCCAAAAGATTTTATTACTAGCCCCATCAGGAACCTTAGTACCGATTAATGAAGGATCCACACCCTCGCTCCGCAGAGGCGCCTTATTCTGCTTATTATTGTGAATGTGAGTTGGGTTGTCAACCACGCGCAGGAAAACAGGGACCGCATATCGGGGTAGCTTCGAACGAGCAAAGCGGGCAAACTCTGCAAAGTCGAATTTTTGAAGTGCGTCTGGGTCAATCTGGAGAGCTGCGCAACCGGCTCGACCTTCGTGCTTGGGTACAAGAACACCGTATACATTGGCTTCGATGATACCTGGGAATCGACCGAGGGCTTCAGAGACCTCTGCCGTTGAGCTAAAGAGAGAAGAATTATCACGTTAGTGAATGGTAAACACGGATGTGTGACGGTGAAAGGCGAAGACTTACACATTCTCACTCTTCCAGCGGTATGTATCACCAAGTCTATCGACAAAGTACCAACGACCGTCACTTTCTCTTCGCAAAGCATCACCTGTGCGGTAGTAAAGATCCCCCTTCTTAAAAACATCACGCAAGAATTTTTTCTTCGTAGCTTCTTCGTTGTTCCGATATCCTTGGAAAGCCTGCTCGTTCGGGATGTTCACCAAGATCTCCCCACCTTCCTCCATAGTCTGACGAATAGCAAAGCCAGTCTTGCTATCACGAATAATATCCCCAGATTCAGGGTCAATCGCAGCAGGAACGTATGTATTTCGGAGTATTGTTCGCATCAACAGTCCATGGTGACCAACACACCCAGACGTATAAGGACCAAGGTTAACATTCAACAAACCAAAGACACCCTCGCTACTATTGAAGAACTCATAAATTGCTTCAATGCCGAATCGTTCACGGAAGCGATCCCAGATATCCGGACGAAGACCGTTGCCCCACATTCCACGTACTTTGTGGTTGCGATCATGGGGAGATGGCGGTGCTGACAGGAGGTAGCGAGCTGTTTCTCCCACATACACGAAAAGGGTAGACTCCGAGTCACGGATGTCCTTCCAGAAATTGCTAACGCTGAATTTAGGAGCCAGAGCGACACTGGTTCCTTGCACAAAGGCTGCTATGATAACAATCGCAGCTGTGCCGTGATACAACGGCATGCAGTTGTACCAGCGATCTCCATTCGGGCCGGGAGTATCACCGACAGGCGCAATTCGTTCCGTGAACCCAGCATATAGTCGAGCCATAGTAAAAGGGGTCGCTTTGGGCATTCCAGTTGTACCGGATGTGTAGAGGAGAATACCCGGGAAATCTGCGGCGACATTCATTGCTAGTTCCTTTGGCTGAGGAGTTGCCGGTAAACTGTGAATATGGGCTCGGAAAGAGTCATCCAACGTCGCGACCTTCATTCCAAGATCGGCCAAGGCAGCTTGAGATCCCTCAATATTAGCACGGCAGGTGGGATCCTCGTCCGCTAAAACGAGTTTCGCGTCGCTAGTTTTCAAACAGTGGACCAAGGCATCACCAGAAAGGTTGAAGTTGATTCCAGCTGGTGCGCATCCAATACTCCAAAGACCCAACCAGGCGCTCAGAAATTCTGCGCGGTTCTGGAGATACAGAGCCACAAGATCGCCCTTCCTTACACCTTCAGATAAAAAGTAATGCGCAAATTGGCATGCTTCTTCGTAAATTTCGCGATAGGTGTATGAACGTTCCCTAGTCCAAACGGCTACCGAGCCACCGTATTTCTTCACTGTCTGGACGAATTTAAACCAGCCATTGACGTCTCCTCGCGCAACTGAAATATCATTAGTATGACCCTTCTTCTCTGGCTGAATCAATTTCTAAACTTACCAGCACGCGCGGCTCCAGGCCGACTCCTAGAAATGGTCCAGATAGTTCGTGCATCTTTGAACAGGCTGTATTTCGCATTCAGATAAGCCGCTGTGGTCGCGCCACCCGCCAGGGCAGCTACAGTAGCACCTAAGAGCTGTCAGCTATAATTTTCAGTATATTGCGATTGAAGATAACCAACCAAGTTCCATTTGGAGTGAATAGTAGTGGAAATCGTGCAATCTGAAATTGGGACAGCAGAAACTGATAGGTAAAATTTATCAGACCACAACAGACGCAGTGACGTAGGTGGATCGGCCGAGGTACAAAGGAATCCAAAGAGAAGGAGTTGCTCGGTGATGATGCCAGTTATGCCCCCCTTTCCGCGATATGAAAATCCCAAGTCAACGATTTAGAGATGAAAAGAAGTCAGCAAATTTTATTTCAAAGAAGAAAAAACCACTGCCAAGCTGCCAAGTCCAGATGTGCAACAAAGATATGAGCTTAGCTGTGAACCGATACAAACATTCCTCGGCACAAAAGGAGCGGATCTGCGGGGCTCAACATAATTCATTCAAGCCGCGGCCCCCATAAAGGATCCATCTGAGGGGATAAATGGGATAAATGGGATAAATCTGCGAAATGGGTCCCTACGGAGTGCGTAATATTCTAAAGAGCCCGTGCCCGCGTCACCTCGGCTCATATTGTAATTTGCGCGCCATTGTGCATGGTTGATTCGTTCATAAAAATTAACCCCCCGCTTCGTATCTCGCATAAAGGGTATGTGGATCCACAACAATGTAAGCGCTTGGTTCAAATCTGGTAACCTTTGAGTTCTCTATCCGGAATGAGACTCTGATGGACCCCATACCCCTGTTCACCTTCCTTCCACTTCCATGCACAGTCACGATCAGGGCCGTTACTAACGCCACAAATAGCATTGGCCACATAACGACCTATTGTAGGAAGGAATTTCCAGCAATGAAAAGATCCTCCGACTGCCAGATACAGATTTGACAGCTGTCCATGCGGATGTCGTGTGATTAAGGGATGTTGTTCTGGTGTTATCGCATCCCAACACAATCGATAGTAATCGACCTGCCGATCATTTTCGAACAGCTGAGGTAAACGGCCCCTGATGGATTTGATCAACTCTTGACGTAGTTTCTCAGGGACGGCCCGTTGATCGGTCGGGGGTGGTACCGAGATGGTGTGGCCGCCGCTGGTCTGGACGCTATTTTTGAATGAGGCCGTATTGGTGAATTTAAGTAGGCCCGAAGCCGTTGGCGGAAAGGTTTCCCCTAATGGGTGGGTACCTGTATCAGATAAAGTTCCCCGATTAGATCTAGATCCATGGGGGTGTCATCTTACCTTCTTCACCATACACATATACAGGGAGCTGGTCATATGGCGTGCGTTCTGCATCCGATAACTGGAAATGCGCAACACATACGCCTGCAGCCGTAAGCTGACTTTCAATTCTACCCTTTTCGGAAATTTTGAGATCATCTTCAGTTGAAGACATCAGTTGGCTTGTCCATGCTCCTGTAGCTAGCACGATTTTCTTAGCGGTGTACAACTCGCCAGTACTTATCTGAACCCCCTTGACTCCATTTACATCCAGTATAAGACGACTGGCCTCGCCCACATGATATCGGACACCCAAGCGAATGGCCTCTTTTGCCATGATTTCCACAGCGGCACCGGCATCAGCCCACCCAGCAGACGGATTGAAGTAGTAAGAGTCAAAGGAACTCATATCTGCATCCTTCAGAACGCCGCCCCAGCTGCCGCGTATCTCGTCTTCGGTCATATCTCTCGTGGGGTCCGCGCGACCGCTCATCTTGAAGTTGTCGCGAATTTTGTCAACAACCTTGTCTCCACGTTCATTAAGCGCGATCCAACCGGACTGATGATAGACATCTGTATTTGCAAAAAGGGGGTCATTTTTCCAGGCATCGATCGCTTCAAATGCTAATTCCATATAGAGTGGGCTGGAATAATCTGCGCGTACAATTTTGTTGACATCCGTTGACGCCGCATCACCTGACGGTGGAGGGGCCCTGTCAAGAATTGCAATGCTAGATGGGTTTGAGGATTGTTTGGCTAAATGATAAGCTGTGCTTATACCGAATATGCCAGCTCCGACGATCAAGATCTCGAAGTCCATGTCGATGTTTAGCTGAAGGGGATTGGGGTGGGGATCTTAAAGGAGTGATGAGGGGAAATGAGTCAAGCATTTCGGAATTTCTACACTAAGTAAGTCTGTGCTAGGCTGATCTCTCCGCACTAACCAGACTGTCCCCTACATACTCCAATATATTTGAACCTAAGGAAAAATTTGAAAAACGGTGCAATAATGCTCGTACGTCACGGCGTAGAAGACAGAACAGCAGGAAATGCGGGGCGTGAGAGAGAAAAAAAGAAAAAGGAAAAGGCACAACAGGAATGAGGAGTTTTGAGCTGGTGAACGAAGGCGCTCCTGCTTCATTTCATCGGGATGGCTAAAAAGGCAGGCACGACCGTCTACTAGTAGGGATCGAACGTAGCCCTGGAGGTAACGTAATTATACGGATCATCTTTACCTAGTGGCAGGATCATAGATATATGAATCGATACACGTTTAAATGTGGGATTAAGTAAACAAATTAGGGGCTTCATCTAGATCACGATACATTGACGAGACTTGAATTTGGGTTCTTTCCCCTCAAGATACCACTGGTCTGCGAGCCATTGCTTCATGCAAGCACGATAGCGTTCTCCTTGCAAGTGAGAAACATTACGAAGAAACTTGTTCTGCTCTGATAAAACTCCAGAGACAGACTGACGTTCATGCGTATTCATTTCGAACCGGGCACGTGCGTCCACAATTTCACTAGATTCCACTGCTACTGATCTTTTTGAAAAGTTTTGGTGGCTCCTCTATCGACTATCCTCAGGCTCTAGGCCCGGTCCCAGATCTATCCACCGAGTCAGACACAAACAGATTTCATTCTCCTCGATCTCACGAAGCTCCAGCTTCCAGGACGTGCTACATTGGTCACACATCCCTTCACGAAGAAGTATATCAGCACGTTGTGTGCTATGTCGGTACTCCTGAAAAAGGTCATTGACAGTTGTGTAGAACCTACTTGTGAAATTTCCAATGTGGTTACAAATTTGGATATATTCGTCCTGGTTGCAAAGATCAAAAAGATTTTTTCGCTCGACTACCGCCAGATGCTGTATCCGTAGACATAAACCTGGAGGGTTTGCACAAGCACGGGCTTCAAAAGAATTCAATCCCGTTCGGTAAGAGGCAAACGGGCTTCCACTAGGTACCCTTTCTTTGTAGTAACGCCGAAGATAAATTGGTCGAAACAGGCACACATCAGTACGCGACAAAGACTCCGTAGCGATGCCAAAATCTGGGCCAAAGTAGAATCGTCTCATGGCAAGGTGAAGATGTACGAAGTGGAAGTTGAGAGGCGAAGGCGGAATGGTGATGAACTGCATGACATCGAGTCGCAGATAAAGATAAAGCTCTTCCTCCTTGAGCGTGTGTCGGTCGAAGCAACTTGGCAGGTCGAAGAATTGACTTGGTAAATCAATAAATCGCCAGAGGTGAAGTTTCCGACATCCGTAACAAGCATGGTATTGCGGTAGGTGGCGAGCAAGTCTGACTAGTAGCTTGAATCGCATTTGAGGGTTCATATCACGGAAACAGGAGGAGAGTGAGAAAAGTCGGCGGTTGCATAAAGCCAGACAAGAGACGTCCACGGCAGACAAAAAACTGGTCACCAGGAGTAGCAGCTCCATTGGTAGGGTGTGCAGCAGTATCCGCGCCATACTGTTCTCTCAAAATGGATCGCCTCATGGTTGAACAAGTCTCGCGGAGCCCACATCCAGTTCTGTGGAGAAGGTCGGTTTGCCGATGAATATTTCGAAGGGACTCATGACTCGTCATTGAGAGAAGGGGGAAGTTAATCTTGATTTGGGTTTGAAGGTTGCCGAAAGAAATAAGCCGATATAAACACGAGACAAAGTCGGCGATGGAAGTGATACCAATTCCACCCCGTCAGGGAGATATCAGTCTGGTGCGAATCCCGTAGAACCGTCAATAATATAACCGTATAATGATCTAGTACAGGCGATAAGAGATGAGAGATAAGCAACGGAGATAAGCGGCAGAATCTTGTTCTTTTGGGATAGCTTCACTGTGCTATTTAACTGTTCAATAATCAATACTATTTTGCGCTATACTTTCTGATAACAATGAATATATAAATAAGGTCTGAATTTAATCTTTTAGAGCGAGAGAGAGAGAGAGTAACAAAAAGATTCCGGCTATGTATCATCGCATTAATCTTTGTTGCTCTATCCCTGCGCTTAATCCCGCTCTTTGTTTTTGCCCACGGTGACGTGAGCGGAACTCCGACGCTAACCGAGCTCCCCGCATATACTCCGCATTGCGTACCGGCGAGCACCAAATAACTTTTCCAGCCATCAACCAATTTCCTCTTCCTCACAAACAAGATTGACTTGGCCAAAATGAGATCCAGAACCACAATGAGAGATTTACGCATGGTAAATCGTGGGCTAAGCGCCCGCTTACCATGGCGAATTGGCACTGCACAAAGATGGGGCAGCACAATCTCACAACGGCCAGGCTCTGATCGGTAGGACGACAGACGGCCCCTTTAAACAAGATGAGTTGAGCTAATATGTTGAGAACTCAGGGTGCATTTTCCCGGCGCCGTGAACAGCAAATTTACGACCGATATGTCTTTTATCAAGCCCTCCGATCTTCCTGCCATTCCCACTTACCGCGTTCTCGATTCCGATGGTGAATTAGTCGATAAGACAAGGGGACCTCCAGATGTCTCAGACACTGATGTCCTTACCTGGTACAAGAATATGCTCACTGTGAGCATAATGGACGTGGTAATGTTTGAGGCTCAGCGACAGGGACGCCTAAGTTTCTACATGGTAGGTGTTGAATAGGGAAGAGATTCAGTACCAGTCTAACGCAAGTAACAGGTTTCCGCAGGCGAGGAGGGTATTGCAGTTGGATCAGCTGCGGCATTGACCCCGGATGATGTAGTCTTCGCTCAATACCGAGAAGCTGGAGTTTTTCAACAACGTGGCTTTACTCTGAAGAACTTCATGAGCCAGCTATTTGCCAACTGTAACGATACAGGAAATGGCCGAAACATGCCAGTTCACTACGGGCAAAACTACCCTCGCATTGTGAGTATTCAGTTTACGTCTCAAAACCACCCACCCATCCACTTACGCCTATTCAGTACACAATATCTTCACCATTGGCTACTCAAATCCCCCAGGCATCTGGCGCAGCATACGCATTGAAGATCCAGGATCTCCAAAACCCTAACCAAGATCCTCGTGTAGTAGCCTGTTACTTCGGCGAGGGCGCCGCTAGCGAGGGTGATTTCCATGCAGCCCTGAACATAGCAGCCACCCGATCATGCCCCGTCATCTTCCTATGCCGAAACAACGGATATGCGATCTCAACACCGACTCTGGAGCAATATCGTGGAGACGGAATTGCCAGTCGAGGTGTCGGATATGGTATCGACACGATCCGTGTAGACGGAAACGATGTCTTCGCCGTCCACGAGGCTACGCAAGAAGCACGAAAGCGAGCACTAACCGGGTCTCCCGTCCTTATCGAAGCCATGAGCTACCGTGTCTCGCACCATAGTACTAGTGATGATAGCTTTGCCTATCGAGCACGAGTTGAAGTGGAAGACTGGAAGCGGCGCGATAACCCGATCACACGGTTACGCAAATGGCTCGAGAAAAGGGGGTTATGGAGTGAGGAGCAAGAGAAAGAAGCCCGTGACTCTCTTCGAAAGGCTGTGCTCAAGGAATTCGGAGAGGCTGAGAGGGAGAAGAAGCCACCTCTCCGGAATGCGTTTACGGATGTGTATGAAGATGTGACTGAAGAAGCACAGGAGCAAATGAAGGAGCTTCGGCGCATTTTGGAGGAATACCCAGAGGAATATGATTTAAGACCATACAAAGATGGGATAAACGGATTAGATTAAGATACGACAATCAATATCATTTTCTCACATGCATAATAATGTTCAGACTGCCTGAATAGGCCTAATATAGGCAAAAATGGGATCTCCACTTGGTTCGGGATAAATCCCACCGATGTCAAGGATTCCAATAACTTTCAAGTAATACAGAATTTATTCTCACTTGAGAAGTCTTCTTTAACAAATCTTCGCATGTGAAGTCCACAAAGAATTTTCCTACCTGTCTCCAAACTCACCACTTTCACCCGAAACCCCGCATTACCCCATCGCCGAAACAAACTACCAACCCGTCCTCAACGAACATCAAAATGGCAACACCAATCGTAGATTCCCACATCCACCTATTCCCAGCTTCGCATCTATCAACTTTAGCCTGGCATGGCCCCGACAGCCCCCTCGCATCACAGCACTCCATCGACGAATACCGAGCCGCAACATCATCCGTCCCAACGGACGCAGCTACAGCTACAAACGAAAATAAATACCTGCGCGGTATCATCTTCCTAGAAACAGATCGCATATCGTCTATCGCAGAAGAATCAACCAACAACTCGAACCCGGGATGGAAACACGCGCTGGATGAAGTTTCTCTCCTGACACGAATCGCACTTGGTGAACCCGTTGACGGCGAGGGCCATAAAGCCATTGATCGTGATCTATGTCTTGGTATAGTGCCGTGGGCACCTGTTCCCGGGGGTCCGACCGTATTGCAAAGCTATATGGACAAGGTGCAACAGCGAACGAAAACAGATGAAGTCTGGCACAAGGTGCGAGGAGTTCGATACCTTGTCCAGGATAAGCCAGGTGGAGTAATGCTTGAGCCTGGTTTCGTTGAGGGGCTGCGCTGGCTGGGGAAGAAAGGGTTAGCATTTGATTTGGGTGTTGATGCGCGACAGGGCGGACTTCATCAATTACGTGAAGCCGTGGAGATGATGAACAGGGTATACCGTGGAATGGAGGCAAATGATAAACAAGCAGTGACCATTGTGATCAGTGAGTTGGTGTTTCAACGAAATAAAGTGGTATCCCCTGACTGAAATTTTAGACCATCTCTGCAAACCTAATCTACGGATCTCTGTCGAGTCAACACTGACGCACGTGGATTTCCTCGAATGGAAAGACATGATCACTCAGATGGCACGCGCAAGCAATAAAACGTATATGAAGCTTTCGGGTGCATTCTCCGAGCTTTCCGCCTTAAACCCAGACTCAACCCGAGACATACAATCGTCGATTGATACTCTTAAGCCCTGGACAGATGTAATATTTGATGCATTCGGTATTAATCGCGTCATGTTTGGCTCAGACTGGCCGGTATGCAATATTGGTGGCGGGGGCAACGAAATCTCATGGAACAAATGGACTCAAGTGGTTGAAGGCATTTTGGATCAAAGAAACTTGACAGAAGATGAGCAAAGAGGTATTTGGGGACAAGTAGCACTTCAAGCCTATGGTATCGATTCTATTTAGATTTTCCTTTATATACAGGAACCTATAACAAGTTCAACTTCGCTCAATTACTGAAGATTAACAAAAAGGCCACCATCCACCAGAAGCTGTGCACCCGTCTATAATAAATATTTATTAGCAACAGACAAAAAATTTGTCAACGGGGAACCAAACTCACCACATAGCTACTCAAGTCCTCACAAGCCAAGAAAACTGCAGGGCCCGCCAAATCTGGAGGCTGGCCAAGTCTTCCAAGAGGAATCCGCCCCTCCATATACTCCTTCTTCACAGGATCAGCCATATCAGCATCATTCAACTGTGTCCGTATAGTACCCGGGAGTAAAGCATTGCATCGGATGTTGTATTTTCCCAATGCGACTGCACAAGACTGCATCAAACTCAAAACGCCAGCCTTAGTAGGTGTATAATGTGTCTGTTCGCCTCCACCGACAAGTGCGGAGATTGAGCTGATGCCAATAATTGAGCCACCGGGTGGTGATTGAGTTAGTGCCATTTGTCTAGCAGCAGCTTGGGTTGCGAAAAAGGCGCCGGAGAGGTTGGTAGAAACGGTGTGGTTAAGAAGGGAAGGCTCTAGTCTACAATGGTAGTTTGTTAGCATGACATATAAATTTTTGGGCGGTTTTCTTTGTCAGGACCAGAACCAGAACAGATCATTGGCAGGTTATAGGTAACTCACTCGAGAAAATCCGCAAATTGACAGACACCCGCATTGCTAACAAACACATCCAGCCTGCCAAATGCTTCCACAGTTTTCGCGACAAAGAGTTTTCCCGTCTCAGGCTGGGATATATCACCTGCAACTGTAATGAAGCGATTCTTGTCCGCGCCCTCTTCAATGTCATTCACATCTCTGCGCAAAGATGCCAGCAGATCCTCTTCTTTGGGGCCACCTAGATGACTGATTGCGACGTTGGCACCGTGACGAATATATTCTAGGGCAATTGCCTAAATGAAAGATCAATATCAGCGATACTTAATCCACTCAATGAGATGCAATTCTACCATACCCGTCCAATACCAGTGAGACCACCAGTGATGGCAGCCACCTTGCCAACTAGTAATTGCGGAAGAGGCATCGTGGTAACTGTATTATTGAAGTATGAAGCACAGTGTCGAGAATAACGGGCTTCTTGATATTCTCCCCCAGATGAACAAAGTAAAACGCGACGAGACACTTCCAGAATATGCTGCGTCGTGATTTTTGTTGGTCTGTCACCCCGCCGATAAGATTTCGGGCTTCGCGATGATGTTCGCCCGAGTGTGGGGGAAGCAACCCCACATCGAGTTAATGGAGGGGCAAATTATTCCGTCGAGGCAGTATGTCCAGCCGACGAGATAGGTTGAGAATTATTTCAAGTTGCCCCAAAAGATGTTTTCGGCAATCGGAAATGCCGTGTCTAGCTGGATAAATAACAGCGAAATGCCCTTGAGATATAATCTCGGTGGTAATAGGCCTTTGAGTCCGAGTCCCTGGAGAGCGCTACATTCATTTACATTGGGTATTTAATCATCTGTGAACTTTCAGTCTATTGGATAAAATAATTATCGGTACTTATGTATGTACAGAAATAGATTCATGGTGTAACTGAAAAGTTTTCATCGAACAGAGATACAATACGCATAACCCATCACAACAAAATATATGAAACGCCGGTAAATCAAATGCTTAAGTAGAGCCATTGACAGCCTGCTCAATTTCAGGGTCACGAAGGCTCTTCATAGGAGCAGGTGTCAGAAGTTTGGAGGCCGGGATCAAAGGCGCAGCAGGATTTAATTCGAGACCGAATCCAGGCTTGTCAAGGATGGAAACATCAAGGTATCCCTGTGTAGGTATGGGTTCGTTGAGGAAGAGGTTACCAAAGACAGGCAGGACAGACTTGCCATCGGGCGAGTTGGCGAGATATTCTTGGAAGGGACAGTTGGTCTGAGAGACAACAAAGTGGTAGGAGTAAGGACCAGATGCGTGAGGCACAACGGGGATATCATAAGCGGCAGCAAGAGCAGAGACCTTGAGCAGCTCAGTCAAGCCCCCAAGCCACATAACATCAGGCTGGATAATATCCAAATTGCGTCCCTCAACAAGCTTACGGAAGCCATAGCGAGAGAACTCATGCTCACCAGTAGTGAACTTAACAGTTGGGTGGGCACGCTTCAACAGTGCGTGGCCATCGAAGTCATCAGGGGACAGACACTCCTCCCACCAGTCAATGTTCAAGCCAATAGCCTCACATCGCTTAACGAGGTCAATGGTGTACGAAACAGTCAGAGACATATAGCAGTCGACACGGAGAGGGAAATCTGGTCCAACACTAGCGCGCATGAGACGGAGATATTCAACGTTCTTCAGTAGACCATCAGTTCCCTCATCAGGCCCATGAGGAAGGGCCACCTTGGCACCGACGAATCCCATTCCCTTAGCGGCAGAGGGCTGAGGACCAGTGCAGTAGAAGTCCAAGCGAGATCGAGTCGCGCCGCCAATCATCTTGTAAACGGGCTCGTTGCGAATTTTTCCAAGCAGATCCCAGATAGCAAGGTCAACGACGGAGATTGCGGCCACGGGAAGACCCTTGCGGCCGTAGAACATAGAGCCACGGTACATTTTTTCGAACAGGGTGTTGGTGTCACGAGGATCTATAGCAGCATACTCGTCAGAATGAATCGACTGTAGATCGTTTTCAAAAAGTCCTTACCTTCGCCAATCAGGAAGCGCTCAAAGTGCTGGTGAACGAGCCAGCAAGCAGGAGGACCACCAAATCCAGTTGCGAAACCCTTAGTTCCATCTGTTGCTTCGATCTCCACACAGAAAGATCCCAAAACATTAATTCCCCAGGAAGTACGAGAGCCGCGATACTGTGCCCACTTGGTCATGGGAGTAGAGATGTTGCTGTCAATCAGCCAATGGCCTCCTTTGACCTGTAACAAGCAAGTCAGTAAATATTCGAGTTCGCCTCCTTGTGTAACTGAGAGATTCAGTACTCACATTGTGATAATCACCACCGGAGCCGACACCATCAATGACGAAGGTGCGGATCTCCTTAATGCGGGGAAACTCCTTCACGGAACCCATGATTGTTGGATATTAATGCAATTGAGATAAAGAAATCAAGTCAAAATATGACGACTAGGAGAATAAATGAAGATGCGAAAGATAAAAAAGAAATATTGGAGAACGTGGGGAGCACATACTTTTTTAACCAGCACATGCCGAGGGGAACCCCGAGGCCTCGGGCGAGCAATGCCCCGAGCTGCGGGACATGGGAGTTTGAGCCGTCGGAGTATCGCCGTGTTGGAACAGCGAAACAGCGGCGAACAATTCTTGCTTGGGAAGTTCGTAAATCCGGAATTTCTATTAACAATTTATCATCTATTTTGTCATAGGGATGCCACTAGTGGGTAACGCTTATAACTCATGAATGAGACTTCTCATCTTCTCTTGGGGCCCCGGTTCTCTTAATCTCAGAGTTTATACTGATTGACCCATATGAATTGTGCCATTGTAATTCAAATCTTCAATAGATGGAAAATCAATTTTCCAAGTACAGGATGACACACCAATTAAACATTTTTAGTCTCTTCCACGTTCAAGGCTATTCCTGTCGCCAAGTCCTGCCTGTGTCGCATAGAACACCGGCGGAAGTGGGGAACGCGGGGTGCGTCGGTCGAGACATTACTACTTTCTTGTTCAAGGGGATCAATTTGATTAAAACCCTCAGGCTCTTTCTGGTAATATCATGTATGTCAGTCAAATAAATGTAGTATGGGTATTCTGACCAGTAGTAGATCTCAGCGCCGTTGTAAGAGCAACGTTTTCCTAACCTTGGTATTCAAGGGTTTCATCCTTCACAACATAATATCCATATATTTCGGATCGTTTACATTCATCTCATCTATGATTTCTTCTCACCGCAAACAAAGCCTCTTCATGGCTCTATTCTACAGTAGTATTCGCAATCAGATTTACCCCCAGATTCTTCGACTTTGATTCCCGAACCCCAATTCAAGCACGCTAGTCCGGGTGTAGTATGAAAGTCGACCCGCTAACTTAACTATAGAATTCATACAGTTGATACCAACCGGGCACCTGGGCATTCTCCCCCATCTTCTTCTCCCCTCGCAGCAATATTATTCCTCTATGCACGATTATTGAACGCCACCCTGCATTAGGGTTGCAATAAGGCCCCGAGTAATTATCCCCCAGAGTTCTATCTTATCCGCGATAGCCTAAAGATACGAGCTCGGCACCCTGTGACCAGACTACTCAAGGTATTGGGCGGTAATCAGCAGTATAATCACAGGTTTCGATTAAGAAAATGCCTATTCTGCCGGTACACACCGTCTGAAGGGTCTGAATGTCGATACCACGCAGGTATTGAGAAGCTGTAATTTCAGTTGGGCAAGCGCTCGAATATTGCACAAGCGCGTTAATATGGCTTTGTGAAATAGTCAACCATCGATGGCATATTAGCAATTGGGCCCTTGGTTTAGTAACTGTCAGGAGTCAGGAGCCACGTGAACATTGATCCTGGTGCCTAAGGCATCATCAGCTCACCAGAGTTAGTTAACAAACTAGCTCTTGATGATTCATCTCTTCTCTTCCCCGAATCACCAATTCAGTGGCTTTTCCCTAGTTCTTTCGGTCTTTTCTCCATCCATCTAGCCCCAACTAGCTATATCACCGTCTCTCTCCGTCTGTCCCAGCCTCAGTCGCCGACACAGACGTTGACAGTAGCTTTAGAAATCGAACCTAACATTGAAGTCACTTTTATTGAATAATGCCTATTATATAACGGCCTATTATATAGCGTTGATTGGCTTTTGCTTTCATATGTGGCTTATAATAACTACATTAAACGTGGGAATATAGAACACTAAACTAGTCTACGAATAATATCGACGGTGACTCTTTATCTAAGAGTCATACTAACGTCATCACAATAGAGACCGTATTCAAGAATCTTATATAGCTCATGATTGCATTCAAAGCCAACTCTAATTCAATTTCGAGCAATGATCAATCTTTGACTAGCACCAAGTACATCCAGTATATGGGATATGGAACCGGAATTTGACCCAGCAATCGAAAGAGTCATTGGGTATCAGTTCCACGATCGAGGTTTGATGGAAGAGGCTTTGGAAGAGAGGGGACTGGCATCTGCAGGAAATGAGCGGCTGGCCTTGTTAGGAGACAAAGTTTTAGCACTCATGCTGATTTATCGTTGGTACCGTGAAGGCAATACCACAGGTAGGCCTACTCCTGCCACCCTGGATGTCGTACTGATGTGATACAGCACAAGGGACACATATTCTTCGGGATTACGCCTGTAATAAGCAGTTGAGCTCTAGGGCAAGAGCTTTGGATTTACAGGAGTTTGTTCACCCAAGACTAGACCTAGAAAGAGGCGTACCAGATAGCACATTGGCTACCACCGTGGAAGCAATTCTTGGTGCTGTCTGGCTTGATTCCGAAGAAAGCGTACAGAAAGTAAACGAAGTCTTCGAAAAAATCAGCCTATATCCGCCCTCGAGCAGCGATACCTGAAGCGCGGAACACGCCCCCAGAAGCAACAGGGTAATGAGTCTACGCGTTGATCAAGCTGTCTATCCAAGAACTATATCTGATATTGCCGATGTAATTCATCTATTTTGTAATGATATATGCGGCAGAAAAGCCAGTGCAACAGCGCCTTTGAAAATCGGGCTCGAGAAAAGTAACAAAGTCGTCCAGGCGGAAGCAGATCTCGCTACCGACTGTATTGCCAGATTGTCAGAATTTCTCTCGTCTTTGCATGAAAGACTGTCAAATATCAAGGTTAATTATGGAATTATAACAATCACTCATCTATCGTTACTGGAGAATACAGTACAGCTCGACAGGAATTACTGGGGAATGGCTAAAATTAGACTAGCGCGTGTCAAACTAGGGTTCGGGGATAAATGTCTAAGAGAATGGGGGTAAATCTGATTTCGAATATTACTGTATCACTTTAACTCCAAAATGGAGCTCGGACTAGCCCGAGTCCTTGTTTGGTCCTATGCTATGCCGAATTCGGTTGCGGCTCTCCACGTTCGAGGCGGCTCTATAACTTACATCTGCTTCATTTACATCATGAGATTCAATACTTTTAACTCACAAGAAAGATAAAGTATCTGTAGTCTCCTTCACTAATCATCTTACTTTGTTCACGCATCAGGCTTCACCTAACACAAATCTTTACTTTCTATCAAACCTCATATCTCCAGCCATGAAATCTACAGCAGGCACCCAGACTGTTGGCCCCAAGGCTTCAAGTCCGCTTATAAGTACTGTGCTTAGCGCCTGAAGTTACAAATCAAACAGGCACCTGCGACCAAACGTCAACCCTCCGATGTAAAAGACCAAAAACTATCACAATCAGTCCATAAGGGTTGCTCTGAGTCTATTATCGAGAATACCTCAAACGAGAGGAGCACTCGAGAATGTACAGATTCCGCGACACTGGAGAATAGAGACACAACCACTGGTACTCGGACTACCTACGAAGAGAGAGTGGAGAAAATATGTTTATTGTGTCGCCAAAGTGGAAATGAACGCCACTTGTACATCACTAGCCAGTCGTACGGCAGAGGTCATGGAAGGTGCATTGAAAACGGCTGGCAAATATGCCTTCGAAAAGATCGTCCTAAAATATCATCGGATGAGAATATGCAACTCAACCCATTCGAACCTCCCTCTCGTGAAGCACTTGACACGCTACACCGCATGACCGACCGCTTTTTGGATTCGCAACGTCACGGTGAAAACTTGAAGACTCAAGAGATCCCTACCAAGCGACGGCACGAATTTCGTCGCATTTTCAACCGTAAGATAAACGACTCCTCCAGTCGGAAAGTTTACATCAAATTAAGAAGCAGAGATGAAGAATTATTTGATTTGTGGAGTATAAAGATGACAACCTGCCTCATGAAGCCATATAAGACCGAGATCCGAGACGCCATCGACGACCTAATCTCAAAAGGTAGCGCAAACATCAGATGCAAAGATTTCGCAAAGCTAAACGAGATCTATTCCACTCATGAGCTTGTTTCTCCTTCAATAGAAATAGCTAAGATATTTATGTTCCTCCGCAACATTACCCAAGCCAAGATCCACGTTAGATTGACTGATATCGAGCTCGGCCGATCTACCATATTTTTGATCTTGATTGTTTGCGTATCGAAGCTGGTTGGATTATCCGAAATTCTTTCTTTTCGACTGATAGAATCGATTCGGCGGATTTCCGACCGTCCAGAAACCGTTGCGCCGGGTCCAATTTGCGTGGCCGCTAATCTATATGAGCAAGTTGTTGACGGTCTATTGGAACTCAAAATAAACAAAGTAATCGGGATCATCATCAAAGACCTTAATGCACATCTCCAACAAGTGCAGGAAAGACTCTATGGTATCATAGAATATATGGTTTTAATGAATTGCATGAGAACAACAGTACTGCGGCTCCTTGACGATGTAGTTCCTAGGCTTCCGTCACCCCGCAGGTTCTATCTAGCTCTCTGGGTAGAATCAACGCCAATTCTTCAGGAGAAGATTTTCCAGGAGCCATCAAATTGAGTTAGCCTCTTTTTGATTGATGAATTCTCGAAACCAAGTCGCCCTGAAAGTTAACCGCACGTACAAAACTGGCCGGAGCAAGGGCAAAATCGACCGAGCCGCTCTCAAAATCAATCTACGCAAAGCTGGGAAAACGACCCATTGGCTGCTTTTCTCGATGATGACTGATTCTTCTATTGTGGATTAATTCTGCGCCTGCTAGTCGCCTCATTTCCAGTTAAATAGTACTACTAGTAGCTTAATCACTCTTAAATCGCCAACAGAATACTACGATTTCCTTCCCCTCCTCTTTTTTTTATGCGAAGCATTGGGTAAGTGCCCGACGTTGCAAAAGTGACATCAACTGCACACAAAAGAAAAAAAAGAAAATCAGCACCCCACTAGGAGGGACGTTCAGCGGAGTAAGAACTTTGAATTTTCGATATCACTATTTCTTTGTGTTTCTATTGACCACTCACATTTGTTGACAGGGAGGGGTCCAAGCGTAAGAGGACAGATCATGGTACTGGACGGATCACTATCTCCGGAGGTCCCAGACTCAGAAAAACCGACTCGGATTTAGAAAAAAGAATATGCTTAAGATCAAAATAGGCACACTGCATGATCAAAAGTACAACTCGGCAATCGCTGAACTCTAACGCACGGCAAACACCAACACGGCCTGCATATCTTCACCGCACTCCGTAAGGGCACGCACACAGACACGGACGCACTTTCTTATTCGTGTCGCTTGGCGTCGTGGAAAAAGTACTAAGACCTGCTTCCCGCCAGAGCTGAGGGGCATTTGACGTACTACCACATGCAGTATATTTACTCTCACGATGACCAACAAGAGGTTGAAGATTGTAGTGGTAATCGTACTACCTTCCAAGCAGTAAATTTACAATTCTCACCTAAGCAACTAGGATCCCGATGTGCATCTCCTTACGAATCCCGATATTGATGATTTCCAATCGTACGTTTCTCGCCTCCACTTCCAACGGCATTTAATTAAAGTAAAATATAGCGAAACCACATCTATCGGGTCCGCGGTATATCGCGGAGTCATTGAGAATGGTCGTCGATACCAAACATTACGAGAAAACCAGTACTGGTCAGCATGATCTTGGATACGAGGAGAATATTCAACCCTGCGACACCATAATTAAGCATAATATAGGGCCCCTGCCGATGAACAACAATTCGAGAGTCTGGAAGCTGGGTAAGTAGTACATCATTTTCCAATTACCATGGTTTAGCTCACATGGAAAGACACGCCGTTGCTGGAGTAATGGACGGCGAGAGGCCGAACCCGCTTTTTCAAGCGCCCATATCTAAAAGCGCAAAGGTATGTTTAAACACTGGAAGATAGTCTGAATATCTCAAGTTGTTGACAACACTAGAATATTCTGGATATTGGGACTGGAAATGGACTTTGGGCTATGTATATCAACTAAGTTCTAAGGTCGTTTTTCTGACACTAATATCTGACCAGTGACGTTGCTGATATACTCCCTGAAGGTAAGGAATATCTCAATATGAAGCCGTCATGACTATACTGATCGCATTAAAGCCACTATTCGGGGTGTAGATCTATTTCCACCGCCAGTGTCATGGGTGCCCCCCAAGTGCATCCTAGAAGTAGATGACGTCCTACGTGCCTGGACTTGGAGTGAACAATTTGACTTCATCCACATGCGATTCATGCTCGGTTCATTCAACGAAGGCGAATGGGATAAATTATACAAGAAGTGCTACAAGTTCGTCCCGATATTTAAATATTTGACACATCTCCATTCATTTGCTAAGAAATAATTATAGCAACCTTCAACCCGGCGGCTGGATCGAACAGCTAGAATTCGATGCTCATATAGAATCCGATGATAACACCCTACCCAAAGACAGCATGGCTGCCACATGGGGAGAGACAATCTTAGGCTGTGCTGAGCGAGCCACTCGAAAAATGGACACAATAAACACAATGCGCGATTCTATCGAGAAGGCCGGATTCGTAGATATTCGCGAACGAGCCTATAAGTGGCCAATTGGACCATGGCCGAGGGATAAGAATATCAAAGAGGCAGGGTTACTCAATTATCAAATGTGGTCATTAGGAATAGAGGGTTGGGGCATGTGGCTTTTGACAAGATTTGGAGAACCAAAGCCATGGTCAAGAGAAGAGGTTATTGCATACGTGGCTAAGATTCGAGGCGAATTGAAGAGCACTGATGTGCATAGCTATCAAAGAGCGTAAGTCTCCAGATATCGTTTATTCAATCCCCAGGAGCTAACTTCTAGCCATCTGTCTAGGCGACGTGTCTGGGCAAGAAAACCTGACAATGATCCTGGGCAAAAATAAGGTGACCTGGGACAAGCCTTCGGTTGACATTGTACTTGATAGTAATAATGGGTGGATTAGTACTTTTTATGTCCTCGCGTCCCTAGACTAGTTTCTTACTTGATCATCGTTCAAGCGCAGTGCAGTTCAAAACCTCTTTGAATTCGAAAAGCAAGTTTCTTTATATACGGCAATAATATCCCACCAAGTATCTTTATAAAACATAATTAACATAAGCTTAAGTTTCTCTAAACTCATAACGGCCCTGATCCCGATCCTGCACCTCAACTTCAATGCGACCCTCTTCAATCTCCTTACCATCAACATCAATAGAAGCACGCATAATATCACCAGCCTTCACCTCACCTACACCCTTAGGTGTACCAGTTAAAACAATATCACCCTTTTCAAGGGTCATAACGCGAGAAATGTGAGCAAGTTGTGTCGGGATACGGTGCAGCATTAAACTAGTTGAGTCAGCTTGACGTTCGATGTCGCCAGGGCTGATGCGGAGACGTAGGAAGGCATTATGGGGGTCGGGGATGCGGGACTTGGCAATCACTTCGGAGATTGGGAGGAAGGTATCGAAGCCCTTTGCGATGGACCAAGGTAGACCCTTCTTTTTGGCTTCATCTTGGACATTGCGAGCCGTCATGTCGATTGAAAGGATATAACCTGTTTAGTGGTTTTTAATTAGTACCCTGCTATTGTGGTGTTTTAAATATTGTTCATGAGATATCGTGAAACAGACTTTCAATAGCATCAAGGGCACCCTTCTCGTCATTTGGGTCAAGATCACGAACTGTCTTGCCTATCACCAAACCTAGTTCGACCTCATAGTGTAGGCTGGTCCCCTTGGGGCGGAGAACGGGGCCATCGCCAGGAGCAAGAATAGCGGATGGGGGCTTGAGAAAGAAGAAGGGCTGTTTGGGGGCTGTGTTATTCAGTTCCGTGATGTGATCGCTATGAGTCAATTCCGAATGTCAGTATTCAAGATGGTGGAGTATGTAGACTGCGGGTTTGTCGACGTACGCGTAGTTGCGACCGATGCACACGATCTTGCGACAGTTAGCTCTGATTGAGGCCATCTTTGGAATCCAATTAATTATATGCGATTGGGACAATTTATTTTACAAGAAACTCAAGTAGAACGGGGAATGCCGAGCTTATAACCTCCGCGGACAAGTTCCGATAATGCGGAGAATCGGCGACGGGAAGAGTGCCCGATCATCGGATGAAGGGCCCGAGTCCGCGATCGCAACCAATGGTGGATGCTGCTAAACTAAGCCATGGCTATTTGAATATTGTGAACATTTACAAACAAGCATGTGTTCTTGTCAACTCGCACACATTGTGTCGTTAAATTGGAAATATTGATTATCCTGGTATCATCAAGCTAGGTAATGGTCTTCCACTCCCACTTAGATCAGTCATTTCACCATTTTACATGCTCATTCACCATGTTCGCAGACAGAGCGGAAGAAAGAAAAAAAAATCTCAATAATTGCGCTGCCAAGTGACCGTCTTAGCCAATGGACCACCCCGATCATATGTAACCAGCGCAGTATGGTGATCAATAGCCATAACACCAGGCCAGAAGCTCGAAGCCGGAGACACAAAAACAGGAGGACCCCAAGGAATCCTTCCATTCAGTGGAGGCCCCCCAAAAACGACCTTAATAGAAGCATTTTTAACCCATTTCACATCCGGCGAATCATCATCAGTCATAAACACAACGACCATCGAGCCATCAGCAAAAGACGCAATCTGTGGAGATCCCGCATTATGACCTTGCTTCGGTCTAAAGACCTCATGGCGATTATGCCATGAAGCCCCATCATCATACGAGATAAGAGCCTCAACACTAAACGGACCATATCTCGTAGTTTCAAAAACCATAACCAAAGCCTCTCGGCCGTTATCAAAGGTTCTAGCGATACCGTTCATGCCGTCACGGAGAAGATCCCGATCACCATGTAAACAGACAGGATGGGACCAGGAACTTCCCTGGTCATGCGATATAACAAGCATAGTGCACTGGTTATTATGCGCGAATTCTTGGGAATAGGTGAGTTGGACTTCGCCGCGTTGTCCGATTCGCATGAATGGTTCCCAGATACCGAGTGGGGCTCCTTTCTCCGCAGCCTGGGAGGCGAAACGCCATGTGTGACCTCCGTCCATGGACCTGCATACCGTTATACGGAAATGCGTGGGACCGTTTGGACCTAGGGTGTGGTTGCGAAATGCTGCTAGCACCACGCCTGGTGCAGCCTCTACGAGAAACATGTTATCAACATCCCCCTCTGCGCGTGTGACCTCCGAAATATTCTCAAATGTTCGGCCATTGTCGGTGCTGCGGGCGACGCAAAGGGCACGTTTGCCATCGGGGAATCGTGTGAAGGAGGATAGAATGGAGCCGTCGGAGAGACGAGCGAGGCGAGGGTAGGTGCCTCTATTCGGGTGGGAGGATAGTGGGCGCTCGTCGTCGTTCACTAATCCATAGCCTGGAAGCTGCTGTGCGGGCGGGTGGCCAGGAAAATGTTGCTGTTGCTGTTGCTGTTGCTGTTGCTGTGGCTGTTGCTGGTGAGATTGAGAGTGATTCCCACCAAACGCACTAAGTATCTTTTGACCGAGATGTCCTGGCATGATGAATAAAAGTAGTAAATGTTCAAAGTAACCTTGTAGCACGCATTTCCCAGGCTGCAGCTTATATGCGCGCCTTGATCCTTCATTGCGTCATATAACTAAGCAGGATCCTTGGCGTCGATCTTGATCAGATGAAGTTATAACTTGGTTTAGTATTATCTACCTTCAAACGCCCATGAATCATGATCTGAACGGTTTCAAGTTTATCTTATTCTCAGTGCTAGTTCCAGAGTAGGAAATAGTTGGGTCGGTTTTAAGAGAAAGTGTGGAGTTAGGCTTTTGTCCAGATTCTGCAATTCTGCACGGAGTTAAGTGCGCTACAATCTCCGTGGCGGCATTCGTCACGACTTAGTCGCCTAGTGATGTATAGACTTATTTCCGCGTTTTAAATTGCGATGAAAATTTATAAATAATGCATATGTTACACAGCAGACATCTGCTTTTTTTTTCTCTTGGTCTCAGATATTCAAATCTAAGCTGTCCATCTCCATCCACTTTTCATTGAAATCCCATCTTATCACAACTCCATATCATATACCACAATCATGCCGAGCATTCTCACAACAGGCTTCCTTTACTCGCAATTCATCTTTCGCCCAGCCTATCCAAAAGGTACATTAGATGGCCAGACAATCCTCATCACCGGCGCAAATGTCGGACTAGGTCTTGAAGCTGCTCGCCATGTGGTTCGACTTGGTGCATCCCGCGTAATTCTCGGCGTGCGCAACGTGAAAGCCGGAGAACAAGCCAAGCAAGAGATCGAAAATTCCAACAGTCGTCCTGGAGTCTGTGAAGTATGGGAAGTTGATCTCGCTTCGTACAGCTCAGTCCTAGCATTTGGGGACCGCATTTCCAAACTCCCACGCCTTGATTCGGCCATCCTAAACGCAGGGCTTGCTACACAAACTTTCGAGCTTGCGGAGGGTTATGAAAGAACTATTACAGTTAATGTGTTCGGCACTCTCTTGATGGGTCTTCTACTTCTACCAAAATTAAAGGCTACCAAGGCAGATTACCCTGAGACCCATCCCCACTTGACATTCGTAGTCAGTGAAGTTCACAGGATCCCAGACTTTGAGGAATGGAAGGAAGACAATATACTTCAGATACTCTCTGACAAGAACAAAGCCCAGATGGATATTAGATATCCTTTATCTAAGCTCCTGGAGGTCCTTGTGGTGTTGGAGTTAGCTGGACGAGTACGTGGCTCAGAAGTCATCGTTAACATGGTTAACCCGGGTTTCTGCCATTCTCAACTGGGTCGAGAGGCTGGATTTGCATTCGGCGTGATGAAGTTCATCTTGGCACGCTCCACCGAGGTTGGATCACGTACACTCCTTGCGGGTATTCTGACTGGTCTTGAGAGTCATGGCTCCTACATGAGTGATGGGCTAGTAGAAAATACGGGGCTGTCTTCCTTTGTACGCAGCTCTGATGGAGCCAAGGCTCGGACGAAGGTGTGGAATGAGGTTACTACAATCTTGGAAGGTGCTCGCCCTGGAATTTTACAAAACATCTAAGCATTATTCTTGTTTCAAACGCCCCACTCCTGTTTCCTCAGCGTTGTAACTAGACAATGGCGTTATAATCAATTTACCTATATTCTTTTTGCCAACTTTTTATAATTTTTGCTATCTTGATTTGCGACATGTAGTTGAAAGGTGCAAACGTGGGACATATATGGAGGATAACATTTGAACGAAGAGATAGTACTATAGACATCGTATTTACTTTCACACCTAATACTCAAGTTAAAGTTCAAGTTAAAGGCGAGGCAGAATATGATACTTCACAGCCTTAACCTGGGTCCAGCCTTCAAGGGCCTCCTCACCCATATCTCGTCCAAATCCACTCTCCTTGACTCCGCCAAAAGGCACATTTGGAGACAACATAGCCCAAGCATTTACAGTGACCTGTCCAGATTCAAGTTCCTTTGTCACACGATGGGCGCGACTAACATCATTAGTGAAAATAGCAGCGCTCAGGCCGTGGGAGGAATCGTTAGCCTTAGCAATGACCTCCTCCTCTGTGGAGAACTTGGCAATGCTCTAATACACAAGATGTCAGCGTCCGCTATAAATAATCATGTTCACAAACCAGGAATCAACTTACCGCCACTGGGCCAAAGATCTCCTCACGCATGATTGCTGCGTTATCAGAGACATCTGCAAAGGCCGTATTCTGCACAAAGTATCCCTTCTCGCCAATCTTCTCTCCACCAAATAGCAATCGAGCCCCACACGCCTTACCCTGACGAATATAATCGAGAATCTTCTCATGCTGAACACGGCTCACGATAGGACCCTTTGTAGTCGATGTATTCAAAGGATCCCCAGCCACGGTAGGATTCTCAGCCGCAGCCTTCTTATACGCCTCAATGAAGCGATCATAGATAGAATCCTGAACATAGATACGCGATCCAGCCGCGCAAATCTGACCATTATTGGCAGTGATACCGATACGTGTCCACAGCAAAGCATTTGCCAAATCACAATCATCAAAGACAATTGAAGGCCCCTTACCTCCTAGCTCAAGACTAACTTTTTTCAGGTTGGTTTTAGCTGCAGCCTGCATAATCTTGCGACCAGCAATCGAACTGCCTGTGAACGCAATCTTGCGAACCTCCATATGTTCGGATAGAGACTGGCCCGCATTGGCACCGTCGCCTGCAACAATGTTCACTACACCGGCTGGAATGCCAGCCTCCTTGATCAGCTCAGCCAATCTCAGGCCATAAAGGGGTGAGTTCTCTGATGTCTTGATGATCAATGTATTGCCAGTAACGAGAGCTGGGGCAATTTTCCAAATCGTGATCATTCTATTCCACTAATTGTTAGCTGTGGCTCTTGTTGGCAAGTTTAGACAACAGAGGCTACGGTGACTTACAAAGGCGCATTCCACGGCACGATGGCACCACAAACACCCAAAGGCTCTCTGTATGTATACGCTATACCACCCTCCATATCCAGTGTTTTTCCATCGATCTTACCAGCCCACCCAGCATAGTAACGAAGACAACCAATAGCCTGTGGAATATTCAAGCCCATAGAATCGGTGAAAAGAGTTCCAGCATCGACCGCCTCAAGAGAGGCAAGATCATGAGCCTCCCGTTCAATCAGATCCGCCAGCTTCAGAAGAAGCTGTGAGCGCGCAGGGCCAGAGACCTTTTTCCAAGTCTCAAATCCAGCTTTAGCAGACTTCACGGCCTTGTCGATATCTTCCGACCCAGCCGCCGCGATAGTACCCAGTTGTTCGCCGGTTGAAGGATTCTCTACAGCCAAAGTGCGGCTGGTCAATGAAGGTACAAACTCATTGTGAATGAAAAGTCCTGTGGGCACTGTGAATCGTCAGCTTTGAACAGGCTGTCCATATAGAAATTTAATGCGTACAGGTAATCTGCCGACCCTGGATTCCTGTCACTGTCAAAGATGAAGACATTTTAAGCTGCGAAGAAATTCTCCCAAAAACGAACAGCTAAATAAATCAATCTCACTCGCCTGAGCGGGGGGCTTTCAAGCTGTTTTTCAGCTCTGCCTAGTCAATGCTGACACAAGGATGCTTTGCGGGGACAAGAGCTGTTCCGCGCAATCATTCCGCTTCCGAGCGGGTCAAGCCTTGACACATTCCAACACACTTGAACGCGATAGATGGTTTAACTCATTGCGGTTAGTCCGAAGAAAATACGTCGGTGGCCAAGAAAAAGATTGTTCAATTGTTATCAGGGGGCAGAATGCTTCACTATCAGCTTTTCGGAGCATTTCCGGCTGTTTTTGCGGGGAAGAGGCGCTAGTATAGAGCAGGCCATACACAATCGTCCTGTAGCGATGAAGAACCAATTGACCGCATTGAACATACCAAGTCCAAATCGAATGATCCCCCGGTATTCAAGAAATTAAGTGAAGAACAAGGTTAAACTGGAAGTCAAATAAGCCCAATTTTCAGTCGGTCGGAACGATGTTCCGCGCAGTAATCTTAGTTTGCGGATCTATTTGATTCTACTGCGGTTCTGTTTAATACTCGTAAGTCGGGTGCTTAGATCCTCCTTGTGGGTATATATGTATCGTCAAGTACATTGACGCAGCGATATAAGGACCATCTAGACTATTATAATAACTAATATGCCATTGCCTTTACTGTACTGCTTGGGTAGTATAGGCCGATATCGGACTCTCGGATCTCAGTCTTTCCATGTCGAGCTTTCCACGATACAACCATCAGATTTTCCAAGGATAGAGGATATTCAAATATCCCTCTGCAGATTTATTTCTCCGACCCCTACCACTGGTTTATATACCATCTCATTGCTGCATTGATAAGATGCCACCCTTGTCGGGTAGCTTTCTCGATCAGGCATGCGAATCCCGTTGTGCTTCGTGAATCCCGTTAGCGCCAGATAACGTTTCTCCCCCGCACCATACCTGTGCGTTTCACCATGGCGAATTTCATCGCCTTTGACAGCCGCATATCCAGCAATCAGTGATGCGGCGAGTGAAAAAATCCCGTAACGGATGCGCAAGGTGCAAAAGCAAACGAGTCAGTGATTTTGGTTTTGCTTGCTTGTGCGGGTTCCTCGTGCTAACTTACTAGAACAGGTCAAGTGCGGAGAGGAAAAGCCGCATTGTAGTCGCTGCACTCGACTTGGGGTCCGATGCCCTGGCTACGTTAAGTCACTTCGCTGGGTTACCAAACATGAGGAGCAAAGCCCTGGTGCATCGTCGGAATATAAAGCTACTAGTCCTGCGCCATCGTCCTCGCAAGCCCCTCGGCGACTATCTGCGTCCATCGAGGATGCAGTCTCTGTAGATATCCCCAATCCGGGCCCAACCCATGATGAGCCAGATGCTGTCGGATTCGATATTGATGGCTCGGTAGGCCTTTGCGACAATCTTTGGGATCTCCCTGGAAGTACTGGAAATCGATCACTTCCGGAATTGACCGATCTTTGTCCCCAGGCCGAAGCAGTATCAGCATCGGGCTTTCCAGAACCCCAAGATCCATTAATATATGACTTCACCTCAACTGGAGATACTGCCGCAGACTTATCTCATTTCCTGTCTCTAATTGGCCCATCTCAGGACGAACCAGTCAACAATGGTAGTGTGTATCAAGGCTTTTCGCCCTCAACTATAATACGCAGTTATCCACCAGCCGGGCAGCGATCTCCCCGACGCGACGTCATGTCAATATCTCGCCCATTAAATAACCCATCATGGACACTGATCGAGTATTATTTCAAAGAAGTTGCAGCGTTATTCTCTAGCTATGACAGCCAGATGAACCCATTCCGTACAACGGTCTCTCGACTATGGGGCTCATCGCTAGCAATGTGTCGTACAATGCAAAGCATGGCAGCTGCAACACTAGTCAACGACTTTCCACAATTTGGACCAATGGGTAAAAAGATGCGCGACGAAGCCGTGGATATAATAACCCGCGAAGCAGTCATGGATGACAAGTCGTTGTTGGCGCTTCTCATGCTTGGGCAGACAGCCAGCTGGCACGATTCAAATGACCTAGGAATTCCATTCTTCAATCTGCTCCGGAAGCAGATGAACTCAATATCTTCAGGCTCCACGCCACATGGGATCGGCTTCAACAAAAGCGCCAGCAATAATTACCGTTTCTTCGAAGAAGCGCTCATCTATTGGGAAATGCTCTTGTCATTCGTCGCAGACAATGGCACTATGGTTCTATCTGACGATACATCATATGTGAGCGAATCGCTAGTTTTGCAACGCGTACCACATCCATGGACAGGCATTGCCCGAGATACACAATTCACAGTCCATGAAGTAGGCCGACTTGTCCGTCGAGAGCGCAAACGTATCTGCTCTCGGAAATTCACATCACAAGATGATATCACACGTGCACAAATAGCCATGGAAAAGGCACGCGAACTGGAAGACCGCTTGTTAAGCCTTGCTCACCCTACCGAAGCCGAGATAGTCAGCCCGGGAGACGACGAAACACCAGTCTGGCACCTTCTCACAATGGCAGAAGTATACCGCTGTACCGGATTAATGCAGCTTTATCGCGTGTTCCCAGATCTACTTCGAACACGTCTCCCCAATCCCGAAGAGAGTCACTTCTCAGATCTGGCCGACACAGCACAGAGTGACCCATTCTTTCCAATTGATTTGGATAGTATGGATCTCTCGCTCAATTTCGGAGATACTACCCAAGGAACTACATCAAATAAAAACCAATCAACAAACCCGCATTACCACAGCCATTCCCCATCAATATCCTCACATACTATCAACCTTTTCCCACCTTCCGAACCCCATCACCAACCCCCTACATTCGTAGCCCAAGAAAGCCCTGCCGACTCACTATACGACGCCTGGCTCACCGAGTTCGCAGTAACTCTTATTTCTCGCCTAAAGACCATTCCCCTTGAATCCCGCACGCGATGCCTTCAACCATTACTTCTCGTTGCCTCATGTAGCGAACTCCGCCTACCCAGATCATCAGCCGGACAATCGAATGACGAATTTGAAGAAAATCAAGATAATACATCCAAACAACCTAGATCTGGAACCGAGACACCGAATGTATCCATGGAAACTATCGAGGTCTCTCGAACACGCAAATTTATACTAGGTCGTCTTACTTCCTTCCTTCACGTTTTACCGCCGAAACCTATCAATGTGTGTTTACGACTTGTGAGGGAGGTATGGAGGAGGATGGATGCTGGGGACACAGACACATACTGGGTTGACATTATGATTGAGAAAGGATGGGAGACTACAATGGGTTGAAACATATGTTAAGGGTTGTAAGATCAAATGACAATGATGAAATAATAGTAGCATTCTGGTCTGAGTCCGAAAAAGGATCGATCTTAAGACTGCACTTTGCACATTAATACAGACTACTAGGTAAAATAACTTGAAACCTGGAATGGTAGATTCAATGCTTGAACCTTCCAACTTGAATCCCGAACCCGAAGTCTTCGTGATACTTATACCAACACCCCAACACAGGCAATCTCCATACGAAACACCCTCTATCCTCAAAAAGAATCAGTATAAACCTCAATAACAGCCCCTTCCACAAAATTCTTCCATCCCAAAAACCTCGCTTGCGGAATAATCGAAACTCGATCATCAGCCCGTAACTGTCTCATCCAACTGTGACCCACGCCCTGATCCGAGTCTTGATCTCCACGATAAACAATCCGGTGATGCTTCGTCTTCGCACTCCCATAAACATTCTCTACAATCCTTACCTCGGTATCACTCAATAACTCCTCTCTTCCAGAGGGTCTTTCAATGCCTACATCGAACCAAGTCGGAGAATCTTCGTAGTTGTCTGTTCCCGATTCAAAATAATAGTTGAATTCTTGATCATGGCTCCAGATATCGATGATAATTTTCTTCACGGGGAAGTTGTTGCCTTGAATAGGGTTGGATTGTAGATATGGGTGTCTATCCCGGCCAGTATCTGAGTTGTAGGCGATTGTGTGTTTTCTGGATACACGCGATAGAAGCCAGTATTCTGCATGGTGTAGTATGCTTAATCCGAGTTCGGATGGGAGGATTTCATTAAAGATGTTGAGGACGGCGATAGCATCGTCGGAGTTTCTTGGGTAGTAAATGATGGGTTGGCAGGTGAGAGAGGATGATTCCAGATTGGGATTTGAGTCCTGGGTGGTGGCTGCAGTGGAGGTTGAGTGGCTGAGTACCATGGCTCTTTTGAGAATGTCTTTATGATTTATACAGTCAATAGATACCAGGTCTGCAAGTCGAGCGACCTAGGATTTGATATTTGTGATACTATGTACCCGAAAGCGAGTAGACGAGTAGTTGGGGGAGGGCGGGGTCGTGTAACAACCCCTCATCGAGCCTCAATATTTCTCACTAAATCTCAGTATAAACATTTGAAATATAAGGATGATGGGGTGGGAATATAATAGTGTTAACATGTGGTAAAGGGGAGTAAAAGCTCTATATTAGCATGATCCTAAAACATTATATAGAAATGTGCTACTTAGAGGCTGAGTGTACGACTAGTACCTTACCGTGTTACTAGCCTTGTGAGTATTATGAACAAGCGCTGAATACTTAGACAATTTGAAATTATCTCATATTTGTATTATCTCGTAGGACGAAAACTTTAAACAATGCAAAAACAGCCCAGTAGGTTAGATATTAGGACACTTTACGACGAATAGAGAGATGTAGAGTTTTCTGTATTTATTCCCTTTACGACCAAACCTATATTAACAAATATATATCATTGTGAACATTATCAGTTGCATATGGACTTCTGCTGCCCCATAAAATACCTTTCTCGTCATATGTCGCGAGATCTGGTACTCAAGACTGAGGGGAACATTGACCGAACTGAAGCAATAAAATAGCTAAAGTAACACGAAGAATTAGAGGTAATTACTACAGGCACCAGTGAGCTGTCAAGGACCCAAAAATAAAATCATTTTCGCCTCAAAGGCACAAGGCTACAAAAAGCGGCCCTGGGGGCCACAGCTCAAACGACAAAGCGGACGATCTCCGCTCAAAAAATGAAGGAGCCGCAGGATCGAAAAGAGCCGAAATTACAGTCATTCGGAATTTTGTCGGCCTCTAGTCGATTTTCAGTCTAAAATTGGATCGAATCATACCGGATGATCCGGTCGGTTAATCCGATCAATTCAATCTGATCTAGCGATGTACACTCAAGCCTTTTTTATTGAACTTCAATCTTATGGAAGGTCATGTGCTGGGTGTATAAGAATATGATCAACTGGGACTCTATTTTATACAAAATATGCAGTGCTGGTGAGAGTCAAAATAGTTACCGGCTACGATTGTCTGCGATTGGTCCGAGAAAGGCCCGGGGTATAAAATGTAGAGTCAAATTGACTGAAAAGAAGGAGAGGGATATATTAAAATAAAGATGAACGATTTTGTTACATCATAAAGAGCATAGACTTCATAAAACGAAAGTCAACGAACATCATGATGCTATGTTGCAAGCTTCACCATTGCAGACACAAGCGATACTCAAAAAGTCTATATAAGTCGCTGCGCGAAACCGATGCAAAAATCTCAACTTAGAAGACGGTACCCTTGACCTGTGGCTTCTTGTCCAGATGAATGTTCTTAATGAGCATAGTGCAAGGAATAGCAAGGACCATGATACCAGTACCAATGGAAAGCAAACGCAGCTCAGCAAAGCTGTAGGCCTTCTGAATAGCGATTCTAGTAGGAGTGCCAACGGCATACTTGGTCTGCTCAGTGAGCGAGCCGTAGATGCTATCGAAGTCAGACATGGCTGACTCGGGGAGGTATCTCTCCAGTGCAACGGGGAAAGTGTACTCCCAAACAGCGGTACTGATGGTAAGACCAGCACTGCCACCGATTGTACCAACAACGTTGAGCAAGGCAAGAGCCGAGGCAATGTGCTGGTGGTCAACAGCAGCCAAGATAGAAAGCTGCTCAACGATAATGAATACTGAGCCGCCGATGGCAATGAAGATCTGACACATGATCTGGTACCCGACACTCTGACCTTCCTTGCGGAAGTAGATCATTAGACCTTGAGCAAAGATGTAGAGAGGGACAGCGATGTACAGAAGCCACTTGAAACGGCAGGTCTTGGCAATAATACCACCAACGAGGAATAGCAGGAGACCCGAGACAATATCGAAGATATGATTGATCCATCCAGCCTGGGTGGGAGTCAAAGCGTTAACAACCTGCAAGAAGGAAGTGAAATAGTAGTTCCAGCAGTAGTAGGAAAGCTGGTATGTCGCATCCAGGCAACATGCTCCAATGACGGTACGGTCACGAATGTAAGCGATATCCAGGAAGGGAGTTGTTGAAAAGAATTTCTCCCAAATGGCGAAGAGGAAGAGGAAGCAGAATCCAACCACGAGCATGGCAATGATGTAACCAGTCTTCCAGCCATCTGGTGCGTAATCGGCAATATCAAAGGGAAGCTCGAACAAAACCAAACCAGCGGTGAAGATGAAAACACCGATCACTGTACATAATTAGTATTCGAATCCTCATCTAAAAAAGGAAAGAGTGTAGGTGGTTGGAAATACTTACAGTCAAATTCCTTAGTCCAGTAAACAACGCTTTCCAAGAATGTGCGACCACTGGACTCGTGAACCATGTGTCCCTCCTTCCGAGCCTTGCCGATTTGATGTCTCAATGTAAAGAACAGAGGAAGAGCTGTAAGAGGGAAGATGATGGCCCATGTACCAAAACCCCATCGCCAGCCCTCGCCAGACAGATCGTAGAACTCGTTTCCAACCTTGGGACCAGCGAATGCGGTAATGATGTATGGTGAAGATGTGAAAGCGTACGCAAAAGCTCGGTTCTTAAGCTTAGTCGAATCAGCCGTAATAACATCGACACAGTATTCCATACCACCGAAGCCAAGCTGGTAGAAGACCTAAAATAGACCATTATTAGTGATTTTGAATCTAGACAGGCCAATGAGGGGGGAAATCGTACATATCCAGCACAGTAGATACTGAATCCATTGCAGGAAGCCATCAGAATCAGACCCAGAGTGGCAAAGCAAGTCATGAGCAGGAATGCCTCCGCACGACCCCATGTGTCACACAACTTAGCAGTTGGAACATAGACAGCGGCAGTACAAGCATCAGCAATAGCCGTAGGCAAACCAGAAAGGGAGTGGAACTCCCAGTAACTAGCGACATAGGGAGAAATAGTGTCGTAAACGGATGACTGGAATGCATTTACAAAATACAAGAACCACATGCTATAAAGTTTAGAGGTTAGTCTCCAGTCAAGACCTCCAATTTGTGACACAGAGTATTAGAGAAACATACTTGATAAAGACCAACGCAAGAGTAGTCTTAGACCAGGTTAATGTCAGTGCCTCGGCATCAGCAACACCACGCTGCAGACCAGGCTCAGGTAGCTCAGCGCCATTCTCATTAAGTGGAGTGACGAAGTTGGTAGTATGAGGATCCTTCTTCTCTAGCTCTCCTGCTTCCGGTGTAGCATTACCAGTGTCAACAGACGAGCTTCTCGTTTCATCCGGACCACGACGACCAAACCAAACGCGAGCCCTGCGCAGCAAGGGCCGGAACTGCGTAACCGCCATTATATCAGGTGGTCAACGCCGACAAGAGAAAAGTATATAAGAAAAGAAAAGGAATGGAATAGAAGACGGAAGGAAGGAAATAGTCTCCCGGAAAAGGCGAGATATGAGCAACTTAAAACATTTAACAGTCCCGAAAAGAACGAAGGACAATCTTTTACCCTTATGGAACAAAACCAGCGAAGTCGGATAACGAAAAAAGACAGAAAAAAGAAAAAAAAAAAACAATACAGCACGCGCAGACGAAGGACCAACTAAAACCGGGGTTAATCTAGCTATGAACGATGATTTGCTCGGAGCAAGCGAATGGAACAAATTGCCCCTCTCGACAATGCACCATAGCTCCACCGGGGAACTAACAGGTAACCAGAATGTAAAATAGAAAAATCGAATTTGCGTTCAGCTTAACCTGAGACCAGGATTGATCGGCGCCAAGAGCCCGGTGATGGGTGGGTCGATAGGCCACTCATAAGACTTGCCCGCCATTCCTAGGTTCGAGAAGACGAATTTTGTTGCGTAAAGGAAATGGAGATACGTTTGAAACTTGTTTGCGATGGAGAGTACTCCGTAGTGTATATCTTAAATCGATCTAATCAATCCTGGCGTGTATAGCGGCCGAAAGAAACCAGGAAAACTGCTTAACCGGATACTCGCAGTTAACCGGAAGTCCAGGGATAGTTGGATGATGTTGATCATATCAAACATTTGCGACACAGGGAAAAAAGGACTTAAACTGACTTCTATCTCCAAGGTATTAAACCTACAATCACAACACAGAATCTACAACATAATCAATCTCCTACTCAAGATCTAATCAGATGCCCGATCTTATCTCATGTGGCAAGTTGACCAACTCTCAACCAGGGCCGTTCGCATAGTGCGGCGTAGAGAAAGGGATTATGTGGATCCATGTGGATCCAACCCCGTAGACCCTGAAATATGAATGGATGACGCATTTCGAGTCCAACGTATTGGCCCCCTTTCGTTGCACATCCTTTACGACTTTCGTTCGGATTTTCCGTAACAGCGGGAGATTAAATGTGGAACAAAGCCTGATCAGCAATGGAATTTTCTCGGTTCTCGCGCATCAGACCGGTAAAACTCGTAAGAGATTTCGTGGAAGTCGTCGTTATCAGATCTCCTGCGCCCCGGGGGCCATCGGGGTTATGTCTTGGACCGATCAGCCCACCATACTTGACAGGGATCATGGATAGTTGTGTTTCACCTGGGTGATTCTTGAGAAAAGTGTACTTTTTGTTTTCTGCTGCTTTTATGTGCTCTGAATCTTTCATAGGGACCTGTCCTTATAATGCTGCCCAGTGCCCAGGGCGATCATTGCTCGGCCAGTGCTTGTCTATATTAAAAGGAGGAAAAAAGCTTTTGTACGGAGTCAGGCTACACACCATCGTGGCGTTTACCAACCAATTATGAACCCTCCGATTGATCTATCCGCCTAGTGCTGACTTGGCAAATGCAAGGACACACTAAATGTCACTAAGCTTCGATTTAAGCCCGGTCGCTCGGTGCTCCAGAGACTAAGCCCGCCACCACCGAACTAAGCGCGCCCCAAAAACAAGACCCTGATATTGTCTCAGTCACGATGGAGACCATATCAATTAAGACGGTTTTCGGCGGCTTTTGTGTTAAAAGGATCCACGAATGAACAAATGTTGTGTTTATGTGCTCTGGGACAGGGTGGGTGCGTTTCGGTCATAGTACCTTAAGTTAAGGGACCCGACCGACAGAACAACTTGAAGTAACCTTCAACTTTGGGACGACGAGAATAGATAGATGGGCGAGAGAATATTAAACATCAACACAGGATAATTGGGACAATACTCACTGTAGTCGAACCTTCACATCTAGTCTGGCCTTGTTGTATGCGTGGAAGGGTTTCCTATTGGATTTCTTTAGCATTCTCAGCACTAGACATTGGTATGTATCACTAGTACCAAACTACAAGTTACATGGAAAATCGGAGCAACTGGCAAGTAAAAATCATGAATATATCAGGCCAAATAGAACTATGTACAACAATCACTTTTCGGAGTTTTCATCACTCATCACGGGTCTCACCGCTGAGACAGGGTATCGTCTAGTCATCTCGAGGGGGAATTCCGTATCAAATCATCGATCTATCCATTACCCATTCCAAACGGTCATCAAAAAAACATAAGTCGTTGAAAGCTTTACAGCTGCTCGACCCAGGGGGCAACGCCCGCCTGCATCTGGTTCAACCACTTGACGAGCTCAATGAGCTCAGCGCGGCGCTCATCCTCAAGCTGGTCCTCGTCACCAGTCAGCACAGTCTGGAAGACAGGCAACAGGCGAGGGGTGAGCTCGCGGATGGTAGCATCCTCCCACTTGTACATCTGGCAGATCATGCGGTACAGTGGCTCGTTCTCCTCGTAGTCGTTCTTGAGGGGCAAGATGTCAACCAGGACGGGCAGAACATCCTTGGTAGGGACAGCCTCACGGTTACGGAGGATCATGCGGCTAACACAGCCAGTGGCGTTGTCCTGCAGGCGGGAAACGCTCATCTGCAAGCACTGCTCGAGGCGGCTGAGGATGGCGGGGTACTCTTGGGTAAGCTCGTCGCCAGCGTTGGAGTGCTCGACCAGGCGGCCAACAGCGTAGGCGGCGTTGGAGCGGGTCTGGGGGTCTTCATCACCGAGACGGTGCAGGAGGAGCTTGAGAAGAGTGGGGGTGAGGGGGGTAACGGAGCCACCCATACCGTTGATGCACTCAGCAAGAACACCGACGGCGGTAGCGCGCTCAAGGGCCTCGCTACTGCTAGCGAAGCGGAGGATGGTCTTCTCGAACACCTTCCACAGCTCAGAGAAGCTCTGGCCGAGAGCGGAGGCCATACCAGAGACGACATCAAGGGCAGTGTCAATCACGACCCAGTCGAACTCGGAGGTCTCATCACCAGCCTCTTCCTCGTCCTCGAACTCCTGCTGGCAGGGGTGCTTCTTGCCGATAATGTCAGTGATCTGGTGGATCACGTTGGTAAGCACCTTCTCATCGGCGATGAGAGCGGGACCACAGAAGCGGAGGTTCTCGGCCATGTTGCGGTTGATATCGGCGACAGTAGCACTAGCGTGGATATGTTAGCGAATGTACGCCAAAGATTGTCCAACAGGAATGATAAGGGGTATTTAAATATTCATCAGTCGTGATAAACGCGGTTCACATCACGCGTGCTCTTTGGCACGTCAAAGTGAGCTGGGTTAAGCGATAGGACTCATCTTCTGAATATGGGAATGGTGGTGAAGGGGAAAAGGCTAAGAATGAAAATAGACAAAAATAAAACAAGGAAACGTACCGGTCCTCCTCCTCAGTCCACATCTTTAGGGTGGCGGTCATGAGGATCTCACCGAACTTCTGGACCTCCTTAGCGGGCTGAACCTGCAAGGGAAGGCCAGGCTGCCATTTGGCCATTTGACCATTCTCCTCAGCGATGGCGAACAGCATAGCGTAAGAGCGGTGCAGGGTGCTGATGGTGCTCTTGCGGACACCCTCGTAGTGGTGGTCAGCGAGGGGCATAACCTGCTCAATGGTCTTCTCAAAGAAGGGCAGGAAGGCACTGCGGGTGTGGGTAACAAGGTCACCAATAACCTCAACAGCGATCTCCTTCTCAAGAGCGAGAGGAGTGGTAGCAGTGAGATCATCCCAAGCATCCTCATCGTCATCCTCGATGTCGATGTCCTCGATCTCGCCGTCGAACTCGTCATCATCGTCAGCACTGGCAACTCTGACCTTGTGGCCGGCAACAGTCACTTCCTGGCCAACAAGATCCTTGCCGTGCTCACCAAGGGAGACATCCAGATCGGTCTCATCTTGCTCGATACAAGCAAAGAGGCCCTTGACAGCACCCTCAAGGAATGGGGAGAAGTGCTCGCCGTACACCTTGGACATGGCACCCCAGAAGATGTAAGTGCTCTCCTTGAGGCGGGAGTGACCAAGGTCCAAGGCCTCTTCGGTGGCGCGCATCAAAGGCTCAACGTAGGGCTGGTAACGCTCAGGACCGGCGGCAGCAGCCATCTCGCCCATGGCGTCAGTGACGCTAGCGCGGAGGTCGAGCTCCTCCTCACTGTCCTTGACAGCGGCGAACTCCTGCAGCAAGTGCATGGAGTCGTCGAAGAAGGGGAGGAAAGAGTCGCCAGAAGAAGAGGCGAGGGAGCCAAGAGCACCAGCAGCGAGGGACTTGATCTTGAAGTCAGGGTGCTTGAAAAGGTTGTGCAGAATGGGGACAAGCTCGGACTGGTAAGGGGCAACGTCGTTCTCATCAAGACCATCAACAACAGCGTCAATGGCGCTGATGCCAGCCTTGAGGATGTCGACGATGGGGCCCTCCTCTTCACCCTTGTACTCCTGGATGGCAGTAGTAAGGTTCTGGAAAAGCAGGGGCATCAAAGCCTGGTGCTCAGCGGCAAGGTCCTCGGCCAGATCATCGGCCAAACGGGCAACAGTGTGCAAAGAAGCCATGCGGACCTTGTATTCCTGGTCGGCGAGAAGGCGCAGGACCATGGGGAAGATGTCCTTCATCTGAGTGCTGATGAAGTCAGGAGCACCCTCAACACACATACCCAAAGCGAGGATACCGGCGCGGCGGTAGTTGGCGTCGTTGCTGTTGAAGTACTGGCCAAGGGCCTGGAGCAGAGGAACGACAACCTGGGCGGGGGGGAGGCTTTGAGAAAGCAAGTCGAGGAAGGCCAGAGCGGAGCGAGGAGCGGTGATATCGTCATCGGCGGAGGAATCGTCATCGAGCTCGGTGACAATGTGCAAAGCAGTGCGAGTGAGCTGCTCACCAACACGCAGACCCTGGATCTTCATCTTGCGGTACTGGATAACCTGCATGAGGAAGCTGATGGCCTGGGTACGGACATCCTCATCGGCCGAAGTGTTGGCGGCGATCTCGTTCATGAAGATAACCAGGTCCTTCAGGTGGATCGTGAGGAGAGAGGGGTCACAGCCCAGAAGGGTCTGGAAGACCTCGAATGCCTGCATGATACGGTCCTCCTCGCTGGCATCGATGGCAGCCTTCAGAACATTGACCATGGAGGGGACCATGTTCTGGAAAGCCTTGACAGGAGCAGGGTGCAGCTCAGGCTCAATGTACATGGCCAGCTTGCTGAGAGCCAGAAGGGTGTTGATGCGGACCTCGGCGCTCTCGGGATCCTGGATGGTCTTTCCGAAGAGGGTGAAGAGGTCATCGAACTTCTCCTCGAAAGTCTCACCCAGGGTTTCCAAAATGGTGAAGAAGATGTAGATGGCAACGGCACGCTCATCCTGGTTGCCGCTATCGGCAGCGCGGAGGAGCAGGTTGGGCAGATCACCCCACTCACCGTCGTTCAAATCGATCTTGGCGACAGCTGAGATGATACGAGCGATGGAGTGGCGGACCAGAGAAGAGCTCTCGCCCATAGTGGAACGCAGGAGCTGCTCACGAATCTGGGGCTTCTGGTCGGCGGCAACCTTGAGCCAGTGCTTGGAAACCAGGCTGCGAGCCTCGACGGCCGCGAGTTGGCGAAGCTCTTGGCTCTCATGGGCAGTGGCGATCTGGATGAGGAAAACGAGGGATTCAGGCTGGCCGTAGAATTCCTTCTGCAGGACACCGGTCGCTTCCTTCACGTCACCCTGGGCAGCTAGAAGGTGTTAGCTTTGGGACAAAAAATATCTCAGTAATCGAATCAATCAGAAACTTACGATCCAGGATGACCTGCAATTGCTGCAGGAATCGTTGCTGATCCATTCTGGCGATTGTATGATGTGGTTTCACAAAACCCTTTTGTTTCGTTGTTCACTGAAAAATCCTGTGTGGATAGGAATTGAAGGCGGTCTCAGCTGCTACACTATGGTAGTTGTAAAGACAGCAAGACGGGGAGCAGCTTGTCAAGACAGACAAACAGCTCACTTGGGGTATCACAAAGAAACAACAACGAAAAGAAAAGGAAGTAAAGGAAGGAGAGGATGGTGGGGGTATGAGAGAAAAAAAAAATAACGCGGCAGAAAAAAAGTTTCATAGGGGGTGGACCTGGTCACCTGATTGGGATTAGCGTGGAGGGACCGCGGGTTAACGATTGGGCGAAATCATCAACACCAACACACCAACTTGGGCAGACGCCAGGTCTTGCTTGGGTCGCGAAGCGCGTTAGGGTTTCAAAGAGGTGGAGGAAAAAATGCGCTATCAGAGGCTTCCCAAGGTTTCAGTGACGACCTCGAATTCTGGGTATCCGAATACTCCCATATTTACGGTCGCATCGAGAGCTACATCCATGTAGTTGTGGTACAAAGAAACAATTTGCGATCTGCTATTCAAGTTCCCGGGCGAACGGTACTTTTCTAACACATGTACACATAGCTCAATGCCATTCCTTAGGTAGGGATGTGTGGACAGACCTGTAAATATATGTGTGCAAATATGTGTAGAAGAGTAGATATTCTCAACTCTTGACTACAGTATGTATGTATCCATAGTAGTTCAAGTTGCGGGAAATGGCTTGAGATTCAATTAGTAAGGACGCTTATTGGTATATAATCAATTCCATGACCGAAAGCAACTCATAAGAAAACACTTCTGCTTCATCGAAAGTTTTGTTGCGCCGATACTCCAGGATATATGAAGTTATTCCCAGTTTGCTGGAAGGTTCCTTCAATCCATCGAGATATCTCGCTAGCTATCTGGTCACTATTCTTCTCCAGGAACATCATGTGCCCATTTCCTCGGATTTCGACGCTGGGAAGTTGCAAATGTTCCACATGCATTCCTGCCTGTCGCATATATTGCACTGTACACCCGTCATACGACGCATGGAAAGACGACTCCCCCGTTACGAAGAGTACTGGGAAGCGTGATAAACTGACCAGCTGTCGCGGGGGAGGGTTGTCTGCCTGCAAGATGCAGTCTAAACTATCTGGCACACTAGAGCCATACATCACTCGAGTAATATCACGTTCAGGATCATCAACTGCTGGCATATATTTCAGAGGAGTATCACTCAGACCATATGCACGCGCAGGCTTCGCAACAAAGAAGTCCGGATTTTGAAAAGGCGGGCCAGATGGTTCAACAGCTACAATCGCATGCACGAGATGTGGTGCTTCATCTGCAATTGGCCAGGCCATAGATCCACCCTGAGAGTGCGCGATCAAGATAGCTGGCCGATTGATATCGTTGAGGAGAGCAGCGCCGGCAGCTCGCATCATTGTTTCCTGGACAACATGGTCCGCCAGCGATGGGACGGTGGATGCATAGTAGGCATCGAATATTGGATCTCCTATGGTGCCGTTTCCGGGCCACTGCGTGTGCGTCGTGCTTTGCGGCCAAATGCTGTGGTGTGCTGTGGCTGTGAAAAGCCGCTGCAAGGCCTCAGCGCTGAACTTTTTTTGTTTCATTACCCTCTCCATCTGCAATGGGCTCCGACCTCGGGCAGCCTGGTCAAGTAGGTAACATTCATAGCCTTTAGAGAGGAAAAAAGAGGCCCAGCCAGGTTCTCCATCCGGCTTGTTGAGCCAGTTCTAGGCAGCTGTTAGCATCCACTTTGTACGCAAAATTTCCTGAACTTGCATACAGTTGCAGTCTGATCGGCGCCGTGGATGAAAACAATCGGATAAGGTTGTGTAGGACCGGAGATAGGCGTCAAACGCTCCACATATATCTGGTCTGTCATAGTGTGCTCGCCATCGCTTCTTTGAATGTAGCGCCCGCCAGTGTAGAAGTAGGATCGAATATGGGGGATTTCTATGGCAGCGCACATGAAAGGAAGGACCAGAGCTCGAGCCAGTGTTTTGTAAAACATTTTGTGATGTTAACCTCCAAGAATTGTTTGAGATGCACTACTAGTAAGTAGAGGGAACCTTGAAACTTATATCTTGAAAAATAAACAATAACAAAAGATAATAGTAATTTCAAATACTATTAATGAATACATCCTTTCAGGATCCCAAGGGTGCATCACTCACAGACAATACCCCCTACATTTGTGAGATAGTGCACGCCACCTTTGGGCGGTGCATGGGCGGTGCAAAGGGGGCGTGCACGGTTAGTGGGAAATCGGGATCGTAGTTATGCGACATAGCATCTCGTGTGTGGAAATCTAGAATTGCGCCACATCTTTGGGAAGGATACAGTTCTCCATACTTGCAATAGATTCACAGTTAGTATTCTGATCGCGCCACAGGGCTGCCCCTATTCTTTCTTTCTATTATATAATTCTAACATACGCTTCCGATTCCTTATCCCTAGGTATACCGCAGTGTCGATGTATATTTTCCAATTTGGATGAATCCATACAAACTTGAACTTGAAATGCATTCAAGTTTGAAGTATTAGTTATCACCAACTCCCGAAATACGATTATTTATGCCTATATACAGTAGAATCGATCTACTGAGGCCTTAAATCATTATGAGAATGATACTTGTTGCCGATAAGTCCACTTTTAAATTGTGAGCTTCCATAGTAGAGTCGGTTCAAGCTCAAGTTCGGATGGCTAAGGACCTCAGGCCAACATGCACCAGACTATCCCTTGCTTGGTGAACCCCATGTCAGTGGACCCCCACTGAGCTCTCAGTGGGGGTCACATGACCAAGCTTCTTTGTTTACATCTAATATGTTACGCGGCTTACGCGGCCCATACAAACACACCCAACCTCCCCCTTTCAAAGATATATGCTCCCTTGGTCCAGCCACTGACATACAAATCTTTTCCAGAGGGAATCAAGGACCGATGGTGTAGAATATTGAGGAATGGCGCGTTAATCTAGAGCGTTGGACGTATGAGCTAAAAATCCATAAAATTACCATATTGGTACAGCAGTCGTCTACTTCATTAACTTGCGACACCATAGACTAGAAATCTCAAATTAGCTTACCCGGACTACTACTATCATAATATCGGGGCACGGTAGTCAGATGGAATGAACAACCTTGAACAAAGTAATTTTGCGTCTAGTCGGTCCTTTTCCTCCCGAGAGTTTCTTCCCGACTGAAAGAAGTCCCTCACCACCTTTTGAACTTGTACATTTACTACTTATGTCGTAACTCACCCTATGGACTCTTATGTATTTTCTGAATTTCCAAATCATAATCTCTTAGTGTTTCCCACTTTCAAGTATGGCCATTTTAACCACCCCTTTATGCGCCCCCTCTTACACCTCCTCGAGGGAATAATTTAATAAGAAACTCAGCGATAATGGAGGTACAAATGCTAAACTATTGTAAGAGCATCTACTCCGAGCCCCGATAAGCAGTGGGGTAGCCGCTATACCATGACTCCGTCCTACATACATAAAGCACCGGGATCTATAATTCAAACACCAACGTACCCTCGAATCCAACTAACACAACGTACGACAACCACATCACAAACCCACCGGAAACCAGAAGACCTTCCAAGCCTCGAAGAATAATATCCACAACCAAACTAATAAGAAAATGATCACTTTGCATTTTGATCCGGTGTTAAATGGGAATGATTAATCATGCGATCTGCCGCTGCACGCTTGAGGGATTCCGAGTCGATCACGCCTCCACGAATCACAAGCCACACTGGGCCCATGCCGCGCAGATCATCAAAGTGTATGGTTCACAATCCCAAAACATAATAGATATCACGATGTCTCCCAAGGTTGATTCCCCGCAGAGACAGACACGTTGAACTAGGAGTCAAAGTCAATAATAGCGAGTAGGAAGATGTTAAAATAGATAAAAAAAGAAATTTATTATCGGTTTAAAATAGTAGGAGCAAGTGACCATCCCCGATTTCGCAACAGGATACACGTCAGCCTTTCTATATAGAGGGCTCTTTCGCACTACTTGAAAGGATATTGAGGTTAAACAGATCTTTTTTCGTCACGCGATCACTCATATTGCCTTTCATAGCCATGCATACCACTTTGCTGAGTTTGTTCGCGTTTACTGCCCTCTCTACAGCACGACCAAATGTATACTTCATCCGACATGGCGAAAAGCCTCAACATGGCGGTATAGGTCTGAGTGATGATGGTCTCGAACGAGCAGAGTGTATTCGTGATATATTTGGGAGCCATTCAGGTTACGATATTGGATATATTATGGCTCAAAAGCCAAAGAAGAGTAAGTGGTTCTCCAGGGTATCAGACTTGAATATAAGCCCCCTCTTCCCCCAACTTGAAGGCTATAGACCAACAAAATCCTCTTCATCAACAGGCGGAAAGCGAAACCGACCGTACGAAACAGTGAGACCGCTCGCCGAAGACCTGGACATCAAAGTCGATATATCCTGCAACCGAGACGATCCAAAATGCGTCAAGAAGAGGATCAAGAAGTACAAGGGGGAAGGCAATATTCTAATTTGCTGGGAACACCATCGAATGACAGATCTGGTAGAAGCGCTTGGGAATGAAGATGCTCCAGAATATCCCGATGACCGGTATGTGCCCTCATTTTTTAGAGAATGGATATGCACAGACAACTTTGAAGATCTGATCCCTGACTTGAAATTACTAGGTTCGATTTAATCTGGACTATTTCCTACCCTTATAATGATATTACGGAGATAGTCAGCGAGAAATGTCCTGGGCTGGATTGATCTCCTGATAACTGGAATGTTCACGACACTCTATGAACGGAGTGGCAGAGTGATTATGATCTTTTTGGGAGCCGCATACATTTTCAGAGCTGGCTCTGTGTCCCTTGCATTAGCATTGTTAGGTTCTAGCGTTATAAACCCAATATTACTACGAATAATCCTTAAGTATCTGAATATCTTCAAATGATCTTCTATACCCTGCTATAACTAGACTATACATTTCCCTCTTGTTTATACTAGCGGGACCTTTCCCCTATTTTGTCCTCCTGAGATTTGTTGACTGCGTCGGTGTGTCGGCCGTCTCTCCAGAACTAGCCACATTATTTATACTGCAACTAACAGTTACAGGATGGATCGAAATCAGTTTCACCACTCGCACAGAGATGCTTTCTCGAACCCTTCTTCAAAACACGCCACATAGTCTGGCTTCTGGCTAGTCAGTTTCAATTCGTGTCTTGTATTGAAAGATCTTACCCCGGTGGTCATTTTCATACATTACTTGAAACGCATTGATACTGGCTCTAAGTAATTTAACACATCTACATTCTAGACCTACTGCGAACAGACTGAGCTGTCACATAGTCAAGTGACTGATGCGGTACCTTTAAATTACCCGGATCCGACTCCGGAACATAATAGGGGCAGATAATTTATTCGACCTCCTCCTTCCTTGACGCAGATAGAACTTTTGTTCTGTCGCTGACATTGCTTCCGTCATCCTGATATAACCTGAACCTGTGACCGCCAATAACCATGGATTTCGATCATCTTGCTGAAAAGAAACAGGAGCAGAAAGCCGCTGTCTGGCTGAATCGTTGGTCGGGTCCACGGCCAGAAATCTCGTCCATGCAAATTGCTGAGAGACATCGACCAGGTAAACCTGTATCTGCATGTCTATGGAAAGTCGGTGCTTTTGATATTTGCTATCGGGTCCGATATGATACGGGACCTCATGTTATTGTCCCTTTCGCTTCTCTTAGACGCGCTATTTGCCGCAGGGAAAAAGCCCAAATTGAAGTTGCAACCATGAAGTGGATACGTCATAACACTTCTATCCCTGTTCCTGAAGGTTGTGGCTCCGGGATTTGCTGGGAAGGCCCGTATATTGTTATGGCATTTCTTGAAGGAAGGCCATTGTCGGAGATGCTTCGGGGATTCTTCTTTGGCGGGACGACCGGTCCTGAACCCACAAATAAATAATCTCAAACCCAAGAGGGCCTACAGCAAAATGGCTTCATATATACTCGAGCTTTATCAGCATGAATTTGATTCCATTGGTGCACTTGAGTAAAAAGAAGGCAGTTTCTTCATCACTCGACGACCACTCACCTTCAACATAAATGAATTGATGGCGTCTGCGGATTTACTGAGAGAAGTTTTCCCTTCAAATAGCTTTAAATCGGCGACATAATATTTTCAAACGCTTGATATGCAACATCTTTTTCCATCTTCGATTACAACAACAAGATGCTGTTAGCAGCAAGGAAGATTGCCAGAGGAAATTTATCGCTCGCTGTCTGTTTTTAGAGATTACAAAAAGTTTTTGCGATGAGCGTCCTCAAGGGCCATTTCGATTATATTGTGACGACTTCCGTCCTTCAAATGTGCTCGTAGATATCGCTACTGAGCGTGTCTTGGGTGACATTGACTAGGAGTTCACATATGCCGCACCTGCTGAGTTTACATGGGTAGCTCCCTGGTGGCTCTTGCTGCAAAGTCCGGAGAACTGGTAGAATAATCTCGATCAGTTTCTGATTCGCTACGTACCATTTCATGCTTTTCTGGAAATTCTTTGCGACCATGAAAACAAACTAATTGAACAACAATGTCTCTCAGGGTCACAGCGTCTGGCTCCCAGCATGAAAGATTCCATAAATTCTGGGTTATTTTGGACCTGCTTAGCAGCAAGATACAGCTCCACATTCGACAAAATTTATTGGAAATTTATCGACCATTGGTACTATGGAACCTTTAATACACTGGATGACCGTCTTCAACTTTTGAGCGAAGAACAGCGACAAGAAATGAGAGAACTCGTGAAGCTCAAGACTGACAAGTGCGCAGGAGATCAAGAAAGTTTTTGCGACCACTATCCAATTGATGAGCTGCTTGAATTATGATTTATGAAGATTTGGTTCCACTTCGATTTAATAGTGGAATTTCTCTGACTTACTATCTGAGAACATTGACCAGTAAGCACATAGTGTCAGAGCTACGTCTTCTTGAGTGTCTCGCGAGATCACTTTTTCATTTACCGTGACTTTCTATAGTATATCCGCAGCCTGCTTGAATCACGTCAATTGACCTTTAGATATGCTATTCGGATTGCTCGACCACTAGAAGGCTTTCTGGACCGCGTTAGGACTTGTCTTCGACACCATCCTCAGAGTAATAAGTCGGTGAGTCACGCCCGCACTTGGAGGCACGCGTCTTACATAAGTCCAAGTAATGAACCCGATTTCGATCCATGGTGTAGATAAAAGAAGGTCGGATAATTCAATTCGAATGTGCGGTTGTTGCTGTTCTTTGACTGCGGATATATCCAAGCCTGTTTCCTGAAATAGCCGGCAACAGCCGGACCGGCTTGCTAGCTCAGCTCGACGCATCCATCCTCAATAGACACCAGAAGCGTGTCCAAATAACCAGCAACTATCGGCCTGAGTACTATAGGAGGCAGGTAGACTTTATATTTAATCAATTTGTTCATTTAATGAGTTATTTTCGATCGCGCGGTATCGTCAAATCATAGTCAAAGACTCCCTATGTACACATCCACATCCTGACAAAAAGAGAAATAGAGCATTTAAGCCTTCTCAGGATTCTTAAAATGACGCTTCAGTGGCGTCCAGCTGTGGTCATTGTATTCCTCCTGCACCTTCTGGCACGTCTTCAACCCCCATTCAGAAACACCAACCATGAGAGAACTGTAGAATATTAGAACCAAGAAAGCAATTCAGCAATCCAGCAACTGCAATGAAGAACATACCTTTCAAACATAAACGCCATACTTCCCTCTCCAACCTTAGCAGGTTCAAGCTCCGCATTACTAGCACCCTCAAATGCAGAAGAGTCCGGACCATGAGCGCTCATAACATTGTGCAAGCTAGCTCCAGCCGGTTGAAATCCACCCCCAGTCTTAGCATCGTAGTTACCAGCAATTAAACCCATGAACTCAGACATGGTATTTCGGTGATACCAGGGTGGACGGAAGGTATTTTCAGCGACCAACCAACGAGGAGGAAAGATGACAAAGTCGGCAATAGCAGTACCGACATGATCAGATGGCCCGGTTAAGACTGTAAAAATTGAAGGATCGGGATGATCAAATGAGATAGAGCCGATGGTATTAAAGCGGCCGAGATCATATTTGTAGGGATAATAGTTTCCATGCCAAGCGACAACATCGAATGGGGTATGATTCTGGCGGGCGGAGTAGAGGGAGTTGGCAAATTTGCTGTACAGTTTGTATTCGGCTGGTTCTTCTTCGTCATCGAATGAGGCGACTGGGGCTTGGAAGTCGCGCGCATTAGCTAGACAGTTGGAGCCGATGGGGCCCAGCTCAGGAAGCTCGTAGTGGCCTTGGTAAAGCTCGCAGATGTAACCGCGAACTGGACCGTCGGGGAGTGTAACGCGGTATCTGAATTTTATTAGTACTGAATAGCTTTTTTTTTGTTGAGTTGTCTAGAGGGAATGGGAAAGTAATACCGAACTCCGCGAGGAATCACGCAAATCTCATTCGGGCGCAGAATAATGCGGCCCAATTCCGTTTGGATATCCAACACGCCATGCTGGGGAACAATAAGGAAATCCCCATCAGCAGAATAAAAGGCCTCTTTACCCATATCCTTGCCAACAGCATAAAGTAAAATTCCCAATCCTTGCTTTAAAGTCGGGTCACCAGCACCCGAAACCAAATGCAAACCATGGACCCAGTCAACCTTCTCATCGAAATCGAACGGGTTCCATCGAAGCTGGTTAGGGATATGGTGTAACTTGTGTGTCTCGGTAGTCATGCGGGTATGATATGAGTCCTGTTCCTCAGCAACGAAGCTCTCATGCGCCGCAGCTGGAATAACACGATAAACCCATGTCTGCTTGTTCTCACGACGGGGTGCTGTGAATGCTGTGCCCGAGAGCTTCTCCGTATACAAACCATACGGAGCTTTCTGTGGCGAATTTTGGCCAATTGGCAAAGCTCCCTTGATAGCTTCCGACCTGGAAAAAAAGATTTAAATTAAACATGACCTCTCTCTCTATCAAAATAAGCAGAGATTGAATAAAACTCACTCGTGATACGAGTCAAAGCCAGTCTGGTAGGTGTATGGATCCGGATGGGCGAAGTTAGTAACAGGCATGATGGGCGAATATGTGCTAAGATCCAAGATCCAAGATCGATAAGATGGACAGAACGAGACTTTGTATCCGGCTCGCGACCGAGGTGCAACTGCCTTACAGGAATTGCGTAACTCCAGCTCCGCGATTATCCCCATGACCCTCACAGTTCAATTCCGCACCCCGCATCCAAGCGGGTGCGGAGCCATTCCGCACAAGCCGGAATGCAATATCGAGCGGACAGTTAAGTTGGCCAAGCTCGCAGAATAGAGAACATTTTAATTTCTGCATCTCTCAATCCAATCACAGCATAACCAATTCATCATGGCTTCGTGGTTTCAAATCCCCAAGAACTCGCCCTTCTCACTGGCAAATATCCCATTCGGTATCATCTCGTCTCAATCCGCATCTAAAGTCAAAGTCCCCGCCATTGCGATCGGTGACCACGCCTTGAACCTTAGCAGCTTCGCGTCATCCGGAGGCTTTTCACAACTTCCCACAATTCAACGGCACCTAGCTGTCTTCAACGAGCCAACGCTCAATGCTTTTGCAGAGCTAGGCCGACCAGTGCACCGCCAAGTGCGCGAGTATCTGCAGAATGTCTTCAGCGCCGATACCAAGTATCCCCAGATTCTGAAAGACAACACCGAGCTGCAGAAACAGGCTCTCCTCCCACTTTCACAGGTTACAAACCATGTCCCAATGCAGATTGGCGATTACACCGATTTCTACGCTGGAAAGAACCACGCGTATAACATCGGAGTTCTCTTCCGCGGACACGACAACGCCCTGCAACCCAACTACACCCATCTACCAGTTGCTTACCACGGACGTGCTTCATCTGTCGTTCCCTCCGGTACACCGCTGCACCGACCCAGCGGCCAAATTCTAGCCAACCCAACTGCCGATCCCAAGGTCCCAATCTTCTCCCCCTGCAAGCGTCTCGACATCGAGCTCGAACTAGCAGCATTCATCAGCAAACCCAACGACCTCGGTAAACCCGTCTCCATCGACGAAGCCGAAGATCACATCTTCGGCCTTGTCCTGATGAACGACTGGTCCGCCCGCGACATTCAGGCATGGGAATACGTTCCGCTAGGCCCCTTCAACGCGAAGAACTTTGGCACAACAATCACTCCCTGGGTCGTTCTTCTCGATGCCCTCGAGCCATTCCGAGCAGCCGGTCTCGAGCCTGGAAACCGCGAAGGACTCCTTCCCTATCTGCGGGAGAGGCGCGCCGAAAACGCCTACGAGATTCCACTTGATGTCGAACTTACCAACAAGGGTGGACAACCTACTCAAATTTCTCGGAGCAATGCTCGTAATCTGCTTTATTCTTTCCCTCAGATGGTTGCTCACCATACAGTTACCGGGTGTAACTTGCGAACTGGTGATCTGCTTGGCTCGGGTACTATTTCTGGAACTGAGCCTAAGAGCCAGGGTAGTCTTTTAGAGCAGACTAATGGTAAGACACCATTGAAATTGGCAGATGGCTCTGAGAGAATGTTCCTGGAGGATGGAGATACTATTGTTTTGCGGGGTGTTGCAGGTACCGAGGGCAACTATGTTGGTTTTGGTGATTGTGTTGGCACAATTCTGCCCCCTGTATCTCACTCTCACTAGAACAAAGGGGGTGCAAGAGAAAAGATAAATGGAATGAAACGGAATGTTAAATTGACGACTACCTAGCTTGAATGATAAATCGATTGATACACTGAATCACCACGAAGATACAGTCCCTGAACGTGCTTCACTGAAACCTATCCCCTCAAACCCTCAACTCAACAGGCGTATCATCCTGATTCCTCCAATGCCCCAAAGCCACAGCCTCCACCCCCTCCAACCTCCTAACAATCCCCTCCGTAACCGGAAACGCTCCCAAATCAACACCCACCCTCTCCGCCCCCCAAGCAGCAGGAATAAGACAAATATCCGCAACACAAACAGTATCACCAACACTAAACCTCCCCGCGGAATTCTTCACAAGCACCTCATAAGCCTCAAGACCCTGCTCAATCAACTCCCTAGACCACTCCGCTCTATCAGCACCTAGTACCCCAACACGCTTGAGGATCCTAAGGTTCGTAACAGGTTGCACGTCGCAGGCGATAATAGAGGCTAACGTGCGGGCTTGGGCTCTCATTTCTGGATCAGAAGGGAGGAGAGCGGGGCCTGTAGATTTGAATACTTCATCGATGTATTCGAGTGCTGCGAGAGATTGGGTTATGGTGATGGGGTCTTGAGTGCCGTGCTGGATTATTAAGGCTGGGACTAGGCCGGAGGGGTTGATTGCTTTGTGTGATGGGGATGATTGTTCGTCTTTGAGGAGATTGACGAATACGGGGGTGAATGGGATTCCTTTGAGATGGAGTGCGATGCGGAGTCGGGCTGAGCATGAGGAACGGAAATAGGTGTATAGAGTTACGGTGGACATGGTTGGGATGAGATGAGATGAGATGTAGCTGTGAAGATGTGAATGAAGATACTATTGTTTTCCAGGAATAAGAATATGTAAATAATGACTAGGTACACATCTTCATTATAATGTCAACTGACATTGGTATTATTGTTACTCTCGGGCCTATGGTGCCGTCCATCCATGAAACCTTGATGCATATAGTCACCGCGGAATCAGTCCCGCTGTCGGAATCCCCATGCTAAATACCGTCGCTTTCCGTCGTTGATCGTCATGGACCCACTCAACGCGGGGTCCGGTCTCGACTTGTTGGCTTTCTTTGTTTGGCTAAGATCAACTTGGATGACAATTCTTTAAATGGATATTTGTATTGGTCGATCTTTTAAGTCTGGACTACAGTGCGAAATGCAAGCTTCGAATCCATATGCTTCATCTAATCTACCTATACTGGTGCTTTGGTGCTTTGGTGTGCACTGCTATTCTGAAGCACCCCAAGCTCGATCGTGATGTGAAATGTGAAATCATCTTCAGACTGATGTATTTATGACCAAAAAGGAAAGAAAGGGAAAATGCATATACACATAATATAATAATGAATGCTAAATCAAGCAAATGAAACGCCCGCCTGGGGTGTGGAATGAAAGGGATGAAGTCTGGCAAAAAGAAGAAAGGTCCATCGCGTTGTTTCCGCCTCTTTAACGGCAAGGATTTGTTCGTGTTCATCGGCCATGTTCCAGACTTGGCACGATGACTGGCCCATACTTGACTACATTGGCATAGGCCCCTTCTCCCTGTACCATGAAGTCTGCTGCCAAACTCAGCTTCGATTGTGAGCCTTGTGTGGCACCCGCAGGGCTGAAAGGAGTTGAAGGTACAACATCCGGGTCATAAGCCACGATAGCGACATAATTTCGACGAGCCATGAGTTTACGGTGCTCGCGAGCCTGACCATTGATATCATTCTGAAAGATCTCCATCATGTCTTCTTTCGTGTCGGTGGGTTGAGACGACGATCTGTGTCCATTCGCCGGAACGTACAAGGGCTTACTGCTATTGTGCAGAAGTTTAACAACGTAGGACGGTGGTGGAGTATTGACAGACGGCGATGCAATCAGCTGGTACATAGTCTTGTGATCAGACGGTTGGCTTGGATCGTGAACAAGACCAGCACCGCAGACATTAACAGACCCAGAGAGGAAAGTCATGCGGAGAGATTTTTGGTGAGCGATTCCCTGCAGAGTGCGAATCAAGTATGTCCGTTCGAGGTCTTTGGATTCATGAGTCCATTGGTCGCGTAACTCATCCATCATATCGAATTCTCCAAAAGGACTCAAGATACTGCCCATGAGACCAGACTTTCCAACAGCACGCTTCACAGAATCAAAGCCAGAGCCGACAAAATCCTTGGCTCCTACCACACCAGCGACCGAGCTAGTGACCTTACCTAGCAAATTATAAGTCCCAGTCACAGCCCGCTTGCCGGTAGCGACGGTTTGGGCGATGTGTTCAGCGGTCTCCAATCTTGGGTATATAAGAGGTACTGCTACCATCCATAGACAATGCTGGACACTGGGAGGTAGCATTGCCACTTTGGGGAAGATACCTTGGTATGTGGGACCAGCCATCACTTGATGGGGGTTGCGCTCCGAACGACAATCCGGGCCAACCACAACCACACCAGGGCCGAGATATTTGACAAAGTGCCAGCCAGTTCCAGTGATTGTGAATAGGTCAGTATCATTGTTAGCATTGCGAAGAATGTCCAGCGTTGTGTGATGCTGAAACAACAGATACATCTCGATCCCAATCCGCCCAATGTTCTTGAACATGTTTGAAAATTGCATGTGATCGGGATATGAGCCAAAGCCGTCGAATCTAGGAGTTAAAAACGATTAGTTTTGATATTACTCAAAGTTTGAATTTTCTTCACTCACATATCATGGTCATCGATTTGGCAGATATAGGGAATCTGTGCAAATGACTCCCGTAGGTATGGCTGGTCAAAGTGGCTAGTATAGTAGTGGAAGTATGCGTGAGAGACATCCTGCTGGTTTGCAGCTGTCCAAGGCGCATTCTTTCTGGCTTCTTTCCCACTGATAGCTAGCCACTGCTTCAGACAAGCAATCTCTTTCCACATTCTATCTGCATAAATCTGCCCTCCGAGACACAGTTGGGCGTGGAAGCCACCTATCTCATTGTGCTTTTGCATGATATCTTTCCATACGAAACCGACACCTCCCAGGCGAGCTCGCTCGTTGGCATTGACATTTACCGAGAAGTCGTTCCCAGATGTTGCAATAAAGCGCCAGTTGGTCTCATGTCTGCCTGCGACAAGGAACTCGTAACGGGTACAACCAAGATGCGAAGTGATGGCATAGGTCCATTTTGCTGGACTCATATCATCCATTTGAATATCCACCTCGTACTTGTAGAATGTCCATCTTTGATGAGCCGCGATATTATTGCCCTTCAATTGTCTCGGGTTTGGAGACAAATCAGCGCTCTGGTGAAGATGTATCGTTGGAGGCTGGGCGGAATCAGTCACAAGGAGAATGGAGCCCATCCAAATTCCACGCTCAATGTCCATATTGGTGTAGCGTAGATAAGGACCGAAGTAAACACCATTTGTGGGAGCTGTCTTGTATAAGTCTACCCCACTGCTGGGTGGTGGTCCAGAGAATCCTGTAAGGGGAGACTGGAGGCTCTCAAAGCCAGGAGTCATAGGCATCCCTGGAGAAGCCATGGGTTTACTGAATGCCGACAGCCCAGGGGAAGCTAATGCCGATAGACCAGGCGAGGCTAACGGGTGGCTACTGAACACACTTCCAACGGGTGACATAGGCGTTTCGTTCATATTCAAGGGAGTAGGTCCCTTTGGAAATTCCCACTGCGTCGATTGTGTTGTCAAATGAATGTAATAGTACTGGCCAGAACTTGGATCCATGTGGGCCATCCAGCCCTCTGGGAGGGGCGGCGGGGACGCTGGTGGAAGTGCAGAAGATGGTCCAGGAGACATAACCTGCTGGTGCACGATCTGTTGGTGTACGGGATGTCCATTTGGTACAGCGCTTTGAGGGGATTGTCCCGATTGAGGCTGCTGCCGAGGATCATTGGCAAATGCAGGATGGTCTTGTGGTGAGACTGATGGGGCAGAAGAGGCAGTCGCAGAATTGGCAGAGTGAGATTGATTCATAAATGCGGGATGGCCTGCCATGGCTGTCCCAGCAGCGGCTCCGGCAGCAGGTCCAGCAGGTCCAGCAGGTCCAGCAACTACATTACTCTGCTTTTCCGCTGGATAGTTGTTTGCCGGTGCGGCACCTGGGATGGTCGAATAAGCAGGTGGTGGCGAGGAGCTCAAATTCATCCGGTCCATATCTTGCTCAAGCGCATTGGTTGGAATGGGGGACTGCTGTTGTGGCTGTGGCTGGGCCTGCGGTGGTGACTGTTGTCTATACTGAGGCTGGGTCTGCTGCTGTGACTGAGCAGGTGGAGGTGTGGGGTAGGATTGCGGCTGTGGTGGCGGGCTACTGTATGCGGGATGTACTGGATGGACTGGAGTTTGCTGCTCTTCACCAGCTACATCTGCACCTTGATATACTGTAGGTGGGCCGTGTGGTTGAGTACCAGGCTGCTCGGTGGGCGTCCATGGCCTCCTTGGAGCAGGTTGCTGCTGCTGAACAGGCTGCTGTCCAGAATACTGTGCTGCGCGTGACTGTGCCGCGAGACTCTGCGTTTGCAGACTAGTAAGTGTCCCAGTACCAGCGATTCCAGATGCAGCATAGCGGGCTTCGATATCCGAGCCAGGCTGCTGACCTGGGCCCACCACGGGTGTTTCTGGTGGGGGTGGAGAGCCACGCTGAGCGCGAGTGGTGGAAGTCGAACTAATTCGATTGATTCCACCCGACTGCGGGGGCTGAAGTGTAGAAGGTGGCCGAGCAGACGAGGGACGTGAATTTGTGCGCTGAGGAGGTGGGAAGTATTGTTGGCGAAAGTCGTACTGTGATTGCGGCCTCTCCGACGGAGCATTGCCCACAGGAGCAGGAGGAGCAGCGGAGGTGATCTGTGGAGGGCGAGGGTATTGTCTAGCTGCGAGAGATTCTAGAGTTGGCGAATCTGCGCCGGGGGACTCTGGCAGTGGCTTTGGCGCATTTCCACGCCGTTCTGCCAGGGTTGCGACTCGAGGCTCGCGACTATCTCGCGGGCGCAAAGCCGGGGGGTAATCAGCGGGGCTCACAGAGCCGGAGCTGATGGGCGGGGACCCATATCTATGAGGGTCGGCGGGCCACCCATCATTAGAAGAGGAAGTGCGCATTTGAAGACGAGGTCTGTCATCTGGGTAAGGTAGCGGAACGTTTGGTGGGCTAGCAGGGGATGCTGAAGACGCTGAGTCTCTTTTGTTGATTCGCAGTGGTCCAATCCGTGATGAATCGCCTGGCCTGCTGGGAGGGTTGTTCATGAACAACTCCTCGTCGGGGTGAATACCACGACTATCGCCGGGATTCATTCTGCAGGGGAGGGGCAAGACGATCTTGGGGCGGATTGAGAGGTGCAGGATGCAAGAAGCCGAATATTTATTCCAGGGTATTTTTAACCATTCCTGATCACAGGGCTAAGCGCCGAGCTTGCTGTGATTGTCCTTCAGCAGCAGCAGTAGAGCGGGGCATGATGGGTGAGGGGTTGTGATTCGCTGTCTCAGAGGGGTAGCACATCCTGGGCGCTTCGAGTACAGAAGGCACCATCATTACGGCCCAATGCCAGAAGGTTGCTGGACATCCACATGAAATGAAACAAGAGGTTTTCTGGGAAATCAGGAGAAAATAGAGAAAAAAATCCCGTTTATTATTGCAACTTTGTACAAACTATGGACATTGTTGGTCCACACATTCATTAATCCTTGGGACGTGCTCGGGAAAGGCTCCACATTGACACCTGAGGCTGCCTATCACTCTCTTTATGGACCAAAGCGGAGCAATATGTAGTAACCACACCATCTGGTTGGCGTTTAGTGTGTAATTTTGAAGTATGGCCCAATCTAATCTATGGTGATTTTTTTATGGGAGCAAAAAGATAAGCAGAAGAAGATGGACCTCAGGCTTCCGTTATGTCTTTCGAAGATGAAGATGGACGGAATCGATATGTTTTTGGAGAGAATCTTTACTCGAACAAATTTTTCCATATCCGGGGTGTTCAGAGTGGAGGGTATTTCCAAGATGGAGGGAATCGACATCATTAATATTCTTTAGAAAATCATTTTTGCCATATGACTTTCTACATTCGGGGTATTCACAAGGATATTCCTTTTGGTTTGTACCCGTCATATCCAATGACTAGTACCTGGGTAATAGACACATTTGCGTCTCCTCCCCTCTCGAAAACCATCAACATCATTATCTTTGTACTATGTACTATGTACTCTGTATATATTTTGATATCATGATAGATTCAATTTAGAATCCAATATTTCACTCTTTATGTATAAGAGCTATATAAAAGAAGTGCATGTAGTAGGGGAGTCTACGCAGCTTGACTGCACTCTAGATCGGTCAAATCAAAAGGTTTCCACTATCCTCTCCCCTTGAAAAAACATTCACTTTGTAAGACATCTCAACTTTTCAAAAATGTAGAATGGGGTATAGTTCCTGATGGAATTTGATTGGCCGATATTCATCATGTCATGTGACCACGAGCCCGAGGCTTGGCAGATCCAACTGGGCTAGACGCTGGAAGTACCATCATCAACATTTGCGCATCATCACATAATGGCATCATTTCGATTGCAAGGATTGCGCTCGACTCTGAGAACCCAGTCAGGTCCCCTGCGCTACCAGCAGCGCCGATGGGCTCAGGTTCACGATGTCCGCTTTCTTGCTTCGCACCATGACCCCAAGCATGTATTGGACAAATATCAGTCCAAGCTCAATGAGAAGGCTAAGCAGTGAGTTTTGGAAAATACAAAATAAGACAAAACGAGCGCTGACATTCAATTCTTCCAATACAGCGAGGGCCACGAGTCTGTCGACTCCTTAAAAGAGGCCTACAGCGATAAAATCCACGAGATGCGCCGCGAAGCCTCAACAGCAACCACCCCAGAGCCCGAGACCAAACCCCCCGGTCAAGAAGCCCCAATCACCCACGCCGCAAGAAAAGCGACCGGAAAGGCAAGCCCCATCAAGCCTCTCAGCACATACCTAGACGTCGAGAAGATCCGTGAGCTGCCCGCCAAGGAAATCGAGGCCCTCTGGCGTCTTCGCTTCGCCAACAACCCGACGGCTATCTGCGCCGCCATTCCCCTCGAAACATACCACCGCATTATGAGAGCTGCTCGCGAGAACCCACAATTTGTCCTGCCACTCCCCCGGCCCACCGGCGAAGAACAGGAAGAAACCACAGCTGAGATCCACTTTCTGCAATGGGCATTCCACCCGCCAGCAGAGCCAAGCGCAACTGTCTCCCCATCAGGGCAGACGGTTAACAACCACGTCTCCACTTGTATCTTCACACCTCTCGGCGCGTTCAAGATGCATGGCTCTTTCGCTCAGCCGCATACAACTATTACACACTATTTGGATTTGGCGGATACGAAGGGTCTCGTCCTGATGCATGGACAGGTTGTACCCGATCGAGGTGTTTCGACCACTGAGGCCACTTGGCTTGTTAGCTGTGTGCAGCGTTTCTACGACTTTGATGGACAGGCGAGTGGTCGAAAGAGCGAGCTTGTTCGCATGTTCACTCGGGGAGATGTCGAGAACTTCAAGGTTGAGGAGCTCATGGAGGAGTCGGAGAGAATTCAGTAGATTCTTTATACGACGACCTGTACTATATGTTAAATTATACCTGTATAATGGTTCAGAATTTCCTGCCCATAGATTCAAATGCTAAGCAATCTCTTTCATTCTATATCCCAACCATCATTAGGATGGTAAGTGCTTTCTAACTAAACATAATTCACTCATAACCTCTTTTCATAGATGGGTAATTAATTATGGTTAAGCATGCGATGCGCTGTTACATTGGAACTCTTTGACTCAAGCTTTAAGGCCACTCGTTATCGGTTCTGCAACGCGGGCTCAAAGCTTCGACTCCTTCTTTCCGGTGACATTTGCGACTTCTTCTCCCGACAAGAGGAAATCCGGGTACTGCAGGTTACCAATGCCACCTGATGTGCGCCAATTTGCACCGTCGACTGTAAAATATCAGTAATCTATATCGACAATGAAAGAATACTGCTGTGGAACTTACCAACAAGTGTCTGGCCACTAACGTAGCTACCAGAATCGGAGAAGAGATACACAGTAGCATCGGCGATGTCCCGCACATGTCCCACGCGGCCTAGAGGCTGAGACCTGGTGTATGCCTTCTTGACGTCTGTTGGAAGAAGACGACCCAATCCCTATCCAAGTAGTTAGATTCTGCTGTTATCGTATGGATATTTCAAGTTAAAGAAACTGACCTCAGTAGACTCGATAGGACCAGGAGCAATGATATTAGATGTCAAACCACGAGGACCGTACTCAACAGCAACAGAGTTGGATAAAGAGTCAATACCGGCCTTAGCGACAGAGACATGAGCCTGAAATGGCATGCCGCGGTAGTGAAGGGTAGCGCTAACAAAAATGATTCTACCACCGGTGCCGGACGGCGATGGGTCAACTGAAGGAAATATTAGCCAACTATGGTCGCGGGGCTCTCATGTAAATTGGCGGGTCAACTTACGAGTCTCAGAGTCAACTCTATGCTTCTTGCCCGACTCCATCAAATAAGGCAAAGTAGCCTTAAGTGTATTGTACGAGCCCAGGATGTCAATATCCATAACAGACTTGAACGCATTGACAGATAATTGCTCAATAGAAGCGAGAAAATTACCCGCAGCTCCAGCACTGTATCAAAATGTCAGAAATAGATACTCCACTCAAATCGTAGGTAGGTTGAGATACATCACAAAATCAATAGCGCCGAGCTCCTTCACACAACGCTCAGCAGCATCCTTCAGGCTGTCGAACTTGCGAACATCCACAGAGCCAATACCAATGACCTTGGCATTGGGACGAATGGAGGCAATCTCCTTTGCGACTCGCTCGGTTTTCTCTACATTGCGACCGATAATACACGCATTAGCACCAAGATGCACTAATGCGCGAACCTGGGCACTACAGATGGTGCCAGCACCGCCTGTACAGAAGACGACTTTGTTTTCTGTTCTGGTGTCAGCAGGGTGATTCGGGCATATTATAATATCATCTAACAAAGAAATCGGATATTCAATACCGAAGATGCCATCTTTCCAGATATCGCTCATATATTCAGTCTTTGAGGGGGCCATGATGATTATGGTATTGCTGATAGTGACTTTTGGGAGTTGAAAAGGGAGAATATGGACGATGAGAAGGTGGAGCTGGTAGCAATGGGGCCAAGTGAAGATGACGATGATGATATGTGAGCTCCTTTTGGGGGCAGAAGATATGTACATCACACCGTCGGATTTTCCCCACAGCCACAGATGAGCCTCGGCTCGACCGGCATTGGCCTGAAGCACAGTTATGCTGATGCATAATCAACTCCGTCTATTAGGCTCTACGAAGTATATTGGGAATTATCACAATTTATGTGAACTTAACTCAAATCCACCAGATTGTTTTGTTATTTGAAACTAAATAAATTGACTGTTAATAGGTAGCAGGGTGGCGATAGCTACCTCATGCTGTATGTATGCCCTGGGGAACAAAGAATATACGTAGAATATGGCGATAGATAGTATAATATGACAGCCAATTTAATCAGCGCTTATCTTCAATATTAACGCGAAAATACTCTGTTGTAATGAATAGAGACGCACGACATCTGGATGAACTTGAAGAACTTGTAGGCGCTGATTGGCCCAGGCCAAGACTGGCGTCACTTCCGCCCAAGTGATTTTTTCTTCCTCATCATCAACAATCTTGCGCCAGCTTCTTTCCCACATACAAAACCCGAGTTACACGACTTTTCGAAAGCTAGAAGCACACAACCAAACTTTCAATCGTCATGGCGTGCCCAATAACCGTCACCAAGTTCGTTGGCACCGTGTCTCTTGGCCTGCTGACGGTAAGTGCAACTTACCAACGACAACGGCCTCTGACGCGCTGCGCCAGGCCACGCAAATAACCACGGGAACTAACAAATCAAATAATGACTATAGGGCCTATCCTACTCGACTGCCTCAATCACCATTCCCGCCCTAAAGCTCCTCCCCACCGCATCCACCGCATCGCGCTGCCTCAATGAAGTCAAGCGCCTAAACCGCAAACACGCACTGCGTCTATCCAGCCTAACCAACACCTGTCTTCTATTCGCATATACCATCTCCTCTCCTCGACGAAAACACCCCTACATGGTCTGGATGTATGTCGCGTCAACATTGAGCTCGTACGGTTTAGACTTTTTCTTCAACCGCCATATTGGATTCAGGAACTGGGCCCTTATCACCATTGAAGATACCACGGGTTTGAGTCTTGGCGCGCAATCGCAAGCCAAAAAAGATGAGGATATCGTCATGATTGAAGACGAGGATGAGAATGTCAATGGAGAGAGTGTTCAGCGTGAGATGGACCGAGAGCGTCGGTTGCAGCGTGCGCGTACCTGGCTGGCTGGGATTGCTTTCTCAATGGGCATTGTCGGACTGTGGGGAGACAAGAGATGAATTATTTGATCGTTTTTAAATGAACATAGCTAGGCTGGTACTGGTTTTATTTCTTAATTTTGGTGCTGGGGGCGAAGCTGGAGTACTTGATCGCATTCGGCTCATGAGTGATTATCACTTGAATTTGCCTATGATCGCGAGCTGCTGGCTTATTCTGATCGACTGTTGAATTTTGTTTTTTATTCAACGACTTCTTTATCTTGTTATCTTAATATTTCCCGGGTATTGCTTACCATGTACATTGAATTCAACCCAACCATGATACATTCCACTACTTACTTAATGTCCTCAACTTGAAGTTCAAATTCTTTCGTACGATCCTTGTCAATATCATCATCTACTTACTGGCATACAGGTTTCTACATCAGCAATCGATAACATCATCTCTGCACCCTGCGTAAGGCGCAGGTGGGGGGCGGGGATACCCCCGGTATAAACCCCAACAGCTCTTTTAGGTACTCAGGCCCAAGCTTAAGTCATGAGAGCTCATCCGTACTCACCCCTCAGCCGGTGCAAAATCCGCAAAACCCATTAAATCCGTTATATTTCATTGCATAACATGGAATTAAATACATAATATAGCATACTAAGAGCGAATCCAGGCCTTTAATGCATAGAACTCGGTAGTATGTGGTACACGGGGCTACCGACGTCGGGAATAACAATTATTATACTCACCAATAGCAATGCAGGAATAGCAATAAGCTTATGTACATCTGTTCAGCTCCCCATAAGCAATGCCATGGCCATGGGCCCATGGCTCACTAAAGTCTTAGTTCGACTTACGTGCATCGTATCAGATTCCACCTGCAGTGGAGTGAGTCTTACATCGGATCCGACTCTTATGGCGCCGGATCCGGTTTTTGTGTTTAGTAAACCATAGTTCATATAACTATTCAGCCCTGGAGGCGCTCTGCGTCGATCCTCAATAAGACGGGCCTACAGCCCTGACATAAAACAGCATCTACTCTCAACTCCGAGCTCTCAGCTCTAATACTTTCTTTCCCATGTATGCCCACCTATTACTACTGATTCCAATTCTCTGGATCAGCTTCCAAGTTCTTCTAAAGCTCAGCAAAGCCATATTTTCCCCTCTCAAAGATATACCAGGTCCATTTTGGACACGATTCACTTCATTATGGTACTTTAATCAAGTTCGCCGTGGAAAGTTTGAGCAGATTAACCTACGCCTTCATGAAAAGTACGGTCCGATAGTCCGCATTTCTCCTGATCAGTATAGCATTAGTGATATTTCTGCTATCCAGACTGTTTATGCGGCGGGTTCCAAGTTTCCCAAGTCAGCTTGGTATGATGGTTGGAGACCCCCTCATCAGTGGACAGTGTTCGCAGATAGGGATATGAAAAGAAATGGTTCGTCGGGATCTCTGCTGTTTGAAACCACTCTTGTATTGCCAGTTGATTAACTTGTTGAGTAGCCGACACGAGAAGACAATTTGCAAGCTTATATGCTATGAGCTCGGTTGTTAACTATGAGCCATTCGCGGATCGCTGCATTGACATCTTCTTCCAGAGATTAGACGAATTTGCAAGTCACAAGAAGTCTTTAAATCTGGGCCACTGGTTTCAATACTACGCATTCGACGTTATTGGAGACATCACATTTGGTCATAGATTTGGTAAAACATTTTCCCTATATTATACATTTAACCTCAGAGAGCAACGAAGATACTATAGGATTTGAAGTCTGACATTTTGTTCTAGGTTTCCTGGACCACGGAAAAGACATTGACAATGCAATGAATGCCATCCACAAGATCATGATCTATAGCACCCTCATCGGTATCTATCCCGAATGGCACTCAACGCTCTTTGCACTTATGAGCAAAATCAAGTCGAGTGGTGCTGCAGGTAGAAATTTTATTGGAAAATTTGTTCAAGAGAAGATCGGCCTCATTCGAAAAGAACGGAGTGACAATAAAAAGCGCGATCAGACTGGCCCAGAAAGCTTCATGATCAAAATGATGCATGCTCGCGAACAAAATCCAAATAAAGTGACCGAATACCACCTCGCTCTAATGGGACAATTAAACGTCGGTGCTGGATCTGACACCACAGCCAGCAGCCTGTCAGGAATAATGTGGTATCTGATACAAAACCCCGAGGCACTACGTAAATTACGCGAAGAGATCGATGAATTTACCCAACAAGGCCGTTGCAGCCATGCAATCACATTTAAGGAGACTCAAGAGATGCCGTATCTGCAAGCTGTCATCAAAGAAGCTCTGCGCATGCATGCAGCCACGGGATTACCCATGTGGAGAGAGGTCCCTGCAGGGGGAGCAAAGATCAGTGGTCGGTTTTTCCCAGCGGGTACAGTCGTTGGTGTCAATTCTTGGGTTACGCATTACGATGAAAAGGTGTTTCCCAATGCGACGACATTTTCACCTGAGCGTTGGCTCGAGGCGGAATCCGAACCAGAGAGAATGAAGGACATGAACCAGATGTACATGCCGGTAAGATCGGGAGACGGATATAAGCATATTTACTTCGGAATTTCTTTCTATTTCGACGATTGCAATAATCCGCTAACCTATTCACTTTGAACAGTTTGGTTTGGGCTCAAGAACCTGTATTGGGAAACATATCTCTATTCTGGAGATGTCCAAGTTGATCCCGCGGTTGGCACGCGATTATGATTTAACTTCGTTACGAGCGACCATGAACACAGAGAATTATTGGTTTGTTAAACCCACTGATTTTGAGGTGGTTGTCTCTCCTCGGAGCAGGGATTGAATGGGGTTTGGGGATTTTAGTGCAGGTTCCAAGGTTACTTATGATTTGTGGGAGATTGTAGTATAAACTTGAAGGTGCAGATGTTTATATTAACCTGGGGCCCCCACAATGTAGTACTAGTATATAGTAGCGAGACCCTTTGGTACTTCAAGTTGAATTTGAAAATGGTAGCAACCCTTTACACCAAACCTGACTAAACTAAATTCGAGACTCTAGATCGATAGGTCTTATTAACCTTTCAAAGATCCATAATTAATCCTTCACACTCGAATCGACTCATCATGTAATGTATGTCCTTTCATAGTTGAATAAGATCGACGTGGGCCCGTGCAAAGAGTGCAAACCCGCGCCCGTGCGCCCGTCACACTCCAAAACGCCCCATTCATCATCTTTATCGTACCCCATGTCACTCCATGTCCATATGAAAAAAAACCATGTCCATTGATCTCCTGCATCCATGAATTGTGGTGCAAGCAGATCGAGATCCTGATCCAATCACGTCTCGCAGATTCGGTGAGTGCCGAGAGCCTCATTTCCCTCAGCTCCTTTCCCTCTTTAGCTCTCTCTTCTCCCCCCCCATATACGGGTTCCCTCCACTCTCCTCATTCCCTCTCCGGTAATGTTCGGCTGGCATTTATTGATTTGATGAGCTTCTTTACCAGCACCGCTTCTATGACTTACGATTCACCCCCGGCTTTATTCCCATAGCTCCCGACGATCAACGCTGCTGGGCAACTTGACGACTGGACACGACGATCATTTGAATTCACCATCCCCAAGTATTCAACCTTACTATTCTCCTACATCTCCCAGCCGGACCGTCTCTGCGATAGCTTCTTTCCACCGGGTCATGCTTGAGCAGTGACTTCAGCCCATTGCTGCGCCCGTCCCTTTTTTTCACAACACCCGCCCTCGCCCCTCCCCGCTCATTTACCCATCGCGACGTATCCTGTGCCAGATCCTCCGCCCCCTCCAAGACCCGGGACATTGATTAGATCCCAACCACACCCTCATACTTGATCCTTTAGCTTCTGGTCTGATAAAACCGCCGTGTCTCTTCTGTGATCTGTGATCTGCGCTCAAGTCTTCCGGATCAAGCTCCGCATCCAGGTGACGACTTTAACCTCGTAGATCCCACCCACACATTAAAGATTCTCCCTTCTACTCCCTCTCACGAACCCAAGAACACTTACGACGATTAATGGTGAGCTACGACGAGCCGTCGCGATCCCCTTGAATCCAGTTGGCTTCGGCTTGATCGTGTCCTCGCAGAGGTATTCGACTAAGTCTTAGACCAGCCATGCCCGCCCGCGAGCATGAACAGAGCGATCGGCATGGGTCCGAAAGCTCCTATGTATCGCAGGAGACTGTGCGAAATCACGAGGAATCCCGACGGCATCTGACAAAATCGTCATCAAATGGTCGTGATACCGAGCCTTTCCCAGGCACTCTAATGACCCGGTAAGCCTCGCCTCTCGTTGTAAAGCTCTTATGTGAATCAAGGCTACTTGATAGGCCGTGTTGATTATGTGAACCTTCCTAACATACTGATATTACCTAGATCCGGATCCTCATCACAAGCTCCAAAGATCGACTGGCGATCACCTGAATGGTCATGGAGTTCACCGGATATTTCACCTACCGAAGAGCGCAAGGGATCTGGTTTCAGTAATCATCGAAAAGCACTTGCAGTGCTTGGTGCGGGCGACGACTATAAGCAGTCATACAATTCGAGTCCGCAACCCCCACCTATAAACCCCGACCCTTCTAGTGGCGATCAACTCGAGACAATTGCCCCATGGGTCACAACGTCAGGATCAGAGGGGCCTGGAACCTTTCTCAACGATAATTCCGAATATGAAGCGTCCCCAGCATCAGCCACATTTCGTCCGACGACGGGACGGACATTTTCAAGCGAGCCGGCGGAATTGGATTATAACCGGGATAATCGGAGACCTTCAACTGCGAGCATGACTAGCAGTCAAGGGTCCAAGAAGTCATGGAGAAAGAAGTCCAAAGCGCTGTTTGGAGATGATCACATAGCTTCTGACGAGATTGAAGAGAATCCTCCTAGCAGGCGAGGAGGGCCTATCGACCAATTGAAAGCTCGTGAGCGTGCAAACTCAGATGGATCAGATCCGTCACAGCGGCCTTCAAGGCCTCGAGCTGAAACACCGTTACCTTCAAGTGACATAACTCCTTGGGTCTATCAGAGTTTTGATGATATTACACACCATGGTGAAGCACCTGTGCGTCCTGTACCCATTGGGCCTGATGGTCAGCGCATTCCATCCCGTGCTCAACCCCGTTCTGGAACCCGAGATTCTTCTCGACGACCTGGTGGCCACCGTCACTCTCGCAGTAAAGAGGAGAAACCGACGCTTGCAGGTGACCTGGCTGGATACCATCGTCCCTCTGCTGGTCATGATGATTTTGCTTTAGGACTCAAACCCTCAAACGACAACTACCTAAATTCCTCCACTGCTATGAGCTCAACGACTAATCTTGGTGATCGGTCTACGAGTCCGACGCCAAGTGTGCAAAGTGCTATTTACCGTGAGAGTGGTCAAAGCTCTCCAGGTGGACATCATAACAAACGTGGCATTCTCAACAGGATTCGGCATCTCAAACCGGGATCTCACAAACCGAATGAAAAGCCCAAACGTGACCAATCTCCGAATCGAAAAAGACAGCCCAGCATCGAAGGAACTGTCACCCCACGTCATCTCGAGTCTGCGGACTCGGACCGAAAGAAGGAATCCGGCAAGGGTCTTGGGATTGGTGCACGGAAATTTCCCCGACGCGCATTTACTAATCCTGATAAAGATGGCTCTCAGCCTCAAGATCGGGAGCATTTCTTCCCTTTGGATACCGACATGGAAGATCTGCATGATATTGTTCGTTCCTCAATAAATGGCCAGATCAGACGGGGTACGGATGGTGCGGCTACGCCGTACGAAGATCCCAATGGGCCAGAAAACCAGCAATTCGGTCCGAACGGTGATGGTTGGGCCGCACCCGACAGTTGGCAGGTGAAGAAACCGCCTGATGTTGATTTAGAGGCCCCAGAAGATTCACCGCAACCCACTGCGGGTCTTCGTGAGCGTGATGGGGCTTCTTACTTCATTCGAGTATTCCGGATAGACCATACCTTTGCGACCCTCTCAGCCGGCGTGGAAGCTACTGTTGCTGAAATTCTTTTCATGCTTGGACGCAAATCATTTTTATCTGATCATCTTAATAATTATGAGATTGTTCTTCGGAAGAATGACTTGTCACGGCAGCTTGATCACAAAGAGAAGCCCATCTTAATGCAAAAGCAACTACTGGAGAAGGTTGGCTATACGGACAAAGATCGGATAGAGGACATTGGTCGCGAGGACCACAGTTATCTTTGCCGACTCATCTTCCTGCCCACGAAATTGAGTGGCTACACGAGCTTGGAGGCAGATCCTGGTTTCAACAAGATGCAGAAATTCAGCCACGTTGATCTTCAAGGCCGAAGCCTTGTTACCATACCAATCACACTTTACAAGAAAGCCTCAGAGATCATTTCTCTTAATCTTTCCAGAAATCTCTCGCTGGACGTGCCAAAGGACTTCATTCAAAGTTGCATTAATCTGCGAGAGATCAAATTCATTGGCAACGAGGCTTCATATCTCCCTACGAGCTTCAGCTTGGCTGGCCGATTGACCTATCTTGATATTTCCAACAACTTCATAGGGCAATTGGATCATGCACGCCTAGACCGGCTCACAGGACTTGTGAGCATCAAAATGGCCAACAATCAATTGACGGCGCTGCCGAGCTATTTCGCCAACTTCCAATCTCTTCGAAGCTTGAACATGTCCTCGAACAGTTTCAAGGTTTTCCCAGAGTTTCTCTGTGAGCTTAAGAGCCTAGTTGATCTGGACATCAGCTTCAACGGTATTGAGGCGCTTCCCAATCTTGGCCGAATGACTACGCTTGAACGTCTTTGGATGACGAACAACAATATCAGTGGACCACTGGACGAGTCATTCCGAAACCTCGTGAACCTAAAGGAAATTGATGGACGATTCAATACGATCTCGAACATTGACAGTCTCTCTCGCCTTCCGCGGTTAGAGCAGGTGTTCTTTGGTCATAACTTGATATCTAAGTTCAAAGGAGCCTTCCCGAAACTCCGCAGTTTGCATCTCGACCACAATCCCCTGACCCAGTTCGATATTGATGCGCCCATGCCGACGCTCTCTTCTTTGAATCTAGCATCCGCCAAGCTCTCCCAGTTCCGTGATGGGATGTATGAGAACATGCCCCATGTCTCAAAGCTGATCCTGGATAAGAACCATCTTTCCTCAGTTTCCGTGCAAATTGGGAAATTACGGCGATTGGAACATTTCAGTATCATTAAGAATCCACTGTCTTCTTTGCCTGCGACAATCGGATGCTTGACGGAACTCAAAGATCTTAACTTAAGAGAGTGCAACTTGAAGTCTTTGCCCGAGGAAATCTGGCATTGTACAAAGCTAGAGACACTGAATGTCTCCACTAATTTGCTCACCACATTCCCGAAGCATGGTGCAGCGGTCCCTACCGTTCCTGGTGAACCGGCACCGACACCTGTTTCGACGCCCGGAGTGGGAGTGAACCCTAGCTACGAGGAACTGGGTCCTCTCAATGAAGTGGATTCCCGCCGTACCAGTGAAACCTTAGGTCCACTGGAGTCGTCCAGCTCGACTCCACCTGGATCATATCGAAATCCGTCCATCGTTCCATCTGTTGGCCAATCCCGGAAAATTTCAACTGCCTCGCGATCAGCACATACAGAAGGGAGCTCTGCCTCTCGTAAAGATTCCAATTTCTCCCAACAGGGAATGTATGTGACATTTGCAGGCTCTCTTAGAAACCTCTATCTGGCTGATAACCGGTTGGATGATGATGTTTTCCGTGAGCTGGTTCGCCTTCCAGAGCTGCGTATTGTCAACCTTTCACATAACGAGCTAGCCGAAGTGCTCCCGGGCGTCCTTAGAAGATGGCCGTACATCTCTGAGCTCTACCTATCTGGCAATGAGTTAACTTCGCTTCCATCCGATGACCTGGAAGAGATCAACAATCTCAAGGTTCTCCATCTGAATGCAAACCGCTTCCAAGTTCTTCCAGCGGAGCTGTGCAAAGTCAGCAAGCTTTCCATTCTCGACGTTGGAAGCAATGGCTTGAAGTACAACGTATCCAACTGGCCCTACGACTGGAACTGGAACTGGAATCGAAGCTTGAAGTACTTGAACTTCTCGGGAAACAAACGCCTGGAGATCAAACCTAACATCACGTCCTTGGGCTTGCCCTCTGCGAATGGAACCGACCTCACCGACTTCACCTCCTTGACGCACCTACGCGTTCTGGGTTTGATGGATGTGACTCTCACAATCCCCACCATCCCAGAAGAGACAGAGGACCGCCGTGTGAGAACTTCTGCTTCATTAGCTGGATCTCTCGCATATGGCATGGCAGATACACTCGGCCGGACCGAGCATTTGTCTATCATTGATATGATTGTCCCACGTCTCAAGCCAGACAACGTCGAGACTCTAGTCGGTATGTTCGATGGCCAGACATTGTCAACCGGAGGCTCTCGGGTTGCAAAGTATTTGCATGAGAATTTCACTCCTACCTTCTCCCATGAGCTCAAAAAGCTCCAACGGGACCAGGGTGAAACCCCTCTTGACGCCCTAAGGCGAGCTTTCCTCGCGCTAAATAAGAATATGGCCGGATCCGCCTACAGATCGATTGACGACCGTGAGCTTCGACAGTATCACCGTGGTTCCAATGCGTCTAAACAGCTCAACCAAGATGACATTCAATCTGGCGGTGTTGCAACCGTTCTATATTTGAACAACATGGAGCTATACGCTGCCAATGTTGGTGATGCCCAAGCGATTCTAGTGAAGTCAGATGGTTCTTTCCGGTATCTCACAAAGGTCCACGACCCTGCTGAAGCATCCGAGCGAGCTCGCATCCGCGCCGCTGGTGGATTTGTTTCTCGAAATGGCAAGCTTAACGATTTGCTTACTGTTTCAAGATGCTTTGGCCACTTCCCGATGATGCCTTCCGTCATTGCAGCTCCTTCGACCATGCACACCACCTTGACAGAACAAGATGAGATGATCATCATTGCTTCAAAGGAACTGTGGGATTACGTTACTCCTGAGTTGGTTGTGGACATCACTCGAACAGTGTACCCGGATCTCATGTTTGCATCCCAGAAGCTCCGAGATCTGGCCATTTCTTTTGGTTCTACCAACAAGCTGATGGTAATGATCCTTGGAGTCAGTGAGCTTCAAAAGAGACAAAAGAAATGGCCACGTCCGAGTGTCTCCTTGGGTCCTTCGGCGTTCCCAGAGGAGCAAATTATTCCAACGAGTAAACTTCGAAAGAAGCCCCGAGATGTTCCTGGCGATTCCCGTCTGGCACGATTCGATTTCGTTGATGCTCCTATTGGTGAACTAGCCATCATTTTTACTGATATCAAGAAATCGACTGGACTCTGGGAATCCTGTCCTGATGCCATGCGTTCGGCTATTCAAATACACAACGACATTCTTCGACGACAACTTGGTATCATTGGTGGCTATGAAGTCAAGACTGAAGGTGATGCTTTCATGGTAGCCTTTGCTACTACCACAGCTGCATTGCTATGGTGCTTCAATTGTCAGAACCAACTGCTTGAAGCTGAGTGGCCTACCGAGATCCTCGAGCAACCGCAATGTCAAACTGTGCTTGATATTGAGAACAACGTCATTTTCCGTGGTCTCTCAGTCCGCATGGGAGGTCACTGGGGCGAGCCAGTTTGTGAGAAGGACCCAGTAACCAACCGCATGGATTACTTTGGTCCAATGGTCAATCGAGCATCTCGAGTTTCTGCCGTCGCCGATGGTGGTCAGATCTTCCTCTCTTCTGACTTCATGAGCGATATTCAACGTAATTTGGAGGTCTTTGCCGACACCGAACGCTCCGCATCTAGCAACTCAACTGATAGTCATCCCAGAATGGATAGTCTTGGCCACAACATCCGTCGCGAGTTACAACAACTCAACAGCCAAGGATTCGTGATTAAAGACCAGGGTGAAAGGAAGCTCAAAGGTCTTGAGAATCCCGAGCCTCTATACCTTGTCTATCCCCATTCGCTTGCTGGTCGCCTGGCTGCTCTTGAAGAAGCCAATGATACCAGTGGTCCCGCCAGGCCGAAGCCAGGATCAGAACTGGAGTTGAAGACTGAAGTCATCTGGCGCCTGTGGGAGGTCACCTTACGATTGGAACGCCTCTGCGGGGCTCTGGAGAACCCTGAGAACCCACAGCTTAGAGAACCTAATGTTGCCCTATTCAACATGGTCAAGAACCACGGAGGTGAACTCAACGATTCAACGGTGATTAGTTTGGTTGACCAACAGGTCACTCGAATTGAGGTCAGTACTCCCCCTATCTTAGTCATTCTTATCCTTATTGTTTCTTCGAAACTAACTCACTTCGCAGGCCACCGTAAATACTCTAGCTGTCAGACACATGATGCGTCCATTCAAACCAGGCGATCGCCTCCAAGACCACGCCGTCCCCATGGGCGACGTAATGCAACAACTCCAAACCCAAATGGCAGAATACCGCGCCCTAAAAGAACAAATGGCCATAGAAGCTGCCGGAATATCCGTCAGCACACCACCGCAGTTCGGCCGCAATCCATCAAATACCTCCGTCGGTGTTGATAGCAACACCACATCCGCCTCCTCTTCCTTCCTCCACATCCCCGGAGCAGCTGACACACCTCGCTCCTTCGATCTTGCACGCAACATGCATTGATTATAATCAAAGGCTATGTTCGCGTTTCACCTTCACGTCTTAATTAATTCTTCTTCTATTGGGCCATTTCGCTTATTTGGGGGATTTTGTTCTATGGCCATATTTTTGCTCGGCGTTATCGGGGTGGTAGGATTTCTCACAGCTTTATCGAAGCATAGGACAAGGAGCCATGGTGCTTATCTTTTTGTTTCTACCTTGCTTAGCCCCCCTTGTTCTGTGTATCTTGTACTCTTCAACCCTTGGGGTGTGTATCTCGCAGTCTGTGAATAATATTCTACATATGATATAATAGAATGTAGCTTGCTAGTACATTCCATTCTATGAGTAATTTACTATACTCACCCCGATAAATAATGCTACTCGTTGCCAGAAACCGTGGGGTTTAAATACGCGTTTAACATCATAGCACGCTACACGTCTTTCCAATAGTTTTTTCAGACATCAGTCTAATCTTCTCTCGTCATACCTTCACCAAGGTAAATCTAGAGCCTTAAATAATATCACATCTCTTCTATTGCAATTGAAAACGCACTGTAAGGCGCCTTGAGAAGCATATGTAGGTTGCCGTGATGGTACTGAAATAACATTCGATTTAGTAAAGCCGACGCCGCTTTAAAGTTTCAACTTATGCTCTCCAGCGTCTCCCAGAACCATGAGTCCCATCCGAAGACGAAGAAAAAGGTTTCGCCGATCCTCCTCCTGAAAGACGCACCGTCTTCCCTTTCAATCAAGTACTCGCCGTAATATTTTAATAAAGCGTATGCCCCTGGCTCTCGATATTACCCAGTCCCGAAAGAGAATCAGTGAAATTGCGAACATAAGTATTCCTCTTCAAAGTCCACTGGCTGGTAGCATCAAGGCTGACATCGAAAACAGCCTTCCCATATCCAGAGTACGCAGCGCCCTTCCAACTACTATATTCACCCAAAGACCAACTGATATAACTCCCATTGTACGCGACCAAGTCACCCGTCAAATCAGATTCCGTAACAGAAACAGTAACCTCAGCAGGAAGCAGGTTACTATTATCAGAATAACCAGCATAATAATCAAAGCTCTGAGTTATAGCAGAGTAATTAGCCACAACCAGAATACCAGAATTAGTAACCAGCTGAGAATTACTCAGCGTCACATCAGCAATAACATTTCCAAACCATAACCCAGGCATCTCAGTACCCGTGGTAATGAACTTGGTATTTGTAAAGCTCAGAGTTGCTCCACTTTGCCTCTCAGCATCACTGAACATAGCAACACCGCCAAGTAAACCGGCGGTGCAATCGCAGTCAACGAGATTGATTGTATTTCCACCATCAGAAAAGACCACTGGGCCCATTTCAGAGAGACCAAGTACATTCTCACCATAGATATCTCCGAGGGCGTAAAATATAGCAGAGCCAACCCCAGCCGCATGTGCTATACTGTCATAAACATAGACGTGGCCAATGGGTGAGTCGCCGGAGAAGCTAGATGAACGCTTTCCCCCAGAATATACTTGAATGTTGCGACCGATGATGGTTCCATAGCCTGAAGCATATAGGCCGTGGGATACAGGACCTGATGAATATAGCCAAGAGTTGTTGACTTCGACGACAGTCCTCTCCATACGAGTAGAACTGAGCTGCGCCATTATGGACGTTTACATTGACATGATCGAGTTTTGCGGTGGAAGCATTGGCCTGTAAGAGCTTCATCAGAGAGGGAGAGATATTAACAGATAATCAAAGAAACATACTACATTCACAGCAGCATTAAAGCCCCAGAAACTGGAATCGTATAGATCACTAAAGTATCCACTCTTGAGGATGTTCATGTGAGAGCCAGAGAAGGTGGCATTATTGGATACAAGCAGCACACTAGTATCATTGGCAGTAGCAGACCAGATAACATGCCCAGCAGTTGCCCTTTTCCCGTTGACCTTGTGGACTGCCTTGACTGGAAGGTGTCAGCAAAGGATTCTCGCGCAGAAAACACTCAAATGCTCAACTCACTAGGTGAAGGTTGCGTGAGAACGACAGGAATGCTATAGTCAGGCACAATAGCATTTTCAGCTGCCCACAGTTTAGGACTAATCACATTTGAAGGATCGTCGATTGTAACTGTTGCGAGCACAACTGCAGGAAAAAAGAACATAGATATAGGCCACATGACGCTGTCTGAATGGGCGCTCGGAAGTCAGCTTTAAAGGCACTTTGAGTATTCACTGTCGATCTTTGAGAGAATAATTTGTACGAAGGTCCTAACTTTAAATAGTTTCGAGATTGTCTTATATACTTCATGTGGACACAAATATCGTACATCAATCGGGTCCTATCTTATAAACAATAGCTCCTTGGTACCAAACCTTCGGCAAGAAGTGGAGAAAATTGATTGAAGAACCTTGGAACGCATGGAGAGAAGCAAAGTCTGGGGTGACTTAGCTTGAAGCGGGGAAATAAGTTGATCAATTGAAGCTAAGCACATATGCTCCTTGATGTGGACCACTCTCAGCTATATATGGAAGCCCCAACATCCCCACTGTATAAAAAGACAACACACCCAGCTTTCGAGGCTCTGAGGAATGTACCTATTCCCCTCCTGATATGATGTTATTAACGTGATGCTTCCAATTTACAAAGCCTACTGGCCAGATCTGATATGTAGACTATGGGAAAGAGATCTGGAAAGAGATCTGAGAAGTACTTTGAGAGACGATCGTAAATTTTCGATTCATTTCCTGGTAAGGTGGGTGTGTCAACTTTATCGAGGCAGTATCATGATTCAGATGTCAAGCTATTCAAGTTCTAGATATAACCTACAGACGACACCAGTATGAGTGTTCTATTGTGAAAATACATTATTCGAACGTCAGTGGGAAGTCATTATCGGGCCTAGGATTAGTATAGAATTAGAAATTCATTGGCATACTCTATTTTATATTACTATGAGGTAGAAGCTTCATAAACGATATAAAATCCATGATGAATGGTAGCATTGTGCTAAATGGTCAATAAGAACGAAACATGGTGATTGTAAGATTGCCGCCGTCACGGACACACCTACTATGTAGGGCCTTTCGGTACTCTGAAAGGGTCTCTTAGCCCGAGTAGCTGTCGTTCATATACATATCCATGCAAATTGAAAGACCGCTAAATATAGATAGCAACCAGTTGGCATCACCACAGTGAGGAGTATTGAAACCCCAGAAATTTGCTTTAGAGAGATTCTTCGACTATCCATCCACTCTTGAAAGTTCATGTGAGAGCCAATCGCCAATTATCGAGATATTACGAAATTCGACTGTTCAATAGATCATTGTTTTGTGTGTAAATCTTTTCTCATACCCCCAATATAACGGTTTGCGAGGAGCATTTATAATGCTATAGCATCGTCCTTCATTGCGTGTCAAGAGCCAATCAAACACGTCCTAGTGGGTGGGTACGCCTGTCAGGGGTAAGCATTAGTGGGGGCTGAATTTTCTTTGACAGAATAAAATAACAGGATTTGACAGATCTTTTGTTGACAGTCAAAGTTACAGCAGCTCTCGATTCGCGATGGTGGAAACAAAAAACACGTTGTCGGCAGACGAACAGTCTAAGCTCCTCCACATACAACCCACCGGTTAGAGCGCACCCGGTCCCCTCCCTTTGCGATTTCACTGACTGACATTCCGGAAGATCGGTATCAAAGGGAATTTGGCTTTCTGACCCGGTTTGGGCTCCAATCAAATGTGATCCGCATAGCATCATACAGCAATATTGAACAGGAAGCGACCCTCTCTAAAGCGGTGCTCTATCCAGCGCTTCGGAGGGTCGTCCGACAATACCCCGAGCTGGGCATGATTTATTTCTATCGACAGTCCGAGAAGAAAAAGTCCCAGCATCGATCCTTTTCTGGCGTTTTGCCACAAATTAATCTCGATAAACACGTGGAATTTATTGAAATTCCGGCGGAAGACGAGAGGGCCGGCCTAACAGCAACAATTCAGCGATATCACAGTCTGTGGTTTGATCCGTCTGAAAAGCCACTCTGGAAACTTGTCATAGTCAACGGGCGACATGCTCTGTTTGTGTTTGACCACTTTGTCACCGATGGACGAGGGAGCACCTATATCCTCGAAAGCCTACTAGAAGCACTCAACTCACCTAATGAAAAGGATGGTGATTCGCCCATTGTTGACATTACCACGGAAATCAAGGGATACCCAGAGAGAGACCCAGTGAAATGCTCTGGAAAGGGGCCGTCTGTACTTTTCGCGATAATGAGCTACGTTACTTTCTGGTGCCTTCAGCTCTTTTATCGCGGAACCGATATCTTCTTTCACGATGCCGTATATCAGGAACGGGAACTTGTCTTCAGCGATCCAAAGAAAGAAGACAACTTAACTGTTACAAACCTCCACACACTCCGCCTGGACGCTGATACTATGCATAGATGTCTCAAAGCATGCCGCGAACATCAGACCTCATTTACAAGCTTCTTACACACGTTGATCAAAGTGACATTGGCAGCTGATTTCTATCCCAAGGCTAAATTCAGCCATTCCGAAACAGTCATCGATGTACGACCTTTTCTCCTTGACCAAGAGAGGAGAAGAGTATGAGCACAGCTGTATCTATGATCTCGAGCTATGACTGGCTATCCGACTTTCGCAAAGCGGGTCAAGGTTCCGATCCAAAGAGCGAAATTCCAGTTGACGCAGATACCATATGGAAAATTGCACGGAAGCACAAAGCCCACATTTCCAATGATCTCCAGCATAAAAAGTCGTGGATGAAAGCTTGGCAAGCAATTGATCTGATCGGGGAAGATGAAGAAGATTATGTTTCCCAGTTCGCACCGGGCCTGAAGCTTGTTCAAAAATACGCATTCAATGTATCCAATCTGGGTGCTTTCGAAAATCAGGCTGGCAGTGGACCCTGGAATATTTCGAACATGGAGTTCTCAGCGGGTGCCATAAAGGCAGGCTATGGTGTCAATCTATCCTTTAATGTTTCTGGTGTTCGGGATGGTGTCACTGTTGTTCATGTTAACAGTGAAGAAGGATCGCTCCCCAGTGATTTTGTCGCTTCGCTCGTTTCCCGTATCGAGAAACGTATGTTAGCAGTCATCTGAATGGGAATGTGTTGGATTCATTGGCAGGCCTCTTAAATTGCCACTATCACTCAATAAATGATGGGTGGAGGCTACCTCGTGTATCTAATATGCAGGGTAACAGCTTGGATATATAAAGATAGATATTACAAAAGACCTTTCAAAGTACAGAATGTTTGTAGTATCATTAGCTATACGGTCAATGTGAACAAAATATGAGCGTCTATTATTTATCTACAGCGTCCCCAAGTACCCTAAGAGCCCCCCCACCCCCCGCTGTTGTAGATTTAAATAATTGAAACTCAGTCCAGTCATACTATGGGCCGATGGCAAGCGATAGCGTATCGCTTTACTTCCGAGGTCTTTCGTCAGTTCCCACCAAGAGGTCAATTAGCATACTAATGATATTCCTGTTCGGAAATCGAATGGGCGATCTTCATTGATCATCCTGCAGGATTTACTAGAAAGACAATCTATTGATCAATTGATTCACTGATCTATTTCATGGAGGCAATCTCATAGAAACGTACGATTCTGTATAGATAGATTTGCATAATGAAAATCTCCAATTCTAGATATATGAACACGTAGTATCGACTGATACCGTTGAATTAGGCAAAAGCAGACCATGTCAAAATATCAAGTCGAAATAGACAGGCGAAATGCGATGGATCCAACATTAAGACCCAATCCAGGTTACTATATCTCGAAGACCAAAGTTTACTAACAGGGTAATCATTGGAGGAAATATGGCATATGCTACTGAGGATTTACTAGTACCCTCCAGTTGCCTTCAAATGCCAACGACCCCCAATCACAGATTGACCACGGTGAAAAGTACCTCGACGAAAGCGGGGAAACAGACCCGCAAATGGTCCGCAAGCGTATCGCAAAGGCATCCGGATATATCCAAAAGAGGGGTATTTGAGGCTCTAGTTTGGGCATTACTAGTCCAGTGTTCAATCTTCCTCCGTCGCCTGGCGCTTCCGTGTACAAATTGATTGGATCAAAGACTCTCTAGGTTACAACCCCGACGTCTATGCCCAACAGCATCATATATTGGCAAACCTTCTTTTTCTGATTTAGATGGCTGAGATGAGTGCCAACAAGGAAATCAAAATATCTATGGATTCTGTTCCATTTCATTTCGGAACACGGGATGGACTATAAAGTGTGGCCGTCGCATTAGATTTGTATAAGATGCATTTTATGCTCTGGCACTCTTCCACCTTAAGCCGTGCTATATATTAAACTTCGAAACTCCATTTGCATACTTGCATATTCGGGTTTGATCATTCATTCGCGACCATGGACAATTCTACTGGGAGCAATGATCCCACGACGAGTCCAACCTTCTCCCGCGCCACTGCCGGCTCCTCTTCTCAAAAGTCTATGAGCAACAACAGGTATAAATTTCTCTTTCTATCAAATATCACCTTCGGGAAACAAGGTTTACACGGAAGAGCTATTCAGACTGACGGAAGATCACAAATAGTGCATCTCCACCCGAAAGTCGCAAGCCGCAAGACTTGCCTGACTTAGCAGGCGTTGGAGGGTGGGCAAACACGAAAGCCACAGAAAGCAAAATCGAGAAATATTCATCTAATTCGAACGCGGCCCATCTTTCGAAGAGCCACGGCCATACATAATTGGAGCACCGAGTAGGGTGAATAGAAGGGCAAGATTGGCCGAACCGTCAGTAATGATTTAGGGATGCAAAAGCAAGGAAAGGATCCAACAGCCACTCAAGCACGTCCGAGAATACCCGAGATTGACAATTTTGAAGGAATGAGATGTATGAACTTGGTGGAGACGGCTCATCAACCCCGCCCTATGGCTACAGCACCGAAAGTCACGGTATCATCAGCAAGACTACGGGGACCGGTGCCAGCGGGCTAAGGCGCGGCTAGATATGGTTCCCGGAGACGGAGAAGATGCGAATCAAGAGATGGTAGAGACGAAAGCGGGGATCTTCTCCAATCTCGCAATCAGACGCAAAGCTCGAGATGATGATGCCATGCAGATTGCAGATGCATCTCCGCTCGGCAGGGTTCCCCTCTTTTTTTGGGTGATTTCCAGTTATTTTATGATTCTCATATTTTAGCAATGTGCATTTCCTTGTTTCTTATCTTCGGATGTGGTGGCCGAGTGTTTGCTTCCATCTCTTAATGGTCGAAAATGAACTTCAAGTTGTCTTACTGCGATCCACGTTCGATAAATCGCCACATCTTGGGTGAAACGTGTATGTAGAGATGCCGGGAATCCGTATTCACTCTGCATTCGTGCCCAAAATCAAGATAATCGCATAGTATCTCATGGTGGGGACTGCTTGATGGTATATTTGAGAGTTGCACGGCACTTGATACCACTGGGTAACAAATGCGCGGCCAAATTCCCGATGACAAAAAGATAAGGCTGAGGGTGGTGGATACCTCGATGTAAGCCGGAAGTACTTTGTTTTCACGTTATATCAAGATGTTGTGTCACTTTGATCATTGTTGAATGCATGAGAAGAATAGAGTGACGAGCAGATGAAAAGGTCTAAGTAGAAGGTCATATTTTATGGTATATAATGAGAAATGCAGACATAGCATTATTCCTCGGAGGGCTTTGACCCATCTAGTTATTGCATTGATCCCAGTTCTCGCTTTGCAAAATAGGCGTCACGTTCTGCTTTCCTCGCGGCCGATTTAATAGCTCCTTTGTGGTACTTGCTATTGATATGATTTTTATACTGCTCCTCGCCCGCCATGGTCCGTTGACAAATTTCACAAAAATGGCAAGTCGTATCTGTTGATTGTGTTCGTGCCTTTGCCTCCTTGGCCCCAAAGACTTCATTTGCCAATGACGAGAGCGACTTTGGGTCAGGAGTGAGTTCCCCTTGCAGCATAGTCTGATATAGATTCTCCGATGGATCTGTGATGCACTGCTTCCATTTGCTGACATCTGTACTGTCAAGAAGATACAAACGCCGTATCATGCCTGCTTCGGAAAGGGCTCGCCATAATTTGTTACGAATCCACTTGACTTGGGATACTCCGTACTGCCTTGTGGCGATTCGAATTTGTTCAATACATGCCGTTTTGAGTTTTTCGAGTTCAGATTCGCTAGACACCGCATTATCAAGCGCTGCGAAATACGGTGCCATTTCTTTGAACCCAATGGATACCCAAACGCCACGCGTCTGGTCGACCTCTATTCCTTCTGATTGTTTGTTCTTCAGATAGTCTGACATGGTCTGTGCCTCCTCCATAAGCCCTTGCTCAATCATGGTGTCAACACGGGAAGCTAAGCGCGTATCGAGAGTCTCCTTCTCCGCATGAACCCAGAAGATCATTGTATCTTTGAAGCGTAGGAGACCTTCCTCCTTTACCAGCGCATCAGACTTGGACGCCTTTTGCTCTGCATAGATTTCAGATGCAGGTCGTCCGGTTGTAAAGTAAATCTCCAGCGAGCGCCGGATCTTTCGACCATCCTTGGGATGCCATCGTGCCGCCATAGCTGGATCCACTTCCCGGAGCTTTTCCATCATAACTTCAGGCTCCGCATCGAGGATTGGCCACTTTTCTGAGGTCGATGTTACTCCCGTCGAAGCCTCCATTGATTCTGGTGCATCTGAATCCTCTTGATCTTTGGCTTCCCCCACCAGAGAATCCTTGAACAAGACAGCCTGAGTATAATAGTGGGTACCCCCGACCAGAACTGGAACCTTCCCGCGTGACCGAATGTCATCGATGATTCTCAGCGCTTCTTGTTTGAACTGGCCAATACGCCATGCCTCCTTTTCAAACCCAACGCAGCTGAGCAGGTGGTGAGGAATGCCGTTTCGCTCTTCGACTGGGATTTGATTCGTGATGATAGGAAGGCCGCGGTACATTTGCATTGCGTCGCCATTTATGATTTCGCCATTAAATCGACAGGCTAGGTCCACCGCGAGCTACCTGCAGCTGTTAGCTATCTTTCATGGAAGCTTTCAATCGCGGGGCATCTTTGGCCCTGTTACCTTGGACTTGCCAGTGCCCGTAGCACCAACGACTGCTATGATGGGATCCATGATTTGTCTTCGACCATACCAAACTGATCGGAGGGCACGGAGCATAACCGACTCAACATGTTGACCCGCTTGCGCGTGGGGAAAGAGAAAAAGTGAGTTTGGTCGTTTTTTGTTATCGTGCGTTATCGGGATCATTACCTCATCCGCCACCAATATTGCACTAGTCTCACTTGAGTTTATGCTGAATGCCTATATTTTGACTCACTTTTAATTGTTTCTACTTTTCATCGTACGATCTTGAATTTTCTTTCGTAAAGTCCTTGCTTTTTCTGTACAGTACTGTGCTAAGATGACCGAACTCCTGGACAACACTCCCCCTGCTATTGAGGTGCAAAACCTCTCTTACAAGTTCCAAGATGGCTCTAATGGACTGGAAGACGTGCTATTGAGTCTCCCCCCTAACAGCCGGACCTTACTCATCGGCGGTGCGTGAAATATAAAGAAATCATGATTCTTTTTTGTCATACGCAAAGCTACCCAGACTAATTCATATGCAGCAAATGGAGCGGGAAAGACTACACTGCTGCGTCTTGTCTCTGGCAAACGTCTGGCCCCTAACAACACCATCTCAATTGGGGGCAAAGATCCGTTCAAAGACAGCTTAGAGGGCGTCACTTATCTCGGAGTCGAGTGGGTACTAAACGCCATTGTGCGTACTGACATCGATGTCCCTACTTTGCTCGCCTCCGTAGGCGGAAATGCTTACCCGGAGCGCCGTGATGAGCTCGTCGACATCCTGGACATTGATCTACGTTGGCGCATGCATGCTGTGTCAGACGGTGAACGTCGGCGTGTTCAGTTGGCCATGGGCTTGCTACGTCCTTGGAAGATCCTACTCCTAGACGAGATCACCGTGGACCTGGACCTGCTTTCCCGCAGCAACTTCCTTGCGTTCCTGAAACGTGAAACAGAGTCCCGTCCTTGTACCATCGTCTACGCTACTCATATTCTTGACAATCTTGCACAGTGGCCTACTCACCTGGTGCACATGCATCTGGGTAAGGTCAAGACTTGGGGCCCCGTGGAACAATTCCATGACCAGGTTGCAGAATGGACATCCGAAAATAGTCGCCTTGGCGAATTGGTTCTCAAATGGCTGAAAGAGGATCTTGATGCCCGAGGACCACGGAATGGTCGGGGTAACCAGGCCAAAACGTACGATGCCGGCGGCATCGGAGGATACGGACTTGAGACATATAACAAAAAGGCCTAAATATGACTCCGGGGTTTCCTCTGCTACACTTGCATGATCTGATTCCTGTTACGTACACACATTCTTTTTCTCTATTTTCATTTTCTGGGGGATCTCTGTTTTTAACATTTTGCCGTTCAACATTGGATTCAACCACAAGGCATTGGAAGGGGTTTCTGCGGGCATCTGGATGGATCAATTCAACATTTGGGAGTTTTGTATGCGACCATGATTCATGATATAGAGAGCTTGCAGGAGTTCTTCAACAAAATCAATCTTATTTTATTATCTTTTGCAGCTATTATGTTAGAACATGCCCCACTGTATATTTCCCCAATTAGTTCATATTGATTGGGTGCCTCAGGCACAATATTTGCATCATTTGTCGACGCGCGACGCGCTTTACAATTACGATGCACCATCATTCCCATGTTGTCTCGCAAGAGCTGCCCAGTTCTTGGGTAATGAGAGAATATTACCTGTTATTTTAAGCTTCACATTTTATTCTTCCTGTTCTTTGTCTTGTTCAATATCACAAATTGCAAATACAAAGCCACTTTGACCGATCCCGCGACTTGCGGTCTTCCACCAACAACGCGATGCGCTCGTCGGAATATGGGTCGGACTACTTTGATGACGATGACGACTTTGTAGTGCCCGACGATAGCCAGGACTTGCCTGCAGCTCGACCATCAAAGCGCCCTCGTTTACGAGCACCTACCCGCGATAAAAACAGACATGACGCCTCGTCAACGGACGGCTTTTCCGACATAGAAGCCGAGGAATACGATGAACGAGCAACGAGCCATGGCAATCAAGCGCGCAAGTCCCGCAGCTTCGTCGCGAAAAAGAGCAACATGCAAGAGAACATATTTGTCACCCAATTAACACAACCCCATTCCAGTCCTGATCGAATACGTGGACCAAGATGGAAAAAACCGAACCCTCCTTCTCCTCCTCCGAACGATATACCTACTCCACAAGCTAGTGAGGGTGGCCACATATCCGATAACTTCTCCGATGACGATGGCGCGCTGCAAGCGGCATTGGCAGCCTCCATGGACTCATTTGAGGCTGAGAATGCGGCCCGTCTTCCAAGCAGTCCTGGTATCTCAAAAAACCCACCTCCTCAGAGACCCACGCTCTCCATTCCTGGCCGAACTGATCTCCAACAAAATAGTTCATTTGAGTTGGACGATATTCCGGACGGTGCTTTTGACTCTTCGCCCTCTTTGTCGCCAGTAACACGACCCGCTCAGACCTCATTCTCCTCCACCATTAGCAGGAATCCCTCTTCTTATCGACAAACCACTCTGTATGGCATGGTTTCAGCGAATCCCCAAATAGATTTGGATCCTGGACCTCCAGAAAAAGTCGAATCTCCAACGCACCACAAATTAAATTACGATGAGCTTACCACATGGTGGTACCCTACGAACCTAGGGACTGTCAGAGACTATCAATTCAACATCACCCAAAAGGGTCTTTTCCATAACCTGCTCGTTGCCTTACCAACTGGTCTTGGAAAAACATTTATTGCGGCAACAGTTATGTTAAATTGGTTTCGTTGGACCAAAGACGCTCAAATAATTTTTGTTGCTCCAACAAAACCTTTGGTCTCTCAGCAGGTCTCTGCATGTTTAGATATCGCGGGTATTCCGCGTTCGCAAAGTACCATGCTCACAGGAGGAGCGTCTCCCGGTATCCGAGCACAGGAATGGCAATCAAAACGAGTGTTCTTCATGACCCCTCAAACATTGATCAACGATTTAAAGACCGGCATTGCAGACCCTAAACGAATTGTGCTTGTGGTGGTTGATGAGGCTCATCGCGCCACTGGAGGCTATGCCTATGTCGAGGTGGTCAGCTTCTTGCGACGATTCAGCAACAGCTTCCGTGTTCTCGCACTGACCGCCACACCTGGTTCCACAGTCGAGGGCGTCCAAGCGGTCATTGATGGCTTAGATATCTCACGGGTTGAGATTCGTACGGAAAATTCCCTCGATATCCGAGATTATGTACATGCCCGCAATATCGAAATCGAGACCTTCGAGAATTCAGAAGAAATGACTTTCTGCTTGGATCTTATCTCGGAGGCTTTACAACCTCAGGTTGATCAGCTGCAGAGGTTGAATGCGTACTGGGGCAAAGATCCCCTCAAGCTCACTGCATTTGGATTGACGAAAGCTAGACAGCAATGGATGGCATCTGATGCTGGTCGCAATGCAAGCTTTGGGCTCAAGGGGATGGTGAACTCCATCTTTACTGTTTTGGCCAGCTTAGCCCATGCCATCGACTTGTTGAAATACCACGGCATCATTCCTTGCTATCGTCATTTGACTCACTTCAGATCAAATACGGACGGCCAAAAAGGTGGCAAATATCAGAAACAAATCATTCAGCACGAAAGTTTTAAAAAGCTCATGTCTCATATTGATCCCTGGTCTAAAAACGACGAGTTCATTGGCCATCCCAAATTGGAATACCTCAAATCTGTCATATTAAACCACTTCCTGGATGCAGGTGAAGGGGCTGAAAACGTTGACAACTCTAAAGCTACTACCCGTGTTATGATTTTCGTTCATTTTCGTGACAGTGCCGAGGAGGTAACTCGAGTATTGAAAAGATATGGGCCCATGATTCGACCACACATCTTCGTCGGGCAATCAAGCGCCAAGGGCTCCGAGGGAATGAACCAGAAAACCCAGCTCGACATCATCACTAAATTCAAAGCCGGTACTTACAATACTATCGTTGCAACTTCCATCGGTGAAGAAGGTCTAGATATCGGAGAAGTCGATCGTATCGTGTGCTACGATTCTTCTGCTTCGCCCATCCGAATGCTTCAACGAATGGGTCGAACTGGTCGTAAACGAGCGGGAAATATCACTCTACTTTTGATGAAAGGCAAGGAGGAAGACTCATACACAAAGGCCAAAGATAACTATGAGAAGATGCAAGAAATGATTGCCAGTGGTGCTCGCTTTATCTTTCATGACGACCGATCTGCTCGTATCCTGCCCGCTGGAATTAGACCTCTACCCGACAAACGCATCATCGACATACCACAAGAAAATTCCCAGCACGAATTACCGGAGCCCAAACGGAAGGGTCGCGTGCCAAAGCGACCACCTAAGAAATTTCATATGCCCGACGATGTCGAGACTGGGTTTACGCGCGCTTCCACTCTGGCAGATGATGGTACACAGAAACCCAAACCTTCCAAGACACCCAAGAGAAAGTCCACAACACCCAAGGAAAATCCAACAGCGCCTAAAGAGAAGTCGGCGGCGCTTAAAGAGAAACCAGCAGCTCCCAAAAAGAAACCAACGGCGTCCAAGGCAAAGCCAAAGCAAAACCCTGGCCTTGAACCAGTGCAAAAACCGAGCACGGATGAAATCTTCGTGTCACCAAGTGCAATACGGGACTACCAGAAAGCCCAGCAAGAAGCCGGGGATACTACGAACCCCCGTACTGGTTTCTGGCCTCGTCCAGAAAGGTCAGTCAGGAAATCCGTCAGGCCGACGAGCCTGGTGGCCCATAGCTCTCTGACCGATCGCATCAGTAAAGTCATTCGCAACTTGGACCGCACCAGTCCTGATCGCAATAAATTTGATTGGAACGATGAAGAGTACATAGATATAGATTAGGCTCTTCCGGGGACGGCAGGAGTCTATGTAAGACTTTGATGAAGATTAATACGAATCGCCACATATCGGTGTTCGGTTTGATGTACTATATACCCATGAAAAGATCGGATAATCTAAAACCATTTGTATTCAGTCAAAGTAGGGTGTGAATTTTTCATAGGTACAGTATATCATTAGTCGTTCATCGTGATTTGACAATGATATACATGGCATATTAATCGAAGTCAACCGGAGCCATCCCTCTAACCTCCAATGCAGTTTGAACACAAGCGTGTAGCATCTCAATAGCTTCTGCCCAGGTCACAATTCCCTGTTCAGATCTAGGAGTTTGGTTATCTATCGGCACACGGCCGACATTATCTTCATCAATGAGCCATATCAGCCATCGCACCACGGCAACAGCTTTCTCAATGTCCTTTTCGTCGACGATAACACGACCCAGATAAGTAGACATTACCTCGACATCTTCACCATATGGGCCATGGTCCAAAAAGGCAGAATGCCATTCACGGACCGCTGCTCGAAGATCGGGCAATGCCGAAAGACGTTGCGATGTGAATACTGGCCGTTCTGGAAGAGGGGGTAGAGGGAGTCTTCTCTCGTCCGGTGCTGCGATGACGGCTAGAGGATTAGGCTCCGTGTCTGGTCCGGGGTTAACGGTGGGAGTATTGGCATGAGACTGCTGGAGCATCCGAGTGCGACGTTGTTCTTCTAAAATCTCTTGGCGGATATCCTCAGGTAGGGCTGCCAAGAACTCAGATGATATTTCAGATTCTGGCTCGTGAGTTGGAGATGGTTGGCGAGGAGCGCTTTGTCCTATTGGAGGGAAAGTAGGTGCTGGCCTTGAAACAAAATTTGAAAGAGTTTGCGTTCTGTGATCAACCCTTGAAAACTTCGGAGGGCGACCGCGTCTTTTCTTTGGAGGGGAGTATGGCCGTTTCACACCAACATTCCCAGAAGAAAGCGGGCGGGAGACGGGCACTGCACGTGGACCTGGCACAGCCGCTACAGGCGCAGGCGGTTCCAGAGGTGGTGTTTGTTGGTCGTAGTAACCCAGAACTTCGTCACGGACGTCATCTGGCAAAGCTAAGAGAATCTCGGGATCTAATTGAGACTGCGGAGGCAGCGCTGGAGCTGGAGCAACAGGCCTTGGAGCAGGCGAGGGTGACGTGACGCGTGGCTCGTCTTCAGATTTCGACTGTGCCACTAGTCTTGATCTAATCTCACTAGGAAGCTCAGAAAGGACCGCTGGGTCAACCTGAGTTGGCATTATGAATTGTGATCCAGGAATATCGGCAGGGCTCCTTGAGATATTCGTGGGTGTCCGATGGTCTATGCGAGGCATTTCAACTTTGGACGGACTGTCTGTCTCAATCATGTCGGCTGTCCGCATTCGAGATGGAGACTTCGCAAAATTGAGTTGTCGCTGGCTGCTATCAACATTGCTAGATTGCCCGGCCTTAAGTGGCTCGAGTTTGGTCATTTGCACCCCAAGACCGCGTAAGTCACCGGGAGAAAAATTGAAAGACCTCAGCATCACGATGGCCTCCTTAGCAATGATATCAGTGACATTGGTGGCTACGCCAATAACAATGCTCTTATTGAAGGTGTCGCATTTTCCATGTCCTAGATGCTTGACCGGTTCGAGGGGAGCATCCATTGATCGTCGCATAACTTTCAGGGTTAGCTGCTTGCCCTTAACTAGGTTTTCAACTAGTCGCCGGTTCAGCTCCCCGCAGAGAGATGACACAAAATCTTCAGCTTGATCTTGATTGACAAATCTGATGCCCCAGTTGACCTCAGCCGAGACTGATTTCCTAATAACTTCGATTCCAACTTCGGTTTTGTCAACACCACGAGCATATTCCCACATCCTAATTCCAGTCTTTGGCCCGAGAGCAGACACCAACCTCTCACGAGAAAAATCTCTCATGTCCTTGACTAATGTAGCTCCAATCTCTTCCAACTTGGCACTTAGGCTATGCCCAACACCTGGAAGATCCCGGACGGTAAGATCTCCCATGAATTGCAAAACATCATCTGGTTTCATCTGAAACTGTCCTGCCGGCTTGGCTTTTCGCAAGGCGACTTTGGCTTGAAGAATGTTTGCACCAATGCCAACTGATACAGCACATCCGGTCTTCTCCTTGACAGAATCGCGTAGGTCTTGGCCGATCTCATCAGCTTTCGCTTGTTCGCGGTAGATAGAACCCTCCGAGACTCCTCTTCCATCTGAGCCCCCAGCTTCCAGACATAACTGGGTAACATCGATAAGAGCCTCGTCAATGCTAACACTTTGAATGATTCCGTCAATTGCAAGGACTGAATTATAGAACTTTCGACTGGCCTCTTCATATGCCGGAAAGTCGTATGGCAGGACTTGAAGCTGTGGACACGCGTCCAAGGCTCCTTTCATCCACATTCCATTCTTGATCCCCGAAGCACGCGCAACATAGTTACAGCTTGCGATCTCTGATCCTGCTCCCGGGCCATGAGCTATAGCCACAGGCTTATCTTTTAACTCAGGATGTTTCAGAAGTGCTACTGCAGCGAAAAATGAGTCGAAGTCCACGTGCAGGACGTATCGTCTGGCTCCAGGCACTGGCTTCTTCTTCGCCACTTGCGACTGGACTTTATCTTTAGTCGCTGCTTGGAGCTGAGCTTTCAGATCAGCTTTCCATGTTGACAAATGATGGAGCCGAGACTCTCGGTAGTATTGCTGTATGAAGTCCGGGTTCACGACACTGGAATTTCGCATTCGAGGGTCAGAGAGGAGTTGCGCATTATATTCTTCGGATGTCATCTGCGGATTTGGCGCAATCGAGGGTTTGGGAGGCGGAAGCATCTGGGCACTGGGTCGATTTGATTGGATTGGATAGGTCCCATTTTCATCATATGTCTCAGAAACAGTCCCTATGTTCGAACTTGTGGGTAAATTCTCGGTCGGTGCGTCGGAAGACTTCGTTTTAGGCTCATCGTCGAGAGAATTGAAGCTGGGGAACTCGCCATAATCGGACTGGGAGGGCGGACTGGAGGGACGATCGGACGGTTGAGGATGAAGTGACAAATTATCTAGCTGCTGCGGAGATCCATAGCCTCCAAAGACATCGTCGTTCATCGCCTTTCACTTGTCAAACGCGGTTGTATCTGCCGTGTCTCCGGACTACAGCAGACACAGGCCACAACCATGGTCCGGGGGGAGAAGAAGGTGATATGACCCCTCCCTTTTCTTTCACGGAGGAGAAATAGCGATGGTTGATCACGGTGATTGCCAAGTTTAATCCCTTTTTGCGAGGGCGTTTATGTAGCAGGTAGGCAGGTGTTAAGTAGGCCCAACGGCCGCGGTGATGGCGGAGCTAAATTGGATGACGCCAATCCCAGGCAGTCAACTGGTGAAAGGCGGTGAAGTCGATAAGCGATAAGGGGTGTGGCATTCTTTTCCACGCTGCAGCTTTACAGCACCTCATACATGTACATATAAAACATGGAATATGGCTTTTTTCGTTTACAATGAAACAGATAAAACTATGCACCCCTCCTGCAGCAGAAGGTTGATACAGACAATAATCCTTGGAATGAGCTACATATAGGACAGGTTTATTTGATCATAACATTATCATAGCGAAGCAGCAAGTTATCCATGGAAGACAGCTGCCATACTAATATACTGGATTATTCTCTACTCATCTGAGAAAATAGAGTCATTTCCGTGGTCAACCCTGTAAGAAACATTTGTTGCATTCGCAGTCCTATCCCCTTTTCCACTCTCCACCGACATTACATGAATCCAATCAATAAAAACTCACTTGCGCCTTTCCGTTGAATACAATTTGCGCTTCAGCTAACATGAATGCGATGATTAAGACGATATCAGCCCCGTTTGACAGCTCAACTTGGGTGTTGCTTGCCATTGCGTCTGACTTAAATATTCCCGAGTCCACTATAATGACGCTCTCTGGCTTGAATTTCATTTCCGGCGGAAGAAACGAGTTAAGAGAGTATGAGTCTGCATCTCTCTCTGCTCCGAGATTCAAAGGATTCATGAATATATCTTATTCTTGTAAACAATTCCTCTTCTTTAACCAATCTCCTACCTTCGTTTGCATTCAAGTCTTGCAGACTTGGAACAGCTAGACTGGATGACTTTGCGGTCACGTTCAGCTCCAATCTCGGTCGTGTACTATCCGGAAGTTCAGTAACACGCTTGTTTTCAATGACATCAAAGCTTAGACTGCAATTAAAGCTAGAGAGATAGAATCTTGTTAATTCATTTCACGGTATGCATCGATATAAAGACAACTAACCATGTAGTCAACGCCCTTCTAGAGGTTGCACTGATCTTGACTGCTTGGCATCTGGGGTAGCTGTTGTTACATATGGTAGCGGCACGCACACATAGCATAGCCATGATAATCATTTTTCCGGTAGTGATAAACGTATGCCAGTTTTCAGCTTTAGCAATTGCAGACTGGTCATCCTGCACAAGCTCATATTCCTCTTTAATTACTTTGCCATGACCAGGTCGGTTTCGAAACAGTATTTCAAGGTGATCTTGAAAGTCCTTAGGAATAAGTCAGTATGGGTACTACCACTTTTACGAAAGATTTACTCGCCCGTATGGAAGTACAAAACATAAGAGAAATCACAATACGCCTTCCAGTAGCGTCAACAAAAGTAATCGGTCGATCCGCCACAGAAGTACCTCCTGAGGAGTTGTAGGGAAGCTGTGGAGGCATGACAGTAGAGACTGATTTCACATAATGAAATAGATTCTTAACAAAATACCGATCTCCTCTAGCTCGACAGTGGATTTGGCTGTATTTTCATGAAACCTCATGGCAAGCTTTTATAATTTATCCATTGAATCTTTGATTTCGGAGGTTGACTGGCTTGTAGAGAACACCGTAGCACTAGACAAAACACCAATTAGCAATGTACCCCAGTCATTCTATGCATTCCATGTAATATTTAAGAACCAACCAGGCTAAGTTTATAATGTAGTATTCGAGAGCTTGCAAATGGCTGCGCAAGTCCCTCTGTAGCTTCTCCACATCTTCCTTCCTGTACAAGCTCAAGAGACTTTTCGAAGGCCATCCTTTATCCGCTTCTTATTACCTTGAAAACCAAAGCCTTCTTCGTATCGTGCTAAATTTGCCTGAAACTCTTGCAGAAGTTGTTTGCAACGGTCCGACTCATACTTGATCCCGATAATAGCCTTATCAGGGACAGTGCTTGGCGGCAAGTGGTTCAATATTTGGCTTGTGACGTCTATCGAACGAATAAGGGAACTGAGGGAGGTGATGAGTGACTGATAATCAGATCTGGCGCCGCAAATGTCTCGTAGGCTTTGAATTATCATGTACGCAATTTGCCCCACCTACGCTTGTTAGAATAGAGTGGCAGCTTTCTGGAAGAGCAGGGAAGTCACCAACCGCGATGAAATCTCCTATGCTGAATCCAAAAGAAGGGACTGGCATGGCTTACAGCACTTAAACATGAAGTTTGGTAAAGGGCAGGGTCAAGTTGAGATATTGGAGGAAGGGAGTAGAATAAGCCCACAGCTGCCCAACACCGATGTTGACACTGACGCTGCCAAAAACACAGCCATGCGCCTTTCTTTCGCTCCCGCCAATCATCCTTCTCATTGGTCGTTGGCTGCAGTGAGTCCTTGATCGCGGGTAGTCTCTATCCTCTATCTGGGAATATAAAAGTTTATGAATATACCATTTCTGATTTTCTCCTATATGATTCAAACAAAACGGCTAGACTATTTCGGCGGAAAGCACTATAACAATAAGTCCAAGTCCTTGCCGAGGCTACTTAGATGGAGCAAAGCAAATATGCATAGAAAATGTGATGAGAATAACTATATCAAGTTTGCAGAGATGAAGATCTGTGTCCATTCAAAATATAGGAGGGACAAGTGCATGAATACATAGAATAAGCGGGGCCTGGGTATCATACAAAATAGGGGAAATTAAACTTGATTATTGAAAGCGTCCGTTGTTCTATGAGTGTCGGTTGCACACCAGCTTCCAATGGCCTTTATCGACATCATCCAGTTCAGGAAGATATGGGCGTTGATTTAAACACTTAATCGTTCTTTTCTCGAGATATTACCGTGCAAGATCAAAAATGAAAATTTATATCGTTGAACATTCAAATTGGATATTCATAACAAAGCACATCCGTCTAAGGTATCAAAAAGGCAAAAAGAACTAACAGAACATACTGGTTCTGTCAATTTAAGCTGAAACTGTAGTTTGAACACCGTTACCATTGAGTTTCTCCACATGCTGAATTTCCGACGTCTTACTCGTTCCGTTTGTTGTTCCCGGCTGGGGGTAAAAATCAATCTTGCCCTCGGGCTGAATGACGCCTGTTCGGTCCAGATAAAGGCGGGCGCGGGTGTATGGATCCAATTTCCAGTGGTTAACTCGCAGTCGCTCAGCGAGGTATGTACGTTGGCTGGCTGCTGATTGAAGCTGAGTCTTATCCTTAGCCTTGGCCGCAGCGATCCATTCAGTAGTAGCAGCAAGGAACTCTTCGCCAATTTGCTGTCGTTCGCCATGGAGAGCGTCGCGGGTGGTAGTATCTTCCATTGTAGCGTTTTCGCCCTCTTTGGCCTCGACGTATTTGTATTCCCAGTCCTCGTCGCCACCTACACTCTTATGGAGCTTGCTGCGATCGATGAACTTGGCAAGGTCGTCAGCGGAGTTGGTGAACTGGACCTTGGCGGCGATATCGGGGTCCATCCAGCCTCGAATAAGCTTCCAGATGCCTGTTTGAGTTGAAGATATATGTCAGTATGGCGATCGAGAAAGGCCTCAATATCTTGTAGCGAGTTTGCTATACTTACCAGAGAAGACCCAAGGAGCATTGTGAATCAACATGATGCCCAGAGATTCCGGGTAGTTGGCTTCGAAACACTTGAGAATAAATTTCACCGGAGGATATTCCTATAGCATTGTTAATTATCCGTCGTCTTATGCATTGTCATCGTGGTGTTGGTGAAGACATATACGTACCATATTGGAAAGACCGAACCCAGTCATGTCGAACAAGACGCACTAGATGCTGCATTAGCCCAGAATCCACTTCTCATAGGAAACGTATGATACCCACAGCAGTCTCAACAGGAGGAGCGAGCGTTAGTCGGACAGACTCAATAACATGGACGATATAACGTTCCAATGTCTCCTCACTTTGTGCACCAGGCTTATGCAGGCGGACTTGGATGACGACAATTGGACGTCCTAATTTATCAGTTCCATGCACATAACTCTTACCCATGCGCATCTGATCCAAAAAGTCCTTTCCTTCCTTCTTTTCCTTAGCATCAGAGCCCTGCTCCTGCTTCAATGCACGAAGCTCGCCCTTAGCCATAACTTCATCGTCGACATGCATCTCCTTAACACGCCAAACAATAGCTTCCATCATCATTGCGAAAGCTTTATTGACATCCCACTTACGTGCGCGCAGGAAGCGCAGCATCATAGCATCCGGGTGGTCGTGCTTCAGAAGCTCTAGAACACCATGGCGTAGCTCATTGGGGCTTATTTCCGACAGAGACTTCTGGACCATCTTGGTTTCTTGGGGGCCGATGCCATTCTCCTTAAGATGGGCCAACAACTTCTGCTGGTAAGGTCTTGTGAGGGTGGGGGCGGTCTTATCGGAAGTACTGCTTTGCGCAGTGGTGGTACGGCCCAGGAGCGACATTCGTCGCGGGGGCGCAGAGGGGGTTGGGCTGGCTGGTTCTTCGACAACGACGGCCTTCGCTTCTTCTTCGGATGGGATCTCAGACGCCCGGAGTAGGATACCCCAAAGCTTCTGTAGCTTGGCTTCCTGGTCGTCATTGACGTTTCCCAGGAAGCCGGGCTTTGGTCCGTCCGTAGTCATTATGGGTGATATGTGATGGATGCGCAAGGTATAGGAAGAGCAATGAAGATTTGATGGTGAGAGAATCCAATTGAAGTTTTTTTTTCTCAATCCTTGGAGGGGTTGTCTAGAATGATATAAGAACGACTGGGGCCTTTTTGTTCGTCAAGAATCCACATGAAACCTGAAACCCCTCCTTCTAAAGTCAGCCTCGGCCCTAAAGGAACAGAGATAGGGGGAAATATCGTTGAGGTCCATGCGCTCCTCTGAATTTACCATCAGGGCAGGGATGATCGTATTCCAATCGCGGGCAAGGATCAGCTAGGCCCGCCCACTGGTTCCCCGGATTTCCCAGTTACGAGAACAAAAGTGGGTGTGGGACGAGACCTCGGCCCTAGGAAAGCTAGTTTAGGGAGATAATACTAGATCCACCCACACAGAAAACAGGGAGACCGAACAAAAGACGGATACATGTGGGTTTTGCGTGGCCACAAATTTGGGTCGTTGAAGTGGGCACTTTGCGTGCCTTAGGCGAGTCAAAACCTGAACGACGCCACTTAGAAGCGACCCCAAGAGACCCATCAAGGTCAGATTCACAATACATTGTAAACGAGGACCCGCGCAGGTCGCCCCCCAATAGAATTTTTCCACCCCATGCAGTAGAAATCCTCCGGCGCCTTGACGTGCCTCGACCTCGGGTCGGTCTCGTCCTCTAGTTATTGATCTTCTTCCCTGTGTCATCTCCTAGGTACATTGTAACCTGAATCCTTATCATGGAACATACTCTATACAGAGTTCACTACTTAGATATCACTTCCTCCCCTGCAGATGGCGGGCCCAATAGTATTGACTTCCGCGAACTCCACCAAGACGTTTGTCGTCCCAACTGCCATGCACCGGAGAGATATGACCCAATTTGGTTTCTCTCTGCCGACTGCCGCAGATCGTCCCCTGTAAACCAATTGGCTGGCTCCCCACATTCCACGCTGCACGGTGTGGAATGTGGGCTGTGCAATTACATCATTAACCTGAACACCCCGGAAATTACCCCATTCCGATCTTCCAGTGCCGCCTCGGCCATTTGTTAGCTTGGAAATAATTAATCCAATCATGTTGCAACAGTCTCGATCCCAGTCATATCATACATACGCATATGTGCAAGAAGTTGATCAAACATAGGGATTTTCCAGCATCGTGCATACTGTTTTTAGGTTTAAGGGGAAATAATTCGAAACAAACCTTGTGTAGCGAACTAACTTAAAAGCCGAATATCGAGTTTCATCCAAAAAATACGCACAGAGAGAATGGATTAGGAAAAGGTACTAAAAACACCCATTTACTACAGATAATTGAGGATCAAGTCCCACTCTTGTTTCTTCATTGCTTGTCTTAGTGACAATGGTGAATTCTGTTAAGTTTTTAGGTCATGCAGCTGCAGGTGCCTATTATTTGGGTGCCAGTGGGGTTTCCACTTGATTATTTCGCTCTATATCTGCGCAAAGCCTACTATGCGATACAATCTTTCTGAAGAGTTTTACCCATATTTAGTACCTGGTCAGTTTGACGAGCGCTGATGGGATTTTTTGGGCTTTTCTATTTCACCAATTTCTACTTTATTTGCACTACCCGATAATTGCGACCTGAAGGGACAGAGAGACACCAATTATGGCAAATTGAGACCGAATGATTGGGCTCAAATTGTCAATGTTCCAATGTATCCTGTACAACTAGCACACCCTAAAACTAAGCGCTTCTTGGCTGCAGCTCAATTTCTGTGCAGTCTGATATCCATTATGCAAACCTGACCTCCTAGTGCCATGAGGGGGAAGAATATCATGATGTCCCAAGACGAACTAGCCGCGGGCCGCTTAGATCGCATTTGATCCCCGTTCATGATACGAGGAGATAATTCAGCATATTCTCTCTTCCGAGTAGTTCCCTCCAGCTGCAGATAAGGTCAGACTGACAGAGTTTATCAGGGTGGTTCGTTAGATGTTGGTCATGAAGAAACCATTCGCGTTCTTCTCTCAGCAATCTACAAATTCAATACTGCACACAATGAATCAGAAAGCGATTGGCGAAGAGATGAGGACCGGTCGTTTTGAGATTTCTTCGGTCGCGATCTGTTGTTACGGAAATAGTAGATCTGGGCAATATCATTCATGCAAGGTCTCCGAGTCGTTGTGCAGTATCTAAATGGTGAATGTTCAAGTTGGTGCTGGCCGCGAGAAATTCGACAGCGTGACAGCACGTAGCTTGGACGGCCCTCGCTGCTAGAATAACTCAATACCTCTAATAGAAAGCTACAGGTGCTACAGATTCTTGAGATGGCTGTTTAATTTCAGCCTGAAGCTGGCATATCGACAGAAAGCCCCACATTTCGTTGTCCATCCACACGGCTTGAGCCCCATTTGAAGGACAAAATACCCTTGTCGCCAACATTTTAATGCAGCAATTTCTTTGTTGCTAGTTGACAGCCAAGAAAAATGTAGTGAAACTTTCCATGAAGCTATTTTCAAACTCAAATAAAGAGCTAAGGATGGAAATCTCTGTTTACGTTTCGTATCGTGAGCGATCATAGTGAAGTATAGAAAAGTCACGTGGAGACCGAGCTGATCGGCGGATATTGTCCGCCGAGGAACCAGAGCTACATTCACATCTCACTTCACAGTATCCATTGCGGTTCCCATCAGCCGCAATGCCCGACTCCCAAGCCGGACGCTCTGAGCGCAATCACCGTACATCTTCTCGCTCCCCAGACCCAGCCCGCGACCGACGACGAGACCCTCGAGACAAAGACAGAGAACACAGGAGCTCTCGACGACGAGATGATGACCGCGAAAGCTCTCGCAGGCACAGTCCACGACGCAGGTCATCTCGTAGCAGATCAAGAGAGGGAAGGCCACGCGAAGACCGCGATCGACGTCACAGGGAGCGCAGAGAACGATCAACAAGCTCTGCAGACGAGCGCCGCCGAAGACGTGGGCATCGCAGTCATCGTCACCGCGACGACCGAGACAAAGATGGAGAACGATCATCTAGAAGACACCGCAGTCCCCGTGCCCGATCCCGCTCCCCGCGACCATCCAAAAGTCCCCAGCGTGCCTTACAACGGAGTGGCCCTCTACCTTCACAATCCGATGCCTTCACTTCTACGGATGTAACACAATCTGGCGAGGCTCCCCCTCCAGAGAAGCAAAAGCCCAATTTCCAAAATTCTGGCCGACTTGCGGCTGAAAGCAACACGGTACAAGGTGTGAGTGGAGAAAATATCGTCTTAAAATACCACGAGCCACCAGAGGCACGGAAACCTCCAGGCAAGGAACCCTGGCGACTGTATGTTTTCAAGGGCGAAGAATTGCTTGAAATGGTTGAACTGAGCGAACGGAGTTGCTGGTTGATCGGTCGCGAAAGAGCTGTAGTGGACTTCCCACTTGATCATCCTAGCTGCTCGAAACAGCATGCTGCGCTCCAATTTCGGTATGTCGAGAAGCGAAATGAATATGGAGATCGTATCGGTAAGGTTAAGCCATACCTCATTGATCTGGACAGTGCAAATGGGTCCTCCGTGAACAAAGACCCCATACCAGGAGGCCGCTATGTGGAAGTAATGGATAAAGATGTAATGAGGTTCGGGACGAGCACAAGAGAGTACGTGCTCATGTTGCCGCAATAATCGATGATATTGTTATTCATGCTATAAAACTACCTCCAAAAGAAACCCCTACTCTATCTGCAAATGGGTAGATATTAGGAAAACTACCCCAGTCAATACCACTGCAAATCAAGCGATGAAATCCAACTTTTTATGGCACGAAGTTTCAATTGCACGATCAAGCTTATAACTTCCTTCATTCAATCAGTGCCTGTAGATATCAATATCACTAAAAGAAGGCAATCGTCAGGCATTGATTCCACGCGTTAGAATCCATACTCACAAGGATCGGAAAAGACTCTTCCTCCCTCCAGCCTTATTATCAACCCAAACACTGATGCTCTTTGCAGCAACTGGGAAAATCCCGTACCCACGGTGATCAATTATAACAGTTTCAACGCACCAATCGAGTATATCGGTCCATTGTTCTCCAGCATGCCTAGCACCGACATACATACGCTTGTATGTTGCTGCAGCATTGCTCATGATACAGGCAAGACCTGACGGGTAATGAGCTGTGCCATAGCGAACGAACCCTTGATGCCAATTAGTATACAGATGCTGATCAGCAGGGTATAGAACCTACCAATGCAATTCTTCTTGTCGAAATAATCACGTTGCTCGCCATAGGCATAAAGTTTGCGAGCACGCATTAGTATTGGTAGTTTGCCCCTACATGAAGGGCGTGACACGGATCCGGAGCTTTGTCGAAGGCCATAAAGATCACCATAGAAAACACATGGTTGACCTTGGCTGCGAAGAAGAATCAACGCATATGCGATTGGTTTGAAGAAAGGTACAATGACTGTCTGTTCGAAAATGTCACTTAATAGTTGGGATTGATATGTATAATAATGGGCGAGTTGAACATACCTCCAATGATTGACCGACTTGCTATGTAGGATGTAAGTATTCAAGTCAGACTTCAAGTTATACTTTCTGATTACAAGACATGTTGGCATGGACTTACTGTATCATGATTTCCCACAAATGTCTGTCAAGAGGAACTTAGTATAAAGTAGCTACATATGCTTGGGCCTGAGAAGATGTTGTCTTACAACTGCATGCTTTGGGCTTTGCTCCACTAATGTCCCGTTAAATACTTTCCGTAAATCGGCCCCTTCTGTCTGTGAAGTCACTGCAAAACGTCCTAGAAGCGGTGCATCAAATAAGGAGAGTTGATAGTTCATGACTTCGAGATACTTCAAGAGAAGGTTTACGTCTCCGCGCCAGTATTCGCCTACCAGGAAATAGTCCGCACCAATCGTATTCCTCAGATGACTGACAAACTCTCTCTGGAAACCTGCAGAGTAATGTTTTGCTGCATCGATTCGCATACCACTGATTGGCAGCTCAGTTCCAATCCATTCCGACCACTTAAAGATATCGGCTCGGACGTCCGGGTGTGTGTGATCCAAGTTGGCAAACATCAGATAGTCATAGTTACCGTGTTCCTGGCTTACGTCTTTTGCCCATCCTTTCCTTGGCCCTGTAATCTTATAGATTGCATTTTCCTGCCGTGAATCATCCCAATCAACGCCGTTGAAATGCTGATAATGATACTTCATAGAGCTGTATTTTCCAGCGCGACCAGGAAAGTCAAACCCTACCCACCCAGATATGGTTTCTGTCGGTGGTGTCTCGATATTTCGATCTATAAAGTCCCGTCAGCCTATTGCGTAAAGAAGCTTGCGCGTCCCAAGCCATGCGTACCCTTAGGGTCAACTTTGATTGCTTGGAAAGTTTCAGTGCTATCCGCTCCAGCTTTGTGATTCAATACCGTGTCCCAAAAAATTCCAATCCCGACATCTTGCGCGGCTTGCACCATGTCTATCAAGTCCTCCTTTGGGCCCCAACGAGTGGCTCTAGATCCCTTCTGGTCAAATTCTCCAAGATCCCACAAGTCGTATAAGTCGTATCCGACCCCAGATGCATCCATCGCCTTGCACCCAGGAGGTATCCAGATATTGTCTACCCCGGCATCTCGAAGAGTAGGCATTGACATACACAATCGTTTCCAATGACGTTGATCAGCAGGGACGTGCCATTCAAAGCCCTGCATCATCAAGGTATTCTGAGGAGCAATCCATGGAATCGTCTTTTCGGAATCGTGAATGTCTAGATACATATTCGTGAGTCTTGAATATTCAAATCACCGAAGAAGAGATGGATATGCCTAGTACTGACCCTCAATCTCCTTCCACTTGTTTGCTTTTCTTCTCATTTTCAAGCCGCAGTTAAGAATGGACAACATTCAGCCTGCGACCACGTTCCTGATGGCAATGGAATCAATTCGGCACGTCCCTTGCGTTGTCAGAAGTCCTCAGCAACAAACAATGAGCATGCAAAGTATTCTTCAACCATCCACGAGATAAAATATCGTAAGAGGCAGGGCCGGACAACACTGAAAATAGTGACACCAATCCCCCTGCTGTGCGATTATACTTTTGCGGAATACTGATAGATTAGTAACATGTCATCAATTGGCCAGCAAGATCTCATAGGTTCCGGAAGCTAAGCAGAAACCCTTAGATCCAAGACGATTTTGACTTTATTGGCTTAAAAAGAAAGACTCCAATGTAATGTCTTGCGTGTTCGTTCCTACTGAATAAGCTGCCAACTTCGAAGAGAAGACGCTCTACAAAAGCAACGAAGGCGTTATCGATTACTTGAGTACAAATAGGCAGCAAATTAATGAGAGCACTTTTGTCAATGCTTTGAAACATTGTCACTAAAAATGGCCTCAAGCGTCATCAGTCTTAAATATCAAGGGCCCAGGGCCCGTTGCTGCTTGTATAAGTCTATCCGGAACCTAGGATCCGGATCGGTTTGATAGCCAATTGAATTAGTGTTTTAGGTAGCTTTTATGGTGAGATAAAGCCGGCGATTTGCGGGATTGTGGCGTCGTGTTTGAAATAGATAAATAGGGACTCCCAACAAAGCTACACGTTTATCGAACTGTTCCGAAGCCTTGGCTCCGTTGAGATCAAAACCGGCGGTCTGTACCCAACCTGCAGGTTTGTACATCTTTGGAATATAATTGTATAGAGAAATAAAGTATAGTACCGCGAAAGGTACAAGAGAAGTGTTGTTCCTTATCTCTGTTGAATGAATTACGAGGCAAACTTGCGAAAATTGCGCAGGCGTGGATGGAAATATTAACCTTGTACTTGTAACGTGAAAGTTCATATGGGGTTGGACAATAATGAATGAGCAACATACGCCACCAACTCCATTGACGCTTTCTATGTACTTTTTGCCCCAATCGTCTATGATAATATCATGTCCGGCCTAATTTTCAGATCCTAAAGACTCCGCGGCGAGTAAATCCTGTTTTACACACTGTTGACACCCAGCCCAAACATCTTCACCGAATTATTCCAGGCACTGAAGAACAATGTTAGCAAAGATACTAAGCGCTAAGGCCTGAGAATCCTGAATTGACTTACGCTTCACAAACTTCCTCCACGGAAATCCCCTTGACGTGAGCAATAACATGAGCAACACGAGCAATAGCAACGGGTTCATTGCGACCCTTAACCATGGAGCCTTTCTGCCATTTCTCTTTCTTAACCGACTTGGGAAGTTCCGGAGCGCCAGTTAAAAATTTCGCAGATGCATGGGAAGGCCGAATCTCACACTGATTAACCAGTCAGTTATTGCAAAAATAGATTCAAGGTATATGTATGCACGTACCCAAGGCCCATCAGTTTCAATTTGGAGGCGTTCCAACGGCACAGCCTTGACAACTTCCAAATTCTCCTCAGTCTTCATACTGCAGCCATTCACACCAATATCAACCCCCAAAGCGACAAGCCTTTGCATTTCTTCCATTGTTCCCGTAAAGCTATGCACAAGTCCACCCTTCGGTAGGTGTGGCAACTTGGCTGAAAGTAATCTCTCAAAGTCCTCACTAGCAGCACGTGAATGCAAGAAAAGTGGCATCCCAAGTTCAACCGCAAGATCCAGTTGAGCTTCGAAATACTTCAATTGAGGTGCCTTCTCACTGTGGAATAAGCGATCATAGTCAAGTCCGATTTCACCAAAAGCAACAGTCAGGCCGGCTTTTCTAGACTCAATTGCCAGTTTGCGAAGCTCCTCAATCATCTTCGTAGGACCTCCAGGGTGGGAATCAAAGAGCTTTGCTTGACAGGGATGTACGCCTACAGTGGCGTAACAGAAACCGGCTATAGATTGAAACTCAGCCAGTTGTTTGCGGAGTATTTTGGAAATGGGGGCTTACGGTAGTTTCGGGCAATTTTAACAGCCTCTTCAGACTCGACGAGGTCAGAGCCTGTGACCATGAACTTCTCACAGCCTACTTCCCGAGCACGTTGAATCACGTCGTCTAAATCACATTCATGGGCTTTCTTTCCATGATATGTGCCACTGAACATTGGATCACTCAAGTTGATACCGATCTGAAGAGAGTATCAGTTTCAAGCCATGCAAAAAAATCTTCAATATGAAGGAACTAGCAGGACATACATCGACATATCGCAACGGTTGGCTTGATTCCTCCATATTGGCTGAAATTCGAGTATTTTTGACAGCGGAAAAGCTTGAATGAGTATGATGTTTGCGCTTAAGTTCGAGCAACGTATTACTTCTAAAATTGTAATGATTTTCTCGTAAGGGGCCTTGATGTTGTTAGTCCAGAAACCATGATACGAATATATAGTGTAGGCGGCACCTCCACTCTAAGATAAGCGATGACTGGGATGCGGCTTTTAACTGAGACATACTTAGTATTTTCTGAGAATGAGTCAGAGCAGGGTACTTGATAGTGATGCTTCTGCTGCCTTTCGCGCTCCCGATTGGATTGCTGATACGGCTCAAGATATTGAAAGGAATATTTGGTGGATACCTGATATGCATCCGATCAACCTGCTAATCTAGGACTCGTCAATTAAATTAGTCTCAAGAATTCTTCACGAGGATGACTTTGAAAAGTCGCGATCGAACGTGTGTGTTGACTCACGGATTTCTTCAGCCACATATGTGGCTGCGATGAAACTTTCAATGTGGCGGTACGTTGATGACATAATAACCAGTGGGGCTTGAGATCTTCTACGCGGAGAGAAGTCCGTGTGCGCGTCGGATATGCGCCGTGAGACTAGTATGCAAGGGTCTGTGGATGGGTATTAAGCACTCGATTGACAGGAACATTGCGACTAAGACAACTTGGTTCCAATTGGCAGTTGGGTAACCAAATTTCCCTATGTCATATATTTACATAGCTCAAAGTATCAGGCGGTTAATGGTGCTTTTTCTTATCCATACCACGCGTCAAGTTGAAATTAAAACACTCCTCAAATACAAGCTCTCAGTCGGCCGATAAAATCCATCAATGTGAAGGTTATATTGCGATTCTTCTCACCCTCGTCCTGAACTTTCCCTTTTTAGTGTTTCGGTAGTTTAACACAGTCCGGGGTAACTCCGGGGACATAGCCGGGGTGGAGTCTAAGCTCGTTCGCACGGATAAGACCCATAGCAAAGCGCACTAGCTTCTATCTGAGCGTTTGCTGAGTATTAAAATCTCTCTGGCTGGTTGGCTTTTCTCTTCTCACACACCTTATCTTCCCACTCTGCCACTGCCACTGTCACTTCCTGCCCTTCAGCCTAACGCAGCGCTACCCTTCAACAATTGAGATTGTGAGCTGGATCTCTTTATCTCTTGAAAATGGCAACCGGGAAACTGTTATCTGCCAAGGAAATCTCGGGGCATCAATCCCCCGAGGACTGCTGGATCGTGGTGAATGATCAAGTTTGGGATATGACAGACTTTTTGGGCGAGCATCCGGGAGGTCCAAATAGTAAGTCGTCTTTCCGGGCACCTGAGGCTGCATTGGCCGGTTTGACTGTTTGTGAAATAATTCAGAGCTCACATTTAGTACAGTCATATTGAAGTATGCTGGCCGTGACGCAACAGAAGCCTACTCAGCGGTACATTCGCCCAGTGTATTGAAGACAGGTCTCGAGCCGGAGAAGTTCAAAGGCTCCTTAGATCAGTCGACAGTCGACGAGGAATGGTTGAAGCCGCCCCCTGGGGAGAATGCCAAGGTTCTTCTAGATAACGAGAAACCACCACTGGAAACTCTGATCAACTCCCACGACTTCGAGGTTGTCGCTTCTAAGACAGCAAACAAGAAAACATGGGCTTTTTACTCCAGCGCTTCTACAGATCTAATCACTCGCGATGCAAACAAATCAAGCTTTGATCGTATATGGTTTCGCCCACGCGTTCTACGAAATGTGCGAGAGGTGGATGCCAGTACGAAAATCCTTGGTGGGGACTACAAACTTCCTCTCTTTGTTAGTCCTGCAGCAATGGCCAAGCTAATTCATCCCGAGGGAGAATGTGCCATTGCTAGAGCCTGCGAGAAAAAGGGTATAATTCAAGGAGTAAGATTACCTAGAACCAACACACATACGAAAAGTCTGTTCTAACCATCCCCTGCAGATTTCAAATAATTCTTCCTTTACTATGGATGAGCTACGTAGCACTGCACCAGGTGCCAGCTTTATCTTCCAGTTATATGTCAACCGCGATCGAGAGAAGTCTGCAGATCTCCTGCGACAATGTTCAGCGAACCCCAATATCAAGGCTATTTTCGTCACCGTGGATGCAGCATGGCCCGGTAAGCGTGAAGCAGATGAGCGCGTTAAGGCCGACGAAAACATCTCCGTGCCAATGTCACCTTCCAAAGCGAGCAATGACAAGAAGGGTGGCGGCCTTGGCCGGGTAATGGCCGGATACATTGACCCAGGCCTTACATGGGAGGATCTCAAATGGATTCGACAGCACACACATAAGCCCGTGTGTCTGAAAGGAGTGATGTCTGCCGACGACGCAATCATGGCTATGAACGCGGGACTAGATGGCATTCTGTTAAGCAATCACGGTGGCCGTAATCTCGACACAAGTCCACCTTCTATCATTACGCTTCTAGAGATTCAAAGGAGATGCCCTGAAATTTTCGATGCTATGGAAGTATATGTTGACAGTGGAATTCGTCGTGGAACGGACATTCTGAAAGCTGTTTGTCTGGGCGCCACCGCAGTAGGAATGGGCCGAAGCATGCTTTTCGCTATGAACTACGGACAGGAGGGAGTTGAGCATCTCGTTGATAGTAAGTCACTGCCACTTCATGACCTTCTATATTAATGCTTGGAACATTTCACTAATGAGCCGATTTGTACAGTTATGCAGGATGAACTGGAGACCGCTATGCGCAATATTGGAATCACCTCCTTAGATCAGGCATCTCCAGATTTTGTCCACACAGGAGCGATTGATCACTTAGTTCCGTCTTCTCGATCACATCCATATGCTAGCGCGAAGGCAAAATCCCGAAAACGCAGCGCGAAGCTGTAGAGATGGAACCATGGCAGGATTCAAAATGAGATATTGTTGGCCAGTTCCTTTCAAAATAAATAGAACTTCTAATATGCCTAGCCTGAATCCAGAGTTTCGACTCATTTGATAAAATTTACAGAAATAGTTAATTTATATTTATTTTCCCACTGTATCACATTGAGATGCGAGTAGATATTAGTTCAACGGAACAGAGAGTTTCGAAACCGTGGGACAGACATGACCGAGGTTGCACTCGATGACTTCAGCTCTCTGGCTCAACATTCTCCTACTACTAATCAAGAGCCAATACCCCAAAATGAACCTCCTCAAACGATTGCAATCTCTTTTTAAATATCATCATGCCGAACATACACTCAGCGCTGGACCTGAAAGCCAAACCGAAACGCCAGCGTCCCATCCAAACGGCAACGATGACCCATATCGCAATTTGAGCGAAATTACGGCCCCAGAGCCTGTGGAACGACTCACAGATGACGAATGCACTAGAAAGGGATCGCTAGAAACGGAGCTACTAACTGCCTCGCGCGCCAGGGGCCAGGCGGACGAGGACGAATACAGGGCACTTAGTGAAGTCGCAGCACCGGAGCCTTGTTCTATTAGTCGATCAGGAAATGTAAAATAATTTCACTTCTACTAATTCAAGTTGCGCGCTATTAGGTTGTTCATCCACTGAATTCGCTTTTGTATTGTATATTATGTTCCGTAGTTCTGAATGCATACTTAGGATATATCAATGATGTCTGTATCATCAACCACATGAAGCCCTAGTAAACGGCTTAAACCATCTACCGCTTATCTCGACTCCACTCCATCTCTGCAGTCCGTTGTAGCTTGCGTTCGCGTTCTCGATCACGCTGCATACCCTTCTTGCGACCACTAGAGCCCAAATCCTTCTCTTTCTCACGAGGATCAATGACCATAAGCGAATCGATGTCATCCCGATTACTCTTCTTCCATTCGAGATCTTTCCCAAGGCGATCTTTACCAAAGCGGAGCTCATGTGACATCCAGCCCTCCTCGTCATGATCAGCATTATCTGCACCTGCAGCTTCGGGGTTCTCATTATCCCAAGATTGACACGATTGGCAGTTGGCTATGAAGTGCAAATCGCAAAGCTGTGCCTCTTCGTCATCGTCATCCTCTTGGTGTTTTGTTTCCTTCTCTGTGTGAGAGGTAGCATTTGATGTCTTGGTAGGACGGCTCTCTGCGCCTTCAAGCTTAGCCTTGAAAGCATTGAACATCAGAAGACCTTCGTTCTCCGCGGCGCCTCGAGGTCCACCACTCGATCCACCACCAGTACTTGAGCCCGGTGGAGGGCGCCTGCGTCCTCGAATTGCAGTTTCGGGAATCATTGCTTCGAGAGCTGACTTCTTGCGACCCGTGTCAGCAGGCCCAGTATCCACATTACGACGCATAGATGCTTTCAGCGACGCAATCTCAGCATTTGTTCGTGAAAGTTTGGATTCTTTTAAAGGCGTAGGAGATCGTTCTGGTGATTCGGGGTCTTGTATGGGGAGTTGAGCTTGGGGTTCAGGTGTCTTGGGGCGTTGTTTTCGCTCGGCCGATGGCGATCGCTTGGGTGAAGGAGAACGTGGTCGCTTGCGTTGCTGCTTAGGTTCGGCTTTTTGTGTGGTCTTAGATTCTGCGTCACCGTTCGCACCAGGCGCATCGGCAACAAGCTTCGTGTTGAATTTAGGCTTTGCTGGTCGTAAAGGAATATCATCTTCACCCTCATCACCTCCAAAGCTCAGAAGAGCCTTTCCACCCTTCGGATTCTTCTTCTTCTTTTTAGCTGCTGGCTTGTCACCCGTACTTGTTGAAACGGTCTGTCTATCCTTCAACTTGCCATCCAAGGGGCCCAATTCGCCGATTTGACAAGAAGTCACCTTGACAGGGTATATCGGCTTCTCTGTCCCTTCAACGCGCTCGGCCTCCGCAATTTTCAAGACCGTAAATATGCTGTCTCCCTCCAGTCTGCCGAACATCGTACACTGTCCATTCATCTCCCTTTCGGTATTGTCGAGGGTGATAAAAAATTGACTGCCATATGTGCCATCCTCACTTTTGGCCATGCCGATCAGCCCGCGCCGGTTAAAGCGCAATCGACTGTGCAGCTCATTTCGTAACACAACTCGTTCGTTCGGGTCGCGGGCTTCGGGATCGTATTCAAACTCCGGGTACTCGTAGATTGATGTGCCGCCTGAGCCTGTACCTGTTGGGTCACCACCTTGAATGACGAAGCCAGGTGCAACACGATGGAAGATTGTTCCCTCATAATAGTTGTCCTTGCAGTGTTGGAGGAAGTTTTTGCAGGTAAGAGGAGTTTGGTTTGCGAAGAGAGAGATGTGAATGGCGCCAACGGTTGTATTTAATGTTGCCGATGCGGTGGGATTCGGCTCTGTGGCGTATTGAGTTGACATTCTGGGAGAATAGGTGGCCGAACCACGGCCTTGGTGAGGAGAGGGAATTGGCGATCGAAGCCTCAAAGCTCGTCGATCAGATAGAAAGGATGCGCGCCGCAGGAAAAGTGGACGTCATGGCACGTGACTTCGCTGCTATAGAAAGAGTATACAGTTGGTATCTGGGCTCGACTCAGGACGTAAAGAATAAAATTAATTACAAAGTTTAGGTACTAAATACAAACATATGCATGGTAGTGTACATTTTTAGTATGGGTTTCAATAATCATTGTGCTCTTTGAGCTCAAATGTCTGGGTGCTTTCAAACAAGCCCCCAGTAGTTCATCATTTTATTTTCAATCCGTATCATCATCTGAGTCCATCTGTGCACCCTGGCGCCATTGTGTAAATCTGGATCCGTACTGCGCACCATTCTCGCTTCCAGAATTATCAAAATCAAATTCTTCGTCATCAGAAGCAGCACGATGGCGGTATTTTCCATAGATAGCAGTTGGGTCATCCTCTTCATCGGATGAAGAGAGTTCGTCTTCGGGATAATCATTTGCAGGGTTATTTTCAGCTGTTCGAAGTTGGAGCATTTTGTTAGTTATATAGCCCCAAATCGCTATAATGAGACACAACGAACCATTTGAATCCGCATCTTCACTATCCCATTCCTCCTCGTCGTCCTCCACAAAATGTTCCCAGTATTCCTCGTCTTCAGCAGTGATAACAATGATACCAATTCCTAAATTGGAAGTTTCGAGATTTTGGCTTCGCTCGTCAGATTCTGCCTCAGCCAACGGGTTTGCAAGCATGTCCATCTCTGCCAGTGGGCGCCGAATATAGACATCGTAAACATAATCGTTATCGCTGTCATTATCAGTGGCAGGCTGTGTCTCAGTCCGAGATTGCGTCTCCGGAATTTCTGTAGACTTTTTGTTTGGTACTGCTCTCGGCTGTTTGGGTGGTCGTGGCTGGTGCTTTAATGGTTTGGGTGACTGGAAGGGTAATTCATGACGGGACGGGGGCGGGGCGAAGGTATCATTCCCAGCTGGAGGATCCGTTTCCATCTCTCGCTCTATTTCAAGAGCTACTTGTTCGAATTGCTTCGCCAGGCGCTCGGATTCTTCATCCCAAGTGCTCTGCTGAGCCTGCGCAGATTTCTCCAGGGTTTCAGAAAGATGCAATTTCGCGGCGGATACAGCGTTCTGCCGCTCTTCTTTCCATTTCTTCTCGGCTTGATTGACAACAGGGCGTTTTCTGGGCTGCCTAGTTGATTCCGATTCATTTGCGGACTTGACACTGACGTCTTCTAGGGCTTCATTTTGGGCCTGGTTTACTAGATCCGCGATTAAAGACGCCTGGCGGGAATGTGGCCTCCTTTGAAGCTGCTCCACCAGAACAGCGACACCTGGCGAAGCACTATCGGCTCGACGTTTCTTTATTCCCCGGGAAGCACGAAGCGAGCCCAAGTTTGAGCCAATAGACTTTGAAATCTGGAAACGACGGAGAGGACGACCACGACCCGGCGAGGGCGGCACGCCTTCAGAGTCTGAACCTCTCGCTGATTGTGTCGTAGAAGCCCCACTAGTGTTGGATGACACCTGAGAGTCAATCTGTGGAGTTGAAGGGCTCTGTAAGGCGCGCTGGCGCTTTTCATCGGCCTCTTTCCGAGCTGCCGCTAATCGCTGAGCTTCGCGGATTTCTGCACCGGGTGACGTAGCTCGGACTCTGGGAACCCCAGTTGATGAAACAGCTTGACGAGCCGCAGCACGGCGATTGGGAATTTGCAGGCTACTCACAGACCGTGGGCTGCGTAGGAGTCTCTGTGCCGCTGGGTGGGGAGGCGCCGATGAATCCGAGTCATCGGGGCTCCCATTGCCACTAATAGTTACGCGTTGAAAGACATAATCAGTGAAGCGGCGCTTAGTCTGGTGCAGCGCAGATTGAATATCTGGATGTCGTGTTAGTGGGGCAACTTTTTATGAGGGGCAGAAGTTGTGTAGATAGGTGTTCGTCGCCAACAAAGGACCATGCACACAAGATTTTGAAATTGATGCGAGAGTCCAACAAGTGCAATTGGATCATGAAGAATTCAAACATAGGACTTTCGCATGGAACAGTGTATATTGTGGGGTAGAAAATATGAGCGACAGAGGTGGAAAAAGGGGGAACCATACATAGTGTTTCTACCGGCTCTTCTTCTCGCCGGCGCTTGATGTTGATCTGTTCAGGAGGGAGTGGCATGTCTCAAAATGACCAGCAGAGACGACTAGAGTTGAGAAATGCGATGTGATGCGCAGAGCGAAAGTGTTCATCGGATATCATCATGAAGCGGCCGTATCGGGTTTAGTGGTGGCACGTGATCTACCCGCTTCTCGCCCCTCTTTTGTCTAACGAACCTATATCTATCACTGCACATGGAGGATAGTGGTGTCAGATAATGGAGTTTCTCATCGCCATGTGTTCTAGAGAAAGCAAATAAGCGAAACAAAAAAGAGTACAAAACGCTACTAGTATAAAGGTAGGTATCTTGTAGATCGTGACATACGTTTTTCTTGACTGCTTCCAGCTGTTCGGCTTTTAGAATCACTTGAGAGTTAATGAGGAGGTGGGTCCAATTAATATGCAGCTTATAGTACATTATTGTCTCTTTGTGTAACCTTTCTGTCCGTACAGTTGGAAGATCTGCAAATAAGATCTACTTGTAGTATACGTCAATCAAGCATATTTTGTGAAACAACAGGGTGTGATATAGCTAAACTTATGCAGGGAGTGCACAACAAGCTGCTAACCCTTACATTGCGGAAGAGGAAGCTACTTAAGCCAGGAAAATGGTCATCAAAAGAATCTCTTTTTCAAATTTTCAGTACTCTGATTTCATCCTTTCTCTATACCTGAAAGTGATATTACCCGGTCAAGGTTTCCAACTCAAGGAAATAGGGGCTCAAGAATGCAACGTGTGGTATGGTTAGATGGCCTCCGAGGTATTGCGGCTCTCGTTGTTTCTCTGGCACATTCAGTAACATTCGAGCCGCAAGATCTATTTGGCTTTCTGTCTAGATCTTATTGGGACTAGCCTGCAGAGGAAAATCGCCATTTCCTCCAACTCCCTCCCTTTCGAATCCCCTTTGCCGGTAACCCAATGGTACCTTTATTTATGGTTATATCGGGTACTGCAATCTCAATCCCTATTCTTGCGGCACGAGATGAGGATCACCCGCCAATAGCTTTCTTTCAACGTTTATGCTCAGCAGCAACACGTCGCGTCATACGCATCTATCTGCCTGTTTTGATTGTCATATCTCTCGTCCAAACCTTATACTTCTTCAATATCTATCACCTGGAGACGTCTGATGAATGGCTAACCTTCCTGAAACCATTAACTGCGCCATGGCGGCATCTGGTATATGTTATTCGGGCCGTTCTACGTTCCCTTAATATCAGCAACCACCCATACGACCTGAATTTCCCCCATGAGGAGTCGGAAAAATTATATTTGCTGAATGTTCCACTTTGGACTATGCCAATTGAGTTCCGAGGCTCGTGTGTTGTCTATCTGTTAATCCTAACAATGGCATTTTGGAGACCACAGCCTCGACGCGCAGCCTTGATAGGTGTGTCATTATTCTGGCTTTATTTTGGCCAATGGGATCTTTTCTCTTTTGTCGCGGGTCTCTTTATTGCAGAGAGTCTGTTCCCCTCGCAAACAAACTGCGAGCTTGAGTTACCCGATAATTCCCCATGCGAATCTCGGCGCCTCAAAAGATCTTGGAGGTCTTTGAACGCTTCGACGCACTTTCATCGACTTCGGACTATAATCAGTCTCACAGCGGGTTTATACTTACTAAGTATAAGCGGTCTCGATATATTACCACCAGAATATCAATTCTTACGCGTCCTCCGGCTCCCTGGATGGGATGATTCACAGATGCCAAGCAGGTGTTGGATGAGTGTTGGGGCCATTCTCCTTATCCATGCAATAAGTCAATCCCGCGCTCTGCAGAAGCCTCTCAGCTCGCGCCCAGCGCAATATTTAGGAGAAGTTTCATTTCCGTTGTATCTCGTTCATTTCCCAATGTTTTCTATTCTCAAGCCCCCCATCCGAAGCCTTTTCTGGCTTATGGCGACAGGAACATTTTTATCGGATGCGACAGATATGAGCAAGAATGGGTTGGCGTATCGTTTCTCATGTGCAGGGTCAATCATATTTCCACAGGTATTTGCCTTTTTAGTTGCACACCTGTGGAGCCGGTTTTTAGATGCAATATGCTTGAAACTTGGGAGAAACTTTGATCAATGGGTCACTACGTGAAGGGAAATAATGGGCTATTCGTGACTTTATAGAGGACTTGACACGAATACGGTAGTCAGTATATCTGTTTTTATCGGATTGTCTTGCTTCAAATGTTCAAATCATTTCGTGAGTTATGATGAATTTAGCAAATCCTCGATTATAAACTTTGGCAGATTGGGAAATCAGTGAAGTGCAAAATTTATTTGTATGGGCAAATAACAAACTACGCTGGTGATTGCTTCTCGCTTTCTCTATATCATAGCACGGCCTATACAACCAAGCAAAGAATTATCAAGTTGTTCTCGAAATATCATATTTCAAACGTTCTTACTATAGCCTTGAAGCCGCAAGAATCCTATCACTGATTATCTAGGCCGAGTTAGGGTAGCTGCCCCCTTTATTCGCTCCTATCGAAGAAAAAAGAAAACCATGATGCTAGCTACACTGTTAATCAAAAATCCAACTTCAGTTGAAATTCACTCAAGGAGCGTTGGCACACCGTTTTAAGGTATCACTAGCCAAGATCGGAGAAAAGAATTCATGCAGATAGTTTGTGCAAAATGACATCCTGTATCTGTTTGTTTCCATCCTTTTCGGCATATGAGAGCGGAGTGTTGTTGAATGAATCAGTTTCATTGAAGATCACAGATTCTGTATGAAGGAGCATAAGGGCAAAGTCGGTTCTCTTTTGGAGGACACTTATATGGAGAGCAGTCATTCCATCTTGCTCTTGGTAGTTGAGTAAGTGGGGATACTCTTTGAGAAGAATTCTCCCTATAAACAAATCGCCAAGCGTAGCAGCACAATGCAAGGGTGTGAGTCTGCCCTTGGAGGTATCTTCAGGCTTGAGACTTGCACTGTAACTGTCTAGCAAGTGCCAAGCCTCTTTATTTTGTGTTCTAAGTGCGGTGTCTTGCGCGTTCAATCCACTTTTGTCAGGGATGTCGGCGTTCGCAGCGTACGCCAGAAGTGTAAGAACAGATTCCCCTCCATCGCTGCCAGCTGCCAGATGCAATGGTATTTGTCCCTTGATATTTTTGTGGTTTATTAGCTCACGCGTTGACGGAAGAAGCAGCTTTAGAACATCGTCAAGGTTCATTTGGGCAGCGAAGTGCAGTGAGGTGTTGTTTTCGTCATCTCGTGCGGTAAGTAGCACAGGGAACAACTCCATTATGGATCTGATAATGGTTACCCGATCGCTTTTCTCATTCCAGGGAGCTTGTATTGCCCAGTGTAAAGCTGATCTACCGCGGTTGTCACGTACGATAGCGGATCTTGGAACATCAGTAAGTAACAATTTGGCAATGGCGAGTTGACAATTACTCAAGGCCACTTGCAAGAACTTGTATCGGGCGTTCAATTGAACAATTCTCGTACCAAAATGGGCTAGAATAACTGCGACAACACTCTGGTCTCCAAATTCAATGCCAAATTTCAGGGTTGGCCCCGCCGCATTTCTCATTTCAGTGTCATCCATGACATAATGCTTAAGAAGCTTTTTTACCATTCTGGTATAGTGTGAGGTTATAGCAATCCATAGTGGTGAATGTTCCAACCGTAAATTGAAAGTATTAGCAATATCACGACGATCAAGTAGCATCTCCACCATACCCATGTTGCCACACCGAACAGCGTGATACAAAGGGGTACACCCGTTTTTGTCAGCTAGGTTAATATCGATTTTGGAATAGGCCATAAGCATTTTCATAATATCCATACGACCGAGTTTAACGGCAGAGTGCAAATATTCACTAATATAAAGATTGATTGATGGATGATCAAAAAAGATGCGTAGCATGGTGTTATCCCCATGAGAAATCGCCTGTTCGAGGCTTGTATTATCAAATGGGCTCTGGAAAGCATGCTCAATACTAAAATGGCTGAGCAGTATCTCAAGGAAAGCGACATAGCCGTATTTCATGACGAAATTTATTGTTATGGGGTAGAAAACCCTTAAATTGCTTTTCACGTCAGGATGATTGAGTAAAACCTTAAACAGAGAATCTCTTTGCCCGTCAATAATCCATGATAAGCAGTCAACAAATTGACCGTAATCGGTAATGAGGAATCTCGAACGGGTATTGTGTAGTATGTGTGCTATGATTGTCTCACTTTTGAGAATTATAGCCTTTTGTAGAGGTGTTCTTTCGTCTCGCGGGTCAGGCTTATTGATGTCCACCTCGGGAAGATTCATCAACATCCCAAAAAGGGCATCATTTTCTACTCTCATTGCTAGAATCAAGGGAGTGTGGCCATAGACATCAGACTGTGAAGCATCCACACCTGGAAGACTTAACAAGGCTTTTGCAATGTTGTCATGTCCATTTTCAATCGCGAGATGTAAAGCGGTTTTGGAGTCATCTCCAGATGCATTAAGATTGAACATGAGTTGATCACTGTGCAAAGCTTTGAAGATTTTGTTAATAATTCCATGACCGCTTGTGCATGCCAATCTGAGAGTAAGTTCCATCAACTCGGAGCTTTGACTCAGAATCCCGGCGTCAAAAAAGAATTCAAGAAGCTGAAAATTTATTTCATCGCATGCTATCCTGACAGGCGTCTTTCCGTAAGAGTCAAGCGCCATTAAGTTTGTACCATCCATGTAAGTAAGACATTGGACTGTCTCATAATGGCCGAAAGCGCAAGCCACATGTAAAGCCGTACTTCCAGTGCTATTCACTGCGCAGTTGACATCAACGCCCATGGCCTCAACAGCATATTGAATGAGAAGAACATGGTTGAACTCTGCAGCCTTACCAAAGAGAATGTGTATTTTTTGAGACTTCTCTGCGCTAAAAAAGTTCCGATTGCATAGTCTCTGGAGGAGGGGTGATATGTTTGGAGGTAAAGGAAGAGACTCTGCAAGGTGAATAGCCCAGAACGTCGAAGCGTAGTCCGAGAAGGCTAGTACTGCTTGGTTTGAAGTAGGCGCAGCAGGTCTCACCTCTGCCAGAGTCTTCCCAATATTCATACGCAAGGCATGTTTTTCTTTTCTCTGCAGAAGATTTGCCGCGATATCTCCAATCCACCCAGCTTGAGAACGTGTTGATTGAATGATTTCTGATACTGCCGGACGGGCATGCACAATTGGGACTTTTTGTGAAGAAATCTGCTGCTCGAAGAGCGAGTAGCTTAGATACGTGATGATAGTATAGGCCATTTGGCGGTGCGCACCATGCACACTGATCCAATAATGTTCCCCGAGCTCAGGGGATTCAGTGAGATATTGTTTGAAGCTGTGATGAACGAAGTGTACAGTGAGCTCTTCTTCGTCGACGGTGACAAGACCCCCACAGCATTTGAGCGTGGAATAAATGCTGTTGATAAGTTGGGACGAATTCCAATTTATGTCACCGGGCGATACGCTGAGTAAGACCTGCAATTCTTCAATTATCATTTGGCGTTGGGCAACCAATACCATGTGCAGGATTATTCTTTGGTAGGATCGTCCTGGCTTATTTGACTTCTTCAATATTCGGGCGTATGTTTCTGAGAGATCTTGTGGTAAATCATCGAGAGAATTGCGGATTTCTTGATCTGTATCCATTCTACACAAAAATTGAAGGACCAATGAAACCCAAAGAAACATACCCTGAGATCCTCGATACAAAGCATTGCTAATTTCTGAGATCAGTTTCCTGTCCCCAATGATCAACTCTTCCGATCGCAGACGACGATTGATCTCTTCGCTAATGTAATTTTCAATTTCAGTAGCATTATCGGGGACTTTAGCAACAACTCTGTTATGAAGAGCATTTCGACTACTTTTGATAGCATCGCTGGAGTCTTGGCGAGTTGATATGCAGACAGATATGCCGAGACCTTTTTGCAGATCACCAAATTGATCGAAGAATACTCCCATTTGAAAGCTGCTCAACTCATCTATTCCGTCGATGATGACAAACGCTTTCCTCTGCGGGATAAGCACGAGGCTTAGTAGCTTTTTCATCCGTTGATAGTCATCAATGGAAGCAGTGGTCTGAAACAACTCACAAATAGCTTTGAATACGTCGCTGTCAGTCTTGGGGTCTACTATTTGGCTGAGCAGCTGCTGGGTCACGGATCCAATGATGGCCCGCGCAGTCAGTGTTTCGGCTGTGTCATCTCGTATAAAGAAGAAAGCAACAACCCTTTTCTCGCCATCCAGTGGCATTTGCAAGTCGTCGACCATATTTGCACACATCACCGATTTCCCAACACCGAGCTTTCCTGTGTATACAAGTGTTGAACATGATTGATCTGACTTCCAGGCCTTGTAGCTTTCACAGTCGCGAAACAATTTTGTATTTCCCATTCTTCGACTTTGCTTCCATGTGGTCATATATTCAAACTGCGAACAGAAGTCCAGAATTTGCTGTTTAGCCTGAAACTTCTCCTGATTTGATGAAGATTGAAAAAGCTCTCCCAAAATGTTTCTAGATTTTGAATTGGCTGCTTCCTCTTGTTGTCTTTTCTTTGCTCTCTCGATTTGAAGTTCATCTCTGATAACTTCGCCCCAGGATTGGAGCTCCATTTGGTATTCGATCAAGATCTTATCTGAAACATACGATGCCACCCGCTTCAGACTTGACATTTTCGTAAATTGCAGCATATCAGAGCATACACGAACGACCACAATAAAATATTCACTGACAGCAAGTTGTAAGTCTCGCGAATGGTGAAATAAGGCGGCCATCTTTTCGAGGCGAGGAGCATGTCGGCCAACATTCACGAATATCGTTGATAGTCGTTCTGCTTGGGTGTACGATTTTGCGATGAGCTTTTAAGACATCAAACAGTCAGTAACTGTTCATTTCATATATGAGGCGTCAACCCAGGAAGGTTTACAGAAAGTGAAAGTCGCACTACCGACCAGACTCCACATGCAATCAAGTTCTGCGATCCTCCAATAAGTATGTCCCCTATCGCCGCAAATTTCTGGACAGACTCCACAACGCTCATAAATCGAGTTGCTAAACATCGACCACCGTGGTTCCTGTCAATTTCTGCTGTAAAAAGCCTCACATCCTGGATAGTGGGAGGCGATGCAAGTGACTGCGACTTTCTTATATTAAATCTTGCTTTCTCCTCTCTCGAAAGCTTCGCCTCAAACTCTGATACGGCCTGAGCCAGACGGATTTCGGGCTTGAGATGCCCGGCCCGTCTCAGAGCCAGAGCCATCTTTAAGTTGAAGGCAGTAATATACAGGAGCTGGATTCAGCAATATCCGATAAATGGACTGCAGAGAAAAGGTTCATGGGGATTTACGCGCTGTGCTGGCAGTACGTGGGGTAAGTGAAACGCCTTGCCCAGATTCGTTGATAGGTGTCTTGGCGAGGCTCATCAGCCTACATGGCGCTAATTATGTGGCTGAGATCGCCCACCAATGAATTTCCACGGGTACGGGCGACAATGGCCATCATCGGGGCAACACCCAGGTGTTTCAAGTTAGTATGGATAGAGAAGCGGGATTGAGTATCAGCATCCCCTTGGATTGTCTAGAACTCTCTTGAAGGGAGAGTAAGTTCGCGCCGGATCAATATATTGAATTTCGTTCAATTCCAAAAATATTCAGAAATTCTTTTGGGCGTTAAGGTTATCAAAATAGCGATCACTGAGGGAACCCCCCTCCCCTTGGCTATGGATAACATTTGCCGCCCATGACACCGCTACCTATACCGTAAGCTCTACATCGATGGAAAGACAAGTGGAAAGTTGATAGCCCCGAGGCTCATGTGTCCAGAATATGATGTTAAAAAGCCCTCCCATTGAAGTTATTGAAATAAAGTTTGTTACATTATTTTCACTGGTATGTGCTCTCAAGAGAGGAGTAATATCAGTCGTCAAAAACACTCTTCTGGAAAAAAGCCACTATTTTCCGTGCAGCTTCTTTCCCAACCAATGGGTCTAGTTGTTCAATATCCATATTAGCTACTTCACTTATATTCTCCGTCTCCAAAATAAGACGCTCAAGTGCCGCAGGGGTAACACCAGGCACAGTTCGCAGCATATCCTGTGGCAACTGGTTGAAGGTACGGGGCTCAATCCAAGCTGCAGCCATAACGTTACCCGAGCCACTGGAATTGGTCAAATCTTCATCTAACCCAATTTGCACAGCGCGGAGGGGATCAGGCTCATGAGCGTTCTTTTTTAGTTCCGCAAATATCTCCGCGGTTTGATATGGCGATGACGACCAGATAATCTTGAGACGTGGGAATGCAAGCGTGAGGATGACCAGCAAATGCTGGGCACCCTTGGGGTTCGATGGGTTTGATATCGAACTGCTTACGGAACTAGTTGCAGCGCCGGTAGAAGAAAATCCAGACTCGGTTCTGACACTCCCAGTCGCGAAGGCATCGAATGTAAATGCCTTGTTTTGATCGAATTCGATCAACAGAAGTGGGCTTTTGTAGTACTGGAGCATAGTTTCAGCTTGATTATACAAGCGACCATTTCTGAGAGACTGCATGAGATCTTGAATGGATTTTCGTTCCACACAAATGTCCGGTGTGAGAACATAATCGCCCACTGTAAGTTGGACTGGAATAACAACCATATTGTTGCCGTGCAAGAGAGATGGAAGGGCACTTCGGAATTCGCGTACATCGACCACCACTTGAGGGGGGAGGCAGTAGCTGCTAGCCTTCCTCCTCCAGCTATACGAGTATTCACTGTACGGAGGAACTGTTCTTGTGGGTCTTGCGCACTCTTGTCGTGGGTCAAAGTTACAGCCATATTCTGAAAGGGGAACGTTAGTTATTGACTGGCAGCGCGGGTACCTGGCAAAGGACGTCGTACTTACACCCTTCTCTTTAATCAACTTGGTAAATGAATCCTTTTCCCGGCGCACAGCGCTCAGATATCGTTGCTCTTCGACCGATCCGCCATAGTACATGAAGTACACTTTCACATTCCTCCCCGAATGGGAGCTACGGTAGACTTCCACCCTGCGAATAAATGCCGATTCCGGCTCGTACATGATTATGTAGCGAGGTCGAAGTTCCTCTAGAAGCTGCTCATCCATGTCGCCATCGTAGGGATGGACGACCACGAGATCGTTCATTTCATAAAATTCGTAGTAGTCCTCCATGTCCTCGAGATCATCAATGTCGATTTCGATCTTTTGTGTCTCCTCAACCTCGGTTGGCTGAAGATCATTAAGCAGATTGATAACTTCAGTCGGTTGTTCAACTTCTGTTTGAACACTGCTGTTTGGTACACGCGCGGCTGCCGAGTTGACTGCACCTCCGCCTCGTACACGCCGGCGCTTGTTAGGTGGAGGCCTACCTTGCGGCCTTTGAGCCCCAGGCGTTCCGCTCGAATTCGTGGACTCCTCTCCAGCTTGTGACAGATTCCGGTTGACGTTAGAAAGTGATTTCTTCCAGTCAAGGTAGCTTCGTAGGCGACGTCTCATCATAACATCTGCTGAAGACTCGTCGGTCGTGGAGTCGTCTTCTTCGCCGGGATGTGACACTTGCCCAATTTTCGTGTGCATGGTGCCAATATACTCGCGGAGCTGATGGGCCGTTTTCAATTCATTACACATGATCAAAATTGTGCTATTTGATTCGTCGACATTGATTGGATGTAAATAAGCATCGTGCTCAATTTCTTGTAAGACCTCTGCCAGCACATTCCATTTGGGAAGAGGCTCAAGGACAGGTTTCAGTGCAGCTGAAAACGTAGTTGAAGATGATGCATCAATCTTTCCTTCGTACGCTCTTGACTTTGCGGTTTGGAACAGAACATGCGCCGCATCAAGAAAAAGCCATGGCGAGTAGTTATGTGAGTTGGAACCAGGTGGTGGAGCATTGGCCGTTGCGATTGTATCCAAGAATTTCACAAAAGATACCGCGTCATATGTAAGCAAAGCACTGTATGATCATTAACAAAACCATCCGCGAATCCGTTGTAGAGACCATACATACTGAAGAATAGACTGGAGAGCTTCCAAATCACTAACGATTTGCTTGGTTCGGTGAGTCACCCGATGCCAAATGGTTTGCAGCTGTCTTCTGATCGCCGGAGCAAAATTCCTGTGCAAGGCACTGTCCAATGTCCATTCCTCCATGTCCAAGCCTGTGTTGGCCTTGCGCAGTTCGGCAACGCTCATCTCAACACACTCCAGAACTGCATTTTGAATTTCCCGCATTTTAGAGCTCATTGGAACTTCCAATTCAATGACTTCTGCTTTACGATCACCTTCTAGCGCCTCAGATACAGTAATATGAAATCTAGGCCACAGTGATGCTTTTTGGAGAAAAAGATTGCGTAACATATTAGCCAGCGGAGCGAACCCCGTGGTGAATGGTTCTGGAGCTTCCGAGAATGCCTTCAAGAATCCGCGTTTATTCGATTGACGGTAGATGCGCACGATGAACGCTTCGAGGGATGTCGCAACAACTTTATCCGCATGCAAGATGACCATACCTGTTACCTTTTCAGGGTCAAGCAACTTTGACAGTAAATCGGTAACGAGTATTCTGGACGTCACACTCAGAATACCGCCTCTGGAATAGATCCCCTCACTAGAGCATGGTTAGATAACAAGATGGCTTTGGGACATTCAAGCTCGTAGAACGTACCGAACAGGCACTGTTGCTTTCTCAGTATTAATCACCCGTAGTCCCCTAGCCAATGGAGACTTTGTGCGGTCATTGTGCTCCGACAATGCTGTTCATCTGGATGTCAGCATCTCAAACAATCACGCTCCCAGCAGAAGTCCCGTACCCTCTCCAATCCACTCATTCTCCCTGTCATCTGCGCCCACCACCAACACAAGATTATTACCAGCGGCATCGTGGAAGTGAAGGAAATTCGTAATCAGCTGCAATAGCCCCAGGCCGCGGGCAAGCACGACCAATTCATCGTCGGCACGTAAATCGGTAAAGATATCCTGCTGGTATTGCTGTGTCCAAAATTGTCATTAATGGCTTCGGTAGGTATCGAAGAGCCGCGGTACTCACCAGAGGCAGTGACAGCTTCACTGGCGGAGTGGGACGTTCAGACATGACGAGTCTCAGGCGTCGCGACGCGTTACCTTAAAAGAAGGTTGTGTTCGGAATTGTTTGTCTGAAGCGGTTATCCGCGGTTATCCTTTATCAGTCCAAGCTTGCGTCCTCAAAGTATTCATATCCATCCATGCATCATCCCCTGAGATTAGACCCTGGGGATTTTTCATGCAAAACAATGAAATCCTTGAATTCCATCGTGGATGTGGTCTGGAGAGACAAGCTTCCGATGCTTATCGCTAGGGCGGTGTGGTACCGCCGCGATACCTACGTCATGTCCGTCAACTAGTGCGGAGTTTATATCTATCGAGTACATAGACCGTCCAAATATCATGGAAAGCCGATCTCCTGGATAATCCTCGAAGTGATCTACTCAACACCGAAAAGGCTCAAAAGCTGGGACATCTTCGGCGGGGAGTGTGGTGTTTAGAAAATATCCGCAAGACTGGGATCGGTGAGTATGTCTTCAAACGCTAGTTTTCTAGTCTCCTCGGCATTCCTCATCGTCGTTACTGAAGTTGATCTTTGTGCCGAAGAGCTCGGTATTCGTACTTCAATCATTGGAAAGAGACCTGCGTACTAGACCCATCCACCGGGGCCAGCTAGACCTGTCGGATGTACATCGCGACACATCCGATGAACCGGTCGATGGGATCTACTGCACTCCGCAGTTCAGCTGCATATTATAGCTACTAGTAGGTAAACAAGAGCATATAATTGAACACTTACTTCCAACAGGCATTACTACATATACTATACTACCTACATGGATCATTCCGAGGTAACAACTTGAATTGATGGATTTCTTTCATCTCAATACTACTACCCCATACTCCTGCTTCTGTTCAAATGCTCTTGATCTCCTAACTTGAATTGAATTGACATTGCACTATTTCGCTACTTATGAAGTCGTTGGTTTTTATGAACGGGATTCCTGTACAAACCCCCGATCGGCTATTCAGTCCGGCCCTATCACTAATCTATTCTAGATTGAATTCGCTTGTCTCTCGGACAGGGTCCAATTCCCTCCACTTGAGGGATTCTTGTTCTAAGGTTTTAGCTGCAGACTACATGCAACCGAGGGCCAAACTAAGCTCTGACAGGGCCGAGGCCGGCCCCAATCCGCATATAAAATTGGGGCTCTACACACTTATAATGCCTTTTAGATGCTACCCTTCAAATTCTGGCCCCGGGGGTAAATTTCAGGTTGAGACTACCTAGATACAGAGTTCGATAGCCATGTTTCTTGAAACCTGAACGCATCGTGCTATGCACAGTAGCTTGAATTTCGAAAATGGAGTATAAATAGAGGTGGAAGTCAGCACCAAATCCTTCTTCTTATCATCAATCTAGTCAAATCAACCCATCGATTGTTAGCCACCCTCACGATGAAGACTATCTCTCTCATTCTTGCTGCTACGACTATCATGGTGGCTCATGCTGCTCCCGGAAGCCTTCTTGAGCGTACAGACTGCAGCCAAAGGACTGGTATGTTATTGGGTTTATCCTGCTGTTAAGCATGGACATGTCGTGCTAATCAATTCCTTTACGAAAAGGCCAGAAATGCACTGATGTATTCAGCTACGGTCCTAGTACATGCTCGCTGACATGTAGCCCTGAGGGGTTCTGCCAGTATGGTTAAATCGCCTGAGGCGTTTGGAACTATGTTCGTCTTAACCTCGCAATGCGCCTCACACCGCAGGATCAAGACTCCGGGGCGAGCACGTTGTCCAGCAAGGGGATAAGAGGGCATTTCAATATAAACTTACCAAATGTGACACGCTTTGGGGGGTTTATTTGGCGAGTCTCTTCCATTCTACGATTACACTTCGAGTAGACCAGTATGGTTTCTAGTAAATTGAATAGGTAAATATATATATGTCGCTTGGTAGAGAGTAGTGAGGAATTATATGTGCATATGTGAATGTACAAGTTACAAGCTATATTATACATTGATAGGTATACTATCTATTATACAAGTGCGGGTTGGGTCTGATTAATTGAGAAGCTCCATAACCAGTTCCGGGATCCGAGACACACCCTCTCCACGTATGGCACTCACAGGAAGAGCAGTGACTTTTTCTTTCCAACCATCATAATGTCCCGATGGATGATCAGCAGTCCCATTCTGTACGGCAGACAAGTACTCCTGGAGAGCCCGATACTGATCTTGCGTATGTTCAAGATCGGCCTTTGTGGCGACAACAAACCAAGGCTTGGTATGAACGGGAGGCATAGCGAGAGGGGGCAACGATCCAACCGGTTTATCGAACTGATGATGGATTGCATGAGAGTCAGCCGCTGTCTCAATTGGTGAATTGCGTCCTTCCTCAAGCTCCGGGAGTCCAGTCGAAGATGGGTTCCAATCGATGACTCCCTCGGGCTCCTCTTCCAAAGGCTTAGGGGGCTCATTATCGCGCAAGCGCTCATATTCACCCAGCTCATGCCACAGCTTCTGGAGCTCTTGCACCGGATCTCCGGCACTAAGGTCCAGCACAAAAGCGAGGATACCCGCTCGGTCAATGTGTCGAAGGAAGCCATGTCCAAGGCCTCTATCAAGATGGGCATCTTCTACCAATCCAGGGATATCGGCGATAGTAAAGTTATTGCGGTGGACCTTGCCCTTGGACTCTACCGTGGGTCGACCTTTGTGGTCATCAACGATGACGGTACCAATGTGCGGAGACAGTGTAGTAAACTCCCAATTGCCGATCCGGGTACGGCTATTTGTCAAAGATCGAAGGAGCGTACTCTTTCCAGCATTAGGTTTACCAACCAGACCAACATCTGCAAGCAACTTGAGTTCAAAATCTAGCTGAAGCTTCATGCCACCCTCACCCCGAGACGCAAACCGTGGCCGACCCATGTCACGCGTCGCGAAAGCCGGGTTTCCTAGTCCACCTGCACCTCCAGCAGCCAAAAGCAGAGGCTTGTCCATGCGTTCAGACAGGTCAAGGTATATAGGTGCTTTGGGCTCCATTGCAGCGATAGCCTGTCGTCGGGGTCTGAGACGAGGAAACTTCACCGTCAAAAAGTCCGACGGGTTCGCACCGGGATAGAGAACCCAGCGATCAAGACGAATTGGAGTGAATGCAGCGCCCTCCTCACCCTCCTCACTCCCCTCCGCCTGCTGCTCAAGGTAAGCTTGCCGCCTCCGAGCTATCTCCTCTGCAACAGGGTCATGGCGCTCGATTTCACGGATGACTGTGCCGATTGGAACTTGAATCAAGATATCGTCACCCCGTAGGCCACCTCTGCTTTTTCCTTGTCCATTTTTACCGCGACCGGCCTTTACCACTCCTCTTCGAGCAAGTTTGTGTAGACTAGTCAGCCCTTCCACTGTTTGGATGTAAATACCTCCGCCGCTACCACCATCACCTCCATTGGCAGGTCCTTCCTCAATGTATTTTTCGCGCAGAAAAGACACACAGCCATGCCCACCAGGGCCAGCGTACATTGTAACGGAGCATTTATCTTGGAAGATGAATCGTGAATAATCTTCGGGCGGCGGATTCAAATGTGACAAATCTTTGGACTCATTGTGAGGAGTACCGCTTGGTTGCGAGGCGCTGGATTGTGTGATTTGTCGCCTTGAGCAAGGGATGGTGGCTCGAAGGGGTTGTGGGAGGAGGATTTGGGAGTAGGCGAGTCGGCGAGCCCCGAATGGCCGCATTGAAAGAAACAGGCAACCTCTTGTCATGACGTTGAGTGTGACTGTATACTGGGATATATTGTAGGAATACCGGACACGGGATGGGTGCAATTTTATTTCATGTCGGTTCGCATTTCATTGAGTGCCAGGGGCCGTGTTGATAGCAGAAGAAAGATTAAACTTGAATCGCAGCGATGCAAGATGAGTCCAGCTTCAAATCATGACCAAATCTCAAGCTCCACCGATAAGAGTCACATGGAGATAAGCCGCGGCGAATATGAACAAGTATCAAGAGCTGAGCTACGGGTTGGATGTTTACTAGCAGGACTACAATAGGACAAGAGATTCGTTCACTTTCCAAAGTGGACATGAACTAAGCTACATTCTTCTCCAAGCGACCGGACAAGCCGATACAGTTGATGAAAAAGGGTTCGCGTCGATCGGGGATAGTGTAAGCCCGATGACACTGTGCAACCAACGTGCGCAAGCACAGAGGTTGGTCGCGGGATCCAAAAATGAGAATAATCAAAGTGTTTCCCGTAGGAAACTTTCAGAGATTAAACTGAAAAGAACAGATACTACACTTGATCTAAGCCAATTGGCAAAGAGAGCTGGAAAAGAAAGAAAAAAAGAGGAAAGAGAGAAGATAGAGAGAAGCATTTATAGCCTGGGAGAGACGGACAGGGTCACATGATCCCGTTAGCGTCGCTGCTTGTAGTCTCTTGCAATTTGATTGGTGAAGCAGCCGAGAGGCTCTTTAGGGCGGTTCATCTGGGCAGTATCAAGGCTGCCAGAAGCTACTCAACATTGTCCCTCTATAAAGATTCAGGATGGTTATAATCCATCACCCCTCAACGAGTCCACTGTTGATCTATTTGTATTGGCTACAGGTTCTCAAATTTCCCATTTCAACATTTCCACGTTGTATTGAGGATGTACGCAAAATTGGAGTGGAAGTATCACGCTTCAGATCATGTATGCGATTCTAGTTCTCCATGGAATTCAGGGGCGTTTAAATACAGTCCACAGATTCCAATGTTCGAGTATATAAACCAAGCCACCTAATTAAAATTCCAACGTGGCCAACATCTTCACTGATTCCCCGCATAAATTTCCGCCTGCAACTGTCCAACCAACCCACCAGCTGCCATTGCTCCAGCAGCCATAGCTGTTACTACGGACTTGAGGGGTGTAGCACAGTCACCAGCCGCGAATACCCCTGGAACTGAGGTACTGTGAAACGGCTGTGCAGTCTCGATATCGCCACCCGCTGTTAACTTCAATCCAAGTTGGTCAGCGAATGGGCCATTGACCTCTGTCTTAGCCTTGTGGGACTATAGGCAGTTAGTATCCAGCACGAGTTACACTCGAACGCAGCTTGCAGCTGCAGGTTGAGAATACATACTAAAAATGCCTCCACACGTTGGGTTCCATCTTGGAATTTTATCTCCACGTCCGATTCACCAGATCCCTTAATCAAGCGCGCGATAGGCTGACCGTCGACCTTAATTCCGGTTCCATGGACAGCTTTCTCGAGCTCTTTCGTAAGCTCCTCTGCACCGTGTGTGTAAATTGTGACGATGGGTGCAAATCGTCTAGCCATACGGGCCAAATGCATCGCTAACTTTACATTCGCTACATCATCAATGGCGAGAACCCCAGCAGACTCGCCGCCTCGTTCTTCAAATCCGTGACAGAAAAGACAATGGAAACTGCGTAGCAAGGTGTTAGCAAAATGAAACAAACCCAGACAGGGTAAGGCTTACATTCCGCGTGCCCAGCACTGTCCATAGCCTGGAATATCTGGAAAGATGTCTCGAACTCCAGTAGCAATGACTAGCTTCTTGCCCTTCCACATACGCTCTTGAGAGTCGATAGCATTGAAGCCTCCACTCCCATCCTGCTCGACAATTTTGATCTCGACATTCTCAATATGAATTGTATCGTAGCGGGACATTAGTTGGTCTCTGGCTGATTGGCGAAATTCCGCTGGCGACTTATGATCCCAAGTAGCAACGTTGTGCATATGAGAAGTGAGAGCGTTGCGGTAAACATGCGAATCAAATAAAACCGCTTGATGGAGTTGACGCGCAAGGCCAGTAGCGACAGAGAGACCCGCTGGACCACCACCGATGATTAGGACGTCGAAAATATTCATGTTGCTTTTCAACGGTGTTTGAGTGTGAAAATACGATGAGAAGATGAGAAGTTGGACCGGGGAACGTCACAACTTTATGTACTTCCCACGGGGCTAAAAAAAGAAGAAAAAGGAGAAATTGGATCATGGCACCAAGGGCTTCGGTCGGAGACATTCTATCGATGTTTGATATGAGTAAGAGGTGCGAGCTATATGATTTGTAGTAGTTGTCGATCCACATACCCTTCTAACTAGAGATGGGGGCTATTTAATCTCGAATCGGAGACATTTGCAACGGAAACATTCGCGACGGAGACATTTAAAGTTCCCATGGTGTAACCAATGGGAACCAACAAGGACAATTCACTTATAAGATGAGAATGCGGTGCCCTGTAAATCAGAGAGGGATCCAAGGTTGTGCACTATACTTGACAGAGTACTGGCATTCGTAGCGCAGAGCGTGCTCATAAACTTTGATTGGATACTACAATATCGTCAGCACGATCAAGAACTCATTATTGTGACCTCAGTTTCTCCATCATCGCAATTGAACTTGAATAATGTCAATGTCTGTTTTACCGACAATTCCTTTTGAGGTACGTTTTTGTCATCAAAATTGAGTTCGTTCGCATCGGCCCGTTGCCGTTGGCTTCGGTCCCTTGATGCCGGGCACACAAGTGCAAGCCCGGTATACTTCAAAAGCCCGAGGCCCGTAAAAGGCCACGAGGATTCATCATGCTAGAAGGCTGTATTTTCCACAAGCTAGCTAGATGGCATACATAATTCTTCTTAGCTTAACCTTGAAACTGATCCCAGAGTTCACTTTAAGTTCCGTTGCTATGATATTCTCCTTTAACTTGAAGTTTTCCAATGCTAAAATGCTAACCTGTATACTATTATGAACCGTGCTGACACTCATACTGCCTTTCATCATCTCGAACTAACCTTGGAAACTGTACTAGCGTTCTAACGAAAACAAATGAAATTCCGTCGCCGAAGAAGAGCGTTAGATACGCTGGCCAACCAGAACAAGGAATACTAGAAGTGAGCGATGATTAACCCGACGGATGTGAAATTGGTGATCTGATTATAGTTAAAACTCAGGCCCGAAAGGTTTGATGGGATCCCCTGGGCTTGTATGCCTTCTACTACCTCGTCGTGAAATTTATGATACTCTGCCTAATTTCGCAGTTTAATGGTTGATATATTCCAAAGTTGCTCTCCATTACTATGGAAATGCCATGACGAACACAGGGTAGACCTATGGAATTCAAATGCCAGCCCTTGACTCGGAGACTTCGAGACGCCTACATCAAGACCAATCCCAAAACGATACTTCAAAGTCTGGGTGAGGAATAACTTGGAAGTTGTTTCAAGGTCTTTTGACAAACTTGAGAATAGGATTGAATCTGATTCTAAGGAGTGAATTGGCATCAACGACCCTTTCATACGTTGATGTGGTGACGTGCTTCTGCTTTCTTGAGTAAAGTACTCTTTGGTAGATTGCAAAATCAAGCAGACCCCAATTCAGTAGAAAGTCTGCCAAGCAGAGAGGCATTTTTGTCCACGAGAAGATTAACACCAGTTCACAAATAAAGTCTCCCAGGCGTTGGAGGAATGATATGAAAATGTATCACCCCAATCTAGTATCATTAATCTGCCCGTCCATGTCCCAAAACAACCATTGGGCCTCCAGAATCCGGTTCACTCTATCAGAACTTCATATTATTTATATGGCGTTCTACTGCATTCGCGATTTATGAAGTAAGAAAAGCAGAACCAAGATATTGCACTCCACCCATTAAACTTTCTTGAACATCTAGCGATCTCATGCCACCAGCATTTTTCTTAATCTGTCACGCATCTTTACTTGGACCCTTATTTATTACGCACAGAGATCCACAACAACCGGAAGGGAGGCTTCCTGGTGTGTATTTATACTTATACTGCAATCATTATGTACCTTCAGGCCTTTTGTATTCGAATATCAAAAGTATATCAGGATTTGTATAAACCATAATCCTTTGATATAGTAGGGCCACCTATTGAATTATAAAGAGGGGAAAATGTACCATAGACATGATCAACATAATGAAAAGGGAAATGCGGAATTAAATGAAGCTATTTACAATTAGTGCAGATGTGGCTAAGCAAGGGAGCTTCCGGTTCAGATTAAGCGAATTAGAATGCAACTAAACAAAGCAAACATCGCCCAGTCTTGTATCCCCATCTCCCTTCTTTACATTCACAATCAAGACAATGCAGATATAGCATCTGATCCGAGGAGTACTTTCCCAATGACTCCCACCAACCAAAAAGAGGAAAGAGTTTTCTCTGAACTAGCAAATCCCAAGCGAGGGCTGAAACAGCGACACATTCAAATGATAGCCCTGGCTGGGACAATTGGCACCGGATTATTCCTCGCAACAGGCAAATCTCTAGCAAGGGGTGGCCCGCTGGGAACTTTGCTCGCATATTCTATCGTGGGCACCCTCATATACTGCGTGGTTCTTTCAGTCGCCGAGATGAGCGCCTTAGTTCCTCTATCAGGTGGTATAATCCGACATGCGGAGTGGTTAGTTGATCCTGCACTGTCATTCGCTCAAGGCTGGAATAGCGTTTATGCAAATGCCATCCTTCTACCTGCTGAATTGGTTGCTTGCGCAATCATCATCGACTTCTGGTCTCCAATAAACCATGCATTGTGGATTAGTATCTTTGGTGCATTTTTGATCATCAGCAATACGCTATTCATCAGTGTGTATGGCGAATTAGAGTTCTTTTTCGCATTATTGAAGATTGCTCTCATAGTCGGATTAAATATAATGGTTGTTAATCCCCAGCCCCTGCGATAAAATAATTAGTTGAACGAGCTAATCGTTTCCTACAGAGCCTTTGTATAACATCCGGTGCAAATCCAAAAGAAACCTCAATCGGATTTCAATACTGGCAAAATCCCGGGCCCTTTGTACAATTTCTCAGTATTGGTGGCTCATGGGGACAGTTCCTTGGATTCTGGCGTGTCGTCAGTAGCGCAGCTTATACATTTTCCAATGTTGAGAACATATCTATTGCAGCTGCTGAGACGCAAAACCCGCGTTACAATATTCCTAAAGCTGCTAAGCGTGTCTTCTGGCGGATATTAATATTCTATTTAATCACTATGTTCTTCATGGGCCTCATTATATCATCCGATGATAATCAGTTGATGTCTGATTCTGGAGATGCGGGGGCATCCCCTTTTGCGATCGCTGCAACGAACGTCGGTATCAAAGTGGTTCCTTCCATAATTAATGCTATAGTCGTGACAAGCGCATGGAGTGCTGCAAACTCTGGTGAGGAGAATCCTTTTCACACCTTAAGAGGCACTAAACCATTACTGATCTCAAAAAAAAGCCATGCTGGTTGGAACTAGAACACTGTACGGCCTCTCTCAGGAAGGCCATGCTCCCGTGATTTTCACTCGGCTAAATCGATTCGGCGTTCCTTGGATTGCTGTTGCCGCTGTCGGGTCCTTTATTGCATTAGGCTATATGACTCTCTCATCATCTGCCTCTACCGTGTTCGATTGGTTACAAGAACTGGTGTCTGCCGCCTCTTTAATCCACTGGATAAATATCCAACTCATCTACTTGAGGTTTTTCTACGGCTGCAAAAGACAGAATATCAGTCGTAATGAGCTTCCATGGAAAAGTCCCTTTCAGCCCTACGCTGCCTGGCTCGCACTGACCTCCTTCGGTATCATCCTGCTTACCGGTGGGTTTTTCATCTTTATAGATGGCCACTGGAGCCCTCGGGCTTTCGTCTCGTCATATTTCAATATACCGCTCATTTTGACGCTCTATTTTGGCTACAAACTCTGGCGGAAGACTCGACTTATTCATCTTGATGAGATACCCATTCGCATGTTTCTTAATATCGCGAATGATAATCCCGAACAAATACCACCTCCAGTTACTGGGTGGCGTAGGTTGAACATCCTTTGGGGCTGATCAAAGCGCATGATGACCAAGGCGCTTTTAGTAATTCCTCACTGATGGCCACACTTAGCAGGAAGAGCAACCAGAATCTCCTTAGCCCGATGCCCCATCTCTTGATACCACTGAGTCTGGACAGCACCACTTGACACTTTCGCCGGTCGAGATACACCGTCATCACTTCCACGCAGACTCGCAACCTGTCTATTATGCCTTGGCAGAACCTCATTCCCACACCACTGGAGAGTCTCGACACATCTCCTCAAATCACGTCGCACAAGCGCAATCCGAAACATCTCCTGTTCATCGGGGTCGAATTCAAGACATCCAAATTGAAATATTGGCGGCCCTGAATCTCCACTAATATTCGATCTGGGACTGGCCCTGGACGTATCACTCAATTTCCCACTCTCAAAATTCTGAGTATTGGGATCTAGTGGAGACAAAGAATCGCCTTGATCTGATGGATGATGAATAGATACAATGACGAGCTCATATAGTCCCAGTACTAAGTCCATAATTGTCATTACCAAGAGTGGACAACTATTGCATTGACGAAACCCCTCGGTATCCCCTACTTCTCGGATCTTAGCCATAGCCCGTCGATTTAGCCGCATTGCTTGATCAATTGGAATAGTAGATATTTGAAGTTGCTCTTCCAAGCCTTCGATGATTCTCATTAAAGCCGCTGCATGTGGGTACTGTGAGACTTTGGAACGGTCACGATACACTGGAGGGACCCTTGAATCGGTCTGTTCTGCTAGTCGTGATCGCACGATCTCCAGTGTCTGATTCTCAGGTATGATTGGTATATGTGGAGTGACCTGCGTTATTTGCTGTGTCCCAGGAGTCCTGGATATACCCTCGGAGCTCGATGTCTCATTAATATCACGATGGAGCCCAGTTATCAAGTGCTCCGACGCCGTTGAGGAGTGAGCTGCGCCGGAAGAGAGAAACGGTAAATCAGGGTAGTCATTCAATAGTGTTTGCAAATCAGCATCGGTCTCAGACCCGGTAGAGTACGATATAAAATTGCCCATTTCGAAAAAAGGCGGCTCGTGTCCATCATTCATCATTTCATCCACCGTACCAGTAAGATCTCCTAACACACAAGCATCCGGTATATGCTGGGAAGGAGGTTCAAGCTCAATTTGGTAATTCGAGTCTGGTCGTCGTTTCTTCGATGCCCGACCTACCATCGACACCTGATATTCACAAGAAAGTCCATTTCGGCGACAACGGTCACATCCTTCCTTTTCGCCGCTACAGCGGAGCTGTGAATAGGTCGGGGTTAGATCATATTCCCCGGGGTTTTTGCATCGCTGACAATTGCAGCCTTACCTTTGCGGCATAGCACTGATTGCACGCAGCTCTTAGGCGCAAGGGCTTCCGGGCGCTAGTCATAACGTGATATTAGCTGCGGGTATCGGTATATGCCGTGCGGGATATAGAGCACCGTGCGATAAGCAGTCAGCTCTTAAGGAGCTTAGTTGGTCTCAAGTGCTTTTTTGGCCCCATGCTGCCTAAGAAAGATTATGTAAGGCTTGCTACTTTTGCGAAATTTAGATTGGCTGAACATATATTGGTGAGTCCTCACTTGAAAAGTATAGCACTTGACTTCAAACTCTTCATTTTCAAAGATATAGGGGTCCTTAAGTGTGAATAACTTCTCTGATCATACGATAGACTACAAAACATACACGATCGCACCCGAACGCCAAGCGGACATACTCCGCCGGGGAAGTTGCCCGCTTCTCCGATAAGATAAAGACCCCAATTTCTCCAACCTCGGGCCAGCGGGGTATTGCGACAGGCCCCTCCTAATTCCCCAATCAAGCAGGTGCACAGAGACATGAACTCTAGTCATATCGTATACCACTTTAGCGAGCCGACAGGACCACTTGACATTCCCATAAAGCCCTCAACTCCCCACCCACTCCCTCGATGACACTTCAAAGGCGGGCTTGACTCATCTCCACACTCCCCCACATTATCCATAATCCAGTTCATATTCAATATGCCGCTCAACTCAAAGGCTATATACGCGAAGGCGGATGCCGATTACGTGCCCTTTGCTAGTCGCAGGAGTACTGTGCATAGCACGAAGGGTATTGTCTCATGTACGCAGCCATTAGCTGCGGCGGCGGGACATAAAATCTTAAGCCAGGGAGGAAATGCGGCGGTATGTTTGCGGAAGCTTAATCCGGTATTGAGGAAAATACTGACTGGGATATTGTCGCATAGGATGCAGCTGTTGCTGTTGGTATGTTGAGTACTCCGCAATGCTGTAAAGGAAATATTCTAATGATGGAACTTGATAGCTGCCGCCATTAACATGGCCGAGCCTGGCTCGACGGGTATCGGTGGTGATATGTTTGCCCTCTTCTATAACGCCCAAACAAAGAAGGTTCATGCATTGAATGGATCTGGCCGATATCCTGGAAAGGCGACCCTGGAAAAAGTGCGCAAGGACTTGAACCTGGCTCCTGGGGCACAGGGTGATGTTCCTATGCTAAGTGCCCTCGCTGCAACAGTCCCTGGTGCAGCTGCTGGCTGGGTGGATACCGTTGAGAAGTTCGGCAGTGGCAAGCTTTCTCTCGAGCAGATCTTACAACCCGCCATTGAGATGGGTGAAGAAGGCTTTGTGGTTTCGGAGCTGTCATCAAGTGGGGTTAGTGATTACTCCCACCGATTGATTTGGAACTCGAACTCGGAGCTAATGAATAAATGCAGTGGCAAGAGGCCGAAAAGAATATCCGCCAAGCATCACCGAACTTCCGTGAAATGCTGAAAAAGGATTCGGCCGCCAAGGATGGAGTGCGTGCTCCGCTACCTGGTGATATCATGAAGAACCCCGCCTTAGCAAAGACCTTCCGCACATTAGCGACCGAAGGCAAGAAGGGATTTTATAAAGGACGTATCGCAGAAGAGATCGTCAAGGTCGCCCAAAGCCTCGGCAGTTATATTGATCTGGAGGACCTCGCCCATCATGCCGAGGTTGGTACACAGGAAGTGGATGCCATCTCACTCAAGTTCACGGGTCAGGACATTGCATCCAAACAGACACCAGGGACAGACGGCGATGCCAACCAGGGCGTCGAGGTTTGGGAGCACCCGCCCAATGGTCAGGGTATTGTGGCACTAATGGCCCTTGGAATTATGGAGGAGCTGGAACGAACGGGAAAGATCCCCAAGTTCAGTAGCTCCCAGCACAACTCCGCTGAATACCTGCATGCTGTCATCGAGAGTCTGCGTATCGCATTTGCCGACGCCGCATGGTGGGTCACTGACCCTGACGTGGAGAAAGTTCCATCACAGGGCCTTCTTGACCGTGGGTACTTGGCCGAACGAGCTAAGCTGTTCCAAGCAGATACTGTGACCGATCTATTGGACCACGGTAGCCCCGCCCATAACCACTGTGACACGGTTTATTTTGCCGTGACAGACCGCGAAGGGAATGGTATCTCTTTTATCAACAGCAACTATGCCGGTTTCGGTACTCATATCATTCCTGCTGGCTGCGGTTTCACTCTGCAGAACCGGGGCGCCAACTTCTCTCTCCAGCCCGGACACCCGAACGCTCTGGCTCCAAACAAGCGTCCCTATCACACTATCATCCCTGCCTTAATTACGAATGTGGCCGATGGATCCCTCCATTCCGTATATGGGGTTATGGGTGGTTTCATGCAGCCGCAGGGTCATGTCCAGGTGCTGCTCAATATGCTCGCGTTCGGGTATCATCCTCAAGCAGCCCTTGATTCCCCACGTTTCTGCCTCAAGGCGCCAACTTCGGAGGACAAGGACCGTACCGTGTGTGTTGAGGAGGGAATTAGCGATGAAGCCATCGAAGGATTGCGTCGCTTGGGGCACAAAATTGAGGTGCTCAAGGGTTGGGAAAGATCCTTCTTCGGTCGTGGTCAAGTCATTCGGGTGCACTATGACGAGGATCAACAAGTGTATAGCGCGGGCAGTGATCCCCGTGGTGATGGAATGGCGTTCCCTCTTCTATAATTTCGTCAGCAATAGTCAGTTGCAGCATGTGAAAATTTATATCCTGCGATGAGAAATCAGCCGTGTTAGCAATGAAGACGAACTGTTTCACGATGTATCTCCTCAGGGAGATCTTCGTATCTCCATGCGAATAAACGAAAAAAGGAAAATAATCAATAGACAATACAAGAAAATAGGAATCAGATATTCAAAGCATATGTCCAGTGGTATGGTATTGTTCGGACGGTCGCAAGTATATCCGTCGAAAATCTATCAAATCCTAGCTAGCAGCTAGCACATCCACACCCGAGGGACAAACAGCTTCGAAGGGCAGACTGAATAAATCTTCCCATACACAAAGCCAACCACAAAATATTTTTCTTTTCGGTATGTAATAGAAAAACCCCAAACTCCCCATAAGTGCAGAGATCAAGAACGCTCAATGAAAATATTGACAGGTGACGAAGAAACCAACAGCGCCATTTCAAATGGTCGAAATAGAAAAGGCCGATAATAAAACAAGAAAGACATGGCTCTTAATATGGCATAATATGATCAGGTATTGTCCACATTAACGAGGTATCGCAGTGTACCCCAGTGAGCTCAGTTCAGCTCGTTGTCCTGCATACGCAGTATGAAGTTGACAACGACAGCAGCCAACAAGGCAATGGCCAAGATAGTAGGGCCAAATCGGTCGTCGAATCCACTTTGACCGCGACGGCGAATACTCTGCGCTCGCCAGTGAAAAGTGATGACTGCGTAGATCATGGCGGCCATGGCGATGAAAGTGAAGAGACCGGCAGAAATGCGACCGATGCGGTCACCGAAGTTCAGCAGGCCGACGGCCAGACCGCCCAAGATGACGGTGAAGTTCAACCAGGAGAGGAAGGTTCGCTCATTGGCGAAGAAGACTTTTGGCTCGACACGGGTTGGCAGGGCGATTCGCTTGCCTGTAGGTTGTTAGGTTATATTGCATTGGGGTTGATAAAAGGTAGCTTGAGGGCTCGCTGTTGGTCCAGACACACGGAGAGACATGCTAAAGCTCCAGGGAGCAGCGACAGCTGTCTCTATCCATTGTGGTCCAGGAAGAAGCAGATGATAACTTACCGGGAGCGGTTTGGAGAAGAGGCTGGCTAGACATGATGTGAAGGGAGGTCGAGGAGACGTCGGAGGTTGTACGGGGGAGGAAGCGATCAGGAGTGCAGTGCAGATCGTACAATTCTTGAATATTCGAGGAAAAAGAAGAGAAGAAGCTGAGAGAGTCACTGCTGGTTAAGAAAGTTGACAGAGGAAGAAAAAGAGCAGTTAAACGGCAGTTACGACCAATGGCCAATCCCCGCCTGATGACGAGGGAAGTCGCGACCGACAATCCACGCCTTACCATATTGGGACTAGCGTGGGTGAAGCTCTGCCGCAGCGACCTGCACGTGCGTCCATTGCTGCTGTCGCTTGGTCGTAGTCTCAGATTGCTCGTTTTAGCACGAAAAAAAATTCAATTGAAAAGCTTGGAAGATTTTATCACTATAAACTGCACTTCATTCTAGACTCTATACACATGAGATTTTTCTGAGACAACCCCGTATAATTCTCGATCCAGGGTAGCGACCTCAATGTAACGTGGTACATTACTGAGGTGAATGCCGTAATCCTTATCGCCAGGGTCTCAAAAGTTCTTCTCTAGATATCTCTAGGCACGTATAACTCACGTATAACTACGCAGCCCCGCTGGGCCTGGGGGCAATAATTGAACCCACCAGCCCATTCAGACTAATATTCAGACTAACATTCAGACTCAAATAAGCCCATCCAATAGGGGGAACCCCGGGTAAAGGCTCGACGGGGGCTTTCAAAACTGCCTGCAGTCAACATTTTCTAGTGCCAGTACATTATCCCCTGGTATTCACCCAAGCCATTTCCAAACTCTAATCGAGCCTCACCGAAACATCTATTATATACCGTTTACTTTTTTCGACCAACATACCCTCGGGTATTGCCCTTGCGTCGCCATTTAGAGAGCTCATGATAAGGAAACCCACTCTTCAATGTGGGTTGGGAGCAAAAGACCCCGCTCGGGTTGTGGCCTCGACGACCCACTGAATCTCGGGAAAAGGAGCACAATTCCGGGCCCTGGAGGTCGGTAATTGAACGATTTCCAATTCGTTGAAGCGCAAAAGTGGCAAGAAATGTTTGAAAATTGAAGCAATTGATGTATAGAATTTTATAGTTCCGTTTTAGGCCGGTGAGCACGTGCAGGGCAAAAAGAAATGGCACACCGAAATCGCTAAGCGAGACTCCAAGCTACTTATCTCTATTTAGTCCCGATCTAGCGTACTGGCGTAGCGGCAATGCGAAACCAAGCTGTCTGCCTGGGCTGTAATCTGTAGAGGGCAAAACAAACTAGTAACTGTTTCTGGATCGCCACCTACGATCTGACATAGCTCAAGATCAGCAATACTCTTTATTCAAGTTTTAAATAAACACAAGGTATCTATGCGAGATCATCATGTCTATTCCTATATTTAGTCCCTATATTGTATGTTCGCTAAGCACAGTCATATCTTCTAAAGGCCAGTTATGCTTTGTCTGGCCAGTACTTCTGAATGATCATCTTCTTGTTCACCTTGCCCATAGCATTGCGCTCGATGCCATCCACGACCATCAACACTGTAGGCACTTTGTAAGGCGCCATTTCGGTTTTCAAAACGGCGCGAAGGGCAGGAAGCTCCAATGGTGTAGCCTATTTCATGTCAGCGTAATTCAGTACAGGTCCTGGGTATTGAAAACATACCCCATCGCGGAATTTGACAACAGCAGCTACCTGCTGGCCCCATTCCTCATTCTTCAGACCCACGACAGCAACTTCTTGGATGGCCTCCAGCGCAAGCATCTTGCGCTCCACCTCCAAGGCAGAAATCTTGTATCCACCGGACTTGATTAGATCAACAGATGCCCGACCTTGGATGAAGTATGCTCCGGTAGAATCTCGTTTCGCGACATCGCCGGTCTTGAACCATCCATCCGCGGTGAACTCCTTCGCTGTTGCCTCTGGCTTTCTCCAATATTCACGGAATACATTGCCACCTTTGATCTCAATCATGCCGTCTTGATCAATCTCTTCGATTATCTGACCTGTCTCTTTCTCTGTAAGTCGGACCTGCACTCCAGGGAGAGGCCATCCGACACTTCCATCAACTCGCCTGTCCAGCTCTAGTCCACAGCTAATAGCCATTCCAATCTCAGTCATACCAAATCGCTCCAATAGAATCTGGCCAGTGATTTCGGCGAATTTAGCCTTGACAGGTGTGGGCAGTGCAGCCGATCCACTGATTACTAGGCGTAGAGCTTTTGCACCGTCTCGGGCAGCCTGTTCACGGTCTGTACCGCGGATGTTTGTATCGAAATAATCATTCAGGCGCGAGTAGATGGTTGGCACAGCCATGAACATCGTAGAAGAACCGAGCTCTTGCCAGCGCTCCCAGATAACCTTAGGATCGAACTTTGGGTGCATTTCCACCGTTGTTCCACTTAGCAGACTGGCTGCCAGTCCGTTGACGATGCCATGAATGTGGTGGAGCGGAAGTACGTGTATCAGATGATCGGATGGGCTGTACTTCCAGGCCTTCACCAGACAGCTTGCTTGGAATTCGATGATTTCATGTGTGCTGACGCCGCCCTTGGGGTTTCCTGTTGTCCCGGAGGTATAGATCATCAGTGCGCGGCGATTGAGCGGGAATGATGGGACAAAGGAAGGGAGCGATGGTGATTCGTTACGGGTGAAGGGATCGAGGCCCATGAATGGGATGTCGGTAGAGCATGCTTCACGGAGCGCTGGTGCGATTTTCTCAAATGCGGGGTGGATCAGAATCAAGGAAGGTTCAGAGTCACCGATTGTGTACAGAAGCTCCTTCAATGGGTGACTTGTGCCTGTTTGGTCTTGTTAGCAATTGGCAATAGCAGGATATAGCGTGGACGAAACCACGCGCATACGCAATTATCATGACATACAGAGAGGCACGGCGACTCCGCCTGCAGCCCAGGTGGCCCATTGAGTGACAACATAGTCATATCCGTTCGGGACAAGGAATGTGATGCGTCGCTCGTCCAAGTCGCCTGTCGCGGTCAGGCCTAGTGTTTCGACAATCTGCTTGCGAAGCACCGCTGTGTCTTCGAGAAGCTGTGTAAAGGTAAAAGATTGCTGCTTAGTAGCATCTATGATAGCGACCTTGTTTGCATCATTCTGGGCATGATGCTGCGCTGCCAAGAAAATAGGAAGGGATGGGAGGGGCATGGATGCGTGGGGCGGAGCTTATGTAGGCAATGGATGGTGGACCTATGTACAAGAACAATGCACGCTTAGAAGATCAGTTTCATGTAACGGGGGGCGATTTGTGAAAGCTCCGAGTATGATTTAAAAAAAATTTAACAGGTAAAATCCAGGGGAGCCAAGATCGGAGGCCGAATCACCCCTGGCGCAGTACAATTTAGCCGCAATTTGCGGATCAGTCCCGACTAGTGGAGAGGATTTGGAGGGGCGATCCAATCTCGCTGTTCAGAAATAAAGCCGAGGTATGATCGGCAGTTAAATGTAGGCCCGAGTACGGAAAAATCTCATCAATAGCTTCATCAACACCTCCATGGATGTATTATTAGTACCCAGAAATCATATTGGAAGTCATGAGAAACACAAAAACACAAAAAGATGGTCCCAGAGGGGGTAACCCTCGATTTTGACGTTATTAGCACCACACTCTAACCAACTGAATTATGGAACTAGGCAGTTGGAGCGGAGCCTCAAACACAGATTCAGGCTGAGACAGAAACGCAGAAGTGGAACATCTTCAAGTTCTCAATGAACCTTTTATATTATCCAGATTCAATGATGCCTCAATTGTTGTCTCAAGTGGTGATTTTGGTACAATTACTTCAAATGAATCATAAAGTTAAGATTTATATTCGAATCTAGAAGTCGGAACTCAATCCCGAATGCTGCTCTGTCAGTGGCGTCATACTTCATAGTGCAGAATAACCGAAGTTCAAAATACCATGGGGAGATCAAGGCATATTGAAAAGGTTATCGTAGCATGGAAACGATCCCTAAAAGATCTGTTGATCAGAGTAATCAAGCTAGCTAATTTGATATGACTATCTATATTAGACAGAGGTATCCACGTTACGTGTGCCCCCATAACCATCATCACTAGTGAAGTATCTTTGCACAGGATCCGAATCCCCAGAGCCACATTGCGAGATTCTCCGACCAGCTTTCTTTCTGTCCGCAGCCAAAGTCTGTGCAAATGGACACTTCTCACGAATCCGCGGTCCATACCAATAGAAGACGTAAATCGGTATCGTGAATATGATGGCCATGAATCCAAGGAAAGTCGAAGGCCATTCAAGATGGTGAGTCGTTCCCATATGCGTATACACTAAATCGACATTAGCATCATTTCAGACGGGATTGTGATAGATATGTTTCCCTTACTTGGCATTGAATACATTGCTGCTACTCCTGCAAGGAAGTCGCGAGCAAATCCATTTCCTCCGGTCGCTGATGCGGCGTACGGTCCATATGATGCGATCATGTAGTCTACTGTTGCCATGTAGATGGAATACTGGAGGAAATAAATTAGTTTGCGTTCGCATTTCAGCCATGGGGTCCTAAGTGCTTACATTTGCTATTGCAATAAGACTCGAGAATATCATGGGTGCAATCCAATGAACATGGGGCGGCCCTAGACTAGTCCAAGCAAAGCCAAACAGCCCAATTGTTAGAAGAGGCGCCACTGTGCATATGTTAGCTCCTATTCTAAACTATTCTCTCTTAGCTACTTACCAAATAATAGCCAGTAGAGACGGGCTTCCGGCTGTAGACCATCAGGATCACGCTTCCGAATGGAATTATGATAACTGATCCATGGAAGGTAAGAGAAATAAGCAATAAAGTAACCGATAAGAAGGCTAAAGAAGTTCAATCATCAGCATTAATTATTTCTTTCAGCGGTTGTTTTACTTACGGAAGAAAGGCCAACCCGGTTGTGATCGTAGTAAACCCCCATTGCTTGTATACCGGAGTATAAGATTGCAAGAATACGAAGATCAAGGCGTCACTGAATCCACTGAAAAGCGACAGACACAGAACAATAGGCTCTCGAATGAACATGATAAAGGGTCGAGCCCAGATCATGAGTATATACCTAACAGACATGCGTGACTCCTTCAGCTCATCACCACTCCACACCATGTCCCCATTTTTGCGTCTTCTCTTCGCCTCCCTCGTAATGAGAACGCTGCATCTTGTTTCGGGAACAAACATATGAAGAATCTGAACAAATCCACCAAGTATGAGCTGTATCCAGAAGTTCCAATGCCAGTCCAAAAAGTGAGCAACAAAGCCACCGACAACAGGAGCAATGACAGAGCCCGCCACAGAAGACAAGACAACATAAGCAACAGCCCATTCTTGATCTTCAGCTTCCCACATATCAGCAACCATACCGAGTGTCACTGAGCCACCAGCAGATGAAAGACCACCCAGCGCACGACAAACGACAATAGTCCCAAAGTTCGGAGCTAGAGCACACGGTATTTGCCAAATATTGACCAATAACAAACTAATTTGCAGTATAGGCCATCGACCAAACTCCTCACTGAATGGAGCCCAGAATTCACAGCCAAGTGCATATGCAATGAGAAAATCCATTTGGCCGACTCGAGCAGCTTGCTTTGAGATACCGAAATGCTTGGCATAAAGCCCAATACTGCTAGCGTAGAAACCGGCATTGAAGTTCATCGAGGTTTGTACGGCGAAAATAACAGAGATGATTCCCCATTTCTTCCACCAAGGGAAGGAATATCCAAGTTTTTCATAGCATTGCCATTCTTTCAGTTCTTCTTTGGAGTCCGCATGGCCGTCCGCGTGTCCTTCTGTGTCTCCGTTCGTGTGCCCGTTTGCAGGTCCATCATAGTGGCTCCGCTGAGCTGTTCCTCCTGGTGAGCGAACTCGACGTGATTGCTGTTGTTTTGCCTCATCTCCATCTGCTGCCGTAGAGGATGACCCACGCGACATTGTTAAGGTACTTTGGGTCGGGTGCAGATTTGCTTTTCGTATTCAAATATGTGACAAATGACAATGGGTGTCATTCTCCGAGAGAGTGGCAGCTGAGTTGTCCCCAGAGGCTCGGGTTATGGCTCTTTTTAAGTACCATTTCCTACAGAGGTCTTCTATGCTGTGGGTAAATAGTAGTCAGTAGCAAGAACCAATAATATACCGAGTCCTAGAGCCAAGGGGGCTCCTCCGATTGGCTCTTCGATAGTATACCAGTGGATCAAATAAGCTTTACCATGTTCTTTCGCGTGTCGCCTGGTGTGGAGCGGACATCCGGGGATGATGACCAAGTAGGTCGTCTCGGGTTTGGTATCCGCAGTGAAGATAAGATAATAAGAGGTGGAATTGTACCCCGGGTGTTTGATGGGCGATCCAGAAAAGTGCGATTCTTCGGAGTGGTGGTTCCGGTATGGAGTTGGTCTTCTGGAGGCATTCTATCCACAATTCCCCAGACAAGCTAGTCGTCCCAAGTTTCGGCTTTTCGAACATTTCAAAGACCCAAAAATCAACTCCGCAGCTTTAAATGAAATAAATTGTCAAATGAAATGCGCGTCCAAGTTGAATCATCGCGTAGTAGCTCACATGGCACTCGATATAACGCCGACCGTCGACAGTTTTCAAGGGTAACCCAATTAGGCACTACAGCCATTTCAATCGCTTTGGGGTATGTACAAGTATGTACATTTTTATTTATTTAAAAATCTTGGAGATTCATAAGAGAGGCCTAATCAGCTTGATCTTCTCGAAACCCAAAGCCCCAGCCGATACTCTTACTTAATGTCCTTCCGAGGACAGCCATTAGGATATAGCAATATCTACGCCCGGCGGTCATTATTAAAAATCCGATCCACAATTGTGCGGATATAGTTTCAGCGGTAGCTACCGGACGGTGCATCTGAGATTTCAAACAATAAAAGGCGAGGGTTTAAAAAAGCGACATGGTTGTGCCTGCACCAATGCCTGCGCCAACGGCCCCCAAATAAGGGGTCTGAGACCGAGATAGAGTAGCCCCACTTGTAGCCATTAGCGTCCGCCGGCTATTATAGGGATCCGTCATTAGGTACCAGGATAGTGATCCCAATAATATTTCCAGGGGACCGGGCCCTCCAAGGAAGCTTCTTTAGATCGGGTTGTCTACTCACCCGGGTAAAACAAGAACCTGAAACAAATATCTTGAATTGCTGATTAGTTACGAATGAAGTAGATGTGAGGGGCACAGTCGGATGAAACTGAAAAGAGTTTGCAGATACTTCGTTGTACCTGACCATGATGTACAGAATACGGCCCGTCAAGATTTATACCAAAGCCTCATGACCACAGGGCCGTGGAAGTTTTCAAGTTGGCATGAGGCTGAAAAAGCTTGTTACTGAGGCTAGTCGAGGTACAGTAACAAATTAGGCGTGGATCGCAGAATAGCATGAGATCGAACTTGTCAAAGCCTCCTGACGAAGTGTGCTTTTCAACGGAGTAGGTCCCAAATTGAAACAGAATGATTGGATAGATCACGGTTGAGCTGTATTAGTGGTTTGGCCTGGTCTACGAGTTCCTGTGTGTCGTTTTTTTAGAAGGATTGGTGCCTGCATATTACAAGCTATTTAGTCTTGCGTCTCGCGTCATATGAATCTATCGAAGAATTCCTTAAACCTCTATATCACTTATCACCCTACCTGCTTCAAGAAGTAAAGAATGGCCCGAGCTCGAGAAGGGCATCATCCACTTGCCAAGACTGCCACAGGCTTAATCTATATGAATTGGATATTCTCAGAAGTGACTTTGGGTCTTGCAGCCGCAGCTGTCGCAAACAATATTCACAGTCATATCGCAACAGCTCATTTAGTAATTGTGAGTCTTATTAATTTTAAGAATGGTACGCAGACAATCCACGGAACCCCAATCTAACCATTTTCTTTTCTGCTCGCTTAGACTACCCTCAGCCTCGTTGCTTTGTCTTCTACTTGCTGCCTTATAACGTGCATCGAAGGGAGCGACGGTGATGAAGTAAGACGAGCTGTGGTATTCTTCGTGGTCTTTATCAACATGTTTTTATACATCGGAATGATCATTCCTCTCAGCGTCAGTCCTATCGCAAAGCCGGACATTCATGCGGGACATGTTCAATTCTTCAATAAGTCTCTATCAGGCACAGAAAGCACTATGGCCTAGATGGATCACCCCTATTTCGGTCTGTTTTTCTTTGACCTACTCATGATGTGAGCTTGGGGTCCTCTCTTCTCTCATGTTGAAGAGAGAAAACTGCTGACTTTGTCTAGATGCAAGGATGCGTTTTGTTATATGATTTTTCTTTGCTGTTATTCTTTTTTGCTGTGCTTCGTCATAAAGATAAAATCGCGCGAGCTTCCAAGGTTCCGATTTATGTTTGATAAAATTCATTAGCGCCTGGAGGTCATGTTAGGCATCAGTTAGGGATCAGCAACATGTATCATAATAAGGACCGAAACCTCCTTCAAGGGACCGTGCCCGCCAAAGAAGCTTCTCAAATAGGGTGTGTACTCTGTCTTTTTTTACCCGGGTGAACCAGCCACATCAAGCCATCTTTTGGGATTTATATCAATTATGGGTAGAATACATGGCAGTTACTCGATGCGAATAAAGTTAAATAAGGTTTTTAAATATGTCTTCATTACATCAAGCAAGAACGAACAAGGTTCGTATCACAGGCGCACGATTAGACAGCCGCGAAATTTCTAGATTGAGGCTGAATGGGATTTTTTACCGATGCAGTGGATCGAACTACAGTAAGTAAGTAGGTTTGGATCACAGAATAGTACGAGATCGACCCAGTCTAACCTGGATTTGACGTTTGCCATTTGTCCTGTGAAGATAATGTATCATATCATTTCCACCAATATTCAAAATAGCCATAAGCCATCCTCTTCCAACTTTCCCTCCGCTTCAATCCTCTTCATACAAGCTTTAACTCTCTTCACAACGTGTTCCGCATACCCCGGCCCGAGTGGCGGTCTGGGCACAGCCAAATCCATCTTCAGCCAGGGCACAGAACTAATCCCTTGGCATGCCTGGCGCATCTCTTCAACCTCTTTGTCGCCATAAAGGGCCCCTATAAAGATAGATACTGGTAGCTTGGGGTTTTCCCCAGTGCTAGCATTGGGATCCTCGCTAGTAGGGAGGGCTTTCCCTTGCAACAAATAGGGTAATTCGATTGCCCCGGAGGCAGCGCTAGTGACGGAATGTACCACTACATATGGAGTTAGCATTGGATAATCTCAATTTTGAACAATTGGGAAATTTCCTCTTGCCTTCGTATTCGGGGAGGTAGAGGGGCTTGACAACATTGAGAACCTGCGGATCAACGCCGCCGCAGGTGATGACTGGTAAAGCTGCCATAGTGAATGGGATGGTGAAGTTGTGTTTGGGATTGAATTTTGGGGGAAATGGGTTGTCGACGTACACATATTTATACCTGGCAGTCGTCATGGGCATATGCTATGCACTATCCGTCTTGGACGCCCAGGCAGGTGTGATTGATGCACTCTGCCGCCCCTCCCATTGGCTAGACGAATGAATTTCCCAAACGGGTCAGAGCTGAACTTTGCTGACACGACTACTATTTCCGCCCCACCGGCCCCCCCCCCTCTAGACCTCTTGTAAGGTTTCTAATTTACACTCTCTTTCGAAATCAAGTGAGCCAGAACAGAGGAAAAGATGCCGAACACGGGGAAATATAGTCAAAACTGTCATTTTTGTCGGCAGCGACGTATCAAGGTACGTTTTCCTTCAAATATGGCTGGGCGTAACCTGATCGACTAAGGTACAGTGTGATCTTTCACGTCCTTCATGCACTCAATGTTTAAGAATTGGAGAGAAATGTTTCGGGTATCGAGATGAAATCACCATGCGCTTCCGTATTGCAAAAGCCTCATCCTTCGAGCCAAATACAAGCCATGGTCGTCGGAAAACGCATTACCACAACCCAAAATCCATCAAATTGGACTCTGCTAGGTATCAGATACCACCTTCTCCGATAGGCTACGAAATACCACAGGTGTGGAGTCATCATGTGTTCCCTTTGGTTCTAGATAAATTCGCAGCCGGAATTGTGGATACAAGCATAAACAGCAGCATGTTCGTTACCATACCACGTATCATATCTAGCTCACAAGAGGGATCCCCTGTGTATGCAGTCTGCGATGCCATTGCGCATGCATATCTAGCTACTGTGACTGGATCACCAACGGAAGTTTTGAGAAGAGATCGGGCTTATGGGACCGCACTTAGGGCCGTCAATGCGGCTCTTACCGATCCTACTCAATACAAAAATGACAGCACATTGTTATCGATCTGGATGTTTGTAGTGTACGAGGTAAGCTGGATGCATCTATCGATAAATGAAATGATAACATGAATACTAATTGATCTCAAGTTCTTGTCAAATCCTAACCTGTCATCTATTGCAGGATCAGAGGAGGGCGACCGCCACTGTCGAGGCATGGCATCCTTAATACGCCTCCGGGGCCCGGAGCAATTTTTAACACAGGATGGACGAAATCTTGTCTACTTCGTATGCTACTGCACTGTAAGACTTCCAAGGTTCCTCAGCATTTAGTTGATACTGGTATTGTCTGACAAAAAAAACAGCAAGCTAAAGCACTCATCGCAGGCCGGGAGTCTCCCCAAGAAGTATTGACTTGGATCTCCAAACTTCGCCTTTATATGAAGCCATCCGAGTCCATTTCCATTCAGGCATGTCAATTTGCTTACCACACTACCCGTATCTGTAGTGAAATACGAAAGGTGAAAGATAACCCGAAGATCACGTTCACATTTCATAAATCTATATTGTCACAAATGCTCGCGATACAGAAGACTTGGGATTTTTCATGCGACCTAATTCAACCTTCAGAATCTTTCATTGGAGTACATTCATATCAAGGAAACTTCCAAATGCATCTTTCGGCAAGCGTTCTCAATCTCCACGATACTACCTACCAGGAAGACTATTCGCACCAACACTATACTCATTTTGCCCCGATGAAAGAACACTGCATTGCCACCTTTCGCAATGCGGCAACGCGAATCCTACACATGCAAGGTACTTTCCGAAATATGAATCATCTCGAACTCGGATGGGGAGATGCGGTTATGATAAACGGGTCCTTGAGAACTATCGCAACCTCTCGTCTTTCATTACCCTGGCAGGTCTACGCAGCGAGCAAGGCCCGAGCAGCGATCAAGCAGCGACTTGGTTTTTGATTCTCGGGATACCTACACGATCGTTGTCTTCTATGATATTACTATATGAGATTCTCTGTTCACTCATTTCATTATGTATAATCACTATTCTAATCATTTATAAGGCCTATCACAGCTCATAGTATCCAGAAAAAAAGACTACAGCATCGGTTTCATAATTAATTATCCAATACTCAGGTGATTTACGTGGCTTGAACTGCGTGTCTTGCAGTAGCCGACAGCCGACAACGGCACTTAGTGGGGGGATCACGCCATGTGGGCTGCCGCCCAACCATTCGAAGATACTATAAAACGGAGCTAGTTAAGAGCCGAATTAGGTCGGTTAAAGCTTGAAATAAAGCTTGAAACAAAATTTACATACCGGAACTATTTGAATTTTTTTCGAGCTTAGGTTATCTGAAACGGTCGCTCAGTGGTTTGAACGTTAATAAGCATCAAGTTGGGTGGAGTTTCCCCACGCCAAGAGTTATAGTATACATAGCCAAGTATTGTCTTAGATCTAGTATGTACCTTGTTGTGCATTCATGTATGCAATTCTGGACACGATATGTACAACATGCAGGATGCAGGATGCGGGATGCAGCTTGCGTAACATTCCTATCTATAATACAGTTTCTCAAGGTTAGGCAAGGGTAGGAAGAAGATTCCCTACAGTCTCTGTGGATAAGTGTTGAGCTTAAGCTGATTTGAAAATTGACATGGCACAAGATGTCGTCACATTGCAAGCTTATGGGCACATACGCAAGGGCTAGAAGCTTGCGTGTGAATATAGCTTATGTGGGGCATATGATAACATTCCATATTAAGACGCCATAACCACCCATATCGGTATGCTATCTCCGATTCAAACCTGCCCCATTTGCAGTATTCCCGACCGATATGGAGGATTTATTCGTTGGAATTGAATATAGAGTTCAAATACAAGATCTGGAATTCGTAGGCCAAAACACCCATTCCTCGAGGTGGGATATCGACTGAACCCAGGAAATAGCTGTTTCAAGCTAAATAGCATTCACTTTTAGGCTCTGGGAAGTAGGCAGTGGTAAAGAGGATGTATTCGGTCTGTCTTCTGCGGGTTCTGCCCCAGACACTGGCGCAAATGGGCGTCACGAATCTTTTCCGGCCTCGTTATATTGAGGGATTGGCGGTAGTTTGCCGTCGAAGATGGAGAGTCCAAGATCGTTATTTGAGTGGTTTAGATGCGAATACATCCGGTATGCCATGAAGAGAGATCCGAGTACAATCAATACTCCTCCCAGTAGAGCGTGATGATATTTAGGTCTCATTATGGACCGATCACAGTTGCGACCGGTTAAAACCAGTGATGTCAGTTCGGTCTGGGTCTTGTGAATCGAGATTAAGGTCGCTCTGCACGACCAGCTGCAAAGATTGTGTGACAGCCTCCAAATTAACTGGTAGAGCCAGAAGGCTACCTTTATCACTGCCCGGGGGGGGAATGTGTCTGAACACCATTTGAAAGTTAGACAGGGCAGCCATCGGTGCTAAGTAACTGAATCGGGAGATTAAAGCCACTAAACCTGCTTTAAGATCACTCACCTTGTTACATGTATTCGTGTTCAACGTAACTTTGAACCTTGACGCGTGGACATGGGATGCTCCAGGAGCCGCTGATCCGAACAATTCACCCCGGGTAAAGAAGTGTAAAGTGGATCTCTTTAGTTTATTTTCTCCATTTTTTCTCCATTTCCCTGCCGATGGCCGATTGGCGATTGATGGCAGCCGAGCACGAAATCATGCATGTACATGCGCAATGTAATGTAATGCAACGAGGATCCGATCCTGCTATAAGAGAGACCTCGTGCAGCTACCCCTCATCCCCCTTTTGTGTTTGCTCCCTTAATTTCCCCCTGAGCTTGAGCTTCGTTCTGTTTGTACTTTTTTTCTGAAACCTCATTATAACAAATCACACATTGAACATGGCTACTAAACGTCCCAACTTTCTCGTGATCGTCGCCGATGACCTTGGTTTCTCCGACGTGGGCTGTTTCGGTGGTGAAATTCGCACTCCGAACATTGATCAGATCGCAAAGGAAGGATTGCGATTCACAGATTTTCATGCTGCTGCGGCATGCTCGTAAGTCTTATCCATCACAATCCAAGTACAAAATTGACATTTGTTTCTTTCTTGAAAATAGTCCCACTCGAGCGATGATTATGACTGGCACCGATCACCATATCGCAGGCCTAGGCAACTTGATCGAATGGACCAACATTTCCGGCCAGAATGGCCCCAAAGGGTCTGCGATGAGCACCGCCCCACAACGTGGTATGCCCGGATATGAGGGGTACCTGAATGAGCGCGTCGTGGCGCTTCCCGAGATCCTACGCGATGCGGGGTATCACACCATCTTGTCTGGAAAATGGCATTTGGGCCTGACACCAGAGCGATCACCTCACAAGCGCGGATTTGTCCGTTCATTCGCTCATCTCCCTGCTTGCTCGAATCACTACGCTTACGAGCCCAACCTTCGTGATAATGATGATATTCCCACTTTCATTGAGGCAAGCTATATCGGGCTACATAGTGAAGATGGGGAATATGTGCGCCATCTGCCCGAGGGCTGGTACTCATCAGATGGATACGGAGACAAGATGATTAATTATCTGAAGGAGTGGAAGGAGTCTGGTGGCAGTGAGGGATCTGATGGAGACAGCGATCGTCCTTTCTTCGGATACCTCCCGTTCACAGCGCCTCATTGGCCTCTCCAAGCACCACGAGAATACATCGATCATTACCGCGGAGTATACGATGAGGGTCCCGATGCGCTTCGCCTAAAGCGCCTGCAACGATTGAAGGAGCTTGGCATGGTACGAGAGGACGTTGAGCCTCACCCAGTTGTCGCAGACGAGATCAAGGCATGGGAAGAATACACACCCGAGGAAAAGAAGAAATCCTGCATCTCAATGGAAGTATTCGCCGGAATGGTGGAATGTATCGATAGCAACGTGGGCAAGGTAGTCGAGTACCTCCGCTCAATTGACGAGCTAGACAACACATTCGTGTGCTTCATGTCCGACAACGGCGCAGAAGGCGCGGCCTACGAAGCCTACCCCATGGTTCAAAATGGTGTGATGCCCCATCTCCAAAAGTACTACGATAATAGCCTCGACAACCTGGGTGCTGGCAACTCTTTCATCTGGTACGGTCCACGCTGGGCACAGGCTTCTACCGCCCCTTCACGTTTATACAAGGCCTACACAACTGAGGGTGGTGTTCGTGTTCCCTTCACCTGCCGTTTCCCCAAGAATATCAACATTAAGCCTGGCGATGCAACCGCCGCCGAAGGCGGAATCACAGATCAGTTCTCCACCGTTATGGACCTGGCACCCTCCATTCTCGACATGGCCGGCGTCAAGCATCCCGCACCAACATATCAAGGTCGGGAAGTCGTTTCCATGCGCGGACGCAGCTGGCAACCCTGGGCAACGGGTGAGGATGAGCGCATCCATCCTAAGGATTTCATTCAGGGCTGGGAAACCTGCGGTCGAGCCGCTCTGCGCTGTGCGGACTGGAAGATTGTCTTCATTCCCAAGCCCAAGGGTCCAGAGAAGTGGCAGCTGTATAACCTCATCAAGGACCCTGGTGAGATTCACGACCTTGCAGACCAAGAGCCTGAGAAGCTCAACCAGTTGCTTAAGCTTTGGGACCAGTATGTCCTTGAGACAGGTGTTATTCCTCTATGTCCTGACTTGGGCGAGTTCCTTGAAGCGACTGACGCGCAGATGCCTGAGAATGCTTGGATGGAATTTGATTATTGGAAGGAGGGTGCTCGTGATACTCCTGAGAAGTTCACCCGAGACCCTCCTCGGTTCCAGCGCACTGTTAAGCAATGGTAATGGTGTGAGGCCAACCACACAACAGTACATATCTGTCATAATAACGAATCAATGAGAAAAATAGAATTCAATAAACCAATTTGGTGTTCAACGTCTATGGCCACAGTTTGAGTAAGAAAAGTGCATACAAGTTACCTACATGTACAACAAACTTAAAAAATAATAAAAATAAGAGCTCAATGCATGGATGTCTTCAATAGACAACATACTAAATCCAATCTCTAATATACAACCCTATCATACAAGCCCCCTCAAGTTCTTTAAACCCCCCTCCTAACAGCCCAAAAATAATTCCCCCAATCCTCCGACCCAGGAACCATCTTCCACCCCAACCCAGGCACATAGATAGCTCCAACACACTTCCACATCATCCCATCTAACGCACCAGCTCCAGCCCTCGTAACACCTTTATCGGCAAGACGCATCAACCCCTCCTGCGCCCAACCATGTAACTCAGGCGGATTAACAAACTTGCTCCACTCATGTGTACCCCTCGGCACAACCCCAATAGGCCAAGGCGCCTCGGCAATAACCTGATTAAGAAGGAAAGAGGGTAACGTTCTAGAAATTGTGGAACCAATTAACCAGCCGCCGGGCTTTACTGCCGAAAGACATTTTTCAAGAAAGGATTGGTAGGTTGTTGTCTTTGGGTCTATGTGTTCGATTACTTCGAAGAGGGTAACGATGTCGAATTGGGGATGTGTAACAGAGGAGTTGGAAGTGGAGACCGAGCTAGAACTAGAGCTGGAAGTAGAGCTGGATTCGGATTCAGAAGCAAGTACATCTTCCAATGTAGTGTTTAGGTAGCGAAACTTCCCAGTTCGAAGATGGGAATCAACGGTTGGATCGAGACGGGCATGTTTCTTAGCGATTTGAATTAGGTCCGTTGTAGGATCGATGGCTGTCATTGATGCGGCGCGAGTAGGTGTTGGTGCCGGACTTGACGGATCAAGCGGAATAGTACGAGCGAGGGATTCAGCGAAGATACCTCCTCCACAGCCGATATCGAGGTAGTGCAGATTTGCGGGCGGGGAGGTAGAGGCAGAGGCAGAGGCAGAGGCAGAGGTAGATGTTTGTGTATCTGGAGAACTTTCCGCAAGACAAGAAGCGATGAATTCGTGACGGAGGGGATTCATCAGGTGCAGAATTCGAGAAGGGCCCATTGGATCCCACCAGGAGCTGGCGAGGGAGGAAAAGTGAGAGACTTCATCCTGGGAGACGGATGTTGTGTGATTACGGATGAATTGGGTTTGTGGTTGGAGTTTTGGAGAGACGGATGAGACAGGTGAGACTGTGGGTGTGATTTTGATTTGTCGAGAGAAATATGTTGATGGGGAGGTTGATGGGGCGCGAAGGGCGCGGAAAGGTAGGAAATTAGGGCGTATTGTTGGCATTTTGGATATAGGGGGTTTTCAAGAACCTAGAAACTGGAGTAGGACAGGTTGGATCAGTAGATCCACAGGAGCTTGGGATCAACTGGATGTGGGGAGTAGGAAAGGTGAAGCTATTCCCGATCGCAGAATCTCCGAGGCAAACATGGCAAACACGCCAAGACTAACCAGGTACTGTACAACACTTCAAGGTTTAAGGTCCGGGCTCGAATATGTAATAATATTTGTCTTTTCTTTCTTTTCTTTTTTTTTTATGTTTGTTATAATGCATTCTTGTTTTGTAAGATTTCGATCGCCTCGTATCCAAACTTGACATTGAATTCTTGACCTTAACCTTGGATTACATTCCAGGGTTTTGTTTGCCGTGATAGATACTGCAACCTTTAAGTGGTTCCGTGTATGAACTCGGGTAGCTAGCCGATGTGCAATTATATTGCAGCGAATGCTCGGGTAAATGCAGCGGGGGACTGAGGGAATGTTTCTCAAGGTGTGAAGGATGTCGATTGACAGTTAGTCACTGGGACAATGAAACACTTCTTGAAATATATCATAAATGCCACCTTGGCAGCACTTCTGCTAACAACTGTGCTATCCATAGATGCCGTACAATATAGACTGCCGGAGACTGGAGACATCTCCGCACAACCAATCAGAGAACGCCATGCTGGATGATTCAGATTTGCATGTGAAAGAAGCGTTTTCCCAACAATTTACACTTTCACATGCGAATGCCCAGTCTCAAGTGGAGCAGAAATCCATTTGTCTCCATATAATTTATATAGGAACCAGACCATTCAAAGAGAAGACGCAAGAACAAGATGCACACGAGATACCTTGCCCTTTTCGTATTACAATGCTTGCTTTTCTTAAGTAGAGCCACCTCGTATAAAGGAAGACTGACCAACCAGTCATATCTCTTCGATCATGCAGCATTCCAGGGCGATCCCGGAGGTCCATCCTTCGAATCGCTGCACGTTTTGTATCCGGATGGGAGTGACCCGGAAGTGCCATTGGTTATCTTCAACGGGGACGAACTTAATACAGACCCGAAGGTTTGCCCCCCACTAGATAGTATGCAGTTTAGCGGCGATGTTTGGGCCCCATGCCAGCATCATAGCTTGATTTTCAACTCAACAGAAATAGTGGATTAGAATCCATTCGAATATAGCAATCTTGCTATTAAAGGCGGTAATGGCGCAATCTCCGCGAGAAATTCCTCGTACTAGTCCCCATGTTTACTTGTTTGCATTCATCCTAAACTTGGGAAAGAAGCAAAGAAACTTGAAAAAAGTATACCACACGCAACCACACCTTCAACCAGTACTCCGATGATCGTATCTTGACCCCTCTTAAAAAACTAATTTCGATTCTCGATCTCGTCTCGACGTGCCCCATATCTTTCCCCGGGTTCCTCCTTGTCCCTCGTTATTTATCGCCCAATCCGCCGCATCGTGAATCAAATCTTCATTCTTTAGTTGCCCATTTGCAATATGCCCATTATCGACACTACCCAAGATCTCCCCGCTCTGTTTAAGAAGCAAGTACAGAGTACCCCCGATGCGATTGCTCTGGAAGATGGTTCCGCTATATACACATACACAGAGCTAGACCATGAAGTGGAAAAGCTAGCAACTCAACTCCGCCGGTACGGTGTCAGTCGCGATTCACTAGTTGGAGTGTTACTTCCCCGTGGTGCCCACTACGTGATTGCCTGTTTAGCTGCGCTTCGTGCTGGTGGTGCATTTTTGGTTCTGGAGTTGGCATACCCCGCGGGTCTGTTGGCTGATGTTATCGAGGATGCCAACCCCGCCGTGGTAATTACCCACCAAGTGGAGGCGCCCCGTGTCAAAGCTCAATGCCCGGTGATCGCATTAGACCAACCAACAGCCGAAGTAAATGGAGACGCAAAAGTGTCAGCACCACTACCTACCAGCGATGATTTGGATCGTCTGGCATTTGTCTCATATTCTTCCGGCACCACAGGAAAACCCAAGGGAATCGCAAACCCACACAGAGCACCCGTGCTTTCTTATAACCTGAGATTTGGAATTCAGGATCTACAGCCCGGAGACCGAGTAGCGTGCAATGTGTTTTTCATTTGGGAAATTCTTCGCCCACTACTGCGGGGTGCGACTGTTGTCACTGTCCCCGATGATGTTAGCTATGACCCTGCCGCATTGGTCGATCTTCTTGCTTCTAAACGAATTACCGAAACTCTTATGACCCCCACCCTATTGGCTACCGTTCTCTCCCGATATTCCTCCGGTCGGCTCATTGCCCGTCTTCCCGATCTACGAACACTATGGTTAAACGGCGAGGTAGTAACCACGGATCTTGCCCGCCGAACAATCAGCGCTCTACCGAAAACAAGATTGCTCAACTGCTATAGCGCATGCGAAACACACGAAATCGCCTGCGGGGATATCCGGGAGATGATCGATGATTCTATCTACTGCCCCGTCGGACCTCCTCTCGATCCAAAGCACATCTATATCTTGAATGAAAATGGTGACGAGGTGGAGTCAGGTACCGCGGGCGAGTTGTTTATCGGTGGAGATCTTCTTGCTCGTGAATATCTGAACCTCCCAGAGACAACGGCTAAGGCTTTCACTCCAAATAAATTCGTTTCTGCACCGGGCGCTCGGATGTATAGAACTGGTGATCTGGCCCGGAGGCTCCCATCGGGCCTATTAGAGATTACCGGTCGAGTGGGTGCGATGATCAAGCTTCGTGGATACTCAGTTGTTCCTGCCAAGGTCGAGAGCGACATTTGTCAGTATCTGGCTGTCAGCCACTGTGCTGTTGTTGCCCATGGAGATGGTCTGGAGCGACAGCTAGTAGCCTATGTTGTGGCTGATAGCGAAGCTGGAGATCGTCCAGTCCTGGAAATCAATGATTCAGGACACAGCCCTGCAGCTCGTCGGGTCTTAGAGCCATACCTTGCTCATTACATGATCCCAGCCTTATGGGTTGCCTTGAAAGAGCTGCCTACGAATGAAGTCTCCGGCAAGGTTGATCTTAAGAGCCTTCCATCTCCTCGCAGCTCAAGTCCAGTCAGTAGCGAGCAGTCGGTGGACAAGGATCCCATCAGCATTAATGATATTGCTACCATTTGGGCCAACGTTCTCAAGACCTCGAAATCTCTCCTCAAGCCCGAGGATAATTTCTTCGACCTGGGTGGTCACTCGCTGTCACTCGCTGACCTGGCATCCAGGTTCTCTAGACACTTTGGCTTCCGTGTGAAGATCCCAAGTCTTGCCGAGAACACTACGCTGGCTGGTCATTTGAACACCGTTCGCGCCACTCGAGATGGTCACACTGCTGCTATTCAAGCCGATCTCCCCGCTATTCTATGTGCAGATTCGACATTAGATGAGGATATCAAGCCTGCAGCGGATACCAAGTTCACTTCCATCGCCTCGGCTGATACCGTGCTTTTGACTGGTGTGACTGGTTTCCTGGGCGCTTTCTTGCTAAATGACCTCCTTGAAAACACTTCAGCCAATATAATTTGCTTAGTACGATTCAGCGACCCAGAGGATGATGACCAGGCTGGTGGTGTTGCTCGTATTCGCCGCAATCTCCTTGACCTGGGGCTATGGCGTGACACCATCATGGAACGCGTGGAAGTTCTTCCTGGAAACCTGTCCAGAGCGCGTTTCGGTTTATCGCTCGAACAATTCGACGATCTTGCCTCTCGAATCCAGGTCATCGTCCATGCTGCGGCCACTGTCAATCTTGTCTACCCCTATGCTGCCCTTCGCTCAGCCAATGTTGGCGGTACCCGAGAGGTTCTCCGTTTAGCTTCCAAGGGAGGCGCAACAGTTCAATACGTTTCGACAAACGGTGTCTTACCTCCCTCCCCTACTGGAGGCCGTGGCTGGTCTGAGGATACTATGCTCAGTATCGATGAGGTTCCAACTAAATTACTAGACGGTTATGGACAGACAAAATGGGTTGCTGAGCAGCTTGCATTAAAGGCCCGGCAGCGTGGAATCCCACTGAGGATTCATCGTTGCGGTACCATCAGCGGACACAGTATCACTGGCTCGGCCAATGCGTGGGATTTACTCACCGCGTTGATGGTTGAGTCTGTTAGAATTGGCTACGCCCCAGATGTGGAAGGCTGGCGAGCAGAGATGACCCCAGTTGACTTTGTCAGTCAATCAATCGTTCATCTCGCCACACAAACAGAACCCGAACAGACTGTCTACCACCTCGGTGACCCAGATCCCATCAACACCAAATCTGTCTTTGAGAATCTGAAAGACCTCGGCTATCCAACTGAATTCCTCCCATGGGACGAGTGGGTTGCCCTGTGGACCGAAAAGCGAGGCTCAGCAAAGGGAGGAGACGGTTCATTTACCGTTGACATTCTCCGCAGTGGTATGCCCACAGTGGAATTCCTTCGCGGTATCGTTGTCCTCGATAACGCCGTGACTCGACCTTTCCGCCTAGTTGTCGAGAGACCCAAGGTTGACGCCCTTCTCCTTGAGACATATGCTCGCCATTGGTTTGCCCGTGGTTGGCTTCCTCGACCCCCATCTCGCAAGCATGCCCTCGGCCGCTCAGCAGTATCCAAGCCAATCTCCCGTGGCCCTCTCAGTGGACAAGTCGCTGTCGTTACAGGAGCCTCATCGGGAATCGGAGCCGCTGTCGCCAATGCTCTCGCCAAACAAGGCTGTGCCGTTGCCCTCGGTGCCAGACGACTAGACGCACTCGAGTCAGTCCAACGCAGCGTTGAATCCCACGGCGTGAAATGCATTATCCGCTCAACCGACGTCACAAACAGAGATCAAACCGTTGAACTCTTCCAAGCAGCCAATGATGAGCTCGGTCCAGTCGACATCCTCGTCGCCTGCGCCGGAGTCATGTACTTCACAATGATGGCCAACACCCAAACAGACGAATGGGAACGCACCGTCGACGTAAACTGCAAGGGTCTCCTCAATTCCCTCTCCTCCAGTGTTCCCGGCATGCTTTCCCGTGGTCGCGGGCACATCGTCGCCATCTCATCCGATGCTGGTCGTAAAGTCTTCCCCGGTCTGGGCGTCTACTCAGCCAGTAAATTCTTCGTCGAAGCTACACTCCAAGCTCTTCGTCTTGAGACAGCCGGTGCTGGATTAAGAGTAACCAGCATTCAGCCTGGTAACACATCTACGCCGTTATTGAACATGTCCACGGATACCGAGGCAGTGAAGAAGTATGGCGAACCATCTGGTGCGAAGATCTTGGATCCGTCTGATGTGGCGAACTCAATTGTGCATGCTCTTTGTCAACCGGAGTATGTATCTGTGAATGAGATCCTTGTGGAGCCTAGGGATGAGCCTATTTAAGCTCTTTCTAAGTATTGAGTGATGATGATTTTTTTTTTTTTTGGCGTGTTCTTTTCTCTCATGACTGTATTTACCAATTGCTTCAGCTTTGGGCTGATTAGACATAGACTTGCTGGTTATAAGATCCAGCTAAAATCAATATTGGATTCTTTCTTAATAAAACTCACTGAAGACTTTGTAGTTCAAATCTATCTACTAGTAAAGAGTGTGTTGTCTTATCACATGATTTATGCATAGCGATAGGCGCAAGGTTGCCTGTAGCTTCGGTGCCTGGAGATCGTTTACCCCTTGCAATTCCCCAGCCTGGGTACCCTGCACATCCATATATCTAGAGTCTGGCTTATCTATTTTTGTATTTCTATTTATGCTGCACGTACTCAAGTTAATGTTTCTTCAAGTGAATATTCTTCTACAAAGTCTGTCTAAAATTCAAAATAACAAAGTCGAGATATCTGTATACAAACTCGCAGAGAAGCTGAAAACAAGCCCATCTATTCTAGCGCCATGGTATCATAAACAAAGCAAGCCCAGCGTGTATCATAAACCATCAAAACACAATCTCACTCAAAATCTCAGCTCACTGGAAATACTCTGATGACGAAGCCCAGATAGATCATTCTGCCGATTTACGTTGTCACCATCATCTCTTCCATCCTGCGACTCTCTACCAGCCGAAGCTAATAGATTCCATCGTTGTTCATTGGCCCATGTACTTAATTGGTCGGGCATACCTTCTCCAAGGACGGGTAGGAAATTTCCCATGTTGATAGTACCATCTAGTTCGATGATTGTTTTACATCGCTCGAGTAGTGACGGGAAGAGGTAGGATGGTGATCCACGAATCTGAGAAAGGGTATTTAGAATACCCCAAAGGAGTTCACGAGGATCAACTGTTGATTCTGCGAGCCGATGGACGTTCTTTGGTCCAAGCGACCGGGTGACATCTGCGACGGAGACACCCATATCAAATAGCTTTTGCTCCTGGTTTAAATTAGCCCCAGTTTCACGAATTGCCATAATATGGGTTTTAATTGATGAGACTTACCATCCCAATACCGTGAGCATCTACGGAACCCTGTGATGCAGTCCCTATAACGCCCATTACAGCCTTGCCGACTAAAACAGGCAGATGAAATGGCAAAACAGCATCATCCTTCAACCCAGGTTGGGTACCATGGTTCATGGAAAGCTTCCACATCATGGCTTGTAACCACTGCTGCGTGATGAGGATATCCACCTGCTGTATTTCAAGGACACCTTCCAAGGATATAGGCTTGCATAGACTGGACAGGATGCCTGATGTGGGAGGCCTCTCTAGTATTCCCTCCCCACCACCAGCAGAGAACCAGTCATATAGATCTGGCGTAAGGTTTTCAAAGATGTTAATCAGATTAATGAAGCCGTAAGCCAGGATAGGGTCTTCAGCGCAGAGGACCTGTGGCTTATGGATAGAGCTTCGGAGCATGACTGGTTTCGATTGCTGAAGAGCATATCCTCTACAGGCATTGTCAGCCAAAGAATCAATTACCAGCAATATTGAACGAAGAAGGGGGAAAGTACCTCTCAGTAATGAATAAAAGCCAAAACACCCTCCGTCGCTCCTCGGCTTCCTCAACCTGAAAATCCGCATAGGTAGCCTCCCGATTCAACCCCAAGGCAAAAGCCATAGACATAGCCTGACAAAAATAAAACCACGCATGACTCTGCCTATCCAGATTCCCATATGACGCAAATAAAAAAAACGACGTAAGCAGATTCTCAACACTAATATCCTCTACAACATCACACTCCCCCCTCGCCCTAACAGCCTCCTCTAACAACTTCTCCCCCGAAATAAGCGCACGACCATCTCCACAACTCTGCAGTCTCACAGTATCAGGTACAGGTACAGGATTTGCTCCATCTAACTTAAGTTGAATATGCGTTGCCGCGCAGAGAGAAGCCAAAAACGCATATCTTGCACTCGACAACTGTTCCGGGCAATGGGAATCAAGACGCAATCGATCACCCCGTACAACAGGCATGATGGGAAACAAATATTTCAAATAAACGTTTACATGTGCCAGGAGAATTTGTGGAGGCAAGCGACATGTTCGTGGGGGCGGAGGGCCGTAAACCGAGGAGTCAACGGTTAGAACATCCGTTGAGTCTGGGGAGGAGCCGGAGGCTAGCTCGGCTTGGGGAAGCTGTGAGAATGCATCTGCGATATCGGTCTTTCTGAATGATGCATCATAGACTGGGAAGGCTGGAGAGGCAGGTGAACTTAATCTGTACCCATCGTTTGTGCCGTAGAGTTGTTGATCTGGAGGTGTGTCTCCGCGTGCGGAGAGCGGATAGATCGGCGCGATGGGATACAGAGTGCGGAATTTGGGTCCCTTGCGACGTAGCACATCGCTATAAGAGCAGGATAGTAGAAGACGTTGGCATTTATCACAGGGTAAATCGCGTGAGCATTTAATTTTGCGCCGACGACAATTATCACAGGCCTGTTTATGGGAGGGTTTGGAATGGGGGTTGACATCCATGATTGTCAATGAGGGGAATGGGGAAGGGGTGCTAGGGCAGCGATGTCATAGTCGAAGAGAGATGGGGATCAAGATAATAATAATAATAAAAAGAAAAGAAATATGAGGAAGAGTACTAGAATCAATTCAGCAGGGATTCTCGTTCTTGTTTCCCTTCTTATTCTGGGGAAAGAGACAAACAGCGCGGGGCCATCCACAACCCCGCAAAGGCCCATGCACAACCCCATGAAGAATGATGGAAATGATGCGACACTACGGTGAGGCTATAGCCAATTCTCCTGCATCATAATTCCATTCCATCCCCATCTTCTCATTGGATCCTCGACAATAAACAGATGAATGATCAGCGGTTTCCCCCCAGTAAATTGTTGAGTTTACGCTAACAAGCCCCTCTAACTAGAAGAAGCCCACGGTGGACCACGACAGAGCAAGTTGACCCATGTTGACCCGCCATCGCGTCCATTTTAGCGTGCACAAAAAAGACGCACGGAACCATGTCCTGCTTGTCATATCGAGGTGAGATTTGCGCCCGACTCATGCAGGGGGAGGGGAAATCCAAGAGAAATAGGTCTAAGCGAGGTCCCGATTGATCCGATCGAGCGTTAAGAATGCTCAGACTCAGGCTAGAAACAATCGAAAGTTTCTAGAATCCCTCCGAATCCCTGTCATCATGAGCCGTCCCGGACGCCATCATCCCTCGCGAAATTACATTAGCGGGGAAAAGGAGCAGAGACCAATGCGCAAGTCTCCCTTTTGGTGCTAATTATCATGGCTAGAGTGTTACTGAGTTGCTACCTTGTTAGCATGACCCCACTAAACTCCCCGCAGAAGACCAGTAACAGTCATTCTCCGCATCTCTACATCTCTGCAACGGGGGGGGTTGAACTCCCAACGGGGCCCCGGCTTGAACCAAAGTAGCCGATCCAATCAACGTAAGCTCGGCTCCTTACGTATGTCCTCTCGTTGGCGTTCCATTGTTTCCACTGGCTGGCGAGGATGCCGAGAGGGGTGACATGCTCTCGGGAAGCCGAAGTCATTGGTTGGATGATGATATGGGGAAGTGTACTTTCCCATTTTTTTTCTATACAAATGTGGCTAGGTGGTGGAACTAAATGCATCCTAGTTGAAACTATGTATCACTATCCGGCCCCTCGTGTCTCCGATTAGACCCAATTTTCTTTCATAAAACCCTGGAACACATGGGCCCATATATTACGTCCTGCCAGGTTCCCACAAGACCGGGATCTGCCCAGGTGGAAAAGGTATGGTCCGAGGGAACGAGAAGTAAAGAATGCGACGTATGCATATGCATGTGGATGTACGGGGTATACGTACAGTACATGGATGAAGCTTCCGACCGATGACAGCCAGCCTCAGCCTAACTTGAAGGGCGTCGGCATGAACCGAATTAGGGCATTACTGTACAAATGCAGGACTCGCAACTCTATCTCTCACTCAAGGCTGCACAGGGGGCTCATCTCCGTAATATATGTCCGAGACCATTAGAAAGTTCCGCCCAAAACTCTGAACGAGACCAACCAGTGAAAGTTCTCAATTTATAAGAACACATGTATTATTATTTCCCCAATATCATCAGACTCAAACTAAGGAACCCACAATCACACTTGAACTTGAACTTGAACTCACTGATGCTCAATCTTGTTTATGAGCGTCCCCACATGAGGTAGTAACTCAACAGCAAACTCGTCCCCACTCTTAATGAACTCTTTAGGATTCTTGGCTGCACCCACACCTGGCGGTGTACCAGTCAAAATAATCGTACCAGCAGGTAAAGTAGTACCCTGAGACAAGAAGCTAATAAGCTGCGGCACAGTGAAAATCAAATCGGTAAGTGGACAGTCCTGCATCACTGTGCCAGTCTTCAGACCGCGAATCTTAAACTTGCTAGCATCTGGGACCAGAGCAGCTGAGACCAAAACAGGACCTGCAGTAGGCAAATTAGCCGACGTCACTGGTGGAAACATACGTGTTCATGTATTTGTATTTGTATTTGTATTTTCATGAAGCTGGGGAAGAATATGGGAAGGTAAATAAGAAACCGTACCAATAGGACATGCGCCATCGAAGCCCTTCGAGAAACACCACTGGCTCTGGCTCATCTGCGACGTTCGGCTTGATACGTCATTGGCAGCAGTGTATCCTAGGACATAATCCAAAGCCTCGGATTCGGACACATCTTTCGCATCGCGTCCGATAACAATAACCATTTCAGACTCGTAATCGCCAGTGTTATCTTGCTGTGTAATCTTGGGAAGAACAGTGGGCGCAGGCCAAGGGTTCCCGAGTGCAGTAGACGGCTTCATGAACAAAGTCGGTACCTCAGGGATAGGCAAGGACATTTCCTTGGCGTGTGAGGCATACTGTATCACGATAGGAATTTAGTATTCAATATTCCAATGTTCCAGTGTAGACTTTTCAATGTCTTTTAATCATCCTCACAAGGATCAAGCAATACTAACATTCAACCCAATACAACGAATCGACCCAACTTCCGTCTGCGCCAGGGGTGACAGAATACGATCAATAGTCTCCGTAGACTGAGTAATACGCCCAGGGTTCAAGACGGAGGAGCCTGAAAAAGGATGTACAGAGACATTCTTGCCCTGGTAAACAGCCAATCCCACATCTAATTGCGGATCGATCGGTTCCCCGATTAGAACCTTGGCCGGGTTAGATTTCGGAGCGAAGCGCACCAGGCCTGTGGAGAATGTGAGTTAGCTATCAAGCTATTTCTTCTGCTTGTCAATTGCTGATATTTTAGCTTACGCGAAAAGGTTGATGCGATTTTCGACATTGTGATTGTTTGTGGTAGTGAATGTGAACTTGAAGCTGTGGGTTTGGAAGATCCTGACGGGAGTATTTCTACCCCGTTGAAGTTCTAAACTGGTTCAAGTTCCCACATTGTGGGGAGCTAGGTCTCGCGACCGTCAATGATGTGGGTGACATTGAGTGTATGGGTGCAAATATTTACTTAATATGAGTATATAGGAGTGTAAAAGGATTGATGATAGAAAATGAAACAAACGAAATCTGTTATTCAGCCTCATGGAGGTACAGCGTTACATTTGTATGCGAAGCTCCAGTCTAACGCTATATTTAATGGTTATATGAATTATGGACATTAGAAGAAAGTAGTGATTCGCAAATATTCTTCATCTCATAAAACAATTTCGGATAGCTAGAAAGAAATCTCTCTGTTAAACTAGTGAAGCTACTAATCTCCCACTCCGCGGTGTCACCGCGGATGATGCAGAGCCGAATTCGCAGTTAGGGACGGTCGTAAATCTCCTAACTCCGCAACCATCTCTCACCTCCCCGAATCCGAGTCAAGACCAAATTCCCCATTTAAACATCCTTTCCCTCCGAGAAAAACGTCGAATCCTAAAATAATCCGACCTCCTTCTCTCGCACCATGCGCTGAAGCTCAACTATCCCATCCACCAATCTCATGGCGCACGCGACGCTCCTCCGGTCCCTACGACCAAATCTCACCCTCCGACGCCCCCTCCTTCAATCTCTCCTCTACCGATCTGCTCACACTCGCTCGCAAGGCCAATTCCAACCATTCGTCCCACCCTCGCCAGCCTCCCTGGGAAAACCCCAAGCCGCAAAAACCTACCCCCGCACTCGAAAATGGCTCCGCCGACTCCTCTACGCCTCAGCCTTCACAGGAATAATCTACACAATCGACAACCAATTCTACGCCGCCTCCCTAACGCGCACAGCGCGCACATTCTCTCTCGGCCTCCTAGTAGCCCTAGATTACAAAATCAATTTCACACCTCACCCGCCATTCGCCAGTTCCATCACGGCGCTTCATGCCCGTAATGCGGAGCGGTTATCGGATCTACTACGTCATAATGGCGGGCTGTATCTGAAGATGGGCCAGGCCATCGCGATGCAGTCGGCTATTTTGCCGCCGGAGTTTCAGCATATGTTTTCAAGAATGTTTGATGATGCGCCGCAGAATGATTGGAAGGAGATTGAGAAGGTTATAAGGGAGGATTTTGGAAAGTCGCCTGAGGAGGTGTTTGGGGTTTCCTTTACGGGGGAGCCCGGGAAGGGTGTTATGGAGCGGAAGGCTCGTGCGAGTGCTAGTGTTGCTCAGGTGCATTGGGCGAGATTACAGGATGGGAGAGAGGTTGCGATTAAGATTCAGAAGCATGAGATTGTGCAGCAGTTGGCGTGGGATTTGTGGGCTTTTAAGTGAGTTTCATCCCGCGGTGGTGGTGTTTCGCATCGCGCTACGCTGCTTTGTATCGCAGACTGGATGGAAAAGAGACTAACCATTCTTTTAGAGTTGTAACCTACATTTACAGCAACTTGTTCGATATTCCTTTCTACAGCTTGGTTCCTTACATTAGCGAACGTCTGTCGCTAGAAACCGATTTCGAGAACGAAGCGACTAACTCCGAGAATATGGCCCGGTTGGTAGCTGGCGAACCTAGACTCCGCGATCGCGTCTACATTCCAAAAGTCTTCCGCGAGCTGAGCTCCAGGCGTGTAATGACCGCGGAATGGATCGAAGGTGTTCGACTTTGGGACAAGGATTCAATCACTCGATCATGGCGCGGTGGCTGGCGACAGGGTACCCCAGGATGCCACGGCACGCCTCTAGATCCTCCAAAGACAATCCCCCAACCTCAAAACCTTCGAACCGGACAACTGAAACCCGAGCGCACCACCTGGAAAGGTCAAAACGGTCGCGGAGGACTAGGCCTATCACTGAAAGACGTCATGACAACAATGGTTGATCTCTTTTCTGCCCAGATGTTCCTATGGGGATGGGTACACTGTGACCCGCACCCAGGCAACATTTTTATTCGTCGCAAACCCAATGGAAAACCGGAGCTGGTACTCATTGACCACGGGCTATACATTCACATGGACCCTGACTTCCGCCACCAATACTCACGATTCTGGAAAGCCCTCTTAACATTTGACAATAAAACACTCGCTGAAATCGCCAAGGGGTGGGGCATCAACAACCCCGAGGTATTCGCCTCAGCGACACTAATGCGTCCATACCGCGGAGGAGAGAATCAGTTCCAGCGTGGCATTGATAAGCTCAGTAAAGCCGAGCGCCAGGAGCGCCACTACGAGATGCAGCAGCAAGCCCGGAGAGCTATTCGCGAAATGCTGGGCGACGAAACAAAATGGCCACAGGAACTGATCTTCATTGGACGGAACCTTCGGATTGTCCAAGCAAACAATCAGTTCCTTGGCTCACCTGTGAACCGGCTCAAGATCACTGCGACTTGGGCATCACGGGCGCTTGTGGAGTCGCCCGATTTACCGTTGGCGGAGAAGATCCGTAATCTCGGACGACATGTTGTCTTCCGACTTGTGCTGTTGACTAGCGATATCTTTTTTTACTTTACCAAGATCCGACAATTCCTCCATCTTGGAGGAGGTATGGAGGATGAGATCGAAGCCCAGATGCAGGGCATTGCTAAAGATATGGGTGTAGAGCTAAACCAAAGTATTTTTGAGGGATAAACATTACAAGCTAGAAGATATTTAATAAACGATTTACCATCTCTTCTCACCTGATGTATTTTCTTCATCGCGATTATCTACGAAGTCTTCACATCTCACATCCTGAGATCAATATCTTAACAACTGGCACTATGAACAAGGAGGTATGATCATATTGATATTCAAGAGCTTTCCACAGACGGTTACCACCACCCAGACGAAGATTAACAACCTATTTTCCATACCTTATAATCCTTTACATCTGGATAGCATTGAAAATCTGCAGATGATTTGAAGATATCACCCTCGCAGCAAGCATCAACCCCATACCCAAAGCAACCACCGCAGTCAACGCAGCCAGAAGTCCCAAGCGCGCAAGATTCTCAATCCCAGGCCTCTCAAATTTGATCGTCCGTCTCTCACCCAACCGTGTAGTCCGCGTCAAAGTCGGAATATACTTAAAGTCAAAACGAGACTCACGCCCAAGACCGACCTTCGGATCCGTAATCATCTTGTAGAAGTATTTCCGACGCAGCTATACATCCAACCAAATTAATATCACGACGTATCTCAACTCCCATTAATCAGAAGAACAAGAACAAGACTCACCGCAATCATAATCCGATCCATAAACCAAATTCTCGGAATAACAAACGAAACCCCCGAAACCCAAAAACAGTATCCCCAAATCAAAGCCCGATAATACAAACTCGGTCTCGGAATATCAAGCTGATCAGCAAGCTGATCCCCATTCAAAAGCCTACTCATAGCCTCAATAAACTCTTTAGAAGCATAAGCCGGTGCCGTATTCTCAAGTCCAAGAATGATATTCTTAGCCAGCACCCTACCAACCTCAGACGGATCAATCTCCGAAATAAGCATAGACTCCATCATCGCTTTCGTTTTCTCCGGAATCTCAAACGGTTCAGTCGGAGTCCCCATATACCACGCAACAAGTCTCCAAAGCGCAATATAATCTTTTATCTCCTGGTCACTTACGAAAATACCTTGTCGTGGGAGACCGAGGTAAACGACCGAGCCGCAGAATGTATTGATTGTGCCTATGCAGTCAAGGTCGCTTACGGGGATTCCAGACTTGGTAGTGTCGTAGTATGAGGGGTTTTCTTGGATAAGGGATAGGATTCGGAGGCGGACGGATGAGTGGAGCAGACGGACGCGAATGGAGGAGATGTTTCCTTCGCCTCCTGGTTTCATTCCTTCCGCGGAGCTGTTTACTTGGAGGATGTGTTGGAGAGTTTCGAGGAGGCGGCGACGAACTACTTTTGCGCCGAAGCCGCCTGTTCGTGTGAGTGTTTCGACGACTCGAGTTGCACCCCTGTTGATATCAGCATCCAGATCTTGATGTTTTGATGGATAGAGTCTTCATACATTCCACCAAGTAAACTTTCGAAACTCAGCTGTTCTTTGTTATCAGCATTGAAGAAAGAGATAATGACACGGTATCAAAGTATAACCCACAGTGTTCAAAATAGGAAGTCCATATCGAAAAAACATATCTTGACCTCGTTGAATTTGATCCCAATCCACCCATGCCGGAACAGTATTCACCTGATTCCACAACTCACTCAATTTAGGATCCTCATCCTTATGATCTCTCAACAACCCATAAAGATCCTTATGAAATTGCTTCTCATCACCACCAGTAGGTATCTTATTCAAAATTTCAACACACTCATCAGCAAGCTTATCATAGGTATAGATCATAGGTTTGAGTTCCTCTTCCGAGCGATGGAGATCAGTCCAATGAAACGAGTAGCCCCAGTAGTGGCACTCGGTACTATTGCCGTGTCGGGGTGATTTGGGCACCATAGTGATGGAAATCCTAGTTCACAGCTTCACGGCTTCAAGATAAGAAGATGAAGAATAAAATAAATAGGTAGAGTAAAGTATAATGCTGCGATAGACTGATTTTGGGTACTTTTTAATCCATCATGGTTTCAAGTTATAGGCGCATTGATATCATCCTTGTGACATCTGGCTGGGGGATCTGTACCGTGGTCCGTGGTCCGGGGATAGCGTGAGGGGCTTAGGGCTGATTGGATTTGCATGTGAGTCGCCGGTGGGAGGGGGAGATCGTCACTTTCTACACTAAAAAGAGTTGGGCTACTGTAATGTTTATATTTGATTGGATACACAAAATGTTTCATGAAATAAGTTCATGCTGTTATTCGGAGGAAATGCTTACCAGGATATAAGCGATGGTGGCTTGCAAGTTCACATGCCACCAACTCTATAAGATGCCAAAGTTTGCATAATAGATGCATAAAGCTATGCATACTACTAGTAGCTTGTCGGGGCTAATGAAGTGAGTTCTTCGAAATTATTGATTGAATACAAAATAGGAATACCCACTTGGGCAAGAATGCAGTCAGGATTTTGGTAGGGCTCCTTCAAAATTTGAACCTTTGTCTTGGGTCTTTTCGTCTCTAATTTTTCCCCCTTTGGCTTTAGTAGGACAAAATATGAGATAATAGTCGTCTATTGGTGGCAGTGTTTTTCGATAGTTCTACCTTTTTAAATTTGAATCTTAGAACCTTGGAACGTTGTAAAAGAAATCTTGAATTTCAAAATCATACATTAATTATGCCCAGCGAATATATGTTGATACAGTAACTAGCCATTTACAAATCATATCAACCTTGTCATATAAAAAAGGGATAAATAGTAAACTTGAAAGTGGCCAACTTAGTGTAGCGACATTAATTAGGTTAAAATTTAATTTTCAAAAACAAAACAAAACAAAGAATAAGCAAACTCGAACTATTAATCTGAAAATCTCCACATTAGTACAGTATGCGATGATTGCTGCTAACAAGCCCACGGGCGCTAAATAGACCCCTCACTTTACCGCCTCCCCCACCGCTTTATCGGCTGAGAACACAATTGGTCACCGAAAGTGTAAACACCTGTTCGCCGGCAATACATCTACGCCTATCGCGTATCTTCACGTGATCGTGTTGTATATTGGACGGCTTCCCTCGTAATGTTTGCACTTTCCCACACTCCTTCGTGAGTTACTTTACGTCCCAGCAATGGCGATACCCGCTCCAAATATGGGAAGTGGACTCACAGACCCTAGCTCTGAGGCACACATGGTAAACCAGTTCTTCCGTCAGATCACACGACCCTCAGAAGCTTACCAGGTATGTCACAGCTAGTAACCCAACTTTATGATCCAGCAAACCAGCGAAACCCCACCACTATAAATGAGATTCAGACGCGACTACAACATTTACAAAAAGGAGAAAATGCATGGGAGATCGCAGACTCATTACTGCGCCAACCCTCAGCTCATCACAGGTTTATGGGTGCTCTCACTTTCACCGTAAAGGTTAACGTGTCAGGGTACGTCGATAGTTGGGATTAATAACATTATGATAAAGTTTGAGCATAAGGCAAATCCTAACCTCAAAAATATAGAGATGATCTCGACGAGCCGACCAGTTGGCAAATTCTGGAACGTCTCATCAACCATTTCATCGCCATCGTTGACCAGGGCGAACAATTGATGGTAGTCAGGAAACTTGCTTCTAGTCTTGTCACTATTTTTCGACACAAAGCAAGTTCATGGAAGCGAGCGATTTGGCAGTTGGCCGCGAGTCTTGCAAATGGCGGATATGTCTCTGAATCAAATGCCCAAACGGTTGACTTTTTAACCGGAGTCCTGCCAGCCCTGAACACACAAAAAGCCACAGCATTGGTGTTTTTTTCGGTCGCATTGGCTGAGGAGGGGTTGAGATTACAAATGGAGCCCCAGCTCGCGGGGTGGGTTATCCTGCGATTAGTGGAAAATATCGAGGATGCTTTCTTGCTTGTTCAATATATTATTCAACAGATAACGACCCATGCCTCCGAGGCTAGCAGTGATTCTTTAGAGGCTACCCTCAGCAACGAAGTTATGGGATCTTGGAAGGTGAGTACTGATCATTAATGGCGTGACACATTATAATGAAGGCAAAGATTGCTGATTCACGTGTATTGAACAGACCTGGCTTGGTGTGTATGGGAACCACCGCAATTCCGACAATAAGCAGGCTCAAAACCTCGCAATTGCATGTGGCCAAGATGTTATTGAGATACTGAAGCTGCCCAGCTTCAGTGAGAATGCAGCGTCCGTTCTGACATCAGCCCTTGAGAATCGCTCTTGGGCCTTCGACAACCACTCCACATTTTCTCTCTCCCAGATTCTTTCCGACTCCATCGTGACCAGACATCTCGTTTCATTTACCGGTGAAGATGGCGATACCGATAACATGACATACGTTGATCTTCTAGTGGCCTACGTCTCACATGTTAGTTTTGATCTTTTCAGTGACCCCATGAAACATCAAAACTCTCAAATACTTGCCATCTTGCACAACATCTTTAAGATACCAGGCTATGCGGCCATCGACGAGTCAGCTACGACCCGTGTCTTAGAGTACTGGGGCGACATTGCAGAGTACCTTCCAGACCGACTGGAGCCGTCGGAATCTCGATACCAAATAGTAAGATCCCAGCTGGCCGAGGTTGTGCTTGGCATGTTCAATAAGCTTCTTTATCCTACCCATGATGAGATTGCGGATTTCAGTGAAGAGGATCGGAGTGAATTCAATGCATTCCGCCACGAAGCATGCGATTATTTGCTTTCAGCATACCCAATACTGGGTATCGAGCTTGTGAGTGTTTTCCAAGAGAGTGCTACGGGTCACTTGCAAAAGCTAGACTGGAGAGGCTTCGAGGCTGCTATGTTTTGCCTTGCTCAGCTATCAGAGGCCGTCGATGAGAACGGACATGCAGATCAATGTTTGGATTCCATCTTTGGCAGTGAGGCCTTTGCACAACTGTGTCTTGGAGGTGAAACAGGGATCCCTCTCAAGGCACGTCAAACGCTCGTTGATTCGTTTGGTAAATACGAATCATATTTCGAGCGACACAGCTACCTCTTGCCCGGTGTTTTGAACATTTTATTCGAGTCATTGAGCTTTGAGTCATGTGCACAACCGGCCTCAAGGTCTATTTTGACCCTTTCAAAATCATGCTCTCGTATGCTGACCACCGAGCTTCCTACCTTCCTCGATCGATTGGACCAATTTCGGAGCAAGCCGACGGCAACCGTTTCTACTATGCCCAAAGTTCTTGAGGGTATCTCAACAATTATACAAAAATTAGATTCGGACCAAGAAAAAGTACAAACACTAGAGAGAATTCTGGGATTCTTTGTTCAGGAAGCCAACCAAGCTCGCCAAGAGGCCGCTAGCTCTGGATACGATATTGCTCGTGTCCATGGACATTTTGTGCTTAGTTGCATCGCCAGTGTTGGAAAGGGTCTTCGTTCCGACGGGGACGAGGTTATCAACATCGACGCTGCAGAAGAGCAAAATCCCTTCCCTCCCTCCTTCTGGAATGCCGGGCCTGGGTCTCCAGTACAGCAACTTATTATGGAAGCGATGCGATTGCTTATCGTAGATTTCCCCGTTGACAGCGGTATAATCGACTCAGCTTGCGATATTCTCAAAGCTGGATATACTGAGTCCTCTGGTCTCTTCGTTTTCCCTCCATCGTTGACAGTTGATTTCATCAAAAGTTTTCCGCTTGGAATCTCTGGCACCGATGTCATCATGGCCACTGCATCCTCATTCCTTGCATCACACAGCTCTCATCCAATGCAAATTAGAGATCAGGCCGTGCAGCTGATTGCTCATGTGTCTCAGCTATTTGCTTCGATGCTTGACAACCCTGATGTTTATGATCCCGAGACTGCTAATGCGGGGATAGATTTCCTCGCACGTCTCCTACCAAAATATTACCCCATCCTGTTCTCCCTGACCGAACCTCTTCCAACTGCCTCTGGCCCCGTCTCGCAAGGAACTCCAATATTCGCCCTTTTACTACAGTTTACTCTCAACGCACTCAGACGACCAGAACCACTTGTTCTTCGTTCGGGATCGGCCTTTTGGATCGCTCTAATTGATCTACAAGGTGGATCTCCCGAAGAAACCGCGGCCCTGAATGAAGTTCTAGAGCGTTTCATCCCATCGCTGTGCGAAACATTGATCGGACAAATTGCAGGACACTGTGCACGGTCCGATTTGACATTTTTAAGTGACGTTCTACGACGAACTATCTTCAAGAAAATGGCATTGGCTCGACCAAGCCTCAAAGCTGCGCTAGGTGCTTTAAATGCGCAGGATACCGATGCCAACGGTAATCAAACGCCGGTACTCTCGGAACATGCTAAGTCCCGGTTTGTAGAATCGCTCGTTGTTGCTAGAGGCGCAAGACCACAATCATTAGAGATCGTTCGATCCTTTTGGTTGAAGTGCCGTGGCATGGCCTTTGATTATGCGCAGTGACGAGCATGCTGTCCCAAATAGACCCATTTACGGGATTACGAGTGAAATGATCTGGTATTCTGTATTGAATCATGCCCAAATAAATATACCTTCACCTGCTTTAAAATCATAAATTTCGTTTGTTCGCTCCTATCATGATCATAGTCGCTAAAGGAACTAGCGATGCTAAATGCCGATGGTGCTGGCTTGTTCACATGGGTATACTTATGCATTTTTATTTGATATGTAGAGTCGCAGTGAATGCTTCCAGACCAAAAAGGATGCTGCCGTTTTGAAATATAGTATATCGGTACCTTTTTGGCTTCTCGAACAATGCTAAGAACCTCTTCGATGAACATTCAGAACATCATCAGCCGGTTCAAAGCTATGCCAATCTTGGACCATTAAATGATCACGAAAACTTTTTCGATTCAGGAGCAGATGCCTTCTTCTCATCCTCCTCCGTAACAACGTTTAGCTTGTCAATATTTTCAAGTGACAAACGCAAGAAGTCATGCTTATTCTTCCAAGTGACCTGACTCTCAGCAAAGCCTTCACTCTCCGCAGGAGATGGCGGCGGATCAGTAATTTTAGTCACGAGGTAAGCCGTAGATGCCTCAGCAACGCCATAGATAAGCACGCCAATGAACGGGGCCTTCATCAAGACCGTAAAAGCAAAGGCGAATCCGAACAAAACGCCCGCACGATCACGGAACCAGCGACTCTTTTGCTCCGGGGTAAACTTAACGCGACGGAAGTATGGGTCAAGCTGCACGGATTCATTAGTTATAAGATCAGTATTTGCATTTTCGAATTTCAATTGAGACTCACAAGTTCACGCATCAGACTCCTTGATGCGAAGTAAGTGTGTAAAAATCGAATAATGTATGACTTGGGCAAGACCAGACCGGCACCAAAGATGATCGCAGCTGGGCCCGTCCCCACACTAGTTTTGAATGTAAAGAAACTTGCTGCTGGGACCACGAAGCGGCCAAAAATAGGTACCATGGATAAAAAGTAGACTCCCAGGCCCAAGCCGATCTTTTTACCGTACCGTTTTGCAAAAATCATAAAGATCTCCAACTTGGGACGGGACTCACGAGGGCCGCCCTTTGTAGGAAAGAGTTGTAGGTTGGGGTAGTACATGGCGCGCAAGGTGTTAGGGTCCTCGGACTTGTGTTTCTGGATGTAGGTTGAATCCACCCAGTGGATGGATTGCATGAAGCTAAGGGATATTAGAAGCATACAATTGGAATATCGGGGTTAACAACTTACATTTGATCAAGTGTTGGTGTGAGATGAGCCATTAACGTCATTAGGAGAAATGGGACTTGAAGGACAGAATTGGACAAGAATGCCAGGCCTTTGAGTAGGTCGTCGTCCCATGTTGCACTTTGTAGGTCGATAACCCATGAACACAGGTAGAGAAAAAATTTGAGGCCGATGATCTAGAAAAAAAAAAGAAAAATTAGAAAATTGATATCCTCAAACCTCCATATCTGTATGATTTGAAGCTAAATTGTAAAAGGCTGGAATTTTTAACATACCGGAATTTGGACAATCAGCTGGATTATAATGCCAACTCCAATGGCCAAAGCTGCTTGACGAAAATGTTCATGTTTGAAAAGATCGGGATTTTGTAGCGCACGAACAGCTGAATTAACAATAGTCAGCGTTGGGCAATCAGAAAGAGCTTGGCCAGAATTGCAATTTGAAGCTAGCTGTACCAGTGGGCCCTTTGGTCAGGCAACAGTCGGTTATACACGTCAAGGGCCCATAAGCTATCTTCATTCTTCATTTACTGCCCCACAGCCAATATTATTGAGCCGGGGGTTCCGAAGAGAAATAGCCATTCTTCGTCTGGGAAGCTTCAAGTTCGCGTAAAAAGCATAGGAGACATACTTCCTACCACGGTGAGCTGAAAGCCTCGGATAACAGCATTGGGCTCGAAGTTCGAGATATCGAACCCGGTTGAAGACATGTCGACCCCGATTGAGGTCTTACAGCAGCGATAAGCAGTTGAATATCCCGATGATTTTGTCAGATGTCCAAATTCACGAGATTGGAGAAGGACAGATTCCCAAACCTGCCAGGCATCCACCGTTTTATAAAGGTGAAGCTGCGTCATGGGAAGTCACATGGGATATTCCTGCCTGAGGCTTCAAGGCTGCGTCCCCGCGCAAAAAGAGCAAGAATGCGCGCGACAGAGAGATAACGATCCGATCTCTCCACCACCAATGTGATCGCCTCACGGTGGTATCGCACTGTCCGTCCTTGACAATGCCTGATTCTCCAACTGAGTCTTTGGGCCAACCATTCTCGATCCGACGCTCGGTTACTCTCCCCACGAAGTTAAACTCGGCCTCGACACGCGGTTCAGGTACCGCGAATCCAAACCTCGCAGAGAACGTCATTTATTATCATCCCTCGGCAAAAATTGTTCATTTCGCTCCTAGAGCTCTAGCGCCAATCCCGTCAAGTTCCGCTCCATCCGATTTTGATTATCCGGTCGATACTATTGAGACACTCCCTTGGCGCTCTGCGACTGAGCGAACGGTTGCGACTGCTCCACTGAGACTCGAAAGGGTTCATGGACTGACTGTCTTTCTTAAATGTGGGAATGTTGTCCATGCGATTCTGAAAAACTCCCAGTGCTGGTGTGTGGATGGTGTTTCGAAATTTGTATTGCGCATTCGCCCCCTCACTTACTATCGCATTGAGATACCAAATGAGTCGGAAGATGATAAGGTGCGCGTGGAAGATTTGAAAGCAGCCTTGCCAACGGTACTTCGCTATGAGGTTACACCATGTCCCTTTAAGCGTGCGTTTACCATCGAGCTCCCAGAAGAGGCTACTGCGCCCCGGCGCAAAAAGGCCTGGCGACCTAAGGGCCGGAAAGAGGGGGCGACTACATCGATAGAGGGCGATAGACCCCATACTGGAGAGTTAAAACCGGAATTCCTTGATTCTGCCAGTACGGGAGAGGATACTGATGGAGCTGCAACTGACGATAGCGTGGTGACCCCCGAGAAATCCGAAAGTGCTGCCTCGGACGACTTTCCTACTCGCGATCTATCGCCATCCCCTGTTAATAATCCAGAGCCGTTTATACATCATATGCCTATCAGGCGATCGGTCACCGAGCTACCACAGACCTTCGATACCCTCCGCGCAAAGTTCGATGTTCCAGCCGTCATAGAAGAGCAGCCAAACTCCGAGGCTGAATCTGAATCTGACCCTAGGCTAGAGCAGACGACTCCAAGCAAGCCGACATTCACCGGTAAAGAGGAAGATCCTACCGATATTAGCAAAGACGAAATTGATCTCACTGTGATCTCTGCCAAACAAGAGTCCAGTCCGGTTATCTCCGGACAGGAACCGAGCGAAGCCACTCAGAGTGAACGACATAATATCCAGCAAGAGCCTGCTGAGCCTCCTACCGAAAAAAAGTCTACCGTGGCCGTCGGACCTGATGATGAGGCTGCTATGGATGTCAAGGGTAATGAATCTATTGATTCCGTCGCTGCACAAGAAGAGTCCAAGGAAGTCGGCCCCACCTCAGAACAAACTCCCGCCGAGCATGGCTTTGAAACGAAGGATGGATCTGACATGTCATCATCGACTTCGGAGAAGCTTTCTCCTGTAAAAGAAACCCACGATGTGCTTGCCGAGGCTTCTAAAGAACCCTCCAACCCTGCGCTAGCTCAAGAGAACCATGATTCTACCCCAGTCGAACGGAATATTGCGGGTCCTCTGAGCCCTAGTTTGATTGAAAATGAAATTCCTGAAACTGTACTTGCTGAAGTGAGCTGCAACAAGTTAGCGGATGCTCAATCCCAAGATCATAAATTCAAACACGGTATTGAGGCCCAATTTTCCGATATCTCAACCCAGAGCCAGCCAGTCGACACAATTAACTCGTTCCAAGTCGGAGATACGCTAGTTGAAGACATTCCAGCTGAAACCCACATCGCTGGCTCCGTGGTTGTCGAGGGTGAGCCTACTCAAATTACCGGACAGTCAGATCACGAAGAACCCATGTCTAGAGCCTCGGAAAGCAAGGATATCCCAGGGCCTACTGATCCTGTCAAACCTGACCATGACCTTAATGACTTATCACCATCTACACCCGAATCCTTCCATTCTGCCGACCTCGACTCTTCACCGGGTTCAATTTCAACTCGTGCCACTCCTGTGCCGTCCCCCAGCAAAGTCCAGGAGCTCAAAATGCTTCATGACGCAAGATCGTCGCCTTTTGATCTGGCTCCCCCAGCTTTGTCATCGGATACTGTCAGCCTAAGTGAACTTCCGGCTGCCGATGTTTCTTGCAATAACGGCCCCAGTTCTGAACATCATGGTCGTTTATCGACCCATCAAATGGCCCGAGAAGCTCCGCCAAAGCCTTCATTAAGCATCCCATCCAACCCGAGGCGATTATCTGGGAGATCTGCTTCTCCTTCGGACTTGACACATATGAGTGCCGAATTCCGTCGCCGAGCACAGGCAACTAGACAACGCGATGTCTCTCCGATGCCGCCGCCTTCGACCATATACCAGCCAACACCAGGCGAAGAAACTGCCTCCCTTATCTCGAAAGCTTTGACTCTTGTACTGGTCCCCCCAATTCACCTTTTCATCGTATTACTCCATATTGCCGCACGCATCGTCATCAATCCAGCAGCCAGCTCTATACCCGGTCTTCCATCATCCAAATCACAGCAGTCTATCGAGCCAGCTGATACCGAAGACGATTTCAGTTTCCCCCTCGAACGCGAACCTTCCTCCGAATATGAAGATGCTGAGATGACGAAGAAACTAGATCCATGGGACCTAGACTAGGCCTCAAGACTGGAACCGTCCGATCTTTCCCCCTTCTCTGTTGAATTTCTTTTTACTATTATTATTTGTTTTAATGTGTATTCTTCCCCCATGTGACACTACGACGCGACTTTTCTTACGATAATTTCGGCATCGACATGCATGACTGTATTCTAGCGCTGCATTATAATCAGACTCGGAGGTGTGAAGCGGCTTGACAGCTCAACCTGCCTCAGATTAATCAAATTACATTTTTTATCAGTCCCTCAACTCTATTTTACTTAACGTTTTCAAAAAAAAAAAAAAAACTTGAATGAATAGTAGCCAACTGAGCTTTATTAAGCTCTCGAACTTTGTATTCCTCCAATGTGTCCAGGACTATACTCAAGGATCATAGGGGTTTTAGGCTGCGCAAGGTATCCAAGTACCTTGTGGACGTTGAAATCCAGGGGGAAACAATTTACCGAACTACGTAGATAAAACCTCTACTAGAATGAAGAAACATTGTGATTTGGAGGGATACATACATGATGAGGCATGGTACAAAAGCAACGCAAAAACGAAATTTCAATGTATAAAGGTATCCCAAAAAACGCCATGAGTGCCAACTTCAATCAGCCGCTCCCACATGCTCGCAGACACCAAATATGCCTAATGATGAATTGAACAGAGCGACATTGTCATGTTCCTGAACCCCAGATCCCTATTCAAAGATATCTAGTTCGAGTGAATCTTCTTAATGCGCATACCACCCTCATAGAAACCACGATCCAAAGCCGCAGCGACAGTCAGTGTACCACCGATAATGGCACAAACACCAGTCAAGAAGCTAGTGAATGTCTTAGGACGAGTTTCGCGGTTGATAACCTTCATGGGAGAGATATCGTAGTTGAAGAAAACTCCAGGAATACCACCGGCCGCATGCATACGCTCCTCGTGACCCTCTGCAGCATCATTGCCACCCTTGAGGGAACGCTTGTGAGAAGTAACGGAGTACTGGTGAGCCTCGATGCTGCCCTGGGAACCATAAGCAAGGCCGTGGGAGCCAAGAGGGGCCTTGTCGTAGGCACTGTGGATAGCGGAGGAGAATGTCGGATCCCATCCAAGAGGAAGGAAAGATGTCGAGACGATTTTCAGGAAGTACATGAAGTTGTAGTCTGGCACCTCAGTAGCTTGGGAAGTACCATCAAGCGGGTTCATATAGTGATCATCGGTCCACTGCCAGCGCTCGGAGAGCTCAGCAGGGAGCTGGGGACCGAATCGGAGCTCATGGATCTGATGTGTCATGGTGTGCATGTTCTCGGGGGACGACACACTGTCCAAGTAATAGTTTTCCAGGTCATGGGCGTGCATGTTCATATTTGTGAAACTGCGACCAGGTGCAATGTGGAAGTTACCAACCACCTTGTTAACGCGCAGAACACCTTCAATGCGACAACCTTCGCGACGCTGAGCAGTCAATTTCTCGCCATAGCCCTCCCGTGTACATTGCTCTACATTGTCGCCAATACCGAAGGCCCATGATTTTCCTGCGTATGCCTCGCGCACCTCGTCACAAGTGCTACAGCAGCCTGCCTTGATCGCATTGGCGGGGGCGACGGCTCCATAACACTCACCACAGTAGTCCGGAGCCAAGTGGGCGGCCGCATCGGCGGGGGAGTGGCTTGAAATCATGGTCAGTTCTTCGATTCTTGAGTCGGTTCCGAGGTTTCAACGGAGGAAGCTTACAGATCCAATGCCTGGACATCAATGTCCTTGCCTCCCTCGGAGGGCGGGCTCAGGCGAACCTTGTTCACACCATGCGCAACACCGGTTTGCTGTTCGCCTGATACATCCATGACATCCAGTGTCAAAAGTTGGCAAGGCAGTCGGGGAAATGTCATATTCAAATGAATTTCCATTCTTTCACCTATCCATACCATCATTCAATGTCAGTCACGTCTCCAAAGTATCCAATGGGTAATCCCCGCGTTTTGATTATAGATCAGATCGTACCTCTCGATTTGTCAACAATCAGCTCAGGGTGAACGACAACTCGACGGTAATCTGCCCATTCTCCCCAAACCAGCCAGAGAACCACGAGCAACGAAGCGATTGTGATAATACCGCCGGAATTGGTGCGAATGCGCGCATCCTCGACTGTCTTGGCGAAGGCGTCTAGCCTCGTGAATCGCGACTTTGCAGGCATCTCGCCAGTCAATTGACAACCATATAAGTCGTCAGACTTGGGACAAGAGTTTGGATGGAAGCGGTAGTCTGTAGGTCAAGAATTGAGCGATGTTAGCTACAGTTTTCGAGGAACGCGCAAGCTGTTTGGATGGGTTCAATGCCACTTTCAACAAAGGGTCAAAGGAGGAAATTACGGGGTGTCACGTCGTACCTGGACCAGTTGAAACTATCCGAGTGCCCTTGGTGCCTTAAGAATTCTCAGGGAGCCAGTCATGCAAAAGAGCCTTGTGCCAGCTGTTCGGTCCGATCTTGAATGTATTGACATTACTCCATTCTGAAAGGACAGAGGACAGTCTTTGATTGGTGGAAGTTGCTGAGTCATTATGTACATCACATGACCTTATCGCAGAGCAATGTGGAGCAGATTGTGCTGATGCCGCAGGCTGCACATGTCCGGCTATACTATGATAAACAACCCAGCTGGAAAACGATTCGACCACAAGGATTATGAAGATTTCTCAGCGACTATCTCAATACCACCAGTGACCACGCTCACATTGGAAAGACAACGAGGATACACTCTCTCTTCTTGCTTCTAGCTTAAGATTAGCTCTTGGTTCCAACCACTTGGCACACAAGTTGAATGGCTATTCAATATCGCTCATGCTATCTGCCAATATCACTGGGGATCCCTAGAAGAGACTACAACACAATACTGTGATATACAACGTAATACTCAATAGCAAGCGCAGATTATTGCTAGTTAACCTCACCTCACGTGATGACCTGTATTGTGAACCCCGAAAGATTTCAATGACTCACGCTTTTCGATGACTTGATCCTTTGCTCAGGATATCAATACACGAACAAAAACATAGAGTCAAATGTCCGCGACGGGAGCCACAGACTACCCTACGCGACGCCCATGCGATCGTTGCCGTCATCGCAAGTCGCGATGTATAAAGGAACCGGGGAAAGACAACTGCACATTCTGTAATTTGAATGGTCTTGAATGCACATTTCTTCATGGTCCCCGACCGCGGAAAAGAACTGGGAAGTCACCGGGCACAGTAGAACCCAAGTATGTTCCAGACTTTCATTATTCAGGACTATTCTTCTCTCAGCTAACCTTATCAAAGAACGAAGAGACGTCGCAGCTCTCCAACGCCATCCACAGCTGGTTCTTTCGAAGAACAGACCACCGCTGATCGGATAAATTCACGCCTAGACGGTACGCTAGGCCTGGAGCTTCATCTGCATTCAGAGTACATTGGCCCCGCTAGCTACCATGAACCTGAACTTCTTGATCTGCGTCCTTCGGCTATCTCGCTCACCAACCATGAGAGATGCTATCCGCGACGTGTGAACCAATCCACCGCATTCATTACCTACCCTGACAAGGACTCTGCTTCTGAAATGCAACGCATCGCTGATCTGGATTGTATTGAGGAATCGATACGTCCACTGGGGCCAACCTTGGTAAATCTTTATTTCCGCATTATGCACCGCACATTCCCTATCCTGGACAAAGGTGTGTTTCTGGAGAAATATGCTCGTTCCTACCGCGAGTTCTCACCACCACTACTCGCTGCCGTTTACTTGGTCGCGTTGGACTGGAAGCTCTTCGATAGAACTCTCGCTACTGCAGCTTCAACACCAGATGCCGCAGCCCTAGAAAATATGGCAACACGAGCCATGGATGACGATTTGAAACGACCCAAACTTTCCACATTACAGGCTGGCCTGTTATTATTACAAAGAATGAAGTCTTCCCATAGCACTCTTCCGGCTCAATTGCTATCCCTCGGGCAAACATTGGGAGTTCATATCGACTGTTCAGATTGGAATATCCCGGAATGGGAGAAAGGCCTACGACGGCGTTTAGCTTGGGCCCTATACATACAGGACAAGTGGGGCGTTCTTGTGCACGGGCGACCATCTCTCATTCCCCAGATTGACGAAGATGAGGGTAAAAGCGACTGGGACGTTGCTGCATGTACTGTTGAAGACTTTCCTGAAGAAGCGGCCGGACAAGATGAGAAGGGGGACGGAGGTGTCGACGAAGCAGCCGGTCAGGCGGCATTTCTACAATCCATTGAATTGACCAAGCTTTTCAGCCGCATCGTGTCCACATTATGTTCAATCAGCGCAACCAAAAAAGGCGGATTGCTTGAGAGAATCGGACCGTCAGGGGTAATGGATCTGGCAAAACCCCTTGCCATGGAGTTGCGGGAATGGCATACCGCACTGCCCGCTAGCCTCCAGCTAGAATCAACGCCCTCGTTACGGCTATCGACGAACGGCGCCTTGCATTTGTCACATATGGCAACGGAGTTGACTATTCACCGCGCATTATTACGTGTTCTGTCTCCAGATACCACGCCTTCTCTTCGTTCGACGATTCGAACCGCTGCTCGTGCCCGACTGACAGCGGCCATGGGTTTGATTGAATCTTTTAAACCTGAACACATTCAATCATTCTGGGGCTTTGCTGCCGCTGCGCAGGTGGCTTTGATCGGCTCATTTGCTGGTCTTCTGTGGGCAACAAGTTCTCAAATGGATGAAGCAGCTGGGTACGTCGATCAACTCGAAAAGCTGCGCTGGATCCTGCAGGTTCGGGCATCCGCTGCTCCATTTGCTCGCGAGGCACTTCGAATGATTCAAGAAGAGGTGGGTGATTTGGCTGCTGTGAAGGCAGCCACTTTTCGAGACTCTTCATTCTTACGCTCGACTGGCCTATGAGGGCTTTTTTAGTAGGTATACGTGATGGCGGTAGGTGTTTAGATACTCTCTGGTAAACCGAGGAGGCCGAGTCATGTTGCAGGTCCTGCGGACAACACATTACCGGACAGGTTTGACGGACCTCCACAAATGGGCCTCAATGTTAGGTGCTATAAAGTCAAGAAATTCCAACTTTTTTTGTAAACAAACTGTAGCTACTATGCATGAGACCACTTCATTTACACATCTGATACTACCTACTGAATAATAATAACATCGTCACTGGGCCCAAGAATGTCGCCCTCTTCGATCAGCACTCTCACACATTTCCCACTGACTGGAGAACAAATCTTGACTTCCATTTTGTTGGATTCAATCCAGAACTAAGATATGTCAGTTTGTTTCTTGGTAATTTGACTTTTTTTGTGCTCACCAGAGCGTCCCCTGCTTGAACTTGGTCTCCTTCCTCGACAGCGCAACGGAAACATCTTCCAGGTAAAAGTGCCTTCACCCGCTCTCCAATCATGGCTTCATCACTCTCCTGTCCCCTAATTGGCCGCATTGTGATCGGATCGTATGGTTTGAGTAGATCATCGAAAAATTCAGCTTCGTGGACTGCCTTTGATCGATGTTTCCGCACAGCGGTGATGTCCTCCTCCTTTTCCCCCAGCCACTTCTCATATTCAATCAGGTCGAGCTCAGTGTCAGAAATCTTGATGAGATCACTGGAGGTTTCGTTTGTTTCCGCTGCAGAAAGTTCTTCCTCGCTAACAGGATAAAAGCGAATCTGATCCAGGATTGAGAACATCCACGGGGGCTTCTCCCCGAGTTGTGACTTGTGGAACTCATCCCATATAGGAACAGTGCGACCTACGAGCTGATATCCACCGGGCGAGTCGGTCGCATAAATGCATAGGTATTGACCAGCAATACCGACAGCACCACGAGGCGTAAATGAACGGGACGGGTTGTACTTCGTTCCAAACAACCGATGACGAGGATCCAGTGGAATGGCACACGGAGACCCTTGGTACACATCACCAAGACCCAAGACAAGGAATGTGCCTTCATAGAGATTTATTTCCACCTGATCAGGGCTGTCATACCCGTTCAATTTCTGCAAGAATTCAATGTTGCTGGGTAGATATGGCGCTGAGGAACGAATTGTCGATGTATAGCGAGCGAGCGATGGCTTTGCGGCTTCTTTCGTCATCAAAAACAATAGGCATACAGACGATCCTCGAGGGGAGTCGAGATGGAAGCTCTGTTCCAAGAGAAATCTCGTGTGCGACCAGTGCATCAAGGACTCGAGGTAATGAGAAATTCACTTCCAAGCGGACATGCAGGCTTCGGACTCCCGGCGTGAGCTCTTGCACCCCTGTAATTGGAGAAATCCGATGCTTCTCAATGAAGGTCATTATGTGGAATGTTTGCCGCAACGTGAAATTATCCTCGGTACCAAAGTCAAGTAACAAGGCTCGATCACCCGCCTGACTGCATCTAATGAAGCGACCAGCTTCGCAGATATCTTTCAGGGTCGCACTGCTTGGAGCGGCAGAGTTTGTTTGCTGGGGATGTGCTTTGGGTAGCGGGCTGAAAGTAGCAATCGAATGATTGAGATCTCTTGCAAGCGTCTGCGCATCATCAAGACAAATCGGCTTTAGCCAAAGTTGATCGCCAGGTCGCATCTGCCCAAATTTCCACATCTCTGCCTCCGCGATCGTGGCAAGCGCGACAAATCCTCCCAGGCTTGGCCCGTCCGCTGTCAGAACGACTGCCTCGTCACCCGTGAAGCTCATGTTTCCGATCGAATAAGGGCTATCGTGGATGTTAGAGGGATGCAGACCAGCGTCACCGCCGGTAAGCCGTGTCCACTCTGGACGCGGCCCAGTTAGACGGACGCCTAGGCGGTTGCTATTGTAGTGGACGGTCCATTTGTTATTGAATAGTTCCCGAAGCCCATCTTGTGTGAAATGAGTCGGACTACTGTGTGGCCCAGGGATAGCACCGACGACCCATTCTCGGTTCTCAACTGACGGCAGAGAAATAATTGGAGCCTTGAGCAATGGACCTTCTTCATTAGTATCACGTGCCAATGGAAGGAGATCGCCGATGCATAGACTTCGTCCATTGTGTCCTCCGAGATGACCTATGGCAAATGTTGAACGACTGCCTAAAACTTCAGGGACCTGAATGCCGCCTCGAATAGCGAGATAAACCCGAGAGCCGTTGGTAGCTGTCCCGATGGAAATTTTCTGTCCAGCTTGAACACTGATAGCCATTCCAGGCTCTTTTTGCTCCTCGTCCACAATGATAGGAGCGTTGGCACCAACGACAGCCACCGTGGTGGGGGAGTGAAAGAGCAGTATAGGGCCTTGAATTGAACACTCAAGTCCTGCGGCATGTTCATCGTTACCAACTATTTTATTGGCAATACGAAATGAGTAGGAGTCCATTGGGCCAGATGGTGGAACGCCGATATGCCATAGGCCTTGTCGGCCAGGGAAGTCTTGTACAGTTGTGTCGGAACCACCATCGATAACCTCAATGACCTGAGCCTCGTATGGGAAGGTATTGAGGGATCCTGTCGTGAAGGCCCCAGAATTGAATGCATCCCAATCAATTATTTGCTGCAGGTATCCCAGGTTTGTTTCAACGCCTGTGATTATTGTATTTGCTAGAGCTTCTGAGAGCTTTCGAAGAGCTGCAGAACGGTCATCCCCATGTGCGATGATCTTTGCAACCATGGGATCGAAAGATGACGATAACTCCTGGCCTGAACTGACCCAAGTGTCAACACGGACATCGGATGGGAACTCCACGTTCAAAAGCTTTCCCTGGGAAGGTCGAAATTCTTGAAGAGGGCTTTCAGCATAGACACGAACTTCAACCGCCGCACCGGAGACAGGACTCTCATTTATCGATTTTGGGAAAAGACTCGCACAATTATCCATGGCAATGCGCATCATACACTCAACAAGATCAAGACCTGTCACAGCCTCAGTTACCGGGTGCTCGACCTGCAGGCGCGTGTTCATTTCCAGAAAGTAAAACTTTTCGGTGTCAATGTCAAAGATAAATTCAACGGTGCCAACATTGCGGTATTGCAAGGAAGCAACCAAAGCAGCAGCAGCGCGGCGCATATCCGTTCGGACTTCGACTGGGACAAATTCAGCGGGGGATTCTTCCACGACTTTCTGGTTTCGACGCTGTAGCGAACAATCACGCTCACCAGCACAAATGACTCGGCCAGCCCCATCACCAAGTACTTGGACCTCAATGTGCCGTGCCCGATCAATGAAGTGCTCGATGAAAACCCCATCATCTCCAAAATTGGCCTGTCCCAATCGACGGACACCGTCAAACGCCCCCCAGAGTGCATCAATATCGGCACATCTCTGAAGGCCAATTCCACCTCCACCAGCAGTGCTTTTGACCATCACTGGATAACCGATTTTGTCTGCTTCTGCCAGGGCATCTTCAAGGCTGGTGACCAGACCCTTGCTTCCAGGAACAACAGGAATCCCGGCTGTAAGAGCAATTTTACGAGCACGGTGTTTCAAGCCCAAATCACTCATCTGCTGTGGAGTTGGTCCAACCCATACAAGACCTGCATCCTCAACGGCGGCAGCAAAATCAGCATTCTCTGAAAGGAAGCCATATCCAGGAATGACAGCATCAGCATTTGCTTTGAAGGCCAAGTCAAGGATTTGCTTGCTGTTCAAATAGGTGTCAGATACTGTGTCCCCGACCAGGGGAAGTGCAACATTGGCTTGGGTGACGTGCGGCGCCCGTGCATCGACACTTGAGTATATAGCAACAGACAGAATTCCCATCGCGCGAAGAGTTCGAATGATACGCAGTGCAATCTCACCACGGTTTGCCACCAGAACAGTATTGATCCGCTTCTCACCGATGCTGGTTGCAGGTGTAGCAGGTGTAGCAGATGCAGCCCGGGATGATTCATTAGTGGAACTGGGGAGCGACTGAGTGTACCCTCGCCATCCACCAAAACTAGTGACATCCTCTGCATTCTCGAGACCAATTGGCTCGCAGATGAACCCGTGAACCCATTGGCCGTCTTTCAGCTCGATCGATCCGATGCCCAAGGGGGCTGCAACAGTACCGAGAAAGCTACCCATCTTGTTGGCTGGCATGTTCCAGACCTCTACTTCAATGGACTCTCCACAATCAGTAACCCTTCTGAGACCGGGTTTGGATGCTGTACTTGAATTCGTCTTCTGTAGTGCAAATAGCTGATAACACGGCGATGTGGTTGTAACGGTGACCAAGGTTGCGCCCCGCGAGACCAAATCCTTATTCAGAGGAAAGCCAGAAAGATGGGCACCAACCACCGCCAATTGCATAGAACCAAAGGTTGCAGTACTCTCAAAGCAGACTTCTTGATGTTTCATGCCCGTCGCTCCCAGCAAGCGTGGCGCATCGGCCATCCAACGGCGAGCAAGCGCCAACAATCGCGGCTCTTCCCACGCTTCTCCAATCAGTGTGATACCGAAAGGAAGACCGTCTTCTCTCCAACCAGCAGGAATTGCCAAAGCAGACCAGTCCATGAAATTCACGAAGTTGGTATATGTACCAAGTTGGCTGTTTGCCTTGACAGGCTCATCTTTGAGATCTTGCATCAAAGGAAACGTGGGGGCAGTGGGCACTAGAAGCGCGTCATATTGCCCGAAGATTCCCTCGATCTCACGGGATAGATCCTTACGACGGTATTCGGACGTAAAAAGGTCAATTGCAGAAAACTTCTCAGCTTTCATGACGATACTCCGAACGACTGGGTCCATAGCCTCAACGGGCACGGAGCGGATAAATTCGTCGATAGCAGCATATCGCTCGGCAACCCATGGGCCCTCATAAAGGAGGCTGGCAAGACAAAAGAGGGGTGTGAATTCAACAGGCTCGAGCGTCCACCCCAGCATTTGGGCTTTGGCTAATGCCACTTGGTATGCAGCAGCCTGCTCGGCCTGGCCGAACCATTCAGGGTTGGAACATATAGCTAATCTGGGTTGAGAGGGCAGGACTCCTCGAGGAGATTTGTCAGTCGCACAGCTTGTACGATCTCTCGAGTATGCATCTTGAACATCGTAGCCCTCGGACAGTTTCAGGACCAGTTGGGCATCTTCCAGAGTCAGGGCGAAGATAGAAACACAATCAAGTGAGCGACATGCTGGTACAACGCCATGTGTACTCAAAGCCCCACGCGTGGGTTTAAGCCCAACCAGATTATTGAAACCTGCCGGCACACGACCTGAGCCTGCTGTGTCCGTGCCAAGAGAGAAAGGGACCAGGCCTTGAGCAACGACGACGCTACTCCCCGAGCTGCTACCGCCACTGACCCGACTTGGATCGAAGGAGTTGGCAACGGCCCCATACGGGGAACGCGTACCGACAAGTCCCGTGGCGAACTGGTCAAGGTTCGTTTTGCCAACCATAATTGCTCCTTGTGATTTCAACCTTTGTACAACTGTTGAGTCGGTAGCGACAGGCTCGGTGCCAAAGGATGGGCATGCGGCCGTTGTACAGAACCCAGAAGCATCAATGTTATCCTTTGCAGCAAATGGTACACCGAATAGTGAAAGATCTTGTCCTTGGGCTCGAAATGCTGTGATATCTTCCCATTGAGTAATGACTTGTTCCGGCGTGGCCAACGAGATCCACGCATTTGATATGTTCGGTTGTGCTCGCTTAAGTAGTGACAAAATATGTATTGGCTCAGAAACTGTATTTTGTAGTTCACGCCATTCTGAAATGGTCAGAGGCGCTTCCTCGTTCAATTTCCCAGTGAAGGTTTTTGAAGTCATCAGGAAGTCCTGTAAATCTTAGTACGCTTATCAGTCAAAATATAAGATTCAAGTACAGTTACCAGCGATAAGAAGAAGAAATAAGGAGAAGTGCCACTCCACGAATTTAATGACGGATAGAGAGGCAATTATATCCTTTAAATGAAGTTCTATATATTGACAGGTTCTCCGAAGTCATCCGATATCAATATCTATCTATGCTTGTCATCCAAGTTGCAATTGCAAATGAGGATGAGCCGCGTTATCTGCCCGAGGCCAAGACCGGCCGTCGCGCGCCGTCGCGCGCCGTCGCCGCGATCGATTTGCATTAGATGTACCCCAGATACCAGCAAAGCGGTTTATGGGTTAGGATTTCTTCTCCGGTTGCTGCCGCTGTTTCGGTTAGTAGTGCTGGGTTTAGAAACTTGACAGAGCATGGCAGTCCTTAATTCTATTCCAAGGTAGCTGCCGGAGCGCATCATTTATGACAATCATGCTTATTGTCCCATAGTGACGACCACCATAAAGTTTTTGGGATTTTTGTGATACGCTTTTGCATGGAAGTCAAAGTTGGTTCAGATCGCGCGTCTCTACTAGATGACTGCAGATCTGATCTATCAGCTCGGTCGGAAGACTTGGCAAATACATGTTCATATTCCAAGAGATCACGTCAAGAGGAAGTAGTCCCATTCTAAGCGCTATTTGATCCATCCAGTTCGAACAAGCCGGCTGTCGCGTTTCTGGGATAATCCGGGATTCAATGATTAAACTCAGTCGTTTGTAATGTTTGAAATGCGTGCGTTCTAGACAAGGAGTCGCCAATACATCTGATACTGTGGCTACTTTCAAGCGGTTATTTACAACGGTCCTGGCTGCCAAGAGCGAGGTCAGGGATCAACCCGTACTGTATAGTACAAACACTATATCTGATCTGGATTAGTGTCATGCGGGTTTTGGCTTGATTCTCAAAACGGCAGAAGCTCCGCTGGTCATCAACAAATCAGGTTCCGTAGCTCAGTTGGTTAGAGCGCTGTGCTAATATCTTATCGAGATACGTCACGCAGCGGCCGAGGGTTCGACCCCCTCCGGGACCATTTTTTGACAAATTTGACAAGTTTTTTTTGTTTTTTTATATGGTAAATGTATGTTATGTGTATTGGTGGTAAAATCAAATTTTCATTTTGCTAAAGGGTGTTTCTCCGAATATATGACATTAAAATGTTGTCTGATCTCAATCTTGAAAGTGATCGCACACCTACTCATATCTCATGCCCATACCTAAAGCGGCTTTCATCACCGATGCCGCAGATTGAAGTGTCGTAGCCAGCCTCGGCGACTCGATAAGTGGATTTACTTCAACCAGGTCCATAGCAACAAGTCTTTTAGTAGCATACAGCCTCTGTGATATGTATATACCCTCTTCAAGAGATAATCCCCCGGGTATAGGGAAGCCAGTAGAGGGTGCATACTCGGGGTCTAGCGAGTCAATATCATAAGACACATGGATGGGCGAACCGTCACCAAGATGGTACAGTGCAAGATCCATGATTCTCTCAATACCATGACTGCGAGTAGGTTAGTATCAATGGTCCTTTGAGAGCCTCCGAGAACGAAGACAGGATCCTACCTCCTCACATCACCCATAGTAAATGACTTGATGCAATGTTGGCCGATTATAGCTTTCTCGGCTTCGTCAACATCCCGGAGGCCAATATAAACGAGTTTCTTTAGATTAATGAGATGCCACTTCATAATCCAGTCGAAAACCCCTTTCGATGGGGACTTGGCTAGCCCCGAAGCAAATGCTACGGGCATTCCATGAATACGACCGCTCATACTGCTTTGAGGAGTATTGATATCTGCATGTGCACCTACCCAGAGAACAGATAAATCCGCGCCTTGGAACCTTTCACGAACCGCCCGTGCAGTACCTGTGACGGTGCCAGCTCCAATAGAATGATCGCCACCTAAAGTCATCACGAATCTTCCCTCCCGTGCATGGCTGTATACACAATCGCTTACTCGCTTTGAAGCAAGGCTAACTGCGTGGGGTTTCTTCATGTCGTAAATGTCTGAATCTGAATTCTCACTTGAGCCGGCTGAATTGCAGGATGTATTCTCTACGGTGAGGCTGTCGAAGGAGTATCTATAGCCCATTCTTGCTTGGATGTCCGAGAGTATGCCCGAATCGATCAATGCCCGAGGCCCTTTCTCTGCACCGGTTCTAGGCTATACTCAAAATCAATACCATTTCCATACAAAGTTCATATTTTCTACTTTTTGCCGGGATCACGTACCGCACCACAAGAATACTTAGCAGCAACGACTACCAGGTGGGTCGGGTCTGAAAGAAACTTTGACATCGTAGAATAACGAAGTGCCATTTCTGACATCCAGATAATCGAGGAAACAGAGATAATGCGCTGGAGATAAAGAAGAGCCAAATTCGGTGTTGCTGGGATACAGTCTTCTTTTAAAGTTTACATTGTCGGCTACACTCAACCTTAACAGAAGTGATTTCTCCACATCTGATGCATGCCGAATTTGGCTTCCGCTAAAGTCAAGAATAAACGAGGATTAGGACTGTTTGTTAAAAGACTTGACTCACCCGGTTATTCTTAACCTGAGGGATATCAGGATCAACCCATACTTGCCTTACCTTTTCCGCTGACTGCATTTGACCCTAAAGGCAGCATTACCCGACATGCGACAAATCATCAGCCAGGAAGACTGGGGATTTCTTGGATTTGCATGGAACGGCCACAAGTATAATCAAAAGTTTTAAGATGCTAAAAAAACTTAATGGCACAAATGACGGTGCCTTGAATTCCTGAGATACCGATCCGACTATAGAGTGATATTTTGTCCATAACCCGATTTACTAATTCATATTTTGATATGAAGATTATGACGAGGCACTGAAATTGTGTGCGTCACTCACTATACTCCCAAGATTCTTTCCTTGCTGCTTGACAGCTTCAGTACGTGGTTGATTTTTTTGGCTTCTTGACGTGATACATATGCCCACCTGGGCAGTGAGAGGCACGAGAGAAGCTGGCCCAAACAGGAAGAAGATGGTGATGTTAGTTTGAGATTGGTCTACAAAATGATGAACTACGTCTACATAAGAGGAACTGATCCCCAACAACAATGGCTCCAGAGACCACGTAGATAAAGTCTGGGCTTTGGTGAGTCGGTGAACCAAATGACATTCTTTCGGGAAATTGGAACCTGGCTTGGCCTATTGAAGGCGCTATCACCGCATTCCGCACGTTGAGAAGACACATGTTCAGTTGAGACACGCGGAATCCTGAATGTAAGCTGATCCCCCAGGATTGACCTAGTTTGAGTAATTTGGCGTATCCTAGAAAAGAGGGATAGGGTACCCTGGATATCTAGGCAAATTCCCAGACCTGTCATGTACCTTGAATCAGCCATCTTGCATGAACCTGGGCAGTTATACATGTGCATGATGCAGAGAGTGCAGTTAGTGGGGGGAAGTTCGAGGGGGGACGGGAAGACAGGTGGGTATTGGGTACATCAAGAATATATGTGGGGCCCATAGTAACAGGAAGTACCCAGTACCAAAACAAACTTCCTCCCTTGGGGCAAGTGCGGAGTCATGTCAACAAATGTAAACAAAAGCTCCGGACAACAACGAGGCAACAACTGACCACGTTTTTCTACTCCAGATCACACAATTATTTAAATCTGGCTTGACTACTGACTTTTCTCACCTTTCTTCAGTAGTTTACTTGACCGATTCCCTTAAACTCTTCTACGACTTGGCCAGCGAGAGTGACATTGTTCTTCCAAAAAAGGGCACTGGGTGTCCCTAGAGTAGGGATGATGTACGAAGTGCCCAGCGTGACAGTAAGCGCCCTTGCACATTCTGAACCTTGATTTATTGAGGTGCCAGCCACATTAAAGCATCGATTGAGTCTGATTTTTCCCCCGTTTTGCAGATTCAGCGACCCGACAGTCCGGACGACATGGACGTTGACCCCAGCCCCGCCCAGCAACGGTCCTCACGGAAACATCTGCGAAGCAGTGACGATGACGATGATCTAGAGTGGAGCTCTGATGTCTCTGGACAGTTCGATGATGCGGAAGAACCAGACGTGGACGACTACAAGTCCCCATCCGCAAAATCTGCGAAACGGCGTCGGTCCAACGACTGGCCGTTGCCAGAGGAAGCGGCGGACTATGGAAACAATGGCACTCGAAACGGACGCAATGCCAATGGATCACTGGGACCCAACTACAAGGCTTCGCCTCGTTCTTCTCCCCGCGGATCGGCAGCATCTTTGCGCAACAGGCATAAAAGCGCTACCAACAGCCCACGGCATCGCCTCGGTCGCCAGTCGCGATTCGTCGAGGCCACCATGAGCGATAGTGTCAGCGAACAGCCACCCAGTCATCTTTTCCCCCAGCGCGAGCGCGAACAAAAAGCAGCGAACGCTGGGAACCGTGGCTCTGGAATCTTCAGATTTGGCAAAGCAATTGCATCTGCCTTCAACCCCTTTGGAAGTTGGAGCAAGTCTTCACCCGAGAATGCGACCAAGTCTCCGCAGAAGGATGCCCTCACGCAAGCCGAGGAAGCTTATGCACAACTCAAAATGGCTGGATACAAGGGCACAAATAAGGGTGCCTACATGCAGAACCAGCATATTGAACCATCCACTGCCGACCAGACCTGGCAAGCGATTCAAGATAAGATGAGGTACGGCACTCCTGTTGAGAGCCCCCCTCGACAAGCCGAACCAATGTCACCTCTACGATCTGCATTCTCTCCCCTCCGATCCCCATCCAAGTCTTCCAAGCGCTCGTCTTTCCAAGATCTTCGCAGGGTTACGTCCTTTGGAATCCCATTCGTGAGGCACAGCGAGCAGCCACCCTCCGACACATCTGTGTGCCTAGATCATCCATCCGAGGACTCCGAGAATAACGGCGGCATTCGCAGACAAAAATCCCGCAAGGAACTCTCTCGTGAAAGCAAGCTCGTCAGGAAAGTTAGCAATCTCGAGGACAAGCTTGATCGTGCGCGTCGAGAACTGCGCCATCTCAGTGGCAATGAGGAACGTCTACCAGCCCTGGCACCTGAACCTCGTACCATGAGTCTTGAAATGGACCCCGGAAGTTATCCTCGCAAATTTGTCCCCGGTGCACTGCCCACACTACCATCCGAACGTCTACTCGATCAACAAGCCGCCATGTCCCAGTCGCCAGAGCCCGCCGCTCAAATCACCGCGTTGCCATCCATGACAAGCAGAAGTATTTCACCCGAAGAATCTCAAGGAGTCTCCAAGTCTCCAAAACGACGCTCGAAGGAATCGCGTCCATCGTCAATGGGTAAGGAAAGCTCTTCCCGTAAACGGAAGTCAACAGTTCCTGAACCAATCGATAGTCGGAAACCTCCTCAGTCCACTCCGAAGGACTGCATCAACAACAATGACCACCCATCCGAACACCAGCATCTGGTAGATGCCGGTCTGCTCAGCCCACCGCGCCAATCCAAATGGCAGAAATTTGAACCTGGCGACAGCCCCGGCTCAGTAGAGCGCAAACGAACTGCGGACCGCGGAGCTTCAATGGCCGCATTAAATGGAGGTTCAATGCATAAAAGGTCCCCAGTTCTCCAGTCCCAAATATCCTCTCCCAGCGTTCATCGCTCACCAAATTCAAAGAACATAAGATCTTCGCCTCTCCGTATGCAACGAGGCCATTCGGCTCCACGTTCGACACGTTCGACTTCCTCAACCTATACCACCACCCCCATTCTCAAGTCTGATCCGATTCTCTTTGATTTTTCTTCTCCGCCCCCGCCATCTAGTGAAGCCCATCGAACATTTTATTTACAGCCTCATTGTCGACTTGATCCCGATCACTCTGCTCGCAATTCCCCTACGAAATCACGACTCCGTTCACGCCGACGACACAGTTACGACGTGGATATTCCACCTGTGCCGCCTCTTCCCAAAGAGCTAATTTCGAGCGCTGCCAAGGTAACAAAGCCATCCAGTAAGACGCACAATCCGGCAAGAGGCTCTGCCCCGGCAGTTCTTTCTCAGCAAGCATTGCCCGTTTTGAATGAGCAGCCTTCCTTAATGGAAGGATTTCCTTGGCCAGAGGATATCTTCTAGTCCTCTTTCAAATGGTGCACAGAAGGAAATGCTGTTTATTGAGTTCAACATTGAAGCATAGTGAAGCAGTTGTCAAGGTGTTTGTTTGAAATGTTTACGGGTACCATCAATTGGTGATGTGATGAAATAACGAATTTCTTATACCCTGTTGGTCCGTGCTTTTGGACTTCTGTCTATTTGCATTGTACATAGACTAGTTTTGCTACATTAAACTCATAGCGAATTGGCTGACAATGATTCGATCACGATCCACCATATCCCAATTTTATTAATTCAATCCCGATGAAGCTCTAAATCCTTAGGCAAAACCAACCAGCTAATACCAGCAGTACCCAGTAACCCAACCAATATAGGTTGCAACACTTTAACCCCAAAATGAGCCGCGATGAGTCCAGTTATGGCCGGAAATATCGAACCTCCAATTTGTCCCAGGACAAAAACGAAAGAGATGGCAGGCGACAAAATTTCCGGGGCAAAGATTTTCGATCCAACTGAGACTCCCTGAAACCATGTAAATGTCAGCACTATTCTATACCCCCCAGTACTCACTCACTAGCAGCATGTAAGAGAAGAAATAACGCACAGTAGCAAAGAAAGGTCCCGAGAAGAAACCCAATAGACTAACAGCCACTGCCTCGGTGATGATATTCGGCACACTGAGTCTAGTCAGTATACCAATAATGAAACGAGGGTAAACTTCGTTGGAACGTACAGCCAGAAAACAAGTTGCAGTCCAACACACAAGACCGCATAAATGAAAATCATCCGCCGTTCTCCAAGACGATGTGTAGGTTCAGCAAGAAGCAATCGGCCGAGGAATGCACCACCGTAGAAACCCGCAGGAATATATCCCATTTCCTTAACGTCTCCGTTGCGAATGTTGACAAGATACTCGACCATCCAACCTACAAGGCACAGATTAGTAAAGTGTGATCGATGTAAAATGAACCATGATATAGATGAACTCACCACCAGCAGTAACCGCCGCTCCAAGAAAAAAGAAGAAAAATAAACTAAGCAACCAAACACCCGGCGTACTAAGTGTATCTCTAATTTCCTTCAATGCATTCTTCCCCGCAGATGATCCACCATCCGTCTGAGCCCGAGGCTGACCATTATGATCGGGATCGTGATCTTCTCCCTCTCTTAGGTTTCGCCTCTTCCCAAGAAAACCCACCCGATCATGAAAAGAAATTCCCACCGCACAAAGATTACCAACCCCAACAGCCAACGGCAAATAATAAAAAAGATTCCACTGCGACTCCGTATCCGCAGAAGCAACAGCTGTAGCAGCAAAAGGCCCAACAAGACAACCCGCCATATACATAGCATGAATAAAGCCTAACCACCGATGCGCACCTTTTTGAGTAGACACAAACGTATTAGCATGCATGTCGTTATAAGCCTGACCTAGACTGGCAAAGAAGAATGTCACTGCGTATAGAGGGAAGGGAGGGAGCCAGACACGTAACACGTGAGCTAGAATTTGTATTGAGGCGCCGAGGGAGAGCATGGCGCCTAGGTCTAGGTGTTGGCATATGAAGCTGGAGGATATTGCTGCGAAGAGCCAGCCGAAGAATGTTATGCCGTATCTATATGGGATTAGAATTATTTAGGGCTTCGTTGAGATTTATGGGTTGAGGTTGGACTTACAAGAGGGAAACCATGTTTGTGCCGATGTTATATGAGCGGATCACGTAGGGGATTAGGGATCCGAGACTTCCATCGTTGATACCTGCTGAGAAGAAGGAGATTCCTGCGCTGAAGATCTTTGGATAGAGCCATTTTGGTGGAGGTGGTGCGGTTGGCTCTAATTCTTGTAGAAGTTGTGGCTCTAAATGATGGACTTGAATATCAGATGCGATGGTTTGAAGGATGAAAGACTCAGTTTGTGTTTGGGTGCTCATATTTCTGAAGTTTGGGGAATGGTTCGGGAACAGGTCTAACGTAAAGGTCGGTTTGAAGGACAAAATGCCCACAGAGTAGGGAGATTGAAAGTGTGGGGATTAAAGAAATGAATACATACATATAGAGTCGTCCGAACAATTGGGCTCGGAGGGCCTCCGACCGATTATCAGCCTGAGTGTCGCCCAGTGGCTATCGGTACGTACGGGGGAGTATAACGCACAGAGAGGAAAACTTTATTTGGACAGAAAAATCAAACCATGATACCTTTCGAATTGGCTTTTACGTTATCTTTCTAATTGTCTTTTAAGTTGTCTTTTGAGTTATCTTTTGAATTGTCTTTTGAATTGTCTTTTGAATTGTCTTTTGAATTGTTTTTTGAATTGTTTTTTGAATTGTCTTTTGAATTGTCTTTTGACTTGCTTCTTTATTCAAGTATAGCTTACAGTACATAGCGGTACACTAGAGAGTAAACGTTAAGGTAGGGCAAAAGGGGGGTTTTCCCCACTGGGCGTTATAGTCCCCCATAGATACGGAGTACCAGACGCCGAGCGGGGCATGGAATCAAGTCATTCTGATAGATCACGGTGGGATCTCCGCATAGCGGGGCTATTTACATCAGAGCCAATAGGCTGGTCGATAGTGCTGGCTGACCTGCTAGATATGGTTAATGCCGCCGCTCAGGATCCACAGGCGGCAAGCTCCATCAGGATAAGGATTACGTAGAGAGCTCTGAGAGGGAGACTATGTGAACGATCAACGATGATGAAGATGGTAATATGTGTAAGCTAGGCTACGGAGGAAGGAATGTAGAGCAAGGGTATATGTCATGAGGACCAGCCCCACTATCCATCTACAAGAGCAACACGTAGTAATTGTATGTACGATAAGGTAGATGTCTTTTTCGTATCAAATCAAGTCATCCTCGGGTTTCTCAGATTCAGACTCATCAGCTTCGGACTCAGTGTCAGTCTGAATGTCACGATCTTTCATATCCCAAGTATGCGAAGGATCCATACACTCAGCCCCAAAACCAACACACTGCGAGCAAATTGAAAACTCAAAGCAAGCAGTACACTTCCAGTGGAATTCTTTCATCGTCACGGCACGGGTGCACACATTGCACCAATCAAGGTCTTTGTCATACTTAACTAGAGAGCATGGATCAGTCGGGGATCTCTCTAGGTCTCTAGTGCTTGTAGACACGGTATGCTGTCGCACAAGTTCGACGACCTCGTCGCATTCGCTTCCAAAAGCCCACCACAGAAGGGTTCGACCCCAACAATCCTTAGCCTGCGTGTCGGGTGAATTTTCTGCAGAAAGGAGGTATTGTACAACTACTTCGTGGCCATTTCGTACAGCAGCCATGAGAGGAGTGGCACCGTAAATGTCTTTGGCGTCTATCGAGGCACCTTTTGAAATCAATAATTTCAATTGGTCCAAGAACCCCAATTCAGTAGCATGAAATAAAGCCGTTCGACCAGTTAAATCTCGAGCTTCAATGTCGGGTTTTCCAAGTTGGAATAACAATTCAGTTGATTCCACGTTGCTACGTCGCACAGAGGTATGAAGAGGTACCCTGCCATGGGTATTTGCTATATGAAGGTCGGCCCCATGTTCGAGAAGCAACGCTATGGAATCATGCCCTTTACACATTGCGTTATTCAAGGGGGTCCCCCTGGAATTTGTTGACTGGTTGATATCTGCCCCATTGGCAAGAAGCAAGCGGACAATCTCCGTTTCACCGTAGTACGAGGCTACAGTCAAAGGCATTTCGTCATACATAGTACCAGTTGAAATATTGGCTCCTTCGCTAATTAGAATCCCAACCACTTCAATATGACCGTGGAGACAAGCACTGTAAAGGGGCGTCATGTACTCATGGTTTGGAGTTTCCAAGGAGACATCCGCCCCATTATCAAGCAATATCTTGACAATTTCTGAATGACCATTTTGCGAAGCCTTAGCAAGAGGGGTCGCGCCGAGCTCGTCTGCCTTCGTCAAGCTGGGCGGAGGTTCTTGGGCCAGTAGTAACTTGAGTATCTCGACCTGATTATACTCGGAAGCTGCGAAGACCGTCGTTCGCCTAAGATTATCTTCGGTTTGATAGCTCGCTCCCTTTTCAAGTAGAAGCTTGGCAATTTCCAAATACCCAGAAAATATAGCAATCATCAATGGTGTATATCCATAAGAGTCCAGGGCATTGAGATTTGGTTCTTTCTCCAGGATTAGGGTCGTTTTCCCAACACTATTAGAAAGTGCAGCAAGATGCAATGGAGTCCTCAACTTAGTACTTCTTGCTTCCACATTGGCTCCGCTCTCTAGTAGTATTTTGATGACCTCGGTATCCCCAATCCATGAGGCTGCACCGATTGGGGCCCACCCCCGTTTGGTTCTAACTGCGTGATTTGCACCGTTCTCAAGAAGAATCCTCACAATATCTGTATGCCCCTGGACTATGGCTAGATGTAAGGGTACCTGGCCTTTCATGTTCGGAGTATCGATATTTGCCCCAGAATTGACGAGCATTTGAACTATCTCTGCTTGGCCTCTCTTAGCGGCGCAACTGAGGGGTGTCACTTGAAATCGAGTCTGGTGCTCTATGTTGGCTCCCTTTTCAATAAGTATACGCACAATTTCCAAGTCACCCATCAATACAGCACAGATCAATGGTGTTTCTAAATCAGGGCCACAAGCCTCAAGGTTCGCTCCCTTCTCAATCAAGAATTTGGCAATTTCAGCATGACCTGTAATGATCGCTATCTCTAGAGCAGTTTCTCCTTTGTGGGTCGGGATATTGATATCAACCCCGCGGTCATGGAAAAGCTGAAGAAGTTCCAACACGCCAACTTGAGCGGTGATATGAAATGGTCTCCACCCCGTCTTGCTGGGAGCTGTGTAGTCAGCACCTCGATCGAGAAGCATATGAACAATTTCGATGTGTCCCTTTGCAACGGCAAAGTGAAGCGGCGTCTGCAGATGAAAATTTTTTGGTTGAGGATCAGCTCCCTTCTCAAGAAGTAACTCCACGATTTTATGATGGCCATTTTCTGCCGCGTTATGAAGGGGCGTGGTCAAATTCTTATTTTTTGACTGAAGATCAGCTCCTTTATCAATAAGTAGTTTCACAATCTCAAGGTGCCCATCCACAGCAGCAAAATGAAGAGGCGTTGACAACTCAATGTTCCTTGATTCAGGATCGAAACCTTTCTCAAGAAGCAGCTTCACAATTTTAAGGTGTCCATTACTCGCGGCGCCATGGAGAGGAGTCCACCCCTGCGGAGTGTGAGTTTCAATGTTAAGACAGTAGTCGAGAATAGTTTGAGCAATCAAAATGTGACCATTCAAAGCAGCACAATAAAGGGGCGTCAGCAGATTAACGGTGTTCAGCGTAGGATCGGCTCCTTTCCGAAGAAGAAGCCTCACGACTTCAAGGTGCCCATTATAGGACGCACCATGAAGGGGCGTCCGCAAACCAACGATATAAGGTTGAGGAAGAGCTCCTTGCTCAAGAAGTAGCTTCACAATTTCAAGATGTCCATTTAGAGCTGAGATACTGAGTGGTGTATCACCAATATCATCGACGGTTTCTATATCAGCTCCGTTGGCCAGTAATTTCTGGGCAATTTGCAGATCTCCCATTCTACAGACGACTGCCAATGGCGTTTCACCAGATTTTCCTTTCTCGTTGATCCCTTGCTTGTTGCCAATGAGTAACCGATCCATTATTTCCACTAAGCCAAGCCGCGCTGCGTAGTATATCGGAAAGACGGAAGATACTGCAGCTCTGACTGGCCTATCTGATACATTTGATACAATGGAATGGACAGACCCAACATCGCTGTGCTCAGACTTTTCGATTAAAGCTTCCTCTTCAACATTCAACTCATCGTTCAAATCGAAGCAACGCTTCCAAGAACGCCAGTTGGCATTTCCCATATCAAAAAGCTTATTGACAAGTCGTAGATACTCGCTGTCAGTCCGATTGCCCATCGAACCGTGCTTGTACCATGAAAAAGAAGCATAGCTTCGAAAATCAATGATTGTATTGTTCACATCTTCCTCGGATTCTTCTGCCCAAGAATCCTCACTATTCACAAAGCGAAGGCACGTGGTTGCGAGTAAGGTACTGTGCACTGTCTCTGCTGAAGCATCAAAGGTTGAATTGAATTGCATTATCTTCCCAGGATTTGGAAGAATCGTGAGAAGATATTGTTTGACTGAAAAGTGAGCCAGATGCAACGTTTTGAGTCCAGGTCGATGCTCATTTTGGGGTACTCGGATCTCAACCAGTGAACCGCAAAGATTGAGTATTTCTGTATTAATATAATCCTCATCGATACTGTCTGGCAATTCGTCTCTTTGAACACCCTCATCATCTTCATTGATGAGTAATGCACCGGTAATCTCATTGACTGTAAGTGGACGCAAGGCGAAAGCTATCCAACGTAACAGCGAAACAGTCCTTTTACGATCTTGGTCAGTAAAACCTGATATTGTCACCCAGTTACGCTCATACGTATGTTCAATGCCAGGAGGTGTCGAGGTGATCGCTTGCTCAATTTGCTTCTGACTCTTCCCACTGCGTAGACATTCCTCCTGCATTTTGACCCAAAGGAACTGCCCATTACAGTGATCAGCTAGCCTCGTGGTTATATCATCCTTGGTACTTTCATTTCGATTTGACAACTTTTTGTCAACAATACTCCTCGAGAATATCTCTGTATCAGATCGTACATCTTGAGGGGAAATCTTGTGGCGAGTGAGTTTGATGCCAGCTATGTTATCTGAGAGAGAATTGCGGATATCAGGTTCATCCCTACTAACGATCAAGAGTCGTGTGGGGGTACCTGATATTGTGCTCATCAAAGTATCCAGAAATTCAGGGACTGAATCATTATCGCCATTCCTACGCCCTTCAACAACGCATCCGCACTCATCGAGGCCATCAATAACGAATGTGCAGGATGGTACAGTGGTAACTATCTCTTTCAAAAGTCGCACAATACCCCCACGAGTTGACTGTCGACCTTGACTTGCCGAAGCACTTTGCCGCGTCAAAGCGAATACTTCATCGTGACAAATCATCTGGGAAATCCAGGCCCGCATCGCAAAAAACGGATCTCGCCTTGTTTCAAAGTCCGACGAGAAGAAGAAGTTGGCAACTGGCGACGAAGAGGTGGAGACTAGTTGCTCAATTATCTTAGCGCATAGTATGGATTTTCCAAAACCGGCGGGTCCATTGATCCATAGCACCTTTGCACTCTGATCGGGGAAATCAGGAGTAGCCCAATCAAGGAACCAAGACTGAGTCAACGCCCATTCGCAGGTTCCGTCAAGCCTCCTCGCTACTGATATTTCAAATAGCTCATTTTGTGAATAAGATGCCAGTAGCCAAGGGTGGAGGTCACGTTTTATTTCGTCTGTGTTGGTCAGTAATAAATTCGAAGTTAGGAAGACCATAATTATGTACCCTCAATATCAGTCTCTATTTTGTTCAGAATTCTTGCAAAATCCGTAGTCCAATCATTCCGATCGGGCAACTTGAATTCGTCTACACATCATTATGAGATAAACCAGGTCACGTCCAATATTGAGAGCTACTACTAAGTAGACCAAGAGATGTAGCAGGTAGGACTTACCCGACAAGAACGTAGTATGATGATGATCGCTTTGAGCAGCCTGAGATTCCCCATATCTCAACACATGCAAGTTATGGTCGCCTCGACTTCCATCCGTTGGAACTAGGCTATGCAAATTATCTACGAGTGTAGAAAATTGTCTCACCTGCGCCATTCTCTTTGCCTTATTCCGTAAGGCCCAACCAAGCTTTGCTCTCTTCGACTCCTGTGGAGCATTCCGCCCATGTCTCGGCCATACTTGATCTTTGAAAGACTTGCCCTCCGTTGGAGACAGAGAGGGATCAACTTGAAGGGAATCATCTTCAGAGGAACAAACTGCCTTGATTGCCAACAGTAGCTCCTCAACAGTAGCATATATCCGTCGATCGTCAAGAAGCCTGTTATGTTTTTCCAATAATTTTCCCTGAAAACCAGCAGCCTGACCCCAGCTTTCTAATCGCAGCTTTTGAGCTTTGAATTGGGCATTCAACGCGCGCGATTCATTGCCAAATTCCTTGAAGGACCCAAATCGATCTACGACGTCGAGGCAGGTAGAGAAAAGACCTGCCAAGCTGATAATACCGACGGCAAAACTGACGGGGTCCATCTCAGTTTGGCCCCGGGGGCGCCGAAGACTTAGGACGAGGACTTGGAAGATCAAGATGTCTGGGCATTCGAAAAAGCTAATATTTGGGCATCAAAGGTAAAACGAAGCGGGGTCTAATATCGCCTCATGCACACTAGCGGGGTGGGGGCCCGGCCGATCGAGCTTGGTAACCTTGGAAATCTGGCAACATCCCACTCCTAAACCCTCAAAATGTTGGAATAGAAGTTATTGTATTACAGCTACTACTAGTATCGTGATTCAAGATGCTCTGCCGACCAAAAGCAGGCAAAAAGGGGGTTTCCAGATTATAGATAGTATGGGCCCCCCCCCGTAACTACTGTTATTAGTATTTATTACTGGTTCGCTGGACTTGACATCTGGAGTATACTATTCGACCTCGGGATACTATCTACCTTGATCAATTCATTCATATGGCTATCAATAAGAAATGTTCAATTAAATCCCATGTACTTAATTGATGTTGACATTTTGTCTTGAAAATATAAGTGCTACTGAGATAATTCTGCGCCAATTCAAATGTTTAGGAGGCCGTCATATTGAATTCAGAAATACTAGGATCTAGTTAGACCATGGAAAATAGCAAACGCCTTCTTACAATCCCGCGTTCAAATAAACTCCATCCAGAACTCCGTCCCATAAGCATTCATAATTTCACTCTGCACTTGCACAATCTCTTGCTGCACCCACGCATCTGCCTTCTCATAGACAAGCTCCCATGTCGCCTTTGTGTCAGGGTGTTCCTGTCTCAACCAGCCCATGGCCATCAAGGTAGCGACAATGTTGTCTTCTCGTTCATTCATTGTATCTCTAATACCATCATTCTGGAGCATGCATATGATCTTAGTACGTATGTCATCCACTGCCCGCCCAAGAATATTGAAAAGATTCTCTTCCCAGACCCAGCTTCCATCGAATTCCTGCAAGTTGATCAAAGCATGGACCATCGATTTGGGGGTTGCGGCGACAGCGCTCATTTTAAAAGCCTCTTCCGAGGCGGAATCCCTGATAACGCTAGACCTTTTTGCCAGGGATATTCTGCTCCCGGCGACTGCATTTGCCGGTGCCCCTGATGCTGGTGCACTACCAAATAGACACCCGGAAGATACCATGGGAGGCGGAGGAGCGGTAGTAGGCATGCATGAAGAGGCATAAGCTCCAGTGTTATTTTGGGGAATAGCAGACGCGGCACCGAAAAAATCCCCAGAACGGGTTTTGGAACGTGCATTGTAAGGTGTAGGCCCCCTTGAAGGAGATGCAGGACCTCGGGTGTTTCCAAAGAGTCCTCCGCCAAAACCGCTATACGCAGCCTGACCTTGCGACTGCTGTTGCTGCATTTGCTGTTGCTGTATTCCACTCCTTCCGCATGAAGCGCGCCCGGCGCGCATGGCTGGAGGGGAATAGATTGCCGGAGAGGAGATGGTACGATCCATTAAAACTGCAGACATGTTATTAGTAATTGAACAAAATCTGTAGGTACAAGGAGCAAATATACGAGAGGCGACTCGGCGGCGCTTTTTCTTTGTCTCCACAGGCCTATTGCTAGTCTTCCTTGCTGTTTCAACGTAGATCACCTCGGTGGAACCATGCTGCAAGCCTTCCGAGGATGCTTCGGTATTTCCTTCAAGAGCAACAAAAGAACAGTATTTTCCTGTAACCTGATACTTGATGCCCAGACTCTGACATTCACGAGCAGCGATTCTCTCTTGTGTTTGGTTATGAAGTTGAGAAAATGGATTACCACTTTTGTCCTTGGACTCACTCAGCCATCCGTGCAGTTCTTCTAGTTCCACGACCGCTTTGCGCGAGGCAAGTTGATGAATTGTTTCGCCTTGGCCTATATCAGTAATAGGGATACGCAAGCACAGAGAGCCTTGTTTGGAAGTAGCTCTGAATGTGAGCGACCGTGGAATTTTGTCGGAAGATTCGGGGTCCAACAATAGATAGACTGTCGTTCTGATGAAGGGGTAAAGAGGAGGTATTTTATGCGGAGCTTGAATGATCTTCGGTGCGGAAATATTGGGAAGATCAACACCTTTCTGGGGTCCTTCAATTCCAAGGATTGTATCAGGCTCGACAAAGTCATCAGAATAGAGCTTAATGACCTGCGCTGGATTTGGAGTAGCTCGAGGGGGACTTTGGACCTCTGTCTCTGTATCTGACATGAAATTCTCGGTGTCGCTTACAATTTCGAAGTCACTAACGAGCGTGTGCTCATAGTCGACCTCAAGCTTGTAGTCGTAAATATGGGGAGTAAGGGCTCCCTTGAGCATTCTAACGACACAACGATCAAGGTCCTGATTTTGAATCACTGATTGAGAAAAGCCTTGACCAGCGCGAGCAACACCTTCAATCAACGAATGTGAGACTGCGGAGCCAATACCAAGAGAGAAGAATCGCGTGTTTTTGCTGGACGATGATTCTCTAACAAAGTTGAAGAGACTATCTTGGTCATATATTTGACCATCTGTAAGTATGAGAACTTCCAAATCCTTGTTTTCTAAGCGAGATCGAACGGTAGCCCTTACTGCAGGCTCCATTTCAGTGCCCCCCATATTTGCATTCACAGTATTCACAAAATCCAGTGCCTGCTTCAAACTGAACTGGTCATAGACTTTGCTCCTAGGCCAAAGAAAAGAATGACTTGAGCCAAAGGAGCAGATGTTAAAGCAAATTCCTGGAGGCAGCGATTTTAGAAAGACTCTGAGAGCCTCTTGCAGCGTCACGATCTTGTCATTCATACTTCCACTCCGATCAATTATGAAGATAATCTCCGGCTGGTTGCTGGGAAGATTGAATTTAGGAACTAATGTAGCCATCAGGGCTCGCTGACCGGGTATATCTGGGTGTGATTCGAGTAAGGCGCGTGGGGTATCAAGTTTATCAGCTTTGATGACGAGAACAAAGTCTTGCTCTAGCAATGGCTGATTACCCTTCTGTAAGCGTAAGCTTGCGGAGGCCTGAGATGGTTCAAATGAAGTAGAGGTTGATGATGTAGTTGAGGTTCGACCGAGAGAAACCTTTGGAGAGTGGCTAGTAGAATGGAGCTCTCGAATCACAGACGCCTTTTCAAGGAGAATATCAGCGGTGATAGAAATGCCGTTTAGCGTCGCGGGAAATCCAGAGGACTGTGCATTCTTTTGAGAGTAATTCCATGTGCTGGCATATCGAGGGGCAATCGAGCTTGGCAGAGTATATCGTATTCCATCCATCTGTGCATCCTGCTTTAGTTCGCCAACGAAAGTGATGTCTACAGTCACTTTTTCATTGGCAGGGACATTGCCAAGACGAACAGTGAAGATATCACCTTGTGTATCTGAGTGGTCCATGATAGCAGCAGACTCTTCTCTCTCGATCGCATTTTCGTAATCGGTGTTTGCCTGTTCTTTTGATTTGACCTTGCTGTGAAGCAAACGAGTACCGACTTGGCATTTGAAGCCAACGACACTAATGCCATCATAAAGAGGGAACTTGTATGAAACCTCCTCAAGGATGAAGTCTGTGGGGTTGACAAAGGTCTGTGTGAGAGTGGTTCGAGATACAGAAGAAAGAATTATTGCATGGGCGTTGAGAGATACTTGAGGCAGGTATTTCCAAGTGTTGTGGATGTACACCTTGCAGCCACAGTGAACCGGCGAATACGAGGTGTAAGGTTGGAAAAGAGACATTTTCAAATAATATGGAAAGTAAATTTGAATACAGTTGAGTTGTTACTTTGATACTCCTGATGATTCGATGTGTATAATTGTGATGAAGATGAAGGAAAAAAGAGGGAAGAGAAATTGCTTTGACATGATTTAAATACTTGCGGGGCTCCAGGCAGGCATCGGGGAAATTTCCGGGTAACGGTCACCCGGACAGGTAAACAGTTTCTTTGAGGTCCAGGGTACCGTAAGTGTAATGGTTACATAAACACGGTCTCTATTTAAACTAGTTATACTGCCTGCCATGACTCATGACTTCTAACCTTTGGAGAAAGATATTGTAGCTTTTTTTCTCCCACAAAGACTTCAAACTTGAGGAGATTAATCTATGTCGTCTCCACTTGAGCCGCAAAATGAGGGGCAAAAGTACGTGCAGTATTGCTGAAACAATAAAACCAGCTCTTGTGCTGCAAATATTATACAATACGAGTAATACAGTGACACTGCCTCCATCTTCCAAGGGGGTTGATCAAGAGGCCGAAAAGCTGGGAACGTGTTGTTTCTACGTGTATAAGTCTAAATTTATTCAAATATAATGCGAATATCTTGAAAGTGGTATTTATATATTGCATAACATCTATATGTAAAGCTCTCTCCAAGTCTTCGTGATTCTTCTATCAAAGCCTGACCTCTGACTAGAAAAGCCACGCGAGACTTTTTCTATAAACCTTCTTCCAACCAGCCAAGTTCTGATTCTCGATGATCATCATGGCCTCATATTCGGCCTCTTCGCGGTCAATCTCAGACTTTCCAGTCCAGATATCGGCATCGGAGGGCTTGATAAGCTCAGTCCTCTTGAAGAATTTCCACCCAGTAAATGCCATGACGTAAAGTGGGATTCCGAGATATGAAGTGATAAAGGTCTTATAGTCAAAGTTGCCGTATTTTTCCGGGTTGTGGATGAAAACACCGAAGCTGCGGGTAAATGCGACCAGTACACAGAAAAAGAGCGCAATAGAGGAGCCGATGATTCCAAGGGGAGCTTTGTAGGCTAGTGTTGACTCATCGACACCTTGTGCGCGGCGGGCACGAATGAAGAAGATATGAGTAATCAAGAGGGAGATCCATGTCAACACTGCGAAATAAGGTTAGAAACTCGACAACCCCTGAGTCATTTTGGGGAATATTGAGCGAAGGGAACATACATCCAAAAATTGAGACCATGTCAGTGAAGTATCCGAAAACCTCCTTAGAACCACTGGAAACACTCATGAAGGCGAGCAAACAGAAGGAAGCCGATAGCGCCAAAGCATAGATCGGGACACCAGCTGAGTTAGTGCGAGCAAAGATCTTAGGGGCCTTATGCTCGCGAGCAAGACCGTACAGAGTTCGAGTCGCAATGTAAAGATCAGAGTTGGCGGCAGAAAGAACAAAGACCAAAATGCAGGCGTTAATAATGTGGGGAAGAGCGGCGACTTGCTTCATTGCAACCACGAAGGGTGAGGCCGCAGCGGAGCTCTTAGCCTTAGTAGCGAAAGCCAGGTCTTGGGAGTCGTATGGGACCAGCATACCGACGAAAAGTACGCTGAGGATATAGAACACAAGAATTCGCCAGAAGGTGAGCTTGATGGCCTTAGGGATCGTCTTTCGAGGGTTCTGAGCTTCTCCGACTGTCACTCCGATGAGTTCGGTACCTGGTAAACGAAAAATATTAGAAACGAGGCGAAAAACAGAAGATAGATGCATGATGTCCCTACCAAGGAATGCAAAGGTGGCCTGCACCATCGTAGACCAAAACGCGAGAAACTTTCCAAGCCCACCATCAGTATATTTAGTGGCGAACGCGCCGGGTTCATTCCAGTATCTGAAACCTCTCCTGTCGTGGTCTGGGCCGCCACCCATGGCGAAGATGAAAGAGCACAGAATAATTCCCAAGATGATAATGACCTTGAATGACGAGAGCCAAAATTCCAATTCACCGAAAAACTTCACACCAAAGTAATTGATCACGATGATTACCACCATGAAAATTGCAACCCAAACGCCCGGATTAACATTCTCTGCTGATGTTTTGGGCCAATAGGTAATCACTAGGGCAGCGGCAGTAAGTTGCGTAGGGGGTAAAATGATATATTTGAGGTAGTAGCTATAAAGTGGTTAGACTTTCAATTTCAAGTGGTACTTGAGAATTCACTTACCACCATCCGAGGGTGAATCCAAGAGCAGGGTCACAGAAACGGCCGGCGTAACCAGTGAAGCCGGAGGACAATGGTAGCCAAGCAGCCATTTCACCCAGTCCACACATAACTGTCCAAACGATGAGACCCATAAAACAGTATGCAATAAGTAACGATCCAGGCTAATAGAGTTTCATTAGTAAAGGTCAAAAATGACTCAAGTCAAATGTAACATACACCAGCTCTATATTCTTGAATCAGTAACGTTTCATGATCAATTCTATCCAAAGAAAACTCACGTCAATGCGCTTCCGGTACCAACAATCAATCCAGTACCAATGGCACCACCGATCGCAATCATAGAAATGTGACGAGCCTTGAGCTCTCTACGAAGTTGAACCGGCGCATCCTGTTCACCTTCTTTCATGTTGTCCGAGTTGTCAATGTAATCCGGCTGCGCCTCGAGAGCGTTAATCTCATCGGGGTGACCCATCTTGCTGTAGGTCAAATTGACAGAGAATAACACCACAGAGCAAGATGAAAAGAATTTCTCAAACTCCCAGGGCACCTTGTGGGGGAAACGCAGATTAAATTCTCCCGCCCAGCACACAGTATGCACCTAAGCGAATTCCAGGATCAAACTCTACCATTATCTCTCCCCTCTTTTGCCCTTGCAGTAGTGGAGACAGATCCTGGAGAGGTCGATTCATGAGATGTAGTATCTACTTGGCTAGCAGGTTTTGCCGTGGTAGTATAGGCTGGGCACTTGGCAGTCCTTGGCAGTCCTTGGCAGTGGCTTACGAGAATTCCGCCTGGCTTCCTCTACTTTTGCAAAGAGTGAGGCATCTCAAATCGGATCAGGCGGTAGATCACTCTTCATCGCAAATTGCTTGTTTGGTTGTCAGAGAGAAAAAAGAGCGAAAGTAATCGAGACTATATCAACCTCCGAGGCCATTTCCGCGGTCTTGATATGGATAGAGACCTGGAGAGATAAGAACGACCCACCAACCACATGGGGCCAAGTTTCCCGGGGTTATGACAAACAGAAACTGCGGAAGATTTGCCCCGGTAAACCACGTTCTGCGAAACCCTCCATTTTCCTTCAAACGGCAAGATTGGAGAGAAGATTTCGATTCGATGGGAACTTCGTCCCGAATCTAGCCCTGGGTAGCCGTCGGGCGCTCAGGGCGTTTTGACCAACACCCGCTACAGCCTTCGGTAGGTTCCACCCAAACTGGAGACTTTACAGCTGACAGATTCTAGGCATTCCTGGTAAGATACGGGATGGTGGGGAATACCAACTTCATGATTGGTGTATTGCTCACCTAACTTTTTTACTCGGAAAATGGAGGCTTAAAATCGAAGTGCGCGATATACTTCTGGAAATTCGGAGTCTTCGACCTATGTGAGTTATCTTATTAGAGTTAGGTTTTCTCCAACTTGAATCGCCCAGAATATTTTACCCCACACATTTGAATGCATGACAACAGGAAACACCACCCTCAATATATTAAATGTGTTTTTCGTCAACCTTGGAAGTTAAAGTTGCTGTTGAATTCATGTCGATCACATCAAAGCCCTCGCAGCATCGATACCCCTAGCACATCATGATCTGGGGAAAGATATCTATTGGACCTATTGTTGAACTAAAATATTTGGTAATTCAAATTGTATTTTGGGAGAACTGATTCTGAGATGCTCGATCACACTTTGGAACAAAATCTCTTACAAAAGCGTTGCTGTTGCTGGAGAAATATTGATGCCTCAGGCTGTCAACCTCCCCAAACTTTGGAATGGAGCGTCAACTTGAAGTTGAAGTGAGACAACGTATTTTGATATACGATATTGATTAAATGAGTGAGAAATCGGGAGATACGGATGTCAAGTTCTTGCTTTGTTTGTGTCAACCATAAGATTTTATGTTAGAACCTTGAAAATACGGGTAATGCAGTTGTGGCCAACTGCTACGTGCGGCGACATAGACCAAAAGACTATAGACATGGTGATAATCTATGGAGAGTTTCTAATTACAGACATCATGTGGACCCTTTGGAGCGCTCTTTCTCTATAGCTGAGCATCGGGCCTTTGCTAGGGCATAGATCGTTTCCAAGCGGGGCATGGATACACCCTTTTGCTTCCCAGCTCTCAGTGCATTGCCAAGGATTGCTTCAACCTCAATACTCCGACCTTGCCTCACGTCCTGAAGCATACTCATCTCTCTCCCCGTGCCTGTCTCTGCTCTCCTCTTTGAAAGTGCGATTTTCTGCTCAGCCACCTCAGTCGTCACGCCCGAGATCCCCATACGCTTCGCCAGCTCAATAACCTCCATCATGATTCCCCAAGCCAAATCATAAGCATATGGCTCAGAGGTAAGTAGGAAGTCCCCGTCGGTATTCATAGTGAGAGCCCCGATAGGATTCCACGCCGCATTCATTAGTAGCTTAGACCAGCGTGCTATCTGTATATCGTCGTGAACCTCGGCACCACCACCACCTCTAATCATAAGATCGGCAAAGCGTCTTGCCTCATTCTTGTGTGACTCCGGTGCATTTGAAGGGTATGTGCCTAGTTCGAATAAATTGAGCATTTCAGAATACTCGATTGTCCCAGGTCCAGTCTGCACCGCGGGGCAGTAGATAACACCACTTAGGATCGGATTCTGTGGAAACGCGACCGCGACTTCCTCTTCAATCATAATTCCATTCTGCGCCAGGACAATTGTTGTCTGTGGTCTGCCATCTAGAACAGGCCTGAGCTGTTCAGGCAGGGACGGGTTGCTGCCTGGAAAAGATTTCGTACAGACCAGAACAAAGTCAAATGAGTCACCGCTGCATTCGGAGATGTCTCTCACCACAGCGGTTGGACGGTAGGTCACTTCACCAAATCTGACAGACGATAGTGCGAAGCCACATGATTTTACCACGTCATAATTGGACCGACAGACGGCTGTCACGGTGCAGCCGGCTTGAAGAAGCTGGTACAGATAGACGCCGCCGATGCTGCCGGCGCCATAGAGAAGAATGTTGGGTGTTGAGACCGACATGCTATCTAGCTCTAGAGGATATATATCGAATCCCGGGAAGTGGAAGGTATAGGAATAATGTTCACTCAAAAAAGAAGTATACTGTCAAGATTTTGGTTCATATCGACACTTTGACTCATATTCTGTTCAAGTTAGGGTGGGCACCTCGGGAAGCAATAAAAACACCGAAGAAGTGGGGGGTTTTATCACTCAACGTTCCTGTATCACATATAATAGTGGCCGAATGACGCAAAAACAAACCCATCCTAAGGCCAACGCTGCAATTAGCCAAAATTCTGAGTAGCTCTGAGCTGCAACTTGGTACTCATGCCGGCTACCGAATAGAGGAAAAAAGAAAATCGACAGCTGTCGGATTTGAACCGACGCCTCCGAAGAGAATTGATTTCGCTAGAAATGAAATTAGTGATTGGTTACGATTTTAGATTTTTGGGTTAAAACACACAGTCAATCGCCTTAGACCGCTCGGCCAAACTGCCTAGAATGAGCAAAATTTCAAATCGTGGATTCAAGAGCCTATTTCATTCAGCACTACCTCCGGCACACAAATTATAGTAGATTGTCGGAAAAGAGAAGAGAAAGAGAAGAGAAGAAAACTCCACGGAAATGAGACATTTGGGAAGTACACATGCAACCTTGCCGACAGCCTGTCATGCAAACGCCCGGTTAAACGAGTCGGATTCCAGTATAAGAGCATTCACGTGTCGCTACACAACCCGGATATCGCTTGGAATTGTCTCATTCCTTCTCTTTTCATTTGGAAATGAGCGCCAGGGATCAAGGCACTGTATTTCAAATGTTGAGAGTGTCAGCTAAACGATGTCAATAACCTCGCATCTGGCGAAGGTAATCAGAATACAAGAGTGTATTCATACGACAATACCAAAATTTCAACACCCACCATTGTTGGCTTTTGACACGAAAATGCTTGATGTATGTATTGGAGTTGAAATCAAGCACGTCTGAGAGTCAAGTAAACGAATAATCAATTGGACTATTCCTGAACTAATGAAGATATGCATATGCGTGTTGTCAACCTTGACGACACCTATATTGCTGCTAAAAACGCTAAAAACCAATCCACAGTCATCTCCAGGCCATCCTTCAAGCCGACCGTTGGATGCCATTGGCTTTTCCTTTGCCAGAGAAATATCCGGTCGGCGTCTAAAAGGATCGTCCTCGCTCTTCTTCGTAAACTGAAGATCGACCAGCGCGGATGCAGCTTTCCGAGACACAATCTCATTTATTAGGTGAGCTAAGTCGGCTACAGATATTTCATCATCGCAACCAATGTTGACTGGGCTTAAGCATGAACTTTGCATCAAACTATACAGCCCAAAAATGCAGTCGCCGACGTACTGAAAGCATCTACTCGCATTACCGTCACCTGCAATTTGCATATTCATCTGCTCAATGGCTGCTGATATGAAATTAGGAACGACCCGACCGTCACTTGGGAGCATTCCGGGGCCATAAGCATTGAATATGCGACCGATGCGGATATCGAGATTATGTTCGAGACGATAGGCATACGCCATTGCCTCGGCAACCCGCTTTCCTTCATCATAGCAAGATCTTGGTCCAAATGGATTCGCATTTCCATAGTAGCTCTCTGTTTGGGGGCATACGAGCGGGTCGCCATAGACCTTTAGGAAATACTATACGATACGGCAGGGAGGGCGTGAGACACAAAATCAAAGTCAGAAGTATACCTGATGTACTCGCCAACAACACGGGAGCATTGCATTTCACTGCGAAATCAAGAACATTTTTCGTACCATGGAAGCATGTATTCAAGATATCTATGGGGTTCTTTACGAAATGCTTAGGACTTGCTGGGCAAGCTAAGTGGTAAATTTGTGACACGTTCTTGGCGATTTCCGGGAATGGGAGTGTCACATCATGTCTGTTTGATAATTTTAGCTAAACAGATCTAAAATTGGGAAAATAATTCATACCTGACAAATTTAAAATTAGGGTGATCCTGGATATTGGCGATCGAATCCAGAGAGCTGATCCATAGTGAATCAATAGTAATCACACGATACTTTCTTTCCAATGGAAGCCGTATCAGATGGGATCCCAGAAACCCCGCACCCTGCATGACATCAGTGGCTGTCAAAATATATTAAGAATAACATCAAAGAGATATCGGAAAGGCTCTCACTCCGGTCACTAGAACAGGCAGCATTTTTTTCTATACCGATTTGGGTGGCAGATCGACAATCCTTGAGCTCGAGCGTGTGGGGTTTCGGGAACCGTTGATCCTACAAATATTCCACTGACGAGCAGGTTAGTTTAAATGATGAAAACATTCCTTTGGTTTTAGAAACAACCAAGCGAGACCCGATAACTTCATCCCATCTTGTATCCCCCGGCAAATCGGTTATCACCTTCCACGAACGAATTTTCGTGTGCGACATCCTCGAAGAAGCAAACCCCATCCCTAGAAAGTTTCCTAGAGTTAAAGAATCACGAAGAATCTGCTTTTATTTAGAAAGTGGCCTTTTTCAATATACACATTTGCTAAAACCGGTGGTCCATATACACTATGGCTCTTCAAAGTGTCACACTGTGGTGCACGCTGCGTCCAAATCCCGGGAAAGAAAACATAGTAAGAGCACGCCGGATATTATCGTGGGCTATTGATCTGATTCCCTACAAGGTTCGAGAAATGTTATGCAATCTGTCGAACAAAGTTCGGGAAGCAGAGCCCCACTGTCTGAGGTATGAAGTGATGGAGAAGAAAGAAATAGACAACGGGAAAGAAACCTCAACTTTCCACCTGTTGGAAAGGCAAGTCGATTAATATTCCTAGCCTTGGATGAGCTTGTTCTAATGGGTTCTTCCTGTTTTAGCTGGAGAGCGGAAGCTGACCTAGAGAATCACAATCGAAGAGATTGGCTTATTGCTTTCAGGAAGCATGTTGTAGATAGTGGAGTTTTGATTGAGGACGAGGACATACAAAAGGTGAAACGAGTAGGGGGCTTTTATTTCCGGGACACAGAAATCACAGTGTAGGGCTCGTTTAGTACTACTGCGAATAGCTCTAAGGTGGACTAGTAATTACGAATCTACAGTGGAGTCTAATTATATTCATCTAGAGTGTTTAATTGTTGAGAGAAAACTATACTATCTTTGAATTAATAAATAAAAGTCGACAATGAGGTTCAACAGCTTGATAAATGTAACGATATTAAATTCATTTAAACACCAACCCCATCATAAATTGAAAAACAAGAAAGGTTAAAATAACAGAAAACGCTTCGTCAACTTCATGTCTGATCGTGAGTGCCACTGTTCAGCACTCGAGGAAAATATACATTTGGAGGGCGGATATAGATCTGTTTACTCGTCATACAGATCCATGTCACCGCTACCATCCTCCATTTCGGCAAGAGCATCGTCGGAATCAACCATTTCGGAGTCAGAGTCAGAATCGCTCTCGCCAATCTCGTGGTTAGGCAAAACATCAATGCGGCCGTCAATCATGACGACTCGAGCTTGCTCTCCATCTTTGATGCTACCACGAAGAATGAGAACAGCGAGACGGTTGAGGACCTCTTTTTCAATGATACGGCCCAATGGACGGGCACCATAGGCAGGGGAGTAACCAGAAGCACCAAGATAGTCCTTGACCTCTTCTGTACAACGAATCAAGACATTTCGATCGTTATGTTCAAGTCGCTTCTGAACTTCATCCAGTCGCAGATCCACAATCTTGCGGATCTCCTTCCTAGTGAGTCGGTTGAAGATGACCGTGCTGGAGATACGGTTGAGGAATTCGGGCAGGAAGTAGTTGCGTAGAGCACCCAAAACTAGCTCGCGTGTCTGTGGGTCGATGCGGCCATCTCTCGTAGTTGGTCGAGCTAGAAACTCTGCGCCCAGATTGGAGGTCATAACGACAATACAGTTCTTCGCGTCGACGATGCGGCCTTGGCCGTCGGTAATACGACCGTCATCCATAAGCTGAAGTAGAACAGTGAGAACCTCCTTCGCGGCCTTTTCGACTTCATCAAATAACAGGATGGAGAAGGGGCGACGACGGAGACTTTCTGTGAGCTGACCGCCAGCGTCGTGGCCGACATAGCCTGGGGGAGCACCAATCATTCGGCTCAGAGAGTGACGCTCCTGGTATTCAGACATATCGAACCGGATCATCGATTTGGGGTCGTCGAAGAGGAATTCAGCGAGGGCCTTGGTAAGTAAGGTCTTACCGGTACCCGAAGGACCACAAAAGAGGAAACTGGGGGGTGAATTCGGGTTGCTGAGACCGGAACGTTGAAGCCGGATAGCGTTTGAAACAGAAACAACGGCTTCCTTTTGACCAATGACGAGTTTACCTAGGTACTTTTCCATGTTGAGCAACTTGTCTTTCTCCGTTGTCTTGAGTCGAGTAACGGGGATTCCAGTCCATCGTGCAACAATTTCGTTGATCTGGTCAGGGCCAACAGCATCAGCAAGTAAAGCCTCACCAGCTTCGCCTTGGGTAGCACGGCGCTCAGCATCGGCCTTCGCGCGATCCGCTTCAAGTCGGTCGATCAGTTGCTTGGTTTCGGGGATAGCGTAGTATTCAAGATCGGCAGCGGTCATGGTGTCACCCATGCGCTCTGCCTCGTCACGCTTGACCTTGAGGGAGTCGAGCTTGATCTTCGCATCTTGAACCTCCTTGCTCCGTTGTTTTTCGCTCTCATACTTCTCTCGCATGGGACGAAGCTCCTCAGAGACATTGGCGGCTTCTTGTTTGGCAGCTTCAAGCCGGGTTTTGGATGCTTCGTCTTTCTCGCGCTCCAAGGCATTAATTTCGATCTGGAGCTGACGATGCTTACGTTCAAGCGTGTCCAGTTCTTCCGGTTCGGACTCGCGGGTTACACGAACAGCAGCAGCCGCCTCGTCGATCAAATCAACAGCAGAATCAGGAAGACGACGTCCTGTCAAGTATCGTGAAGCAAGAGTCGCGGCACTAACAATAGCACCATCGAGAATGTTTACGCCATGGTGGACTTCATATTTCTCTTTCAGGCCACGGAGGATGGAAACGGTCTCTGGAATCGAAGGCTCTTTAACGAGAACTTGCTGGAATCGTCGTTCAAAGGCTTGGTCCTTCTCGATATACTTGCGGTATTCGGTCAGTGTCGTAGCACCAATACAGTGGAGTTGGCCGCGAGCCAACATAGGCTTGAGAAGGTTCGCCGCATCCATGCCACCCTCACCGCTAGACCCGGCACCCATGAGGAGGTGGATCTCGTCGACGAAGAGAACGATAGTGTCCTTAGAGTCCTCGATTTCTTTGAGCACACCCTTCATGCGTTCCTCGAACTCACCGCGGAACTTGCTGCCCGCAACCAGGGATCCGACATCAAGGGAGAGTAGCCGGCATTGTGCAAGGTTGGCAGGGATGTCTGCATTGACGATACGGCGAGCAAGACCCTCAACAATTGTAGTCTTACCCACACCAGGTTCACCGATGAGGACGGGGTTGTTCTTAGTGCGACGGCTCAGGATACGAATGACACGGCGAATTTCTTCCTCACGACCGATGACAGGATCAATCTTGCCTTCGCGTGCTAGCGAGGTCATGTCGATGGTGAATTTCTTCAAGTTCTCATTTTCGCTCTCGGAGTCTGCAGTTTTCGAGTCTACGCGCTTGGTGCCCCGAATTTGCTGCACTGCAGTGTCGATTAACTTGACATTAGGGATGTTGGCATCGGCGAGGGCACGCTGCACCTGAGAATCTTGTGATGTAGCTTGAATCAGGTGATCAACAGCAACGAAGCTATCCTTTTGTGTCTTGGATAAATCGGTTGCTGACCGAATAACCTTTGCCAATGCTGGGGAGACGCTAACGGTTTCGGGGGGAGGATCTTGACTCGGCATGCGGACCAACAACTTCATCAATGATCGATCGAGTAGTTGAGGGTCACCGTGAGCTTTCTCTACCACCTGACGGAATAGTGGCGCGGAGGCAGAATCGTGGGAAGAGTGTCCAGCCGGCTGCTGTTCGTCGGCATCATCCTGGGAGGGGTTGAGGAGTGCGACCGCTAAGTGAAGGGGGATGATTTGGGAGTGAGCGTATTGCTCGGCCAAAGCGCTGGAATCCAGCAAGGCCTTGTTGGCCCGGTCTGTGAATTGGGCGCCGTTCATGGTGAACGGTAGATTGTAGGTTGGAACAGTCGGTAGTTAAGGTAATCGATTGTGGTTAAATCTTCGTAGGCAGATGAGAGTATCGATCTGATGAAATGTGGGAATGTGGGAATGTGGGAAGTTGGAAGTGAGAATGGGTCAAAGTGTGTCTATGATGCAAGTTTAATATACTTGGGCAGCCCACTTGGCTAGACGCTGCTGCCACAGTCATGACGCCACTAGCAACTTCCACCGCCTCCCGGAAACTACCAGAAGGATCACCTGATATCCAGAACACGTGAGGGCCTCCAGCTAGTTTCCGAGGTTCTAGTGATCCAATTGGCTAATAGGGTTCATAGGTGGGTCTTCCACCTTTGGCACCGTCCATCACTTCCTCTTTAGGAATGCTGTTTACTCTGGCTATCTATAAGGTCACCTGGATATGCAGTGTACAGGAGGAGATTTTCACTACTTTAGAGAAACGGTCATACTAGAAATGCTTTATAGTTTCTATTCTTTTGTTTTCTATTGATCTCTCTGCGCAGTTTCTATGCTCTTTAGCATTCACATTTGCTCACTGCAATGGGCAGTGCAGGTCTTGTGCTTTGGCCATGGCGCTATGCTACTACCCGAAGACAAACTTTCTTTCTTTCAAATAAAGAGATTCAATGTATGCTAAATATTTTTTTCATGCGATCAGACTTTCCTCATCCAGCTGATCATCTACCTATAGCTATGCCCAGCGAACATGTCGCTCTTGCACGTGTCCATCGCTTGGGAATTCATTACCTTCGCCAAGTCCCCTATTAAATTGGATTGTCGTCATGAGTAATGCGCTCTGTCGGCAAAGGGGGCAGGTATCATGCTGTGTTAGCCATCGAACAATGCAAGTAGTATCAAACAGGTGTCCACACTGAAGAGTAGAGACACATGCACCAAGTTCCGGGGGGCAAAGACAAATAGGGCATTCCACACTCGAGTCGATCATCTGTTGGTTAACGGCGGTACGGGGCAAAATACCGAAACTCACTTCGAATTCATTATCATCTTCACCTTGCTCTCCTTCCGCGGTCAGTTGTTCAAGTCGTTCGTTTAATATACCGTCAAGGCCTCGAGATCGGAGCAGCATACGTAAATAATACATTCTCAAACCACTATCAGTCTCCCTTTCAGCTAACTCCACAAGCTCCTCATCCGAAAGTTCTCCAAAATCTGAAAGTGCACGCATATTCCCCGAGGTGGGCACCTCCCAATCGTCGTTAGCTTGGGACATGCTGGTTTAGACTCACCTAGGCTCAATGTTGAGGAGATTGAGGTCTAGTTGGATGATCCAACTTAATGGTTTAGGAAGTTTATCATTGCTGAAGGTTGTGGTCACTGCAAACTGGAGGCTACTCGTCGACTTAAATAACGACACCTTGGGAAAACACAAATGAATTGTGCGTTTGACATTCAATGCTGACTCTTTGTTACTATGTCTCAGTTATTTTGATTCTCTCCTTGTTTCTCTTTCAAAACAATGCACATTTCTATTCAAAAGTTTGTCCTTTAGCCAACTTCTAATAATATCGAGACCCCCTTCAGCCACAAAGACCATTCAAACAGTCCATCCAAAAAAGACTTTTGTAGGAACAAATAATAGATTATTTTAGTCACTATGACTTCCGTTACAGCTTGCCGCTCCCGCTCCTTTGTTGAGGTCCAAGGTTTAAAAGACGAGAATACAATACAAAGTCTCAGTATAAAAATAGAGACATGCGCCTCTAAACTTATAAATCCCACGCTATCTGCATTATTTAATACATTGTGAGGTGCCACTCAACATTGCCCACTACCAGTACGAACTTTGCTTCGCGTCTTACCGTTCACAGTAGCAATATGGAAAGTAATTCACGCGCCAAGAGGTCCAGCCAGGGTTCGACTGATACCTATCCCAAGTTATTAGGAGATTTGAATCGAACTGAAATGGAGGCTCTTACCGAAATCTTACATCTAAACGCGACAATCAATCTTCACTCTATCGCACAGGCACAGAAACTTATCCAAGATCTACCAAAACGGCTTCGGTATAAGCGTTTATCACTTTCAGGACTTGGAATCAAGCCCAGTGGCCTATGCGAACTACATAAACCAATGAACGCAGATGTCCTTCAAGATGCTCTGAGACTAGTTCATCGAGAAGTGACGACATGTTTCCGCCCCTTCGATCATTACCCAGAACATGTTCACTCTCCAGAGGCTGATCTCCTAGTCAAGTTACGAGGACTTAAAGGCATGTGGACTAGGCCTGCTCCGTCCGGCCTTGTCGCTCAATATGGCGCTTGGGAATACCAAATCAACGCGTGTGCGGCGTGCATGCTATCCAGAGTCGCGGCGGATGAGAATGCGATTGGTAACCTTCGAACGGCTTTAATTAGCCGTACACGCACTGATAAAAGACATAAGCCACGCCGGCTCATGTCATTTGTTGATGAATGCATTCGTCGCTACGACATTGACAAAGCTGAGGCTATAATTAGCCTTGCTTCTAACTACGCATATGGGCTAAAAGAAGCTAGAAAAGCGTGTACAAAGGCTTCAAATGACGTGCATGGTGGTCTACGATTTCGACAGGAAGATACGGTCGATCCTGTGCCTGGTTTCTCGAGACTAACTACTAATGAGCATCCTGTCCCCGAACGCAATATTGCACAGCCAACTCCGAGCAGCGATATCGAATGGGCTGTTTCATCATTTCCTCGGACCTCGGGATCACACTACTCTCGTGGCGTTGAGATTCTGTGTAATAGCCAATCCCAGTATACAGAGGCCAACAAGCTGACTGACCTTTATAGAGACAATCATGTGATATATCCAGCCCATACAAGAATAGTTTCAAAAAATACTTCTGAAGAGTCGCCTCTAATTGGAGATATGATCTCACAAATTGACGATGCAATAGAAGAGTCTTCGATGTATCAATTTATTTTTCAGTGTTTATCTTCGGAGAGTGATTATGGTACTGACGAAGATTCGTAATGAAACATTGTCAATCTCTTTTTTTGCTCTCATTGTTCCAAGTTTGTTTTCTCTTTTCTATCGGAGAGTCATTTGGATTCTTGTTGATTGATTTATTACTAGACCTTTCAATTGTAATAACGGGCTGCTTGCATGAGTCTTGAACTTGAAGCAGCCACAACTTATGTTATATAACTTCGTGTTGTGAATAGCTTCGAATCACGCATTTCTTACACTCCTTTGGGTCTTTTTCCACCATACAGTATTCTGCCGCGTCAACCGGAAACGATATAGATGTTTTGATGGGTGTTTTTCTGTGCACATTTATGATAGTACAGGCAGGATTCCCCTCTTCAATATGTAGTGGCAATATGAATTCAGATACCTACCCAACGAGACTCTTGATAAGATTTTTAGATGGTGCTTATATATTGCTAATAATATGAAACAGACTGTCATTACTTTTTTCTTTCCTTTTTTTTGAAATGTAAAGCTCAAAATCAACAGAATATGGGCTCGGCGCTACTGTCGAAATCGCGTTGTGGTGGTTGTATTGACATCGCCCCCTAAAGCGCAAATACCCAGTATGCAAGGTATAGTGCACTGCAGCAGTCCTATTAGAAGCAATATACTTTGAACAATTCAAATATAGTAGTCTTACACATAATTTAGGCCCCGTCGAGCTTAGTAGTGGTGGGCATGCAAAGGCATTGGGACAACATCCAAGGCGAGATCCTGAAGAAATACAGGTAGTATTTGAAGTGCACTAGAAAAATCGGCAGAATATCATGGTTAAGAGGCAAAAGCAACGGTTTCTTACAGGTGCAGGGCATGATTGCCTCTCAGATAGTACAAATATTGCAGGGTTAGACTGTGGCTGTCTTGTGGCAACTGGATTTGCGATGGTTCCCGTATCATACAAGGTGAAGAAGAGGGCTAAGAAGCTGGTCAGAAACTCAAAACTAAGATCGGCACGAACAGCTCTTTAAAGTTAATTGTTTTGACTTCATTGCAGATGCTCAGTCCTATCTCACCGCATATGAATAGTGACGGCGTTAACAGCCTCGCTGTCTCGAGTATAGTCATGGCGAGTTAAGTGATATTGTCTGGGGTGCACTATGTTCAATTGCTGAACTAAATCTCCTGAGACCAAATCCCCAAATCCAAGGATAAGACCTTAGCATCAGCTTTATCAAGCTCGTAGATGCTATCAAAATTAAGCTACTCCTAGTGTCACAGCTTGGGGAAACAATGTAACGGTGTGTTGAACTACATCGGTCTTCGTGGCCTCCATGTTACATTCTCCTGGGCGTACTACCAACTGCTTAAACGATTGAATAAATAAAGGCCCAAGCTTCTCTCAGGATGAAGACTTCGTGGGACGTTAATTTGAACCCTGAGCCACTCAGATCAATCTGCTGCTAGTATCTTCACAGGGGATCTTGTGTTCAGCACGAACTTCTCATCTGCCACTGTAACTGATACCTCAACGCGTAGCCAGTTCAAGTACCGAACGTTATATACATCAAGACTAGGTGTTATTGTGGACACCTTTTGAAGACGTCTGCCTCCCATACTCAGCCCATCCTGGTACAACACTAATTGGAGAAGACTTCCCAGATCGACAGTCCCTTCTCCAACAGTTATCTCCAATGGGAAAGCACCTAGTTCTTTAATGACACTGTCTAGATGTAAGTCTTGAGAGATAGATGTATTCCCTGCGGCTTTCGATGGAAACGAAGTCGCAGAATTCGTGGGCTTGCTGTATTCAGCACCCAGTGAGGCCCCATGTTGCTTAACGATGATAAATGTATCAAGAAAAAGTTTGACGGTGGTGATCCAAGCTTTTCTTGGCACATTTTTAATCTCATCGCTTGTTTCATCCCCTTGAATAATGACCATATTGAGAGGCAATATAGATGGATTGTTAAGTTGTATGATTTTGGGGGTGTACACTTCAACCTGGAAGTGGTACTCGGGTACTTTAGACGAACCAAACCGCTGTTGCGCCCTTTGCTTCATCGAGAGATTGGTAGAAAGTCCCACTTCTGGTAATAAGCGATGACCTCGAATTTGTCTCTTAAATGTTTCCTGATCAATTCCGAATTCATCAAACTCTTGCAAAGGCCGATGTCTTAGAACAATGGGATAAATAGCAGTATGCTTTCTTTCAATATCAGTCTGCCCAGACTGACTTCTCTCCAAGTATCGAAGCTCGGCCTCAAGATAATATTCAATCCATGCTGTTGAGGAACTTGGAGTGGACCCTCTAACGGACGGTGTTGAGCCCGGTAGATAATCATAAGAGACGTCAAAGTTCCCATGCATTGTTCTTGGAGGATCGGGTGTAATTTCCGTAGTAAATGACCAGGAAACCGGAGCTCCATCATCTGCGATATGCAAAGGTCCGTCAAAGATAGAGTATTTCTTTGCTAGCAAAATTTGTTCAGAGGCAACGCGTTGGGAAAGCGCATTGTAGTTGTGTCGATTACCAGCTGAGTGCCGGTTCCCCTCACCAACATCTGCCCTGCTGGTCTGTATACGTCCTCTCAAGAAAACTTTCAAGTTGGCATTTGAAGTAACGATAGGAGAAACGCGAACCACATCTCCGATCACCGCGTCCCCTGACGCGAACGTCCAGTCCTCGGGCGCAGCCAGATCTATCCGAAGCGCATCACTACCTTTCTTGATCACGGGCATGATTTTTTATTCCATTTGGGTCTTGCACAGATGATGATATTTGGGAGTTCCCTGCCGTCAGGAAGGAGTATTATAAGTGACAGCGGGTTAGAAAAATGGTAACAGATGCGCTGAGATGATTAAAATCAAAATAAAAAATATGCTGCGGTTATTTCATATTCGGTAGGGGAACAAAAAATAAAAAATAAATGCTCACAAGCGGATTTGAACCGCTGACCTCATGATTGCACGATAGTGATACTAGTCATGCGCTCTACCAACTGAGCTATGCGAGCTGATTGGATGAAAGGTGACACAATTGCTACATTATAAAGTCAAAACTCTTAGACTCAAAAAAAACCAATTACTGTTTACTAACAGTTTACAGCTTTGGTGGACAAATGCCTCCAGCGGAAGAGAGTATACCAACAACCCCAGTAAACTACATATCTTAGCATATTAAGGAATGACCAATTCAACCTAAAATCGGTCGTTGGTTATCATTTTCTCTTTAGCTATGCTCAAAAAATGGCATGTCCCTTCCACCATACTCCATAGATAAACGGGCAAAGAGCTCCCACAACCGCCGCCCCAGTCGACATTTCAATCAAACACCAAATCCACACGGTCGCATAAGCAGGTGCCTTCTTCATAACAGCATAGTACGCTTCTTCATTCGTGACCGTAATAACATGAATACCCAATAATACAGCAGTAGGCAGAAATATGATTGTTCGAATAGTGGGCGGGAATATAAGTCGGCGAAGGAATGACAAGCTCAACATATCTGCAGTAAAAGGTATAACAGGGACAGGTTGTGGTCTCAAAAAGCCCCAGGATACAGGAAGTCGAAGAGAAAAGATATGGCCGTGGAGGAAATGTATCAGGAGTGTGAGGAGTGGGAAAGTCTTCCACACTGCATCTCTGATGAGCTGTGGGATATCTGTGACTTCAGCGTATTGGTGGGCTGCCAAGTAGGCGAGGGTGAGGTGGAGTGTTGTTAGAGGTAGTGCGAGTAGGATGGTATCGATGAGGGGTGGGAGAGGTTTGTCTGTTTCTTCATTTTCATCTTCGTCTTCTTTGTTGTCGTCGCTGGATTCATCTTCATTGCTACCGTCCCCTCTACCGATGCTCTCGGTTGTGTCGCTGTGTATATCGGCGTCGGTTTCGACTAAAGCACCCGACGCGTCTACGGTGACGAATCGTGTCCCCTTAGACTTGAAAGCATTTAAATCTCCTTTGCCCTGACCTGGTACAGCTTGTGAGCCCGTCTGCTGCTGGAAAAGCGCATTCTGGCGCTCTGCAATGATATCCACGAGCTTTTTCGGTCTTTTATCCGGTGACGCCGAATCGTCGCGCGGGGGTAGGCTAAGAGGGATATCGGCAGCTGAAGTTGGGGCGTTCGTTGCAGCAGCTCGGCGCTGTTTTCGATTGCGAGGGGGATCCATGGTTTGAGTGCTGGTGGTGGACTCAGCGCCCTGAAAGGTGTCGGGGAGCGAAATTCAAGGTGGAGAAATGGGCTCGGTGATAGCTCGGGCTTAAATGGATCTTCAATGGGTATGGGGGTCTGCCACTGGATTTCCATGCAATATTCCAAGGATGCACGTATTTCAGAATTGGGTATAAGTTTCGAGATGTCTTTGAATAAAGCAGATATAATTATCTGTATTATTCCTTTTGATCCAGATGTGAGACATCTAAAACCGCACGTGATGCTTAGGCGACCTCTACTACTAGCGCCGCTTCACACATCCCCCGTTAGTACAACAATGCAGGTCCAGAGTCCTCGGGGATTTCTTTCCATGGTGGCTTATGAAAATCTTGGGTCTTTTTGAGTAATTCGGTCAATTAGTAAAACTCATTAAACTAGGTAAGATGCATCAAAGTCTGGGGATTTAGCTAGAAATATATAACCCGAGTTGTGGATGTGTATCATATGCAGTCAGCCATCGAAAGCATCAACCCTCACTTCAAGTTCTTACATAGATCCTTCAACTTAGAATTAATCCATCCATAAAAACTCACTTCTTAACAATTATGTGTCATAAGCTCAATTCGCGGCAGACAACGGGTCATTTCTCACTATGTAATCCGTAATGCTGGCAGTGCTGACCCAAACTATTTAAAGTCCAGCTACCCCGCTGGTCCCACTGATCATCTCTAAAATTCCTCAGCACTCACCCATCATGTTTCCCCCACCACCTGCAACCCTCGACTGGAAAGACATTGGCTTTAAAGTCCGTAATGGTAAGAAACTCCCACTTCCAAACCTCCCAGAAACGAGCCTAACAAATAGATCCAATCTAGTCAATGGCCATGTCGAATGCCACTTCTCCCAGTCCGGCGGAGCTAAATGGTCTGCCCCACGATTCATCGCGTCGCCATTCCTCAGCGTACACGGAATGGCCCCAGGCCTCAACTACGGCCAACAAGTCTATGAAGGATTGAAAGCCTTCCGACACGAAGGAGATAACAAGATCACGATCTTCCGCCCCAACCGAAACGCAAAGCGCATGCAACACTCCGCCGAAGTGGTTTCGATCCCGCCTGTTCCCGAAGAGCTATTCATCGAAGCAGTACACCTAGCCGTAGCTGCTAATGCGGAGTTTGTACCTCCTCACTCCTCCGGCGCAGCAATGTACATCCGACCACTACTTTTCGGATCATCTGCGCAATTGGGGCTTAGTCCCCCGGATGGATACACATTGGCAGTGTTTGTCATGCCGACGGGCGTGTATCACGGAGCTAGTGCCGTTGATGCTTTAGTTCTGGAGAACTTTGATCGATCCGCTCCGCATGGAACGGGCGACGCGAAGGTTGGAGGAAATTACGCACCAGTACTACGACATAGTGATCGGGCGCGAAGCGAAGGATACGGAATCACGCTGCATCTGGATAGTGCGACAAGGAGCGAGATTGATGAGTTTTCTACATCTGCTTTTATTGGTGTTAAGGGCAGCGGGGACGATATTACTATTGTGCAGCCTGATAGCACAAATGCCATTGACTCGGTGACAGCCGCCTCTGTCGGGGATATTGCTCGCAAGTTGGGCTACAAAGTGGAAAGACGCCAGGTTCTTTACGATGAGCTTGCTGAGTTCGACGAAGTCATTGCTGCTGGTACGGCTGCCGCGCTGGTTCCCGTGCGCAGCATTACGATGAAATCCCGAGGCGGGAACTTCAAGTATCGATCTGGCACTCAGAATGAGGGAGGCGAGGTCTGTGTGACGCTTTTGAAAAATCTACGCGGTATTCAATCAGGTGGTGTGTCTGATACATTTGGTTGGAACTTCGAGGTACAGGCTCCTCCCAAGGGGTGGATAGAGGATGCTGGCTCTGAGCAAACAGAAACGAGCGGCGCCAATGTTCCCTAAAGGTTTGGACTATTCTCTCCCTTGGGAAGATCTGTTGAAAGTTAGAAACATCCTTCTCTACTATAGAGAGGATAAGGGGGATTGTTCTCAACGAATGTTCTCCCTGCCGGAAAGGGATAGATGTGACAACATCGGAATGCGGACATTGTTGCATCGCATTTGCTTGCGGTCGCGAACCACTTTCATGTCAATATGTACATCTTTTCTACCAATCAATTGGGTTCAAATAATCAATCGATCGATTTCGAAGGTCTTTTCTTTCTCGATAAAGTGTCACTTGCTGTGACTCCCCCCCACACCCGCATTCCACATTGATCCCCATCGTAGGCCAGAACCATGGAAGCCACGATACATTGACAGCTCCAGCGTTACACCTCAATAATTATTAGGCTCAATTCGGGGATTCTGACTGTTAATTGCATAGTGAATCCTCATGCGGTCAAATTTGGGTCTCATTGTCCACTCCTTGTGGACTAGGGAGCGACGATGATTCGAGGGATAAACGCCTTGTTACCATGCCAGCACCCCCATTGTTATTGGAATGTGATCGCAAAAGCCCCTCTTCCTGGTGAAAAATCATCGTTACGTTCTCTCCGCCTGTGCCTGGGGATTTCCTTTCACCTCAATTAAACGATCGCTCTGTGGTGCAGGATGATCATCAAGCTTGACGTTTGAGAATCAAATAACCCTGACATCTATAATCAAAAGACCAAGAAATAAACAACCGACCTCGAAATCAAGATTAAAAATTCAGCTACTCATTCCTGATCATCATCGATGCGCTTCTCCAGCGCTTCTCGGCCCTCATGGGCCAGGATATTGACGGTTGCTCTCGCCGGAGCGTCTACGGTAGGCGCTATACAACTGAACGTCGAAAACGATGGTAAGTGGAGTGGACTAGAAAGACGAAAGCTACAAGATTTCTCCAATCTAACACGCTGAATACAGAATCAATCAAAAAAGCAGCCAGATTAGTAGCAAAGAACATGATGTCCTACTACACTGGAAACCGACCAGGCGACAATCCCGGAAATCTCCCAGATCCATACTACTGGTGGGAAGCAGGAGCAATGTTCAGCTCATTAATCGACTATTGGTTCTACACGGGCGACGACACATGGAACGACATCACGATGCAAGGTCTACTATGGCAAGCCGGCGAGACCGGTGCATTCATGCCAAACAACCAAAGCAAAACAGAAGGAAACGACGACCAGGCTTTCTGGGGATTCGCAGCAATGTCAGCTGCAGAGAGAAACTTTCCAAACCCCCCTTCCGATAAAATGGGATGGTTAGCAATGGCGCAGGCGGTGTTTAATACGCAAGCACCGCGTTGGGATACGTCCACTTGTAATGGAGGATTGCGATGGCAGATTTTCACCTGGAATAATGGATATACCTATAAAAACACCATTTCCACGGGAGGTTTCTTCAACTTGGCTGCGCGATTAGCGAAATATACGGGGAACACGACGTATTCGGATTGGGCTGAGAAAGCCTGGGATTGGACTGAAAGCGTCGGATTCATGACACCGGATTATCACTTTTGGGATGGAGCGAGCGATTTGGGGAACTGCACCGAGATCAACCAGATCGAATGGACATACAATAACGGCGTTTACCTCCTTGGAGCAGCCAATATGTGGAATGTGGTAAGTACCATTCATCTTCCACTTAAACAGAATGACACAATCTAACAACCAAACAGACAGAAGATCCAAAATGGAAAACGCGCACCGAAAAAATCATTCAATCGTCATCAGTTTTCTTCTCCGAAACCCCAAAGAATGTAATGGTCGAACGAGCCTGCGAGTCCGTGAACACATGCATGGTTGATCAACGATCCTTCAAAGGATACCTAGCACGCTGGATGGCAGCCACGACGCAACTGGCCCCATTCACCTTCGACGAAATCATGCCTAAGCTCAAAGCCTCTGCGTCAGCGGCTGCCAAATCCTGTAGCGGGGGACCAGAAGGTACAACCTGTGGTCTTAAATGGACAGAACAGAAATGGGATACAACGAAGGACTTTGGTCAACAGATGGCTTCTCTTGAGGTGATTCAGTCGACTCTTATTACTAAAGTTGCTGCACCTGTTACTAGCGATAATGGCGGTACTAGTCAGGGTGATCCTAGTGCGGGTGGAAAGCCCGAGACACCACCGCCTAGTTCGTTGACGTCCCCTATTACAACTGCCGATCGGGCAGGTGCCGGTATCTTGACAGCTATGATGATGGTCACGCTTGGGGGATCTGCCGGGTGGCTCGTTTGGGAGTAATGTGCGAAGTGGACAGCATACATATTTGTTGAAGCTTTATTTCGTTCTATTCTCTGGTTTTCGTTTGTTGAATTTCTCCTCTTCATATTCTTTTTCATACTTGAAGTATCTGTTTTTGGTTCACGGAGTTGATGTATTGGGCTTCATTGCGTTGGCGTCGGAGTCTTGTGAATAAATGACCACAATCAATTGTATTCGATTTCCAAATTTCGTAACATTGAATATCTGTGTTTCAATTCAGAACCTCAAAACTAGCATGTAAGAAAAAAACAACCAATAAAACGCGCAAATCCAAAAATCCGCCGGCCAATCTCGGAGAATAATGCTGACCATCCAACCATTTCCCGTCCCAAAACTAGGGACTGCGTCAGGGATGCAGTAGATGGATGACGAAAAGCGGGGTAAAGAAGCCCAGCATCGAACGCACAGGTCATCATCTAAAGATTAGATCCAAGCCATCGGGCCATGAGGCCAAAGTAAACAGACAAGGGTATCGTGGAAAGAAACACAAACCTGATTCGATATCTGCCTGCGAACCCTTTAACAATTCCATGGTTCTGGGTCAATCAGACAAAGAATAAACCCCCAGACCCCGGCCAGTGACATCAACAAATTCAATGTCGAAGCGTTAAGATCTGTTGTGGGTAATCAAAAGGGGGCGGCTTGGCTTGGGCTTCGGCCTGCGTCCGTAGTGAGACGTCACCAACGAGATTGGGGAAAGCCAACAAATGATTCAGGGTCCTTATTGCTCAGTTAGAGTCATAGACGCGAAGGATCACAGAGATCATATACTTCATGCAACAAGCAAGCTAAGTGGTCGCTATGTGATGGGTGCATGATTGATTAATTCTCCTTTGGCGGTGATGTCACTGTTTGACGTTGCTGATTTTTGGCCCCCGGGCTATGAATTGATCGGCAGCTTGCCACGCTAATTTCAGGTCAGATGGGGTTTATCGCGTCTCAAGAGTCAAGGGCCAGAACTCAGTTCCAGATGAGTATTCATATGATATTTCTCAATAGCTAGTGACTGAGTTGAGCAGAGTTGAGGGGTGCGCGATATCAGCCCCTCAGTTCCGCAGTATTGGCACAATGCCCAGTTGAGTTTGAGTATTGATTATCATGATGTATGTATTCAAATTGATTCCATCCTTTGAAGGGCCGAGCGAATAATCTAGGTCATCGCTAGCATCGTGGCCATTTCCACGTCGAAACTGGGCTGTAGCCTGCGAAGGATGAAGTCTAGCACGCTAGTATTTCGAAAACTACCACACTGTCCCGTCCGACATGCACGAGATTATATACCCCGGTTCATTCGGAGTATCTTAAGTCCACTTGCCCTAGATAACCCTGGAATGACGCAGTTTATGTACGATGGCGACGAACTGATCGGATTTGTTTGATCGACTCTCTTGAAACATGGCAACAAAGAATTGAAGTGAAACGCCGTACGATATACGATAAATAGCCTATCTCGCCACAGTTAAAGATAGTACATCTTTCCCACGCGGCACAGGATGCATAAGGTTGCATATCATCTCTAGGAATGGGTCGGAATTTAAAAAAAACACAGACACAAACCTCTGATGGAGACCATACCGCGTGGAAATCCTTTCTAGTTGCCACATGGGGTAGGGTAGCGCGCTCAAAATCTTTTATTCAATTATGTAGCTAGATCATATCAGGATCAGGATATAAATCGAATTTTTGTTCTGGTTTATTTTGGGGTCTAGACAGAGAAGCGAACGCGACTACGATTCTTAGGACGAAAATGGGATTGTTTAGTTGCTGCGTTGTTCATTATTCCAGCAAATCAGCGACCACAAAAGCCTTAAATTTTCCAACCCGTTATGCGGTAAATGCAGGACCAGATTACTGTTTCTCTCATACATTAGTGTGTGTCTAAGTGCACTATAGCGCCAGGTAGTATTGTACTCAGACATTTGGAACCTAAATGTCTTATTTACGGTAAATCTGTCGTACGGGGTGCCGAGGCAAACACATAACTAGGATGATGAAGCTAAAAGTTTTAATAGGAGAGTCTGCCTTCCCAGCTGATGTGATACTGAAATGAACTTACTGAGCCTTGGGGGCACTTACCCTTCTCAGCGATGTTTCAGAGCCACCAGTGGAGTTCAAGTTTCCAAAGTGATCGTATTAATGTCACGAATTGTAACAGATCGTAGATCACGAAAATCCTGGATGAAGAAAAGATGCCTATCTTGGAAGTGACAAGAAGCATTATAATTGGATCAGGAGCGCTAAAATACAAGTTGGGGCAGTTCTACTTCAACAGGATGAAAGTGCGATCTATTCATGGACGGGGAACTCCGCTGAGCATGCCTAACTAGGGAATTGTTTTTTGGCCCAGATCCACTTCCCGATAGCTTTTCCCCCGCGGGTGAGTGGTGGAATTTAAGGGGGTTTGAATAATGTGTGAACATTTTGAAGGGGAATTGTTTTGACTGGGCTTAAGTAGTGGCAAATCGGTGCCGTTTTAGGGGGGGCGGATGTCTATAGGGGCCAGTGGGAATGGGGGACGGTTCTTCACAGTTCGAGCGAGGCGAGAGAGTTAGATTGTGTCCACTTTCCACTTCCATAATAGTTTATACGAGGAATTCTTGAAACATGGCATTCTGATCTTTTGCCAGAAAGAATAATACTGTGGAATGGAATGCCACATGGTCCCTGGGCCCTCTTTGTGGCGCGACACAGCTTGTTCATTCCGAATGGTAAAGTTTTGAGTTGATTATTCTTGTTTAGTTTATTTTTCTTCAGTATCCATATTTCCAAATTTCATGTATTGTCTAGTTCATGCTAATTGTAATGACGACGGTTTTTAGCCAGAGATGGTATTTGTTACTGCCGATCGAGGAACGTGTAGAATTACGCTTGAACTCCCCCAAGGTTGAAGCGAAGTCCTTTCCATGCAGTAGCAATGAAAGAAGTTACGTACGGGTGGACTCCGTACTGTGCAGATAATACTCTAGATGACCTAAGGATTCTAAGTCCTTAATCTAAGTGTCACCTTTGATCTCCCCTTTAAATGGTGGCAGGATCATTACACGGGGTTAACTGGAAAGGGGAGTGTTCCTTTCGGCCCCCAACTGTGCCGTATTGCGCCTGGCGTAATGCAATATTTCGTCGGGATTGATCGTGACACAACGTAGTGGACCCACTGAGACTCTACGAGTGGCAGCTTATTTGAGTGATATCAGCCCCGGCTGCATGACTGCATAACTCGCCCCCATCTTGTTGAATTCCTAAGAAAAAACCGCTGGCTCCCGGGCGATTTAGTAACCTCCACTTTCTCTTTGTCTTTCGTAGAGACACGCCACGTTCCCTTTCCAAGACAACCATCTTCTTTGTTCCAGACATCCAGTGTGTATACAACAAAGAGCACATATTCAGTGCAGAACAAAATCCCGACACTAGGCAATATTCAGTTGATCTCCGATAGCCGCTAAGGTGGGTGCAAAGACTCCGCAATCCAACTCGAGCCAGGAGATCCGGGGAGAACCATTCGAATTAAAGAGAGAAAGCAAGACTCGAGACGTGAACCTGAACGTATCAAAGACTAATAATTCGTATTGAAGCCTGCGGGAAAAGGCCCCATGGTTAGGGAATTCGACTATATATCACAATCTGAACGACCCTCGCCTGGAGATCGTCAAAGATGGTGTCTCCAGCATCAGGACCATATATTCGACCACACTCGAGCCTGTCAGCTTCAACAAAGAAGCAAGCACAGGGGTCTCGCAAGCCGCCACCACTCAATTTACGATCCACAAAGGCATATTCGCAACAGTCAAAGATGAAAGCCGTACGAGGGAGCGTATGTTGGACCGACGAGGGTACGGAAGTGCCTTTAATGATGGATATGATCTCTAATAGGCCCGCTCCGGGCAACTCTGAAGCTAAAGCCTCCGGTATATTGGGAGCTATGCCCCATGAGTGGAGCGACAAGGGTGTCTCCATGGGCCGACCGGTGGCGGAAGCAAACGAGAGCGACATGGATCTGGGGCCTCGACCAGTATCCCCGCAGAAATCACTTCGAACCATAATTGACCTGGACTCGAACGGTTCAGATTCGGAGTCCGACATCTCTCCACTTGAAGAGGAACGACCTCCTATGAAATCAAGCAAAGTCCTCGCTCGATTTTTCCCTGAACTTCGAGGTGGCTTCGACGTCATGCCTCCCGATGGCGCTGAGAACACCCCGAAGCCAAAGAAAGGTCGCTCGCGTATCGAAAATGAAATCGAAGAGCGCGTGCACAATCTATACCACACCTCGACGGATGCTCACCCCGGTCAAAGATCAACACTCAATGATCTGGTAGACGAGTCTCACGACATAGTGTCGGATATCGAGTTTGAGCAGCGAAGCACAGCCTGGGGCGGTAGAAATGGCCATTCCGATCGAAACAGAAAGATCACGCCATCTCGCAGCGCAACCTTCGATGATACAGCGTCAATGAACTCTCGAATGACTTCAAACCGTTCTAGAGTTGGGCAGGCCCCGTCCAAGCCAACACGCTACAACTCAACTGCCTCCAAAGCTTCCAAAGCATCGACTGTCCAAGACCTCAGGTATAAGCCGCTGCCTCTTGCGCCCGTGATGGAACCCGGATCGACTGAAAGAACTTCGCGACCACCAACATCGCGTGGTCCCGCTTCAAATTGTGACGACTGCTCAACTTATCAACCCCACCATTTACCACACTCCGCTTACGCGAGCCACCACAAACAGTCCCACCGTTGCCATTCTTGTGGAAGACACGGTGAACATCGCCATCATCGCGATGGTAGCGTTCCCCGGTCGGAACATCATCGCCCCGGGTACTCACATGGCGGAAATGGGTCGACATGGAGGCACGACACTGAACAAATGGAAATCCAGTATGGAGGAGAGGATGGAAGATCTGGGCGAAGAGTTTTGGTGTTGGACGGCCCACTACAAATCAGTCGCAACCAACATGGTGACTTGGTAGCGGCGCGGCCCGCGCCCCTTCCTCCTTCCAAGAAACCATACTCCGAGTCAAGCCCTCCTCCCCACGCACCCCTGGAGTCGCTCAAGAAAGAAGCCCGACGAACAGGCAGCTCTAATTCACTTCGAGCAGATTCAGTGAAGAAGAAGGGTCACAAGTATAGCCGATCCAAGGAGTCCAATGACACAAGCAAGGACAGCAAACCCGCTAAATCCAAAGAGGAATCGAAGGGCAGTCGGTGGAGTGGTAACTCGAAATCGAACGACAGCACTTTCGGTGGCGATTTACACAAATTGAAAAAGTCATTCTCTATATCCCGACCGACGTTCCATCGAAAGCAAAATTCACGCGCGGACGAACGCCGATTCAGCCGGTTGAGCACGTTGAGTTCACGGTCGGAGACTGCGGTGGACCCACAAGACGATCTTTCCAAGCCAAACGAGGAGTCGCAACGACTGTCCCGCCATTTGTCTTTGTCGCACCCCAACCTAGAAGTAGTGCCGGGTGAGGAGGAAGGATCCAACAAGCGGGACGATCTTCTTCTTCAATTGCCTCGTCTACAAACCGACAATTTAGGCTTCAAGAACTTGCTCGACCAGTTTGGTTCCGAACAGCGATCCGCGGTGGCTCGGCCCCCACAACCCACGCAACCCGAAAAACAGGAGAAACCGGAGAAGCAGGAAAAGCAGGAGAAACAGGAGAAACAGGAAGAGACACAGGACGACACGAAAGATGCTAAAGAAGTCATCCCCGCTGGTGTTGTCCCCGAATTGCCGCCAAATGACGCTAGGATTCCTGCAAAACCACCTCATATGATGCGACAGTCTAACAGAATGCGCCAGTCCACCGCTTTCGTCTCTACAGCCAAAGCTAGTAGTGTTTATGTGCAGTCAGAGCGTATCTATGAACTTGCTGCGGAGCCAGCATCGCCGTCTCAGTCAATGGCGCCAGTGACATGGTCAATGCCAAGGTCAAAACCTCGAGCTCAGTTCAATATTCAATTCCCCGTGGATATGATTAAGGATTCTTATATCGAGTTATTGATGGAAAGAATGCCTTCACTTGACGATCTATTCAACTTCGCTCTCATCAATCGACGATTCTATCGCATTTTCAAACAGCGCGAGCTGTTGATGATCAAGAACGCGCTATTCAAAATGTCGCGACCAGCATGGGAACTACGTGAGATGAGTCCCCCCTGGACCACTGAATGGCAGCTTGTCCTGGACCCAGACTCCCAGGTACCCGAGTATACTGGAAATCTTTATCTGGACCGATACGCAAATGATATCTTCATTTTGGCTCAACTCAAGTCTATGGTTCTCATGCGCTGCGCTCCTTTCTTGCGTCGGGATACCATCCGGGGTTTGGCTGGTATGGATGATGACCGTGCTGAAGAAGTTGACAACGCTTTTTGGCGAATTTGGACCTTCTGCCGTATCTTCGGTAGCGGAAAGGGCCGTGAAAACGACATTGAGGGTCAAGTTGACTGGCTTAAGGGGGGACGCAAAGCCCGGAAAAACCAGGCCGCGTCTTCATCCATGATGACCGAGCCCTTTGGGATGAACAATGTTCTATTTGAGCCACCCGTGGGATTCGCTCGCGGAAACTGCGGAGGACTTACCCCCAGGGAGCTCTATGACATGACTGAGATCTGGAACTGTATGAATGTACTGGTCCAGCCCCTCCATGGTAAATGTATCGAGGCCCGTAAAGTCGGTATCTTCGATGGACTCGATGTGCCAGATAATGATCCTGTCCGCGAAGAAACCGTTCTTGGTAAGTAAACAAGTCTATCACTCACCATATTTGTGACTAGCTGGCTAATTTATGGAAATAACAGAAGAATGGACATATTGGGTTCTCACGCTGGGCATGTCAGCCGTTCTGGCTGTCAGCTCACTAAACCCCAGCGAAACCCCCGCAGTGGTTTTCAACAGGGCCAGGGATCTCGGGCTTACCAAGTGGGAACTAACTGAGACTCGCGTTACTCGCTCCTCATTTATGAAAGAAGCAGTCTCTCGTGTATACGAAGATCAAGAACGATCCCTCTCACTCCCTTCCGGTTCCTCTGATAGCCCATGCGAACTCCCTTCCGATGAGGTACCAACTCGCGGTGAAGAGCACGAGCGCCGACAAGCCCTTTCCATGCAGATCCGCCAGCAGCGCAGCCAGGGAGGAGAGGAACAGGGGCGCTTGGGCCCGGATAACACATTTGCATCGGAACGTCCTATGTCTACATTTAGCACAATTCTTGGGAACCTGGAGGGAATGGTCAAGGAATCTGCTCCTCCAGTACCACCTGTGCCAGGATTAAGCTCCGATCGCTCATCGACCTCCACCGAGGGACACAGTCCTATTGCACCCGGAACCCCGGAAAATGATACAGACACATCAAGTCCCAGTCACGTCCACAACCCGCACTATCTGTCATCGTCTGTACCTTCCAAACCAATCCCTACATCCGATCCATTCAACTCGCGCCCACGCAGCCCCCCTCGAAGCGTCCGCTCCCGCAGCCCTCACACTCCCCCGATGACAGCATTTGTGCCAGCACCCCTTCAGCCTCAAGTCCAAGACCCCGTCGACCGAGCCATCCTCCGAATGGTAAATGAGCTTGGTTTCAACGAAGACGACGTCAAGTGGGCGCTCAAGATCACCGACACTGGCGAAGGCATCAACGTCCAAGCTGCCGAACAATTACTTCAGGAGCAAAAGAAGAAATCCGACCGCAATCCTTTGTTTACTCGCGGAACGAAACACAATAGCGGGAAAAACCCCTTGCTCATGTCTGTCATTAAGCAGCAACAGGGTGCCCAGGACTCGGGCTGGCGTTGGGCTTAAGCATGTTCATGTTCTATAAGAACTTGCTACAACCGCTGAGACCTTGAAGTCTCACGTGTAACGAAAGTTTACCATTATTTGATATATTTCTCATGTTAACATTAGCGATATGGAGTTGACTGCAGCTCATTGCACTTCATGTTCTTTCTCTCTTTTGTTCCACCATCTATCAGAACATCCCCAATATACGAATCCAAAGACTGAGATGTCTTAATTATCTTGAATTCTTCCTAAACTTCCACTATATGTAACTTTTAGCTCCCAAATCCTCAATATACAAGTCAAATTCCTCCAATACCTCCCACAAAGGGCCCTGTCCAATCGCACCCAGTTCAATCTATGACGTAGCCCCGAAGCCCGAACAAGATATCACCTGACCTGGCTGCATACATGGCGCAAATGCCGTACCGTAAATTATTTTGCGCATCGCGACGATCGACAATCAATCTTGAATATAGGCGAAACTCCCCATTGACCCTCAGCCGGGCTACGAAACAACTGGAAGAGTCCCCAGTCCTTCACATCCACCAAATATAAAACAAAACTCCAACCAAACCAAAAACCACCCCACCCACCAAAATGTCAACACAACAACCACCCCAACAGCTCACAGCATCCCAAATCAAAGAACAAGAAATGTACGCCCAAAGAAATCGCGACTTCGAAAAATTCAAAACATACACAGCATACACCTTCCTACTCGCCACACCAGTCCTAATAGCCCTCCCACCCCGAAAACTAGACCACCTCACCGTCCTGTTGACCGGCGCATTCGCAATCTCCGCAAACCACCTAACCCGCGAAAAGACAGGAAGGAGCATAGTCGAGCGGATCGAAGCAAAAATAGCTCGTCCCTCAATGCTGAGACAATTACCTTCTGATCGGGCTGAAGAGGTTCAGGGACGGCTTCGCGCAGCGCGGGAGGCACAGTTACGGGAGGGCGGAATGCCGGCTGATGAGATTGAGAAGTGGAAAGGGTTGCAGAGGAAGCAGGAGCAGGGCGTTGTTGATAGGGTCTGGATGGGGGGTGAGGAGAAGGGGTGGATGGAGAGAAGGTTGGAGGAGGAGAAGAAGGCTCTAGAGGAGGGGAAGGGGTATGGGGATTTGATTTATGAGTATATTTGGGATGTTTGGAGTTGGGGGAAGAAGGATGAGGAAGATGATGAGTAGGTTTCCTGTGGGATGGATTTAATCTCGAGGCTACCTTTATTATGATCTGGCAGATCTATCTGGTGCTTGAGATTTTGGGAGGGAGGAGTTGTATATGTATGTATCATTATTTTCAAGTTTGTGACTGCCTGTTCTATTTACTACCATTGGCTTTATGCTCATGGGGACTTGGACAGTTCACCTGTGACTATTTTTGTTTTCTTTCTTGTACTAAAACTGTGTCGAGCTGCATTCATTGGGCGTTTTGGATATTTGTCTTGAGATGTACCATGGACTGACTACATCTTTAATTTTGGTTATACTTCTCTACTCAGCATGAACTTGAACTGTCAATACAATCTGCAATCTGAACTCTACAATGGATGTACAATTTACAATCTACTTTGACTCGAAGCTACAATGAGAATGAAGTGTTCACAAACCACTTTCCACTTCAAATTGGTCCCATGATAGGTACATGTAAAAGTTCAAAAGATAATGAGATGAAGAATGAATGAATGAATAAAGGAAAGAAAAGAAAAGAGACAAATGTGGGTAATAAATAGATGCAATCTCGAATCCACCTGATGATTTTTTTCGATTTTTTTTTTCAGGTTGTAGTCCGGATACCACAAAGCCAAGCCGACCAAAGTGCCTGGATGACCCAGATTGAGATGCGTGGTATTTGCCACTTTTTGATTTTTTCCGAAGTGTGTTTTTTTCCCCCTTCGAAGTGGAATGATTTGATGTATGTTTGACCGAAAATCGACAATCATCCTGTGAAGGACGTGGGCCGGACCACGAGACCAGACAGACAAGCCTGGCGGCCATGACTCCGTAGACAGGTCTGACGATCATGATTGTGATGATGGCACATGTGGGTATTGACAGATGTTGATATGTATTGACATGATGATGTTGACAAAGGAATGTTGATGTTGAACTCCGAGATGCGAATACGCACGCAAGTGTGTGTTGATGAGGACCATGACCATCATGATTGACCAGTTTGATGATGGATCATGATCATGACAAAAAAAAGGGAAAAAAAAAAGAGAGAACATTGTGCAGATTGTTCGCTCGCCAGGACCAAAACCCAAATCCCGTGGTTGTGATATGATCTTCATCCCCCCATTCAGGCACGGGTCCAAGGAAAACTTCCTGCGGCTTGGGATGATGAGCCAGCTAGGTAAAAACCTTGGCCAGGATGTGTTTGCTATATACAAACTGATCGACCGACTTGACATTCTGAACCGAGAACAAAGAGAACGCAACCAAGCCAAATAACATTCTGTGTTTTGAAGCCTCGGCAACCCGACCAAGTGAATGACCAAGCAGATAGACTGGAGCTCAGAGAAGATGGAGCTCAAAATTAGCTTGGTGGATGGTTCTGGCCGGGTGCCGGTGACCTCGTGTCGCCCCTCGTTGAACTGTGTCGTCCCCTTGATTGTAACGTGGGAAAATTTTTGAAGTGACAGCAAGCCGACCAAGCGAATGGCCAAGCAGATAGGCTGGAGCTCAGAGAAGATGGAGCTCAAAATTAGCTTGGTGGATGATTGTAGCCGGGTGCCGTGACCTCTTGTGGTGAATTGAAAGAGTTGAATCGAATATCAGAAGTTGGATGAACCATGTAAAGTTGGAGCTGACACCGGCACACTTGCAGTGACAAAGTGTGTTCCCTCCGATGAATCCAATGGAAGTCGATGATGGGGTAAGTGCAGCCATGTTGTATGAAAGTTGCCAAGAGCCGATTTGATCACATCCTGACCAAGGACGTGAGGCTAGCCCATCAAATGGGAATAGCGGGAAATATTGTAAGAAGCCCAGACATTGGAGTCTGAGCCATTTTCCATCACGGTGTCGCCATCTCGGTCCTGTTCATTGTTAGCTGGAGCTCATGATCATGAGGAAGGCAAAGTCAAAAGGTCAAGGAAAGGTACTCACTATGTTGGATACGGTATTTGCTCCCCACTCCGGAGGTACGGAGAGATAAACAATTGCCTGATCACCAAAGTGGTCGTTTGATAAATCATTGCCTGCGCGGTCGAAGCGACTGCTTCTCCCACGGAAACCAGCATCGACTTGGCCGTCATACTGGGAAATTTGGTATTGTCCGCCAGTAGATGGGGCGTGAGACCCAGAATATTGAAGCTGTTGAAGAGTCAGTTAAATGGACAGACGAAGATGGCATGGGCATGGAGAACTTACATTATGATGACGGTCTTGGGAAAAGTTGCCCCGTATGAAATTTGAGGGGTTTTGAGCGTTCGAACCCGGCTCATAATGTTGATTTCGCTGGGACTGGGATAAATGCGAGCTCGGGTCCTGGTTGGCACCCCGACGTGGACCATGCTGGTCAAAGTGCTGTCCAGATCGGTTTGTAGATCCAGGGTGGTCTCCCTACAAGATGATTAGTTCATGATGCTCCGAGAATGTAACAAAGTAGAAACATGTGAAGCACTTACGCCATGGCGAGAATAAGATGCATTGTAATTGTTGCTCTTTCCTCGGTACCCCCTGTTGGCAGAATAACCACTTTCCCGGTTCTGGCCTGCATTGCCCTGATGGCTCATGTTTTGATTGCCATGAGCACGATTTTGATTTTGATGATTTTGATTGTTGTGATTGTGAGAATGATAGGAGTTGTTGTTGTGAGTCTTGTTGTTAGGGTAGCGGTATGGAGCACCGTGCCGGTTGTTCTGCGATACTTGGCCATTTTTGTGGATATGATTTGGTTGAAGAAACCTGGCCTGTTGACTGAACGAAGGATCGCTGCTACCCTGATGAGGGTATCCGTTGCAATTAGACCGGTAAACCATCTTGCTTGTTGACGGATCTGGCGTTGGTTTGTAAATGTGGGTTGACCCCGATTTTCTCCTCAAGGACCTGAACAAGAGTGATCCTATTGCCGAACTGCCAATGACCAAATTTCAACTTGAGGATGTTCCCGCCTCTCTGTTTTTGAGCCCAATGAAAAAAAATGAAATCGCTTTTTGAATGAATTGAACTCGCAGAATGATTCTCTCAAGATTCAGCGACCCCCTGCAAGTTCAGCCAATACATACAGCCTAGTGATCCGAGCTCGCCTTGTAGCAGGCCCTCGAGGAGTATCGAAGCGGTTTCTTCTTGGAACAACGGCGGGTTGGTGACCACAGTGGGTTGAGGACAACAAGGCACTCAGGAAGTGTGGAGTTGAGAGAGATGATTTTCTTGTTTGTTTTTGGATAGGTATGACCTCTGGCTCAGAATTGGTAGGAGGAGGTGAGGAAGAAAGAAAAAAAAGAGAAAAAAAAAAGGGCGAAACCAGGGGGGGGGGGCTTTTCTTATATATGAAATAGCTCCGACAGCGAATTGGGAGCCGAAGCTGGATAGATGAAAAGCTGGAGGAGTTGGTATCCACGGCGCACATAAAATTGGAGAGCCGGTGGTTAGTAAATTATGGCTTCGAATGTATCTTTTTTTTAGCAAAACGACCAATCGAGATGCGGGATGCAATGTTGGGAGAGATTGCAGGCGTTTCTTGGAAAAGTATCCGGCCTAGACAGTGAGAAGTGCGGATGGTGGGGTTGTCTTCCGATACTAATGGAGTAAATGCAGTCTACCAAAGGGCAGACGGATGGAAGTTATCTGAGTCACAGTTTTAGGGGTCAATTGCTTCTCATCTACGGTAAATGGACTACGGAGTATGCTCAGCTGGGTGTATCAATGGATATTTCAGGTCCACTGGGACTAGGATGGTCAATGTAAGGTTTGAGTGCCAGAAAGTTAAAGTGTATGGGATCGCAGCTGGTTCAAAAGAGGAATATGTACTGAGTTGTACGTTGAGACTGATAGTGGTGAGAATAGAAACTGTGGATTCTAACAGCGGTGATGGACTAAACGGTTATTGGAGTAGACTGAAGGGTTTGACTCTAGTATTAGAAATAATTGGATGGTGGATAGTAATGGTAATGGTAACGGTAGTAGTAATGGATGAGCGAAAAATACAGCATGGGACAGAATGCCCTTTTCATATGCCCAGCTTCTCTCATGTTGCCTCTAACTTTCAGCTCAGAATAGCAGTATGCTGTTTCAATCCCATTGTTCACATTGTTTTAGCTATTATTACGCGGGTGAAATTCCATTGTATAGATATTATTATGCCCATGAATGCCCCATGTATAGTCTTTGTTCAAGCTATCCAAATAGCCCTAACCCGCGGGGGGGGGGGGGGGGGTATTCCTATACTGCACTAGTCCAGATTAGATTCGGGAGTGTGATATTTTTAGCACGTTTAGGATATTTTAGGTACAAAGCTTATAGACGCTTAAAATATTTTGAATTTAGCAAATGTTTGGATTACAGAGTGTGGGGAACGGAGGTATCATGGCTATTTTAAGACTGCTGCTTGAAGCTCCGGACATGGGAATTAAGTTTAGACAGCGAGATGATATTTGGGACGATACCCCGCGTTAACCAGGGCCAGGATTTTAAGTTGAGGTCCGTGGACTAATACAGGCGCGGAGCTGTGTTGATAACTTAATTAACCTTGTTGGGTAGATCCATGGATGGCTCTATGCATTTCAAGTTATAATGGGTGTCGGGTGTCATACTGGAGTTAGGGCTTGTTCCATACGGGTAAGATCATGTATACAAGAGAAGCCTGAGAATTTATTGTACATGAATTGAAGGGCAGAAGTGGAAGTTCCAGGCGATTTTCATCTTGGTATGAGAGTAACGTGTCACTGGCAGTAGACTTGTTAGGGCTTAACCATTAGAACCTGGGCTATGTATAGTATGTCCACATGTATGGGCATAATGGAGGGAGTGGGGCTTAAACGTATAGAAATGTACTGCTACAGAGACAGGCAGAAAAAAAAACGCCAGGGTACTATTTTGAATCCATGGATATTAAGGAATTCTTGACTCTCTTGATCCTGTGGCTATAGTTCTCCATTAGGGCCGTCGTCAGCGGCGCCGGTCGGGACAATAACCAGGCTTTTTGTTAGTTTATTTCTGGTTGTTTGTTTCATTGTCGTAAAGTTACAACAGTATTGCTTGGTTTTATATCTTTTTATGTGGTGACTGGTCTGTTTTGAATGTGTTCTTGTAAGAATCGGCATCACCAACTGGGCCTGCTGTGGTGCATGTTCCTTGTATAACCGTGATGGAACCCGGTTTATCTTCGTGCAGGTCAGCAAGTGTGTCTTCCGACTATAGTTGACTCGACAGATCATTGTGATAATAATTGCTGTCATCTCAAATTAAAGGATTCCAGAGGTACTTCTGATTTTATATCTGTTAAACTCTCTTTTTACCCTTTTCTCGTGTCAGAATTGACTTTTTCCTGCCTCAAATCCTGCTTGCGCGATAAGCAGTCGAGATTCCCATCGACCTGTCCTCCCCACCAATAACCGTTCATGTATCCTGCAGCTTGAACACACCCGGGATCCACTGGTGCCGTCATTGTCCCTCAGCGCGAGAACTTTTGCTACTTCGGATTCCTTCTTGGTTTTGGGTGGAGCTGTCAAGGTAGCTCGAGGCCCCTATGCGGAGTAAAAAATAGCAAGGTCCATTGCCCCTCCCTGATTCCTGGTCGCTCCTGTTCCTTTGGGTTTTCTTCTTCTTTTCTTCCCAACGTTACTTCTTCCTTCTTTCTCCCCATTGTGTCTTGGTTTTCATTTTCACTTCCCCACTGGTCTTTTTTTGCCCCCGGTCGCTCCGAATTCATTTGATCCTTTGATTTTCCGTAACCCAACGGCTGCAATTGCTGTTCTGAAGCCGATCTCTCCGCTCGGGATCCCGGGTCCACCATGGTACTGATCGACAAACATGAGTATCTCACCGAGGAGGAGAAGCGTCTAAAGGAGGATCGCGAACGCACTCGCTACTGGAAGCGATGGGGTCCTTATGTGGCCGAACGACAATGGGCGACCGGTAAGTCCGATCGGGAGGAGAGAAACCGCTGGCATGCGGGCCGGTGAAGATAACGGCGCTAATCGTCTGGTTCTCGGCTTGGAACAGTCCGTGAAGATTATTCGTAAGTCAATTCTTCAATTCTACTCTCTAACGAGGACCGGGGACAATCAAAGGACTAACTGTACACAGTGCAGATGGAGATGCGTGGAGTTGTAAGTGGATCAATCATGTTCCTCACAGCCCCGCCATGAGAATGCCAACTAACCAACCCCTCAAGACTTCACGCATGATCATGCACGGTCGCGGACCTTTCGCTGGGGTGAAGATGGAATTGCTGGTGTCTCTGATACCCATGGAGTTCAAAATATTGCATTCTCTTTTTGGAATTCGAAAGAGTAAGCTATCCAATCCCCCAATCTCCACCATGGGGACAAAGGCGGGGCAACGCTAATGAATCTCCAGTGACTTCCTCAAGGAACGCCTGTTCGGACTTTCCAACCCACAGGGAAACCATGGTGAGAGTGTGAAGGAGGCTCATTTCCATGTTGATAATACTCCTACAGTGGGTGCCTCGCTGCTAACTAACTAGTCTCCCTGTACTGTACTGACACCAATCTTTCTTTCAGCATTCGTACATGAAGTTTCTCTACAAATACCCCCAGAACAAATTCCCTTACGAGGAGCTGGTCGAGGAGAACGCTAAGCGATCGCGCCTAGAGCGCGAGTTCCAAATTCTTGACACTGATGCATTCAAGGACAACCGGTACTGGGATATTTTCATTGAAACTGCCAAGGAAGGGGACGATGAGGAGGAGCTCCTCTTCCGAGTCATCGCATACAACCGTGGCCCAGAGCCTGCCCCTCTGCACATCATTCCCCAGGTCTGGTTTCGAAACACCTGGTCGTGGGGTTATGAGAAAGAGAGTGCTAAGCCCATCATCAAGGAAGATGGCCAGCGGGTTGCCAAATCTGAGCATCGCAAGCTGGGAGACCGTTATGCTTGCTTCGCGCCATCCCCCCCGGTTGGATCCAGCGACGAAGATATTCAACCCGAGTTGCTGTTCACAGAGAATGAAACAAATAACGAGAAGCTTTGGAGCACCAAGAATGACCAACCCTACGTGAAGGACGCCTTCCATCGCTATATTGTCGACGACGAGAAGGATGCCATCAACCCGGCCAAGGAGGGAACGAAGGTTGCAGCGTGGTATGCCTTTGATGATGAGGACATGGTCCCCCCAGGAGAGTGTGCTGTGGTTCGATTCCGTTTCTCTCAAAAGAAGGCAGAGTTTGTGGATGAAGAGGAACTTGATAATGTTATTGAGGCACGTCGTGCTGAGGCCGATGATTTCTACAATCACATCAGCCCACTTCCCATGAGCGAGGATCTACGCAACATCCAGAGACAGGCTTTCTCAGGAATGATGTGGTGCAAACAGTACTACAACTTCATTTGGGACCAATGGAGCAATGGTGACCCGGGAGTGATCCCCCCACCTGGTGAGCGAAAGGGTATTCGCAATGAACAGTGGCGTCATTTGTACATTGATGATATTTTGTCGATGCCAGATTCTTGGGAATACCCGTTTTTCGCAGCATGGGACACTGCCTTTCACTGTATTCCTCTGGCAATGATTGATCCCGATTTCGCAAAGAAGCAGCTTGATCTCATGACTCGGGAATGGTATATGCATCCAAATGGCCAGCTTCCTGCATATGAGTGGAACTTCGGCGACGTCAACCCCCCAGTCCATGCGTGGGCTGTATTCCGCACTTTCAAGATCGAGCGGAAGATGTACGGAAGACAAGACTTGGATTTCCTTGAGCGTGTATTCCAGAAGCTGCTGCTGAACTTCACCTGGTGGGTCAACCGCAAGGACTTTGATGGAAAGAACGTTTTCGAAGGTGGTTTCTTGGGACTGGATAACATTGGACTTTTCAATCGGTCCGAGCCTCTTCCCACAGGCGGTGTTCTTGAGCAAGCTGACAGCACTGGCTGGATGGCTTTCTACTGCCTGTGCATGCTCAACATTGCTTTGGAGCTAGCCAAGCATCGCCGTACATACGAAGATAGTAAGTCTGCCACTCGACAAGAATTTCTAACATTCGTGCAGGCTAACCTCTCCTACCAGTTGCATCCAAGTTCTTCGAACACTTCATTCTCATCAGCGATGCGATGACATTCCGATCCGGCGAGGACAAGATCCAGTCTCTTTGGAACGAAGAAGACAAGTAAGCAAAGCAAGACCTTCAATCCACTGAGGACTTTCAACTAATAAAACCAGCTTCTACTATGACGCCATTTCATATGGTGGACCATGGACCCAGCAGCTGCCCATTCGCTCGCTGGTCGGGTTGATCCCGCTGTACGGTGTACTTACACTCGAGCCCGAACTTATTAACAAGTTCCCTTCATTCAAACGTCGATTGGAGTGGTTTGTCGAGAACAAGGCTGATGTGGCTGAGCGTAATATCGCCAGCATTAAGCGTCGTGGAAAGGACGACCGACTGCTTCTCTCACTTGTCAGCAAAGATCGCTTGGAGAAGATTCTAAAGCGAATGCTCGATGAAACCGAGTTCCTAGCCAAACATGGTATTCGTTCCATGTCGAAATTCCACGAAGAGAATCCCTACTCGATGGATGTCAATGGCCAGACTTTCAAGGTTCAATATGTGCCCGGTGATTCAGACAGTGCCTTGTTCGGAGGAAACAGTAACTGGCGAGGCCCCATCTGGCTCTGTGTCAACTTCCTTCTTGTTGAATCTCTGCTTCGCTTTTACATGTTCTACGGCGACTCTCTCCAAATCGAATGCCCTACTGGATCAGGCGATTACATGCATCTTGGCCATGTGGCCGAAGAGCTTCAACACCGTATGCAGCATCTTTTTGCTCGAAATGATGAAGGTCGTCGTGCTTGCAATGGCAAGAGTGACCTCCTCGATTTCGATGAGCACTGGAAGGACTACATGTGGTTCAACGAGTTCTTCGATGGTGACGACGGTCGTGGCCTGGGTACATCCCACCAATGTGGCTGGACCGGGTTGATTGCCAAAATCATACATGACACAGGGTAAGTCTGCTATGCATCTAATATCTCACCTCCTTACAGTTCCTTATTGTCACATAACTAACTCCTCTCTAGTGTTACCTGCCGTCTCCCCCAAACCCCCCGTACCCCCTTCGCAGCTGCCTCTCACTACTTCGACGATGTCTTCTCCCGCTCTGGTCGTGGTCGTGGCATAAATTCCAGAAGACCCTCTGTCCGTCGCTCCTCCACAACACGATCCATTGGAAACCGAAGCGACTTTAACTCGACAATTGCAGGCGATTCCACCCCAGCTGCCTCTACCGTGCTAGATGACGACGAGGTTAACAGCCCAATCAGCCGTCGCGGAAGCACAGCTGCTCTCTCCACAAATGGCGATGCCGAACACGAGGAGCACGTCAACAACTACGTGGAAAGCCAGCTGCAGCGTGTCCGCAGCTCTGCATCGATTGCTACCTACGAAGACGAGTTTGAGACACAGGCTGAGAAGGAGAATGACCACTAGATCTGCTATGAGTAGACATATTTTGCATTGAGAGCCCTTCCGGTTGATACATAAGAGCCATGGATTGTGTTTTCTTTTGTTACGTTCGATACGGTGATGAACGGACTACATTTAATAGATATCATCTAAGATGTCAGATAGTTGATTTACGCATTTTATAGTACGAGAATTATACGAAGATTGCATACAATGAAATGAGGCTTTCCAATTCTAAAAGTAACATAGGACTTTCAAATAATCCTAGATGTCATGATACAAACTAATGATTGACCCCAAATGTGATATATAACATCAACAACTTGAAGCAAATTTTCTTCATCCAATGGATAGTACAGAGGTATATAGATAACTTTACTCACTTCTATGCCCAAGTAGGAAGTGTGCAAATCGAGTAAGCCAGCCGCATCCGAGGTTGGATCCATGCAGCGTTTTAAGACTGGAAATAGTACAGTACAGAGAACCCCCTTATTCGCCAAGCCATGCAAGTAAATAATAAACAGTTAACAGATTCACGGATGGATATTGATAGATGCAAAAATCTTGCATTCGAACTTATGGATTTTTTTTTTCGTAATTCTTCTTTCATTGAAAAGCAAGTGTGGCATAGAGCGGATACTTGATATTTTTGAAGCATTGATCAAGAGAAGAGATCAACAATGCGTGCGTATGAGGGATCGTAATTTTCAAGGCGCGGAAAGGAAAGCATCGGGTGGGAGGGCACCCTGCGCCTAAAAAGAGTTAGATTGATATTCATGGGGTTTCTTTTCCAAGAATTGGTGCTTAGATAGGGGTTAGCTTACCTTCAACTGCTCAAAATTCGACCACGCGGCTTCGAGGTTCCATCCATTACTCGATAGAGCCATTTCAGAATACTGAAGAGTCATATTTGACTTTGCACTTAACTGGGCAACCATCTGCTCTTGCTGAACTTGCGCATCCGTCTTTCCAGGTGCAGGAGTACCATATCCGACCGGAATACCAGGTTGACCAGGAACCGGAGCTGAGGGCATCGGTGCAACTACAGCAGGAGGAGCAACTACAGCAGGAGGAGCAATCGCAGCAGGAATAGGAGCAACAGCCTGTGGAATAGCTTGGTTCTCAGGACTCCAAGCTTCATGACCACCATATGCGCGAAGACAGAGTGTATCGTTCAGAACACGGATACCACCCAGACCACCGCCAGGCCCGATAACAAAGGTTCGATCAAAGCTGCGCGTCTCTACTTTACCCCCGACGCTTTCTTCGAACTTTCCATGAGTCATGACTATAAGTCCACCGACGCCGAACTCGCTTAAGCCGCCTAGGTCTGGAAGTCCAGGCAGAGGGTGGCACTCGATGAGGTACTCTTCCGGGTGGACGAGCATGTCGGGATGGCGAGTGGCGGGGAAAGAACTCCAGACTTCGCCGATTTTCTCCTTTCCGACGTATTCTCGTGACATACGTGCGGGGAGGTGGCTGATTTTCTGGAGATTGCGACTCCTCTTGATGTAGGGATCCCAGGAGGGAGTTTCGGCATCGGCGGATTTAGGAGCGGATGTGTTAATGTCGATTGTGAATTTCGAGTGTTCGTCATAGACGCTGTTTAGGAGTTGTGTACGATCGTTATCGTAGCCGGGGAAGAAGGCACGAATGAAGTTTTCCCCGATTTGAGAATCGTCTTGGAAGTGTGGTGGTTGAACAGGAATGGGTGTCTTCTTTTGAGCTGCGACTTCTTCTGGGGTACGGACTTGGACATTGTTTAGGGTTTGCAGCTTTGGATACCATTTCATCATGGTATTTTTGAAATTTTCATCTGCGGAAAAAGGGCTTCCTGTCAAATCTAAGAATTCCAGGTCTCGGAACTTCCACCTCCATCCAATGATGGAGTGGGCGTCTTTGAAGTTGTTGTTTGACAAGTCTAAATTCTTCAAGCCGGGAACAGTTTGAGCTAAAGTAGTCACAACAGTAATATTGGCGAGTTGATTGTTGGCCAAGCTGACACTTTGCACAGCTTCACGTCTTTGTGTCGAGTCTGTGAATCCCATCTCCCACACCTTCATCAAAGCAGGGAAAAACTTCGATTCGGTTGAAGTGCTGTTGAAGATGCCCATAGCTTGTAGGTCGGGATCGGTACCAAGTTTCGACAGATCAAGAAGTTTGGTCTCTGGGTAGTAGCGCTTGGCGAGGATGGCAGTCATCTTGGTTTTGGTATCGGCGGTTGAGGCGGAAGGTCCGCTGGTGGTGCCAAGTTCGCGATCAAGAGCTGCGCTCGAAGATGGGTCATATGGTTCAACAGAGATCTTAGTACCTGCAAAGGTATTGCCATTGATGCGAGTCATGATATCTGCCAATTCTGATCGTACTGATACAACAAGTGTGTCTCCTTCAACCCGCGACTATAGTCGAATGTTAGCAAGGCGCAAAGGACCTTGAGAGAAATTCTAATGCGGCCCCAATAGAAAAGAAGGAACGCCGAAGAGAGCCCCGGGAGGTAGCAACCGTCGTCTTTCCAAGGAAACCACTTTGATAAAAGAGCGAACATCGGACCGGGTGGCGTCAAGGTTCGTATATATGGTGGCCGCTATCTCGAATATACAGTATAAGTGAAACATACCTTGCTAATCTTTGCGCGGGGTCCTGATTTCACGTGTACGTTCATTCGTCGTTCAAGAAATGCCGTAAGATTTTCGATTCCGCCGTCCTTGTTGGTTGAGACCTTGCTATTCCTCCAACCGGTAATACCGAACTGGTCCAATTTATTTCCGTTGGAGTTCGTTTGCCTGCCGGAGCGAACGTTGGCTTGTGGTGCCTTGTTGTCGGAAATGGCACGCTGAATCGCATCCAGATTCCTGTTGTCGCGTGTTTGTGTTCGGCCTCCAGGATTGGCGCGACCCGCGGTAGGTCTTCCGGAACCACCTCTTCCTCTTTTCCCTCCTCGTGCACCGCTTTGATCCATTTCCATGTCTCCGTCACGATCGGTGCGAGTTGGCCCCCGCTTGCGAATACCACCGCCACCACCCGCGCCGGCGGGACGACGAGACTTCATAGTCTTCATGTCTGAGAGGTTGATTGTTTGATGGGAGGAGTGAGGAACCAGGTATGGGACAGGCAAGGTTCCGCGAAAGTAACCCGCCTAAAGGCCTTGGTGTGGACTCACGCGATGCGCACCTTGCTCAAACAAAAAGAAATGGTCGCATACAACGAAGAACGTGGCGAGAGACGTGGTATTGGAGGAAAAGTGGAAGATGGGGAAACTGGAGAGGGAATATATGAGAGAGAGAGGAAGAAACCGCAAAGATAGAAAGTGAGAGAAGTTAGGCAGCGAAACCGCCCCGACTGTTGCAAGATTGAATTATCCTACGGATCAAAAAAAGTGACGTGCAGGTCACCTGAGGCGGTGAGTGGATGGCTGCCTACACGTGATGGAGATGAGTCATGCGCTAGGGGCTCTGCATTCCATGAGCCAATCATAATTCGTCTTTACCTTTCACAGTGTCAACTGGTCTGTCTGCCTTCAAGTGCAATTCGTATTCGCTGAGACAATGCCTATTTCGATTCTTGATTCCCGTCCAAAATAGACTTCTATTCATCATGTCAGTACGGTTTTCGGAGTTTTGCTTTGATGCCTGGTTAACATATGTATAGGTATCAGGACTGCCGGTGAGGAACAATAGATGGACAAAGTGCTGAAAATGGGACTGCAACTTACTAGTAGTACCGGATGAAAGATCTAACTTGAACTAATTTGGTAATTGAATTCAACCTTTAACTTGAAGTCAAAGAACACATGAAACCTGGAAGAAAAGAAGAAAATTGCCTTGCAGTGAAGTTCGTTAAAATTAGTATACTAAGAATTCTCTATAGATTCAGACCATCAATAAGCAACCCTCTGCATGCGTAGACTCAGAGCTAATTCCCCCATTCACGGGTACTAGTACTAAGTACTACTAGTATGCAATAACATTGAATAAATAATACAAAGCAAAGCGTGGGACACGGGCTTCATACATGTCTTGAATGGAAAGAAAGTATGAACGACAAAGGTTCTGTCTACTTGAATGTCTCATTCGGAAGGAAATCAGCGATTGAAAGGGTAGCAGCCTAAACAAATCCTCTCATCAGAGTCTACATTCAATCCACTGAGCCCACTAAGCCGTAAATGGAAGGAAGCAAAAATGGAGGAGCTGAATGCATAACAAACGTTCAAAACCTGGTGTTGTAATTTTGCTGGACCGCAGGTGCATCCGTTCGAACGGCATTAGCGTAGTGACGTAGCATGGCATGGTGTGCAGTGTACAAGTTGCATTTCCCCGCCCATACATTCACTGCAGATAACAAGTATTCACAGCCGTACGAAGGCAAGGTGACAAGATTAATTGATGTGAAGGTTGATAAGTGAATGGTTCATCCTCTACCAAATACATCATCGATACTCGGAACCTCATCACTCAAATATCTCGACCAACAAGCCGACATAAGAACACCTCCATCCGAAGTGCATATCTCGCACACGGAATCCCAGCGAAGGAAAGCCCCACATAAGCATGCCTCGACACGAGTCTCGGAAGATTGAGTTTGCGGGGACGGCAGTCCACGAAGTACGGAGGTGGATCCTATCAACCCCGGCCTGCCACCGGAGCATGGAGGCCGTATGGGACGACCTCGCATGGGTTCTAGGGCATGGCTGCCGTCATAGCAGCGAAATACGGACGTGCGATCGTCAGTCAGCCTAGGGGGTCCAGGGCATAAATATCCTGGGGAAGAAGTATCTATACCTCCTTCCTGAATTGTTTATCTTTTTCATCCCCTTTACGTCTAGTCCAGTCCAGCCTTGAATATGGATTCGAATGATATGGATGGCGTCTGCCAGAAGGATGTCACTTTTAAACAGATTGAACATGCTGTTATAGATGAGAGTTTTGGTCCTGAGGAGGAGAAGGCTCTTGTTAGGAAGATTGATCTGATGCTTTTGCCTGTGATATGGATTATGTACTTGTTATCTTATATGGATCGCACAAAGTGAGTTTGGGAATGCTTGTCTCTTCGATAATACGAGGCTAATGGGACTTTTTCATCTCTAGCATTGCGAATGCTAAGGTATCCGGCATGGACGAAGACCTTGGCTTAACCTCGAACCAATACTCAGTAGCCCTGGTGGTCTACTTTGTAGGATACGTCGTATTTGAAGTTCCTAGCAAGTAAGTCCTACCACTGATCCCATCTACCTGTCCATCACTAATCGTGCCCCGTCTCTCAGTCTGGTCCTGGGTCGAACCCGACCATCCATTTTCCTACCCTCGATCATGGTTCTCTGGGGCGTACTCACCTGCCTCATGTCAGTGATCCAAAGCTACACACACCTTATCGTTCTCCGTATTTTGGTCGGAAGCGTGGAGGCCGGATTTGCTCCCGGTGTTCTCCTTGTCCTCTCATCCTGGTATAAACGGACCGAGCAATCGAAGCGCTTCGGTGTCTACATCTCCGCTGCAGTTCTCTCGGGCGCGTTCGGTAGTCTGATCGCCGCCGGGATTATGGACGGACTTGAAGGTGCCCACGGACTCCGCGGATGGCGCTGGCTGTTTATCGTCGAGGGTGCTGCTACCATCGGCTTCGCTCTGATCGCTCTGTTTATTCTTCCCGACTTCCCTGCCACATCACGAGGTCTATCCGAGCGCGAGAAGCACATTGCTGTAAACCGTCTAGCCAGTGAAAACGTAACTGCCGTTACAGAGGATTCTGCACCCCTCAGTAACTGGGGTGCTATGAAGATTGCCTGTGGTGACTGGCGCACCTGGGTTTTCGTTGTTGGATACATGGTGAGTCCGGCATTCTATTAAGTCCTCTACTGTAATGAATACTAAAGAAACATTCTTTCTCAGGTCATCGTCGGATCCAGCACTCTAACCTATTTCTACCCAACTCTCGTCCAAGGATTATTCGGAAACGCCTCTACCGAGAAAATTAACCTCCTTACCGTCCCTATCTACGGCGCTGCATTCGTAGCTACAGGCTTCACCTCATACTTCAGCGACAAAATTCCCAGCTGGCGAGGCTTCATAATCGCCTGCTGGTTAACCTTCTCGCTCATCTGCTCAATTATCGTGTGTGCAGTGTACAACCACACAGCCCGATACGTCCTCATGGTCTTAATGGCATGTGGTCTCTGGGCTACGAACGGAGGAACACTCGCGTATGCCTCGTCTGCATTTGCAGGAATGCATCCACAGGCCCGAGGTGTCAGTTTAGCATTGGTGAATGCGATGGGGAATTTGGCTCAGATCTATGGATCTTACCTCTTCCCTGAGTCGGATAGCCCCCAATACATTATGGGATTCTCTGTTATCTCTGCAATGCTGGCATTGGGAGTTGTTGTTTTTGCTGGGCTGCATGTTTGGTTCCGTTGTCGTACACGGTCATTCCTTGAGGAGTGATTTTAGTGTTTCATGTATATACTACTAGTATCAGCTAAGCTTCAATTTGAAGTTCCAATGTTGTAAAAGGCTCATTGTACAGATTTTACGAATACTATGATTTTTATCACATAAGAGAAACGATCTACTTAGTTCATTTAGATCATATAAATATATTATCACAGAATAAATCATGGCCACTCGAATTCCGAATATAGACACAATTTGGAATCTAGTTCACACAGGTATAAATCCTGTGGAGCGGAAATGTGACCAAATGGGTAAATCCGCCGTTCTCTGCCCAAAATTCCCATTGCAGGAAGGGAGAGGGCAGGGAGACAAAGCACGATGGCTGGATAGGAAAGTTTTTCCAAGACAAGGCGTTATTCCTGTGGGTCATGGCCGGGTATATGTGCCTCTGTTCCCGGTTCGGAATGACATAGAAACCGAAGGGTTCGACACTCTTGAAAATCTCTAATGACTCTGCTAGAGCCAAAGCTGAGCCGATCCTCGTTCGGTGTGAGGCATGCCATGATCTGTGTCCCGGTTGTCCAGGGACAGGGCTAGGAGCGAAGATCGCAGCCTCGCTCTGGAATGGCGGGTACGTGTCCCACTCAATACACACGTGTCGGGGGAGGTACATGCCGAAACACGATAAGAGAGCTTCGAAAGGATTCCTCTGGAATGTTGAAAGGCTGAATCAGTGAGATTCGCCGATGGAAATATACAATTTAGGTACGATTCGATTTCTTTCATCTCAACAAATCATTGAACGAGTCCTTTCCATATTCAAGCTCAAGCTCCTTTCTCAGAGAATGCAAGGGCCAGCGCACTCGACTTTGGCATGTTTCAATGAGGTCAAGAAGTGCCAATCGTTCATGTGGAGTGTAGACACACATTCCGGCTGAAGGAAGCAAAGAGAATTAGCCATCCATTTCAAAAGAATAAAAAAGAATATCTTAGAATAAATATAAACACGTACCTCCAAACATAGTATGCAAACAGACAATATTTGCTGCCTCATCCTTTTCATCCACAGACCGCACAATCCCACAAATAGTATTAACAGACATTGTGAGAAGTTTCTGCGCGGCCCGGAAATCTTCAACGCCCCCAGAAGAAGGCCTGTTCAGAATAACAAGAATTCTCGCAAGACTGTGAATCTGCAATGCAGCCGCATAGGAAGGCGGATTAATCCATATAGGAGGGAAAATTCCACAGCTAGACATGACAGGCAGTGGATTGTATTCGGGTGGTAAATGGTCATGCCATTCCTGGAGCATGAAGAGAAGCTCACTCCCTTTATCCAGACGACGCTCGAGATCAGATGCTTCGTGCTCTTCTTTTGACGCATAGTTGACGCATTGTGCGAGGAGGTAGGTAGCCCGAGTTGCGAGTTCAGGACCAGATAAATTCGATACAGGCTTTTTCGGACTCCAGAAACTGAACACGCGGCGTCGCTCGCGCATGGCAACCCAGACATCTTGTCGAAGCCAAGCCCACCATACAGCTGATCTGAGGCCTCCAGATTCACCGTCATTGTCTTGGAATCGTTGAATCCAGAAGACACCCTTCAGATGCCTTTCCCAGTTTTGGTTCGAGCCATCGATCATTTCGTAGGTGCTGATGAGAATAGCAGTAGCAATCAATTCATGACTGCGAGCATAAGAGGAATGTTGCATAGCTTTGTTCAGATAATGGAGCGATTCAAAGTAGTATTGTACCGCCAAGTTACGGGTAATTTGAGCTTCTCGGTGAGATGAATTGCCATCGGCATCAACAGAAAGGTTTTTTATTGATTCAGACTGGTTATTTTGTTGAGAGTGGTGGCGCGCAGACAAAGCCAAAAGAGCTCTCATCAAGCCTACATTATGAAGGGCGAGATGTGGAACAATCGAGGCGAAGTTTTTCTCGGGATCGTAAAAGTCCAACCAGTGGCTTGAAACGCGTACAAAGTGTTGAAAGAGATAATGTTCGAGTGGGGAAAGCTCAATCATATACTCTGAACTCCATGAAGACGGTGCACTAGAAACGGCAGATCCAAGGTCAGGAGTTACAGACGGGAGGACCGTAGGCTGCGAAACAAATTCCTGTACTATCTCTGGGTCCTGCGGGAACGCTGCTGCATTGAAGCTTTGACTTTCTCGTAGAGTTCGAGGTCGCAAATTTGAACTATTCCGCGGGTCTTCGTCCGTATCAACTTGGGTATGGTTGTGACCGGTAGCATTGGATCGCGGGAATTGTTGTGGCGGAGACAGAAGAAATCGTTCATCGGCATTGGCAGCATCCGTTGCTAAGAGCTCAAACCAACTCAGCGGCGCAGCTCTAGATGAAAACGAGCTTTCAGTTCCTGGTGATGGCACATAGCCACTATATGGAGAATTAGGAGCGGGCAAGATGACATTAGCAGAGACACGGTTTTCCGGCGTGAAGGTAGCGAGGTCGGTCTGTGATTCGACCTGTGGACTGAACTGCTTAATAGGTTGTTCTTGATCGCAAGCATCAACTAATATCTGCAGTGGTTCATGCATGAGAGTATTTCCATCTCTCGGATCGAAAGTCGGTAATTCCGTAGGGGATTCAGGTGCAGGGTCCTCTGCTGGAGAGGGACGATTATATGGGGAGTCCGCTGGGGCATAAGCACATGGTCGATGGCCTTTAGCACAGGGACCACATTGGGGCCGTACCTAATGATAGACAGATCCAATTAGAATTTCTTTCCTCTTTTGAAAGTTGCCAGTAGTGTCTGCTAGCTGTATGGTAGTACATAACATACCTCATCACATTTGACATGTCGCCTCTTGCAGATTAGACTAGGCAAAGGTTAATCACACCGAAATCGCCGAAATCTGGGGGTAAAACTGACCAACCAGTGGTCGCGCGCAATCCGCGACCTCGGGATTTGCGCTTTTGTTGAATAGCGCCCTTTGGCCTTGCCATGACGCAGAGCAGGGGAGCTCATGAAAGAAGAATGATCGTGTCGAGGTCAGCGGGGAAGCTTACTAATCCTCTCAGTCAAGTTAACTAACTAGGTTAGTTATGAGTCCTAACTATCATCTCAAGGTTCTGCTCCGAACTATACATAATGGAGCAATACTATAGAATATTAACATATATAAGAACTTAGCTAAATATCAAAGCGTTTGATATCGCCTGAGGGGCGTCAAAGGTGGATTGATACATAGATATGCCTTAATCAAAAAAGGACATTACGTCGACCCATTGCATCTTGATGGGATAAAGAAACTCACCCCAACGCCCTTCTGGTAGCACCCCCTATCCTCAACCGAGAAACAAACTCTATGACAAGAGGGCTATGAGATAATATTAGAGGGTTGTACCCCCGGCAAAAGTTCCACACAATACGTAAATTAATTCCGTGGAAATTACGAACTTCATCTCTCGTAATCGATAGCTCGTTAATAAGCTGGCTTCTGATACCCCAGACGAAGAATGATATCTTGTCTAGGGGTACCCTTACTGGGTTGAAGATGTTAAGGAACGAGTATAGATCAGTTGTGAGGCCATCGCAGCCTACTATGATAATCACTATATGATTGTGTTCATGGGAGGCGAATCGTATATAGTAGGAGTAGAGTAAATATTACTCATTATTGGTAATGGCATAGCTGCTGATCCAACAAAGGGCAAATAATCACAGATATCAAAAATCTGATGTTGAATTACTGCTCATACCGAGACCCAAGACATGCTAGGAATTCGGAAAGCCTTGGTTTAGTATACTTTTCTCATGTCGTGATGCGGTTGAGGAGAACAATGAAGAGCGCTGCGGAATGTATGTGTGGAGGTAGTTGAAGCTGATGGATACTCATGTCCCCAGCCTGTGTCTGAGCTTCATCCAAACTAGTAGCGAGATCTATAGTCTGCTGGATGTTGGTCTGATTCTCCTGATCAGATTCTCCAGTCTGTGATGGAATGTCATGTATAATAAACGTGGCAGTCTGACTACGTTATGCAATTGCATCTCAATATCAAAGAACCTTAACTGAATTCGAACATATCCTCATGATGCATTCCTATCATAGAATCATAGACAAATATCGTACCGACCCAGCCCAAAAGACCAAATTTAAACCTTTCAAAACCTTCAAGTTCACCATACATAAACTCCTAAATACGAGTCTCCTGATGCGTACAAACCCTCCACTCCCCATCCGAAGCCTGACTCCAAGTAGTATGCGAAGTAGCCCTCCACCTCTTATTATCCCTCGTCGCATCAACAGTACAAGTAACCGTTGCAGCCATCAATCCCATAATAATAATCCTCACATCCTGCAACTCATAGGTATCAAAGCGATGAAAGGGTGCTCGGACTGCTCTTCGGAACTTCTTTTCGTCTTGGAAGGTCAAGACTTCCTTTTTGGGCCAGAGGAAGTTGGCGTAGGAGTTGCTTAGTTTGATTATTTCGGAGGCAGGCTCAGCGGATGTAAGGGCTGTCCAGAGGGCGCGCTCTTTGTCCATTACTTCTTCGCGGATTCGGTCGTGGATGTCTGGCATTTTTGCGGGGAGAGTTGAGGGATATGGAAGAGTGAGGAGATAGTACTGGAGGGATGGTGGATTTGTTAGATATGGCAGGCTGTAGGTTGTGTACCGTATACAAGGTAGTGCATAACGTACATGAGCAGGACAGTAGGATCTAGAAGCCGACACGCTTGGAATATAGAATATAGAGTATAGAGAGTGAAGAAATGAAGTGAATAGATTTATGGATCTGGTGTTGTTCAAGTTCTACAGTATCATGCTGTGTATGAATCCAAATAGATTAAATGACGTCAGTGGGATGAGATGACGAGGCGCCGTTAAATGGAGTTAATTAATTCTGGGCGATCAGCCACTGATTGGGCCATGCTTCCATTGTTCCAGGGCCTTTTTTAAAGGTTTCATGGTTCACATCCAAGTATCACGGTGGCTTGTTGCCGCACGTCATACCTGTCAGGCTGTCAGGTTAGACTGGATGCTTGGCTGTGGTCAGTCAGCTGGAGGCACCAACCAGGACCAGTAGGTAAACATTTCGACTATAAGGCAGAACTGTCTATTTGTGTGGGTTTCTTCTATTTTGATACCATGGTGGTGTTATCGGCGTGGATGATGTACTGATATGTAAATGCTGGATTGGGAACTTGAATGGATAGAGGGGAGCGACCGTAGGAGTATGGAAGATCAAGTTCCAACATTTCCAAAGTTGAATATCTGTTGATTGATTCTGTTCGAATAACATAGATAGATTCAGATGCGATCCCAGAGTTATAAAGCATGAAATAGTAAATGTGAATTTCATTCAAGTTCAAGTTCCTGTCTATGACCTATGATGTAGTGATCAGATCTGGTGGGACAGTGATTTCTTACCTGTGGGGCCCACCAACTCAACAGGAACCAGCTTTGCCTTTCCCGTTGACTCAACAGGAATAGCAAATAGCACTGACATATGAATACTATAATATAGATTAGATCATAGCGCATTATAAAAGCAGGAGTACGGGGGCTGAATGATAAGATCGGAAGATCCAGTCCGTCCTAGACTCTTAGCTGAATATCATGACCTTTTCCGCACCCGGTGGACAAGGTTATAACTCGGTTCTTTTTCGGTGAGAAGACTTGGCTGGATTGACATTGGCTCAACAGAGTCCAAATTTGAGAAGATTACAGTGATCCTGCAGCGGTCTTCGTCTCTTGGCCGGGTCCGTTGTAAGGGAGACATAAGGGGGGTCGGATAGGCTTCCGTGCTCCAGGTCTACTATATGCACTGTAGGGCTGTTTTGAACACGAACTAAAGGGCTTAAGAACCTCGGGATTGTTGATGTTGATGACCAAAACGATGAGATAATTAATACCTAAACGAGTTACATTCAATCCGCAGTCTTTTCGTTTCCCGGGGTATTCTTATTCCACCGAGAACTAGGATACTAGTTACAAAATTACATCTAGTGCTCGCTTCCTCTTCCCTCGGTAGAGTTAGTATTCCGCATCTTTACAATCCTCGTCACCCGCGGCTATTTCTTTTGTGCTTTTCTCCTTTGTTCCGATCAGCACGGGCCAGTTTCCCCTGGTGGCTAATATAGTGTCGATCATTGGCCCGGCCAGCGGTGGATCTCCCGTGATCATGACGCATTCAGCTAATTCTCAACCTATCCGGATGTGCGTAGGATGCGAAAGGAGGGAGAAAAGAGGCACAGAATAGAGAATGGAGAATGGAAAGTCACACCATCAAGTTCCTTACAAGTTACTTCTTCTGGAGAAGCTGAAAAGAAGCATGGACCAAGCCCGGTTACCAGCGGGCCGATATCGTTAGGATTGAGTTTGTAGAGAAGAAGAAGAATCACAATAAGATAAAAGTCAAAAAAAGAAACAGGCACAGGCTAGGAATGATTCTCCGAGGGAAAGAAAGCAGCTTCGTTGTGGGTTGCTTGTTGGGGCCAACGGGCCAGACTCAACCATTTCCCTACATCCCCCGGGTCTTGAGTCTACTCCAGCCTATTTCAGCCGCTCATTTAGTTAAACTTGCACGGGAATTGAAGTGTCCGTAAATCCTGCCATGTGAGTGGTGTTAAGCAGTTAGACTTACCCGTAAGAACCGTAAGCTCCAATGATAATACTCCGTCTGCATCGATTCTTTCCCCACACTGATTATCGTAACCGTCCAACCGGTGAATCTTCCCCTCTTCGACTCATTCATCTGATCTTAATATCCTGATCTCCCATCCTTCCAATATCCTTTCTTCTTCTTCTTTTCCCTCTCTCTCCTCCCCACCCTGTCACACCCATACCCAATCGCAATGTCTCTCCCCTTGCAGCGGTCCTTGCCCCGGACCGTCCTGCGATCCTATGGCACCGTCCAAGGTCCCCCAAGCACCGCATCGCTTGCCAACCGGATCCCTAATGTCCTCGTCGAGGCTACCACTGCCAATGCCCCCCGTACCAACTGGACCCGTGATGAAGTCAGCCAAATCTATAACACACCCTTGAGCCAGCTCACCTATGCCTCTGTAAGTACAAGGATCTCAGACCCCAGATCTCACCCCCGCCCCGCCATTGATACCCAATTCATCACCACACCTCAAGACAACCACAAAACCTCAATGAACAAAGCTAATAACCCCGCAGCAAGCGGTCCACCGCCGCTTCCACGACCCAGCCGCCATCCAAATGTGCACCCTGATGAACATCAAAACCGGCGGCTGTTCCGAAGACTGCTCCTACTGCGCCCAATCCTCAAAGCACAACACAGGCCTTAAAGCCACAAAAATGAGCCCAGTAGACGAAGTCCTCGAAAAAGCCCGTAACGCCAAAGCCAACGGCTCCACCCGATTCTGCATGGGCGCCGCCTGGCGCGACATGCGAGGCCGAAAAACCTCTTTAAAAAACGTAAAGGCCATGGTCTCCGGAATCCGCGACATGAACATGGAAGTCTGCGTAACACTCGGAATGATCGATCAGCACCAAGCAAAAGAACTAAAAGAAGCAGGGCTCACAGCCTATAACCATAACCTCGATACATCCCGCGAGTTCTATCCCACAATCATCACCACCCGCTCCTACGACGAGCGTCTAAAGACACTAGACCACGTCCGCGATGCGGGTATTAACGTTTGCTCTGGTGGAATTCTGGGTCTTGGCGAGTCAGACGCTGATCGTGTGGGATTGCTTCATACTGTTTCTTCATTGCCTGCTCATCCTGAGAGTTTTCCTGTTAATGCGCTTGTTCCTATTCCGGGCACACCCCTTGGAGATAGGAAGATGATTCCGTTTGATCGGGTATTGAGAACTATTGCCACGGCGAGAATTGTGATGCCGGGAACTATTGTCCGTCTTGCTGCGGGAAGGATTGCCATGTCGGAGGAGCAGCAGGTTGCATGCTTTCAGGCTGGTGCTAATGCTGTTTTCACTGGGGAGAAGATGCTGACTACTGATTGTAGTGGGTGGGATGAGGATAAGGTCATGTTTGATCGATGGGGTTATTATCCTATGAAGAGCTTTGAGAAGCCTCTTCCCGGTGTTGGTGCCGAGAAGGCGACTGTGACCCCACCATCTGCTGAGTCGGAGACTGCTGCGCCGGTCGCAGCTAGTGTTTAGTGGGATGATTTCTTTGAATTTTCTTTTATATTATGTTATGATCACAGAAGATAGATTCGTGTCTTCTGGGCAAAATTTGTTAGAGTTAGAAATATAAGATGTGCTTTACCTCTGGCAAGCACTTGTCTAGCAATACGAGACTACTTAGGGGTTACATGATTTCAGCATTGAGCTTTTCAAAGAATAACATAGGTGGATACCGGTATCCATAAACCAGACGGTAGAGACAAAGAACTTCAAACAAAGAATGAGATATCCGGCCCTCCCCTATGATACGCCTTCAGGGGTAGCTGGTCCACCTGGCCATTCCTACGTAGTCCTAGGGAAGATTTGAATAGCGCCGCTCGTAGATTCAGAGTATGGCATATGGTTTGATTTCATGCAACATCAACTGTAAAACAGCCCATGGATATCCAGCCAGTCAAAATGCAAATATATTTTCATGTCTATCATCAGGACGTCAGACCCGCTATCCCAATCGACAGCTAGGGTATAATATAAACCAAACAGGCCCTCGATCAAGCCGCACCCTGAATAGCCTGCTCAGGCTTCGTCCGCCCAAGCCCTTCCTTACCATAAAAGTCCATAGGATACACTCCTTCATTCGCAGTATCCCAGTTTTCACGAACACCAAGCGCGATCAACGCTTCATAAGGCGTAAGCAACGGACGAGCAAACGCATAGCCCCAATCAATACTAAGACGAGGACAAGCAATCTGAACCCAGCACTCAACATCTGACATGGAGGCCAATTTACCTGGGAAGATTTCACTCAAGAGCAGATTGACGATAGGAATACCACGCTCGGCTAGATGGCGCTCGATCATAGCCATGGTATTTGGATTTCCCTGTCGACCGAGCGAACCGAGAATGATTCCCCACTTCTTAGCATTCTTAGCAGTATTGATAGCATCGCGTCGGATGGTGTGCATTTCTTCATGATCGTAGCTTTCACGAGTCAAACTTCTCGAATAAGGATCATATCTGTAAGCGGGTATCAAAGGATTTTGAATCATAGCCGATTCGAGATGAAAGCGACCATCACCGAGATAAAGCAGAACATCGATTTCTGTATTTGATAGTTGGGGAGATGTGCAGCCGAGAATTTCGCCCTTGGATAACGGCATAATTTGGGGCACGACGACTTTGAAGCCCGCGCGTTCCAGAACAGGCTTCAACCCATGCAGAGTAGCGTTGAATTGAATAGTTCCGACCGTGGCAATAGTTTGACCTGGTTTAAAGTTTCGCTCAAGTGTAGCAATCAGGTGTGTTGTGTCGATGCTGATGTCGACAAAGATATATAATGTTTTAATCTTGGTAACGTCCACAGGAATCAGACAACTGTGTGCATAGTGGACTAGGAGGTCGCAGCCTAGTGCCCGAGCTGTGTAATCGTCAATGCAGCAGGCGCCGTATGTGACATCGCCCATGATCAGGGTTTCAATTCCGGGGCAGAATTGTTGGAGAATATCGGAGATAGTGGTAGCGAAGATGAGGAGGCCTTCGGGGAATTGTAAGGCTACGCGCTTAGCTCCGGATGTGCGGACTCGGTGAATAGTCTTTGGGATTTCGAAGGAGTAGTTCTTTGGAAGGAGTTCGATGGCGGCTTGAATTTCGGGATCATTGAGGATTTCTGCTGGAACTTGATTCAAAGTTCTTGGGGTGCGACGAGGTGCAGCTATTGTAAAGAAGCATTGTTAGTATACATGGTTATAAGTAGTGCTGTCTTTCATGTTAGTGGGGGACACCAAGGAAATTACCTTTTTCCACAGCTGTAGACTCGACATCACCACTGGCTGGAGTCACCTGAGCCTGTGCATCGGCCGTTCGTCTTCCGACAAAGCGTTTCTTCGGTTGGCGCAATGTACTATCCATTTTTTCTGCGATCGTGATGATAGCGTGATGGAGGGGCGATGGCTGATAAGAGACGACTTTTCTCCCCGCGATAATCTTTTTTCTGCAAAGGCGGTGAAATATGGGACGATCACTAACAGAAATCCGAGCTAAGCCCATTACGGACTAGCTCTCTCCGCACCATGTAGCTCCCCCTCTCACCCATGTTCTCCTTCTCTTATAATCCTCCTATGTACCTCGAAGCTCTGCTGGATGTACCTTGATTTTAGCGCTTTACACTCCTAAGACTCACAATATGCTTCCTCGATCTCGTCTACGTTTCTTTACAGCTCTGCGGGCTCCTCCATGCACACGACGCTTTGCGACCGAGTCGCGGTTAGCCTCGGATCATGTTCGCATTGTGGAGGTTGGACCTCGGGATGGGTTGCAGAATGAGAAGAAATCCATTCCAAAGGAAACAAAACTAGAATTGATCCAACGACTAGCAAAGACTGGCGTGACGACAATAGAGGCGGGATCATTCGTCCCTGCAAAATGGGTGCCACAGGTGCGGGCCCCCAGCTCATTGATTATTACAAGCTCTAGCAAATCACTAACATTATCTGATCCCATTGTCATAGATGGCTAGTACATCTGAAATCTGCGAACAGCTCCTCACCTCTCCCCCTCCCTCTCAAAATACAATCGCCTACAACTACCTCGTCCCCAACATCAAGGGACTTGAGAGTCTAGTTAAAATAATGGACGCCACCGGCGTGCCAGCAGATTCGAAACCCGCAACAACCACAGAAGTCTCCCTTTTCGCAGCAGCAACCGAAGCATTTTCGAAAGCAAATACAAACTGCACAATCGCCGAATCGCTAGAACGAATCAAACCCATCGTTGCCCTGGCCAAGACCAAGAACATCCGCGTTCGGGGCTACGTCTCCGTAGCTCTGGGATGTCCCTACGAAGGACCAGAGGTCGACCCTTCCAAAGTAGCCGATATAACCGCGAGCCTGCTGGAAATGGGTGCCGACGAAGTTTCCGTCGCGGATACTACTGGCATGGGCACAGCGCCAAGAACAAACGAACTTCTCACAACATTAAAAGCAGCCGGCATTGCTAGTACAGATCTTGCACTACACTTCCATGATACATATGGACAGGCCTTGGTGAATACAATTGTTGGTCTGGAGCATGGAATTCGGATTTTTGATAGCAGTGTCGGTGGCTTGGGTGGCTGTCCGTATTCTAAGGGGGCGACTGGAAATGTCTCAACAGAGGATCTTATTCATACTATTCACAGCCTTGGAATGAATACAGGCATCAGTTTGGAGGAGATGTCTAAGATTGGGTCATGGATTAGTGGAGAGCTAGGCCGGGTGAACGATAGCCGAGCGGGCAAGGCGACATCCGCCAGGCTTTGAATATGAAAATATGTGATTTATCTTTTACCAGGATATTGTTTCATTTAACTCCATTGCAAATTCTCTCCCGCTGTGCTTTTGTTAATCCTCAGTATAGGAGGGTTAGAGACTATCTCCGACAATATGGCGTTGCGGGTACCCGTGCAAAAACAATAGTCGCCATCTCCATTTGTTATGTTTAAGTCAATTCTTGAGCTGAAACCCATCGAGACTTTTGTGAACACTCCCAGCCTAGGATTCTTGATGTCTCATTTTGGACATGGAACGAGTTTCTTCAAAATCTTGAAACTTCGCTTTGTTATCTACTTATCTTTTGAGAAATACCAGACCAATTCAACAATGCCGATTTTGCGAATCCTGGCTTCTAATAAAGAATCTAGGTAATATCATTCTTTCAAATGATAATAAATGAAAGAACGATACCGATAACAGTGGAATTGGCCAATAAAGCCACCAGATTAACATCGATTTTTCAATGTGTATAATGGAGCACTACCGGTAGTGCTCACATCAATTTTGACCGCTTACAAACATTCACCCTACGAATCTCAAAATTCCCAATTATATCTGAACTTCTCATCTCTTACTTTAACTTGAAGTCGCCAGCACTTATCCACTCCCATGCCCCCACCATTAGACCCAAGATCCTCTCCTCCAAGCTCAACATACAGCACGCAACTGAACGCAATCCTGTCAAGAATGACGGACGATACCAGCACCCTCCACTTTCTGGATAATAGTCACAAGCGACTCTGCCAAGTTCGAAACCTTTGTGTGGGGTACTCATCCAAATCTGGGCCGTTCATCACCGGTGATGTGTTGGTCAACTGCATTCGGAACTCCACTCCTGGGTTCACATTCAACACCTACAAAACCGCAGAGACGAAGCTGAACAAAGAAACACATCGCGTACAAGCATAGACGAGGACGAAACCGACCTGATAACGGATAAGATTCAGGCAGACTGCCCTGAATGTTTTGCTTGTCTGCGAAATGTCTTCCCTCACTTGGATGGTACGGCAGTAAACGAGAATGGATGGAGCTACATGGCTATTGCTACTTATTCCGGTTCCTTGAAGATGATCAAGTACCTCGGTGCCTTGGATACTCCGAATGGGTCCTGCATCCCACTTCTGACTCTAAACGCGCACATCTTTGGAAAGGGAACGGCTCTCATGATGATTGCACAGAACGAGAACCGCAACGTCGAGTTTCTGCGAGAGTTGTTCACTTTTTTAGTGCCTCGGCTTAACTAGTTGAAACAACCCGATACTGATGATGACCTGATTACAGCCAAAGAAAAGTACAGCTTTGCACCTTCCTTACGCCCGAGTTAGGAGACGAGTTTGAGAAGCTCGGGCTGCCTCTTTATGATGTCCGCACTCCGCAGCACTGAACCCGCAGGCGCCACAGCGTACCACGCCGCAGTCACAAACGGTCCCGAATTCCTGGACTATCTCCACAAAAAATGCACCCATTCTCATCTAACAACTGACTTTTCGAAGGAAACCCCACTGCACTACGCAGTAAAAGCCAACAGACTAGACTCCGTCACTTGGCTACAAGCCCAGGGTGCCCCACCATTAAAAGACTACTTGTCGAGACAGACGCCCTCTCATCTGGAGGCATACTCAACAACCGAAGAGAGTGTGGACATCCTAAAAGCCGTGTTGCCCGGACCAATACACGATCACCGCAGCCCAATCACCTTCAACTACTTGTTTACAGAGTTAGTGAGAGGCCTCCACAGCACGATGAGCACACGACTTTATCGCGGTGATCCCTCCACCTTTGACGGGGAGGACTTTGCAAGATTCGAGAGAATGCATGAGGACCGAGCCATTGCCAAGTGTAGACTGATATTGTAAGTCGCGATGGAAGGTTCTTTTATCAATGAGGTGATGGATGAGGATATGTATGATGAGAGTATTGTGATGAGGAATTACTTTGTCGCAATTAGAAACGCCAGAACATATGGGTTGAAGGAATTGACTGCAGTTTGAAGTGCTATGGTATGAATGAGACTGAGAAAGAAGTGGGTGTTCCGAATCCTATGCAAGACATGTAGGTGAGGAGTGTGAAAGCGCTGGGTGCTGTTAGGTATCTAGCCCTTTTGGCTATGCCTGGGACTTGTATTTTATTAGTCCTTGGTTCGTTGGTTTAGTGTGAGGACATGAATCAAACTGTTATTCTATTTTTTCTTCTCATCCTACTTTATTGAGTCGTTTCTGAAGATTAAGCCTATATTGGACCATAGAGCCGTCGCACAACATCCCAAGGCAAAACATCCTCCACCACTTAAGGCATTGGATCATTACGGTACAAACGGGCTCTTTTCGTGTTCCCATTGACCAAGACTTTTCCAAACACGACCGACTTCAGCAGTTTCTATTACACGGCAGCATACCCAGGTATTTGATATTAGAATAAACCACAGGTCGGATGACTCCATAAGATAGTTTTGTAACCTTGGAATCCTGTTATGATGCCACGCCAAATAGTATAAATACCGTTATATTCCCATATTCTATGGTATTCTTTCACTGATATGTCTCCATCTACCAGTTATTTGATCAATTCAATACTGAAATTCATTCCCATTGCTTCGTTCATTTTCCTAAATTTTTTAAAAAAATGGTCGACATTGAAAATATGGTAGAGCCTCTTGATATCGCAGAAATTGATTTTCAGGCTCTTTCGGCTAGCAGTCCACAGCAACGTCTAGCCGCCCTTCAACAGCTCGACGATGCGTTCAAATCATATGGGATCATTTATCTTTCGAATCATAGTATCGGTCAGGCCATGATAGACGAGGCGATTTCATGGGTATGATTTTTTCTCACCCCCAATAATAGGCTTTCACTTACTCTCCCAAGTCTAGGCGATTTTTCGACTTGCCTTCTGATATAAAGAAGATGATCGAGCATCCAAGAAAGGCAGGTGATCATCGAGGCTGGATACGTGCTGGGATTGGCTATGTTACACAGGGAATTCTGTGTCGGGACCCAGCAGAAGTTGAAAGTATGCATGAAAAGGCCTCTGTCGAGCAGATGGAGAGTCTGGAAACAGGAAAGTCACATCTTGCATTGCATACTCACGCACGGAATCGCTTGCTACCCGAAGAAACTCTCCCGGGATTCCAGTCGTTTTACGCAAAGTGGTGGGCTGCGTGCGTTAATCAAGAACTCCAAATACTGCGAGCTCTCTGTGAGATTCTCGATATTTCCGACCTTGATTATCTTGGCAAGCAACAGACTCCGGATATAAACTGCAGCCAGTTTGGGTGGAACCACTACCCTTCCACACCAATATCATCCCTCAAGCCAGGAGGCAATCGATTGAATACCCATAGCGACTACGGACAATTGACGTTCCTATTCCAGGACGATGTCGGTGGACTTGAGAGTCAAGATGAAGCAGGAATCTTCAGACCCGTCCAACCGAGACGAGGCACGATGATTGTACAAGTTGCAGATATGTTAGAAAGACAGTCTAATGGGAGGTGGAGAAGTGCGTTACATCGTGTTACTACCCCACCCCGGGTCGGATACGATTCTGCAGTGGATGAAAATGAAGAACTTGTTGATCGATATTCAATTGCTTTCTTCGCTATTCCTGACTATGATACAGTCATCGAATCCCTTCCGGGATGTGAAATGAAAGGCAAATGGCATTCATTGCCGTGGAAGGAAGAGACAACTGCGGGTGCTTGGTTGATGAAGAGAGTTGCCCTTGAGTATGAAAGAAAATAGTTCGGTATGTCGGTTGAGGCACATCCGCAACGGAATAGTATGTCAAATAGCTTCATTCTCTCAACCTCAATTTCGGATTTCGGGTTCCAAAGAAAGATTAGATACAACATTTGTCGCTGTTGATATACTAGCCACTTTTGTATGTTCACGAGCCGACATAGCAGCTTCTAATAATTTCTTGCATGGCTAGATAGTCCTTTGAAATCGTCACATGGCCAAATTTATATCTCTATATTTCATTTTACAAATACTAGTAGGTATGAGGGCTCCCTTACAGCGGGTAAGTGTGCGAAGATATCTCGAAATTATCTGCATGGTCGCCTACTGCTGGAATGGTTCAAGCTAAGATGGGTCAACGTTGAGTCTGCTTGCCAGTGGGAGCAAACTTGAAGTCACCTGTAGGTACGTACTATATAGCGGGCGAAATTCTTCCCGTAGAGTCCAATAATTGCATTCTTTCTTTGAAGCCTTTGTTACGTTAGAAGGAACAAATAGCTTTGTCGGTTTCATGCTACTAGAATAAAACAATGCATATTTTGAAATTCTTCAAATAAATTCGGCCAATCTTGGGATCTTTGTGTTTTCAAGTTCAAGTTATCTTTAGGCCACAGAGAGATCAATGGTACAGAGCGTATTGTGGCTCAGCGCGACCGATAAAGAGGTTTCACTCACTACTAGTAGTACGAACCCGGCAAGGCTGAATAGTACTATATAAGTCGAGCGAACCCTCTTAGAACTCGAAGTATATCCATCCAATCCAAGATCATCGAATCATCTCACTATCTCTCATAAAAAAAGGTACATTATGCTTGCCGCAGCCATGAGTTCATTTTATAAAATGGCCAACCTTCAAGTTTCCGAAGAGGTAAGTGAATTTCCAGATGCGCAAAGAATCCTTGTCGACCTCTTATACATATGGAGCAAGAACCTCAAAGACGAAGAAGACGACTGTATATTCGATATTGCTGAGATTATAGGAGACCTTGCCGCCCGATTCGACGTCATGAAGATGGTAGCATTTGAAGAAGGTGCAGAGACAGGTCGATGCTATGGTTTGAAATGCGATATGATTCGCTATACACTTCAGCTTGTAAGCAAACGACTTTCAATCGACCACGACCAGAGATTTCTAATGGCAGAGGTACTTACCATGTTAGCTAGCCATGTTGGGCGACTTTCGTTAAATGGGTACGATGCCGAAGATGTTTTCGCTTATAGGATGGATACACTGGTGGAGATTATGGAGAAGAGGATGCAGCGTGATCTGCAAAGTGGATCGGAGAGTGAGGAGGCATTGGTTTCTTGTCGCCGGCTCTGTGTTGTCATCCCCTCATGTTACTGCTTGCAATGTGGTCGACGAACAGTAAAGATGGACATGGACTAAAAGTAAGTAGGATTTTATTGTGGAGGATTCATGTTACTCTGTCAATGCTGGAGTTTGTAAGTTCAAGTTTACATGTTAGTTTCGTTTTTAGCCTTCTGTCACTCGAATAGATCTGTTGCCACTCCGTACTCCGTAAAGTAGAGCTTCTTGTTTCAGATGTTCATACCCACGTGGATGTGCATACACATGTGCAAGACGGGTAGCGGACTTTAAAAATATCCTATTGGCTTTCAAAAGTGGGTCCTTATACGGAGTTTGCGAGAAACAGGGGAAGGGGAATTTTTATAGCGGATTTCAATTGCGCGGGCGTGAACAAATTGCGATACTGGAAGCCCATGACTCAACCTCAGAAGCAAGATCGCGAGTCCCGAGGATGTGCTCTTCAAAAGCAATCCTTTCTGAGAAGAATGGGTCGTCTAGCCTCGTCTAGCCTTGTAGTCCATACATTTTTAAGACCATGTGGGGGCGAAAGCTCAAATCCAAGAAGCACTAGCTAGGTTGGCTACGGAAGGCTATAAAGGCCAATGCTCGTTTACAATTTCTGCCTGAAATATAAGGTATAAGAGAGGCACATTTACAAATACGGTAAATAATACCGCAGATACTCAGTCCCTTACCTTGGATCTTTCACAGTATTGGTCGTGTTATAGTAATTTCAGTATTTTACTTTTCTGCCTTTGCCATTCAGTTATCAATGAAAACGACCCTTGGCGGCTCTGATCCTCAGTAATCAGCCCCCGGTCGCAGGATTTGTCTGGGCTTAAGCTCCATTAGACTGTCAAGTTGAAAGCCGTAATCCTTCTTCAACTCTCCATATTTGCCTTGGAAGCAGTCACTGCCGTCACCCACAACACCTGCTAACCAACATGCCGTGAACACCAAGAATGAATCGTGATAGCATCAACGGAGTATGGCGTCGAGTTCGATCCGCCATTACCCGGCAGCCGCATCGCAGAGGGGCCCCTGACGACGATCAGCTCTTCGGCCTTCGAAACCAGCCTTCAACGTTCTCACTATCATCGATATCGTCGACCTTACGGAATCCCCGAACATTCTTGCTTAAGAATTATTCATCAAACCTGAGCGATGCGACTCTCCAAAGAAACAATGCGCAAGTTGTGGTGACGACGACGGAGACACAAAGCCAGACATATGCGCCTCGACCTCCCCGCGAGAGATGGATTATTGGTGTCCGTCAGTGCGCCAATGTTGGAGCCTTCATTTTGATCCTCAACCTAGTGTTCATCTTTACAGCGGCAGGATTGGCAAGGCGATTCCCTGAAAACAGCAAATTTGGAGCGACAGCAGTTCTTTACAAGGGAAAATGTAGCACGACCAAAACCTGGGACGTTGCCCTGCATTTTGTTATCAACGGATTGAGTACTTTCATTCTCGGCGCCAGCAACTATTGCATGCAATCTTTGGTTGCCCCTACACGACAGGAGGTTGATAAGGCCCATGCTCAAGGTATATGGCTCGACATCGGTTGTGCCAGTATCAAGAATCTTCGTGCGATTGGTCGAAGTCGATTGATCTTATGGATTGTATTGATGCTTACAGCAACACCGTTTCATTTGTTGTAAGTCTACCTCAAACAATATATCCCAGTGCGACTCGTACTGACATCAAACTAACCAACCAGGTATAACTCCATGCTGTTCGAGTCATTATCGACAAACGAATTCGGTGCCATGGTTGGTCCAAAGGATCTGAACTCATCAAACGTATATGACCTTACAACACCTGCGATCAACAAATGTGTCAGCTGTCCAAGCATTAATGGCATTAGTGACTACACTCCCTACTTGAACTGGAGCGAGATTGCCTCTGAACTAGCTAATAACAATTACGAGCGACGTAAGTTTTCGGACTGTCGTGGTAGCAGTCAAACGGGCGTAAGAGCCGTCATCATGCTTGCCGAAAACTTGACGGTGAGCGACGGAGGAAATGCGGCAATTCTTGCCACAGATAACAGTGAAGACTTTATGAACCAGAGCGTTCTCGCAATCCCTTATTTCTATACAAATGGGAGCCATAATGCGTCGGCAGAATGTCAGAGTTCGGAAAGCGTATACGTCGCTTATCAATACGAAGTATATGGTGGCCCTTATCTCTCTGCCGAACAAGCAATCCCGAACAGTTACGTTACCCATGAGTGTTTGGTGATTCGTGCCCCACAGCACTGCCAGCTTCTATACAGTCCGCCTATCTGCCTGGTAATAGCGATTGCCGCATTTGCGAAAGTTTGCGCAATGTTCATGGCAGCACGAATCACTCGAAAACGAGGCAAACCGCTCCTCACGGTTGGGGATGCCATCGCTTCTTTTATTTCTAAGCCTGATCCCACGACAAAGGATTTATGCTGGATGTCCGGCAAGGATGTTCGCAAGGGAGCTTGGAAGCAATCGAACGAGCTAGAAGATGAAAGTGCCATCTACAAGACATTATCAAAACCAAGACGATGGTTGCATGCACCTACTCGCCTCCGATGGTCTGCCACTCTAATTTTGTAAGTGCAATTTACCTCCCCTTTACGTTAATATTCATCAACCTAATCTCATGGACTCAAGATGCTTCGGTTGCATATTTGTATCAATTTGGCTTCTTTTCGCAGCTATTGCAGGCATGCCTTATGACTCGTCGCCATTTCTGTCTTCGAGTCAATTCACCAACATATTTTCTTCAAATGTCAATGAAAATGATTATGGCGTTTTCTACATATACAACGGCCATCCCACGATGATAAGCTATGTGGTTGTTGCCAACACACCGCAGCTACTGGTGACAATGTGCTACTACTGTTACAACGCAGTTTTAAGCAGCATGTTAGCAGCGTCTGAGTTTGACTCCTACGCAAAAAAGCGCAAAGCTTTGCGTGTGCACTGGCCAGTCAGGGGAAGCGAACAACGCACGACGTATTGGCTCAGTGTGCCATACCGCTACTGTATCCCTGTGCTTGCACTGTACATGGTCCTGCATTGGCTGATTTCGCAGGCTATATTTTACCTGTCGTTGATTCCCTATACAGTCTTTGATGAGGTTGTTGCATATGAATCCATCAATGCCGTTGGATTTACCAGTTCATATGTCTTCTTGTCTATTCTTGTCGGGGCAGTCATGGTGACAATACCGTGTTCGTTGGCGTGGAGGAAATTCAAGTCCAATATGCCGTTAGCTGGGTCATGTTCTGCTGCAATTAGTGCCGCGTGTCATCCACCTGCGCATGAGGACTTGAGCCGAGCAGTTTTAGGCAAGGTCAAGTGGGGACAGGTAATTTTACCGGGGCAGCCGATCGATTCGCTGCAACCCAATGACTCCGAGAACGGACATTGCACTTTCACCTCACTGGAGACGGTGGACCCCACGTTGACGAAGATGTATGCTTGATTTTATATATTATTTGATATCCCATAGAGATCATGTAAATTTATCCTGCCAATTTCTGTACATACATGCCAGATTCTCAAGATGCTTGTTCAACTCCGAGTCCCCAATTGACCCCCCAAGCACTTTCTCCACTCTGCGCCCGCGTAGCAAGTGGGGATGTCTCCCATTCGCCTGTTCAGTCCGAACGCCCAAACTCAAACCAAGGGGCCCAATGCGCAGTAACCTTTCAACTTTGAGTCTAAAGTGTGTAAAGTTTCTTAGAAACCACGGCAGTCACCTAGTAATGCCGGCGTCATGAGAAAAGTATAGATTATCTGTTCATCAAGCTTGGCCTGTAGATCTTTAAAGCCCATGGGTTACAATATTCGCCGCGGCCGGCCATACCGGCCGGGTCCACTGTATTATGCTGTGGGGGAGAAGGGGACTCACAATGATGTTCCCCGCGTTTCCCGAAGAGAAGACGACATAACACACACATAATGAGAATTCCGGGCACCAATGGAAAGAACCGATGTCTTAAGTTGGCATTTAAATTTAACATTCTTGGGGAAGATGGCGTCCGGGGTTGCAGATGTGCATATGTTTGCAGGGTGGAATCCCCCGGGATTTCACAAGTCCCGCCAGATCGCTGAGGCGGCACTCGTGTTGATCAACGGCGGACGCCGATGCCCGCGCACAATCACCAGCATCGGTTACGTATCTGTCCTCGGTCCCTATGTTGATCATCCAGGGTGCCGATTTTCGCATATAGAGGCCCGCAATCCAGATTATATTCGGCTTGTTCTCCTTTGGCATACTACAATCCATTTCTTTCATCTGGAGGACCCTGTTTATAATTCAATCAGATTAATTATGGGCCTGAAACCGTATATGGGCCTTCGGGGCAATGCTCTGCTTCGAGCAGCTGTGATGCTCGTCGTGGCTCCGACATTTACTTGTTATGGATACAATATGAGTGTTGCAGGTGGTCTGTTGACACTGGAGACTTTCAATGCCCAATTCCCAAGAATGGACACTCTTCACGGCGACGCAGCTACTAAGCATGAGAATTCAACAATTCAAGGTAAGTGCGCGTCAAATATGAACTCTGATGAGCAGCTTACTGATAGATACCTCTCCACAATATAGGAACGGTTATCGCACTTTATACTGCTGGAGGTATCTTCGGCTCGCTATCCTGTATCTACCTCGGCGATCTCTTAGGCCGACGGAAGGTCATATTCGTCACCAACTTCATTACTATTATAGGCGCCATTCTGATGGCTACATCATTCCAATTCGCCCAATTTATCGTTGCCAGATTGATTCTAGGTTTAGGAATCGGCGGTTATCTTGCGACAGTTCCAGTGTGGCAGTCTGAAATCTCACCATCACATAAGCGAGGGTCTAATGTCGTCACAGATGGCATCTTCGTTGGTGTTGGTGTCACTTCGGCCCTATGGATAGACCTCGGCTTTTACTTTGTCAAAGAAAGCTCGGTATCCTGGAGGTTCCCTCTGGCCTTCCAAATCGTACTGTGCATGATTGCGATGACATTTATTACTATGCTTCCCGAATCGCCCCGATGGCTCATCAAGACAGGCCAACGGGAAGAAGCTCGAAAAGTCCTAGCAGCTCTCCTAGATGTCGACCACGATTCAGAGATCATCACAAACAATATCTACGACATTGAAACCTCCTTAAACAAATGCGGAGCTAGCTCCTGGCGCGACATGTTCACCATGGGTGAACAGAGACTTTTCCACCGTGCCTACCTAGCCGCAACAGGCCAGATGTTTCAGCAGATGTGCGGTGTAAATTTGATCACCTACTACGCCACAACTATCTTCCAGCAGTATCTCGGAATGGACGCCGTAAATTCCCGTATTCTAGCTGCTGCGATGGGCCTCACACAGCCTCTAGGTGGTAGCTTAGCATACTTCACCATTGACCGTCTTGGTCGACGTCCTCTGATGCTGTGGAGCGCAGGTGCCATGTCCATCTGCATGGCAATTCTTGCTGGTACAACAGGCCAAGAAGGCAACACAGGCGCACTGGTTGTGGCCGTCATCTTCCTCTACTGTTTCCAATTTATCTTCACTGTCGGTTACTCCGGCCTCACATTCCTTTACGCAGCAGAAATGGCTCCTCTTCAAATTCGAGCCGCTGTGAACGCAGTATCAACTGCAACAGTCTGGGCCTTCAATTTCTTGCTGGCTGAGGTGACACCTGTGGGATTCGACACGATCTCGAACAGATATTATATTATTTTTGCTGTTATGAACGCGGCCATCGTGCCTTGCGTTTACTTTTTCTTCCCAGAAACCAAGGGACGTACCCTGGAAGAAATTGACGAAATCTTTTTGCAATCAAAGTCCATCTTTGATCCACCTCGCGTCGCACGGAGAATGCTACAGGTCGAGATGGGCCAGCCTCAGTCTGATAGTGGGGAAAACAACACTTCCGGTGACGAGGCCATCAAAACGAAGGTCTGAACGAATCTTAAATACCAATGATATCCCAGAGCCTCTGAGCTCCACTGTCCATGCTGGACCATATATGCAAGCTTTCTGAAGGACTTGAATTACCCTCATTTCCGTCCGATTGAGTTAGCAACAATATTTGAACATATAACGAACGAGCTTTGGCTCAAACATGAATGATTTCTTAGTGTAAATACTCAAGTCAATTCAATTCAATTTCAATGAAAAGTTAATAGAACCGCAGACCTCACTGGTAGCTAGCTGGTTTTCGTAGTCAAGATAGATAAGTCATTTCCATCTCAAGAAAAAGTATCGATGCTTCTGTCGAGTGTATATTATTAATAGGTGGTATATAAGAAGGCATGGTCACAGCGATCACAAAGAGTTCGTTCCAGCTCTGTTTGAATCGAATCAATTTGTCTTTAGTACTGAAAAATCTGGCTCGCAATAGCTTCAATAGGCGGGATCATTCCGCCCTTCCCGCTCTTCGGGCGCGGTACGATAACGCTATATGGAAAACGATCCGGGATGAAACAGAAAGCCCAAGCGCCAACATAAAGCTTGCACTAATTGGCATTTCGACCAATCAGTCTTCCCTTATATACATCACTTTTTCCAAACCTTCCATATTAATGTTAACCATCGGCACTAGATTTGGACACCGACCACGGACCCCAATGCGCTCCCCGCATTCCGAGCTTCTCCAACTCTCCACTTATCAGTCCCCTCGTCTCCAGTACCAATGAAAAACTCCGCCTGCCTCTTTATCTCGGCTAACACTATCTATGACTGATAGGAGGGGAAGGAGTAAAGTCCGCGCAATGATAAAAGCCAGGCGATCCTGTGAATTGGGTTTTGAGGACCCCCAGCGTTGAAACAACAAAGAGAACCCAAGGATCGCATCATTAACGCATTCCAGCCCTTAGCGAGATAAGACATTTACCAACCTCTACAAACACTCACATCTAGCAACCCAGACACGCGGAAAGAATGGAAACCTCTCGCCGGCCATATTTGAAGGATCTTGCCCAGCGTGGGGCGATCAAGGGCGTGACAATTTCAACTAATGCTGGAGGGAAGGACTCGGACCTTTGCCACTACTTCGGGGGTGTGCGATACGCTCTCCCCCCGCTACAGCGATGGCGCCGAGCTCGTCGCTTACCATCCACCTTCATATATGGCACAACTCAATCACCGGGAGAATGTGAGGGTGGAGCAGGACTTTGTCCGCAGCCTGGATTTATGAACCTCTCAAGCTCTAATGAGGATGCGTGGTCAGAAGACTGCTTCCAATGCAATGTTTGGGTTCCCACAGGGGAAGCTCCTCGGGGTGGATGGCCGGTCTTTGTTTTCATTCGTGCGTCAATTTTATTCTAATCTTCTTCCGGTCACAAACACTAATATCTATTGGGCAGATGGTGGTTGGTTGCAATTTGGTTCTCCAAATGGATTCAACGCGGCGGCCCTTCTTGGCGAAACGGATTTCAAAGCTGTTGTGGTTATGCCGGCATATCGTGTGAATCTGTTTGGATTCCTTTACTCGTCTGAATTGGCAGATGATGCAGCCGCCGTTGGGGAAACTGTTGGTAACCATGGGTTTTGGGATCAGAGAATGGCACTAGAGTGGATCAAAGAGAATATTCACCTCTTTGGCGGAAATGCGAACAACGTCACCATCTCAGGCTATTCTGCTGGTATGACTTGCAGGACTTGCAAAACTTGTGTATACAATTATACTGACCATTTTCACGCAGGTGCAAACTCCGTCTTTCACCAATTAGCCTATGACCTCCGCCAACCCGATTCCAAGTCCATCATTCGCCAAGCATGCATGTTCTCAAACTCGCCCGCTGTACAGCCCAAAAGCCCAGCCGAAACACAAACTCAATTCAATCAGCTACTTGCTGCACTTGAAATACCAGTAACACTGTCTGCAAACGAGAAACTTGCTCGCCTCCGCTCATTACCTCCTAAAACCCTCCTCGATGCAGCCGAGACGATTGAAATCCACCAGTTTCGACCAACTACCGATACTGGCTTCATACTTCCGACTTTGTTCGAATCGCTTGATAATGGTGACTTTGCACGAATGATGCTTGCGCGCAATATCCGGTTGATATTAGGCGAGTGCCGCGATGAAGGTCACCTCTACGCAGTGTGGTTCCCACCAAAGTTAGATACATTATCTGGCATCCGTACACGCCTGGCTGCGGACTATCCTGAGCATATCGTGAATGCTGTTATTCCACTTCATTATCCAGATGGCAAACTTCCATCAGGTTGCAAAGACTGGAAAACAGATGCTTGGGGACAAATATACGCTGATATGCAGGTATATCATATGCAGCGCGGTTTTATTCATGCACTTACCTCTAATACTGCGAACGTGGATGCTTCTCGGCTGCTTTTCCGATATCGTATCGAATACCGGGCGAAGTGTATGGATAAGTCTCTTCCAATTGAGTGGGGTGTCACGCACTCATCGGATTACCCACTATGGTTTTGGGGTAACGGAGATGTCCTCACACCAGCCGAGAAGAAGAGTACCCACGAGGCGTTTATTGGCCCCCTTACTCGCTTCCTTCAGGGCTATCAAGCGACTGGATCAGATGGATTTGGGTGGGAAACTAATGGATGCAAAGGTGTACGTACTCTTAAGCCCGACGGCACTGTTAAGATTCAAAGCGATGCGACATGGGATGAAGGAGTGAGAGTGTGGAAGGCATTGAGACGTGCGGATGTGTCCAAGCCCAAACTTTAAATACTAACCTGCCTTGAAACTGTGAAAGTCATCGTAATTCAAGAGCATTTGAGTGAACTGAATATACTATTTTTCATGAGCTATGACATTCTACGTTTCTGATGGCTAGGTACTTTGAGGGATGTGTAGACAAAATAGACCTCGAGGCTTATCAGGTCATGGATAACAAAATCTTCAAATTCGGAGAGCTCTATATACCTGTATACTGGGCAGATTTCCTTCAGAACTGGGATCCTCCAAATAGGTCCAATTTGTAACTTGAAGCTCACAGGTCATAGCTTCCACTCATGCGTATTCGTCAATCCTTGAGTCCCGGATTGATCTCCCTGGTCTAAATAACCGCAAATTCTTCCATTGGGATCCCATTTGCGTCGAATATCCATCAACCGTCTGGCATTATCATCTGCCCAGAACTTAGTTTTCCGAACTTGAAAATCCGAATCACCCAGATATGCGCCAACCGAATGGCGTTCGACCTTCTTCATTACATTCTTCACCCAGGCCTTGCATCGGTCATCATCCGACTCCGTTTCCCAAACAGTATACAATGCAAAATAGTGATCAGACTGCATGCTAAGAGCCATATCAGGGAGTTTGCGCCGACTGCATGGATTCATGGGATACCAAAGCGAGAAAGCTTTCCGATGGGGAAGAGTAGTAAAAGCCTCTTCCAATACAGCTGGAACATCGGCGTCATTCTTGATATATGCGTTCTCGGCACAGTAACGATGATTCTCTGGGTTGGCACCTTCTTGGTTTTTGTATTGAGTTTCAAGGCTGTCTTCGACGCAAAACCATTCTTTGGCAGCCCCATCGGGACGAGTCTCCTGTGCTGGGCGAAGTGCGGCCTCCGCTTCTTCGGATGTGTTTTTCATAACGACAAACAAAATGAATAGATGCATTTCAGCCTCTCCTTCAGGGTAGTGTGAGATCACTGCAATCTCCGTGTCATTGTCGAAGCTTGGGGTAATCGACAAGACCCAATCGAAAGCCTTGCGATACATACTGATTGGGTACAAGTAACCGGATGATCGAAATCCTTTCTCGGGGTATGGAATCAGACTCAGGTGGAATTTGGTGACTACTCCGGGGAATCCTGATAATCGCAGTCAATAAATGGCACCTCAATATGTAATAAATATCTTCAGCAATACATACCAGGTCCGGCTCCCCGGGCGGCCCAATACAAGTCTTGGTTCTGAGTTGCGTTACAGTGGATCAAGTTCCCATCCGCAGTAACTACATCTAAGCCTAAGACTCGTTCACAAGCCCATCCCCAGTTCTTCATATAGTCAGTAATTTAGATACATCATTTTAAAACTTCATGTCCGTAAACCTACCCGACAATTCCAACCCATGCCACCCTGGAGCAGAAACCCACCCAGCCCCACATCCGGACAATGGCCACCAGGAAACATCATTCCGTGGTCCTTGATGAGAACAGAATTCAGTTCTCGGCCTGTCATGCTTGGCGTAACTCTTGCAACCCGATTAGTTGCATCGACCTCCATGTTTTTGTAGTTCCCGAGATCAATCAAGATAGAATCATCCCGTACACTCCAAGCAGCCCACGAATGTCCACCAGATCGAACAGCAACGCGACATTTCCGCTCTGCAGCCAACTTCACGGCTTTGACAATATCGTCTTCACTTCTTGCTTTTACGACGGCCTGAGGAAAACGCGATGGTCGCCGGTGATTAAACACACGACCAACACGAGCTTCTTCGTAGACCACGTTGTCTGCAGACTCTCTCCAAACGATGTCCATGGCGCCGAAAACAATTATTCGATTCGATGGTTTGTCGATACTTGAGATTGAGGGTTAAAATAAGTTTTGCGGATCATGATGTTCATGAATGTCTTTAAGCTTCATATTTGTATTTGCGGGGTAAATGGCCCACGACTTACGCCGGAGAGGAATGTGGTAACGCGTTGCCGGCCCGAAAAAAGATCCAAAAGCCATAATGTAAGTTCATTTTGACGATGTGGACTTGACCGACTTGCGGGGTGTGGAGTGGAAGTAGCGGTCCACATCCCGAATTGGGCAACACTGTCACCCTTGTGTACGGAGGCCAATAGACATTGGACAAAACTCTTTTTTAAGACTGGCAGAAAATTAAAATACCTCCAGGGCTGTATTACTATGTGCTCCAGCACAAGGACAACACACAAACAGGGGAGAAGCGCCAACTACTATCTTTTATCCTCAATACGACTCTGGAATTCTACTCGGGATCCGCCTATTTGTCAATATTTACAAAACTAGCATGGAATATCTCCATTAGATGCAGCAAATCCTCTTCACATTGCCCCTTCGTCAAGACAAAGAACCCATAAGGCTGGTTATTTTTCCTGAGCCTACCCAAGGGGATTGTCGCAATAGGCCACCCTGCACATGCTGCAAAAGATACAAGAGTAGAGTCTGATGGTGCAAGCACAAATTCAACATCTTGCTCAGTCATCCACTTCTCCATTCCATCTACAGTGGCAAGCTGCCGAAGTTGAGTGACAGTTTCTGAATGAACATCTTGCGGGAAAGCAGCTTTCAAAGACGCGACGAGCTCTGTCTGCGTGGTATTTGCTGACGCCTTATCAGCGATTTGATGACTTTAGTCATGTTTCGATTGGGGATATCTTACGGTTCAAGCGCTCCTTCTCGTCATGTTCACTATTCCAAGTGACAATATCTTCAAGGTTTTTGACATTATCATTCGGTTCAAAGTTTTGTATAAACTCTTTGACTTGACTTGGGAATTCGTGATCTTTTTTCCAAGGACTAATTAGTCGAGTAAATCAGAAGGCGGGCTACGGAAAACACTCACAGGACACATCGCGGAGGTTAAGGGAGTCATGGATGAGTACATCTGCATTCGGAACTTGTAAGGGATAGACTATTCGGGCACCAAGATTGCCCATTTTCTTTCCAGCGGCTTGATACTCTGCGATCTGTATTGAAGTGAGATAAAGTTCAATAATTCCAGGGCTGTTTCACATACCACATCAGGTAAATCCCACTTTTCCTTTGACATGCTCTCATGAACTCCCCACTTTGTATCAACTATCCCAATGTGAAGCCCCAGCCAGGGGCTGCTTTTTTTGGTTATAGATTGATAAGGTGTGGTAGAGCTCGGTCGTGGTATATCAGAAGGTACTATGATATTAAACAGAGTGGCGAGATCCTTTGGGTCTCGGGCCATTATGCCAATGCAGTCAAAGCTATTACTCAATTTGAAGATACCGTCGCTTGGGATCACTTCCCTTGAAAGCTTCAAGCCATAAAGGCCATTCAAACTCGCAGGGTAAACAGTCGAACCAGCAGTCTCAGTACCAATGGCTAAGGATGCAAACCCAGCAGATATGCAGACTGCAGAGCCAGATGAGGATCCACCAGCCATCTGTGGAAAGCGCTTAGTAAACTCTTCGACGAATGTCTGGATGAGAATATTTGACGTACCGGTTGGTCCTTTTCGTCCAAGCCTTCTTGTCGGAATGGCGAGAGCGTTTGACCTCCATATTGGCTCCATCCAACCGGGGTGTCCTTTGACCTGACTTGTCAGTCAAACAGATATGCTTTAGGGAGGATTTGTTTACTTCAATCCACAGAATTCCTATGATTATGTTAGTAAAGATTATTTTCCTTCAACTTTCGGATTAAAATACCGTCATATTTGTCTTTGCAAGAATAATCATTCCAGCATCAATGAGCTAAGCGCTTTGGGGTCAATTCTTGTTGAATTAATGAAGACTAGATCATCGATCACCTTATCAACCAACGAGGCATTTCTCTGTGCCTTAAGCGTTGAAAAAACCATAGACCCGACAGTGGTGGGCATACCTAACGACTGATCCGTAACAATAGCATCCTATCGAACCATCAGAACGACGAGCCAATTCTTCACTTCAGAAGGGTATTGAAAAGGTCATCCATTACCTTGAGAACGATAGGAATTCCATGAAGCTCACTTCTGACTTGGCCTATACGACGTTGATCATCAAGCTCCTTCGCCCTTTTCAAGGCAATATCGCTGGGACAAGTTGAAATGACAGCCTTCAAACCCAAACCTTGGTCATTATGACGCTCAATTCGACTTAAAAAAGCTTGAACAAGTTGAACACTAGTAATTTCACCTGTAGTTAATTTGGCTTGCAGTTGATGCGCCGGGACAAAAAGAGTGGAGTCTTCCATTCTTGTGACAAAGATGAGTCGACGCAGTCTTTGTTATATATGACCCCCGCTTCAAGTTGGAGAAAAGGTGGACTATTCAAGCTTCCCCGCCTAACTATCCACTAGTCAATATTTGATCAAGGATCCAGGCTCACTAATCAGGCTGCACCATTATCTTTCAAGATATTTGTAGGCAACCGCGACGCACTTTCTATGCATGAAAAATACTATCTCTTCAAGGCCACCGACACCCCTGTCTATATTGTGTCTTTTTCTAAATTAGATTGAATATGCCCCGGTCGGAAATTCATAATCTCAGTGGTGGCAGTTGTACAAATAACTCTGCCCATGATGTGGAGTTCCAAGCTTAATCGGTACCGTATACTAGGGGGCGAGAGTGCCCAGCGAGAAAAAAAACAGTAAGTGCTTTAAGTGCTTTGCCAGCTGGCCCATATGAAGATCTCCAGGGCTGTTTACCGGGGTATTCAAAGAGATATGTAGAAAATAAAATAGAAAAAGAACCTAGACAGATGTCTGCAAGGCTAGATAGGAAGAAATATTGGTTCGTATATGCAGTGTAGGTTTGCTCCAGATGCCATCTAAAGATCTATAAGCTCTTCCCATGAAAACTCCTTAGGCCGGCCATGTACCTCAATGGCTCCCATAGATAAGGATGTGATTACGAGTAACTAGAACTGGACAACCAGACTTTACCAAATAAGCGTGCCGCACTACAGAATTTTTACCAATATGCCATTTTGACCGCCATAGCTACTGACTAACCATATTCGATAGGGGCATATTGGCACCCTAGATAGCGTCGCGTCTCTCATTCTCTCAGGTAGGCCTCGCCCTCACCCGCAGAGGGTCAAAACCGAGGCCTACTCCCAAGCCCCTCCCCACGCACACATAATGTTCCAAACAATCGATACCGTTCATTCCATATATTTCTCTCTCTAAAAATATTTCTTTCCTATTTTGGACCTCATCCGAGGCCACCACGGCTTTTCCTGTGCTAAAACGCGAAAGTTTTGCCCCAGCATCCACGTTTACTACATACTAGTTTCAATTGTATTGTCTTCGTTGATACAAAAAATAGGTTTTCAAGCAAGTGATAGACCCTTGACTTAATGATAAAAGAACAAAGCACTAAGGGGAGGGAAAAGAAACAGATGCAGGAAAAAGAGAGAAAAGTGGAAGGCAAGTAGACATGGACATGGAAGCAACGGGAAAGGAAGCCGGAAAAAGCAAAAAAGAAAAAGAGAAAGAGAAAGAGAAAGGCAAACAGGGAAAGAATTGCTTCTTTCCTTGAGGAAAAAGGAGGAAAAAGTGAAAAGCCACAAAAATGAGTCGATGCCGGGGTGATATGGGTGATTGCTGACAGCCCTGAAGTTCAAATTGATCCATGGTCAGACTTGAATGTTCAAATGTTGTCGATGGTTTCAATGCTCCAAGATTATTGGTCGGTGAATGGGAATGCGCAGTCACCCCTTTTCGACTTTGGGGGCCGTCAATGCTCGACACCTCGTGCGTTAGCACCATGGTTCCCAGTTTCCCCTGGTGCCTGCATTTCCTGTAATTACCCATGGACACGTTCATATAGTGGTATAAATATGATACATCACCCAAAGTGATTTATCTTGTATCGGTTTTGGCGTATTGGGTGGATCGGCCCGGTTTGTAACCGCTACTATTGTCGATCAAACGCTCGAGGGACTTTTCGCACCTTGGAATATACCCTGTCACTCCCATTTTCCTCCACTGACAAAAGTACGCGAGGGGATAGGAGCCTCGAAGATCAGCCTATCACTTCGAATTCCATAAAACGACCCCCTGTCAGTTGGAATCGCAATGTGAGCTATCAGAAAATGGGAGAGCAAATCATCTCTCCAGGTATGATCCCATACCTGGAAATAATACGACAAGGAAGTTTCCCGAGAAACCGTTCACACTGGGCTATCAAATAGAACTTGATTCGAACCGGCATATTCCACTCACGAGCCGCTTTAGCAAATGGACTTTTGGTTTTGCACGCTACGTAACACCTTAAAAATTACGGAGCTCGAGCCCACGGTGGCGAAGGACACGAGTTGATTTAGCGCGTGCGCGCGACAGGGATTAAGCCCAGATCATATTAGGGACCACCGTATGCTGCCGTGTCCAAGTTTTCGCTGGCACCTAGTCAAGATTACATGGCCAAAACAAGGACCTTTTTCTCAAGGTTACTGACCTGGCCTCTTCATCCGAGTTTGGCAAGGTATCTAAACTTTGTATGCCACAACGGCTGCGAGTCTGTTTTATACCCGACCAAATTTCGATTCTTTATCGAAGATATCTACCCCAAAGACCATTCCCAATACCTTCAAAACTCAGTTTGCGTCTGAGAAAGCTCTTGATCGAACTGCACGGAAATATCCTCTATATCGTGAAAATTCGTTGCCATCAATACCCTGAACTTGCCCTTGAAGATGGACCTGCCTCCAGTGAATCAGCGAATTCCACCAACCCAGCATCGAACTCGATCTCTTGATGCAGGGAATTCAAGAATAAATACTGATGAGTTTGAAGCTCTTCTCCCATGGGCTACAGCCCTCGAGCCACTTTCACTCAATCTCGAAGAAAGTTTTCAAGTGTTGAGAAAGAAGGATCACACATGCAACTTTGCATTCTTCAAGTCTGGCAAAAAGACATGGGAAAGGGACATAAGCAATCGCATGAGCGAGGTCAGCGACGGTGATTGTCGAAACGGCCCAGTTGCAATCCGGGAAGATCCCAACAGTACTGGGCAGTCTCCCCCAAACTGGATGCAAACACTAGCCCGGTTTCATAAAGGCCACTTCAGGCGTTCTGGGGGGGGCGACCCAGCGAACTATTACCAAGGCTCTGTGAATGGATTTCTAGTCACGCTCACCAGGCCCCAGTGGGATCTTATGAGATTATACGAAGATGACTTCCTTATACTGGTGGACAGTGATCGGACTAAAGAGATGAACGCTATGGGTGACGAAATGGACCAAGTGTATCAGTATATCGAAAATTGCAAGGCCCGTGAGTTTATATAATCATTCTGCCAGTACAATAATCATTTCAAGCCCCAGTTGAGAAGCTAACATGAACTATCATTGAAGATGTCGCAGATGCAACCCTTTATCTCGAAGAACTCAACGAAAGATACAGATTATTCGATGGTATGCCAGGAAGAGACGTTAAGCTTTCTGTTTATGCAGAGCAGTCCCTGTCAACCCCTTCCCTCACTATGGGTGATATACAATCTTTGATTGACAATGGGCACAGTGATGAGGTATCATGCGAAAAATCACCCCAATGGACATTTTTCCAACCCGTCGTGGACATTCAACCAAACCGCCAGATATCCAGGGAACGTTTGAGCCACACACCAGTGAGTATGCAAGGGCAAATGACACAGGAGTTGATGGAAAGTGTACTCTCAACCGAGGACTCTGCTATGTGTAGCACTGAGCATGCACTGACAGACACACCACCACGTGAAACAAATACTCTATCCGCAACCCAAGATCTCGCATCCCATGTGCCTGATCTTCAACTACAGATCTCAACTCCAACTCCAAGCCCAAGCGACGAGTCTCCTGTATCTTCCATAGAGTTTCCACATGACGCCATCACCTTTGCAGTGCCAGTCAAAGCCATACCAACAGGCTTGAGGCTTAGCACGCCTATTTCTACCCACGAGAATCCTGTGCCAAGAACTCCAGCAGAGAAGAAGTATGGGCTTGCTTTTACCTCAAATCTCAGAAGCCAGGGAGTGAGCTGGCCCGAAATTAGGATACATTGGAAAGTGAGGTTCCATGTTTGGCGAACCGAAGCAAGCCTCAGATATCTTTGGAGCCGCGCGAAGACACTTGTGAAAAAAGATAGAAGTGGCAATTTGATCTTCAAGGTTCCAAAGACAACGCTACGCAAGCTGAAAGGTGACAGCCGTTCGCCAGCGGTGGCGGGGAGAGAAAAATAGCGTTTCATGCTACGATAAGCTCAAGCCTATTTTGGTTGATTTGTTGAACGTGAGAAGCTGGACAAAACCGCTCGCAATATGGGTGCATAACTTCTGTTCCTTGTGCATCAGGCATGGGTATTGGGGGCATTGCAGTGAGCTTGAATGAAGATACGTTCGTGGGAAAAAAGTTAGTTGTGGAGATGCATTTTGTAAGATACATAAACCAATTCTTTTATATGTTTTGAATGTGCACTTGAAATTTTGTTGGATTTGCTGTCTAGATAAGATATATTAAGATATTTACGATGGCCGCGGTAGTAGATAGGCAGTACAGCCATAATAGCACTTGCCAGTGGGCACAAAGCACGGGCAACGAGTATAGAGATAAAAGAGAACGCTACAGCGACAGGGGATTATAGGAAGATCGCAAGAATGCCAGAATCATAGAAAGAAGATATTTAGGATTTTAGATGTATTCCTGCTGGAGGGACATGCAGTAATTCCTTTCGTTTACTTTTGAATATCGAGATTTGATCTTTTTATTTTGAACTTGGTGGCCAAAGAATGCGGGCCAAAACTGCTTCCAAGTTTATTGGTTCGAAAACTGGAATAATCAGCTAAGCCTTGACTGAAAAGTTTTCTAGAACTTCAAAAGTCCCGAGAACTCCGTTTTATGGATTTTGGCGAGAGCTTAGAAGTGATGCTCGTTTGGAATGTGACAGATGGTAAGGCTTGAAAGCATCGATGTGATATGTGGGGCGTGGCGTAATTTGTAAAATACAAGTATCAACCCATCATAGGCTCCTAGCCAGCCATCATCCATGGTGGGTCACAGGTGCCTAGATTTGATATGCGCGTGGAAAGGGATAGCACGAGGCATATTAGTTTAGCTTGTTGGTACGTCGTCGCCATGGACCCATTTTGGGTTCCATAGGTATTAATTATCGCTATCTCGCTATCCGGTTGGGCACATTTGACGGGTTCCAGCTGCTCCTTTTGTCGATCAATCACTCGAGGCACCTCACTTCCTTGGAAGATACCCTGTAAATCTTTTTTTTTTATTTAATTCTACAAGCTGCCTGTTTGCCAGTAATTAATTCGCGCCCTAAGAGCCGGGTATCCGACATCAACCTATTGGAAGGCGTTCCGCTCACGCAAGCCCAAGAGGTCAAATTACAAAAAGAAGATTCGGGACATGAGAGAGTGAAGCACTGTGCCCCCGAGGGATCCTTCTTCTGCGGGTAGCCGGGAGCCTCTGAGGGGCGTCAAGCACTAGTGTAGCCCAGACGTTATCCCCTAGCCCCTACATCGGGTACTACCTACCTTACTAAATCAGCAGGTCCCTTTTTATATTTATGAGTAGCTCTCCATTCAGAAGTAAGAGACTAGTAAATTTGGGTAAAGCCATTTGGATCAGGAGCAGTGCACATGTGCGCCTCTCATACTAATACACTGGAATTTGTGGTGTTAGAACTCACACTTGAGGGACGCGACAAAAATTGTCGATTTCTTTGTTCTTTAATGCAGGTTAGCCATCGGATTACGACTAGCGTATCCGTGAGACAGGTTGCTACTAGTACATTAGGCTGTCATGGAAGCGATTATATCGTAATGTGATGGATAGTATTGCACCGAGGCCTAGTTCATATTAAAATACCAAATAACTACCTATCTAGGCTCCAAGTACTAGGTACTGACCACTTACCGATGAACACTTACATAGGGGTCATCAGGCTTAGTGTATAATTGGCTCCTGCGTTCTCTATTAAATATTTTCTCCCTTTGAGACAATTCACATTTCCACTTTACAAGTTCCACGGTTCCTCTTCGTTGTTCAAACCACTCTTCCAGGCTGAGAAGAGTTCGAGTAAAGTCTCAGGAGTCAGGAGCCTCGATAAATTGCGCCAGCATTTTCCTTCAAAATGCAACAGCCCTCATCTTCTCAGAGGCCACAACGAGCTCCTGATATTTAGTGGGATCTAGGATTTTGCCCTGTAAGTGAACGGGCATCTCGCGAAGAACGCTGTTATGGGGCATCACAGTACCTTGAACAGTGCTGGTCAGTTTTACATGGAATGCACAGTTTTGCCATTCTCAGATCCCACGAGAAGATATTTGCGTGTATTGTTGGCAATAATATGAAAGGTGCCATAGTCATTTCCGATAGCCAGGAAAGCCGGCATGGTCCAATTGTTGTCCACTGCAGGATGAAAGACCCGGAGCTCGGATTCAATAGCTGCTTCCGAGTGGCTGTCGTTCATTTTGGAGACGAGCAGTTTAACTCAGCCAGAAAAGGTGTCTTAACTCCACAACTACTATATTACACTGGCTTATAATGAGCCTGCGGCTTAATAGGGATTCCATGAAGTTAGATATGCGAGCATATAAGAGCTCCTTAAGGATAAGGTGTTGATTTTGTACTTGGCGTGAAGAGGGTTTCGTATTTTTCCATTTTTCTTTTGCGATGTACGCCAGTGTAACAATTACACATAGCGCCCCAATGATCAAGAATTTACCTACCCAGCTACCATACTTACTAGTACGTGTCTTACCTGACTAGTTGAGAAAAGGTTGAGTTCCCTAGGGGGAATCTATGCAAAGACTGCAAAGTCAACCATTTACCAACATTCCACCTGGTGTGCACGCTATCTAAGGGCCTATTGGTATGTCTTTTTTCTTGGCTACCTACAAATTCTCGCTGATTTGGCAATTACCTCAATCATACATTCCCTAGGTAGTGATGGTACCCCTGCGTAGCCCCAGCCTAGGGTGTGGAAGCTAGACCTGTGGCCAATGGACGGTACACAAAATGATTTGTAGTAACTATGGGCGTATGTGGCACCTACGAGTAGCCACATAGACTCTTATATCTGCTACAGTTGTAAAATTATCAGAGAATGCTATGTGTAGGTTCTCTTTTATGCGAAACTTTCGTAGGATTTGGCCTTGCGTACGATACTGTCAGGGGTTAAACCCGTAGGCTACTATATGGCCCTGCCATATAGCCTTTACCGCCTACTATCGTCACCACCTATCGTCACCACCTATCGTCACCGCCCTACTGACCCTATCTATAGCTACCTAGCTTACTTCACTCCTTCTCTTCTCTAAGCTTTTTGTACATAGATCGTGGCATAGTTAGAATTGAATTTAAGTTCTGCTTTAGCCCTTCACAGATACTGGCCGACAGGGGATCATCAATTAAAAGGTTAAACAAGCACATGAACATTGTTTACTGAATTGATTCAATCATCGCTCATAAGAACATTGATATTTATCCTTTGAAAGTTTTATCGCAAATTCGATCTACATGAAAGATCTTAACTAAATCTCAAGTGTATAGAGGAAAGCTGTATTGAGGAATGCTGAAGACATTCGGCAGCAAATTTATGATCTTCCGTTCTGTTGCATACCGGAAGGCCATGCCGGCGATAGGCTTAACCAAGCCTAGCACGGGCATTACCATGCCGATCACTATCGGCTCGCCTAGGCATGCTTCCGAGCACTAATGCAATGCCCACAGCTGCATGTTTGATGTTTGTTGTTTGCCATACTAATATGCAAGCCTCATCAATGCGAAAATTTCAATATCAACTGGCTATAACGCGACAGTGTTACGAATGATTTGGAATAATGCTTTCTGCTATATTCACTATGGCAGCCAGAATTATGTCTTCCTCGGGCCTCTTCCGAGTCATGTATTTAAACAGGGGCTGTATATAGGAGTTATTGTTGGCAGATTCTGCCCCTTGGCCAACTTTGGAGCAGATCCGCGGTGCGAATAGAGGCGATTGGATGAGATCAAAGCTCTCTTCCCTCAGTGTCAGCTCTGCTTTTCACCACCCGGGTGATTGGGCCCCCCCACACCCATTGGACACAGATTTAGATACCCGCTCGGGCATGCGCCTCCACAATAGGATACATTACACCTTTTCAAAGGATGGCTTTTAGATGATCACTTGCCTTATTTGTATTCAGGGCCTGAGTCTTTTATCTCTGCCACAAGGTATTCACAAATCCCCAGTCAATTTCTCGCATCATCGATTTAGGTGTTATAGGCTTCGGTAGATCTCATAGCTTGTTAAGACCTAAGTAAAAAATTCAATAAAAGTTATCCAATAAACCCAAAGAGTAGCTGGGCTCCATTGTATCATTATCAGTACTAATATCTCTATTGTCGGTGTTAAAGACCATTCTAGCCCTCGCTCCACATCATAAGCCCCTCAGATAGCCTATCTGCAGCCCTGAAGTTGGGGATAATGGTTCCGCTAAACCGACCAATACGGCTTATTCCGGTGTCGCGGCCGTTTGCTTCCTCGGTACGCTGAAGGGTAAATAAAGAACTTGAAACCCGGGAAGCATTCAAGTCTTCATATTCCGCTACAAATTCTGAGGTACCTATGGTTTTGGTAAGATCTACAATTTGTTTTGGGGGTTATATTCCAAGTTTGTATTTTTCGTCGAGTGCACTATCTTTCCTGTGGTATATTCCTCAGGTACTGCCAGTGTTTCCAAGGTTGGTAGTAACACCGATTGGAATGAATATTTGTGGGATATGTCGAATGAAGTATTATTCCATTCATAATCATCATAGTTTACTCATGGAATCTAAACATCTACAATCCCAGCCAGAATCTAGTCTTGCCCACATCAAACTCTCCCCGAAGTTCCTCTGACCCGGTACCAGTAATCAAGACCTCATAGCGACCCTTCTCAGAGATCCACTGTTCTCGTTGCTCATCCCACCAGCTAGTCGCAAGTTTCTTTTCAACCGCCAGATCCACCGTCTTAGATTCACCAGGTTGAAGGAAGATCTTCTGGAACGCCTTGAGCTCGCGGACAGGACGGTTGACAGCAGTCTTTGGAGGTACAATCCAAAGTTGCACAATCTCAGCTCCAGCAATAGAGCCGGTGTTAGTAACGACCACTGTAGCTGTGATAGGCTCGCCAGACTCAGAGTATTTGGCCTCTTCTGGTACAGTCTTGACCTTTAGATCGGAGCGTGAGAATGTGGTATAAGACAGCCCATGGCCGAATGCGAAGGCTGGCTCCACTTCGCTCCTTTCAAAGAAGCGGTAACCTACGTACACATCTTCGCCGTATAGGACACGTCCGCGCTCGGAGCGGAAGTTCACGTAAGATGGATTGTCCTGCAGGCGGCGAGGGAAAGTAACGGGTAGCTTGGCCGAGGGATTGACATCACCGTAGAGTACATCCGCAATACCGTTACCACACTCGTTGCCACCAAACCAGGCTTGCACGACTGCACGAGCATCCTTCACCCATGGCATCGTAACTGGTGTGCCGGATTGAATAACAACAACAGCGTTGGGGTTTGCGGCCAAGACTTGGGTAATGAGCTCATCGCTGCCTGGAGGCAGATCCATGTGATCGCGATCCGCGCCCTCGGTCTCCCATTCGCTGGTCAGACCGGCGAAGATTACAACCTGTTCGGCCTTCTTTGCCTCTTCCACGGCCGATGCGATCAATTCTTCCTCGCTCACGCGACGGCTAGCCCCGAAGCGGAATCCGCCGGGCCCAAATGCAACGATGCCGCGAGTATCGAGATCGGAGGTAGGCGCTGTACCAAACTCGAAGAGGACATTGTAGGTCTGACCGGCCTTGAGCTCCTTCTGGCCGAGCTCTTCGATAGTAGCCGTACCGAAGAAAGAAGTGCCTTGTTTCTGATTCTTGGTATTATCCACCACCACCTCACCATCTATGAGCAATCGGCCGGTACCGACGACTGTCACGCCAAAGTCATAGACACCGGTCTCCTCGGGCGTGAATGTCCCCTCCATATCAACATAGTATGTCATCGACTTGATCTTGGGGTTAACATAGTCCATCAAAAATCCCATAGAAGCGAAGAGCTGCAGCTCGTCCACAAGTTCCCGATCCTTACCAGCACTTGGGTGCTCGTTGTAGACCTTGAAAGTAAATCCGGGCTTGCCATCTGCAGTCTTCATGAGAGGTCCAATGAGGGGAAGCTCCTTGTGAGAGTAAACACCTTGGGAAAATTTGACTTCGCCTTTGCTTTTAGAAGAAACAGCGTCGAATGGTGTCACGGTGTAATAAGGAGCCAGCGATGCCGAGCCACCACCGCAGTATGAGGCCATCTTAGCATTAGGTCCGATAACAAGAAGAGAGCCATCCTTTTTCAAGGGTAGACTAGCACCTTCGTTCTTGAGAAGGACAACAGACTCTGCTGCTGCGCGGCGCATCAACGCCTTATCTTCAGGGCGGTTCAGTGCCTTCTCTGATGCACCCTCCGGAATACCGAGGGGCTCAACCCAGTTGACTAGGTTTAAGATATTACGCACACGCTCATCAAGCTTGAACTGGGCAACCTTATTTGAAGAGACGGCATGGGCAAGAGCTTCCCCGCGCCAGCGCGTCTTGCCAGGCATCTCAATATCAAGACCAGCATTAATAGCGTCAGATGTGCTATATGTGCCGAACCTGTATAGTAGACAATGTTAGATTGATGCTTTCTAATATGTCGTCGCAAGATTTAAGCTCACCAGTCACTCATCACAAGGCCATCCCAGCCCCACTCCTTTCGTAATATATCATCGATAAGAGCCTTATTCTCACTGACATGCGTTCCATTGACCTTATTGTAAGCAGTCATAATACACGCAGATCGACAAATCCGCATAGCCAACTGGAAAGGGAGCAGGTAGATCTCGCGCAAGGCACGCTCTGTCACAATACTGTTCACGGCCATACGCTCATGCTCCTGGTCATTACAAACAAAATGCTTCAGTGTGGCTGCGACACCTTTGTCCTGCATACCCTTGCAGAAATGACCCGCTAGGGTACCAGACAGAATGCCATCCTCAGAGAATGACTCGAATCCACGTCCACCCAGTGGTGAACGCTGAATGTTAATTGTGGGACCTAAGACGATATGTGTGCCTTTGGCGATCGCCTCATCGGCCATCAAACTGCCAACCTGGGTCAACAGGTCAGCGTCCCACGTAGCACCCAGAGCGGTGGCGCATGGGAGACAGGCGGCAGGGATACCATTGAAGAAACGCGTACCGCGAACGCCGTTCGGGCCATCTGACATACGCAGTGAAGGGATGTTGAGACGTGGAATGGGGACTGTGTGCCAAAAGTCGCGTCCTAAGGTGGCAAGTCAGTCGCGAACTATCTCCAAGCTGGGGCAGCGTGGGGCAATCGGAATGTTTGGATGTGAAAATGCGTGAGTGTAAGAGCTTACCAGCTGTAAGGGCGACCTTCTCTCCAAGGGTCAACTCCTCAATAGCCTTCTCAACGTCGATTTGAGTCATATTGTCGGTTATTATCTAGTTTATCTTCGACTCGTGATCTCAGCTGGTTTCCAATGCTTGTGATTTCTCGTAATTGACGCGTCTTTGTCTTTTGTATAATGAACTACCAGTCGCAAATGTCACTCGGGGACCTTGCTTGCACCCGGATTGTCTAGGATGTGCTGGGTTTATAAGCACAGAACTGTCGTAATTGCTCCGCTCTGACCGTGAAAGCGAGATGAATGATGCCCCCAAGTGGGGTGAAAGTAGGTGGGGCACAAGCTTCAACCGCTCAAACAGCCACGGAGGGACGGAGCAATTGCCGAAGTTTAGCCGGGTAAGCCAATCCATTGACCCAACTAAATATGAGATCCTGCTGACCTTGTTAAACGGCGAACTGGTCCGCATCGCTGGACTAGGCAGCTAGTGTCACTTTTATTCAAATTTGATTTGTTCAAAAATACGAGGACTTGAATCTGGACTTTTTTCCATCTGCCTCCACGTGCAAAGGAGGATAGCTACAGCCATGATCGTCATACACAAGCTACATATACCCGTTAGATTGTGAACAGCCGCCACAATTATTGTCAAACCATGATTAATCATAGGCTTGGAACTGAAACATTTCAATTCTATCTTGTTCTCGGTTAACACATAATTTCATCCCTGTACTCCGAATTAAATTATTTCAAGGTAGGAACTTGCTGCGTGACGCAGTGTAACACTCCCCCCATCAAAGGAATCGCATTCGCATACACCTGTCGGATTACTCGATCGGGCATTAGCGATGATAATATTTCCAAAGCTTGCTGATCTCTCTCCTCATCTCCAAACTTAGGAATAATGAGCCCACCATTCACAAAATAAAAGTTCACATAGCTAGCCGCCAACTCCTCATCATCGGTCTTAGTTAGCCCCCGAGGATCCGGTTCTTGAATAGTATAAATCTCCAAGGACCGACCCTTAGCATCTTTTTGGTGAATTAAACCCTCCCATATCTCAGCGGAAATCTCTTTCCAAAGATCAGGAGCTATATCATGAGGTTTTGAGAATAAAACCACGCCAGGTCGAATAAAGCGAGCCTCAGCATCAATATGCACGTCCGTAATGTCGGCGTTACGCCGACCAGGAAACCAGATAACCTTATCGACGCCCAATAACCGCTTCAGCTCACTTTCGATTCTAGCCTTTGACATGCCCGGGTTTCGCACGTCGCAAAATATGCTGCTCTCTGTCATTAAAAGTGTGCCGTCACCATCCGTAACAAAAGCACCACCCTCGGCTCGGATCGGTGATTCAATCCTTGTCACAGGCGATGGCTCATGATCGTGATCGATGACCCAACGGGCGAAATCTGTGTTCTCTTGCAGGTCCTTATCATCCAATGGTGGCCATCGCTGACCCCAGAACAGACCGTTAGTTTCGGGTTTCTTGCCACCCCATTCGTTAAATCGAAAGTCTATGGCGAAGCGTCGGTCGGGAAATCTTCCAGTCGCGTCACGGACGTAGAGTGGACCCGTGTCGCGGACCCAGCAGTGATTAATCGGACAAGTGATAATGGTCACGCGTGAGATGTCCTTGGTAGTGTTGCTGAGCAACGTCTCCAATAACGATTTATCGCCAGGGCGCACGTAAAGTCGAACTGGCTCGAACTCTGCAATCGCAACAGCTAGCTCGGCCAGCTCGACACATACTGCGTCGTATTTTTCAGGAGGAAGAGAAGTTCGAGAGGGAAATCCAAGAATTGTTGCTTCGTGATGGTCACTCTCCGCTGGAAAAACGTATCGCCCTTGCTGGATTTCACTGTGAAGTTGTTCCTCGGAGACGAGATGTACTTGCTTCGAGTTTGATCTCGAATCGATTATTTTGTGAACGGTTTTGCGCAGCTTCTTGAAGGGTCCCATTATGCCCTTTACAGACAGCAATAGGCTCCTTTTGCTAGGACTGATCCTATCCACTTAAATGACGCATCCATGTTGTACTTTCTAGACTTTTTATAAATGTTTGTTTTATTTCTGGTGTAACTTCGATTCAAATGCTGGTCTTACATTGTCCTAGACTGTCCTAGATCGATTTTACAATGGTCTGGTTATTCTTTCCGGAAGAACCAGTCTGCGACACAGAACGAGAGCGATGAATTTCCTGGGTTGGCATCTCTATCACCTGGCTAGAAAAAATGTGACAGGCAGTTCAGTCTAATCGTCTTAGTACAATGTGGCTCATGGGATTCATTCCTCTATACCAAGAGAGTTTATTTGAAAGTTAAAGAATAACAAAATAACAGATACACATGGACGCCCGACAAAGAAATTCACAAGATCTGGTGGTAGCATTCCTCAAACTTTGTCAATATAGCTGTCAAATATGCTAGCAAGGGCCTTTGCACTCTTTTTCGGCAATCGCTTCTGATCGTTCTCGTAGTCAACATAAGTTACCCCAAAACGAGTCTCGTATCCCTCGGCCCACTCGAAATTGCTGCAAAGGAATTCAAGTTAGTATGTGTTAATTTTGATATAAGACCAATTGAAAGATACATACTCCATAAGGCTCCACGCCATGTATGCACGGACATTGACTCCATCCAGAGTGTATGCATCCGCCATAGCACCTACATAATCACGGAAGTACTGCACCCGAAACTCATCATCAAGGAGCTCCTGAAGAGGCATATCATTCTCGCCGAGCACACTGGTTCCATTTTCCGTTACATAGATCTTGGGGTACCCATAGCGCTGACTGAGCCAAACAAGCAGTTTTCGGAAGCCCAGAGGAGAGGGTCTCAGCCAAGGGGACTGTGTGATCGGACCAACACTTTGGCCATCTTTATCTTCAAGAAGTAGTTCCAGATTTCCTGCGATGTCCTCCGGGTCAGGCTCTCCCGTTTTCGCACGAATAAAGTTGGCGCAGTAGTGATTCATTCCGTAGAAGTCATTGCTGCCTTGAACAAGAGCAATGTCTTCAGGATCCCAAGCTGGCAATCTGTCTCCCAATTGCTTGATCATGCTGTCGGGATATTTTCCGTGGTAAATTGGATCTGCAAACCAAGAGATAGCAAACTCAATCTTGCGATCGCACGCTTCGATATCGGCCGGGTTCTCTGAATCCCAAGGCTCAGCCCAGTCACCTTGGAGTTTTAACCAATGTTAGCTATGATCAAGAGGACTGGAAGATGAAGGTTATTCACCATTCAGTGTAATTCCGATTTCACCTCCATCTCGAGATTTGAATTCATCGCGGTAGATTTTGACGGCAGCACCATGGGCTATCAGGATGTTATGGCCTACAATCCAGGGCTCTGTTGTCCCATCGCCAACTTCGCTTTTCGTGCGATCACTTGTACGACCGGGCGCAAACATTCCAGTATTATATCCGAAGATACATGAGCACCAAGGCTCGTTGAATGTTATCCAATGCTTGACCTTAGAGCCGAATGCCTCATATAGGACTCTGGCGTAGTTTGAAAAGTCGGCGACAAACTCTTCCTTGTTCAGAAATCCACCATAGCGCTTGTTCAATTCATCTGGTAAGTCCCAGTGGAACAAAGTAACCATCGGAGTAATTCCGGCATCTAGAAGATCATTGACAAACTTTTGGTAGTGTTGTATACCCTTTTTATTCACCGGGTCATTGCGTCCACCAAGGGGAATAATTCGAGACCTGCGATCGTTAGAAATCCCCACATAATACTTGAAACGCCGTGACATACCATGAGATTGAGAATCTGTATGCTTGAGATCCGCAGGCCTTCAGCAATTCAATGTCCTCATCTGTTCGATTATAGGAGTCGCATGCCACATCGCCCGATCCCCCACCAGCAATCTTGCCAGGAGTCTTGCAAAATTTGTCCCAAATGGAAGGTCCACGACCATCTGCCTCTACAGCACCTTCAATCTGGTAAGCGGCCGTCGCAAATCCCCACAAAAAGTCAGACGGCAAACTAGATTGAGTGATCGACCCCATAGTAGCGAACGAATTGAAAAAGATAAAAAGTTCGTACAGCAACCACAGTCAATTTTCCACCTTCACCTCGCGAAGCAAGCTGTCTTTATCAATGCTTCCATCAACAAAAAAGCAAAAGCACTTTCGATCAAACAGGAGGCAAAAAGAAACAAACCACGAAACACAGCTTCCTTATCGTGATAGGAACTATCTCCGCGACCCGGAGCATATCCCGCTCCCAGAGCGTGGGGGGCTCCATCCCACGATCGTGCGTCAGATTGGCTCTGGGGATGCACGGTTGCCCGGCCCGTTCACCGCAAGTAAAACTCTACAAATCTCATCGTGTGCTTTGGAATCATTCCTTCCCTCGCCAAGTCCAATTGCGGACGACAAGGCGTGCCAGATTTGTTTGAAGAGTCCTCGTCAGTAATACCTTGCTGGAGATTGATGATCGCTGCATTGCGACCGGGATCTTTGGGCGTCGTCGTATTGCCACCGAGAACCCGTTGACTCGGCCCTCGTTGATGCGCCTGGTCCTCGTCTTTTGCCATACGGGTGAGCCAGATGCGGCTCGCTTCTCGGCAAATCTCCGAGTGTCATTGATGGTCTAGAATCATATGATGACCTTTCATAAATAATTTCAACTCTCTTGTTACAGCTGGTTTTTATAGAACAAATGTGATCCAGTCGTGCTTATACGTTGGTTTATTTATTTCCAACGCACGTATGATGAGATTAATGAATGGCCTATAATTCCAACTAAAAATTGGAAATCAAAAATCAAAAATCAAAGAGGGGTCAAAACACCATTGAAACGTACTATCATCGTGGGAAGTGCTAGCTAATGAGTGTGGTTATAGATAGTTGGCAACTAGTGAACACGTATATGGAATTTCTGACATGAACTGCAGCGACAACACAACATCCTTCATGGAGTAGCAACAAACAGGGCGTGACATGAATACCGAGCCTTGTTAGTGTCAAATAAGCTGGGTCAAACGAGCTCGTTGTCGCATCAATAGTTGAAAGGCGACTAATAGCATAGTTGACCGGGATGGACAATTCTGATGCCCACCTCATGAAAATGACTAATATCGCTAGGTGGCAAGTCCGCTTGAACTAGTCTGAGAGTAAAGCCTTGTCTATATTTAATGATACGTGATTAGTTATGTGATCTTTTTGATAGGATGATCGAGGTGCCTTACCCGTTGTTGATTGATGCGAAGTGCTCGGCATTTTCAACACCCATTCTGGGAAATGCGATGAAACCTCGGCGTGTAGGTACCTCAAAATCATTTCCAAGGGCCAGGGGCTCATTAACGTTCGGCCATGCGCCCCTCTGGTTGGCCAGCCGGATTGAAACGAATGGAGTGGCTACTACCTCGGAGCTAGCGTAATTTCCCAAGTTAAAATTTAAAGGGCTCGCTCATTCATCAAGTGAGCATTCTCACTGGTGAAGATATCTTACCTGTCAGCAGACCATTCAACAAGTAATTGTTTTGTCAAATCAACGCATTCGTTCTCTTTGGGTGACGTAATGTGCATGCCTAATAGATGTTAGCCAAAGCATATCCGTGGAGTACTTTGATACTTACAAGTAGAGACAGAGGTGAATGCCAGCAGAAATGCAGCGAGCGAGAGACGCATTTTGTCTACAGTTTGTGAAAAGTCGAACTTTCTGTGGTTCAACGATATACCTTGCAGTGATGAATGTTTAATTGGGAGAACTGGAGGTGAACTTGAATGGGCCGGTGATGAGCCTTTATATACAACAGAATATTTGATGGTATTTCGTAGTAATAGTAAAAGGATGAACTATTAGTACTAGTGGTAGTAATATCCATACTAGTAGTCTTCCGGAGTTATCTTCCTTCCCTTGTAGTATATCTCCGCGGCCCAAACCGATTCGACAGGCATCAATCGATTATGTGTTTCGCCAGGTTTCTCCGGAGTGTGTAGACTTGACCCATCAGTTCCATTCATTGATCCTGGGGAACCTTTCATCGAATATTACCCCATGTGCTGGTAATCTCTTCTAGTCAGATATTCAGAGCCATCGCCATGGGATATGAGTGCAAGTAGGCGAGAAACCGCCATAGAGACCTACCTAGTAAGATAGCACCAGACGTCGGTACTGTGTATGTACATGATAGATCTTACCTCACGATACATCATGCCCCACATGGGTTGCATGTTAATCTTCGACTCTTGGAACATGGTAGACAGAATGATGAATATAAGTATACACATTTCTATCGCATGGCTTCCCTGTCCCTTTACGTGATACTTCAGAGTTGGCATTACAGCCGGGTCGGAGGTATTTTACCCTATAAACACTTCTTATGGCTTCCATCGAGTGCCCTTGGAAGTGATACACATGATAGATCACAATTTCCAACTAACAACGATAATCCAGTCTATGAAGCGGCCATAGCTCTAGTCCGACCACTAATTTTGGTTATTTTCGATTGGGCAGGTCTCTTTTGTATTCATAAATAAAAGAATTTGAGCCTCAGAAACGAGTTCATCTTTCAAAAGGAAATCTTGGGATTTTTATTCCCTCCTTTTAGCCTAAGGCATGTATAGTCGTCTATTTTCTGTGAAGCCGTGGTCTGATGAGACGGAATTCATGAATCAGAGAGATTGTTCACGTCTTGGAGACATTTTCAGAGGCCTGACTTCATGTCCCTCAAATCCTGCACGTCTGACATTTTAGGGGCTAGGGTCATACTACTAATAAGTTGTCAAAGTAGGCGTTAGTTAAGACATAGAACGTGATATTTCAAGCCTGGGCAGAATCAATATGCGAGATGCCCCGCATGCAACCTTGCGATATTGTATAGTACTAGACATCATTTCTTGGGTTGAAAAACATCTACTAGGAGGCATTGTCGAGCCATCGGGGGAGATGTATTCATTGAAAGAGACTCATCATGATGGCTGCTTGCGGCTTTGCCTGTGTTTTACTAAAACACTGCTTCCTAAGAAATAGATAGATACTACTAGTATGCCTAAGAAAAACCATATCTCTGACGGATATTCTACATAATGAGATTTGGTCACCAGGAGGCCTGGAGAAATAATCATGATGGCACATCCGAGTCTAATACCCCACAGAAAGGGATTGAATAGCATGTATTCATGATCGCTGTACGGTCCTTTCGTGGAACATTCCAATTTCATTCTTAATACTAATTCATGTTAAGGAGCGGGAATCATATGAATATCATGAAATAAATAAAAGGGCGTAATTTTTGGCCTTTCGACCTCAGGTTGTGTCAAAATGGTGCCAGTGTCCGAATTCTCAAACGCCCATTTCATGATATTCATATTCACACGCTCACCAAAAGAATCCTTCAATATCTCCTAGCTAAGCGATACTACAAAGCATGAGATAGGACAGTTCACCTAGCAAGATGAAGAGATTCTGAACTGTCCAGATTGCGCCAGAGCACCGGGGTTGTTGAGTGAAACGGCCCAGATTTCAAATCCCTTACTATCATAGTAGTCATGTCAGTAGGCCTATCAATTTAACCATGCATATCTTAGAGCTCACCCATCGTTCAGGTCTGTGAGGCCATTGGCCACATCGCGAGACACGCCAGGGAAAGAATGTTCCCCCTTGGAAGTATCAACAACGACCTCTCTGTGTCTGGCAGGAGGCCAGGGCCTGTTGACAGGAGGACTTGCCCCGTTATAGTTGGTGAGTCTGAAGGTGATCTCCGACGGGTCGGTGCTTCAGCCTTGTTAGCAGATACACTTTTTGACCTTTGAATGCAATAAAGGGAATCATGATACTTGACAGAGTCCCAGGTGATTTGAAGCCCTTGGCTCAGATCAACGCATTCATCCGTCATAGGGGATGTAATTTGTAAGCCTGGTAAAGTTTAGTCGATGCTTCCATCTATTCTATATTTCCCTGGCAATGCATACCTGTGGTGCCGGCTGCCATTATGGCCAGAACAAATGATGTGAAAGCAAACTTCATTGTTATTATTTTCGGTGTTTTTTGTTTGCTTTGAGGATCACTAGAAATCTTATTGTGTTCTTGACGAATTCGAGTCGGCGGATGCTCAATTTATAGGCCGTTGAAAAAGTAGGACAACCTTCTGCTTTCATTTGAATTATGGAATTCAGCTAATCCTGACTTTGCGAAGTTAATCTAATCTGTTGTACCATTCAGCCTTGGGAGATTACGCTCTCGTGTTGTGACTCGCTTTTTACCTTGCATTGCATTCGGAGAGTATCGCGTCATGACATTGCAATGCGACATAAAGGCCATGGTATCAGAGATGAAAGGCATCATGCAGATTTGAAGCACCCTCTTATTGGCCAATAATTCGGACTGAAGCCAGGATTAGCCTCGTACAGCTTGTCAACACTCTTGGGATGTATTGGCGTGCCAGGTGGGGAAGTGGATTCGGCTACCATATCCCATCCTACATGTTCTTTACATATCATGGACAAAATCATTTATTGTATTGTATACTCAAGTTTATTATATACAGGTTACAAAACAGCCATAGTCGTTTGTACGTGAAGAAAATTCGCATCTTTCTTTCGTAGAAAGCATCTGTCTCTGGTTTATTAATGAGTTACCCTCGGAGTTTCAGACATAGATTGATTGAGCCTGGAGTTTGTTACTTGAAAGTCGAGGCCAAACTGCAAGAAATGCAGTCTTGTTGATCATCTGTGTAAGCTGATCTGAGACTGTGACACGCTATTGGCTTTCTGAATGTCTGTGGTAGCCGATCCGCGTAGATCCAATACGAGGATTATCCTGGCAACGGCGAAGCCGGCCATAAGGATGCATAGGATTCTATTATCAAAACTTGGCGAAGATCAGGTGTTTCTAGTTAGATGTAAAAAGGTTTGATGGCAAATTCACCGGAAGACTCTAATATTATATCATCCCGGGTGTTTACAAATTAGATTGACTTCCGTGGAAGATGTGTTCAGAATGAAAGAATTGAAAGGCCAAAAACTGCTTTCGTGGCCTAACCAAGTATCTTCACGTTGAACATGGGTTTAATAATATGAGCAAGTCGAATATTCAGTTGACTCGTACAATTGCGCTCGTGGCCATTACTACTCCTAGGCAAGGATGCATGCGTGGTGTGTATGACAGTCAATATTCATTGGTCGATCGTAAACTCTAATTCCACATTCACACTGGCACTAGTATGCAGGCTATAGGAACTATATATATGCTATTAATAGAACGTTGTTCTCTTCTCGAACCGTCAAACTAAAGATGAAGAGTGCCTGGTTGTGTATGCCTAATCTAATTATAAAAAGCAACAACAGCGAGGATTGTACAGCATTCAAGGTCAATGGGATATGCCTTGACAAGAAATGATTTTGATTAATTTTGCTATTCATGAATCACGACTCACTTCGCTGCCGAAGAGCAAAGTTTTCAAATCCCAGATGACTTGGTATTCAAAGGGTGATTAAATAAGTCATGAACGCCGGTAGGAACTGGGAACCTTCAAAGAGAGAGTATTAGGATCTCGTTGGATTTCTACCCACTGTAGCTACCCATCACGTCAATCATGACCAGAGTATCCGCTGTCATCAATCTTGATACTAGCTTAGTAGAGATCAATGCATCAGTCTATCTTTCCTATTTCCATCTCCGGCGTGGGGATGGATCTACACAACATCCTTGCGTCTTGGAAGTGTAAACGTTGCTTTGTGGAACTCGGAATTCCAGAGCGATAATCCTATGCTCCCGCTCGTTTCCACGATTCATCATGAGACGAAGTTTCTCATTATTGTTTCAAAATTATCTTAATAATCGAAAAAATGAATCTTCTTTTCTGAGATTGCAAGAGTCGGCACACTCAAGCCTTTTCACGCTATTCTCTATATGAATTGTTTTCCAAGGTCGATATGATACTAGAAGGTATTAGTTCGTGTATACGATGACGAAGGGCCGGGGCACCTCATTGTTTCTTTATCTCGATATCCAGTGCGATTGGGCCTTAGAGTAGGATTCCGACATTCGATGGGAATATTCTTTGTTGTGTTATTCGCATCAATTGTATTAGGACCGATGTTCTGAAAAGAAACTCATGCCGCTATCAATTGACCGAGTAGTTTCACTTCGGCCATATAGTGCTTATCTGATGCCCGAATCCGAGATTATTTCGGTGCTATAGCTTCTCCATGAGCGTCTGGGGTATCTAGAAATGGATCAAAGAAAGATCTCTCGGTCGGAACCTTGGAATCGGTCTGGGTGGCCTTAATCGGCCTATCGGCGATAGTTTCCAATTCGAACTTTGGAAATGTCGGCCCCGAGATCTTGACTCAATCTCGCTATGTAAGCCGAACGTGGTGATATATCAAGCCCCGCTATCGCTACTATCGCATCATGATGTTCCAAACTTGAAGTTAGTGTCAACACATATTCCCATTTTCAAAATGGCGTCCCTTCCACCTGCTTCGTGCTGTTACAAGGGAGTTAAGCATGAAGGCGCTGCCAAGGGTAGTATCTCGCAAATCGGGGACGTTGAAGTGTACACCGTGTATCCCGATGACAAGTCGACCAAGAAAGCAATTTTAATGTAAGTGTGGCGTACCTGTTTGGAATATATCCAATTTCTCACATTTTGTGTCAAAAATAGCTTAACAGACATTATTGGACACAAGTTCATAAATGTTCAGCTAATTGCTGATCAGTTCGCCGCGAACGGGTATTGTGAGTTTGATGGGCTAATACATCAAAATTTGATGCTCAAAATGTGTAACTAAACTGTTCAGTTGTCGTTATTCCCGATCTATTTGCAGGGGATCCGGTGCCATTGAACAAACCCGGTGGTTTTGATATGCAAAAATGGCGCCACGGAGAATATCACCCTAAGGGAATTGCGCACTTGCCCCCCAACGTCGATCCTATTGTCGATGCCTGTATAAAGGAAATGAGAGAGACTCATGGCTGCGAAGTAAGTGACGAATTCAACGTTGCAGATGTTTCCGGACTGACATTTTCAGAAAATCGGCTCTGTCGGATATTGTTTTGGTGCCAAGTATGTGGCGCGATATCTACGACCAGATTTGCAACAGATTGATGTGGGCTTTTTCGCCCACCCAAGTCATGTTTCCGAGGACGAATTGCGCAGTATCAAGGCTCCGTTGGGTATTGCCGCCGCTGAGACGGACGCGATTTTTCCACCCGAAAAGCGACACGACAGCGAGGTCATTCTGAAAGAGTCAGGATTACCTTATCAAATTAATCTGTATAGCGGTGTGTCTCATGGGTAAGTGAATAATCTACAGTTTTAACGTTTCTTCCTTGCACAAATTGAGCAAATTGCTAACAAATGGATGCAGATTTGCGGTTCGCGGGGATCCGAACAATCGAATCGTGCAATATGCCAAGGAGACCGCATTCCTCCAAGCCATCCAGTGGTTCAATGAGTACCTCACGGTCTAATTTCCCGCTTTAAAAAACTTTGGAGCAGAATTCAGTTGGGTATCCCAGTAGTCTTTCAACCATTGATCGCTCTCCAGGGCTGTTATGAGGCTGCATTCAAACCCGAGACTGAAAATGGACGGTATTGGTTGGGCGTGTCATGCACTAGTATTAGCCTAGAGGATGTAACAGTGCTTCATCATGGTGGATTTGCTAGAGCAGAACGCCTAGCTGTCCCGCACTTCGAGAGAGGTGGAAATCTATAGTGATAGAACTTTTGGATTGTTATCTATACGACTTTTGTTCAATCAGGCCTGCGGAGTAGGTTAAAATACAATACCTGGTAACTTTGAACCTGTTGGGATTGCACAAATTGTAGTGAAGCTTCGAGACTGGGGCGAGCATCATAGGTAATACATTCAAAGCTGAGCTTTAAGATTAACGTTGTGGCACTGACTGTCGCACTCAGAGGTTAATGAACAGTATGCTCAACCTGTGCCAGATTTCACGACGCCTGGGTTTTTGCTTCAAGCTGGCAAGGTGGTGGGTAGTACTTTGGATATTCAATTCGTTCTTCAAATTCAATCATCAACTTGGGCACCTCATTCAAAGCCTTCAAGTTTCCTCCGAGTCTTTCACGGGAGACTGCATACACGTGTACTTCATGTTATGTTTTTATTGGATGGCAGAACTTGCTATAGCGTCCAAATCTCATTCACATCCATGGATGTTCTAGCCCAGATTCATAAAATTTATCTTCAATTTGCCGACATCTGGACCTCATTGGCTCTGGAATAGGAGCTATCATCCATTTGGAACATATATATACACTCCAGGGCTGCCCAGGTGGCAATTATCCACTGGCATATGTACAAACATCGTCATGTAACTTTTTTCTAATCTCTACGCCTGGACATAAATGTCGCATGTTTGAAAACCCCTCGAAGTTAATGAAGAGGAACCTGATTAGGCGGAGATTTGATCGCGATGATGGCTGTTGCCCAGAAAGTGATGGCTTGGAGCAGGTACAGCACTAACTATGCGAAGGCGCGAAGTCGGTCCCGACGCGACGAATCAAGTTCTATGTGGAGCGCGTCTCTTGTTAATCCCGCCGGAGGATTTGCTCCTTGCATCGCCATTTTTGACAAGGCGCGTATATTTCATGCATTCTTCACGACTTCCTTGCAGGACTTTGCTTCTCCTCCGGGGCTAAAGAAAACTCGACCAAAAACGCCACACGTACCAGGATCTCGAAAAAGGAAAGAGATTAATATTGGAAACGTGGCCGCCATGTGCACACGCCAACACTGATTTCCCCACTGAGCTCAGGTCCTGTCCCACGAAGAGTCGGACGATTCATACTCTCGGAGTCGGAGTCGGTCTTGGTAGTCGGCAAAACCGTAATTGTTTCAAGTTATACCTTGCCAATTGGAAGACATTGTCCACTCAATACCACAATGGTTCTGTGCAGCGAGAACTCCAATGACTCTGGGATGGATGCAGGTGCAGTCTGTATCGTACAACAAAAAGGCTCCTCATTTTAGGCATTGAAACATGATTTGCTTACGTGCATGATCGACGCGCGAAGCGATATGTCCATTCGGCGAGAGCTGAGGAGTGTGGCTTTTCCACTACTAAGCTTATTATCCGAACGAATGTCCGATTTATACAAAATGATTCATGCCCAATGCCTTGATATGAAACTTCTATTGCAGATCCATTCTCCACAAAGGCCATGAAAGTTTTTGTATATCTCATTCTCGGTTCGATTTGTCTTCTCGCTCAACTTTCTCCTTGAACGAGTACCAGAAAGAACAGAGCACTTTCTCTATATTTATGAAAAATGCGGGCAACAATGATCAATGATTGCCAAGCCGCAGGCGAGCCCATTGCTATTGTGGGAAGTTCTTGTAGATTCCCTGGCGGTGCTACAAGCCCATCAAAGCTTTGGGACTTGCTCAAAGACCCTCGGGATGTTTTGACAGAGATCCCAGACAGTCGATTTAACGCCAATGCCTTCTATCATCCAGATGGAACTCACCACGGAACAAGCAATGTATGCCACTCTTACATTCTATCTGAAGACCATCGACTTTTCGATGCCCAATTCTTCGGAACCAAGCCAGTGGAAGCGAATTCCATTGATCCCCAACAGCGATTGCTTCTTGAAACAGTATACGAGAGTTTGGAGTCAGCGGGGATACCCATGGAGACGCTACAAGGGTCCGATACTGGTGTTTACGTCGGACTTATGACAAACGACTACGCTGACCTCTTGGGTCGCGATGTTCAAAACATGCCCACATATTTTGCGTCAGGAACGGCGCGAAGTATTTTATCCAATCGAGTCTCATACTTCTTCAATTGGCATGGGCCATCAATGACAATTGACACGGCTTGCTCTTCCAGTTTAGTTGCAGTCCATCAAGGTGTGCAAAGCTTGCGTACCGGCGAGAGCAAGCTGGCAGTCGTAGCAGGAACAAATCTTCTTCTTGGACCAGAGCAGTATATTGCCGAGAGCAAACTGAAAATGCTTTCTCCTACAGGGCGCTCACGCATGTGGGATAAGGATGCGGATGGTTATGCGAGAGGTGATGGAGTCGCGGTTGCTATTCTTAAACCACTGAGTGCTGCGATGGCCGACGGTGACCACATTGAGTGCATCATCCGGGAAACGGGAATAAACCAAGATGGACGGACCAAAGGAATTACAATGCCCAATCCAGTCGCTCAGGCAGATTTGATTAGAAAGACCTATGCCAGAGCGGGGCTTGACTTGACAAAGGCTAGCGACCGGCCGCAATATTTTGAGGCCCACGGAACAGGTAAGCAGCAGAACACGATATGAAACTTAAATAATTTGAGGTTGAAGCTAACAAGATCAAAGGAACGCCCGCTGGAGATCCGGTTGAGGCGGAAGCAATAAGCACAGCTTTCTTCGGAAAACAAGCGAATTATCACCGAAAATCAGATGAGGAGGACCCATTGTACGTTGGCTCCATCAAAACTGTCATTGGTCACACCGAAGGCACAGCTGGCCTAGCGGCGGTCCTGAAAGCTTCATTAGCTTTGCAGCATGGTGTTGTGCCTCCAAATTTGCTGCTGAACAAGTTAAATCCTACTGTGAGACCGTTCTATAACGACCTTCGGATCTTGAATCAAGCGAGAGAATGGCCAAATGTCCCCAGCCAGACGACCCGCCGTGCTAGTGTCAATAGCTTTGGATTTGGCGGCGCGAATGCGCATGCGATTTTGGAATCATACGAGACCGAAATGTATAACGCGCTAGAACCTGAATCAATTGAACTTCCATTAACGCCATTCAACTTCTCAGCATCTTCTGAAAGGTCGCTTGCAGCAACACTTGATCTTTACTCGGACTATATTGAACAACACCCCGAATTAAACCTACGCGATCTTTCATGGACTTTGAACTGTCGCAGATCCACGCTCCCCATTCGGACATCTATTGCTGCTTCTAGTTCAACTGATCTTGTTGCTAAGTTGAAGAGTGCATCCAAGGCCCCTTCTGAATTCACGCTAGCATCGAAGTCCCCAAATTCCAACCATCCGAAGCTTCTTGGGATCTTTACTGGCCAAGGGGCTCAGTGGGCTCGTATGGGAGCAGAGATGTTAACTGGGTCATCGCTAGCCAGTGATTGCATTACCCGACTTGATTCTGCTCTACAAGCCCTTCCACAGGAGCATCGACCACAGTGGCTATTGAGGGACGAAATCCTCAAAGATGTCTCTTCTTCACGTATTGGACAGGCTTTATTTTCCCAGACTCTTTGCACGGCCATCCAGATAATGTTTGTGGACCTCCTCTATGCTGCAGGTATTCTGTTCGCAGCTGTAGTTGGACACTCATCAGGAGAAATTTCTGCCGCATATGCTGCTGGGTATTTGAGTGCAGAGGACGCCATAAAAGTTGCCTACTATCGCGGATGGTCCTTGCAGTATTCGAGGGACTCTACAGGGATTAAGGGTGCAATGATGGCAGCGGGGACATCCTTTGAAGACGCTCAGGAACTTTGCGAATCCCCAACTCTTGAAGGCCGAGTCTGCGTTGCGGCAAGTAACTCATCTGCTAGCGTGACCCTTTCAGGTAATGCCGATGCGATAGAAGAGATGAGAGAGATCTTTGAGGATGAGAAGAAATTTGCACGTTTGCTCAAAGTTGACAAGGCTTATCACTCCCATCACATGCTACCATGCGCTGCCTCCTACATCGAAGCTTTGCAGAGGTGTAAAATCAAAATATTGAATCGTGTCAATGCTTGCACTACTTGGATTTCAAGTGTCTACGGCAAAGATATCGACAATGTCAATGACAGCCTTTCAGACACGTATTGGAGCAACAATATGATCAATCCCGTTCTTTTTTCCCAGGCCGTCAGCTTTGCCGTTGCTGCACTGGGCCCTTTCAACATGGCCCTAGAGGTAGGTCCTCATCCAGCACTCAAAGGGCCAGCCTCGCAGACAATTCAAGAAGTATCTGGAAGTGAGATTCCCTACTCGGGTACTTGCAGTCGTGGAAAAGACAGTCTTCAAATGTTTTCATCTGCGCTTGGAGCTTTGTGGACATTCCTTGGCGAGGGGGTTGTTGACTTCGCAGCATTGGACCAAAAAGTACTTCCCAAGGGGAGACCAAGACGATTAATCAAGGGCCTGCCCGTATACGCATGGGATCATGATCGTATATATTGGCACGAGTCGCGTCTTTCATCAGAGTATCGTGCAGGCAATGGAAAATTCCATCATCTTTTGGGTGTCAAATGCCCGGACGGCACACAGAAAGAGATCCGCTGGCGAAACTTTTTGCATACTCGTGAGATACCCTGGCTTCATCATCACCAAGTTCAAGGTCAAATTGTTTTCCCAGCCGCGGGATACATTTCAGCAGCACTGGAGATTGTTGTCGAAAGGTTTGGTCTTGATTCCATCAAACTGGTCAATTTCCAGAATTTCATTATTGGGCAGGCCTTGGTCCTGGAGGAGAACACCGGTGTTGAAGTGATTTATACACTCACTATCTCCGATATCTCGAACACCAGGATGGCGGCCTCTTTCAACTGTTACTCAGATGCGAACAAGGGCACTTCTGGAATGTCTCTCCATGCTTCAACCCAGATTCAAGTTGAGCTGGGTGATCTCGATCATGAAGACCTTCCTCTAGGCAGTGGACCCCGAGACTCATTTTTGGAGGTTGAAACTGACAGGTTCTATGATTTTGTTTCTCAGCTTGGATTTGGGTACACAGGTCCGTTCAGAGCGCTTTTTAGTCTGGAAAGGAAGATGGATGAAGCGACAGGCACAATAGCCGTCCCAGTTCTGGATGATGAGAACAGTTACCTCCTTGCGCACCCCGGATCACTGGATGCTGCTATACAAGCAATCATGTTAGCGTACTCTTTCCCAGGTGATGGTCGCCTCCGCACTCTCTACCTGCCAACAAGGATTGACAGCATTCGGATCAACCCAGGCACCTGCAAGAAACTCGCGCGGCCCGGTTCACAACTTCCATTTTATTCCTCTGTTGGCAAGACTAGGTTTTCCGAGCTCTCTGGAGATGTGGACATATATTCCTCAGATGGCAAATACACAATGATTCAGTTACAAGGTCTTCATACAACACCCCTGACTCCACTGTCAGCTGCGACCGACATTCCCATGTTCACTGAGATCCAATGGGCCCCAGAACAGCCAGCTGCATGCGACTTCAAACCAGATCAGTCAACGGCAGACGATTTATTCCTCTCTCTCGATATCGAGCGCGTTGCCCACTTTTACCTGAAGACCTTGAGTCAGTCAATTGACTCCTCTGCGATATCCGAGGCAGTTTCGTATCATGGCCATCTACTCTCATACGCCAGTCATTGCGCTTCGCTTGTGAAGTCTGGAAACCATACTTATGATGACTCAGATTGGAGCATGGACACCACTTTGCAAATTTCGGAAATTATCAACAGGTGATGATAAATAAACCCCAGGCCATACGGCACTTTCCCAAGCTAACATAATCCAGATACCCCGAGAGTATCGACATGAAAGTCATGCGCATTGTTGGAGAAAATCTTACCTCTGTCATCAGGGGCGAGGAAAGTTTGCTTGATTTTCTCATGAAAGATAATCTTCTAAGCCAGTTCTATACTCAAACGATGGGGATTCAATCGTCCCTAAAGCACGCGTCTGAGATTGCCTCTCAAATCAGCCATCGTTTCCCACACATCAACGTTTTGGAAATTGGTAAGTCATACTGAACTTGGGAGACAGTTACATTCTCACATATTGATTTAGGCGCTGGCGCTGGCGAGACAACGAAGTATATCCTAGATGGAATGCAGAAAGCCTTTGCCTCCTATACATTCACGGACTTCCGGGACTCCCAATTTGACCAAGCGCAGGAGGAATTCCAAAACCAGTCCAAGATGCTTTACAAATTGCTTGATATTGAGCAAGACTTCAATAAGCAAGGATTTGTAGAAGAATCTTTTGATCTTGTCGTCGCTTCACTTGCGCTTTATGCGACCGAGAATCTTGAAAGTACATTGGCCAAGGTCCGTCGCTTGATCAGACCGGGCGGCTATCTGATGCTGCTAGAAGTGACAAATCCATCCATGATGCGATTTGGTCTTGTTCTTGGGGGCCTTCCAACATGGTGGATGGGCTACTCGGAAGGTCGAACTTTATCCCCGTGTGTTTCAACTTCCGAATGGGACCGCATAATGGCCAAGACTGGATTTTCTGGCAATGAATTGCCTGTTTCAAGAAATGACAGCTTTACTAATCCGTTTTCTGTTATGCTAACACAGGCTGTTGATAAGCGAGTAAGCTTTTTACGTGACCCTCTCGCACTCACACATGAGACCCTGGGTGCTGAAACTTTAACGATCGTCGGGGGGAACAGCTCTTTCACAACTTCGCTTGTTCTGAATGTGAAGGAAGCAGTTCATCGTCACTATGGGAAGATCAGGCTCTTCACCTCGTTTGCCGATATACCGCTGGGAGACGTCCCTGTTCTTGGCTCTGTGCTCTGTGTGTCTGAACTAGACGAATCAGTACTAGTTTCAATGACCCCGCACAAAATGAAGGCATTCAAGGAGCTTTTCCAACAAAGCAAAAACATTTTGTGGGTGGGCTGGGGCGCACAAGGAGAGAACCCATTCGGTAATATGTTCACTGGTGTCCAACGAACACTGCATGTCGAGATGCCCCACTTACGTGTTCAATTCATGAACCTCCACTCACCTGAAGAGGGAAAACCGGAATTTATTGCCCAGAAAATTTTACAACTCGAGGCCTCCGGTCTGTGGGAGCAGAAGGGCCAACTTCAGGATATGCTATGGTATACCGAACCGGAGATTACACTACAGGACGGAAGATTCTTGATTCCTCGGATCAAGTTTCATTCTGTGAGAAACGATCGATACAATTCATCCAAGAGGCTCATTATCAAAAAAGCCGACCGGGATTCCATAGTGACTATACGAAAGCCTGACAGCTACTATCATGTCCAGGAGGGAGAGTTCCGGAGGCGCGCAGGTGTTACAGGGGAGGTGGATGTTGATGTCCGGCATTCACTCCTGCAACCTATTAAGGCCCACAATGAAGATTGGTTGTTCCTTGTGGCAGGAAAAATGCACAATACGAACTGCGAAGTTATTACTCTTTCCCGAGCCTTAGACTCCAGGATCAGTGTACCTGAATCTTGGATAATCCGATGTGGAGAGTCCGAAAATGAATCATCTCAATCAATGCTTGGCCTGTACAACATTCTCCTCGGGCATGCAATTTTTGACAACGTCTTACCTGGCTGTAGCGTTCTCATATTGGAACCAGACTTCTCGGTAGCCGCATCTCTAACACGGTATGCCAGCCGGAGAGGCATTCAAATCGTTCTGGTCACTTCGAAGAACAAGCTTTGTTCACTTCCCTGGATCTACATTCACCGAAACTCAACACGCCGTGACATAGTCAATAAAATCCCTCTGAACACAGTTCGCGCATTGAACATTGGCGCGAATGATCACATCCTGTCGATTGTTCGGGAGAGCCTGCCTGCTCATTGCAAGTTCCAAGTCGAGATCGATATTATGCTTCCAGGTCTTCAGAATTCCTCTAACATTGACGTTCATGAAGATTGCGTGGCTATGGCTCTGAAGTCTACATGGGCAAAATTTCAAGCTGAAACCTGGCTGGTGAATATGAACAGAATCCAGACCCTCAGCCTCCGGGACCTCATGGAAACCCAGCTGCAGCCAGGCCAGCAAGCGCTCATTGAATGGGAGGCCGACCTTCCTCAGCAGGTCTTCCCGGCAACTAAAGTGGTCAAATTCTCCAAGAACAAGACGTATTGGCTTATCGGACTTACAGGCGGTCTTGGCCTCTCTTTGTGTCAATGGATGGCTGAACAAGGTGCTTGCTACATTGCCTTATCCAGTCGCAACCCCAAGGTCGATGAGAAATGCATACTCGACATGGCTTCAAAGGGATGTACCATCCGCGTTTTTGCAAAGTGAGTTGCTGACCGGGCTTCTGATCATCCACAACATCTGCTAACAAATCAGTGATATCACCGACCGTGACTCCGTCAAAAATACTTACAATCAGATAACTTCAATCATGCCAGCAATTGCTGGTGTTGCGCAAGGAGCAATGGTCCTTCAAGACACCATGTTCCAAGACCTTGACATTCCCCGGCTCGAAAAGGTCTTGAAGCCCAAGGTCCAAGGTAGTATTTTGCTTGATGAGCTCTTTTCAGAAAACACACTGGACTTCATGATATTCTTCTCATCCATGGCAGCCATCACAGGAAATCCAGGCCAAATAGCATATAACGCCGCCAACATGTTCATGGCCAGTCTGGCAGCCAATCGCCGCAGTCGAGGTCTAGCCGGGTATGCGATCAACATTGGTGCCATTATTGGAAATGGCTACGTCACTCGAGAGCTGAATATGGATCAACAATCTTATCTTTACCGTGTTGGCCATACGTTGATATCCGAGCAGGACTTCCGAGAAGTCTTTGCTGAAGGTATTTTCTCATGTAGGGAAAGAACAGGGAGCGCTCAACTCTGCAGTTCACTCAGAATCGATGATGATGAGTCGAAGAACTGGGTAGCAAATCCAATGTTCCAACATTTGATCACTAAATCCGATTCTTTGATCACTTCTGACAAGAAGAGCAAGGCGGGTGCCATGGTCAAGGTCCGCCTTCTTGAAGCAACTTCGAAGGAGGAGACTCTGGAAATCCTCATCGGTATATATACTCCTCATACTATCCATGATACTAGGGCAGCGCTAACTAATAAACCCAGACGTTTTTGTTCCTAAACTCAGATCAGCACTTCAGATTGATGCCGACAAGCCTATACTCCATTTGAGTCCGAATGAGCTTGGATTAGACTCGTTGAATGCCGTCGATATTCGATCCTGGTTCTTGAAAGAAATTGGCGTGGACATGCCTGTTCTGAAGATTTTCAATGCCGCATCAATCCAAGATCTTCTTGAATCCTCGATAACCCTTATTCCCGAGGCACTGGTTCCAAACCTGAGCGGAGACAATGCGGATACCACACCAACAGACCTTCCGAGCACAGCATATTCTCCACCTCAAACATCCCCACAAGAGCCAGACACTCCACGATTTTCATCCAGGTCAGATTCCAGTCAAGAGAGTAAAACCTTCAATTTGGAATATCTTGCTAGTCATGGAAGTGCTAGTGGAAGCTCCGCCGCATTGCTCAACACAGGCGACTCCAGCTCGGAGCAAAACGACGATACGTCCTCTGCCAGCTCTCTCGATGATGTGATGGAAATGAAGTCGGAGGGATACCGAGATATTCAAAGAACAGTCCCCATGTCATACGGCCAGTCTCGGTTCTACTTTCTTAAATCATTTATTGAAGAAAAGACTGCATTTAATGTCACCCCAGTCTTTGAGCTCACAGGCAAACTCCGAGTTGAGGACTTTGCACGAGCAGTGGAAACGGTCGCCCATCGACATGAAGCCCTGAGGACGTTTTACTTTACCGGAGAAGACAAGCAGCCGATGCAGAGTGTTTTATCGGAATCCTTGGTGCGATTGGAGCGTATCTTGATTACAGATATCGCCGACGTCGACGCTGCTAAAGAGCGAATGAAATCCCATGTGTTTGATGTTGCTGAAGGTGACGTTCTGCGCATTCAACTTCTGTCTTTACGGCCTGATAAGCACTGGCTCATCGTCGGATTCGACCACATCAACATGGACGGCATTAGTTTCGAGGTTTTCTGGTCCGACTTGGAGCAAGCATACAATGGAGCGACACTTTCTCAGCATGTGCTCCAATATCCAGACTATGCTTTAAGACAGCAACGTGAGTACGAGGATGGCGCTTGGGAAGGGAGCCTCAAATACTGGCGACAAGAATTTAAAGAGATTCCTCCGGTCGCACCATTACTATCCTTCTCCCGCCAGCCAATTCGCCCCAGCAACTCGGCCTTCGGATCACACGAAGCCCATATGCGTCTTGATAAAGAAATCTCCGACGATATTAAGAAGTGTGCGTCAATGTTCAAGGTCACCCCATACCATTTCCACCTTGCGCTGTGGCAGATCTTTATTCTTCGCCTCTACAACGTGGACGATATGTGTATTGGACTTGGAGATGGCAATCGCACCGATCCTGATGTTCAACAAAGTATCGGGCTGTTCCTCAATCTTGTTCCGATTCGATTCCGTCGCAAGGATTCTGCTTCTTTCGGTGAGACTTTGAAGGAGACGAGACTCAATTCCCAAAATGCATTTTCTAACGCACACGTGCCATTGAGCGTTATCCTTTCTGAATTAAACGTTCCTCGATCCACCTCCCATAGTCCATTATTCCAGGTATCATTTAACTATCGCCCGGGCATTTCGGATTCTCGAAGATTCTGCGGATGCACTGCGAAGGGAGCATTGCTCACAGCGGGGGGTATTTCCTATGATCTTCATCTCGATGTCGTGGATGTCGGCGGTGGCGAAACATCAGTTTACATGCTTGTTCAGGAGTATCTGTATGAGAAAGAGCATGCCGATCTTCTTCTGCGTGGCTTCCACAGCCTCCTGAAGGCATTCATCCAGAACCCTGCCACGAAAATATCTTGGCCGCCTCTATTCTCATACGTTGATATTGAAAATGCACTATTTGCCGGTAGAGGTTAGTCAACTTTGCATTTTTTGACTGATGGGCGTTGCTAACCTTTGAGCTAGGTCTTGAGGCAAAGAATCCGTGGCCCTCAACGATAGTTCAGCGGATAGATGAGATCTCCTCATCGTATTCCGACTGCGTGGCTCTCAGAGATCCTGGCGTTGTCGAACTCACATACTCGCAGCTATCACGCCGAATCAACCAGATCGCAAATCAGTTGCTCCACAGCGGCATCACATCAGGAGATATCGTTGGAGTCTTCCAGTCTCCCAGCATAGACTGGGTTTGCTCGATGATGGCAGTCTGGCGCGTTGGTGCAGCCTACCTTCCACTGGACAAAAAGGTCGGCATTGATCGACTTGGAACTATCGCGTCCACGACTTCGTTGTCCGCAATTTTGGCCGACGTGTCTACTATAACCGATGCACACTTGCTCAATGTTTCAGCTAAGATTCTTGAGATCTCTGGGTCTCTGGGAGAAAATGACCAGTTTGTGAACAATTTCGCCATGCCCACTGATACTGCCGTCATAATGTTTACAAGTGGTTCAACTGGAGTTCCCAAGGGTATGATGATCAGTCATGCAGAATACTCAAATCAAGTCTCAACTATCAGCACAGAATGGGGGATTCGAGAAGGAGTAGAGACGATATTGCACCAATCTTCATACGCATGGGATATGTCCATCTGTCAGATCTTGGTTGCGTTGAGCAACGGAAGTACTTTGGTAATTGCCAATGCCGAGCAGCGTCTTCATCCCGGATCCCTAACATCTATCATTCAATCTGAAAATGTGACGACGACGCTCGCAACCCCCACAGAGTATCTATCTTGGTTTGCCCATGGCCGCTCGCAATTGAAAGGATCCTCCTGGGCAAAAGCGATCTCTGGAGGTGAGATGGTGTCCAAGGGCTTGATTCAGGAATTTCAGTCCGTTGATAGGCCAAGTCTAAAGCTCATCAATGCCTATGGTCCAGCAGAAGCAACATTCGCTTGCAGCTCTGCGGAGATTCCTTATGGGGATATTGATCCGTTCTATGCCGATACCATAATTGGCCTTCGCACGTTGACAAACAACTCTGTGTACATCGTGGATGAAAGTCTCAACCCCCTCCCTCTTGGATTCCCTGGTGAGGTCGTCATCGGAGGTGCCGGTGTTGTAAGAGGGTATCTTGAGTCCGCCAAGACAGCGGAAAGGTTCATGAGCGACAATCATTCAAGTCCGTTTTTCCGGGAAAAGGGATGGTCAAGAATTCACCGAACCGGCGACCGCGCTCGCCTTACAAGGGATGGTGGATTAATTCTCATGGGTCGTATCAGCGGTGATACCGAGATCAAGCTGAATGGAATCCGAATGAATGTTGAGGAAATCGAATCCGCCATTGTTCAAGCTTCAAGGGAAAGGGTTCTTCAGGCCGTGGTTTCACCTCGCTCGTCCACCGAGGACGACAGTCGAAAATTCATCGTTGCCTTTGTTGTCATTGCTGATAGTGACACCATTGAAAACCAAGGAGACTTCGTTGAACAGCTAGCCCGCGACTTAGACCTTCCACAATACATGCGGCCCGCCGCAATTATCCCGATCGATCGCATCCCCCAAAATAGCTCCGGCAAAGTTGATCGGTTCGCTGTTAATAAGCTGCCCATTCCACAGATCTCGAGTGGTGATGCCAAATCGCAAAATCTGGCACCTCTCGAGCAATGTCTACGCGAGCTTTGGCAAGAAACATTCCCTCGCGATCTTGCTTCCCGCCACAGCATCCAACCGAATTCAGACTACTTCCACACTGGTGGCGGCTCTCTCTCTCTTGTCAACTTACAGGCGCTACTGAAAGAGCGCCTCGGGGTTTCCGTATCCTTGCCTCAGTTGTTCGAATCGAGTACTCTTAAAGGCATGGCCGCTCTAATAAGCAATTCTTCTGGATCCGACGGCGCTGTTTCTATCAACTGGGATGAGGAGATCGAAAACATACTTACCTCTTCTCAGCAAGCATCGGTCTACATTGATAGCATTCGCAAACCCACTGGTCCAAGTGTCGTGGTCTTGACAGGTGCCACCGGCTTCATCGGTAAAGAGATTGTACGCCATCTCTTAGATGATGATACTATTCAGGTCATTCACTGTCTCGCAGTCCGGAAGCCGCAAGACCTTCTACCAAGCATCTTCTCTCATCCAAAAGTCCATGTGCACAGTGGAGATTTGGGCGCTCCTCTACTGGGCCTCTCGGAAGCCGATGTAGCCTCCATTTTCAGCCAAGCCGATGTAGTAATTCACAATGGCGCTGATGTTTCTTTCATGAAAACGTATCAATCACTGAAGTTGATAAATGTCGCCTCCACAAAAGAACTCCTCATGCTTTCATTGCCACGAAAAGTCCCTTTCCATTTCGTTTCATCCGCGAGCGTCACACGTCTGGCCTCCCAAGAAAGCTTCGGCGAAACATCTCTGGCCTCACACCCCCCTCCAACAATTCCAAACGACGGGTACATGGCAGCGAAATGGGTTTGTGAAGTATATCTGGAACGAGCCAGCCAGCGCTTTGGTATCCCCGTTTGGATCCACCGACCATCCAGTGTTCAAGGGAAAGATGCCCCAGAGCTTGATTTGATCAGTAACATCATGGAGTATTCTCAAATAACCAAGACGATTCCAGACACAAAAGCCTGGCCCGGTGGATTCGATATGGTAACAGTGGAGTCTGTCGCATCACAAATCCGGGATGCGGTGCGTTTGTCTGGCTCATCCGAAGCTGGCCAGGGTGTCCATTTTCTGTTCGAGTCTGGTGACCTTGAGTTGAATCATGAAGAGGTGCAAACCATTATGGAGTCTGGAACGGGGGAACAATTCCAGACGGTGCCAGTTGCTGAGTGGGTGGATCTGGCTGAGGATGCAGGGATGAGTTCGCTACTCGGGATGTTCCTGAGAGAAGCGAAAGACGGCCAAGTCCTGCTGCCCAAATTGATAAAGAGTGGGAGTTAAGATGCAAGTTTCACTACTTAGATTGACAATAATTAAAGAATTATTTTTCTGTATTGGACATTTATCTCGAAGTTCATTTCTGCATTCAGATAGGGAATAGTCTCAATATATAGTCTGTCCCAATATTCAATTTTCCGAATACACCAAGTTGACCGGTTGGGTCTTTGAGTCAATGAGGATGTCCCAAATTCTGCTCTTTTCCCGATATTTATCTAATTACCAAGGTGTCGTAGTGGCGTTCGGACAGTGTGCTGTGATAGCGCGATTAGCGACGGGTTTTCCTTTTCCTTTGGCCTTTCCGCCTCGGCGCTCGGTAGGCTTCAAGTTTGTATGTAGTATATCAGAGTTGGTATACTCGCCATCTTTTGAATTTTACTCTTGAAAGGCTCGGGTAGCACACGAAAACTGTAACGTCCAGCGGAAGAGACTCCCTGGTTATACATTTGAGGTTGTTTGGCCTACTAATACCACACTGCTATCTGTACAGTAGGCTCCGCATGCTAGTATCGTGGTTTTCTGCTGGAGCAGGCCAAAATGGATATTTCCCGATGCAGTAATCCCCGTACTACGCATGTCATATACATACTAAAAAATCATAAAATGCAACACATGACATCGAAGGAAGTCAAAATCTTGAAAGTTGGTTTGGGGGAGATGAACCCCGCGATCGAAGTCGAGATGCTGATTGGATGATCCTCCTTGGAGGAAGGTGATCCTGGCAATTGTGGGTCAGACCCACCTTCACCCGCCACTATTACCTGCCAGAATAGTTTGATGATACGAGTTAGAAGGGTCAGGATTGGTTCTTAGAACAATCAATAAGAAATCCAATCTCAAAAGGAAAGTGATGTTTACGTTGGTTACAGCATCACCTTCTCTAACCAGTGCTCTACAATCTTCTATGAACCAAGTCACACCCCACGAATCTATAAGAAGGCACCATGGAACTCCTGCAGCAACATCTCAATAGCATTCATTATACAGAACAATCACTGCCATCTCCCTGATCGGGATTATATTACTTTCAAACTCTTGACATCATGTCTGAATCACTCGATCTCTCTTTGCTGAAGGGAACCCCCGAGCAAAGAGCAGAGGTCTCCGCTGAGCTGCTCAAGACATTGAAAACCAAAGGATGCGCCAAGCTAAAGAACCATGGTATTCCAGATGAACTCGTTTACGGGCTATTTGATCAGGTCAGTTATGATTGTATGTTGGAAAGTCGCATGAAAATTAATGCATTTTGCTAGACTCGTCGATTCTTCTCTCTTCCGTTGGAGGATAAAATGCTCGCAAAGCACCCTCCCGAGGCAAATCCAAACCGCGGCTACAGCTTCGTGGGACAAGAATCTGTTTCTGGTATCTCCGGCTTCGAAAAGGGACTACCACAAGGAAAATTCGTTCGAGACATCAAGGTACCAAATACATCCACAATCATCCAGCAAAACGAAGATTAACACATGTCAAATGTAGGAAACTGTCGACTACGGTTCCGCAACTGACAACCTCGTTGAGAACCAATGGGTACCCGAAGATAAAATCCCCGGTTACCGCAGCTTCATGGAAGACTTCTACGACAGATGCTTTAAAGTCGAACTCGAAATCCTAGCCGCCCTTGCTACTGCTCTCGGCATCTCCGAATCAGATATGGTCATGCTACACAATAAAGCCGAGAACGAATTCCGAATCCTCCATTACCCTGCCATTCCAGCCTCCGAGTTGGCAGATGGCACTGCAACCCGTATTGCAGAACACACTGACTTCGGAAGTATCACTATGCTCTTCCAAGATTCCGTCGGAGGCTTACAGGTGGAGAATCAACAGAATTTGGGAGTCTTTGAGGGTGTCGAGTCTTCTAATAAGACCGATATCATTCTGAATATTGGTGACTCGTTTCAGCGATTGACAAATGATACATTCCGCGCTGCGTGTCATCGGGTCACATATCCGCCTACTGTCAAGGTTGGCTCTGCCGAGGTTATTCCCGAACGCTATTCGATTGCATACTTTGCTAAGCCGAATCGACATGCGTCATTGTTTCCTTTCAAGAAGTTCATTACGCCCAATACCCCATGTCTCTATGAAGATATTACAGCCTGGGATTATAACAACTTGCGTATTGCTAAGCTGTTTGGGCAAGCTTAGAATCTTATGATTTGTTATATTTTAGTCATACATAGCAATGTTTATTTGTTCTATTTTATTTATTGAGAAATGCATTATATTCGATCATACTATCACCATTGACGTAAAATTGCTGGAGAGATGAAAAAGATAGTAGTAGAATCCCAAAATAGTAGTTGTTTCCGAGCCATCTGGGCGCTGGTTCTCAGAACAACAGATCTTAATACATACTACTATTCAGAGCGCTCGCAATTCTAGTTTGAAAATATCAAACAATTTGATATAGTTGACTTCGGTCTTAATCCTTGATTTCCTGTCGTTATGCGAGTGAATATGGTGATTATGAGTTTCAAGTTCACTCCCACCCAATCCCGGAGTCGCATGCCTCTTCCGAGCACAAAACAATCAACCCCGCGAAAGGCATCCAAGAACCGTTCCCAAGTTTCTCCTACGATTGATTAATCTCCAAATTCTCAAAGCAATTATCAATACAAGCGCTTCCAATATTATAATAATGCCAAACTCAACCTTCGAACACAGAGAAATACCACAATATTACGATATCTCATCCCCTTCGAGAAGTAACGCACATGGCTCTGATAAGCCGCAGATGCAACGATTAACATTCGTGAAAAACAGCAAGCACTCAATACGGAAACTAAACGCTGAAAACTCAGCTAAGCACCGTCAAGCAATATTCACAGGTGAGCATGCTCGATAATCTCCAGGTTACTTCAGCTGATTCTGAGATCGTTGTACAGAGGCCGAGCGCCAGTATATGAGCAACCAAGTTATCGATTCTGTACCAGGTCGAGACTCGTCACAAGCTTTACTTGATGTTGAGAGATTCGAGTGTATTTCCCACTGCAGTACCGAGTTTTCCTACTTTCGAGGGCCCTTTGGTGTCTCCAGGATATGCGAGCCAGCGGCGGACGAAACGGTGTTCAACCCCGAAGAAATAGATCTACCGCTTGACGAGTGGACAATAGAGCCAGATGTCAGTAATGCCTTTTCTCACACCGAGCTAGATCTGGAGCTTATCGCAACCATTTTCAAAGCTTCGGACCAAGAAAACCCTCAAAATAATGAAGACTTCGATGCACAGCTATGTGGTCTTGAACCAGCAGGCCCCGAACACGTTCAATCGGATAGTTCATCGCCACTGCGCCATATCGATCATTCTATTTCACTTTTCGGAGATAATATGGAAGCCTGGTCCATTCTATCACACTACAAGGAACGCATTGTCCCACTCATATCACCTTTGGGATTTGGCCAGGAGGCCTCGTGGCTGAACCTGGTAATGCCTTGCGCTATTAACACCCTTGGCAACCTTACAACAAATGGCTCTGCCAGTCACCCGAGACTCGCTATACTTAATGCTTTACTGAGCACGAGCGCCTTCTACCTCGACTATAGTTCTAAATCCCATGGAGCCCGCACATCCACTGGGGATTTCTACTTAAAGCGCGCTATACATCATTTCGTCAAATGCATGGAAGAGACGTGCATCTCACCCATTAAAGTCTCGAAATATAAAGAGATAGTAATGGTATTGTTAAGTCTCTCAATAACCTATGTACGTTATCATGATTTCCAATGACAATATGAAAAGTGGAATGACTTACACTCAACAGATGATCCAGGGAAACTCCGAAGAACGACTATCCTGCCTAATCCAAGCCGAGAAATACATTTCAATAAATGGCTTTAACAAACCCACGCTATCTTCCAAGCGAAGAACACTCCATCACTGCTACGCATACATGCGCATCATGGCAGAAACAACGAGCATCAACGATAACTCAGAAGCACGCGGTTCCACACATCCAACAAGCGAGAAAATGGTCTACACCGAGTTCCGGCTCTACCCATCCATCACATTCTCATATAATATCATGGCCATGGAGAAAGATCCAGCTGTCGCGCAGCGAGATCTTCACCTCGCTGTACCGGGCCGGTGGAGCTTAACGTTATTCCCGAAAATATACGGTATTGCCGAGAGTTTCCTCATGCTTTTATCACAGGTGATACGCCTCGCGAACGAAAGGGATCTATCGATGCAGAAAGGCCCTGAAATGGGGAAGCTAAATATTTCTGATTTTTGGGTTCGAGCGAAGGCACTTGAGAAAGCAATTCGTGTTCTGTTATCATGTACTTCATCTCGTCAAGCTGATGAATTATTCGATGATAGACAGATTGAGATTGGGAATCCAAGGGTGAAGGCAATGTACACGGCGCTCTTGATATTTTTTTACCGTCGGATTTATGATCTTGATCCCGCCTTGCTACAAGGCGATGTCATTGCTGTACAGGGCTTTTTGGAGCAGATACAAAGAGACGCAGAAGGGCGAGATAGAAATATGGCGATGCTCATTTGGCCGGCGTTTATTTCTGCGTGCGAGGCTGTGCAACTTGAAACGCAGGCATTCTTCTCATCATGGTTTGAGTGCTGCTTTGCTGTTACGGGACTCAAGAACGCTTCTATCGCCAGGAGTATTATAGGGATTATATGGGCTAATAGGCAAGAAGATGGCTTAGCTGGGGATAATTTCAGCTGGCCAGATGTGTTAAGAGCCACTAAGATGAGGCTGATGTGCACGTAATAGATCAGATGAGAGTCATAGCCATTATCATAAGTCGTCAGTTTCCTCCGAGCCTCCTTTCCCACTATTAAGATAATTGAGTCGAGTTCCTGTGCGATGGTGTTTGTTTTTTATTTTCGACCTCGGTTTGTCTCGGCTAGCCACAGCACTTGGTAACAGTAGTTGCATCATTTCTATTTCATGGTCACGCGACATTAGTATTCATTGTACTGCCATAAGATGAACCGAATGTAAGCTTACTCTTTATTCATAGACACGGCCTCCCAAGAAAAGATAAAAGATCCAATGAATGCACCTAGGAAGATGCATATGATAATGTACCCATTGTAGTACATAGCGAGCAGCATGACGAAGTACGCAACGGCAAACTGCACCATGTGAAACAGAGCCCGAACGGTCTGTTCAACCGGTGACGGGCGGTACGGTCCAAAGTGGCGGACTTCACGCTTTTGAGCGTCACCGTTTGTCTCAGAAGATGTATGAGATGGACCAGGTGCATGATCATCTCTCGGTGTACTTTTTTTCCGAGACAGATCAGTAACTGGTGTGATAACATCGTCGTAGGGCGAGGGTTTTTCATTGCGATCGGTTTGCTTCTTTGGGGCTCTTTTAGTGAAAGCTGTTTTGCGCTGCACCTTGGTCTTTCGGGAGTGAGCATCGGTGGAAGAAGAGGTGCCAGACAGGTAGAGGTAACGGATTCGAGCACGACGCAAGATAAAGGCGTCGTATACGCGACCTAGGCGACGAAGGGCCTCCAAGATTATGACGAGGAGGAGTGCACCGATGCAAGAGCCAGCAAACATGCTCCTTGACGTGATGTGCCAGGACTGAGAGAGGAAACCTGAAGTTCATTTCTAGATTAGTAGAGTATCACACATGGATGGAGGACTCGATGGCATACACGCGTCGATGGTATGCCAATTCCAAAGCATCTTTTCGGTACGCGTTAGTTCATCCGAATTATGAAGCATCACAACAACGATTTCTCCGACTTACTGAGACCTTGCACCCATCCGGGCCCATGTTACCCATATCCATCCCACCCATGCTACCTTTACCCGTGCTAGAGGTTGTCGAGTTTCCGCTTGGCATCGCGCCTGACGCCGTGGATGTGAGACTCATTGTCATCGCGGTCATGGCCATAGTCATAGCCTCCTTGATGGCTCAATTCTAGCTCGTGGGGTGAATTTTTGAAAGAAAAATTCTGTGGATACACTGAGATATCGCGATCTCGAGGATGGGGTGCAAGTTATAGAAAATCCGAGGGAGATGTGTAACGAGAAGGGAATCTTTAGAGAAAAGAAAACATAGAAAAAGAGAGAGAGAAAGATATAAGATGCCAGGTTCAAGCTTGTCTGGGTTTTAAGTAAAGCTTGTTGGTTGCGTACAATTGAGCAGATTAAATTCCATGAACCTTTTTCTTCCCTAAAACGCCCCCCACATGCAAAATGTATCAAAATCAAGGGTATCAGTCAACTTTCTGTTCTTCATGCCCGGTTGGATCCTTTAATGACTCCCTCCAGCAATTCTCGAATCTGACTACATCCATCTATGCCCACCGCCAACATCGTCTCAATATATGTACTATGCAGCTTCGAATCCATATTCAACAACGCGACGCTTGTTTCCTCTTCATCGTCCATACCGTTCTCGCCAACAGGGAGAAAAGTTGTCGTGCCGACGGTCAAGAAAGGTAGCTCCTGTTCCTCAGGCAAAGAGAGGTCCAAGAGCGGATCGAGCTCATCGTGTCGAGGATCTTTGGGTGTTGAGGCACTTCCACTCATGCCGGCTGTGCAGCCAGTGAGAAGTCCAGGCATGGGAATCCCGGCATCAACCAGGGCTAGAGTACAAGCATTGATGGCGGCCGCGAGAATAGAGCCATCGGCCGAGATGACGGAGACATGGATGCTGATGGTACTGTGGGGGTAAAGGTAGGTGTGCAGATGCGACTGGAAAGTAGATCGAAGGATGACGGCAATGCGCGAAGAGGTCCTGCAGACAAGGTGGGTTAGTATGCACAGTAGGGTGATCCTGGCCATTCCCATCGAGATTGAAGGGAAATTCAAGCTTACTTGTCGCTTCCTCCGCCTCTCCGCTTGCGATCCACGCCGGCGAACCCGGCAATATTAACGTTCACATCCACGACTGCCCCAGAGCTTCCTGCTGAGCCACTGGCTTCACCTCGACGACCCTCTGCAGGTCCATGAACAGAGCACATGATTGAAGTATTGCCCATGGACAGGTAGGACGATCCCGAACTAGCGGCGTTGGTCGAAATCTGGGCTTGGATTAGACGCAACTCATTCCATCGGCGACCGTCCAGACGCAGACGAGTCAACGGATACGTTGTAGAGGTATCGAGAGGCATTTTGTAGATGTTTTATGTCTTAATGGAATCAAGTAATGAAGAAGAGCCCTGGTGAGATCAAATCCAAAATCACGTCGATTTAGATTCTCCGTAGCCTGCAAAGTGGGATGAGCATTAGTCAATGCAGACAGAATCAGGTAAGGCAAAGGGAATAACCCACGTAGAACCGGTCGCGGACCAAATTCAGGCTTCAATGTAACCCCAATTAGGTGATAGTGGCAAGGTCAAGAGCACAGAAGCTCGTGTGGGGATGAGGAAATTGATTCGGAGCAGCTTTTTTTTTCCTCGTCGCTGATCGGGAATGACATCTTGCCCGCTTTCCTTCTCCGCCTTCACGGCCTGACGCGCCTTTACTCGCCTACACTTGACCTTATTCTTATTTTATTCATCTCACTGCACTATCTACACTATGTGTTTAGAATGGATGGCCCCGAGAATAATTCCGAGGTCATCGTTATCGACTCGGACGATGACGATTTGGAGGTGACGAGTTATGTGAAGTCAACACCCACTACAATCGTCCCAAGTACGCACTTCTCCACCAACATGCGCGTGGCATGCAGCTAACGATCTAAAAGACAGAAATTCTGCTAGCGGCAAAATAAAGAGCTCTCCGGCCTTCAAAGCTGAAAACCTGGACACTCCTTCACGTATCACAGTGAATGCGCCTGTGAATATCGAAACTGATGGCAGCGACATCGATGATGGGTTCAGCGACGGCGAAGCAGCATATCTCAAGTTCAAGGATCGCAAATCTGTCAAGCGCAGGCAAAGCGCAGCCGCAACCCGCCGCGCCAAGATTCCCAAAATACCTAAAAGGGAACAACCGCCAGATGACATGATCGTTGGGCTTGTGAAGCCAGAAAAGATGAAGTCCAGACCAAAGCGACCATTGAAACAGTATGGGGAGGTGTCATCTGAAGAGGAGTTGATGGAACATACACTACCCGCATATGTCCAGCAGCGTCGTCAACAGTTCGATCGAAGGCAAGACCACCTCAAGGAGTATGGGTTGAAGTTACCACCCTCTTACGACGATGTAGAATTCTCGGATGACGAGCGTCTCCAGGATCTACATGAGAAACCGTCCTTCCCAGACAGGAAACCAGTTCGCGAATACAAAGATATCACCCTACCATACTCGCTTGGGTTGATCCCAGCGCCGATCGCACAATGGTTACGACAATATCAAGTTGAAGGGGTGGAGTTCATGCATGAGAAGTTCATCTACCAGAAGGGCGGCATTCTCGGAGATGATATGGGCCTTGGAAAGACTATCCAAGTTATTGCATTTTTGACAGCGGCCTATGGCAAAACTGCAGATGAACGAGACTGGAAGCGAATGCGCAAGATACGCAGATCTGATAGCGCATGGTACCCGCGCACATTGATTATCTGCCCCGGGACTTTGCTCGCAAATTGGACCGCGGAGCTCAAGCGTTGGGGCTGGTGGCACATTGAGCAATATCACGGTCCCAGCAAGGACCTGGCTCTCGATGCTGCGAAATCAGGCAGAGTCGAAATTTTGATCACGACATATACGACATATGTCCACAATAAAGAGTTGGTGAATCTGATTGAATGGGATTGTGTCATTGCCGATGAGTGCCACAAGATCAAGGAGCGAAAGTCTCAAACAACCCAATCGATGAACGAGATAAACGCACTATGTCGGATTGGCCTGACGGGCACTGCAATCCAAAACAGATATGAGGAACTGTGGACCCTACTGAATTGGACGAATCCCGGCGTGCTCGGTCCAGTGACAACGTGGAAGGCACAGATAGCAGAACCATTGAAGATCGGCCAATCCCACAATGCAACCGTGAATGAACTCAGCAAGGCGCGAAGAACTGCCAAGAAGCTCGTTGAGAATCTACTGCCCCAGTTCTTCCTCCGCCGTATGAAGACCTTGATTGCGGATCAACTCCCGAAGAAAAGCGACCGGGTAGTATTTTGCCCTCTCACCTGGTCACAGGCGGAAGCATACGAAAATTTCTTAGACAGCGATATCGTCGAATCGATTAAAAACTCTACGGATCCATGCCACTGTGGATCTGGGAAAAAGCAAGGCTGGTGTTGCCATAAATTTGTGCCTGGCTTCGAGCATACACCCTGGCAAGCTTACGTTTTTCCGGCTATCACTGTTCTACAAAAGCTTAGCAATCATCTCGCTATTCTGATACCGCAAGGAAATGACCCCAGAGAGCGCCAGGAAAAAGACAAAGAAATGCTCCAGATAGCGGTGCCCGATGGGTGGGAAGACCTCTATCGATCCCGAGACTCAATCACCAATTTCGCGAATCCTGAATTCTGCGGCAAATGGAAGGTGCTTCGCAAGTTGCTCAAATGGTGGCATTCAAATGGCGACAAGGTGCTCGTCTTCTCGCACAGCGTTCGCCTCCTCAGAATGCTGCAGACGCTATTCAACCACACCAGCTATAACGTCAGTTACCTGGATGGGTCTATGAAATACGAAGACCGAGCACAAGCTGTCGATGACTTCAACTCAGATCCAAAACAATTCGTCTTCCTCATTTCCACTAAGGCCGGCGGTGTCGGACTGAACATCACCTCAGCCAACAAAGTCGTCGTTGTGGACCCGAATTGGAACCCATCGTACGATCTCCAAGCGCAGGACCGGGCCTATCGCATTGGCCAAGTTCGCGACGTTGAAGTCTTTCGTCTTGTCTCGGCCGGTACCATTGAGGAGATTGTCTACGCCCGTCAAATCTACAAACAACAGCAAGCTGAAATCGGATACAATGCTAGCTCGGAGAGACGTTATTTCAAGGGTGTCCAAGATCAAAAAAACCAAAAGGGCGAGATTTTCGGCTTGCAAAATCTGTTCTCCTATCAATTTGACAATGTTGTTCTCCGCGATATCGTGAATAAGACAAATGTCGCCGAAAGCCGAGCCGGCGTGCAAGTTGTGGATTTCCACTGCGAAGAAGACGAAAATGCATCAGGTACCGATGGAGGTCCTGTCAAATCAGAAGACGAGGCTATGAGCCAATATGCCGCCATGATTCGCGGTGAGACTGATACTAAAGATGGTCCGAAGCACAAATCTACTTCTACTCCTACTACGACTCCAACTCCACACAAACATGACCCGGTCCAAGCAATCCTTTCCAGCGCAGGTGTTGAGTATACACATCTCAATAATGAGGTCATTGGCTCATCCCGTGTTGAAGCGCAACTCAGTCGCCGAGCTGAGCAAGTAAACAACGACCCAAAAGCCAATAACCAAGTCTTTGAGCCTTCTTCATATCCACATGATGAGGATGGGGATCCTTTTGAAGAAATCGATCCGACGTCAATGCCCCGCGATACAGGATCCAGAACCTCCCGGTTCAAGTATAATCCACCGGAAGCTGTGAAACGACGACAGTTTTGCAGCATGGCACGATCATTGGGGTATCAAGATGCCACTGAGTTTGCGTTGGTCGTTGAGGGTATGACACAGGCCCAGCGGAGAGCGTGTCTCGATCGCTGGTATGAGGAACGGAGGAATGCATTGTTGGGTAAAGGCGACGAAATCAAACCCGAAGAGTTGAAGCGAGAAGTGAAGTTCGAAGGACTAAAACAAGAAGTGAAGAAGGAGTGATCCTATCTTCCAGGTTCATATCTGTCTGTGTTTATTCGGATTGCTCTTTGCCGAGCGGTACAATTTTCTTGACGTTGGCGTTCTTGGTAGACAAGCAATGAGATACCCCCATTCGATTGGTTTGAGAAAGCTTTACAATCAGAGAACCTTTGAAACGTTCGCCTTGCTGCCCTTCGAGCTTCTAGGGTCATATTTTAGAAATATCTAGACGCGACTAAGGCGTAGCATCGCATTCAAGATCTCTACCACTAGAGAGGAGTTAGAAACTACATAAATAATTACAACCAAAGCAAAGTGGGTTCATAGAAGAAAATCATAGTATTATCCATCTCTATGACTAGTAAAGGTATGAAATTCCGATCATTCAGTTAACAATGACCAAGACACACCACTAGAGGTGTCAAGCAGGGGTATCGTCTCAAAATAGAATAAGAAAAAGAAAAGAAAAGGTAAAGATAACAACCAATTCCAACTAAAGCCACGCCAATGTCCACAAAGCAGGCAGATTGGGATTCAGCTCCTGCCATTCCGCCAAAATCTCAGGAACTAGTTCATCGAAGCTCTGGCGCGCGGGTCCACTCCCATTCTCCCAACCCTCCGTTCCATGATTATCACGCTGCGCAACAGCAGCGCCATTGAGTCGATTCGCCAGGTCCAAAATGGCTTTTCCACCCAATAAAGCTTCTTCATGATTATCCTTGATGTCGACGTTGAAGACATGCACAGGCCGATTGAGCGCTGAACCCTTGTTCATGAGATCATCAACGACGGCGTCCCAGCAGCGTTCTTCACACGTGATGATCACATCAACGACGCCGCCTTCTGTCCCAATTGCGCCCTTATCGCCCTTGGAAAGATGTTCAAGTCGAGGTAAACCGGGGGTCCAGTCCTGGAAACGCTCAGGACCCCACTTTAGGTTTCGGTTACGATCGAGCATGTTGAGGATACCGTTGTTACGGTAGAGACGCTCATCTTTATCGCACAGCTCTTCATACATCTGGTTGTAGGAGGTGGTGTTGAAGCTGTAGACGTTTGGCTGGGTAATTGATGGCCCTGGGAGACGGACTAGCGAACCCGTTCCGAAGGAGATAACGGGGAATGCGGTTGGGGCAGCTGAGAGGCGGAGGTGAGCTTCCATTGACCTGTTATTGTTTGAGGCGCAGACAGTGCAAAATTTCAATTTCCAGCTATCTGAGCTGGGGCCATTTTGAGTGGAAGCCATGTCGGTCGTGGTGGGTGTTGCGCTGGACTCGAGGGGTGGAGGTGGAGGAGGTGGAGGAGTTTGGGGCGTGGTGCTCCCTGTGTTTACACGGCGAGGGTCATATGCCATGGTGGAGACTTGATTATAATCGACTGTTTGTTTCTTTTGTTTTCTTCTTTCCCTCTGTATAGGTATAAATGATATAATAGAGGGACTAATTGAGATGATAGGATATGATAGGCAGAATAGAAATTGAAAATTGATCAAGGTGGTCTGAAGCTGATTTTACTAGTTCCTGTTATTGACTATGCTGAGTATTAGCATGACTTGTTCGACATTCAAGATTCTCAATGCATGAAGCACAGATCACATAGATACAAAATGGTTCAGAAAAAAAGCGTATAATGAGTTTATCCGCATAGCAAAAAAGCTCAGACAGCTCCAATAATAAAGATTCATCACAAAAACTATGGAATATATCGACAAAATAAAACTGATCGCACATACCTTGGGAGTAATTCTCATGATCCAGCTCTTGGAGATGTTAATGTAATGAATTGGGGCCGTAGCCCTTGAGAGGAGACGAGAAGAAGAGAAGAAGAGAGAGAAGCAGGAAATTTGCGGTGAAATTCGCGCTTTTACCACTTTGCTGAGTCATCCGCCACCCCCGCCAAGTTTTACCTGCTCCATTAACATACAACCCGCATTGATCACACCCGATTCAGTGTCAGTGGGAAACAAAATGGCTGCAGAATCTGATGAAGAGCACTTTGTGCCAGCTTTGATTGTGGTTGACATGCAAGAAGACTTCTGTCCACCCGTGAGTGAAGAGCTCTCTCAAACTAACCCAAGCCCGAAAGCTCGGGACTGATGCGCAAACCTACTATGACGCGGGCTCTACAGAATGGTTCTCTCGCCGTAAAGAATGGCCGCTCAATAGCTCCCTTGATCAATTTCCTCCTTTCTCAGCCGGGACTGGTCCTACGCATCGCAACTCAAGACTACCATCCATCAAACCACATCTCATTCGCACCCAACCACCCAGCTCCAAATAACCGTCCATTCGAGTCATTCATCCAAATGACAAACCCCAATCCACCTCCAGGCCAAGATCCGGAAACAAAGCCTCAGCAGCTCTGGCCCGTACATTGTGTGCAGGATACCCCCGGTGCAGAATTTATTCCCGAGATTGACGCCGATCGCTTCGATCTGGTAATCAAGAAGGGCAGACACTCGCTGGTCGAGATGTATTCTGCTTTCGCAGATGCCTTCGGCAACATCGATCCCACTGTCACCATGCAATCTGTCGATGTAGACATAACATCCGAGCTTCAAGCGAAGCGTGTGACAGATGTCTTTGTGGTTGGACTAGCGGGAGACTATTGCGTGAAATGCACGGCTATCGATGCTTTTAAGGCTGGATTCCGAAGCTGGCTCATTGAAGAGGGAACCAAATGCGTTGATCCCACTGGCTGGAATAAAGTCAAGGAAGAGCTGAGCATTGCGGGCGTCTCGGTCATCCATTCAGATGATCCAGTACTGCAGAAACTTGCGGTCGCAGCTACAGTAGCGTAGATTAATTCAGTGGTGGACATTAAATGCTGAATATATAGACAGTCAAATCGATTAAATTTATGGGAATGGCCGCTTCTATCTTGGTCCGTGATTATAGCTACAGTCCACTTTCCAATCCAGTCAAGATCGCCCTATGAATTTAGCGGGACCCTGTGTTGGTGATCGACAGTTCCAACGGTTCCGATATTTACTCCCTGGCACTTTCTCCTTTTCCCCAACTTTTACTTACCCCAACGCTACTGCAGAGTGACGTCGTGCGGCGCGTCCATTCCACCACAAAAAAAAGAAACAACTACAGCGCCCGTGGCTACTTCATTCTAATGGCACCTCACTCTGCGGGACCGTCGACTCCCGCCGCAACAATCACTGCACTCGACGAGAAACTCACAGACGCAGATACCAAGGCGCCCGCCCGATTCTTCGACGAGCACCACCTTACCCCAGACAACCTCCCATACTGGCTCGTGAACGTCCCCCACGCACAGTGGTTATCTGAATGCCCGCCCTTTCTAAAAGATCAACCTCCAAAGAACATAAAGTGCCTCTCTACGCCGGACTCAAACTACCAAAGACAAAACTGGGATGTGGTACAAGAGATAATCCGTTAGTGGAGCTCCCTTTCCAACCTGCTAAGTAGGTTTACTTTACTGTTTCACTAACACGGCCTGCTTCTTGTTCAACAGGGACGAACCGGATCGATCGCTTCCAGCGCGTACCCAGTGATTTACGCAAATACCTAGAATATACAGCGCATATCAAGGCGAAGTATGGATCTGTTATGAGATTCGTGGTTAAGGAAAGACTTGGATGGGGCGATGGGGACACAAAAGACTTGAAGCCTCGAGGGGGGCTGTTCCAGTACACCGGTATGGCTATTTAACTTCGTCGGAAGGGGTATACTCCACGTACTTCCAGATGACTGACTCGGCCTCATTAACAGAAGACATATGTACATTATACAACGACTGGCCTTACGGTATTGACACCGACATTATTCACCTAGTCGTATGGACCAAGTTTGAGCTCCCTGATGATCCAGCCACTGGAGAACTCACAGCGGAGGCACACCAAGCTATCGACCAATACGTCCAGCAGACTTTCTGCTCCCGGGTACCAACCGACCAGGTGGTATGGTTCAAGAACTGGAAGTCGCTCAAGTCTGTTCACGCTGTTGAACATTTCCATGTCATGCTGCATCAACCAGATATGGCATTTGTGAAGGAGATTACTCGTGGAGATGTCCCGTTGATCGAAAAAGTGACTACATATTGAACGAGACCAAATCTTTCGGGGTCTTTTTTCATTGCTCGTGCAAATAGAGTGATCATATTGAGGGGTTCGATCGTGATACGCCTTCCTATTAGGGGTGACGATCACTACTAGGAGAGCACGCGCATTCTCCTCCCATTTCTGAAATTATCAAGAAGAAAGAGGCACGTCGTTGCGCCAACAGGACACCTTACCCCACGGCATATTGATCGCCGATAGAATAGAATCTATTGCATCAAATAGCCAACACGCCTTCGGACAACGCAAACAACCCAAATAACTTGCCGTATACATAGATATTTATTTGACTGAACTGATTAAGACGATTGCGGATACATTTTCAGTCATACATTTCTTCGCGAATCTGTGAAACACTTACATCTCAACTGACACAGATATTCTTACATCAAATTATCCCGTTAAAGCCGGACCAAAAAAAAGTAAAACGAATCACATCGCCTTCTGTGGCGTAGTAGCTAACTCCCGATATCATGATGGCCGCCTATCTGCAGTATATGTACAGATGTTCAAACCCGGGCTACCATTCGATTTAAAGATATTTATTTCTAGTCTCACATCCTATTTATACCTATGATCAGCATAATCCCTCTTGGGCTTAATAAGTCTCAGCTCCTGAATTGATGAATTCTAGGCTCTGCTTACTTCAAGTTTCAAGTTTCATTGGGATGTCCTAGTAGAATAGTACATATCAATGTGCAGTTTCCGTTTGAAAGTGTAGTATCACTCCACTTTTAGGTCGTTCACTACGTATAAACTTCAAATTTGGGACTGGACTTACATTATTATAGATGCTTAACTTATATTAACTAACCTTAATTGCGGTAGATCGGCGTAACTGCCCTCGGATCGCGTGTAGTTTCGTATTGAATAATTCCAATGAAACAGATGAAAACAAGACTAAAACTTATAGAGTGAGGAAAGAGACATTTGTAGAGAAATAGGGGCTGATTCCAGTGATTTATTCACTGTAATTTAATACTTGATAATCAACTTGAAACGAACATATTTCTCATGAAGTCCAGAATCAGCGTAGCCGGTTAATGCTAGTATTACCTTTACAGCCTCCACCGTTGAAATGCACATGGAATCGCGGCTGCAGAGTCAATGCGCAGGATACAGTAAACAATCAATAGCTAATTATGAAATTTCAAGGCAGGAAAATACATTTATCTCGTACTGTGTAAAAATAACCTTAAAGTCTAATGCCGGCCAGCATAGCTACTTCCGCCGCCGCTGTCGCCTTTCTCCAGGCCGCCGTCAGCCGCCGTCCCCGTTATTACTGGCGCTTCCAGGAGGCCACTCGTCTGGCCTAACCTCCTTTGTATATTAGTATGCATTAATCAGTATCATTACACGTGTTGCGGCTGGCGTACTTATGTCCGAGGGATATCCACAGCTATTGTCAAACATATAAGAAGGCCAAGGATAATAATAATGAGTGGGGATACCATCTTATAAATTGGCAACAGAGGCGTCAAAAGTTTTGGTACACGAAATGCACTTGGAATGGATGAATCAATGGAGATACAAATTTTGACTTCAGGGAGATTCCCATAACTTAAATACTTAATAATAATGTTGTCTGTCTCAGGTGGTACTACAAGTTATTTGGCCATACTACTTACTACCCGGCCTTCAGCTTGAATTGGTATGGGGTGCATGAGGTCCTCTCGATTACTTACTTTCTGAAAGCCCATCGCCAGCTATAAGCTCCACGAGGTTTAGTATATACCTTGAGTCTGGAAAGCAGAGATTTTCGATTCATCTTCTTTCTCTCGAGCTATCCCATATTGATACCAAAGATGGCAACATGTGAATGAATTGAGAGAAAGAGCTCCATATACCGATTATCAAGCTAAAAGCGTTGAAAGACTCATTTCTAGGAATAGAGATGACAACAGACTTAGACGGCTCGGAATGAAACCATCTCTTCAGGTACGTATCATTGTACTCCTTCATCACCTTGTACATTCATTGTTGATTCACCATGTCTAGAGGAGTTTTGATACGCTTTCTCTACTGAGTTTCAGCTGCATGGTCGTTTTAGCTGAGCTGGCTTCGATGTTTGTACACCATAACTTGGTATCAGTATCATGTCTAGGGTATCACACTAACATCAACACAGGGCACCGACAGCGAGCGGACAATATCACTGGTGCGCAATGCTTTCTCCCCCCAGATACATGAAATTGATGAGTTATGTTACAGGTAATAAATTCTAATAATATGTGACTTGCGCACGATCTGATAGATGTTCCAGGCTGGCTCTCAGCAATTGGATGGCAAATCTATCTTGCCACGAGGCTTCATCTGAATGGAATCCTTATACAAAACATGTTATAGTTTCTGATAGCGGCTATCATATAGCTAATTGGAAAAGAGCAATGTTTTCCTGGTTTGTACAGCTTCTCGGCATTATGGCCAACCTCATCGGAGGCAAATGTCTTCAATCTCTAGAGACGCCGACCTTTGTGATCCACATTCTAGGATTCTTTAGAATCCTTGTTCCTCTTGCCTATATGTCTAGTCACAAATCAACTAGCGAGGTCTTTGGCCCCATTCAGAATTCCGGGGATTTCGCTTCGGATGGTCTAGCTTGGTTTGTTGGTATGGCAAGCTCCATCAATCTCTTCGCTGGAGGGGATGCCGCCATTCATTTTGATTTTGATGGTCCGGTTCATGTGAAGACGCTGATTTAGTTTACAGATAGCTGAGGAGGTTGAGAACACTGCCGTTGCTTTGCCGCAAGCATTGATACTATCCCTCATTGTCGATGGCTGTTTAGGCCTTGGAATGCTCTTGGTAACGCTCTATTCAAGGGGTACCGAGATGAATGGTCTTTGGGTATCGACTAAATACTTTCATCGTGTCACAGGGTCTTTCCCTGGTGCTGTGGCCATAACTTATATATGCACCATCCTCGTGGCGAGATCAACATTTGCTGTATTAGCTGCGGCATCTCGACAGTTTTGGTCTTTGGCAAGAGACAGTGGAATGCCCGGATGGCGTTCCTGGGAAAGGGTATGTTTCACTATATAGAGGGTCTAATATGACGTCTGCTTTCTCTATAATACTCAAGATCTCCTCCCGGAAGCTTCCAACTCGCGCTATCCTTCTAGCCTCGCTTGTTGCGCGGTTAATTTCTCTAATTGACTTAGGCTCTACAGCTGCCCATTTAGCTCTCACAAGTACGGCTGTGACGAGCTGGAATATGTCGTATTTGATTGTCTAGGTTCTGCTGCTTTATCGTCGGTGTTCAGGCCAGATCTTCAACAATGCCGAAGATGAATATATATAATTATCAACATTCCCGGGGCAAAGCTGGTCTGGGGACCATTTCGAATGGAAGGAATCCCGGGAATTCTGATCAATGTTTACGCTTCAAGTTTCTACTATACTATTATCATTACTTTCTTTAGCTTTCGGCCAGATACGGCACATACTGACAGCAATCGTATGAACTACAGTGTAGTAGGCACCTGTGGTATGATAATTGTTGCCATTGTGTACTATTTCTTACGGATTGGCCATGTTTACACAGGGCCAATTAAGGAAATAGCAGCTTGAGAAAATACATATCGCGGAGTCTCAACAGAAGACGAGAAGGATTTCTCCAATTTAAGAATTTGCTGGAATCCAGAAACTTAACACGAATGCGGATAAGTTAGTTTGGTGGATCTTGTTTCTCTTGGCAATCCTCAATTTGCACTTGGGGAGAGTCTGAGACATTATCAGGGGCTGTAAGCACTTGTAAGCGGCCTGGACCAAAAACTAGCAAGCGTGGTATTCAATTTGGGAGCCTCGTCGCGTCTGTGGATACAACTTGAACAGTCAGAGGCTGCGCTCCAGGCTTACCCCAGACTTTTACAACTTGAAGTCCTCATGGGGGTACTAAGTACTTCAAGTTAAGATTTACTAAACTGGACAGGCACCGAAAATAGCGTCTAACTCATATCTATAAAGTCGACATAAAAGCTTCAAGGTGCCTGCGTTAGGTGCCTTGACTAAACCCGGGGAAAGACGGAGATCCTATCCTCTTAGTAAGCATTTGTGTATGCCAAATGTTGTCGCGCTGATCTGGGATCGGATAATAGCGAGACTTAATGTAAGAGTGGATCTAAAGCGTACCTATTATGTACTGTATTGGCTGCAGGTGAAGAGGCACGTTACTATCACCCGCCAGGGTCTTTTGACCCAAGTGCCACCTGCTCCCCCACTCGAGCCAAGGCCCCCTCATGACGATCTTTGCAGATATGTTGGGAAGAAGGAGGGGGAAATGATCATAATAGAGGCTTATATAGAGTATTCCCAGGTACAATTGTAGTAGACTGTTGCCTTCTTGCTTCCAAGGTTGTCTTATACCTATACCCAAATGAGCCCGGCAAATTCTTTTCTTTTTCTCCACAATAAGAACCACTTGTATACTCTAACTTGAACTGGTTTTTAATACGAGAAGTGACATTGTGGTTTGCTGTGTCTCCGTCTCAACGTCACCCCCCTCTTGACTCAGTCTAAGCCCGATTGTGCCTTATTCTCACCAAAAACTTTTTTTTTCTTCTTTCGTTTTCCTTTTTCCCCACACGATCTCTCTCTATTCTCCTTCTTTTTTTTTTTCTGTCTTAATTCTGTAGCTGCAGAGATCTCGGAATTTCTTGCAACTTTCCAATCATTTCTTAACCTTTGAACATATGGAATCCTGAGACCACAACATCCTACTCCTTCTGTCATTCCGAACGCAGCCATGCCTATGCCGGTCCCGCACCTCCGCCGTTCTTCCTTGGCGGGTAAGTCAAAGACTTTACCACCAACTTCACTACAACAACCATGTCTGACCTAACCCCAGGTAAATCCTCTGTGGAAGACTCTCCTGTCAGCGGCGACGAAGAAATCGTCGAACCCGACCAGGGAAATGGTAAATCATTATTCTTGCCCCGCCGGTAAACCCCGCAGACGAACCTCTCCAGCTAACAAGATCGAATCAGTCTTGTCGCACATTATTTCACAGTTGCGACCGGGCGCCGACCTGAGTCGCGTTGTCCTGCCTACATTCATTCTTGAGCCTAGGTCCATGCTGGAGCGAATCACCAAGTATGTGCTCATACTACCCCTCCGTTCGCCTAACTGCATAGCACTTCCATGCTAGGTTCGGATCTTTCGCTACAATTTACTGACTAGTCTCATGTAGCTTCATGGCCCATCCCGAAACCCTCCTTCCTATGTCTACTATCGAAGACCCCGTGGAACGATTCGTTTCGGTTGTGAAATTCTACCTGAGTGGCTGGCACATCAAGCCTCCGTAGGTTCCCCGCGCTGCCTTGTTATCCTGCCCGACTGCATGCTGACGTCAACCGTACAGAGGTGTCAAGAAACCGCTAAACCCCATCCTCGGCGAAACATTCACCTGCTACTGGGATTATCCCGATGGAACCCGCGGTTACTATGTCTCCGAGCAGACCTCCCACCACCCTCCCAAGTCGAGCTATTTCTTCGCGGCGCCCGAGCACAATATTCGTATCGATGGAACCCTCAAGCCCCGCAGCAAATTCCTGGGTAACTCCGCGGCCAGCATGATGGAAGGTATTGCGATTCTTCGACTGTTGAATCATGGCCAGGACAAGAACAAGGGCGAGCGATAGTATGTGTGGTCGGATCTAAAGCTGTTTTTGAGCTGAGACGGAAGATGTGCTAACAACCCGACTAGTATTGTGACCCAGCCCAATATGTACGCCCGTGGTATTCTGTTCGGTAAAATGAAATATGAGCTTGGAGATCACAGCTACGTGCGATGCCCGGAAAACAACCTGGTGGCCGACATCGAGTTCAAGACAAAGGGTTACTTCTCCGGCACATATAATGCTATTGGAGGCACTATCAAGAACGAAAAGACCGGTGAGGTGCTATATGAGCTATCTGGCATGTGGAACGGCGAGATGTCTATCAAGGACGTCCACGTATGTTTTTGCTCCCACAACTACCTCGAGTCAATCGGAGCTAACAATCCTGCAGAGCCACAAAAAGAATGTCCTATTCGATGCCACCCACGCCAAACACTCGAAGCCCGTCGCCCGCCCCATTTCCGAACAAGGAGAACGCGAATCACAACGTTTATGGCAGAATACAGTCCAGGCCATCATTTCCCGCAATCATGAAGCCGCCACAGATGAAAAGACCAAGATTGAGGACCGCCAACGCGAAGAAGCTGCCAAGCGCGCTGACGAGGGTATTGACTGGAAGCCTCGCTTGTTCCGTCCCATCCAAGGTGGGCCCGGAGGTGCAGATGAGGGAGAGGAGGACCTCGATTGGATTATCAACGCGCAGGTGTAAGTTCTCCATGATGGTTATACTGACTTGCACTTCTAACCAAATATCAATCACCAGCGACCCCCATGACGTCGAACTAGCCAAGAAACAAATCCTCGCTATAGCGCCTATCGTCCAAGGTCAGAAAGTGTCATCTCAATTCCAGATTCCGCCATATAGTGCTTCGGCTCAGCGCGCACCCAGCGGCATCCCAGGACATCACAGCTAATGCCGCACTCCCACACACAGGAACCTCAGCCGAAGAAACTAAACCAGAGATCGTGGAGCGACAAGATACCCAAACCTCAGCCGTGGACGAATTCGTGGACGCGGAAGAGCACCAATAGAGCAAAGCGCTATAAAAGAGACCAAACCCAAAATCGCCCTCCCGTTTCCATTCCATTTGCTACTATCCGCCATTAAATCCACTCCTTACAGTTCACTACCTGTCTCACGCGCTCTCCTCGATACTGGCAGCCCGCCGCCGACGTAGTCAACCTGCGCAGACTAACCAGCACCACGGATCACGTCCGGACCAAAAGCCAAAAGCCAAACGACGACGACGATATTTACATGTCCACGCCTTATATTCCCTGATGTTCAACACAAGCGTTTCCTGGCTACTCGCCGCGCCGTTGCTGGATACCCGATTTAAACCTGGATCTGCCCCCAAAAATCAAAGACAGAATCACAAACTCAAAAATCAAAGACAGCGCGGAATAAAAGACAAAAACAAAAAACAAAAAGAAATCAATACTTCACTGCCTACACTCTTACCTGGATGACCGATGCCTAGGTCAAACGGCATGAGGTACATAGTAATGTTTAGCTTGAGCTGCATCGTATCGTAATGAGGGGGACTTCATGAGTCCAGAAAGGTTGAGGTAATGTTTGTTTGAATATGATTGATATGAATGATCAACACGAGCCAGTCATGTCAAGCGAATATTCGACCGGAACCGAGATGAACTGAACTGAGAACGATAGACTGATATAAAACGGAAACTGAGGCTACGCATACAGCTCGCTGGGATTTTGGCATTGGCATTTTTTCTTCAAATGTATTCATTTATGAATGGAATTATTTTCTGGTCTTAATACCACTATACAGGTACAGGTTCTTTTCCGGGGATATCACAAATAGTAAAGAAGCAAACAAGAAAAAAAAACTCCTCCCAAAACCCAAGTTAACGCCGAGCCTTCCAAAACACCATAAATGTCGATCGAGAGCGAAAAGCAGGATAAAGGAATGATAGACAGCACAGTAAAGCGCAGCTCTCATGAGTACAATTCACCCTTATACCCAGCTCCCCTCTCAAGTTCCCTCCTCCGATTCCCACGAGGAATCGCACCCGCAGATCCAGGCACAGCACCAACCCCAATACCACCCATGCCCATCCCAGCAGCAACAATCGACCCATTCCCCTCTCTTTCCTCCCTCTCCTCCTCCATAAGCGCAGTTTGCTCCTCAATCTCCTTCTCCGTATCCTCCCTCAACCCCAATATATCCGGCGGAATAAAACTCATCTGCACACTCGGCGCACCCTTAATATACCTCAACTGCTCATGCACAGCCTCGACCAAACCCTCAAGATATGGTCTTGGATTCTTATTCTCCAACTTCCTAATTTCCGACAACGGTGGAAAAAGCGAATAATCAGGGCCGAAATGATTGCGAAAAGCCACTGAATCCGGAATCGTCGAATCAATAATTTGATCCGCGTCAAGCAAAATAGACGTCTCGTGAGCCCAGGCCCTAGAAACATTTCGAGGTGTATATCCTCCGCCTCCAACGACGAGGAGAGGAAGTCCGAAGGTCTTAGTAAATGCCACGCAAGCTCCGTGGGCACGAACATTCAAATTGAAGCAGCCAAGTCGATCGCAGCCAAGACTATCTGCGCCGCATTGTAGAACGATCGCGCCGGGGTTATAGTTCCGGACACAGGCGCCGATGACTTCGTGATAGAGCTGGATATAGGAGTCGTCGTCTATACCGTCATTTAGGGGGACGTTGATGCTGTGATGCGCGCCAGGGTTGAGTGGGTGTGTAGGGCCCGTATCGTCTAAGGCACCGGTACCAGGGAAAAAATTATCTTTATCGTATTTGTGGAAGGAGACCGTTAAAACGCGATCTGTTGACCAGAAGGCTTGCTCAACACCATCGCCATGGTGAACGTCGATGTCAATATACATGACGCGGGGATGGTGGCGGAGAAGCTGCAGAACTCCAAGCACGATATCATTAACGTAGCAAAAGCCACTTGCTTCTGCTTTCTTTGCATGATGTAGACCACCAGACCAGTTAATCGCGATCTCAGACTGGTCATTGCAGAGCTTGCGCGCTGCATCGACAGTCCCGCCCGCATAAAGCGAACAATAATCATAAAGCCCATCAAAGATAGGACAATCGTCGCCGAAATTAAATCGCACGACATTATCATTCTGCTCCGACCGATCCATATCCCCTGGCATTACCTGACGGAGAAAGTCAAGGTAATCTGATTCATGGAAGTCCTCCATTTCCTCATATGTAGCTGCGCGCGCGAGATAAAGATCCATAGCGTGATGCATTCCGTACGCCATAACAAGTTGTTTCGTCAATGTAAGACGCCATGGTTTCATCGGATGCGACTGGCCGAAATGGTGTGCTTCGACAGCTGGGTTGGCGTGCCATGAGACTCGGTAGCCTTCGGGCCGTGGGACTCGGTAGATCTGGCGCTCGTTAGAGACCTTATGGTCGAGGCTTAAGGTTGTTGAGGGCACGGCATACTCCTGAACGACGGAGGAGCGAGCCATCGGGGAGGAATAGGTGAGGTGGGCGGAGATCAATGGCGCTCGGGTGAATCGAGAAATAGAGGTGATATGAGTTAATTGGAGATTGAATGTCTTGGAGTTGGAGTTGAAGTTTCCAAGGTTTACAAGAAGCTTGATGACTAAGATCTCCAGATCCGATCCGTACATATACGCTAAGCCGAATTGGGATGTCTAACTATTGATAGATCGGTACTTACCCCAGGGCATGGCATGCATCCTCACGTCATTTATCCGGAAAAACAAAACATCTGCCTGACGCTGTTCCAAGTGAATGATCACAAAGATTATTTTGGTGGATACTACTCCCGAGCTTGTATCCCCCTACGCTCCAACAGGTTGCATCAGCAGAAAACAGCACATGATTCATCTTGGTGAGACACCAACATTGAAAGAACAGTCTCTTCCTGCCACAATGTCAAGCCAGAATGACAGTGCGAAATTCACTACTACAAGATACAAATTAACTATCCCTCCAGGTGTCGTGATCTGCAAAACAAAGCCTGAGATTGTCCGATTGCAGAATCTCGAGGCCAACTTGGGAACACTCGGCTACCCTGAGAATGGCGGGCACTATCTCAAGTTTCCAGAGGGCAAAGTCGTCGCAGTCGCTTCTGATCATCTCTGTCTTGTCTTAGATGAGTCATACATGGTGCTCTATTTCAATCTCAAGAGTCAAGGTCTAGATGAAGAGGCTGAGCAAACTTTGAAGAGCTTACGAAAAGCTGGAATTGACGCGGATGCACTTGTGAGAGATGCAAGTGATGCGATTAAGGGCGGAGCATGTGTTTATGAGCCTATGTTTGATGGTTGGTCTCGACATGGACCGATCTATGATCAAAACGACCTTAACCCCATTTACCGACTATTCTTTCAAGGACGTCAAGTTTTTTACAGCATAGCACTATGAACGGATTATTCCCGCGCTTTGTATCGTTCAAGTAAGGAACCAAATTATTGACTAAAGCTTATAATCAGGAAGAATCACTTCACCTATCAACCCATCCAGTGCGCATCAACAACATCTGTGATCATCGCCACAGTAATGGCAAAACGGGTGGCGTAAACATGAATAAGTCACACCAGAGACCGGACAAGGAACATTCTTACATTTAGGAACATTACTCTCTTCGCGCTTCTGTAAATCAAGTCCATTCTCCTGTAGTTTCCCAAGTAGATTTGCAGCCTCTTCATGCTTCCCTTCGATCCCAAACGTACGAGCCAAGCCTATCTGTGACTGGTCCAGCTCAGCGCTTAATTTGTCAGACGAGGCTGCTACGACTTTGCCGCTATCTGGATGCTTGGAATAGTATCCGCTGTTTTCAACAGATACTAGCGTACCGCGGTTTGCCTCTTGGACACAGTGAAATCCAAACTTTGTGTCGACTATTTGCACGTTGGATGGGAGTGGTTTTCTGTATCGAGAGATATTGTTGGCACTTGCAAGTGTGCATATAAGTACCAGGAAAACATTGGATAATTTCGAGATGTTGACCATGATGACTGGTTACTTATTTGTAGGGTTATGGATTTGTACAGGACCCGATTTCAAGTGTAGTCTATATAGGACTATCGGACAAGAATGTCCTTTTATAGAACGTCATACTATCGGACTCACATATACACACCGTATAGTACATAGTTGGACCTGCATTGTGCCAACTTGAAGGAGAGCTAAAGTGCAGCAAGTCATCCATGCGGAAGTGATTGATGGGAACTTACTTCATCACACAAGCCTAGCCACGATGTTTGCGTAGCGTATCATCATGGCTGCGGCTCATCCCCTATAGCGTGAGGACTTATGCCCGGCCTTCACGATTTAGCTTCCTTGACCTCCAGGGCTTGGAAGGAAGGTTCAAACTCAGACGATCGGCATAGGTATACATATTCCCTTGTATGACCACGTTTCCGTCCTTTCGAAACGTTTAGCGGAAGTCTCGCTTGTAACGTTTAGCAGAGATCCTAATTGCCCGAAATTTATCGCGAGGGTGCCGCTTTTTCAACTCAGGTGGTATTCAGTAGTAGTATTGAGTATAGATCCCTGTCATTGAGATGACACGAGGTCTTAAGGTTGAGTGCAGGGAGTCCGCACCATTATGATATGTTGAACTTGAATGATATACACATACCATGACTCGTGTCTCCGTATCATTAATATGGAGCTATATAACTCACTGCAGTATAGTAAGCAGCCGTCGGAGAAATAATCCTTGAATAATATAATAGCAAGAGAACAATATAGATCAAGTACTCGAAGTTTACTTGGACCTCTCCGCGTAGCCTTCAACATTTCCTAAATAGTCACCACATTTATCTCAGAAGGTTAAGGTGTATCTGTACATATACTTGCTCTAAGAGCTATATTCCGTTCCAGTGCTTTCAAACTCAATACCGTGAGCTTAATTAGAGCTTCGGCGTCAATAACAAAACACCGTGTTATACAAATGCCCGCTAACAAAGTACAATGCATACCCCTCTCTAACTGCCGCGGCCGGCAAATACTAGCCTATCCCGAGCCCTCGGCCCTGCATAATAACAGGGATGTACTCCATCAACACCTATCAACAATACAAACATTCAATTAAGCAATAATAAAAAACCTTTCTTAATTAAGTTTGCTTTATCCTACGAAATATAAAGTTTAATTCAGTACAAAGTCGGTAACCACAAAGAACAGACCGAGTGCAATAATGACATAAGTCCGGTATCGGCACGGACGGCAGTGGAGAGCGCATCATCGCCGACAAGAACAGTAAGGTGGGGAACTTGAAGTCACGGTGAAGAAAAACTTGTGCAGGCATGGACACAAGATTATAGATATAAAAAGGATACTAATATCCGAGTGTTCCGATAATTTGTATTCTTTATCAATATTTCCTATCATTGTTAGTGACAGTTAATCATCATCACAAGTCAAGTTATAGCCCAGCCATCATATCATGAGCTTGAACATGGGAGCAACCAAGCTGCGACAGACGCTCGAGGATCCAAATGGATTCGTTGTCGCGCCTGGTGTATACGATGGCATGTCTGCGCGATTAGCACTTGCAGCTGGATTTGACGCGCTGTACATGGTAAGCACTATACTTCACTCCAGGCCAGACTATGTATTAGCGAGGATCAGTTCAGAACAACGAACGAACGGGTGAAAGCAAAAAAAAGACAAGGAAAAACAAATCACAATGCTAACTGAAAAAAGACTGGAGCAGGAACCGCCGCCTCAGTCCACGGGCAAGCAGATCTCGGAATCTGCACGCTTAACGACATGCGCACGAACGCAGAAATGCTCGCAAACCTATCCCCCTCCACACCCCTAATTGCAGACGCAGACACCGGCTACGGCGGTCCCATAATGGTATCCCGAACAACAGAGCAATACGCCCGCTCAGGCGTAGCAGCTTTCCACATCGAAGACCAAATCCAAACCAAGCGCTGCGGCCACCTATCCGGAAAGCTCCTCGTCGATACCGAAACATACATGACGCGTATCCGAGCCGCAGTCCAATCCCGAAAGCGTCTAGGCAGCGACATAGTGATAATCGCACGCACAGACGCGCTCCAAGGATACGGATACGAAGAGAGTCTCTCTCGACTTCGAGCCGCTAAAGAAGCAGGTGCAGACATGGGATTTTTAGAAGGGATTTCCTCGCGGGATATGGCTTCAAGGGTGGTTAGAGATCTTGCGCCGTGGCCCTTGGTGCTTAACATGGTTGAGCATGGGAGTACGCCGAGTATTTCTGCGAAAGAGGCGAGGGAGATTGGGTTTCGAATGATTATTTTTCCTTTTGCTACTATTGGGCCGGCGCTTGTTGCTATGCGGGAGGGGTTGGAGAAGTTGAAGCGTGATGGGTTGCCTGGGTTGGGGGAGGAGTTGACGCCTCAGATGCTGTTTCGGGTTTGTGGATTGGATGAGAGTGTTAAATTGGATGCGGAGGCTGGGGGAGGTTCGTTCGAGGGAGGAGTTGATTTGCGGAAGAGTTGATTGGATTCATGGTCATGTTCATGTTCGATGTTTCATGTTTCATGTTGTGAGTATTTTTAACTCTGTGCTGTCTGTTCCCGCCTTTCCGAGGAGTATGGCTGTGTAGGTAGCTGTGTACATGATGATCTCCGTGCTCCAAGGAGTGAGTACAGTGTGTACTGCATGTACGAAGCTGAGCTTGGTCTCACTGGTGCCTGGTCAATGCTTCGAGGCAGTGAAGCTCTGCCGCGTCTGGTCTGTAAATAGTAATGGTTCCACAAATTGATATTGCAATTCGCCCCTTTCAGCCTGGAAAGAGTAGTGTATGGATATTTTGAAGATCGGACGTTCAGCCACCGCGTATATTGTCGACAAAAATAAACATGCAGACAATGACAACAGAAAACAACTGTTAACACATGCAGTTAGTAACGTAACTTGGACTGATTAGATCATCCGTTTCAGAATTGGCCCGGCGCCAGTGGAACAAATCGCCGATCGCAGTCTCAACCACGGAACTGAACACTGAATTCTGCAGGTTTAATTTGATTGAATTGATTGATTTTAATCTAATTTACCAAGTTCTGCTCTCCCACGGAAATCGCGCGGTCAATCACAGTAAATAAACAAAACTCAACTTCCAATGAATTGATCAGTAAGGTGGTGCTAATACAATAAAGATAAAATTCATTTCTGCACAAATCCCAGAAACTAAAATAAAACCCCTGTCTAGATCCTATAAGTCCATAATTAATATATTATAGTTAATGGTAATTCCAATATCCAAAAACCTGGATCTGTTAGTTAAAAAAAACCAAACACTACGCGCAAATAAACTTCAAAGCGGGCTCCAGGGCTACTTGGAGAAAATCCAAAACATGGCTTCTCGCTTTGACCAGAAACGCCCAGCCAGTCCAGACTGCGTCCAGCGGCGAAATGGAGTCGAAAACTCGAAAGTGGAGAGAAGACGGTGGAGACCCAGAAATTCTAGGGCTTCTTTTCTTTGAATTCGAAAGGATGTAATGGTCTAGTGCCTGTTCCCTGTCTGTGCCTTGCACCGCGCAGGTCCGGAAGTGTGGGACCCAGTTGCCAGGTTTCATGGATGATAATCCACCGATGGAGGGGGCCTTACTCCGTACTTTAACAAGTAACTTGAAGGGGATGGAGCCTTGCCGCATGTTCTAGGTCACTAGGGAGTCGATCATTGTGGCCCAAGCCAAACGGCCCCGATAAATGGGGAGATTAGTGTCGAGGCTAGAGGTTAGAGTCGCTCAAATGCAATTGACAGGTTTCAACTTGAACCCGATGGACGGTGTATCTCCGATGAGTTGTTGTTGGGCGCGTAAATGAGTTGACATGTCGTGTAGAACTCGGATTTGTTGACATCAGTGATACGGTGTACACCGTGACTGCAGCGACCCGTGTGGTGATTTCATTCCACCGGATCCAGAGGGATTTGCCCGAAGACACGTAAGACAGGGCCTTGGGAGTGGGCTGATTGGTGATGGCTGGGGGATGTGGGGAACCTGGCTTGTGTATGGGCTTATTTTGCTAGTGGTGAATGGGTGCTAGTGGTGAATGGGGGAAAAAGGGAAAATAGCCACAGTTGAAAGGGTTCAGGGTTCAGGGTTCAGGGTTCAATAGATTAAGGGTCTGGGACGAACACATTCCTGGAGCATTCCGATGAACACACGTGTTTGGCATTCAGTATCATTATACAGTATATAATGATTGATGTTTATCATGACAGAGATTGGAAATTGCGATATAGAGTTTTTGGTTATGAGATGATGGTACCATAGTGAAATCCCCGAAGTACAGGTACTTAAAAATAAGGTGTATCACCCATAATAAAGATAAGTACCGTTACACCACAGAGTCCGCCCTCAACCTGCCAGGGTCTCGGCCCCTGATGATCCACTTCTAATCTTAACCAATCAGTCCGTATAATCGATTCTTCGTGGCTGAAAGTCGCTCAGGAACCACTTGTCCTGCATCCAATCAAGATCCACCCAAGTCCAAACCCTGCCCCAGTGCCCCTGATCCGAATTGTGTGTTTCTGTGTTTCCTGCCTGTCGGTGTTCTACCTAATATTAGTCCCTTTTCTCCCTCCCTTTTCTTTCTTTTCTTCACGAACTTCAGGGCTTTTCTTCACCCACACATTCTTTTTGCTTTGGAAACTTTTCGAGCGTCCTTTTCGCTCAAGTCACTCTTTCACATTCCTTTAAAGATTTCCAATTAAAAATGCAGTTCAAGGATTCCATTCTTTTGTTGACGGCCCTGTCTCTGGGTGCCGTCGCTCGCCCCCACGGCCATGAGCGTCGCCATGCGCACCCCCAGATCAACGAGATCGCCGACAAGGTAGTTGAGGAGGCGCCGGCCGTCACTGCTCCTGCCCAGGTTGCTGAGAAGGTCGTCGATGGCTTGAACCAGCGTGATGTGGGCGACGAGGTATATGCCACCATCAACGGTGTTCTTGTGTCCTGGATCAACGAGTGGGCTGGTGGTGTTGACTCTACCACTTCCACCACTTCCACCTCCTCATCCTCCACTTCCATCTATGTTCCCCCAACCACCACCACCGCTGAGCCTACCACCTCCACCTCCGCCCCAGCTGTGGAGTCCAGCGTCAGCGCTACCCCAGCTTCCTCCAGCGGCGGCTCCTGGACCTCTTACCCCTCCGACGGTGACTTCTCCACTAGCGGATTCGGTGCCACCAACTACATCGCTGAGGCTCTCGGTATCGAATGGTCCGGCAACACTGGTCTCCCATGGGGTTCCAACATCCAGCAGGTCTCCGAGTCCGACGCCAGCCAGTACCGCAACGTTATCCGTTTCGAGGGTAGCAACACCGATGACTGGACCGTTATCTTCTGGAACAAGATGGGCCCCAACAAGCAGATGACCGGTTTCTTCAGCCCCAACAAGGCCCTCTCTTTCACTCTTGCCCCCAACGAGGTCGCCTATGTCGCCATCGACGATGAGTCAACTGGTGGTTGGACCGCTTACCAGGGTGATGACTGCCCTCTCTCTGAATACGGCAGCTACGCCGCCACCTGGGGTGAATTCACCATGCGCAAGGCCCCCAACTTCAGCTCCTGGGATGTCTCCTGTATCCAGGCCCAGAACGCCGAGAAGGATATCCAGGGTATGTCCATCTGCACTCACGATGGCAGCCAGTGCTCTTCCATCACCAAGAACATGGGCAAGGTCACCAACGCGTACACCTCCGCTGAGACCGACATCAACGGTATCGGTGGTAATCTCAAGGACGAGGCTGTCCGTCTGGTTGTCAACCTTGACTACGCCTAAACAAAGGCGCCTCGTGCCTACTTCCAACGTCAGCGTGCTGTTTTCAATTTTCTTTTCTTTACCCTTTCTGCGCATACTATACCAAGCAGATGGTAGCGCCCTGATGTCCTCCCCATACGTCGACTGGCCCATGGCTGTTCTTTCCTGGCCCTTTCCTTCTGCTTTTTCAAAGAAGTGCTTACATCTTTCTGATGATCTGCGCTTCTATTTATGATTCTCTGTACATATACCACCTGGGTTATTAGTTCATATCGACGGAATTTTTTTCTTTTTCAAGTCTCAGGTTCTTGTATCTTTCTTCTTCCAATCGCCCGGCCAGAATATGGCGGTCTTTGGGCATTGTAATTCTTCGGCAATCAAATCTCTAGCCTTGCCATGGCACCACAATCGAGGTCCCCATTGAATTTATCTGTTGTAGCGTATGGTAAGTTAAATGAATCGTAACTGAGTAGGACAAACTGACCTGGTGAATGTTTAGTGTCCAATTGATCACTGACTTGACCAGTTAATCAATTACACATGCAGCCAACAACAACAGTCCCCATGTCAACAGCAATACATCAATGCTTTGATAAGGAGACTCATTGGATAGAATATATGCACAGCATAGAGCGCGCACGGTTCTGTGCCACGTCGAACCATGGCGCTTGTTTAACGTTCTACCCACAGTATAAGCGGAAGACGCAGCATCAAGTCACCAGTCCATAACGAGAACAAAGAAAAGGAATCGAACAAAAATGAGATTAAGGAGCAGAATGAAAAATCAGAATCGAGGGAATTATTGAGAAAGAGAAGATTCCTAGCAACAAGAACTCCAAGCCCTCTTATAATATGCAAGCGGGGTGGGAATGGGTTGGTATGCAGGGCGAAGAATTCATCACATCTTTAGCGCTAGAATGTCCACCCCGCCGGCCCATCCAGACTACGAAAACTAACAGATTTGACAGGGATCTTTAGTGCAGCGGTTACTTGTAACACGCGATGTATCCCTATCTGCATACCTGTGGATCATTTAGTCAACGCTACAAGGATGTTGATGGGTTGAACTGCCGATCGGTGCTGCGGGCGCTAACTGAAGGCTCATGAGAGGACAAGCACCGGCCAAGGCGGACTGGACCGATGTTAAAATAGAAACAGACGCATGCACCATGAATATTCTTACTGATTATTCATTATTTTAGGAAACGCTTGCTGCCCGTCATTGATTTTCCCGTCCTTTGCTCCGCCAATCTTGCACAAGTTGGGAATAGATGGTAAGGCTTTTTCCACGATGCAGATGGTCACCCTCGGTGTGGAGAACTAAATGGACTAAATATGCACAACAAGGCACATCCAGAGCGGAATTTGGTCTTTAGTACTTTTTTCGCGTCTCCTCCTCTGGGAAGTCGTGCGTCTGAATGACTATTACCATTGGATACCTCCTATCTCCCTCCTCAACTAGGAATGATAGTCATCTCAGACCCTGTTTCCCTGCATCTGCACTCTTAATCCCTGTCGCGCTTGGAAGCAACCCCGCTTAACACTGGCGTGATAATAATGTCGCAGTCGTTATTATAAGCTTAACATGCGCCTGAATTATATTTCCTCTTCTCTATAATATCATCTCATTCTATATATCTTGATTTTGTATGGCTAAGCACCTGGCGTGCTGGTTCCCTTCTCAATAATGGCAACACGACAATACGATCCATCCGAAGATCGAAATATCCTAGGCCGAAACTCTCGATCTTATTTTTCTTCTCTCGTTCGAGCCAGCCGGCCTGACTCCGCGACCGAAAGCAATAGAAGTAAAGTGTCAAGCTTAACAAGTTGCAGAGAGGGCACCGATGTACTACCAAATGACATCGAACTTCAAGTTGAAGATAATACAAAATCCAACTATCATTCCGGAACCTGGCTACCCTATACATTCCGATATTGGTACTTGATTCTCTTAAGCTGTTTTGTCGCAGTCCTCTGCCTGTTAACGTTTCTTCTTTGGTGGAAATCTGCAAACAACTATGGACTGGGAACAGACGATGGTTCCTCCGCCTTACTATTTGGCTGGAGATACAGCCCTACCATGATCGTTGTAATCTACGTCCAATTAACAGCCATGTTATTCGACGATGTCAAACGAACCGAGCCCTATGCCAGATTAGCACGACCAGAAGGAGCGAAAGCATCATCTAGTATCCTCCACAGTCCAGGACCTTGGTGGACTGCTCTATACGACGGATTCTCGAAAAAGAAGAACGGGAGAAGAAGCTGGGTATTGATCTGTGCGGCTTCCATCAATATTCTTGGTTTTTTGGCAATCTCTCCTCTTTCCTCGGCATACCTATACACTGAAGAGCTGAACTTGCCTCAAACGATGGACTTCTATCAGCTAGCACCTCTAAGTGACTCACCATTATCTATCGATGCAGACCGCACTACACATTTTCGAACCATCGCGAACCTCCTCCAGAACGTATCAACATCACCTTGGATCACGGATAATTATACCATTTTACCCTTTTGGCCGGCAAGCTTGCATGACGAGCCTATTGGTACTCTGCCAACGAGTTCATCGCAGACCTGGAAGGGTGAAACAACCATGTTCAGGTCCGAACTCACATGTACAGAGATGACCGTTGAATCCGAAGTGAACAGTTCCATCTCCTTTATGAAGGACTATGAAGCTCAACCTGCAATCTCGGTAATCTGGTCGAGCCCTGGAGGCTGTAAATATGGGCTGGAAGTGGTAGAGGATGTATTCCTTGTCGGAGGTGGCAGTTGGTCAGATGCTTCAACTTTCTTCTATGCCGAAGACACATTTTCCGAAAAGGATGTCAGTTCCAGGGTTAATCATACGGCAGAGTGCGCAAATCGCGAGATAATCGTCGTTACGGAGCCGTGGGGGTCATCTAAGGGTGCCTATTCAGCTCACTTATGCGATACTTCGTATTACATGGCCAACATCACAGCCTCAGTTGCGCTGGACGGCGACAATCCTGAAATAATCTTTGAAGAAAGCGAGTATGCTATAAATAAGGTGCCTATCCCGGATACTTTGATCAACTCGACTCAGTTTCGAGATCAGGCTTTGAATGAAGATTGGCCAAGCTATATGATTTCGATTATCTGGTCTCAGACTGCATTACTAGGAGGTGCAGGTATACTCTTGGGCGCTATCTATGATTATAACATGACCAAGCTAGCTAGAGACCCGAACTTGGTAGTCTCCGCAGCAAAGGCAAAGCAGCGCTTTTTCGGCGAAGTGCTTCAATCTTCTCTGACTCAATCAGGAGCATCTCACAAGATCTCCACCCAAGGCCAAGTGAACTCTATCAAGACACGCGTGGTAGTCCAAGCTGGATCTGCAATCGCATTGGGAATTCTTCTCGCTATTTCTTTTCTTCTCCTTCTAACAGTCTGGTGGTTCTCTCGCCTTCGAAACAGACCACTTAACTTGAAAAGAGACCCTTCAACTACAGTCGGTGTCGCATATCTAGTAGCGCAGAACCCAAGAACCAGATCCGGATTCCAAGAACTCCGGCAACCATCCGCAGATGAACTACAGAAAAGAATTGGAAGTGAAATCTTTTATACGGACCCTCAAGGACTTTCCAAAAGCGCACCCCAAGCCACGGCAAAAGAAATCGCAGCTCAGTCGAGAAATGGAACCCCGATGCTCCTCCGTCTCCCTGCGCTCATTGTCCTCGTCACACTTCTTGCACTTGTAATTACCGGCGTTGCAGTCCTCTTCCATTATGCAGAAGGCTACAGGCTGTACGGGAAAGCCTTCGTCTACGAAGTTCAAGTCTCTCTCTTTGGAAGCAGCACTACCTCATCGGTGGCGCCATTTTCCATGGTTCCGACCGTGATAGCCACACTTCTTGGTCTGTGGTGGAGTGCTATCGACGACAATTTCCGTCGACTGCAGCCGTTCCTGTCCATGGCTGACGAAAACCCAACCTACGAAAAAGGAGTCAATCTTTCATACCAAACTTCATACTGGGCGTGGGCCGCTGGAAAGGCCGTCTCCAACAAACATTGGATGCTTTTCCTAGTCACATTGGGCTCAACCTTGTCCCCTGTCTGTAGGTCTACCATCAAAACCACCCCTTCCACCGGAATTTCAAGTCTAATGAATAAACTATCTCAGATACGACTGCCATGTCCGCTATTTTTGATCGCGGCACTGGCAACATCATGCAACCAATTACGCTCGCCCGCAATCTCGAAATTCGCGATATACCATTTGTTTTCGAGACCGAACAATCCACTTACCCAGGAAGTTCAACAGATTATACAGCTGTCATTCTCGAAGATCTCTATAAGAACATATCTTCATATTGGATGTACACGGCCACTATTCAGCTCGCTCTGAACGGCTCACAGCCAGCCTGGAGCAAAGACGGCTGGAGCTTTGTCCCCTTGGATCTCAGCAACATCAACTCTTCAAGCTCCCTATCTGAACTCGGAGCCAGCAAAGCAGACGATGCAACTTCCGACCCCGAGACAATGGTTACTTTTGAAACACAAGCAATCCGCGGCCGTATCCAATGCAGTCCCCCCTCAACCCAAGTACTCACAAATATCACCAACTGGCTCACCCCAACAGACATTTCAAATCATACCATTTACAATGAAAGTACCATTCCCTCCGGACTACGCGGTGGATATCAACTAGGAACCACATATGATAATTCAGATTATCCCAGTCTCATTACCCCTTTAACATCTTCTCAAAACTGGACAGAATGCCCCGGATGTACAACTGTTTTCGCTAATCCATCCTCAATAACTTGTTGCGGTAATGGAACCTCTGATTCCCGTAAGGGCGATGTTGGAGTTGGATACTGGTCTCCAAACGACGACATTTCCACCTGGACACCACGAACATGGCAACGAAACTTCACGGCAAAATGGTTACATGGGGAAGCAATTACAGGAATCAGAGCGAACAACGACAAAGTAGGAGTTGGAACAGCCGACCCAGCACTCCTATTTACTCAACCGCCTTCAATCACATTATTAAATTGTGAACCGATCGTCGAAACCGCCAACTCCAGAATAACAGTCAACCCAACAAATGGTGAAATCCAATCATTCGATATCCTAAGCACCCCAAAGACAAACTCCGAGCCTTGGTCCGACAATTTTCTCCCTCACAATGGCTCTACGACCGATCCTCGCGAAGGATACACGCACTACAACGTAACCTTAAGGTGAGCGGACTTCCCCAAAACATCCGAAAACTTCTCAGCCCAATCCAACCCAACCCACTCCAATCAAGTAAAACCAAAGCATAGAAAACATCTCTAACCACCCACTTCTCCATTCCCAGCTACGGCCGCCTCTTCCAAACAACAATGTTAACATCCGCCGACACCCTCCACATCGGTGGAGCAGTCCACACCCTAGGCTACACAACCGAAGACCTCAACGACAACACCTACAACATCCGCGACGAAATCAACGGCCTAAACATGGACTTCATGACATACTCAATGTACAAAATGGCAAACTCATCATCAACATCCCTCCTAAACCTCCAAACATTCACCACTCTCGCCGAAAAAACATACACAACATTCTTCCAACACTTCGTCAGTAACAACATTTCCCTCGAAACAGGAGGCTGGGCATACCAAAAAATAAACGCAAGTTTACCAGACGATCTTGCGCCAGCCGTGAATGTCATTGCCAATTATATGCCTGGTACAACTGCTTCGAAGCAGCAGGATACGATTCATCCGATTTCACATACGAATCGGAGTGTGGTGGGACATATTTCACAACGAGTCGAATTACTACAAATGAATAAAGTGGCCGTTGGACTCAGCATCGGAATAATGGGCTGGTTAATTCTGACAACTATTACGGTGGCTGTTCTTCAGAAACGTTACTTTGGAGCTCTAGTTCGGAATGTAGAGTGCCTTGGCGATGTTCTGGTTCTTATTGCGGGGAGTGCGAACTTTTTACAGGTTGTTAGGGAGATTGAGTCTGGAAGACTTGTGAAGGGTGCTTATGAGGAGCTTAGGACGAGGTTGGGGTGGTTTGTTGATGAGGATGGGGGATTGAGGTGGGGGATTGAGATGGAGGAGAGTTATGGGGATGGGCCGGGTGTGCATTGGGTTGCTGATCCGTTGTTTTCGACGGAGGATGGTGAGGGAAATAGTACGTGGAATGTTAGGGATGGAGATGAGAATATTTAGTTTTGTTCGAGTGCTGTATAGCTGGTTCAAAGTTCTATCTTGGAAGGAACTTGAACTTGATTTTGAGTCTATAGATAGAATGTACATACATCTATAATATACTACCCATGTATAGATTCATTTGAAGGCCGAGAAACCGATGACATACAGTAAAAAACAGTTTATAATGTTATCTGCAGACAAACTTCATCCCAGTTATCATGATGGCATCAATTTTGGCCCCAAAATTGGTTCGATCCCAAAGGGTCTAGACGTGCATGATCAACCATAGTCCCCACATCGCTAGTAAAATTCCCACCTGCCCAACCCAAATGTCAGCGTCAATGTAGATCATAGCAGTTGATCTACAACGGAGAAACAAGGCAAAGAAACATTAAAGAGATTCAGTTGAAACAATCCAATCCATAAGATTGATACTGTATGATCCATTGAGTGGAAATCGATATTAATCGATGAAGATAGATAATAATGTAATGTAAATAAAACAATTATTCCAGAAAGGAAAAGAAAATCAATATTCGCTCATTTGAAGACGCACCCCAGAACCAGAACCCATTATCCACGCTATGCATCGCAACCAAGGAAAGAAAAGAAGGGAAGAGAAGAGAAGAGCAGGAAAGAAAACGACAGGTCAGAAGATCCTGAGGGTCTTCGGCATATGCCCTGCAGTAGACCTGCTAGGATGGGGTGTACAATAGGTAATATGACACGTGTCGCGCTCTCTGTGGTTATCACTGAGAAATGGCGACATCGAAGGAAAATGATAAGGTCATGTAAGAAAGAGGAGAGGGATTGGTGGAAGGAAGGAAGGGAAGGGGAGAGGGGAGAAAAGAAGAGAGGAAAGGAGTAGAGAGAAAAGTATAGTCCAGGAAAGATGAGGACCTTTCCGATCGGTCAACATCAAGTTGAAGGGTGCATTCAAGCCAGAGCGAAGTTCCAGCTAAGAGGCACAAAAGGAAAAAAGCAAAAAAAGACAATACCCAAACACCAAAACCAGAAACTCCACGCATAATGATACAAGGGTGCAGTGCAATGCTTAGGCTAGGTGTAAGCAGGGGGACAAGTGGATCCCCCTTCTTTCCCCCAGTGCCCAAAGCACTTTTCCCCAAGAAAAGGAAAAGAGAAATCCGGGGCAGAAAAAAGGGGGTGGAAGAGATAAGATAGAACAAAATGCCAGTCAAGAAACAGAAACACAAGGATGAAAAAAAGCAAATATTCCCCAGCAGCAAGCACAAGGCTGACAAGTTGGCAATGAACGATTGGTCGAACGAACACGAAAAAAAAGGCTCCAAAAAAGGGAAAAAGCAGTGGAGGCTGGACCTCAACGGAATCGGATCGGGATCAGGGGAGATCCGTAAAATATGGCGGTGACGAAGAGGCGCATCCCTTGGACGAAAAGAGGATGCCCAAGAAATAAGGGGGATCTCACAAGTATGGATCGCGGAATACTGTAGACGAGGGAATGATATAGATCCCGCTCAAAAAACAAAAGTCCAAATCAAGTCAAGCCATCTTGTCTTGTCTTGGTAAAGACAAAGATCGAATCGAATCTCGCGTAAAGGGTCGAGAACCAAGCTGTTTTAGCTTGTTTCGCGTCGATCACCGCCTCACTTTCCCGTTTCCAATTTGATTTCCTTTTTTTTTTCTTATTCCATAATATTCCACCTCGGATCCTTTGTCGTGTCGAAAGAAAAGATAGTCACGTCCAGCCGAACAAGCCGCGCGGATAATCATGGGGAATGAGAAGTGCGAAAGGAAAAAAAAACCGGGGACGAACAAAGTACTGTCCTTGGGACGAAAATACCAAGATCGACCCCGTGCTTTCTTTCTTTCTTCCCCAACCGGCCTGTTGCTTATCGGTCTAAAAGCAGGTAGGTAGCTTAGCTAGCTGCCGAGGAATAAAAAAGCTGCATAAGCAGCCGGGACTATTTCCAGCGTTGTTTGTCCCAGTCGGACGGGCGTGTTTCGTCGTAGATCTGGCCGCCTTTATTGTGGACGATGACCGGGGGTTTCCGAACGGGATTGGCGGTTACTGGACGCGTCTGCATTAGTCGGGCTGGATTATGGAGATCCGGGAAGTGACATACCTCGGACTGTAGTTGCAATGACCTGGTCACCACTGCTGCCTCCGGAGGCAAGAGTGGAATTTGAATCGTTGTTGACCTTGTGTGGCATGGTAGATGGGAAAAAGAGCAAACAAAGAATCGAACCCGCCGAGATAGAGATAGCGAAAGCGCAAACGATAAAGAAGAGGAAGTGGCAGCGGCAGTCACGGACTGAACCGAACCAAATTCAAGTTGATGGGATGGAGTTGAGTTGGGTTGTTGAGCGAGCTGAGCTGATGTGCTCGCTGAGGTACAAGCAGTGTTGAACTGCAAGCGACTGGAATCTCGATCTATACGAGAGAAGGTTCAAAGAGCAAGGGAGCAAAGTCAACCTTGAAGTATGTGGTGTAATAAGTATTATAGAAGACAAAGACAAAAATTAAGATGGAGGAAAGATAAAGAATCGAGGAGGAAAGCAAGTGATATAAGTTCTTGATGAAGACAGGAAGCAGCAGAAGCAGAAGCAGCAGCCCGGTCCTCTTGTAGGGGCCATTCCCAATTGAGCGCGCATCTGATCTACAAGACCCCGGAGAAAGCGTATCGTCGCCAGGGAGCTCTGGAGCAACTTGCAAGCTTCCACGGGAATGGATCGACCCCCTGACGTACAATTGGGTCGTACGGTTGATACGGTTGCGTATCTGGTGCCTGGTAACCATCTCGTATTACTAGCCAGTACGACTGTGGATCACAGGGTTAAATGGATAGTGATTGGTGAAAAGGCCAGAATGGAAAGCAGGGCAGCTAATCATCGTTCTTGTTGACGTACACTAGTACAGGTTATGTATACAGAGTGGAGATGGAGTGGAGCCAATAATGATGAGTCAGCCATTCCTCCAGAAATAGCTCTAACACTTGAGCAATACCAGAGAGACGAGAGACCAGAAACACGAAGAATAATTCAAAATTAGTGGAATACATCCACAATGACTGTGAGTTTGTTGGTTTTAGTTTTAGTTTTCCTCCTGATGGCCGTATGACCTAGTGTTTCGTGAAATATACACCTGCTGGGGGCTGTATGCTGTGCTGTGTGTACACTTCTCCGTTCTATCCGTTCTAGACTAGGACCATTCCTGTCCACACCGCTTCAGCGACTCAGGGATGATGCCACCGCGTAATCGGGCTGACTACTGCACACGGCTTGTATGTAGTCGCGCATTGGAGGTATCCAGGACCAATACTCCGTCCAGAGTTGTCTGCAAGTACGCCAGTAGTCAAAAGTGATGTCAATGATCCAGGGGGCGCCCCCTTCACCGACTTATCTGGCCTGGTCCACTTTGGTCCAGAATTCTCTCCCCCAAAATTATTCAACTCAATGAACGTTGATCATTGCGATAGCGTCGGTCTTATCCAATAGCAGTATGGATCGGGAAGATCTTCTATCTTAAAATGGGTTACGTATGGAGTAGCTCCATAGGAGGGCTACGGGATACAGTAAAACTACACTCCCTATCATCATATTATTTGGTTTGTATATCTTGCCCTGGCAACCATGTCGTCACTTCTCATACATTGGATAGATCCAAAAAATATTAATACATGCATTTCATATCGTGGATGTGCGTCACTTTTCTCCCATGCCAATCAAGACAAGAAGGGGGAGGCTTCGGGCGAGAGAGAGGGAAAGGCATAGCCATTGCTTGGGCACAGCCTAAGCACGAGACCCGGGGTAGATCATTCGCACTGGTCTTCTCCACTTTCGACCTAACCTCAATTCTGCAATGAGCTGGCAAGACGTGAAGGCCCTCAACCCTGAACATCATTGGCAACCAGGGAAAAGAGAAGAGGAAGAAAATAACAGTAAATTATAGTAAAATTCTAGACCTGATCTCCTCCACGTACTTGGCCACCGCTCTCCCGCTTCATCCGCTCCTCCCATCCATTCATACTCCGCCGGATCCCCAACGTCCGTCGCCCCGATGTCGAGGCTTGTTGACGTACCATAGACATTGTAGTCGTATGAAATGTTACGGACTGAAAGTCCCGAGTGGATCTTTCTGGTTTCACCTCTTCTAACCCAGTCCCTGCGGTTACTGTGTTGTTTCCACTCGGGTGTTGGGTGAGCATCCGAGCAGGTTTCACCGCAGGTCGCGATGGAGCCGCCAGCCACGTGTAATTATTGGGCTCGGTAGGCTCCAATGCAGGCCTTGTAGGCTGCAGAGGTCGCGGCTGTAGACGATGAGAAGAGAACGGGGTCGGAACATTACTCGCCGATCCTGGGTTGTTTTGGGATGGCAGTGTCAGGTGGTCTCGTCGGACTGAGGCTGGTTGGGTCGATGCGCGACTGGTCGGGACGGTTTCTTTCTTCTGGGAGGACCCTGGCCCCCCAAAGAAATTTGAGATGCTGGCTTGGCTGAGTCCGTCTTTCTGCCCAGCCCTCTTTGGTGCCTTATTGGTCGGGGCAGTCTCCGTGGCAGCCTTGGAGGTGACTTCCGTCGGTGCTGCCTGGCTAGCAGCCGGGTTGGCTGTGATGTAGTCACGGGCAGAGGTGAAACCGGACCCGAGTGTTGTAGATACCATGAAATTAGACGATGTCCCCATGTTTTGTCCGCAGGCCGCCATGTAGGTGGTGGTAGTTGGCTGATTGATGTCAGAGCGACGCCTCTTAGGATTAGGCTCCCCGGAGTCCTGAGGTCCTAGACATGATTTCCAATCTGATTCAGTACGTTTGTCTTTCTCTTCGCCTTCAGCTGTCCATTGGTCATCCAGCGTTGACGGAAGAGAGTTTAATTCCTTGTACATGTCCTCGGCAGCCGGTCGGGGTCGCCGAAGAATATCAGCAATTGAATAAACCACTTTTTCTAATAGCTGGGGACCCATGGGACGAAAGCGAGTTTTGATCAGTTTTGGAGGAAGAAAGGGTGTCAAAGTCGTTGACGAATCCTCCCCTTCGCCGAATCGAGGCTGCTTGAGAGGAAGACTGAGATAAAGCAAGGCTTGGGCTCTGGTCATAGCAACGTAGAGCAGCCGTCTCTCCTCATCAATTACCTCCGCCCTAGAATGGGGGATGCTTCCATTGTATACAGCAGGAATGAAAACAACGGGCCACTCGAGACCTTTGGCAGCGTGGATAGTAGATATAGTGACTTTCTCCGTCACTTCCTCGCCCTCTTCCTGTTTCGTCGCGTCGGTCGCGAGGGCAACATTGGCCAGGAAACGCGAGAGAGTTTCTTCTCCTACGTGAGCTCGCTGTTGTTCAATGCCTTCAATCTCGGGGAGGTCCTCTTCTTGTCCTGGATCTCCACTTGAGACTGCAGTTTCATGGGCCTGTCCCATCAATTCCTTGACATTCGCCCAGCGAGTGTCTTCATCGAGGGGATAAGCTCTGATGAGGTATTCTTGGAAAGATAGACTCTCTGTAATATACTCGAGGAGCACACAGGGCGCAGATGGATCTTCGCACTCTTCTAGCTTTTGTTTGGCTGCGTCGATTAACTTCATTAGAGCACAGAGCCCCAGCTCCGCGGCTTTTTGTAATTTCTTCTCGGTCAATCGGCGACCTTGTACAACATCCTTAATGAACGTCCAGAGGGAGACACTGGCTTTCTCCGCCCCACTGGTCAATTGTCTAATAGTTTCATCACCGATCCTTCGAGGTGGCACATTGATTATGGCAAGCAGCGCATCGGTATGATCTGAGTGACTAACAACTCTCAAGTAGTTAATCAGCGTCTTGACCTCAGTTCGATCGAAGAACTTGCGACCGCCGACCATCTTATACGGAATTCCTGCACGACCAAATGCCGTCTCGATCCGAGTCGATAACGACGCCGATCTAAGCAAGACCGCGAAATCGGACATGCGCAGAACACCCCCCATCAAGGCCATACATCTCTTGATTTCAAGAACCATCCATTGAGCCTCGGCATTCGCATTAGGAAGCTTCCTGAGCACAGGCATCGTGCCATGCGAATGAGTTGCTTGCAGTTTCTTCGCAGGACGTGTAGTATCTTGTTCAATGACTTCCTGAGCAGAGCTTAAGATCGAAGCAGAGGAGCGATAATTAGATTCCAAAAGAACAAGGGAGGTATTCGAGTATCGTTTCTGCATGCGTTTGAGATTCTGGATCTCAGCAGAACGAAAGCCATAAATACTTTGATCGGGGTCGCCAACAATCGTGATGCGACGGTTCTTCGCCGCCAAAAGGTTCATCAAATCGTACTGTATAATGTTCGTATCTTGAAATTCGTCGACTAGCACCGTTTGCACATTGGAAACGCAGTCCGGATGTTCCCTAAGGAGTTGCCCGCATCGTACAAGTAGATCGTCGTAATCCAATAGGCCTGCCGCCGCGAGTGCGGCTTCGTATTGACGATAGATATCCACCAGTTCCATTTCGTCGGCCTTAACACGACCAACCAAATCATCGGGTGAAAGCCCATGAGCCTTGTGACGAGATATCTTCCCTTGCGCAGTTTTAATTTCCATACCAGAGCTAAGTCGTTTAATAATTCGCTATGAAGAAGTCAGCAAGAAATAACACAACAAACATTTTCACCTCCATAGCGGTAGGAGAAGAAATAGTATCCAGCACATACACGAAGTATTCCCCGACTATCATCCGAATCGGCAATCGCAAACCCCTTCCTCAACCCAATCAAGTATCCATATTTCACCAAATACCGCCGACAAATAGAATGGAAAGTCCCCAGGATCAAACGCGACTGCACTTTCTCCCCCACAAGCTTCGACAGACGTTCCCGCATCTCCCGACTCGCTTTGATGGTGAATGTGCAGCAAATAATATCTTGCGGTTGGTATCCATGGTGGGATAAGAGGTACGCGACGCGCGCTGTTAATGTCTTCGTCTTGCCGGAGCCGGGTGGTGCGAGAACTTGTAGAATTGGATCAGGGGATGTAACCGCCTGGCGCTGGGCAGGGTTGAGGCCATCGAGAATGGGGTCCATTATCCATGACCTCTATTGTGATATAGGTAATTAAGAGGGGATCCGCTTGGCTTGGACTAATGGCGATCGCCAAGAGAGATGGGGACGCGCCAACACGCGCTGTCATGTGACGCCCACTGTATGTAGTATACTAGCATGTTACTAGTAGACATGAGAAAACATTCATTTGAGTTGATTATTTAATTTCAAAACACTCTGAGGGAATAGAATGGTCCAATATTTGATAAAGAACCCCTCATTCAATTGTATCATTCAACTTAAAGTTCTCGTTGAAATTGTTGGAGATTCAATGGAACATATCCCAACGAAAGTGATTCAAGTTGTCAAGTGCAGTATTCAAAAAAGCGACAGCTACCTATTAGATAAAATCGTCTATTCCGAGTCCAACACGTAAAACCATTCTCAAGAGAGTTGACTGATGTATTAAAATGCACAGAACCTAGGAAGATGAGTTTTCATCTGATTCTCTTTTTAGGTTGACTTTGTGTGAATGTCCATGTTCACGATCATTATTGCATGTATGTGTGGCTAGAAGCACTGGATATTATGATAAATCTTCATGAAATATAGTGGTTTGATTATATTGATGAAAGAAAAGAACAAAAAGACACCAAATCATTCAACACCCCTGGGTATCCGCGATTCATAACACGACGTTTCTAATAAACAATAACCCGACTAACAACTCAACAGAAAGTACCCAATGGAATACTCATCGACACCTCATAATTAGGAACATTGACAATTTCAGCAATCTTCAGGTCCGCAGCAACACTCGCCAAAATATAAGCTTCACTCCTCGTAAGATTCTTAGTGGAAACCAGCCACTGAATGAGACTCTTCGTAGCGTTCTTCGCAGCCTCGAACAAGTCCGGTGACACAGAAAGCGCGCCATATGTTCCAAGATCGGGCAACGGATTAGCTATTTGAGCCAGAGGTGGAGTCTGGTATTGTGGCGAAGTTATCCAAGGCTGGTTCTTGCATAGTTCAAATCGAAGTGTTGCTCTGATAGGTGTTTCGATAGCAGTACCGCAGACTTCGCCGTGGCCTTGGGCGGCGTGTCCGTCACCGCAGCTAAATAGGGCGCCAGCAGTCTGCACTGGGAGGTAAACGGTTGAGCCGACGCCGAGCTCACGGCAGTCCATATTGCCGCCGTGGTGTGTCGGTGGGACAGTGGAGAGTTCCTCGTCGTTACCCGGGGCCAGCCCCATGCATCCGAGGAAAGGTCGAAGAGGAATGCGAGTATTTTTGAATTCTGCGTAACCCTTTTCGCGATCCAGAGACCAGATCTTGAGCTCGGGCTCAGGATATTCGTCGGCTAGTAGGCCGAAACCGGGAATAATGGCTGACCATCCCCAGTCAGCGACTTCGAGATTAAGTACTTCGACTTTGAGGACATCGCCAGGTTGGGCGTCTTGTACGAAGATCGGACCGAAGACTGGATTGGCGATGCCGAGATCTAATGTGCTGATGGCTGAGGCATCGGAAGTAGGTGTAAGCTGGCCATTACTGCTGTCGATAGCATCAAATGTGACGGTTTGGCCAGATGAGACGTTCAATTTGGGTGAAATGTTTCGAGACCATTTAACATGGCCACAGTTCCTTCCGACATGGAAGTTACTCCAGGCCATGTCGGATGTAGATTTGGTGTGAGTCTTTGTTGAAGTCATTGGAGAGAGTGGTCGTATTTGTGAAGAATAAGAGAGGTGGGAACACCACGGCTTTAATGTAGTTTATTTTAATTTTTGAGGGGGGGGGGGTTTTTTAAAAACCTGGAACCGGAAGATTCAAGTGTCTCTTCCCCCTCAAAGACGCGATGGCGAGATCCTCTTGAAGATTGACCGTTACGGAAGGTGGTTAGTGACAGATCTTACTCATGCTTGATTGTGTAGTGATCTCCACTCGGTTGAAGCGATTGTATCGCCTGCCTAATCAGGCGTTACAGGGATCTTTCTTCTGTGCTTATGCCGTGCTCGTAGATTGGCTTATCGAAACGTGTTGGAGCCTCTGGGGTTTGTGCAGACATTGAAAAGAAAAAAAGCACAGACGCAGTATTGGTGGATACAAAAGGGAACGCCGGTCCACCCCGACGGAACGAAGCGACTTTACTCCGTTTAACTTATCCGCCTGCTCGATTAGTACTCAATCGTCATCGTGGAGATAACCTTGTCAGGCGGGAATTCCGAACAAACCCTCGGAGTATTTGGAGACAGTGGGTGCTGAGTCACTGGGCAGGGAGAATGATTATCCACAGAGTACATAAGAGGTATGGATAGTAGTACAGGGTAACGATGTACAGAGTATGTAATGTTGAACTGGCTCTTCTAGAATATCAATGGAATTAGTGTGAAATAGAGTCTCAAAATCAGGGTAGTATACGAGTGCGATACGAGAAAACGCCACTCAATGAAATGCAGATTCCTCTAACGGTAGGCTGTCCGTTTGGGTTGAGCCAGGAATGCAGCGTTATTGGTGGTGCGTCTCGGAGCAAGGTGGGTTTCATGGAACATTGAATTCTTGAATTAAATTTTCATTTGAAAAAGAAAAGAAAAAGAAACATAAAACCAACAATTCCTGCTGTTAAAAAAGCATTGAATCCATTATGCAGAAGGATTTCAAGCTTCCTTCGATCCTGATATCTTTTTGACTGGCAACACCACATAGTACTAAAGTACATGTTCAAAAGTGCTTGGGGGCAATATCGGCGAATTCTAATATCAGAAAAACTCTGTCTTTTGAACACCTTATGACCCTTCGGAATCTATGATCAATTAAGAAGGTCCTTTAAACCTCCCCGGCTACCCCGAAGTTACAATTTACATTCACAACCACCTTCTTCTTCCGGATAAGCAGCATCCTAGAATCCGCATAAGTGGACCACATTTAACATGCATAACACACTTTAGGGCCCATAGTTCCCGGGCAAAAAAAAAGAAAAGAAAAAAAAAGAAGAAGAAAAGAAACTCAAAATAATCAATACATCTTTTGCTTTTTCCTCTTCTATTTGACTCGCTTCCTTTAAACTATCATCCTGTTATCGATTCAGGAACCATCTCCGAACCTGAACAAGGATCAGGATTAAGCGATCTGCAAGAATTTCTTTTGTCTTCTTTATGATCGCTGTCCGTCTAACATAGCCACGATACAAGAAGCATTGTCACTTTTAGTAGACCGAGTACTGTTGGTGGCAATCTCTTGCGCGATCTCACTGGCTCTCATCCCCCGCATCGCCAACTTCATCACGTGCTGGATCAGGGCCACGTCGTCTGTCCGGTCACTGACCCCGTCCGACACTATGACTAACAAGTAGCGGCCATCTGGTTTTAATGTTCTTTGCGAGGTAAATGGCTTGTTGGATACGAAGTCTCCACGAACGGCGCTGGATGATGACGAAAGATGTCGCTCCTGCGGCATGTTTCCCGTGTCCTGCACTTCATTGACGGGAGTCTTGTACTGCAAATCACCTATCGCTCGTGACATGTTCAGGGATCCTGTACCCCTCCCCACCCCGCGAGTTATTATCTTTTCTCTTAGCTTGATTCGGGACATCCGTACTTACCAAGCCGAGCAATGCCATTACGAATAGTCACCTCACCCCCGGCCGCTTCAATCCGTCGTCGTTCACCGGGTGTCTCGGGCTTATGCGCCTCCGTGAGTCGTCGCTAATGTTTCGCATTATCCTAATTAGTGCTCATTTCCCCATTTATCATGATTATCATCAATATGGACATCCCGGAACAGGGAAAGCATACAATATGGTAGGGACGGTCCGTTTTGGGATCTCTCTCGGCCATTATAACATGAGAGTCACCCAAATTAGACACAACCAGTTCACCCCGAGTGAGATTCACTAAACAAATCGCAGCAGTGGATCCAGAGATCGCCGGCTCAGTGGAATCATTCTTGAAACTCTCCAAGAGCAATGCATCCTCATCAGCCAACGCACCCTTGATGGCCGCGACGTAGTCTTCTTTCTCAAACTCCGGCCGCTTAGAAAGAAGATTATGCAACCTTTTACTAGCGTGCTCTGCCACCAATCCAGATCCACTATAAACCAGTCAAAATCAGGAAGGTGGACAGCTTAGCCCCAACAGGGGATCTTCGAGGATTCCATACTGCCCGTCGTATATGGCAAAAAATGCCAACTTCTCATTCGTTTTACATGGGAACTGCTCCGGTCGGATGATGGTGCAACGATCCTGTTGGAACTCTCTGCTTCCTTTCGCCTGCCTCACGAAGTAATCAGTTTGACGATCATATAGAAATGAATTTCGGGGCTGCTACCTGACCTGCTCCAACATCAAAGAGCACGACTGCATGATCCGTAGACATGGCTGTGTTCCGGAGCATTTGATTCCTCACGGCCCGGTGTGCTAGAACCATATTGAATCACGCAAACCCCTGCAGATAAAATCGAGAACAAATTTTCTGGTTTCTCCGGCTGATTGAGCGTGAGGATTCCGGGGCGCACCCCCAGTGATGATGTACTGACATCATGAGCGACCTTCCATAGGTACATTGGATTTCGGCTTTCATACAATAACCAAAGTCCGACCTGGGGAAAATGACCCAGATCAGCCACTGAAATTTGTTCCGATATCGAGATCGAGATTTTCTCAAATCTTCTCCTATATACTTCAACATCCGGTACACCTATTGTTTGAAATAAAATATCTTGGATAGAAACAATGGCATGTTTTGTTGAAAGCCTTAATTTATAATTATCAGACTAGATACACAAAGAGCTAAATAGGAATCATAATTCTATCACAATTTGTTCTATACAGTTAAATGTGTTCTATAGATCTCGATCGACTGCAACGCACGGACCAACTGGTCCCTGAACGAATCGGCGCGATGATGAACACAATCACATTTAAACCACCACACATCTACAACGCACTCCGGAATGGGCTGGATAAGCGTAGGAGCTCTCCTCGCAGCAATATCATACATCCTCTATCGACATCTTCCCAATCCAGAGACCTCTCCCTCTCTCCCCACTCCCTCGGACTCCAAATCCGACTCTCCGCCCGCCTCGCCCGACAAACTTCAGCCGAACAACGAAAACCCCGCGACCCCACCACCTGAGAAGATCCAAAGGGTCAGCCCCCAAAATACTCCAAAGGCATTAGAATCGAACCCCCCGCCACCGATACTCGCAGTACCCACGCTCAATCTCGAAGAAGCCATCGAGACACCCCCTGTCGCAAGCAGACCAGCAGAACAGAGCATGAATGGCTCAACACCACAGGTAGCGTCGACATCGACAAGTCGCAATGAATCCACACGAGACTCCAAGCCAGGAGTATTGACCTCCCAATCCACATCGTCGCTATCACCATCATCCACAGCTCCAAAACCTTCGTCCCTCATGCCTCCACCGCCACCCCCAATCTCACGCCTTCAACCAAACCCACAGCCAAACCGAGCCTCCCCAGGAGGAGGCCTCGCACCACCGCGCGTTAGCAGTTCCCCCCGTACACCACTTTCATCAGCTGCATCCGCGCGCCTCGCTCCAAGCAGCAGTACAGGCCTCAGCACCAGCACCCTAGCGCCAACACCACAAATACCACTCTCCCTAAAGAAATCCTCTGCATCAAAGCGAGTCATCCTCGAACCAGGCTACTCACCCCTTGATTGGGCTGCACTCGCTGGAAACCCAAAGAGCCAACTACGTGGTGTAGGTCTCCCGCCAGGTCTCCTGCGCGTGACGCCATCCATGCTAAAAACGCAGAATGGGCGCAAGGGTCGAGACGCCTGGACCTCGTACCAGGGCAAAGTCTTTAATATCAGTCCCTATTTACCGTATCATCCCGGTGGAAAGGGTGAATTATTACGTGGAGCGGGGAAGGACTCTGGGAAGTTGTTCCAGGAGATTCATCCTTGGGTGAACTGGGATGGAATTCTTGGGGAGTGCATGGTTGGCATTTTGGTGTCGGAGAATGATGTTCAGGCTGAGAATGCCCTTGATGCGATGGATTAGACCTACTTTTGGTCATTGACAGTGCCCTCGTTTGTATATTGTGTTATTTATGAGCATGCGATGCTGGTTAAAGCTTGAAACCACTATGCTTCTTACTGTTGTTGTCGATTTTTTTTTACATAGCTGGAGATACCCTTGGACACTACTATACTTCTATTAGACCAAAGAGCCACCATAAATACATGTATTAACAGATTGAATATTAATCTCACTATAGTTTAAACTTGGCATTAAAGCTTTGTTAACTCGCACTTCAACGCTTATGGTTCCATTCAATCACAAATCGGAAGAAATCTGCTAGCTTCAAGTTAAGCAAGGCTATTAGTCTCAAAAGCAAAGTTGAAAGGTGAGCCCTATACTCCCATATCTATATGTTATACGTCATGTCTATACAAGTCTAAATGAGTTCAAGTTGTATACCCGTTTATACGGTTAGTCTTCTCGCACTTCCCCCAGATCTAGCCTGATCACTATCTGATTAGCATCATCATAGACATCATCCTCGAGATAAGGCAAATTCCCCGCAAGATCAATCAACTCAACCTTCCTCCGACACATAGGACAAGTATCATTGTTCGTCCCAAACCACGCAGTGATACACTCCACACAAAACCAATGCCCACACTCCAAAACCACAACCTCATCCTCACACCCCATCTCTTCCCTACAAATAGCACAAGAAGCATCATGCTCATGATCCTCATTCCCTCCAAGCTCAGCCTTCAAAACATCACAAGCCCTCCCTCTAGAAACAGACATAACCTCCGAAGAAACATGCGCAACCTCAGGCGCCAACCCGCGCACCTCACCCATAAACGAAAAGACATCCTCCGCAGCCTCCTCAAGCGAAGGATCAACACGAAGCAAAGAAGAAAATGGAATCCCATCCTTTGGCATCTCAATTATTTGTCCAGTCCCGTGTGACTGAGTATAAAAGCCCACAGGGACTAAGCCAACGACTAACCATCCACCATATAGAACGTCCATGTTTCGACGGATAAGGTTACGGGATCGAAAGATGTTTACTGCTTCTGTGAACATTGCGCGGCCGAATAGGGTCATGAAGACGAGTGTGTCTTCTGCTGCTACGCGTTCGCTTACTCCGGCTAGGAACCTTTGGCGCCAGCGGCGGCGGGTGACTCTTCCTGCTAGGGCGTGCTGGTCATCACGGAGATTGGAGGTGGGGTCCATTGTGTTCAAGAATATGGTTAGTTGTTAGTTTTTGGCGTTAGTGATGAAAGAATGGATTTATAGGTGCTGCTAGCGTCTCTTTATCATAATGAAGTGGTTGGAGTGGAAGTAGTGGTTATTGTGCTTGGGAGCTGTGGTAGCTGGGACAAGGTGCATTATGTAGTCGAGGATCTTGAATATCCTTGTCACCGTCTTTCTTGAACCATGCATTGTTTTTTCTTAGGAACAAAGCATTGTGAGTCCATTAATAGACGAAAAAGAGCAAGGTATAAAGGCTTACGGGTACCTGCATGATCGTGGGCTTGGAATATCTTTAAATACTAAGATCTCTTTAGGCATTATTTTTATTATTAACACAAAGATCGCACAAAGGAAATGTTGCGTGTCTGATAAATATGGAATTCTATTAAGTTATACGGCCACACTATCTTTCAACTCTTCTATGGCTGCCCTTAGCACTAATCGATAGCTTTTATATATATATATATTAACAACTTGTAGTACATACTGTAAGAAGCTGGAGAACTCCCGTAATCATCAACTACCCATTTTACCACCAGGGCAAAAGACTACTGTATCTGGCTTCTGCCAGATACTCCCCAGGCCCACTATATATACCAACCATCTTAGTACACATATTTCCTGTAGTACTGGCCACCCGGCGTTGCGGCGTGTCCTTACACATACAATGACGTCAAGCTATCAACCTAATACTAAAATTATCAAATAGACACGCTACCCACTACCCTCTCGCATATGTTGCTATATCCGGCTTAGATCATCTAGAGAGGAATCTATAGGAACGATCATACAGAGAGATGATGATATTATCTAGGCTATGGAGAGAGAGATAATATAGGATATATAGATCACCTGGTTGGCTATCGCATCTGACTTTTTATTCGTCCACACTAGATTATTATTACCTTTGCTGCTCCCTCACCTTTAACATAAAATTGAAATCTTGGGCTGCTCGCGTTTTTCTCTACTTGAGGCTCCATTCCGGTTCTTTGTGGGTGTGGGTTTGTCAACTGTATAAACACGTGTAGCCTCTGCACAAGCTACGATCGTTCCTCCTCAGTGAAAATCTTTTACAACACAGTCTTCTATTTCCCCAATCCTCTTTACTCATTTGGATGCCCCATGCAATGAATTTTACCAATGTTGGAGCGCATTGCAGTTATAAGCATTTGGTACAGGGAAACGACACAGGCTGAAAGGAGAGATTCCCCTGCTTTACGAAAGGTTTCAAGTGGAGCAATAAAAAAGGATGGCCAGGATCCCAAACGAGTAAAAAAGAGGAAGTAAATACAAATAATTATCAAAAGAGATTTCCCACTGCGCAATTTCCCAACTCATCCAAATGAATCGTGATCACTTTTTCCAAGACACTTTGCGGTAAGCCAACAGAAACCTCTCGATAGCTACTCGGCCATTTGCGCGGGCCAGTCTGGCGGCTCGCCTTCTCACAATATCGAAATCTTCCGTGTCGGGGTAAGAATTCAAAAGCATGTGGAGGGTATCAAGTCTGCCGTTCTCTGCCGCAGCTTCAGTAGCACTTCGCCCATCCTCAGCGGCGGGCGCCTCATTGACAGATACTCCCGCAGCAAGAAGCATCTGCACAATGCGAATATTGCCTTGAATTGTAGCTGCCTGCAAAGCTGTGCAGCCTCGGAAAGATGCAGGTGGCGCATTCAAATCGGCTCCGTTGCTGATTAGGAAATGCGTGAGCGGTAGAGAGCCCTTGGTGACGGCCCATTGAAGCGCAGTTCGCCCTCGTTTTGGGCTGGGGGCACCGTTGACATCAACGCCAAAAGACATCAAAAGCCTCACCATTGTCCAATCTTGTTTCAGGACTGCTGCCTGAAGTGCTGTATAACCACCTATATTATTCGCTGGTGAATTGATGTCCGCGCCACTCTCAAGTAGTAACTGAGCGATACCAACATCTCCTGAGTATGCCGCTTGCTGAAGCGAGGTGGCAGGTCCGCTTGGAATGTCTTCGCAGCGTCGATTCAAATCAGCTCCTGCCGAAATTAGGCAGCGAATAACTCCACAGTTGCCTTGAAAGACTGCTTTTTGTAAAAATGGTATTTTAAAAGACGTAGTACCATTAACATTTGCTCCTGCTTTGATTAGGAGCTTCACCATGGCCTCCTCACGTTTTGCAGAGCTTAGAAAGAGACCAATTATTCGATCCTTACAAATGGTATCTGATGATATAGCATCAGGCATCATGTCTAGGAAAAGCTGCACGATGTCTAGATTGTGGCTCTTGACAGCACCCTCGATTGCTGATATCCCTTCGCGTGATCTTGCCGAATTGATCTGTGCACCGAGTTTCAGCAGCAATTTTGCAATATCGGTATGGCCACAAACAGATGCAGCCTGCAAAGCCGTATATCCATCAGTTGGCCAGGGCGCAGCGTTGACATGAGCTCCGTAATCCGTTAATAAATGCACTAACGCCTCATCTCCACTGTAAGAAGCTTGTTGTAGTGGAGTGCGCTTCGTGATGCTGCAAACCCCTGCATTTGGATTTTCGCCTCTCTTTAGGAGATTCTGCACCGATTTCACGTCGCGCCGTCTGACCGCGGAGTGAAGAAATCCTGACGAGATATCAAGGCTTTGGGCTGCCTGGGTATGTGCACCAGCTTGCCTGAGCAGATGAACGATCTCATTTCTCGCTACCTCTTCTTCAACATTGAATGCAAGACCGATTGCCGTGACCCCACCAGTCAATTTTGGGTCTGTGTTGACAGCCGCATTCGCATCCAGTAGAAGTTGAACTGCCTCCACGTTTGCAGCCTTAACAGCTGCCTGCAAAGCAGTCAACCCGTTTCGCTTTGCAGGTAAGGCGTTAGGATCTGCACCCTCTTTGATTAAGAAGCTCAGAACACTGACATCAAAATGTTTAGTAGCGGCCTGGAGCGCAGTCTCTCCAAGGTAGTCGCCAGCGCGAGCATTGATATCCGCTCCTTTTCTCAGGAGAATTTCAATGAGTCGTTGATTGTCAGTGGTAGCACATATTTGGAAAGCGGTATAGCCGTATATTCCTCTCGGTCTTGCATCAATGTTCGCGCCAGCACTCAACAGCATGCGAGCCATGGTGATATTTCCTGACCTGACAGCTGCGTGAAGGGGGCTAAAAGCCGGTGTCCAACTGTCATGCATTTTTTCATCAAGAAGTGCTGACGAGCATTTGCTCCAGTCAATGTTTATCGTAGCCCCTTCCTCCAGCAACAGCTGAACCGTCTCCCAATTTTCGTATTGCGCGGCTATCAGGATCGCAGGACTGAAGCGTGTTGGAATTACATCTACATCATTGCGCCTTGAACGTGACTCAGCTTGAAGATCATACCCAGGCCTCATATCGATGTTCGCTCCAGCAGCTACTAGGAGCTCCACCACCGCAGCATCAGAGCTGGCATAACATGCCATTTGTAGAGCCGTGGCATGATGAGACGAAGTAAGATTTGGATCCGCCTTTTTATCGAGAAGAAGTCGCACTAAGTCATGTCTCGCGCGACGTGCGGCAATCTGCAGAGGCGTGAGTCGAGAAGTTGGTAGGTTCACATCAGCTTTGTACTGCAACAAAAGCTTGACAGAATCAGATCCTTTGCAATGCCAGCACGCAATATGAAGGGGTCTCTCTCCACCGACTGCAGCAAAGTTTGGGTTTGCGCTGGCCTCGAGGAGTATTTTTGCAACGTCGACATTGTCTTTATGGAGTGCATATTGAAGAGGCGTCTGCAGAGTTGGCCTACTGGGAGCATCTATATCTGCGCCAGCCTCAATAAGAATTCGGCATATCTCCACGTCCCCAACTGCTGCTGCACCAGCTAACAGATGGCTCATGAATATCTCGATTGTCGTGCTTTTCGATCTGATAACGGCTTTGAGTCTGGAATGAGCGCGGTTTTTTGTGATCAACCGTACCAAGTTCTCTGTCGGTTTCTGGGGTAGTAAGTCATTGGAAGAGAGGAAGATGCAGAGATGCAGAAAAAGAGACAGCTTCTCAGAGTCGGGCGAGTTGAACATAAACTCTGCCTTTTGGGTCAAGCTACCATTGCCGTCGTCTATCGTGATGGGCTCAAGTGCAGAGAGAAAGCTACTGGCGTTATTCTCATCGAATGTATCGGACTGGATAAGGATTGAGCGAGTCTCTTTAAGAATCTCACTGCCCATTGGATCGGAGCATTCTTGAATCCGAGCTACCAACTCTTGGGAGGATGCCGAGGAAGCAAAGTCGGATCCGAGCAAAGTGTAATCTAAATGTAAGTCTCTAAGATATGGGGCTGCGATTGATGTTCCACTGCCTTGCAAGAAGAAATTTGGTATGTCCACTTCAGAAGGGTCATACTGGACTGGTGGTAGGTTCGAGTTGATATCAAGGAGGTCGTTTGAGATCTCACAGCCCATCATATTCAAATTTGCAGTGGGACACAAATTCAGCAGATCGCTGTTAGGTGGGTTCAAGACCTCGGCGTCCATGCTTGGCTGTGGCGTGCACACCATAATCCCCTCGGGAGTTTGAGGCTCTGTACGGTAATCAGTCAAATTGGAACGATAAATGAGATTCAGGATTGAACTGGGAAAGGGTACATACCGAAGTCTTGTGTCGCCGCGTACTGCGATGATAACTTAACGTGGCGAGACATTTCCTTCCTCACTTTTGGCTCAGGGACTACTTTCCCGTTCGCCCACAGCTCGCCAGGATCTTTGCCTTCTCGCTTCCGCTTCTCTCGACGATACGCAACAAAATTCCAGTCTGATTTGGTGAGGTTCTTCTTGAACCCCCATTTCTTGAAATGGGCGCGTATACTGATGCTCACTATGGGGCGATTAGCCTGGGATCCGCAATCGCAATTTCTATTGCGCCTCACCTCCTATTGAAACAATGCTTCTGCACCATGTAGCTTTGGATTTGTTTCGCATTCCATCCATTTTCGAGCCAGAGAGTTCTGATCTCATCGCGGTGGCTGTCCCACTCCGCCTTGTCTGTGGGATTGGGAGCCATTTAGTGTTCTTTGGTCCGAGGGGAATGAATTTTTGTTTCCTTCTCCTCTAATTCGATGCCGTCCATGCTAGCTTTTATATCAAAAGCATTGTGAGAACATCTTGGTTGACAAAATCGGCCCCACCCGCTTCAATCTGATTTGATCTTACCACAACATCGGTAGTCCAATGTTCAATGCTTTGGGGGTTAACAACTCAGAGACACATTTACTAGTAACAGTGGGATCGACCAGGCAACTTTTGGCCATAACAAATGACAACACAAAAATTACGCTACGGTGGGCCTTTGTCCCGTAAGCGCCCTTCTATAGGTCGAGACCTCTCTTGCGATTGAACGCATTGTCGTCTGGTCCAGAATTGGGGCCTTGGATTGGTATTCTATTTGCTTTTTTTTCAGCCCCTTGTTTTGTAAAGTACATAGTACCGCAAGACCTCAATTATGGTGTCCAATTACGGAGTATAAGAAGTTACGGATACATATGTTGCCTTTTACCTGACCATTGTCGCCCCTTTCCTGCGACAAAAGTACACTGGGCTGAAACAAGCCGCTCATTTCCAGGGCTGCTCCCCATGACTTGGATACAGGGATGTTGAAAAATCTGCGCTCTCTGCTTTACACCGCCCTTGACACGCTGATTTGCTATCTACTCTCACCCTATTCTTACCTATATCACCTATACTCCCCCTAAGATTAAATCTATCAAGAGTCTGGAGTCACGTGGCTTTCTGATACTGGTGTCTAAGGCATCAGCTCACTAGATAGCTCTCTCTCTCTTGATCGTTCATCTCTTCTCATCCCCGAATCACCCAATTAAGTGGCTTGTCCCAGTTCTTCGGTCTTTTCCTTCCTTCTAGTCCCAACTAGTCGTATTACCGTCTCTCTCCGTCTGTCCTAGCCTCAAACAAATAGACGTTGACAAAATCTAATACCATTTTAGAAATTACTATTGATAATAAAGATCATTCTTTGTAAAAAAGGGAAATACAAAGAAAGTAGGCCCGGGAAACAAAGTTAAAAAAAACCCCCCCGAACCGCCAAATTTCCGTTTAAGGTTTCAAATATTGCGATTGCCCCAATTTAGTCTTAGCACCACCGACCTAGCTTCAACTACCAGCCATAAGATAGGACAACCTTTCTTCGTATACATCTGCTTCCAAAATTCCAACTTGAAGTCACTGTGGAGAGCCTAATCTCACCATGGCCGAAGCAGAGACCGTTCCCAACACACAAACATCACCCCCAGTGGCCGAGGCCACCGATCCTGCCTCGGCTCCCTCACAGCAAAATGTCAAGAGCACCCAGGTAGTCGCAAGTGATAAGCTCCCATCCACAGAAGCGATCACTAAAACCAGCGAGTACAAAGTACTAGATCACAAAGGCGAGGAACACATCTTCAAAAGCCTCTATGATAACTCCGAGTCCACCAGGACTCTGGTAATCTTCATCCGCCACTTTTTCTGCGGGGTAAGCAAAGCTCCACAAGTGGAGCAGCTGTTCAAGTCAAGCCTTGAACCACAGCAAACACCATCCTTCCAAAAATACATATTATATCTGTATTCCAGATCCTACAAGAAAAACATAACTAACAATTATAAATACAGAGCTGTCAAGAATTCATCTTCGCCCTCGCAAAAGCCATAACACCATCCGATCTCGAAAAACTTTCAACCAAAACCTCAATCATCGTAATCGGCTGCGGCGACCCAGGCCTAATAGACTTCTACGCGAAAGAAACATCATGCCCCTTCCCTATCTACGCAGACCCAAAGCAAAAGCTCTACAAGGAGCTCGAGCTAGTGCAGAACTACGGTATGGGTTCTAAGCCTGAGTACTTCCGGAAAGGCATGCTTGGGAGTGTCGGGTCGTCTATTATGCAGGGGTTGAAGCATGTTAGTTCTGGACTTGTGCTGAAGGGAGGCGATTCGAGTCAAAATGGTGGGGAGTTTCTTTTTGAGACTGGGTCTGAGGGGACTGGGAAGAGCGTTACTTGGTGTCATCGGATGACGAATACGAGGGATCATTCGGGGATTGAGGAGTTTAAGAGAGTTGTTGATCCTGAGGGTCAGGTTTTGGGGAAGAATGAATAGGAATAGGATTGAGGGAGAGTTGCTTTGCTGTCCGATCACTGCCTGTGGTTTGTGGTTCTATTTAATATATTCATTGGAGGTTGGTATGTTCTTGATCTAGCGATGTAGGTTAAATTCATAATTCGACAACTGTAGGTAGTGATGTTCAGAACAAGTAACGTTTCATTTTAACAATGATTGATCTCATTCATGGTATATTCATCAAAAATAAGAACGAAAACCCAAAATTCAAATCATTTATAGACATAGTCATCACAGCTCATCCTTCTCAACACCCTCAATAGCAACCAACTCAGTCTCAAAGATCAAAGTCGAGCCAGCAGGGATAGGACCAACGCTACGGTCACCGTATCCTAACTCGGGGGGAATAGTCAGGGTACGCTTCTCGCCGATACACATATCCACCAGACCTTGGTCCCAGCTGAGCAAGAAAGAAGAAGTTAGCAAAAGCGATCGGAAACAACCAACAGAGCCCTGGAAGGGGAAGAAAAGCAGCTGCATGTGGTATGTAACTCAACTCACCCCTTAATAACACGGCCACTTCCCAACTTGAAGTTTAATGGAGAATTGCGATCGTAGCTTGCATCGAACTTCTTGCCATTATCAAGGGTCCCCTTGTAGTGCATGGAGATGTTGTCGCCCTTTTGTGTCTTGCGGGTGCATTCGACCTTGTGGGTTGTTTCAATTCCGAGCTCGGCGGCAGCGGCGAGGGAGGCCAGGGAGAGGAAGATGGTAGAGAGACGCATTATGACTCTTTAAATCTGTAATATGCGGGATGATTTTTGTATTCGACGAGGTCAATTTGGAATTGGAATTGAGTAGAGTGTGTTAGGGGGAAGTCAGAGAGGAGCAGAGGGGAAGCTGCAACGTGGGCGGAGTGCGGAGGTGTGGGTCTGTTAAGCTGCGTGGAACAAGCTTGAAAGTCATTGGCCGCAGCCATTACAATACATGGTTGTGCGATATTTGGAGAAGAAATCAACTTAAGTTCATAGCAATTTCATAGCAATGGATAATCCGACCGAGTCAATATCTCTAACCCAAATATCCTCGTTTATTCCTTCTAATAAACCGTAAAAATCTAATTACCCTTTGTAATCGCGCTCTCATTAGCAATTTCACTCGGAATACCCTGATCAGCATCAGCTCTCAGATCATCTTCACCCATCGCCCCATCCCACCCCTTAGAAACAAGATAAGCCCGAAACTTCTCATCTCGAATCGTCAAATCTTCACCTGAAAGATCCGGCACAAAGAAATATGTCACCGCAACACCCACCACGCCACAAATCGCCGCAATGATAAAAGTCCAGTGCTTTCCCAGATTATTCTCAATGGGCTGAAACGCCTGCGTACCAATAGCTGCACCCGCTTTACCAACCGCAGCTGATATACCGTAGCAGGTTCCTCGGACGCCGGTAGCGTATGATTCGGAGGATAAGAGGCCGAGCATATTGCCCGGACCGAAGTTACCGGAGCTTTGCATTAGGCCGTAGAAGATGATGAAGAGAGGAATGATTTTGGTGATCTTGTTATATGCGCAGCCGATTATGAGGCCGAAGACGAGGTATCCGCTGAAACCGATCATCATTACATTTTTGCGGCCGACGCGGTCGCAGAGGAAGGCGCCGAGGAAGACACCTGGGAGGGCGATTGCGCCAAGGAGGAGCTGCCATTCGGCTGTTTGGCGGACTGTGCCGTTGTGAACAACGGATGAAATGATTGTACCTGAGAAGACACCGTTCGGGAATGTGACAAAATCTGGCGAAGGATCAGCTTTTTGAGAACTTTTGATTGGTCTTATCAGAAGATCTTACCGTAGAGGAACCATGCGCCACAAGTTCCGATGAGTGACTTCCAGTAGTATCGGAGCACCAGAAAATAGGGCACATGCTTCTTGATAGCACCACGGCGGTAGAGCGTAGAGTTTACCATTCGAATCCGGAAGTAAAAGATGGACAGCGGCCAGATACATCCGATACCGAAGCAAACGCGCCACACAGTACTGTAATGGGACTCGTGACAAGCCATGAGAACGATCAAGAATATCGAAACCGCAAAGGGACCACCGAACGATAGCGGGAAATTGGTCACCATGATAAACGCCGGGCCACGATGCTTGGGTGTCAATTCATTGGCGGACTCAGACGCAGACGTCGAAGAGGCAGGGTACTCGCCACCGGCACCTATAATCTAGTGTTAGCATTTGACCGGGGGAATAAGGAGTCTTTGTAGCATACCGAATCCAACAATACCACGGGACACCGTCAACATCCAGAACATGCCATCGATAGTAACGCCATGAGATGCCGTAGCTAAGATTCCACCGATAACAATCATCAAGGTTGTAGCGACGATGGCAAACTTTCGACCAAGATAGTCGCAAGTCAAGCTGTTTTTCGCATAAATTATGAGTCGTTTTTCAAGTTACCTCATAGATGAGATGATTCTTACCCAACAACAACCTGTCCGATGACCTCGCCGACGAGCAAAGCATTGGAAACACGCGTACTGACAGCTGTAGTGTACTGTGCGGGATACTCCTTCTTCAGAAGCACATTGACCATAGTCCTAAAATAAGGTATAAGCCACCCGTGCTTAAGCATAATATCAGGCCACCCACACTCACATCAAGTTATTTTGGTATCCATCACTGATCAAAGCAAAGCCAGTTGCGAACTATAAGCGAGCAGTCCTTAATTAGCAATTGAATTCCGAGATGAATGACCTCATAACAGCTCAGCCCAAGCGAAAAAACTCACAATCGTAAAGATGTCTGACAGACTTTGCCGCTTCTGTGAAACCACATGCAAAGAATCATCCGCGGGAGATCCATCTTTAATCTCGGAATCTGTAGCCTCAAACTTGGAGTCGGCACCACCAACAATTTCCACCGAATTACCCGTCGCCATGTTAAGTCGAACGAAGGAAAGGTTCACGAGCACAGGACACACATGATAGAAGGAGAAAGAAAGAAGAAAAGAGAGAAAAAGAAAAACTTTTGCGGGGAGGAAATCAAGGTTAGCACATGTTCAAGTAAAGGATTCATTAGCGTGAGAGCTAAGAAGCGGAGAAGAAGCTGGCATTGGGTGAGATTGAAGCTAAGGTAACACTAGGCGTCTGCGATGACCTGAAACGGTTAAGAGTGAGATTAGCACCGGGGGATCAAGGCAGCCCTAGAGCGGAATTGTTCTGCTTTTGGGCCGAATCTACATTCCAGTGTCAACCACGTTCGACCCACTTGGGTAATGATTGGCGGATTGCGGGGAGAGAAGGTTCGGGGTTGGATGAGAGACTCTTATCCTTCCATGGGTGTCGCGTGACTAGTTGGATGTTTAGATAACAGCTTTAGGGCTGCATGGATTTTTAACTTTACACCCATAGAGTGGAAGCAAGATTCATTTACTATTATGGAAAGAGATTTCTTGTTTAAACTGTTATTTTGGTTTTGAAGTAGATCCTCTGTACATGATCTCTAAAGCAACAGCATACAACATGTGTCCATCCATCTAGGCAGGTCCTGCCTGAACATAGAACCGTGAAAATGAAATAAAAAATAAAAATAACGCCGAGTGTAACCAGTGGGTATCAATGCATGATCACGAAGGAGATCGTTGGCAGGTCATCAATAAAAACGAGAGAAAAGAAATGAATAAAGCTTTTGAGTGGTCTTATGCCCACTTGCCCAGCACAGCCATCAGACCAGCACCAAGACACAGCAGCAAGAACGCAAGCAATACGTCACGAATAGGTGCTTGACGCATAGAAGCACTGAACATGAACTCGTGTGCCATCAACTCCACCAATGCAGTGTATATAAGAATACCAGCGGAGATCGAGTCGAACACACCGGTAACAATCAAAGTCCGAGCAGAGTCGGGCGGGTAGCTCTGACGAACGCCCAGGCCAACGGCAATGGCAATAGGTGTGGAGATTCCAAATCCAAGACCGAGTATGTAAGGTGTGAGACGCTTAGATTTGGGCCAAGGGATCTGAGCAAGGCGAGAACCAAGACCGAGACCCTCGAAGGTCTGATGGAAAACAAGAACAATATACAGCGTTACAAATCCAGCGCCAGTAACAGCCAGTGTCAGGCCAATGAAGACTGAGTGGAAAATAATTCCAAATTCCAGGATAAAGATCGAAGTCAGCTGTGCGCTATAGTCCTCAATGGCCAGTCTCTCTTTCTCGGAGTCGTCGGCATCGTGGTGTTCACGAGTGTGGCCCAGATGGTCTTCTCCAGGGATATGGTGCTTGTTTTGGTTGACTTCTTCGACAACGCCATCCTCAAGCTGTGTGTGGGTGTGTCCCTCCTCATCATGAACGTGACCCGCACCAAAGCTAGAGTATCGCATGACCATCAGCTCGACAAAGAATAAAATGACGATAGTCATCAAGACAATTCCCTCGACCCAACTATATTCTGTGATAATGCCGGTCAAACAGTCATTGGTCAAGGCTTCCTCAGCAGGAGCCAGTAAATGAATGAAAGCAGTAGCAATAATGACACCGGAACCAAAGTATTTGGCAATGAAAAACGCCCATGATGGTGCACCTCCGCGCTTGCTGAATCGCTTAGCAAAGACAGGAAATAAGGCACCAAAGCTCGATCCGATCAAAATGACGAAGATCGAAGAGATCCGGAGGCCCATGCGCCCGTCAAATTCATTCCCAGTGGAACAAGAGTCCCGCTTAAGGACTGTAGTGAATGATTCCATCTCCATAATGATATGGCCAACGAATAGTGTGTTTCCTGGTGGAAATTGTAGATCCGCGATTGGGTGAACAGGCGCCGATGAATCGCTGGAGAATCAATAGAATGAACAGATCCGCCGGTGGTAACGATCGAATCCGATTGAATGAGAAACGAGCACCTTGGGAGAAAAGAGGATTGAATCTGACGTGGAGGGGTTGTCCGCAAGTTTTGTGTGGATGCTGCACTGGCCGTAACCCCCAAGGTCCCCAAGTAGAGGCAGAACGGTCCAATGACTAGCGCAGATTATAACCGGGAAGGCCTGTCAACGAAGAGAGGCTAACGCGGATAATGCAGAGAATTCAACGCATGAGAACACAAGTAGAAACACCTAACAGCTTGGCAATGCACGTCCGAGAGTCTATATCTTCACCGAATGGAAGTTCCTTGACGCTGTCGCTTCTGAGTTTTTTTCGAGATTTCCGGATCCTAATGGAGAGGGCTGTAAGTTGAGTACCTTGGTGGCCAGATTCACACAGAGCGTCCACAACAAGTATTAATACCAATTAAACTGGCATTAAACGACCTCCACAGCTGCTTGAGAGGGACGAAAGACCGAGAATCAAAATCTGCGGAAAACATAGCCTGGTGCCCAGCGGGGAAGCAGAGTGGGATCCATGGGGACCTTGGGGGTTTCGAAGACGTCAAACGTTGAGACTAAGTACCAGGTACATTTGTTTTCACGTAATTTCTAGTGTACAGTAAAGTACTGGGTACATAATTCTTCCGGAGCGGCGGATGAGGACCTTGGGGACGGTCAGTCTCTTTCCGTTCGCGGTGGTTGGTCATAGTCACGTGGGGGATTAGAATCGCATCGGAGATCATTATCCGCACCTGAAGAGGTAGAACATCGGGAATAGAATCGTCAGATTCGAAGCATGTCGTTCATAATAGCATGTCAAAGTCCAGGTTGAAGGATCCAGCGAGCTGGGATACTTTGTACCTTGATCACATCGACCCCTGCCGTCAACAACCAATCAGAGAGCTTCTGTGGCGGAGCTTGGCATCGATGAAATCACCACAGTTGCTCATCATTCCCACTATCATCATCACCATCTAACGTCCGCCATGGCGCCTATTCGTCGCTATCTGCGCATCACCAAATACTCCGTGTTGGAATGTCGAATCTACCTTGATAATCCATCAGACAGTCGCTGGCTTCTGAACGCTCAAGATCCGGTTCTCCCACGCGTGTTCGAGGTAATTCGCCCGCTGGTACTACCGAAGCTACGGGAAGAAAACGAGCGACGCTGGTTCCGAAAGAAGGGCAAGGCAACCAAGGATGTTATCGCTGAGGGTAAGCTGAACTTTGACTCGCACGCCTAGCTTGAGATTGTAGGGAATGTTGCGACTAACCAAACTCAACCTTCGTATAGATGACTTCGAAGTCGGCATTTTCCTCCGCGAAACACGCAGTCGCCATTCGGTCCTAACGCGGCAGAAAACCTTCAATCAACCAGGCAAAAAGGAAGATACAGAAGACTCAAAGGAGCTACAGGGCGATCCGTTTGAATCTGCAGGTGGAGAAATCATAATTCAAAGCGACAGCGATCAAGAAGTCGACTTACACAACATTCCCGAAGCGACCGAGGGCGAAGCTACATCGGACAACAATAAAACAACCCGAAGGAGAAAAGGAAAAGCACCTGCAGATGAAACATCCAACGAAGACACGGGAGATGAGAAAAAGCTTGGATTCAGCACCCACTATGAAAGCTTCAGTATCTCAGGATGGGTGCTATGCCTACTCATCTCACGCAAGGACGGGCGACCAAAGGCGACCGTTACGCCAGCTGAGGCAAAGCAACCCCTGATGGAGCAATGGATCTCAACACAAGCCCAAGCCGGCGAGGACTAAGGTACTCTTGGTTCAAGGCCTCCCCTGAAACACGAGGAGGGCTCTGAATCACTTCTAGACCTTTCTCCGCACTACACGACCACCTGAAATGGTGGCGTTATTGGTCGCAGGGCCGCGTGTCATGTCCCAGTTGCTACCAGTGCCCTTTTTAAATTGGTACTGGTCTCTTTGGGAGAATACATTGGCAATGAGATTGGTGTTCCTAGACACCGCGCGTCACTCGTATAGCATGCTATCAACAAGCCATTCGTTAATCGACGGGCCGCCACGGCGCCCTTAGCATGCGTTTACCTGACTGATCGAAGCAACCGGCTTCTTGCATCACGGCAGACTCTGTTGCATACATCGCAGGTCCTCTTCCTTGCCTACTCAACAAAGCGTGTACTCGGTTATTTCCTGGTGAAACAACGTCAAGGGTTTCCGCTCTTAAACCACTCATAGTATCTATCAATCAATCCAGTTCGATCACCATCTGGTTCTTCAGAACATACCTTTATATCCATCCAGGCTTTGAATCATATACCCCGTGTTACAGCCTATATCTGGTGAACTTCAAAAGCCCAGTATCTACAAGTTAATTACTTATGGCGCTTGGTTACAAACTTCCTTAAGTAACAGTCTTCATCAAGAGTCAAACTATAAAGAACTCGTTTCGCGTTGAGATAAACGTATTGAATTCAATGCCAACAAAAGAAAAAAAGAAAAAGAAAAAGAAAAAAAAACTATCTCAACTTATCAGCAACCTCGTTGAAACCCTGACTCTCAGCAATCTCAAGGGGTGTTTGACCACAGAAATCCCGGATACTCAGATCTGGCTGATGAGCGAGAAGCAATTTAGTGAGATCGGGATTCCGAAATCGAACCGCATAGATCAAGGGCGTTTCCATATTACCTATACCCCTGAAACGTGTGCCGCGCTCACCTTGTATATTAACGTCAGCGCCCCTTTCAAGCAGAAGAGAGACAAGACTTAGACTTTCAGCTGAAAGTACAGCGTCGACTGGCACGATAGACCTGTGTGTCTGACGGTCGCGAGTAATACGTGAAGTCACGGACAGCTTCCAACGGTCACGGCGTTGGATCAGTAAAGCCTTGTGCAGCTCGGCGCAGCCGACATCATCGCGGATATTAAGCTTGCACCCTGCGTTAATAATCTCCCGTGCGAGGTCCAACCGATCATTGTAAAGCAAGGCAATATGCAATGCAGTCCGACCACTACCCCCACATCTTACATTGAGATTAATACCGGCAACGATAACAGCTGACCCCATTTCTGGGTGATGTTCCGCAGCTATATGAAGTGGCATATTGCCGTAAAGGCTCACTATACTTTCATTTCTTCCAAGTACCGACAGTTCAGGACGTATTGAGGGTTTGCGTGGAGGATATGTTCAAGGTTGTTCTCGAAACTATATTCTAACCCATTAGTTCGGCACAGCAGACTGGTCGGTATATCACTGGCTCGAGTTCCCGAGATGAAGGATGAGGCAGCTGTGCCGAACCGAAAGAAGCTCCGATTCTGGCACTATATCCGCAAGATCCCCAAGAGATATAGAGTTAAGCTCATTGAATACATCACCGGAAACAAGCACAAGAAAAGTGCCAGTGCCGGGGTTTAGAGTGGAGTCTAGCATGGCCAAGATCTCTTTGTTCATTGATCCAAATGTACCCCCTCTTTTCCTTCTTTCCTTTCCTTCTTTCCTTTCCTTCTTCTCCTTCCATTATCAAGTTCTTGCTTTTCTTTTTTTTTTACTATATGTAGTTGTTTTTAAGGCAGGACCCTATATTTCTCAATATCATTTCCTGTGCGATCTCTGCCCCTTATCCTTCAATTCCAATGACATAGTGTAGTCAAGTAGATATTCAATGACGGTTGAATAGACATACACCTGTGGACCATCCTAACAAAGTACTGGGAGAACTCTTTCAAGTTCTCGGCTCCCTACCCCTTGATTTGTAGCCAGCATGTCATAGTTTCAATGTTCACTCCAAGATGCTCGTCAGACATGCATATGCATGGTCATACGATACGGCGAAGAGTCCGGATGGTGGCTTGGACTAATTAGGAGAGGACAAATCTAAATCCAAATCCAGTTTCTCTTCAACCAAATATATTACTTATGCATATCTGCGGGATAAAACTTGGCAGAAATAGTCTATTTGGAAATTAGATTTATTTCTTCAGCACGTCAGAGGTAGAATTGCCGCAAAGCAGGCAATCAATTTTGTAGTTTTAATTTGGACGTGTGGCTGTTCTAGAAAGACATACAGAAGGCTGAGCATCATGAGACATAATCACACCTAATAGTTAATTTCTTCTGTTTGTATGTCTTGGTTTGTTTTATGATTTCTAGATCATTCCTACGTAGTCAGACTTTCAAGCTCAAACCCTGTACGAAGAATTACATCTACACGTCATGGGTTTGATCCAGTACGACCGAAGTTCCAGGTATACATACACACATGACTGCATGACATGAAATCCCTATCTATGACAGGATATTTCAATTCCACCCAGTTTTCCATGGTTCAAAACCCATCAGAAAACACAGCATGTGGTGACCTCGGCATGGACTTCCAGAAGACGTCCATAGAAGGCTGAAAACAGAATATAGTGGATCCAATTGAACTCTGAAACCACCCGCGCAAAGAAAGCCTCCACTTACTTCCCGTGACCAAGACGGCAGATCAAGACAGCGCTGTCTATCTGTAGCGGGCGGCAATAACAACCAATCTCGGAAAAAGGAAAAAGAACGGATGAAAGTGGAATGAACCGAAAAATTAGAATCTGAAATCATTTCAACTGGCTTAGCCCGAACCGAACGCCTGGTAAGTGAACCACATGGATTTAGATTGAGATTTACGGAGTAGATTTCGCCGAATCCTGACCGAAGGAACCGAGCAAGGGAAAAGAAGGCAAGACAAGCAAGCCTTGCGATAGGAACGTGCTGAGCCAGTAGTAACGTAGAGTAAAGATACAATCGTGGATCAAAGCGAGCATCGCCACGTGCGGGTGCCGAACCCGAACCAAAAAGGCAACTAGATGGATCCTCGATCCTGAACCTACGGGAGAGAAAAGAGATGGGAAATTTCCCACATCCACACACCCACAGAAAAGAACAAAGAACGAGAAGACGAAGAATCCAAAAAAAAAAAAAACTCCGACTTCCAATCGCTGTTCCCTTTTCCCGAAGCCTCCACACAGTTTTTCCAACGGTGCGGAACGGCGGATGGACAGTGGATCCTTGTGGTTCTCACTATACCTGTTCAGAACCGTTATTGAAGTTTGGAGCTCTAGCGCGACCAATGTGCGGACTCATGATGCTGTTTTCCATTTTTTTCTGTCCCTTGTTTGCCACTTTCCCCACTTCTCCTGGCTTCTTTTTTTTCTCGCTGTTTTTTCTTTCTTTTTTCCTTCTTCTCAGTTGGGGATGTGGGAACCGCTTAAGCCGCCGGCGAACTTATGTCAGGTACCCGTGCTAGCTTGCTGGTTTGACTGAATTTCCCCGTTTCAAATCCCGGTCGCACGGGTGTTCCTGATATGCTCCCCGTGTTACCAGACAGGGCTGTGGTGGCTTCGGGTCAGGTGGTGGTTCTTGGTTCAAGTTTGGTTCCTTTGAGTTCGTGACAAGGTTTCGAGATTCTGTATCGACGGTGCTATTTGTCAAGCCATGATTGTACATTGTAGATTTAAAGTTACTTCATTGCATGCTATGATGATGTACTCCATCCTCTAGCTGTACGCTATAGACTCCGGATATCCATATCCATATCCATCCACATCCCAGGAGAAAATTAGAATTTCTCTAATTGCGGAGATCCAACCTCCGCTTCCGGGGTTACCGGAGACGTGTGTGACATCCCGGAAGCTGAGATCGGGGATTCCGTTTGTCGTTTGTTCATTTCGTTGCGTAAGCCTATTATCGATAACGTTACTGTACGCATCGTCCAAGCACGCCATAAACAAGCCACAGCTTTTGACGGTCGATCGCCTACATGAAACACCGAACGAGTGATGTGCGTGATCAATCTAGGGATTATGCATGACTGAGGAACCACCTCTAAAATTTCTTTGATTCGTTACCAAATACCTCATGCTTTGTACACCTACTTGAACAAAGGACACTCTTGGCCTACGACAAGGTTGTCCTACACACATACGCAACCTAAGCCTCTGCATGAAAAAAAATCAAGATATACAGAATACGCTAGGATGTTTGCAGATAAGTTTCTTTTGTATCTGTATGTAGGTGATATTAATCCTTGATCCTGGGGCCACAGCCACTAGTCACAGTGTAGGTTAGCGGAGATCCCTCGGCTACGTTCTCCGTGCGTAGTAGGACTCAATTTTAGGGCCACATTAGGGCTATCCTTCGAGTAACATTTCGGATGAAGGGACTAAGAGAGGATAGTGAGAATGCAAATCGAAGATCAAATGTTTCCTCAAAGATCCCCAGATCGAACCAAAGAAACCAAAGAAATCAGAAACAGGGACTGCATGGTTCAGGGGCGACAAGAATAGCTCCAAAGTCTCAAATAATTATAATGCAGGACACTCTATTTGTTCGCAGCAACGGGTACCTGGGGATAAACCATGGTACACGATGGGGCCCGAGGTGAGACTGTTTACCCTGAATTGGATTTAGTGTACGGAGTGTACACAGTACACCTGGGTATGGTTTCGGGTATGGAGAACCTGAATGGAGACGGGATATTTTAAAGATTTGGATTTGAATTATGATTAGGCTTGTTCTTTGACCATTCCAACCCGCACTCCGCAATTTTCACTTTTCTTTTTAGTCCCCTGAGCCGACTCCGTACATAGCCATGATTGCCGTTAGGTATAACGCTCTAACCGTTTAACAGATAACAGACAGCTGTTGACGTGTCATATGGTGTGTCATAATCGAGGTGCAACACGAGCCCCTGCGCCACAAACACAGCTTATCCTTATCCTGGATGCCTGAACCCGGCATTCTGGTGACAAGACACATCGGTCAACACCCGTAAATATACGGGGATACATCAAAGTCCACGGGTATCATGTCTCCTTTTTTGATTTTTGATTATTGAATTCAATATTCAATATTTGTATATTATCTGCATTTTAGCTGCACCATTTACACTATCTGCATTTCTTTTAATCTATTTTCCGAGTACGTTTTCTTTTTCTGTCATTCTTTGACCTCTATCAACATATCTTTTGGACCCTGTACATTCAACAGTACATACTATCATCTTTCTGGGCTGTACATACAAGTTCCTTCTTTGGGGATTTTCCTCCCGATGGTTTGGTCCAGCTTTGACTCACCGAGTCCCATGTGCTTGGGTCCTCTTTGACTTTCCCTTGATGACCGCTCAACAAAACATCTTGAATGAAAATAAAAATTAAAATAAAATAAAATCAACAGAGAAGAAGAAAGAAAATATTAATAAAATAATAAAATAAAATCTTTTGTCTCTTTTCCTCGCTCTCACCGTATCGAGGAACCCCGTCCAAATGGAGTCTTTAGTGGGGCTACGGGAGATTGCCCATTACCAGTTGTCACCTCGCGTGGTTTCATGCTAATGATCATTTGCCGGGCAGTTACGCCGTGAAACCTCTGTAGAGAATGCAAACGGTGTCAAATTAATCTGCTTGTATAAAGGAAAAGGGATCGGAAATAGAAATTAGAATTAGAATTAGAATTTGTATTTGTATTCGGACGGGTAGAAGAGTGTAGAGTAATACCCATAAGATTATGTCTAATTTATTTTTGTTGCAGTGATTTCATATTTTTGATTTTCCTATCCTTTTCATTTCATTTTATTTTCAAATTTGAATTTATTTTTATTTTTTATTTTTCCTTTTTTCTCTCCACCCCCCTGTATACCCTAATCCACTAGTGGTTCACCAACGACATGCAACGCCACACGGCCGAGTGGGGAGCTTCTAGAAAAACTAGGGGAATTTCCATTGGATTACCACTTGGAGCTGCATTATTCATCATTCCCGATGCGCTAAGTCAATCGCAATAATTCCTACGTCAGATCAGGTGGATCCTCAGCCTCCTGTTCATGGCAAGGATGCTCGATGGGGGGGAAGGAAAAGGGTTAGCACAGCACTAAGGTAAAATTAGTCCTTTGTATTTGTACGATTTGTACTCCGTATGAAAAAAAAAAAAAAAAGGCGTTGGCTTGGTCTGCTATAAGAACGCTCCGACTCCTCTTGCTTTTTTTTCCCTCTCCCTTCTCTACATCAAACTTACTTTGTGTTCCGTGATTCAAGTCAAATCTTCTAGCTATCCACACTCTACAGCTACACTCT